CCCCCCCCCCCCAAACACCAAACCCAAAAACACATCTACTGTACTACAGCCATTACTTGTCTCATCAGAACCTGGGTATATTTCTCGTTCTTCTTTTTTTTGTTGGTCTTGTCTTGTCTGGCCAGGTCGGGTACCAGGTAACTAAATATAGGTGGGCACTGTACATCACATCAACAAGTTCATTCATCCATAGTCGACTTTTCTAAAATACAATCAGCCTATTCAAAAATGATTCCTTGCCCGGTCACTTCATGTGCTTGAACCCAGACCCCTACTGACTGTCTTTATGCAGACAACACACACCCACACAGAGAGAGAGAGAAAGAGAGAGAGAGATACACGCACAAGAATGCGGTTAGCCGTTAAACCTATCTGGAACCCCTTTTCGCCCACTTCAACCTCCAAGAGCAATATGGGCAACAGCCAGTAGCGCACTGCACAACTAACCTTTAGCCGTGCAAGCATCCAGAGCTCTGCAAGACATCCAAGAAACCCACGCGGAAGGAAGCCTCAGTGTATGATCCTATTAACGTTGTATCATGCTCGAAAGTCGTGTTCAATTGTGTCATCAGGAAATGCAGTTCCCCCCAAAGATATAAGTCTACAGGAGCATCAATCCACCGCCGAATAAAAAGCCAATGGCCACGACAGCAAAAGATACGATACTGGCAGTTTCAATCGGCGAAGCACGCAGGTTGGCATTGGCAGCGTTGCTGGTACTGCTGCTACCGCCACTTGCACCACTTCCACCCGAACTGCCAGTGCCGGTCGCGCTCGCATTAGGCTCCAGGTTGAACGTGGCAGACCTGCTACTGGGCCCGCTGATACCACCTGTGCCGGTAGCAGAAGCAACTGTCTCGTGAGGAATACCGGTGATGGTATTCACCACACTCGCGGCGGTCGCGGTCGAAATGACGTCAGGGATTCCACTGCTGGACTGGAATGCCTCGACGCTGGCCTTGCCGGCATCAAAGTTGGTCTGTGCGAGGCCGATCTCATTGTTCTCGAGATCGTAGACGACGTACGCGCTTCGGAGAAACGAGTCACCGAACAAGATGGGGTCAGCACCAGCAGCATTGATGGCAAACATGCATGCTTCGTCGCCATTCTTGAAGGTGACCTCCTCAGAAAGGGGGGTGACAAACTCAGAAAGGCTGACGTTGACGACCGCACCACCTTGCCCACCGAAAGTGAAGGAGAACGTCAAGTCATCGTCCGCAAGCTTACACGGGACTACGTTTCCATATTGCGTGTCTGTCAGAGCACCGACGCCGTTGAAGATGCTGTTGGCGATTTCGTCGGGGAGGTAGGTGTTTGTGGTGCCAGAATCTAGAATGGCAGGCTGAGGGGTCGAGGGGGACATGTCAGACGTCTGGCCACTACCGCTGACGGTCAGTCCCGTCCAGGCAACGGTGAAAGATGTGAGATTTCCGGTTTGAGAGTCTGGTTGGATTGGAAGAGCGACGAGGTTGCCGTGATATTTGCTTTTGTCAACTCCACCGAAAAGAATGGATCCGGTATTAGACTCCAGGTCGTCCAACCACAGAGAGTATGCAAGACTGTTGATGTGGCCTTGGTCCTTCAAGACATTGATAACATTGGGGTATGTGAACTCGCCTTGCACAGCGGCTGATTCACCGGATTGAAAGCCGATACCCATAATGCCAATGCCTCTAGTATTGGCTTCCAAGGCCGCGGCCATGGTCATGTTGGTGAGCTTGGTCGAGCCGATATTCAGGACGTCTGATAGGTAGGCACCGGAGATCTGGGTACCGTCGACATATTGAATCTGAAACTCCGGGAGGCCCGGGTCCGAATACGTCGACGACTGCGTATAGTCGTACGTACCAAAGGGACAGTATGTTTCGACGCCTTGTTCGCAAATGTCTGCGTTAATTGCTGGAAACCAGATGTCTGAGGAGCCGGTATCGAGTTGTAGAGAGAAAGGCTGACCGGGGGTACCCACGGTGACATTGATGAAATAGAGGAGGATTTCGTTGGTGAGGGTAGCTGTGACGGTACCGGACTGTCGTCGGACAAGGTGAGGAGCCTCTTCAGCCTTCACCCGGCGCTTCTCGAAATTGAAGCCGACCACACCAGGAGTGGCCGCTCCTACGACAGGCGCAATTGAGGCGAGGAGAGTTGCTGCACCCAGGGCAGCGCCGAGAAGCTTGCCCATTGTAGCGGTCCGAGGGCGCTGGTATTTGGAGGGAAAGGACCGTCTGTAGGTACGGGGAGTAGGGAGGAAGACGGATGTGTCGGCGAAGGAAGAATGGCGAAGAAAGCGAGCGGTAGAAGCAGGAAATCGGATCGAGAGGGCTATGTAGGGTTCTTTTGAGGAACGCAACCTGGGGTGTTTGCGCCTGATGATGTTGGCTGAGTCTCGCTAGTGCCAAAGACTGGGAAACGGTCCAAGCTGATCGGTCACTCAATAACTTGCGATGACGAAGATGGTTGTGAAGACGACCAGATGGCGCTACGCTGTGGCTGATCCTTGACCCGGCCCAAGGTGTTGACGGGCAAATCAAGTCACTTCATGGGCTTGACGGACGCCTCAATACGGCTCCATTGGCAACTGCCACCCACGACTAGTTAACTAGTTAGGGAGCCTCCTGTCCATGCCCTGAGCTTGGGCGCCTAAAAGTCCTCCGTCGGCTGTTAAGCACAAGGTTCAAGCTATTTCTGTACTCTCATAAGCATTAACTAAGGAATACCACGCTCAGCCACGACCACAAGTCGTCATAACTCCTACGGCATGGAAACACGCCCGGCTGAAGGTACACAAAACTGGCGTCACGAGGCGAGAGACAAGTGGTTTTGTGCTACCTCTTCTGACTCTGTGAAACCAGTCTTGCTCTGAATATGCTGACTTTAGGGGGAGGCGACCGAGGCCTTCACTTCGCTGGATGACTTCAAAACAAGAGGCTGAAGCTCTTCGGCCTCCGCATGCAAGCCTTGTTTCAGGCTTCAGCCCCTGCAGGGAAAGGACAACAATGGCCATCGAGACGAGCCGAGTCTTGGGTCAAATCCAAGCATTACAAGCACTCCATCTATCAGCTATTGTAGAGTAATACCTAATATCTTTCGAGTCTGCAATCTCCGACTTTTGTAAATGTAATACGCTCATGTCGAGAAGTTCGAGCGAATCTGCTCGCAATGCGAACTGCAACCCTCACTGACTACTTTGGTACCTGAACTACTGTACCGATGCGTGTTGCCTGGTTTGTACTACCACAAGCGGGCTTGGGTGGCGGTGCTGCTAACTGACCAGTCGGCCAAAATCGTTGAGAGCCAGTAGGTGTTCTGCGAAAACCAATTTTCTCCTCTAACGATACTCGTATCCGTACCCCGTATGTACATCGAATTAGTTGGCTATGTTCTATTTGCCAAAAAGTCCATTTTGCAACGCCATCTACCCACCCAACACAATTCCGAACCACCTTCAGGCATTGACAGGTTTCCGTGCGATCATCAAATACATCGGAGTAAACAGCTTCTGTCTTCCACCCTCTGCTAAACAATCGGCGGCGAGGGCAAGGCTGTCAGCCGTCTTCTGTGTTCCCTGAGGCATCAGTCTCAGCTTCTCACCCACACCGATAAATTTGTGCACCAATCCGCGTCCCCACCAGGTCATTCTGGCAATGGTAAATAGGTCCCCGAGGCTTGTGCAGTATTGCCAATCTCCGGCAAGAGGGTAGTACCAAGGAGTCGCGTCGGGTCGATCCGCCAAGTCTTCGTGGTGCTCAAGTTCGAATCCAGCTGCTTTGATGGCTGCCAACCCTTCAGAAACCTTGACCATGTTTGAGATTCCATCTCCTTGCTCAATTCCAAGTCGGATCTCTCGGTGCTTAGGGTTGTCATTGTCGTAATTGTCTGTCATGAGCCATTCGTAGACGCCAAATACGCCGCCAGGCTTGAGGACCCGGAATATTTGCTCATACACACCCTGTAGGCTCGGTGCGTGTACGGTGGCTTCGATGGCGTAGACTGCGTCGAAACTGTTCTCCGGGAACGACATCTGCATGAAGTCGCCCTTCACCGCTGAGAACTTATCGGCCAATCCCTCCTTTTGTGCATATCGCAAAGATCTTGCGATCTGGTAATCGTTGTTGTTCAATCCAACCACGTTACACCCTGTGAATTTGATCATTTCGCGAGCCGGCCCGCCAACACCACAGCCGACATCCAGAACACAGGCATTTTCTTGCAGGCCCATCTTGAGGGCCAGGTAATGTTCATGGCGAGCGATGGCCTGATAGAAGCCCTCTTTGGCAGCGAATCGACAGAAATGGAAGGAAGTACCCCAGCCATACTCGTACAAGTCGGTTGCCAGGTTATAATAACTATTAACATGTAAGTACTCACCCCATGATTACAAGCTGAAGAGCACACTTACTGTCTTGTCAAAGTGGCGTATTCGTCCCTTCTGGCCTTGCGAACCTCCTCGGTCTCGGTCTCAGCAAGCTTGTTATCCCAGTGTTTGAAGTATTCTTCTACAGCAGCCTTTTGGGCATCTTTGTCCTTGCTGCGCATAGCCATGAAGCCACCTCGAGCATCCGAAGAGTCTCCGTGAAGGGCCTTGAAAAAGGCGGCATCGCGAGCGTGGTCCTCCGCCTCGAGGGTTATCGCAGGGGAAGTCGCTGAAGGAGCCATGTTGAGATGGCGAGAGGAGCAAGAGGATTTGGGAAGGACTGCGAGAAGAGATCAAAGAGTGGGAACGCGGTGGTTTAATACAATAAAGAACGACAAGCGGTCAGGAAAGAACCAATTGTGAAGGAGGCGTTGGTTGAACGAGTGTGTCTCCTTGAAATCAATGCCGTAGAACTTGGGAAGAGGTAGCGACTCTCTCTCTCTCCACTCAGCCTTTTAAAATTCCATGGGACGACACGGAAAGGAGCATTTCCCCAGCACGCCTCTCACCTTCTAGAGGATTGATTGGCTGTTACAGGGCCAGATCCGATACTGGCTTGGCAGGGGAGTCCGGACTCTCATCATCCGTTGAGAACCATCGCGAACTACGAGTCCGAAAACGAAAACGAGTATCCACTAGGGGTGCGAAAACGAAAACGAAAACGACTATCCATACTTTCTGTCGCCGCTTTTCTATCCCCGCCACTTGAGCCATATTGACGTCGCCAAATTTTCAACCAGCAAGGCCAGCCCTCTCGCCTGCCGCTCGGTCTGGTGCAGAAACATTTGTCACTCAGTGGCATTGGGTACCATATTAATCAGTCTTGTCTTCAGTCTGTCAACGACCCTGACTGTTTACCGTCCATCACCAACTTGACCTCCGACATGGCCTCGCGACAGATCAAGCAGGATTTGAACCGGTCAGGTTGGGAAACCACAGACTTCCCGTCCGTCTGCGAAAATTGCCTGCCGGACAATCCGTATGTTCAAATGATAAAAGAAGATCATGGTGCCGAGTGCAAGATCTGTACCCGACCCTTCACTGTGTTCCGGTGGAAAGCCGATCGAACAGCCAGAACGAAGCGAACAAACATATGCCTCACTTGTGCTCGACTAAAGAATTGTTGCCAGAGTTGTATGCTCGATCTGTCGTTTGGACTACCTCTCCAAGTCCGAGACGCGGCTCTCAAACTCGTTGCTCCTGGTCCCACCTCCGGCATCAATCGAGAATATTACGCACAAGAGCATGAGAAAGAACTGGAAGAGGGTCGTGGTGCGGTTGAGGTTTATGATAAGACCGATGAGAGGGCCAGAGATCTACTGAGAAGACTGGCAAAAAGCGAGCCATACTACAAGAAACAGCGACGACTAGAAGCTGAAGGATCGTCAGAAAAGGCACTCGAGCAGAAACCGAGCGGATATGGTCCGGTAAGGACATCTGATTCGAGGAAAGCCGCAAACGCGCAACGCGGACCTCGCCCAGGCGCTGGCCGGGCAGTTGCTGGCGCCGCACGCCCTCCACAGCCAGAGGATTATTTGCCGCCCGCAGATCCCAATATCACCTCCTTGTTCGTCACCGGAGTAGAAGACGACTTGCCAGAGCACGCCATTAGGAGCTTCTTCACACCCTTCGGTCAAATCAGATCCATCGTCTGCTCCCACCGAGCTCACTGTGCCTTCATCAACTATGCGACAAGAGAGGGCGCTGAAGCTGCCGCCGCACAATGTCAAGGCAAAGCTGTAATCCAGGGATGTCCACTGCGTGTCCGATGGGGAAAGCCAAAGCCGCTCGACAATGCCGACCGAGAACAGAGACTGGAGTGGGCAAGAGAGGGGCGCCAAACTGCAAGCACCACACCTAACGCTCAGTCTGGTAGTCAGGGAGTTTCTGGTAGTGAGGGTGCGCGAGCTCTCGAAGGTCCTTCAGCAGAAGAAGGAGCCAGCTTTACCCTGGCAGCTCCACCTGGACAGGGAGAGGTCTCCTATGCGAGTCTGGCAGGTGATTGATCGTGTTGACCAGAGCAGAGGTGCGATTGTATTTCTCGAGCATGGCGTTGGGGTATCAGATCGAATGGCAAGCAAGCCATCATAGGGTATCAAATTGTCGAAACAAAGATTCTTTCATAGGCCTCCAACTTTCACTTTGCCACCCTTTCCTAGTGGATTCTTGACCGTATCATTATCACCTCGCTCAATATCCTTGTGTAGATTCAGTTTGATTGCATCTGTGCCCTCTATTTTCTGCCCTTGTACAATGTTGTGTCTTAACACAGAAGCGACGCCCTCAGCATGTTCTATTCCTTTGAGGGCCTCTTGGGACCCAGGGTCGAGAGAGCTTAGGCTGTCAAAACCCGCCCGGGCTTGAGTTCGTGCTGCATGGAGAAGATGAAAGTCGCCGTCGAAGGCAATCCGTGTCGCTCGTAGGAGGTGTCTAGTCTCAGTTAGCTGATCGCCTGGCGATTTCACGTTGTGAGTCGTCGCCAACCTGTAGGCCGCCAGAGCCATTATGTCTTAAAATCGACGCCGAGATCACACTAGTTCACAAGAGGACGATGCAGTAACACGCAGATAAACTTCTTCAGCCGTCTGTTATTTGACAATAACGGTAAACAACTTCTCACGACGTTTATCAAACCTCGCTAGCACCACCTCGATCGGCAAAGATACCTGTTCAAGATGGACGACATTGCGGAGGTAAGTCAGCCGGTTAGCCGAAGTTCTACCGACGAAAATTAATTCTCCCTCCTGCATTTTGCGATGAAGAGAGAACTTGTCAATCATTGCTAACTCATTTTCAGTGGGCAGAGTCGGAAGGGATCACTGTCGAGGAAGCGCTGCTTTTGATCTTTGAGTCCAGAGGTCTCGAGATCATCGACGACGAATACATCGCTGCCTTCATTCCTCTTCCTGAATCTCCACCTCCGGAGCCAGTAGACATGGCCGAAGTCGAAACCGTCCCCCCTCCTCCTGCCGATTGGAAAGGCGAGAGTGAGCAAAATCCGAGCTTCCACGCCATCGCGTCGCTGAGTCCACCTGTTCATCGCAAGATTGAACCCTACGGTGCTGCTTTCCTGGCTCACGTAAGAAGAATCCGGTTACATCTTTATGGAGCAGTAACTAATTTATTCTTCACAGGCTCGTCGCAAGGCCCACGGTCGCACCTTTTCTGAAGACGACAGAATTCAAGCCGCTGCTAAGGCAAAGCGTACTGAGGACGAAGATGATGGCGAAATCAGCGAACCTGAAGATCCAATGATGCTTGCGCGTGACGCGAAGGACTGGAGGGTAAGTTTCACTTTCATCTCACATTGTTGCAAGAGGGAACAGCCAGCTAATTCTCACACAGGGTCAAGATCACTATGCTGTCCTCGGCCTCAGCAAGTACCGCTACAAAGCCACCGATGAGCAGATCAAGAAGGCCCATCGCAAGAAGGTTCTCAAGCACCACCCTGACAAGAAGACCGCTGCTGGACAGGAAGAAAACGACAGCTTCTTCAAGTGCATTCAGAAGGCTCACGAAATCCTCACCGATCCTGTCAAGCGCAGACAATTTGATAGTGTTGACGAGGCCGCCGACGTTGACCCTCCCTCCAAGAAAGAAGTGTCCAAGCCATCCGCATTCTACAAGAAATGGAGCGCAGTCTTTGAGAGCGAAGCACGATTCAGCAACAAGCAGCCCGTCCCTAAGCTCGGCGATGACAACAGCACCCAGGAGGAGGTTGACAACTTCTACGATTTCTGGTACAACTTTGACTCGTGGCGTACATTTGAGTATCTCGACGAGGACGTTCCGGACGACAACGAAGGCCGTGATCACAAGCGACACATTGAGAAGAAGAATGCAAATGCACGCAAGAAGCGCAAGACCGAAGACACGGCTAGACTGAGGAAGCTGGTCGACGACTGCTTGGCTGGTGATGAACGTATCAAGAAGTTCCGACAACAGAAGAACGCTCAGAAGAACAAGAAGAAGCTCGAGAAGGAACTCGCCGCCAAGAAAGAGGCCGAAGAGAAGGCAAAGGCTCAGGCCGAGGCCGAGCGTCTCCAGAAGGAGGCTGAAGAGAAAGCCAAGGTCGAGAAGGAGGCCGGCAAGAAAGAGAAGCAGAAGGCAAAGGACGCCGTCAAGAAGAACAAGCGCGTGGTCAGAGCCAGCGTCAAGGACGTCAATTACTTTGCTGCCGCCGAGCCTAGTGCTCAAGAGGTCGACGCGGTCTTGGACGATGTCGACAAGTTCTTGGGTGCGGCTGACCCCGATCAGCTTGCTGATCTTGTTGCCAAGCTGAATGTTGCTGGGAAGGACGCTGGCAAGGTCAAGGTCGCCTTCTCCGAGGCTACCGGTGGCCTTGTTGGCGCCGGTAAGCTCAAGGAGAGCGACCTCAAGGTCTTCAAGTGAAGATCGAGGATGAGATGAATGTTGTTGTTAGAGTACCTAGATGAGATAACATAGCTGAGCGACCAATGGTGGCATTGAGAAGAACACCATGTGAGAAAAGTGCATTGCGTCGTAGCCTGTAGCCCAGGACGTTCACCTCGTGCACTGTCATGACGCTTGTCAATGGTCGCCGACTGCCTCGCATGCGGCCGTTCGCCATCGACAGCACAGCTGGAGATGCGGTCGGCGTCGCTCACAACCGTCTTGTGTAGAAGTCCGTGCTACGAGCATGCGACTCAGCAGCATCGTCCCTTTCACTCGATGCGCTGGGGCCCGCTGATACAGTACGACACAAGCACCTATTGTACATTAGGACGGACCTCCTGTGTAGTCTGTGAGTGGACAACCTAGGTAGCCCATCTTGCCCAGCGACTTCGCCGGTGACAAACGCATTACCGGCAAAGCTCCTTGTTGATGTGCATGGTGATTTCCGCGTCCACAACCTTTGCTAAAACAGAACGCTGCAAGTTTCCCACGCTGTCCCGACTCGGTAGACCTGCCATTTGGAACGGGTGATTGACGCCCTTGGATTTATTCGTGGCTGTCGACAGCAAGCAACGTACGATGTGAGCGGACTTCTTCATTGATGGCATCGGCGACGATACACTTTGGTATATCCCTGCAGTTGCCGGCTTCTTGTTTCCATTCACCGGTCCAATTCGTCTGGTACTTTGTCACAGACCTCTGATTACTTTTCTCATTGTACGTATCCCGTACTCGTCATTTTGTCGACACACCATTCAGTCCTATGACTACAATGTAGACCGGCATCTCCAGTCTATCGTCACATCTATTTCTGGATTTGGACAGATGATGACAGTGGTTCACCGGTCATGCCGTGATGTTGACCGTGCTTCGGCGATCGTAGGTAATCACAAAATATTCCCCTCAAGCACCATTTCAGGGCACAGACTTCGGCTTGTATACTAATCTGTCCGACTCGTCAGCTGCGATCCCGATCGATCCCCCCTGCATGAATGATTCGAAAAGCTTACTGTATGCAGGACTGGCCCTTCACGAGTATGCTTGCTCACGCGTTCTCCTTCTCTTTCGATTAGACAAATTAATCAAGAGATCGAATCCATCATGTAAGGATAGTACAAAGCACACCTGTCAGTCTGACCTCACCACACGCAAGGCTCATCCGCCAATAGGTCTCGGTTGATTCTCCTCACATCTGGGCCCCAAAGTTATGTTGTCCAAATGAACCGCCCACCGGGCATCTTGGTGACGCGGGAACCCCAGAATACGGACAGCATGACCCGGGGCACATATCCATCGCCTCCATGACAGTGTATACATGTAGGCCCGGGGTTGTGAATAGCTCAACGGCTGTCTGAAGCTTACACGGAAGGGGTCAGGTCTTGAACCGGTTGCACCGCCACAAGTCGGGTCCGCTTCTCTGGAATGTCCTGTTGAGTCGACAGCCAGAGCAGTCTCTCCAAATGCTGCTGGTAATCGCACAGCACCGAAAGGGGCGAGTGTCTTTCTCTCAAATCTGCCAGGTGATACCCTCACGCTCTGCAATCGTAACACGCCTTGAAGAAATAAGTGACCGGTTCAAGACGATCTCGCATTCTTCAGGGGAAATACGGCGGCGGAGGGGTCGCCCTTCGCGCGGGAGTTCGCTGTCCTTGAGGTTCTGCTTGATCATTTACAGAATTGTGGTCGCTGCTTCTGCCGTCGACACTGCTTTCATCATCACTCATTTCCAACACGTCGATGGCGATGTCGTCCTTCAAGACACCCTCATCGGTCCGTCTTAGGGCAGATACGCGGAGAGGTATCCGTTTCTGAATGTTATACTTTGGCGCACCTTGGATACCATGAAAATTCAAGGTGACGTCGAGGTAGTATGTCCTTGCCAAGAAATTCCAGCCATCTAACGATGGTTGACAAATTGCGTCTGGAATTTCTAGTTCCAGTTGCGAGGTTGCGACAAGTGAGGTTTGAGCTCTGTCCAAGTCACTTCGAACAGGCCGATCATCGTACTGTGGGAGGGGTCGGAAAAGAATTGTGTGTTTTTGGACGGAAGCCGTGGTGATTTTCTGCACTATTTCACCAGAATTCAATCGACCGGCGCCCACTTGTAAGGATCGCGTGGCGAAACGGGTGTCCGTTTCCCACTTGACAGAAGCGCTGCATTTCATCGACTGACGTGACTCGATCGAATGGGTGCCTGCTGAGCTTTGTTTCAGGCATAATGTTGCTGCCAGAGGAAGAACCAGACGTCGCTTTCCTGTCTGCGGGCTGCGCTCAGTCACCGTGTCGGGTGGGTATACTGTGACTGACAAGTCTGGGCCTTTTTGAAACCGCCACCGCGACAGCAGATCTGGCCTTGCACTGAGAACAAATGGCGCATCTCTGGCAAGCGAAACGCGTATATGAGGATAGAGGAACGACACCTTGACCTTTTCGCTCAAGTAGCCCACTTGCTTGCCTCGTCTGCGAAACTGTGCTTCAATCCAATACGACACCTCGCAGTCACCATGGATTGTGCGATTGTCGTTCACCGCCATGTGTTGACTCGATCCGGTTGTGCCTGAGATACTTGTCGTGAGAGGCAGTGCGCGCAATTTGCCCTCGCTGCTGGACACATTGGTGGGCACTTCAAAGTAGAAGCCAACATGACGTGTCTGGCTGGCCGAGTTCTGGGCTGGTTCAAAGTCCGCAATCGACTTGACGTCGGTCAGAGTAATGATGTCCTCGAGTGTGCTCTTTCCACCAATGGACGAGATGATGACCCCTATCACGCACACTTAAGCAATGTCGCAAAAGAGAAGATGCAAGACCACTCACCTCGAAAGCACAATCGGATGCTGTCGAAAGAATTATGTGTGACCGAGTGTTCAGACAGGCTGAGCCGGCCATTAAGTCGTGGAAACCCGTTGCCGGGGTGGAAATCGGCCTGTTGGAGATAAGGAGGCAGAGCCTCGCCGCCCGAAGGCGGGTCTACTTGCAGCCTTCCATATATCATACTGAAGGTGCTGCGCTTCACAACATGAGGGAGGGGAAATCGGTCGAAGGGAAAGTCTCTTTTAAGGGGGGGGTTTCGGACGTTAAGACATGCCTAACCATACCTCTTATTCTCGCACGACTTGGGGAGAGGAAAGTCGACGACGGGCAAGGGTAAGTGGGGGCGCTGTGTCCCGTATCTCGACTTCTCTAAGCTCTTCTAATCGCTTGACCTAACAGGAAGCGAGATCCAGGCCCAACCAGGCTTATCAAAGTCAAAAATGACCTGGGCTTGACCCAGATGCTGGGGCGCCATGTGCAGGCCACCAGGTCCGTGGGCTGGACGGCCGCAATAGGCGGAGTAGACCGCTGCGGCCAACTTTTCGATGGGCTCCGGTTTTTTCGCAGCTGAAAAGTAATCGCCCCGACGGCTGACCTGGCGAAGTTACGAGTACACTCTGCTTCCTGGCGATGTGCAGCAAGTCACCTCGAGGCTGACAGACGGTAGTGAGCGGGTTTACCAGCAGCCCTCCAGGTGATCGCATAATCCTAGTATAGGGTCAGGCGGTTCACTCGCGCAGGGACGTGGACAATCCAGGGTTGCGGGCTGAGCTGGCTGATCATTCTCGTATCCAGCCTCACGCACCTCGTGTGCACACAAGTCGTGCGACTGACCCAGAAGCCTGTCTTGTCTGTCTCGTACGACGCAACAGTTGAAAGGACCGTGCTCTCAACATTCATGAATGGATTGCCTCCCGAAGAGCATTCACCGGGCGCACTAGTCACACTGCGATCAGCCCTTTGGACTGGGATCTTGAGCGTATCAACCGAGTTCCTTTTCCCTTTACCGTGCCCAGGCTTTTGGGACAGTCTGCGTCGTCGTCGAACCAACCAGGGAACCGAGTGTGACTAGTGGGGACAGATCAACGCAGGCCTCGATCCCGCCCAGACGACAAGAACTCGGAACCTTAAGACTTCGGGAAAAATAGCTCGGACCACGCATACCAGTATTCGATCCATTGACCAGTCGCCTCCGTTACCGCCTGGCTCGTCTTCATCCCTGAGTACTCGCACGAGCACCTCGCACAAGTCTCAGACGCCCCGACCATACGCAGTTTGGGGAAATACTCCGCAAGAAGCTCTTCGACTCGAAGCCCACCAAACTGCTTATGTACTAACTTATTTCCCCCAGACACTGTGGCTTTCCCCAACCCCACGCTCACCTACAGTACTTCCTGTGCCTGACATTCTCCCACCGGGACCCAGCATGTTTAGTGACTTATGTCGAAGACCCCTTGTTGGTGCCAGGGAAACCAGAGTGCCATTCTACCTCGGGCCGAAGCCACTCTGGGAACGTATCTTGAAGATGGACGCTTGGTCGGCGCACCAATACGGTAGTTCTCGCTTTCGCTTGCTCGCCGAAGGACGTACATAATTGTGCAGTGCATCAAAGATCTCCCCGTTGGCACTCTCCTACAGGCTGCTCCTCCGAGATTTACTTGATGCTCACTCCGCGGCTCCTTAAGCGCCCCTAAAATCGTCCCCAGAAGTATCTCTGCAAGTACTCCTGTTAACACTTTCTCCGGTACTACTAATGTTTATTTCTTCACTGCTAGGTACTAGGTATCACTTTTAACTAAAGTGTCCCCTGACAGATGCCGAATTCTAGGTATAAAATTTAACTAATAGTATTCACTTTTTGGGCGTACGATATAGGTACAACCCTTGACTTAAATCTTCCCTCTCCTAAGGCTTCACCTCAGGTACAGGTCCTAGAACCGGCCCTAGGCCGAATCAGGAAGTGGGAGGGTCTGCGCGGTTAGCCTCGGCCGACTTGACCTCTAGTGACTCCGCGTGTTCGTAGACGTCAAACCCTTTTTCCCTTTCACGACGTCGAATCGAAGTTCCATACTCGGATAGCACCGAGAATTCCCAGAAGGGGGAAAGAACACAGACGGGTAGATCGTCAGTAAGGAGGGACGGTGACCTGGGTGCCTGTATCGCTCTCGACACGGTCTGCATTTGGCCAACCGACTACAGAACCCCAGCTCAGTCTGTCTACCTGGTAGTGAAACCGCTCACCACTCAGGAGGAGGAGGAGAGGACATCAGAACCTTTCTTTCATTGCCATCCCCGCCGCCGCCCACGTACAGTCTGGGTCTCTTCTTCCCACCCGCCACAGCAAATCACGTTGCGATCATGGTGTCGAGCAAGACTGCGCTCTCCAGGATGGGAGCCCACCTCACTCTACGCGCGCGTGTCCTCGCACCGTCCGCCTCAAGAACCACTACGACGACGACGACGACGACGACGACAACAACAACTCTCACGACGCGATTCGTCCGATACTATGCAGCCTCAAGTTCAAGGACAAGCTCGAGGACGAACACAAACACACCGTCCTCCGACTCCCCCATCAAAGTCCTCACCCACCCGGCCCCCCACAACGGGCAGATCAAGGTCCTCCTTTTAGACCGGCCGGCATCGCGCAACGCGCTCTCCCGCCGACTCATCACCGACCTGAGGTCTCAACTCAGCCAGATCCAATCCGAGCACTCCACCGCAAACGCAACCTCGTCTTCTCCATCGTCTTCGTCCTCGTCCAGCAGCAGCAGCAGCACCACCGCCACCGCCACATCTCCCACGACGCGGGCACTCATCATTGCGTCGTCCAACGACAAGGCCTTCTGCGCCGGCGCGGACCTGATCGAGCGCAAGTCCATGACGGCGGAGGAGACCCGGGCCTTCCTCGCCGAGATGCGGTCGACGTTCGCGCTGCTCTCGCGGCTGGCGGTCCCTACCGTCAGCGCCGTCTCGTCCGTGGCGCTCGGCGGCGGCCTCGAGATGGCGCTCTGCACGACGTTCCGCGTCTTCGCCACGACCGCCGTCGTCGGCCAGCCCGAGACGAAACTCGGCATCATCCCCGGCGCGGGCGGCACGTACCGGCTCCCGGCCCTCGTCGGGCCCAACCGCGCCCGCGACCTGATCCTGACCGGCCGCCGCGTGGGCGGGAGGGAAGCCTACTTCCTCGGCCTCTGCAACCGCCTCGTCGAGGTCGGAGAAAACGAAGTTGTCGGCGGCGGTGGTTCCGGCGGCAGAGCGACCCGAGAGGGTGAGGGCGAGAGTGGGAGTACTCCCGCGGTGCCCGCCCTCGCCCTGGCTCGCCAAAAGGTCCTGGACGCGAGCATGGACCTGGCCCGCGAAATCTGCGACGGCGCCCCCGTCGCCGTCACGCAGGCCATGCGCGCCGTCGACGGCTGGACGAGGGGCGAGGCCTCGGAAAACGAGGCCTACGAGGTCGTCCTGGCCACCGAGGATCGACTGGAGGCCCTCAGGGCCTTTGGGGAGAAGAGGAAACCCGTTTTCAAAGGGCGCTAGCCAACAAACTCACCGACCGGTTGACCGCCCAAAAAACAATTTCAAACGAAAAAAATAATTTTAAAAAAACCAATGCGTGCGTGTAGGGACAGTAGGTACAGTGGGTGGTTACGTGACCCCCGGGTGGTTTGGCCTGGACACGACCTAGACGCATCACCACCGTCATCTGTAACGGCACTTGTCCCCCTGGCCACCATACCCAGGATTACATAAATAAACAATACAAAACGTTACGAACCAAACTCACGCAACGAGCAAAACCAAAACTTCGAATGTGAATGTGAACATGAAAGGGGAAAAGACAACAAAAGCCAAAATAATAACCGCATAATACAAAAAGTAGATAGATGATAGGTCATCTCATTTCCTAATCCACTGGCATATTGCACCACCTACTCTACTTGCTTATTTTCGTAACCCCTAGTTCTATATACATCATACTTAGTACCTAGTAAGCCACTGTATCTTTTATTTTTCCCGCTCAAAATACAGCTGCACCCAAAAATCAACCAAACCCTTTGGTCCCCCGGACCAGACATGACACGAAACAATAGCGACGGCTGGTATTTGGTATCATAAGGACATCAAGATCAAAATGTAGCAAAATAAAACGCCAGGGGAACCCAGAATGTCGGGTTTCGTGCCCGACTACCGATCCACGGCAGGTTACATGAACCCGGTGAAATGTTCAAGTCATCACCCACTCGGATCCCCTTTTGACAAATTTGTCGACCATCAACATTAAATCTGTCATGACGAAGCGAATGATGTAAAAGGCGAAAAACTCGGCCGCGTTCTTCACTCCTAGTTCCAACCCAACTTGGGTCTTGTTGCTGCATTTCAATCCCGGGTCCTCCACTTGTCTTGCGATCCCATCCAGAACCTGCGCCGCGTCAAAGAGGCGCGCAAGACTAGACATGTACGTCGCGTGACTGGGCTGAATATTGGGCAAGGCGGACGGGGTGGGTGGCGGTACCACTTTCCGATTGTGGTGTGAGCGAGAAGAATGGACCGAGCTGGACGAAGTCATCGGCACCGTTGGCATCGTCAGGCTCGACGTAGACGTGTCTTTGGCCCCATTCGACCCCATGGCGGGCGCACTCGACTTGGATCGAAGTTTTCGCCAGCTGGATGCGAACGTCTTTGTCGCTGCGTTGCCCGACTTTCCCTCCTGTTCTTCCTTTCCGCCTTTGAACATGCCGGTGGATCCACCAAATCCAACATCACTGCCGAGTTTCTTCAGCAGCGTGATCCGCACTTGATCTAAGACGCTCTCGAAGGACTGCAGTTCTTCGAGCATCGCGTCCGCGTCGAGTGTGTCCACCTTGGTGAATTTCAGGAGCGCCGCAGTTAACAGATCACATTGCGAGACCTTATCCTCGACGGATTTCAGCTTGACGTTTCGAACACGCCAAACATCTCGAGGAATGAACAGTTTTGTAGTCAAACATCCACCCCGAGGATGAGCAAGTGTCTGGTACAAGCACCGCATCAGCCAGAATGGGCGCAGCAGTGACGACTCGGGACATGGCTCGAGTGGCTGGGGTGGGTTGAGCAGTTGACTTGAGAGCTCAGGGAAGGCGAGAACTGCGGTGTGGTCATCAAAGAGGTACATGCCCCCCGAATGAAGGAGTTGGGGACCGAAAGCAGCGGTGGACGGGGTCGGTAGCGCCGCGGAAGGCAAGGGCGGTGGAATCGTTCGCCCTTCGCCATTGGCACCGCTACTGCCTGGAGTAACCGGAGACTCGTTGTTAGTGTCGGTCGTGGCAATGGACAGATTCCTCATCCTGAGACTCGTAGATGAATGGTTCTTCTTGATCCCATTCTGCGGCGAGACCATCTTCCCGAGTCTCGTGGGTGACGGGGGGACCATAGACTCATCCATGCTTCCTTGGGAGCCGCCCTGGGTCAAGGCTGGAGTCGCTGGCGATTCGCTCTGGAAGGATTCCATTGACGGCATAGTTGTCATTGGTGGTGGAGGATCTCCTCTGAGCAAAGAGCCGGTGGCTTCCAACGGTGCGGTGTGAGGCAACTTCTGAGCCACAGAGGAGGGTGCTTGGACAGTAGAACTTGTTGGCTCATCCCCCGGTTTTGGTGGCTGGGCAGAAGAACCGCTCCGGGCGAATGTCTCGATCTTGAGTTGCTCCCCAGTTCGCCCCGAAAACCTTCTCTCGCGAATGCCAAGTCCACTGGGCTTTTCGATACTCAGTGGCCTGCTTATTGGCTTGGGAGCCGGTAGAACAGGAGTGGGAGGAAGCGCAGTCCTCGGCGGCATCGTCAGCGGAGGGGTGTCCTTCGCAGGCGGAGTGGGCCGAGGTGAAAGCTCAGAGGCAGGCTCGTAGGATTCCTTGAGAGTGCTCAATGTTGTAGCGTTGGTTGGAGTCGTGGACGTAAGCGAGCCAGTCCAGGTACGACCGGAAACCGTGCTCGAATCGGACTGTCGAGGCAGAGCAGATTTAGATTTGTCGTCGAACGAGAAATCATCGAAAACATAGCCTTTCGTCATCTCCTCGAGCATCCTTTCTTCTTCGTCGGACGAATCCCCCTCGTCGTACTCACTCGTGATACCCAGATTCGACGAGTGGAAAATCGACTGCAGGGGAGGCAGGATGGTGGAGAACGACTCCTGTGCAAGTCTATCTGGCCTTGGGGTTGCATCTTCGGAAGCGTCTTCATCATACGCAGCTTCAACGGCGGCACTGAGAGCGGCATCAAATTCTGCATCGATCTCATCAGCCAGATGCAGAGGTTTGTTGAGCCCAAGGTCGACAGAGGACAGTCGTGAGGATCTCGAGGAATCGCCGTCTTCAAAAGTGTCCAACCAAGACGTGGACTCTGTGCTATCTTCTCGGGTGTGGAGAACACCGTTCGCCACGTCTTTCCTCGAAGTCGCCAATGGCGTGTCTGTGTCCCTCTCGGATGACAGCGAAGGAGCTCTCCGAGGAGAAAGCGGAGGTGGCATGTACTGTGTATCCATGGGACTCGCCAGACTGGGCATCTGGAGTCTTTTCCGAGATGATTCATTGAGAAATGTCTCGCCCCCAAAGATCTCCGGTAGTAGTGACTCCCCTCGAGGGGGAATCTTTACCGACTCTAATACACCCGTCGTGTCTGCTTCGGGGTCCTCATTTGCGAAAAAGGACTGGCCGTTCTCATCGAATGGGGGTTCGTCTGGCAGGGCTTTCTCCATCAGCCCGGAGAAGGAGTTGTCCAGGTCATGCAATTCCGCTATTCGGTTCGAGTACGTGCTCCGGATGTTTGACAATTTCTTCCTGTCGTCCACGTCTGAGCTCCGGACGAGCACTTGTTGCAGGAGCTCACACGCCTCGTCGTACGCCTCAATGGCACCTTCGATATTTTGGGCATTGTCCAAGAGTACTGCAGCGTTCGCTCTCGCTAAAGCCTTGGACAGCATGGTTTTCTGCGTAGGACTTCGGTGGCTCTTAGCTCGTGCTGGTCCGCCGCCTGGTACTGTCTCGTTCTGATCATCTTGAACTATGGCCTCGAGATTTCTCTCCTGAGTTCCCGATCGTGCAGGCTGCGCCATATACTGTGAGGCAATGTTTTCCACAGGTTTCTTGGCCGTGGTGCCTGCCTTCATGTAGTGAACGGACATCGTAACGGGGTCTCCCGTTTTGGCATTTCTTTTCTGCCACGTCTCCCCGAAGTACTCACTTGAACTAGGGTTGAACATGGACGTCGGCGTCAGCGGGGATGCGCCCCCTGAATTCCCACCTCGAGAGGGATAACCACGGTCCACCTGGAGATGCCCTTGATTGTGGCTCCTGGTAGGACTTTGGCTGTAAGATCTCATCGACGGTTGTGGAGGTTCGAGCCTTCCAGCTGCCACAATCGACGACATTAGCGAAGGCTCAATACTTCTCCGTCGCGAAGTGTTCGCTTTGACTCGAAAAGGCTCGGTGTCGAGCGCGGATACACTGCTCGAGGTCGAATGTGACCAGCGGTTGATATTGAGATTAGACCCCGGCGATTTCGAGTCGATGTGGTTCTCAGGCCGACTGCGGGAGCGACTTCGTTCGTAACGAAAATATGTACTGGGTGGTTTGCGGTCTGGACTGCTTGATCCACCTTTCAACTGAGCATTCCTGCCGGCTCTGCTCGAGATAGATGCAGCCTTCTTAGTTGGGTGCGACGATGACGACGTTGAATCAGAGCGCGAAGATCTCCTGTAGAACGTGGCAGGAGCGGCGGTTGAGCTCATTATCTTTGGCGGCAAAAAATTATACGACCCCAGTTAGACACTTGAGGTGATGGTCGTTGAGTCGCGTGTGGATCAATACCAATCGAGGACTCAACTATAGCTGGCTGCGGTCAGTGACGTCGAATGGGCTACACTGCAGCTGCTCAGATAATCATCAACGGTCTGCGGTTCTACCGTTGATCAAGACGCATGCAACTTGTACCTGCAGCGGTCCCGACTCCGATTGACCAGGTGTCAGGGCGAATCACAAGGGTGTGGATAAGCTGCACAGGCGGTCGAGATTGCAACGAAAGCGACCTGGGTGTAGTGTTCGACCAGCACTCCGAAAGAGCGGCGAAATAATCCCTTCAACGCAGGCGCAGGTTTGTTTCAACAGTTATTCCAGTGTCGTGCGCGAGCGAGCGTCGCGCCCAAGGCGATATCCTGCTTCGAAGTGCCTCTGATTCTGGGTTCCCCTTCGGACCAGAACATGGCGTTGATCAACCGGCCATGGGTGGCGTTGCCGTCTCTTTTGTGTTTCTGCCAACTCAAATATTGCGTCTCTTGTTGAGGAGCGCGCAGGGGAGGTCAAGGTCAAGTAGATTCGTGATGAGGCTGTAAATGCCTAGTGAGTCTGGAGAGGTTCGCAGGGGTAGGAGGTGGAATGGGGGAACGACCGCGGGTCAGAGTCTCTCAGGCGTACTGCGAGGGCGATGCTGTTGTCGACCGCAGGCATCAACGGTGTGCCTTGTTGCAAAAGTAGACTCAAAACGAGGTTCTCGGATCTTTAGACGAAGGGGCGAGTCCGCAGGGTGGACGGCAGTCTGGTGCGAGGAATTGACAGGTGCTGCAAGTAGCGGCTCGCCAGGGCCAATAGAGCATGCAACTTGACAGGGTTGCGACCAGGTCCAACCGCTGCAGAAGACAAAGAGTCGCTTCGAATTCAGAAACAGTAGTGAGGACTGGACGGTCGGTTGAGTGTTTCTGATTCACATCAGTCCGAGGCTTGGGACGCAACGGATTCCTCAGACTCTCTGAGTACGAGTTACAGGACTTTTTGAGCACTGGGACGAGACTCGCAGACTGGCATCCCTGGCTGGCGGACCTCAGTGTTGGGGGCTTGCTGGCATCCCTGGCATCCCTGGCATCCCTGGCATCCCTGGCTTGCTAGGTGGTGGTTAGTGGTTAGTAGGACTTATTACCACCGGCTTGGAATGGGAAAAGAGGAGACAACACGGCAGCACATGCAGGCACGACTTTTGGGTAACACGCGCCCTAAACTCGATTCGACGAGTCAACAAGCGGCCAACCCCCTGATTTCGATCCACCGCCGCCCGCCGCCGACCATTCATCGCTGCCGTCGGCGAGTCCATCATTTTCACCTCGTTCTAGCGCCAAATCACCTCGACTGGCAGACGGTGTGATTGGGATTGATCAATGGATGAACGCGCGGGCACAGAGACCTGCCTGTCGTCTCGGCCGCCTGGGTGAGATTGCGTTGATCAAAGAGCATCTGCTAACCGCCACAACAGTGAGAACCGAAGACTCGAGAGTCAACAGAGTCGTCGACTCGTACTGTATGTACCCTCCAGCTTCTTGCGGGGGAGTTCACTAAGCCGCCCTGCTTATCCCTCCTATCTCAAGGCCCGGCCAGGTGAATCCCTGCCTAGTGAGCCTGGCGCAAGCTCCCCCTGCCATCCCACGCCGCCGCTGCTCCCGCGCCTTACGGTACTTAGAATACCGTACTATTGCTGCGGATTGATCAGGCCGTCTTCTCGCGGAGAACACAATCGTCTATCACGATCCATGGATGCATGTCTCTTGTACTTCGAATACTCACGTGGACCAGTGACCGGCTGAAGGAGGCTCTCAAGGTTTCGAAAAGCTTTCTCGTGCAGAACTCCGGTTTATCCGCGTGTGCCTACCGCCGGCTTATACACGTGTGGCGCGGTTGATGTCAAAGGCGCTGTGTGTCTGGTGCTATAACTTTAGGTATTCGTGGCAGTCCTACCGTGGACGGAGCGCCCAATTCACATCTACCAATTTGGAGGCTTGCCTCGTCCTGTGGGATTTTTTCTGAGTACCGGGTACGGTCTTAGTCCCTTCCCCTGGGATCGAAAGAGCCCGTGCCTGTGTCGTAAATCACAACACAACCGGGCGGCGTTTGTGACTACCGGGGAGAATGGAATTCAAGGCTGTTGACCCTCCAGAGCCCACCCCTTTCTGCAACAATCCGTCCCGCTCAACGTGTTTTATGCGAGTGTCCCAAGGCATGACAATTACTTTGATACAATAGAGGATCGAGTTTCTGGGTCATCAGTGACTCGGGACAAAGGTGGCGCAGAGATCTCCTTGTCCCACGAATCTTTCCGCTGCAATGGTCAGCAACCAAGGTTTAAGCTGCGTTACCGCGTTTCTGTGCCCTGCCGTGGCGAGCCGAGGGTGTCGGTACAACGGCCATCAGGCGTTATTCGGACGCACCATCGCCGGGAGTACTCATACTCGAGTCGGCCCCCCAGCACGAGTGACAGCCTCACCGACACATCTCGCTCTCCGCGGTCGACCTCTTCAAACTCCAGAGTGTAATCACTACACAGTTCTGGTCATTTACTGGATGGAGCTTTGCACAGTTATAGGCCATGGCTACACAATAACTGCAACACGCTGGCTGGGAAGGAGGTACTGGTTTGCGCGACAGCTATCACCGTACCATGCTCAGAGCGACACGTTCCAGGAGCTGCTGCTTCATACCTGACTCCAGATGGGATTTAAAATCATGCACAGTGCCCCCAACAATTCCAGTTCTTCTTCAACTCCTCCAAGTCCCCACGGTTCTGCTTCCGCTCTACGGACACCGCTTGCGAGGCTCAGGCAAAGGCTGCTTGGAAGTGAATGTTATCGATGAAAGCACCGTCTTTTTGGTCACTGCTGCTTCGTCAAAATACCATGGCTCGACTATATGACCAGGTAGTTTGCCCATGGCCCGTGCCGACCAATATGCAAGGCTACGACCCGAGGGTTGGACTCCGGTGTCCGTCCATGTGCCGCCCGCTAACCCCCTTCGTCTTCTTTCGTGTACTGCGAGAAGGGAGGTCTTTGTCATTCATCTCCATTGCCGAAAACCAGTTCGTCGTTGCACGGGTTCATGGCGTGTTCAGATGGCCTCGAAGTTGGCGCGCAAAGCATTTCGAGCTGGACTTGGTAGCAAATCAAGTGTCTTGCTTCGCAGGGAAGATGGGCCACATATGACCAATAGATTCTTGTGGTCCTTCACCACTACGCTACAAGTCCTTCGAGAAGCTGCATTTGACTGACTGCGCCAGATTTCATTCACTCCAAGACATCCCTGATCCTGGGCCGGAAGTTTGCGGCGACGAAGGTGAGTGTTGACATCGAAAGTCCATAAAGTCGATATCTCTCTACCCATGTCTGTGTGCACCTTGGATCCAACTTCTTGGTTCTGCATTACCGATCCAAACTGCGAATTTCTTAGTTGAACCCAAGCTCGGCTCCTCACCTTGTAAAAACCGAACAATACGTACGACACGATTACACATCCAGGGTTTTCGGTCGCGGTCTTCACCTCCATCTTGTCCTTCAACGTAAGTTGCTTCTACTTCGTCGGGGTCGACCAATGATGTTCATGTCCGCTCTCATTGGGCTGACGCCTCTTATCGGGTCGCTGGTGGGCAAGCCCGAAGTCGTTGTGGCCGTCGACACGACGTCCGACCCTGATCTTGTAGCGAAACTCAAGTCCGCTGCGACTATGCTCGACCGGCTCGACATGCTCAGCGACGAACAACTGGTGTACAACTTCTCCTCCAACCCCAAGTACTCGTGGCATCCGGGAAGTGTCTCCAACGCAAACGCTGCAACGTGGCCTATCCTGAGCACGGTCGGGGTGACTGTGGCTCAACTCAATCTGGGACCCTGCGCGATGCTTGCTCCGCACCACCACCGTGCCAACAACCTTGTTGTCGCTGTTTCCGGCACTACAAACACGTACATGTATCAGGAGAACGGAGCAAGAATGGTTGAACAGACGTTGACCCCCGGCATGATGACAATCTTCCCTCGTGCTAGTGTGCATACCATGTACAATACAGGTCAGCCTCTTCATCTTTGCCCATTCTCCTCACTAACACACGGCCCTGCGGGGAGCATGCCAAAACTGACTCTGGACGTACAGGCTGCGAGAACAACCAACTCTACTCGTTCCTCGACGATGCAGACGCGTCGACAACCAATCTTGGGCAGGCATTCTTCATGATGCCCAAAGATATAGGCATGACAGTCATGCCTTTCATCGAGCTCTCCAACGGGAATTGGACGGCGACCGGACAGGCCATGCCCCAAGTCGGCACCGGCAGTCAAGCCGGGTTTGAAAGTTGTCTGGAGAAGTGTGGTCTCAGCACGAGTAGCTATGCCACCAACAACCGTGTCGTTATGGGTTGAAAAAGGCCATACAGCCGGCGCAGGGCTCCTGGAAGACCTTTGTCGGGCGCATTATGCTGTTCCCTTCCTGTTCTCCGTCAGGATCTGTCACAGTGGTTTCTCACGACGGTCGCTTTCGGGTGGTGGTTTCTGGGTATTTTTTGGCTGAGGTTATCGGGGTACAGTACCGGTGATGAGACGGTGGAAGTATTGTACACTACTTTCGGAAGGAAGGGCTTTGTAAAGGCCTTCTATTTGTATCTAGTCGTTCATTATCCCAACCCCCCATTTTGATCCGCCACCGCCTTCCGGTGCTGGAATGGATGCGCACATGTATGATGCCAGTAGACCTTTTTGCTTCTATGCCCTTTGGCGCTGTGACTCTCTGCACTTTTCCTCTAGAGGTGCCAAGATAATATAACCCCATGCGCCGACACCAGCCACGTATGCAAGAAAAGGGTGATGCGGCCACACGTTTTTACTGCCCAATAGTCAAATCCGCAATGCTGCTCTCCGGGGTCCTCTCCTTGACGGGCGTACGGAAACCACTGGGAGTCTCCGGGCGACTCGCGGCGGACGTGTTGTGCAGACTCACGTTCTCCCTGTAGGCGACGTACTCGCTGTCCGCATATCCGAGGGCGCCGATGATGTCACCGCTCCTCAGGCCCTTGATCCTGGCCACCTCACCGGCGGAATAGTTGACGACGGCACGACCGATCTCCTCGCCCTTCAGGACGAGGTGCATGGCGGTGGCGCTCGAGTCGCCGGTCGGCGAGAGGCGGCCGAGCGGATGCTTGTCGACCACGACGAGCCGGACGGCCTCTTGCTGGGCAAAGTTGCCTTCCACGGCGACGACGCCGACGGGGAGGAGGCCGGCTTTGTTGACGAGGGCGTTGCTCGCGCCGCGGTCGATGTAGATGGTGCCGTGGGGCGCGAGGCCGTGCAGGATCCAGAATGCGCGGTTCCTGATGGGACTGCTGGAGGGGACGAAGCGTGTGTGTAGCGGCGGTGCGGGGACGGGATCCGCGTTTTCGCCTGTCTCGGGGTCGGCTGGAGGAGGGTGGAGGTGCCGGATCACGGCGGCAATGTTGCCCGGTTTCGAGGACTTGGTGATGATGGTCGACGTGCCGGCGGCGGTGGCGAGCCGCGCGGCGACGATCTTGGTCGCCATGCCGCCGGTGCCCAGGGCCGACCCGGCGGACGACACGTCGGCTTGGAGGGCGTCAATGTCGTCGACGACGAGGATCGGTTGGGCGTCGGGGAACTTGCGCGGGTTCTTGTCGTACAGGGCCTCGACGTCGGTCATGAGGAAGAGATAGTCGGCGTGCACCATGGCCGCGGTGATGGCGGAGAGGGTGTCGTTGTCGCCGAACTTGATCTCGGACACGGCGAGCGTGTCATTCTCGTTGACGATCGGGATGACGCCAAGCGAGAGCGTCTCGGCGAGCGTGTTCTGGGCGTTGAGGTACTGGATCCGGTCGGCGATGTCGTTGCGCGTGAGGAGGATCTGCGCCACCGGCTGGTTCATGTGCGCGAACAGCGAGTCCCAGATCGACATCAGCCTGGACTGGCCGATGGCCGCGAGTGCCTGGAGAGAGAGCGCAAGAGCGGTGAGCCTGGGGCCGGGGCTTCCACCAATACACACATACAAAACACCCAGGGGCCGACAGCCTCGGGGCAGCAAGAGGGGCCGGTTCAAGTCCTCGCTCTCACGAGTGTTCACTCACCTGGATCTGCGCGAGGTGCTTCGGACGCTTGGGCATGTTCATCCTCTGCAGGCCGACGCCGATGGCGCCCGACGACACGATGACCACTCTATGTCCATCGCGCCTCAGCTTGATGGCCGTCTCGACGATCAAGGACAATATCGAGAGGATGGGCTCGTGCGTGACCTCGTCGACGATCGAGGACGTCCCTAGCACAACCGTGAGTCTGGAGCTCCTCTTCAGGCCGGGGAAAGACATGGTCTGCACCGATTTTTATGACTATCGTCAAATGCTTGCTTGGTTTCATGGCGAGTTTGCGTCCTTTATGATTTCCAGAATGAACTTTCCGGCGGCAACTGATTTCGAAACAGACGAAGCATCTTGGAAAGCACTGGACATATGCAGAGGGCCAGGTCGACGCTTGTACGCCCTTTCATCTACAAACCACATCAGGTAAATATCTCCATAAATTTCCCCGTTCGCCGCGACTGGGAGTCATTGATGCCAAGCACTGGCTACCTCGATCACGTGTCAGTCAGGCTTCACAAGGCTTAAATCACGTGAGTTGCAAGGCTGCGAGAGGCTCGTACTCCGCGGACAGTCCCTTGCTTACGGCCAATCAGAGCAGCTTGTTCCACCACTCTTTTTATTTAGCCCTGTACGAGTAGTCGGCAACTTCAGAAAGTCCCCAGATGACCTGAGTACATGTTCAAGTGGCCTCTTCTCCTTCCTCTCCTTACGCTCTCGTTGAGTCCGCAGAGTTCGCCCCGTCCTCTCTTACCGCCGTCGTCATGGCAGCCACCGACCCTCCCTCGTCCACGCCGTCCCTGGCAAACACTCAACCGTCGACTCCGCGGTCGTCTTCAGGCGCTTCTGCCGCCGAAAAAGGCCATAGCCTTCTCCCTTCCGACACGATGTGGAACCGATGGGTGAATTTCTACCGCATGGCCCGGGGGACCATGTCCGAGACGGGGGCTGAAGAATACTGGAAGGATGCTGACCAACGGTACTCAAAAATCGACTGTGCCCGGTGCGACACATGGCGCAACGAACTGTTCCGCACGTCTCCAGTGATAACATTTATGAACGACAACATCCGCAAGCTAGGCGGTGATTTGGGGCCTGACAACATCCGGTGCCGCACATGTTCGGAGAAAATGCTGGCAGGGTTTGACCACCAGTATGGCATCAAGATCTGCGCCAACCGCATCGAGAGCAAATCGATGATGGAGGACGTCCTCGCTCACGAGATGGTACACGCATATGACCATTTACGCTTCAAGGCGGATCAGGTCGGCAACCTGCGGCACGCGGCATGTACGGAGGTACGTACGGTGTGATACACAGTTGCGAGGCCCTCGTGCTAACAATTTTTTTTCGTAGATCCGAGCGAGCAACCTCAGCGGCGAATGTCGGTGGGCAAATGAGTTTTTCGGCAACAAGATCATGTCATTTACAAATCACCAACAAGACTGCGTGCGGAGGCGAGCGATCAACTCAGTCAAGGCTCGACCGGGTTGCAAGGACGAAGCGCACGCAGAAAAGGTTGTGAACGAGGTCTGGGATAGCTGCTTCCGTGACACGAGGCCATTTGATGAGGTATATCGATGACCGGTCCCGAGGATGTTTTCATTCGTGCAATGATTACTTGAGCGTGGCGTTGGTGGCCGGTTCTTGCCCATTATTCAAGGGGCCATAACTGATACATTTGGGTATTGCCAAAACTTGACAGACATAAAACTCCATTCTCCGTCCCTACAAGAAGCCCTCCGACTCCGTCCCATGCAAGTTTTCGTGAGAGCCGTCCGTGGACTGGGTAGACTGCACTAATCCTTCCATCGGTTCAAGAACTTTTGTAATGCGGCGTCAGTGGGTTGTCCGGCCGCGGCGACCTATGGTGCGTTAGTAGAAATTGAGGGGACAGAGGGGAGAGCACACACCGTTGCTTCCCTACTCGAGACGCTGAAAGTCATAACCTCGGTATGCGTGGTTATAGCATTCGGGGCTCCGACGTTCGACTTGTACACCGTCCAGGCACTCGTCGGCCACTGAGCGGAAGCCGTCTTTGCCGTGATCTGGGTCGGTGCTCTAGGAGGCATCGGCGCGTAGCGGATCGACCCCGTCTGCAAGGTATACGGGACTTGATACACAGAATTGCCATTAGGAGGGGCGGTGTCGACTGCTGGATCAGCAGCTGGTGCTTTATTCTGGGCCGATTGAATATTGTTCTGCGTCGCAGGTCCTTTGGTGCCGGTCACAGACTTGAGCCCCGTCGTGACGGCGGCAGGGAACGTTCCCGTCATGGAAGTGAGGGAGAAGCGGTTGGAGAAGTTGACCACGGTGCCTCCGGTCGCTGCGGAGATGAACTTGAGAAAGTAGGCATTTTGCACGTTGGCCCCGAGGCCAGGGGTCAGCGTCGCGGTGACAGAGTTGCCCTTTTCGAAATCCCCCGTTGTCACCAGCGTCGCCAGTTGCACCTACGAAACGGTAACATCGTCAGCATGCACTTTGCAGGGGGGAGGCCGGTAGATCGGGCCGTCCTTACATATTCGTCCTCGTCATTTCCTCCTGCGCAAAGAAACAGCTGATACGAGGCGAGGTCTGCGAGTTTCGGGGTATCGCCAGAGTCTTCCCATTCGACTGTGAGGGAGAGGCCGGCCAGTGATGCCCCTGCGGCCGGCGACGTGACCTCGACATCGGCGAGCGCGAAGGAGAGCAGGGAGGCGGCAACGAGAAGCACGCTTCGGAGTATCATGATGGCGGTATCCTGAGCAACAAAACGAGCGTCAAGAAGTGATGTTGGAGGTAAGATTCGAGAGGACGGCGGAAGTCCCTCCTGTAGAGTTAAAATGGGCGCAGTTTGAGACCGCGGTGAGAACGTTCAGGGGACCATAAATAAAGATTGCCTGCTCCACAGCCTCATTTGCGGACGTCACTCTACGATCATTGGTGACTCCAAAGCCTCACATCCCACCTGCGAAGGACACCCATGCCCTTGATATTTACACCCTCGACACATTCCGCTGCCGCTCAACATGGGCTGGTCTTCGCCGGACAGCTGGCCTACCAGGCTCTTCTCCGGTGATCCTCTGGCCATCCTGATCGCCGTCCTGGTGACCGTATCATTCCCACTGCTCCTCCATCTCTACTTTTACACCCAGACTGCTCGGGCCAAGGTCGTCCCAACGTTTCTGCTTTTGGGTCCCAGCGGCGCCGGCAAAACGTCCCTGTTATCTCTGGTAGGCCCCGCGCTGTTGTGACGTGCGACTCGAGACTCACGGTTACAGCTCCAAAAACGATCTTCCGACCCAGAAGTATCCAACCCATCGGCCACACGCATCTCGCAAGTCTCTTCGACCGTCAGCTTGCTGCTCCCGGCCTCTGTTTCTTTGGGGTCGAATAAATACCGATCCGACAACGATGTCTCGCTTAAGGACAAGCAAGCCACGCAGTACAATGTCATAGACACGCCTGGACATGGGAAGTTGAGGAGCGAACAAGCCCTGTCACATATCGGCGAATCTGCACTGCGCGGCGTCATTTTCGTCGTCGACAGTGGCGTTCTCGACTCGAGCGACTCGGCTGCGTCGCGCGACACCGCTTTGTACTTGCACGATACGCTGCTGGCTCTGCAGCGACGGGCTACGAGTAAGGCGAAGGCAAGGGGGGCCATTCCTGTCCTTGTGGCGGCGAACAAGCAGGATCTATTCACGGCTCTGCCGGCGGGAGCGGTCAAAGAGCGCCTACAGGCAGAGATTGAGAGGGCCAGAGTCTCGAAAAGCAGGGGCCTCACGACGGTCGGGCAAGAACCAGACGCTGACGGCGAGGATGACATCCTCGGTGGTGGCGGGGAGGACATTTTCACTTTCAAATTGATGGAAGACGAATACAATATCAAGGTGGACGTTCTCGGTGGTGCAGTCAAAGGTGAAGAAGCAGGAAAGGGGGTCAGGAGATGGGAGGAATGGATCGGAGGCTGTCTTTGATCGCCCTCGCCGATGACACGTTTTACATTCTAGTATTGCTGTACAGCGGAAGTGCCTCTGAGGTGCCAGTGTCGCCATCTCAAGTCACAAATCACTTGTGACGTCCGCGGCCGACAAAGATGTCGATCGCCCAGGCGAGACACGTCTGCTGCTGCTCAGACCGAAGCCGCTACATCTATGCGGCGAAACTGCTTCAACTCAACGGCCGTGTCTCAGTTTAGATGATTCCTTGGCTAAAGACGTCCTGCGGATCCCTATTCCGACTGCGGAACTCATCTTGGACTGGACTGGGCAGGTCGTAGCCCTCCAGGCCCATGTCGACCGGGATGCTCCCGACTCCCTCCTTCAGGTAGAGAAGCAGTCTGTAGGCGCTATTGCCATTCAAATAATACCGGTGTAGCTTCTTGCTCCTTAGAAACCCTAAGCGTTCGTAAAGTTTCATGGCCGCAGTATTTGTCTCTTCGGTCTCCAGGGCGATTTCGTCGGCGTCTTTCTCGATCATCAGATCGATGGCCATGCTGACCAACGTTGTTGCGATGCCCTGCCCACGGAACGTATCCTTGGTCGCCAGCATGGCGATGTATCCTCGCAGAGGTCCTCCTCTATGTGGTTCCAGTTTGCAAATCACCACTCCAGCGAGCTTGTCGTTGTTGTTTGTGTCCACCGCCATGAAACATAATTCGGGCCATTGGTAGAGAAAGTATCGATACACATAGATGCTGTAGGGCTCAGAGAGATCCTTGGTTATGAGCTCGCGGATCTGTGGGAGGTATTCCGGCTCTTTGTCCAGCGAGTACTGTACATAGTCTATGCTGACAGGAACCGAAGCCGCAACGGCTTCAAAGTCGGGAGCGGAGGAGACATTGCTGCTCATCGTCGTTACAGTCCTTCTACCGGGACGCCGATCGTGCCATCATGTAAAACCACGCCGGGTAAGAGAGAATGAAACGACCTTCGGGAAGAACGAGGGCCCCAGCCAAAAGATCGAGGGAAATGCGAATGCGAATTTCCCCATCACGGCGCGACAACTAAAACCAGCCAATGACGAAATTGGAGTCCAGACTCTCTTATGCATTTTCCTGCATGTGCAACTTACCTAAGGCAGCAAGCATTGTGCACACTCAGCAATCTACGAGACCTGCCGACTGGCCCGAACCACACCGGCCAATGCCTTTCTGTCGTCGTGTGCTTCTCGCACCGTTCACACATTCTGTGAAGGCGGTGTGAAAGGCCGTCAGCAACAATGTCGACCTTGAGGCGCCGCATCGCCAACGTCGTCCAAGACACACCTTCCGAGTCTACCAGCCGAGAGAGCACACCTGACGACCACGATGAGCTCAAACTCGTGGCGACCAAGAAGCTTGAGAAGCTCGAGAAGCTCAAGAAGCACAAAGGCAGCAAGAGGAGGTCCGGCATCATCTTTGGGCTGGGAGGGGTTTTGGGCTTGCTGTTAGCCCTTCTGTTTGCCCAGTCCCAGGATGTCATCAAGCTGGAAGGCTTACTCGAGGTCAACCTGGACAGCCTGATGGACGCGATACCTGCGGGCATCATCAAAGACGTCAAGGACCTATCGATGGCGGAGCGCGACGTGGTCAACTACGACTCTTTCGCCGTGGGACTGCATCTACAATCACAGGGGATCTCGGCGCACCATCCTGTCATTATGGTTCCTGGGGTCATTTCGACGGGGCTGGAGTCGTGGAGCACCGGCGAGAAGTCGAGGCAATATTTTCGCAAGAGGCTCTGGGGTTCATGGTCCATGATGAGGGCGCTCATCCTCGACCAGGCGGCGTGGAAAAAACACATCATGCTGGACAAGGAGACAGGCCTCGACCCTCCGGGTATCAAGCTTCGCGCCGCACAAGGATTTGACGCGACGGACTTCTTCATCACCGGCTATTGGATTTGGAACAAGATCCTCGAGAACCTTGCGACCATCGGCTATGACCCGACCAACGCATTCACCGCGGCTTACGACTGGCGGCTGTCGTATGCCAACTTGGAGATCCGCGATCAGTACTTCACCAGGCTCAAGAGCTATATTGAAGTGGCGCACTCCACGACGGGGAAAAAGATCGTCCTTGTCTCCCACTCCATGGGCAGCCAGGTCGTCCTGTACTTCATGAAGTGGGTCGAGCATAAAGATCACGGCAAAGGGGGCTCTGATTGGGTCAACACGTACATCGACTCGTGGATCAACATCTCAGGCTGCATGCTAGGGACGGCCAAGGACATTCCCGCCGTCTTGTCCGGAGAGATGAAGGACACGGCTCAGCTGAACGCCTTTGCCGTGTACGGCCTCGAGAAGTTCCTCTCCAAGGGTGACCGTGCGGAAATCTTTCGCGCCATGCCAGGACTCTCGTCAATGCTGCCCAAAGGAGGAGAAGCCGTCTGGGGCAACGACACCTGGGCCCCTGACGACTTGCCATATCCCGAACAGAACCGCACGCACGGGCTCTTTCTGTCCTTCAAACCCAAGTTCAACGCCACGGGGCCTCCGCGCAAGAATATGACCATGACGGAGACGTTTGACTACCTGCTCGAGAGCACCGAGCCGTGGTACCGGGAGCAAGTCCTGCACGCATACTCTCACGGTGTGGCGCACACCGAGGCCGAAGTTGAACGTAACGAAGATAACCCTCGAACGTGGTTGAATCCCCTCGAAGCGCGACTGCCTCTCGCCCCGAACTTGAAGATCTACTGCTTCTACGGCATCGGGAAGCCGACCGAGCGGTCCTATTTCTACAAGGACAACGAGAATCCTCTGCATGGGAACATCAACATCACGATCGACACGTCGGTGAGCTCGTCCAACGGACGACTACAGCAAGCCGGGTCGATCGATCACGGTGTCGTGTTCGGCGAAGGTGACGGGACGGTGAACCTGTTGAGTACGGGCTACATGTGCGCGAAAGGGTGGAAGAAGATCAAGAGATACAATCCTGCGGGTGTCAAGGTGACGACGTACGAGATGCCCCACGAACCGGATCGATTCAGTCCCCGTGGCGGACCGAACACCGGCGATCATGTTGACATCCTCGGCCGGAGCAGCTTGAACGATTTGATTCTCCGCGTGGCCGGGGGAAGGGGACATGAAATCGAAGAGAACTACGAGAGCCGTATATGGGAGATCAGCGAGAAGGTGCAGGTCTTTGACCACGAGTAGAGGACTGCGTGAATGCTTGGGAATCAAGCACGTGTCTTGCGCGAGGCGGCGTTCTTGGATTGGAGTGTGTATAATTATGATACCCCGATAGAAGGCGAGAAGCAGGATCTCCTTGGTCGGAGACGACGGCCATGTCAAGGGAGATTTGAGCAGGTACAGTTGGCGGCGTGCGTATGTCGAACAAAGGAAAGGTGCGAGTATGAGTATGAGTACGAGTACCTAGGTTGCCAGGGAAGCGTATTGTTTATGAGACCGAACCGGGACGTCGTTGTTCTCAAAACCGGCTGAACTGTTGATCTCTGACGTGGCACAGTCGGGCGATCCTCGTCCAAGCCACATCAACTAACTGCGGTCTTTCGTGGCGCATTCACCTCCCTCTCGTTGCTAGATTATTGTGTCGCCCACCACAGCACTAGAAATCCATCTCACCTGACAGAGTACCCGTACCATAATCCCTGATCTACGGCGAGCGCCTGATCACCATCTTCTCCCATTGTCCAGTGACAGGATCTGACCGACTGGCAGTCCAGAGACATCCATATACACGAAATCACCAAGACATGTTGAATACGCCCAGGATCAGCGCGACATATTGAATACCAGGTCTTTTCCCTGGTCACTCGGCAGCGTCCCGCTCTCGTATCAATCTACCTTCGCTCTAGATCAAGGACACGGCGGTCAAAGACCATCCGCGATGGCTCAAGCAAGTCAAATAGTACCCTTTATTATCCTCCTCATCGTGGTTGCTGTGGTGGCGGTGGTCGGCTTCATTGCATACTCGATCGCCCACGATGTCGGACACCACACGAGAAAGAAGCTGGAAAGGAAGAACGTCAGTTTCACACGGGATGGAATGAAGGTCGGCGTCAGGGAGCGAAGCGCTGAGCACGAACAAGACAAGGCGCAGAGGTATGCCTCTCTCTGGCCCAGCACGAGTGAACGGAAAACATTGACACTGGGCATAGCGTGATCACGAAGATTTGGAACCACTCATCCTGGCCTGCATATCAGTCGCGCTTGGGTTGGGGCCAGGGAAACAAGTCGCCGGCCACCACGCCCAGCGGTACGCCGAGCGTGGAAAAGAGGAACCCGTAAGTTGGGCGCAGTCTTTGACTGAGGCGGACCCGGGCTGATACCAAGTGTAGATATTCACGCACAAGCTCGTCAACAGGCGCGGCCTCCGCACCAGGATTATCACGACAGGGCTCGAGTCAGGCCGGCCTGTCGCGAACCACTTCGGCCACGACAAGATGAATGCTGCGCTCGCTGGGGATGGCATTCAAAAGCGCAGAGGCAGCATGGCCTTGGCTCAGGTTCTATGCACCTGGAGTTTTGCGTGGATAGAGAGAGAGAGAGCAGGGCTTGGCTGGGAAGATTTCGTGGCTGGCCGCTGGGATCTTTCACACGGCAAGGCGCCCGAAGTAGGATGGGTGTAGAACTGCTGGAGTTTATCATGATCGAGCACGCTTTTAATGGCGATATTGAAGAGCTGCGCGACGAGCGACGTGAATGGGCATGGGAGCAGAGCTTCCACGTGCAGTCATAGAGCACAGGTCAAACTGTGGTCCGCATCTACGCAAGTTACCTGTGTCCTTGTCGTGGAGTTCGGCCGGCTTCTAGGTGTCTTTTCGCGATGACTGTGCATCGATGACAAACAAACAGGCATTGCCTCTACAGGCAAGTGCTTGAATGTGGCCCGTCAGGGTCATGGGTGCTCGGTGGGCTTGTTCTGCTGCCATCGCGTCGGAGCCTCACTAGCCCTGCGATAAGCTGATTACCTGAGCAGAGTTGACAGGCATCGGTGGGGTTAATGGTTGATGGTTGATGGTTGATGGTTGATGGTTAATGGCCTCCTGACTCCTCCGTATGAGCATTTCAACAAACTAGCGTTAGCTCGAGACAAAGCCGCCTTTCACGCATAGAGAGACCTGGTTGGACCATGCAGTAGTGGGCTATTTTCAGCTACTCGTACATACAGTCGACAATAATGACCTGCGTCTTGGACATGCAGATCTGTGCTCGAAACGGCCTCGATGAGCATTCTGGCCCGAGGCTCGTGAACTCGCCAGGCCAACCAGAGTTCGTTGTATTGTCGTTGCAGAAAGACACTTCATGCACCTCATCATTCACGTGCTTGACACGAACACGGATACGACGGGCGTCCAACAAGACCGGCCACCCGATCAAATCATGTTGGTGGAACCGGGAGGAAGTCAGGTTATCGCGAGTGGGTAGAAATCAACCACTCGGTGGGATTGCGAAGAATGAAATTGTTTTGACTCGAAACGAAGGGAAATTGAAGGTGAAACGAAGGATCGCAAGGGAGGAGAAAAGGCCTGCATCTGGACCTGGGGGAGCCCAGACAGAAATTGCACCGTCAGACCAGGACAAGACGGCCACAATTGCATGTGGACAGCGCGATAAATGGCCGTCATGCAGATCCTCCGAGAGGAAATTGGGTGCAATCAGAAGTGCAGCGGTCGCTGACCCAACCCAAGGCCCCGTCAGTCCTCGTACCCGTAGTTTGTAGACTTGTTCGCATGATACGAAGTACTCGTACTCGGATGGGAGTCCGGGAGCGGGATCCAAGAGGAATTATGCCATAGAAAGTCGGGCACCAACCGTGGCCTCGCATTCGCATCCAAAATTTCAGGCTTCCCATGGCCGAGCCCTCCCTGTGATTTGCGGCATCTCGACACGAGACGAGACGAGGCTGGGGCGATAGACGACGATGGTCACTCGCATACAGTACTCTACGATGAGACCCCCGGCAGCCCCTGCACGGACGGCGACACTCATGACTTTGCTGGAGAGCGCTGTCATTCCCTTTCTATGATGCTGCCGCAGCGGAGACGATGATGCCCGTTGCCAATGTTATGTGCTGTGACTTCTGCACGGTTGCATCACTTGCCACGGCTTCTTCCCAGGTGACGTCGAGATCGCAAGGCCGTCCAGCAAGGCCTCAGTCCCAGAGACTCCGTTGCAGTGCTCAGTCGAAAAGAGTTTTTTCTCGGCACGGCTGCGGATGCCTGTGCGCTCTGGGCGGGCGGTGGTTTCCAGGGGCTCGCTAGGCCTGGGGGGTGCCTGTGAGAGCCCAAACAGTGGACCGCCAATAGCCCAAAGTTAGTCTGGGATAGGCTAGAGCCTCGAGGCCAATTAATTGTGGTCTGGCTAGTGGCCGGAGGGACAATGCCTGCAAACCGCAGTCTCCAGGCCGTATCCGTACGAGGCACAATAAAATTCTCTCGCTTGTTCCGGTTCGCTGTGCACAATTCGAGCATTGGCTGCTTATCCGCCGACATCCATGTCCCATGTCCATCGCCATCCTCTCTCTACTGCTCACCTAAGCCCTTCATCAATCCACCGGCCCTGTCTACCTCGTTTTCCTCTCTCGTTCCCTTTCGGATTGCTCGGGATCACCTCTCGACCAGCCTCTCCCTCACCACCTATCTACCTCTCGATTCCTCGCGTCCCTCTTCTTTGTCCTCTGTCGCCTCTGGTCGCGAACACAACCACCCGCCTCGTCCGCCAGCCGCCACACCGAACTTTCGACCACCGCCGAACGATCCTCCCTCCCGCCTCTCATTGAGACCTGCGATGCAGTCCTCTCTTTCGTCCTGGAAGGACACGGCGCTCTCCAAAAAACACATCCAGCTGCCATGGCGGTCGATACAGATCCTCGTTCCTCATAGACTGCGGCGCAAGCTGCGGTCGAAGCTACGCAACCGACAGTCGCCCGCCTCGTCCTTTGCCAATCTCCAGACGTCCTGTTCTCCTGCCGACACGTTAAGAGCACTCCAGAATCACAAGTGGACCATTTACGATGCGCAGTGGTTGTTCCTGGCCTTCATCGGGATCTTTTCCCTGAGCATCATTGAGTCGCCGGGCCCTCTGGTCAAGACGGCGGTGGCCACGCTCTTGCTCACCTCCCTGGTGTTTCCCATCACTCGACAATTTTTCCGACCCTTCATGCCCATTGCCGCATACCTCATCTTCTTTTACGCCTGCAGGTGAGCCGTCTCGTGACACGTTGATTTGTTGGTCCAGACTGACGCGCGCTCCAGGTTCATCCCCGCCGAATGGAGGCCTCCGATCTGGGTTAAGGTCCTGCCTGCGCTCGAAAACATCCTCTACGGCGCCAACCTCAGCAACATCCTTTCCGCCCACAAAAGCACCGCCCTGGATCTGTTGGCGTGGTTCCCGTACGGCCTGGGCCACTTCGGGGCTCCTTTCGTGTGCTCGGCCATCATGTTCGTATACGGACCGCCCACCACGGTGCCTGTTTTTGGGTTCGCCTTCGGATACATGAACCTCTTTGGCGTCATCACACAAGTCTTGTTTCCTTGTTCCCCGCCGTGGTACGAGAACATGTACGGCTTGGCCCCGGCGAACTACTCGATGAAAGGCTCGCCCGCCGGCCTGGCACGTATCGACGCACTGCTGGGGTTCGACATGTACACGTCCGGGTTCACCGCTTCGCCCATGGTGTTTGGGGCGTTCCCGTCCCTTCACGCGGCCACGTCGACCCTCGAGGCCCTCTTCATGAGCCACGTTTTCCCGCAGCTCACCCCCCTGTTCGCGTTCTACGCCATGTGGCTCTGGTGGGCGACCATGTACCTGTCACACCACTACGCAGTCGACCTAGTCGCGGGCAGCATGCTCGCGGGTGTCATCTTCTACTTTGCGAAGGCGAAGTTCCTGCCTCGCCTGCAACCGGACAAGAAATACCGCTGGGATTACGACTACGTCGAAATCGGCGAGGAGCAGAGCGACTACGGATACAGCCTGGCCGGCCTCAACGGCGGCCATCCCGACAGCGACGAATGGACGATTGGTTCCTCGTCTTCCGTCTCATCCGGCTCCCTCAGCCCGGTCGAAGAAAGCCAGAACCTTTGGACCGAGGCCTACTCCAACCGCGAACGATAAGGGTCTCATTTCTTTTTCCTACTTCTCGTTCGGTTTCACAATCATCAGCACGGCGTTCATCACACACGACATTATGCTCGACGGCGGGGGACTATGCATGTGAGCGACTTTGTTTTTCGGCTTTGCGAGATAGATATGCAGCGGAGGTGTAATGACCACAAACGGACCAGCACTGTTACTCGACATTCGCTCACCTGTAGCGACGCCCTGTCGGGCTCTCAAATTCCGCGTCCCGACCGAGGGTGCTGGTTGCGATCCTCGGTGCAAGGATGCACCATTTGCCCTTTTTTTTTCTCTTGCACCAACATTTTTGAGACAGACTTTGATTGTGTGATTCTTGAGTGGCGGCCTTGCACAGCAGCATGACCAGGGTCTGGTGTATCACGGGTCGTTGCACGGGCATTGGGTACGGACCAGATTCGACATGCCATCTTTATACTTGGGCAGTCTTGTCGCTGGGACGGAGCGACAAGACGCGAGGCGTTTTATTCTTTGGGGGCAGGAACTTTTATTTTTTTCTCTCACATTTTCGACCACCACCAGCGGCTACCGTTTACCGTCTGGATCGGCGCATTACATTCGCTAAACTGTACAAAAGATATCGAGACATGGTGTTTATGACCGATATGCCATTCGCTTTGTTACCATTATCAACAAAAGGGAAAGAGCCCCGGCAGAGGAGGTCCGGAGGTGTTATTGAGCGCCGGTGTTTCTCAGTGCGAGCGGTCAGGAAAGGGGAGACCTTGGTGCACTCACTATCCAGCCCGCAGGCCGCCCAGCCCCTCGGAAGGTCACAGGCGGAGTCGTAGCTAGATACGGCCCCCAACTAAGCCACAAAGCCTGACGGGTGTCGATCCCTGAGCGTGAGGTTGACTTCTATGCACATATCTTTCGGCCCCGACCGGTTTCATTGGCTGGCGATTGTCACTTCCGGGGTGCGGGCGTCTACCACCGTGACCTTTGTGCGGTGTCCGACATGGATCATGGATCATGGATCTGGAAGCCTGGAGAATCGAGGGTGTGACTTGGGCTTCGGCCCGGTGGCCATGGCGCGCCACCAAGGGGTTCTCGTCGTCGTCGACATCACTCATCATCGGTTTTTTTTTGCATGCACACGGCTCTTAAGCGAGCTCGGAGGGAAAGCTCGCTTCCTTGGACGACGAAAGAAGTAATCTAATACCATAATAAATAATGAAGCTTTTGAACAGTGACGATTGAATCGTGGATCTTTGGTTTTGAACTCGCTCACCGTCTCGACCACGAGCTCCACATTTACCAACTACAATCACTAGTGGATCGTGATATCGTAGCGACATGAAATATCATTCGGACATCTCGTCGTCGTCGTCGTCGTCGTCATTTTTCTCTTTCTCTTTTTCTTCTTCATCTTCTTCTTCTTCTTCTTCATGATCCTCCTCTTCAACGGCCATGTCGTCGAGGACAATACACCGGACGACATCCTCCCCGTCCGTGACCGTGACCACGCTCCGCAGCCTCTCCGCACCAAAGACATCGTGCAGGGCTTCTGTATCACCGCCTACTCCACCCATCTCAGCGACAGCTATCGGGTTTTCTTTTTCTTCTTCGGCTGCGTCCTCGCTCAGGAACGCAGCTTTACTCTTATACACCCTCACGTCGGCGCGTCTGTTCTTCCCCTTCGTGTTCTCGCGCCGCCACCCTTTCTGCGCGATGACGTGCAACTGGTAGGCAAAGACGACGTCCTCGTCCGACCGCCACGACTGCTCCTCGGACCTCGCCCTCTCGACGTCGACGTCGGCGCCTACTCCGACGACCCCTCCCCCGGTCAGGGCAGCGACTGGCGCCTCGGCACCGACTCCGGCACGGTGCGACGACGACGAGGCGCCGCGCGAGAGCCTGAAGCCCCTGGCGATCTTGAGCCCGGAGACGAGGTAGACGGGCTTCTTGCGCACGAGGCCGGCGTCGATCGCCGCGGCGACGCGGGGTTCGAGGGTCCACCGCGACGCCTGCTCGTCCGTGGGTTGGCGCTTGAAGTAGACCGTCTCGAGACGGTCGATGGTGTAGCTCGTCGCCGTCTCCTTCTTGACCTCCCCGTACAGCTTGAGCGACGCGACGCCTTGGAGAAACGTCGCCCACACGCCGCCTCCCACGCCCGTCGACGCCGATTTCGTCAGTTCCGCATCGTAGTCCGTGTGGGTCGCCGTCTCGAGCTCGGCCCTCGGCGAGCTGCTCAGTGGCCTCGTCGGGTCACTCGGGTCTTGTACAATGTCACCCATACATATCGACGTGTCCGGGCTGAAGGAGAAGTTGGGCGCTAGTATGAATGTTTTCATGGCTGCCATCCTGTATTGATAACCCTTGGTACCAAAAGGCTGTCGAGATCGCGATCTTGGCCCGTCAATGACTTGTTCGTCGCGGGTCTATGGTAAGGTAGACGAGGCTGACTTTGATGCTGACTTTATCGGAACTTGTGGCGAAGTTGTTTGGCTGACTGATTGACGCGGGTGACGGACGATACACACTTGTATACTCAGAGCTACCCCGTTGATCAAAGTCATTCGCTCTTGTCTTGAAAGTCTTCCAAGGTTTCCACTGCTGATGATACGTTATCTCCTCCGTCCGACCCAGGGACGTCGAGCTGGCCAACCGCATCATTCTCATTGGACGTAGGTCCGCACTCAGCCACATCGCGAAGCGCCAGAGCCTGGTTGTTGAATGTTGGTCACATGCTGGCCAGCTGGGAGACGAATGAAGAAAGCAGGCTCATGCACAGCTGACGTGGCTGAACAAGCCACATTACGTTCACCGCTCAAGATTTCCATGTTCCCATTGTGTGACAGTAATAGGTGTCCACTATGTACGGGATCAGGAGTTTGCTATCAGCTTCACGTTGAACTTTGCTGCGAGATCTAGTATCAGGGATGAAGAATCTTGGTGATGCCGTACACGAGACGAATGTTCCAGAGTCTTGAAAGGCCTGGAGGGTGGAAGAGTCGTTGATGAAATTGAGCTCCGCGTATGCGGAGTTAACCTCAAGTTCATTGACAACACGTCAACAAACAGAGTCGTGCAACAAGGCAGACTTGATCATAGTCAACCGTTCATCATGGGTAGCATCAGTGAAGTTGTGGGGGTTCACATAGCGACATTTCGGTGTGATTTCGAGGGACATGGCGAGAAATATCGAGCGCATTCCCCCCTTAGTGTGCAGCTTTGCCAGTCTTTCGGGACTTAGTACCCTCTTCAGCTCGACTTCATGGATTTTGGCATAGCCTAGTACCATGGCTGCCACTCCAGCCGCAACAGGGGTGGATGTTGACGTCCCCGATCTGAGCACAGTGCCTCCGCCATCTCGACGTAGAGCTGCGCCCGGAACGTCCTTCCCCAGTGTCATGAAACAATCAGGGCCAGAGAAGCTTGGAGGAGGGTTGAACTCTTGGGGATAACCCTTTTCGTTGGTTCCTCGAACGGCAATGACGTGGTCATCTCTGGCAGGAAACATCTCGAGGGAGTTTCCCCCTTCATTTGCCGCTCCCGCGAAAAAAAGGATTCGGCCATGCTTGTGCAACAGTGCTCTAAGGATCGCCGTCTCAATCGGCGGCTGTGTTTCGGAATAGCCAAATGACATGATCACGATGTCCACGTCCCATTTGACCGCTGCATGTTCAATTGCCTGGGGTCTCGGTAAGCATGCTATACCCAAGTGTGCCTTCGAGGAAGTAGACCGACCTTGGCAATACTATCACAGGCTTCATGGAGGTCTCTTGCAGTTCGGCCTTGCGTTACCCGTGCCACGTAAACATCAGCTGCAGCAGCGATGGTCATCACAAGCGACAGTACATGCGTGCCGTGGCCATCATTGTCTTCCCTGGCTGACTTTGTCTGGTTGGGCAGTCTCCTGGCGAAATCTTTCCACCTTTGGATACGGATCTTGCGCTCGGGCTCGGAGAAAAAGATGCTGGCCGGGTCGTAGCCAGTATCCAAGACGGCGACCTTGACCCTCGGTACATCCTGAAACCCTGACACCAGTTCGATATTCAGGTCAGAGAATTTAACTGCGTCAAGCCACTTCTCGGAGTCGGCGCTAGACAGGTCATTAACTATTACATGTGAGGAGTGCGATTACGGGCGTGCACTCACCCAGTCCTTGCTGCATCTGTGGGTTCAGACCTCACAGATCTTGGTACCTGCCGCGAAGAGCTCCTCTTCGAGGAGGTGGGCAAAACTAAGGATTCTTCTTTCTTTTCGGTCTTATGAACTGGTGTCCTCTCCGTGGCCAGTCTACGAATGCTACCGTTGTCGAGCCAGAGCCAGCCCAGCTTGGCGGCCAGTCTTGCTAGTGGGCATACTGCGACTTCCCACAAGGTTTCTCGACGGGTTTTGATATCGGCCACGGCTGTCTGCGTGAACACCTCGTGGTTAAGACATGCCTTAACGACATTCTTGTACGTTCTTTTTGCTTCAAGGTTCAGATCTAGATCCGGCCATGACTCACTTTCAAGGCTCTCTTGCCCATAGAAATAGTCCGTGTTGATCTTGGTCCCTAAAGCTTCATCGTAAGCAGATTTGTCAGCGGGCGTTCTCTGACATAACTCGATGAGGATGATCCCAAGGGCCAATATCAGCGGATATCGATGATAGATGCTATCCTCGGTGCAGTATTCCACCGGGGCATCGCTGGTGGCTTCCGAGTCGAACGCGAATGTCAGATATGGGTAGCTCGGGTCTAACATCTGCCGCGTCCTGTCAGCCACGGGCCGCTCCTGCACGAAATGGATGCGATCAGTTGACCATTGTGTTCTCATCCAGTCAGAATTGTAGAACTGCCACACAGACCGGGCGATGATGTACGCGAGGAGCACCTTATTCTTCGCGGTCATGCCTTGCACCTGCAACAGCTCTGCCAAAGAGATACTAGGGCTATTTGTCACGAACTTGCTATGCTCGTCGAGTTCCCTGTCTGGCTCGTAGAGCTGCATTAGTTTCTCGTCCTGAATTCTCAGCCTTACGCGGCCACGCCCGTAGTCTTTCCTGAGTAGAGAACAAAATTGGCCGATATCGATACAGGTGGAGGCCTCGCCATGCTCCATAGGGCGGCGAAAACCGTCATTCTCAACGGAGTCGTCTTTGAACCTTACGCTCGGCCTAAGATATAGGAAGAGACAAGTATTAAAAGGGGCAGAGAGAGTTGGGAATCTGGGTGGGAGCTACCTCGAAATCCTGAACTGCAGTTTCTGCCATGCATAGCCAGTCGCGTCGCCATCACAGGCGACGGAGCTTCGAGAGAAAAGAGTATTGAAAGCGATGTCAGCGCCATCAGTCGGGCATGTCAAGGTAAGCTGCAGTCGCGCCTGATGTCGTTTGCCCGCCACGCTTGAGTTGATTCCGGTACAGGTACAACCAGAATGCTGCTTCAAAACCGTGTACAGGCTCCTGTTGACCTGCATCGGATAGTCCTGTGAGTGGTCCGGTAACGCGAGGGGCTGGAATACATGTTCAATCTCATCGTCAATATTCGGAGCACAGTCCTTCAGATCATTCATATATTCCTTGAATCTCTCTAGCGGCTGGGAAGCGAACTCGATGAGATGTCGTTTGAGGCTGCCACGTCTTGCATCTAACGGTGACAATGCGGAGCGTAAAGCGCTAATGCGCTGCCGAGTATCGACCACAGAGGGTTCTTTGGGGGACTGTGTGTCCACGCAGGGGTTAGCGCCAGTGAGTGCGAACTGGGTATCATACCAGACAGATAGCTTCCAAATGGTCTAGGAGGTTGTCAAGCCTTTCAGACAGCTCTGCGTGTAGAGGCATTGGGATGGTCAAACTGCTAGAGATTGTTAACATCGTGCCCGCCAGGAGGCCGAGGTTGACATCGCGTTGCTTCGGGTCTGTTCGGTTGACCATGGGAAGAATTAGATGCGACAGCTTGGATGTAAAGTCCTGGACAGCATCCCACAAGTCATACAGCGCCATGACAGACTGAATGATCGGCAATCTGGGGGAAAAGGTTGTCAACTTTTGCATACACTGAAGGAGTGGGAGGGTGTGATCTATGGGAAGCGGCTGAAGCCGACGCCTCTTCCCGTCCCGGCGACAAAGAGGAAACAACTCAGGGCGCCGACTTCGCGCTGAGTGGGCAACGCGACATCGCTTCATCAAGCCACGAACAAGTACTGGCTGAGCATCCCTGTCGTCCATGTCAGCAGTGCCGTTATCAGCAGCGTACAAATACGGACGCATGTCCACAGATGATGTCCCTCGACATCTTGGAAACAATCGTCGCGCATACAACACACCTTGAAGCCTTGAAGCCTTGAAGCCTTGAAGCCTTGAAGGCCACTCGGGCTCAGCCTTTACGCGCCTATCAGATCTTGATTACGAACATGTCTGCTCCCCCGACCATCATCCCTCGTGATATTGCCCAAGCCTCCAGAGATTGTCGCCAAAGTTTTACCCAGTGCCTCTCTATCAGCGGCCTGATGAGAGAAGAGTGGGCGGAGAACCGCCTGGCCGATTTCAATCTCTGGGCAGCAGGCGTCGGTGCTTCTGCACACCCTCTGGCTTCGTTGGATAGGCGGCTCATGTCACAGCCTGAAACCTACGAGATTGTACTTGGCCTCTTGACGATGCTCCGCGTCATGGTAGATCGTTGTGTCGAGTCTTGTCCGCCGGCCCCCTCCCCCAGCTGTCCACCTGAAAAACTGACCCGTATAGGCACCCATGACCACAGTGAAAGTAGGGTTGCCAGCAGCAGCGTCATCTCATCATCCTCTGAACAACCGTCTTCAGAGAGCCCAATCAGCCTGACGCATGCTATGGCAAATGTCGATGCGCTGCTGGATCAGTTGATTAGTGTCGGATTTGCCATCAGAAAATTTGGCACAAGCGCTAGACTGCAAAAAGCAGACCAGTCCTTCGCCCCAGAAGACTATGGGGACTTAAGACAGCATTTGTCTTTGAAATTGCTTGTTGAGCAAGTTAAGAGGCAGCAGAAAAACCTTGTCACCGGTGAGGTCAAGGATGCCAACCTGAGGAGATTTATCCAGACACTTATCATCGTTGATGACACGCTTGACGAGCAACAACGAGGATCTATCGACTGGGAGGGGCTGAATCTCCCTTTGCTAACAGCTCAGCTGTCGAGTGAACAACAACACCTTATCAATGCAAACCTCAGACGACGGCATCGTTTTGTCTCTGCACGTAAACATGGGGAAAAGCTAGCGCAAGGGGTCGAACTCTACCCGGTAGAAGAGGACCCAGCACAGCCTCATCGCCCAGATAGACCCAAAAATACGAGAAGGGCAGATGTCACAGGGAGTCGACCTCGGGACCCTCGGTCCATGTCGGCCACTTCAGCCTCTGCAGGGGCCGTCCCGCAGGGGGCCCTCCAGGCTCTTCCACAAGGCCCAGCGGCAACTGTAGTCTCGACGACAACTCAAAAGCTAGCGCTAGACTATCCTCAGCCGCCTCGTGTGGTTGCCTCAAAGGGTGCAAAGGGCTTTACTTGTCCATGCTGTCTCCAAACGTTGCCCATAGATCTAGCAGAACGCAATCAATGGAGGTATGATCCGCCAAGTTCCCAAATATCGTTCATATGATGCTCATGATGGTAGGAAACATATCTCAGAGGATTTGGCACCGTACACTTGTCCATTTTTGTGGGTTTTCCGTTCCATGTGTTTCACAACCTGACATTAGCAGTTGTATCTAACAAAGTCCCAGACTATGTCCAAGCCCGTTGATGCTATACAAGACAAAGGACGCATGGAAATCTCACCTATTCGAAGACCATTTCACAGCCGAATATTGGGATTGTATTGCGTGCAACAAAAGTGGCAAACCGCTTTGCAGATTTGATACCCTCGAGCAATTTGACCTACACACCTCCACAGAGCACGGAGATGTCATTACTTCTCCTCAATTGGCCACCCTTCGCAGGCTTAGCCATCACAAGTCGCCCCCAATACTTGAAGCCTGCCCGTTATGCTATTTTCGGCCAGCAGATGTGGACGGTAAAGCGGGAGCCAACGATCTTCTTGACCATATCAGTGATCACATTCACAACTTCTCTTTGGAATCACTTCCTTGGGCACAGGATGGGTCTCGTGCCATACGAGACAGCCCTGAAGTAGACGCCTGGCTACAAGAAATCGCCGAGGTGATTACCACCGATGATGGCGAAGAGATACACATCCCAACCCCCCATGACAACCACGTCGGTTGGCTAGAAACCTTGAGGGCTAGTGCAGAAACCAACGCGGAATTTGAAGAGATCTTCGACAGAAATGGATACTTTAATGAAGCTGGATCTCAGAAGACATCGAATGCCCAGCTCGATTCAGATGCATCGATTGCAGAAAGCAATACCACCTCTGCAGATTGGGAGGGCGAACAGGAGCCTTCTGGCTCTAGTCATGAACCTGGCTCTAGTCTGGAACTCGATGAGGAGGAAGTAGGCCGTCTGCGCCCCCGTCTAGCAAGACTTGTAAGGACAAATCACCCTTCTGAGTCTTTATACTTGTAGCTAACGACGTAGCAGGTCGCTTGGGTGGCAAGAGATAAAAACTTCAGGCATATATCGCACGATATAATCTATGTGGTAGAAGAAGAGAAGAGCAACATGTTACTCAGCACAGTCCGCCGCCAACCAGACGCTTCCACATTCGTTTTCACGCGGGAATCTGAGCGTGCAGAAGAGATATCGGTATTTCTTTCGGCTCATGGTCATCCTGCACGGACGTTTTCCGGTAGTAGACATCCAGCTGTTGAGAGCCACCGGCTTGTGGTTGTCTCTGACGGATCGGACGGGAATGCCCCGTTACTGTCTCAAGCTGAGTGTGTGATCAGTTATGACTGTCCCACCAGCATCAGACAGTATATTTACCGTGCTGGCCAGGTTGACCCAACGTCGAATATGAAACTAGCAACCACTTTCTTCAATGATTATGACTCCCAAATTGCATCTGAACTGGTCAGAATACTCGAGCAAGCAGGCCAAAGGATACCAGCATTCTTAGAGGCTGCTTCTCGATCGTTTTTCGTTGCTGGAAGAGTGATCTCGGTCATTCATCATTCTAGCATGGGAGCTCTTTCCATACCATCAGGCCCGTATGGCGCTATTCAAAGTAGTCCACGACGTATGATCATCGTTCAACCTCGTCAAGGCTACTCTGTGTGTGTCCCGATCAGTAGCCACGATGAGAGAGGGATCGGCAACAAGAAGCTTACTCAGACGGAACAGCAAGCTCACGCCATTGTCTATACAGAAGGGTCAGAAGTCCCAACTCCCGTGGACGGCGAGCCCAAGTTCGAAAAACAACCAATTGCTGTTCGCTTGCAGGGAGGCCAAACACTAAGCAAATTCAGCCGTATTCATTTCGGGAAATACCATACAGTCGAACACAACATCAAAGTTATGGATGTTGGCCGTGTATCCGACGAATCGATGCCCGACTTTGAGGCATATTGCAGACAGGAGCTTCTTCGTCCGGAGCCTAATGTGCAAGTCGACGAGACATGAAGGGTAAGCTTCTTTAGAGGCGAAATCAGGACGTTGAAATGAAAATGTCCTAAAAATTGTTTGCGTTGATGTTCTGTCTTCCAGTCCTTTCGGTCTCTCCCGAGCTTTGTCCAGTCTAGAGCATCACAAAGGCGTAAGGACCATGTCCGGCCATCACGGAGAAAGATCTCAGTCCAGTCTGGCTCGACCACGGGTACCGCATGACCTGCTGTCCGATTCTCCTGTCGCCGGATTGAGAAAGGGGGGTTGTGCAACACTAAGAATTGGGCGCTGTCTAGGGGTCAAATAGGATGTATTGAAGAGTTTGACGGGCCACAAGTCATCGGCCGTCGGCGGGATCCAATCCTGCATAGCGAGGTCAATGATATAGCCACACGTAGTGAGAAGGAGTGAGTTGAAAATGTCAATGAGTAAAAACGGGCTTCTAGAGACGTCGTCCGCGGAAGTTCCCGCGACTCGGGCTAGTGAGGCTCACTACCTGTGCGTTAGCCTTTATTTGAGTTGGGGCGACACGGCGAAAGCAAAGCACTAACTAACTTTCCAACTTAGCCAGCTAAGCACCACCACCACGACGCCCATGTCGAGGAAGAAATGGCACACAGCAGCAGCGGCGGCGACTTCACCATACACAACCTGGACTCCTCGACGGCGTCCAAGGACGGCGCCATACGGGCGATTCTGGCATTGTCGAACCACATCTTCGACACGTCCTCGGGCCCGCCGACTCATCATTCATCCTTGGACGAATGGTACAGACGACTCTCCCGTCCGGACTCGATCGTAGTATACGCCACACCACCACCGTCTGGTTCTCGCGATCCGGAACGCGAAGGCGCACCGAACCCGGGCGACGAGGCACTGGGGTTCATCTTCGCCCACGCGAAAGTAGATCCTCAATTGCCCACGCGGACACTGCACGTCTGGCTTGCCGGGACCACGGCGAGGGCTCGCGGGAAGGGCGTCTTCGCCGCGCTCATGAAGACGCTCGAGCAGCATGCGCGGACCAGAGGGATCGGAACGCTCAGTGTCTGTACGTTCCCGGACACGTTCTCGAACATGTTTGCCATTTTGCAAAAGACCGGCTGGACGGTGCAGGCCTGGCTTGAAGACGGGAAGAAAGTGCTGATGAGCAAGCCAGTGTGAAAGCTTCTAATTGGGAGGCCTCTATTCAGCCAGCTAACAGCTACGGTATTGATATCTGGACACACACCGATATGCTCTATGGTATACAGTGATGAGCTTCATCTATGGGCAGAGAAGCCTGCTCGTCTTCTCGTCCACCGTCCTCCCACGCGGATCGTCCTCTGACAACTCGATCACACCTCCATACTCAGCTAGGCCTAGTCTCATGGGTGACCTACTGCCATGACGAGACTTCAGTCCTCGAGCTCCTCGTGCGCGCTCTCGACTTCGCTTGCGTATTCCTCCTCCGCCTCCCTGAGGTCCTCAATGTCGCTGCTGCTCGGACTTGAATCCTCGGCAACTTCAGCCCTCGCCTCCTCAAGGTCTTCCCGTGCCTCTTGCAACGACGACCGTTGACTCGACGAAAGTTCTGGGTTGAACTCAAGTGGTGGCTCTGCCGCTGGCGGTGGCGGGCCCGGCGGAGCGCCGTATCCCGCCGGGGCTGCTGCTCCGTACCCAGTGGCGGCCGCGTGTCCTTCTATACACGTCCGATCGTTAGCAATCGGCTCATTTAATCCTCGACATACGACGGTATGCGAGCAGTCATCGAAGAGCGAAAGAAAGGCAAGAAGATGCTGGACCAAGCGGGACAGGGAAGAGGAAGGCGGCCAACTCACCGTTATCACTGTCCGAGTCGCCCAGCGCATGTCCAACGAGAGCACCAACCGCGGCGCCACCCAGGCCTGCGGCGACCATACCGCCCATCCCCGAGCCTTTCTTTGCTGGCTGTGCAGAACCGGCATAGTATTCTCTCGAATGCTCGTTGTGTCCCTGCATGTACGGCACGGATGGCATGGCTTGACCGTATGATTGTTGGAACCCGGGAGCAGGAGCCGAAGGCGGCACACCTGGGGCAGGTCCTGGGAGTTCCCACTGTGTCTGACCGGTCGGCTGATAGACGTAGTACCAGCGTTGGCTGCTGTGGTCGAATTGGCTGATCCAGCCCGGTGGCAGAGGAGGGTTCTGCGGCGGCGGATATCCTGCGTTGGGCGGCGGCGGTGCGTTATACGAGTACTGTCCCGGCGGACCTGGCTGGTTTGGAGGATATTGGTTGGGTGCCTGGCTGAAATCGCGCTGCTGCTGGTATTGGCCTGGCGGAGCGGCTGCTACACGATGGTCGGTCAGTTCGTGGCCTTCAAGTTGGGAGATCCGTCCTCACATTCAGGTGGTCCTCCGTGTCCGCCCTGTTGCTTCTGTTTGTCCTTGTCGTCGTCGTCGTTCAGCATCTCCTTCAGTTCATCTTTAAGTTTCTTGAAGAACGACATTTTCGAGATCACAGATCAGCGTGGTGCGAAGGTCCTCCGGCTGGGCTGGTGCGACGGGAAGAATTTCTACAGTGCAAGGGACGGCGTGGTGGGATGACTTTATGGCCGGTGCCGGGGCAGGAGCAAACGACAAACAGATCCGGTGCTACAGTTGAGTACATCCACCGTTCATGCACACCGTGAGCCAACGCATCACGGTGCCTCGCCTCGCTTGAACTACACTCTGGTGCCGTAGGTGCATTTGCAGGCGTGTCCTACCGTGGTTTCAATACGCATCTTGGCTGCATGATAGTGCACCCGAACGGATTCATTCACTCGCTGTACCACCACACGTCGGTGCTTGGCAGTGGATATATGCATGCGAGACACGTCAGAGGAACCCATCACGTTGTATCTCACCCAGGTCGATTGGTCCTACAGTGCAGAGAAGCCGCGGTCCAAACGAGCCGGGCCTAATGGGCTTGCTTGAGGGTACTTGCAGTCAAAGCACGGCGATGCCATGGCCACGATGAGGCATTCTGCGGGCGCCATCTCGTGCCGTCACCACCTCCCTCTCTTCCTCGCCTGCTGTCAGCATGTCCCGGTCGAACTTTCAGAGATCGGCCCAGGGTGAGTTTGGAAGGGCGTGTCGAATCCCCGTCGGCAAGCAGACCGAGGGTTCCGTGATGTGACGCGAGATGGTGGCCATCGAAAGTCCAACTCAGACTCATTCTCGGGCAATGGTGGTAGGAATCAAGATTCAATCTGACTTGATAATGTACAGAGAATTCATCTCCTGTGCGCCGACACCGACCCCGACCCCGACCAGAGTACCCCTATCGTGACCATCACTTGCCACCAAACCAGCTGCTGATCCCGCTCTTTGCCTTGGCCGCCTTTTCTTCCACCGTCTTGTCAAACTTGTCAATGGCACTGTTGATCTGGGTGCCTGTCTTCTGGCTGACCTCCTTGGCTTTGGCTTCGGCCTCGGCGAGTTTGGCTTTGGCTTCGGCAGACTGGTGTGCTTGTTAGCGACGGCTCGACGGCGGCGGAAGGGGCACACTCACCGCCCTGTCGAATTCCCGGCCGGCTTGGGCCGCAAACACTTCGCCCTTCTTCTCTGCCTCCTTCCCTCTGCCGGGGAGATCGTTCTTGATTTCGGCGGAGATCTTGTGGGCGTCGGCTGTGGCATCGTGTCAGTAACAGAGCGGGCCGATCCATGGGCTCAACCGACCTTCCACTTTCTTCTGGGCAACCTTGGGGTCGCCGCCTGCCGAGTAGAGGTAGTATCCGGCACCGCCAGCGACGGCCAGGCCGGCAATCGTCAGTCCGCGTCTCGACATGGTGGTCGGTTTGGGATTGAAGTGGTTGAGAAAGGGAGGTCGTCTGGACGTGAATCGCTCAATGATGGAGTGAGTCTTAAGAGGGAGGAGGGTTGATTCGAGTACAAGGGAGGGAAGAAGAAGGAAGGGACGTCGTTCGTGTGGCATGATGAAGTCGTCGAGAAGAGCACCAGCGTGCATGGTAACTGTGACATCATTGGTGCCTCTGCAGGAAGTCGCCTGTGGCTGGTCGATGATGCTGACGATGACGATGCGGGGGAGCTCGAGCTGGATGCTTTCCGAGCAGCTGTCCAGTAGCCTCGTAGATCTTCTAGGCTTCTTTTAGGCGTCGAGATGGGCATCTAGCGCCGCGGTTTAACTAGCGCCCGGGCCTGTTGCAGCGACGCTCGCCAGCTTCTGCCCGCGCCGCCAACGCCACCTTGCTCATCGCCAAAAAACTTGCCTGCCTGCGCCTCCACGACGTCAACATTCGTGCACCTACAGTATTTCCTGGCCCGATGGCCACCACATTTCCTTCACCTCCTCTGTACACTCCTCAGCACCGCCATTAACGGCTTCCGACGCCTCCAACTCTACGGCCATCGACGAGTCTCCGTTATGAACCCATGTTGAGTGCCCCCGTCCACCCACCGTCGAGGAATGTCAAACAATGTCTCATCCCACGTCGCAACGCGTGTCCCGACCGTCGATGGTGCCTTTGGGGATCCTTATGATCACGAAATCGCCTTGATCGACGCCACCGATGCCGCGGACGCCCCCAAGCAAGACGGACCTCGACCGAGTTCCTCCAGCAAGTTGTCAAAGGTCCCCACCCGGGGCTTGGTCAAAGATCAGCTCGTCAAGCGGAAATATGCCAAATGGCAGGCGGAGCGCCTGGGGACGCAGTCGAGCTTGGACGGCCCGGACGAGGCCAGGCCAACCCCCGGGGGCGTAGAAGGTGGCGACCCCGCCCAGCCGACAGACACGGTGGATTTCGCTCACGACGGTGCGGTCAACCGCGGTCAAAAGAGTGCGGAAAAGAGACGGCGAGAGTCGAAGCGACTCAAACACCAGGTTCATGAGATTGACATCCTATATGAGAACCAACGCGGCTCGTTCTTCTGCGGCATCCCGCTCTACTCCCACTCCTCCCTCCTGCCCGTCGACCCCGGACCGTGGGTGAACAAGGACTTTCACGACTCGCCCGTCAACATCACAAACGCCCAAGTCCCCGATCCGAGCTGGGAATGGGCGTGGAAAACTTGGTACGTGGACATGAGTCACGACGTGGACGAAGAGGGGTGGCAATACTCGTTTTCCTTTGGACGCAACTTTTCCTGGCACGGCACGCATCCCTGGTTTCACTCCTTCGTCCGCCGCCGAAGGTGGCTCCGGAAGAGGGTCAAGAGGGACGACCAGACGCGCCGGGACCGGCCGGGGAGTCTGGGCGCCGCGCACCACCTCGCCGGCGATTACTTCACGATCCATTCGAAACGCGACCGGAGCCCGGCGAGCGTCGACGGGACCGCCAAAACCGCCCGCCCGGCCAGCTTTCTGAGCTACCAAAGCACCGTCGAGTCGGAAGGCCCTCCCGAGGACATCAAGGACATTGCCAGTCTGCTCAAAGCGCTCAAGCTCGCCACGGTCGACCGGGAAAAGATCGACGTGGTCAAGCGCTTCGTCAACCAGGCCGGCGACGAACTCCACTACCTGGGAGAACACATACCGGACGTCATGTCGTTCCTCGTCTTCCAGAACTCGCGGACACAGTTGCTCGCCCATCTTAAGAAGACGGCCGACGACGCCCGTCGGCACCGGCAGAAGCACGAGGACGAGCGACGGCCCGAGGGCGACGAGGAGAGTCGCCGAATCGACCATCTCGTCAAGGCGGTCGACGCCGCCAACGCCCAAATCGGCGGCCTGGAGTTCTGGAGCGACCGGAAACACGTGCTCAAGATCTCCGACGACAACGCCCTCGAGACGAGAGCCATCGCCACCATTTTCGACGCTCCGGCTCCCCAACCCGAGGTGGATGCAGATCCCGTCAAGGAAATCAAGGGCATTCCCAAATCTGCCGACTTGAACGGAGACAGGACGGCATCGGTGTTCCGTCAGCAGACGTCGCCGGTGGACGAACGCGAGAAGGAGAAGCAGCAAGACAAGGGCAAGGGCCGAGCGAGGGACCCCGACAATGAGGATGACGAGGTCGAAGCCGACTTGAAAGCGACCTCGACTCCCCGACTGCGGCCAGATCAACTCCTCGTCCCGGACCCAGATTAGGAATCTGCCGCGGCGTGGCAGCGGTGCATTGTACAATAGCGAAGGCGTTGGCGGACATTTTGGGTCGGCCATCGACCATTGGCCGCGATCATGTGACAATGGGGCATTTGGGAATTGACGAGGCTGGGCATTCAATTTAGCCAATCGGGCATAGCGTGATGTGGTGCACGCGTAGCGCGTCGACCGCGCGTTTTAACCAGTGGCCGGGCATGGACCAGCCCAGGGCACGGTCTCTTGTAGCTCAGATAAAGACCGAGGTCCCAGCTGAAGTCCGTCCAGGCGCAGTTACTTTGAACGCTTCTCGGAATCTGGTCGTGTTGCCTGCTCTCGTGCTCTCCGTCGATAATTCGATCTCACCCGTCTGGGTCGCTCCTTCCGTTTTTGTGTCCGACCATGGCGCCTTCCTCGCGAAGCGGCAACCGAGTCTCCAAGCGGCAGACGCTGCAGAATTCCACGAAAGTTTCCAGGTCGACGCGGTCCAAGGTTCAACTTGAAGCGGCCGTAAAAGAGGCCCCTCTCGGCGCGGTCGTCGGGCAAAAGAAGGTGGTCAAGAGCACGTCAAAGCGGAAACGCGACCTCGACGAGAGCGACAGCGAGGTCGATAGTCCTCACGTCGGGGTCACCACAACAAAAAAGGTACTGTGAGGTCGCTTGAGAATACCTCGAACCACCGCTGATCGGTTTCAGACAAAATTCCAGCTCGCAACACCGCCCGAGTCGGAGCGAGAAGACTCTATCGATGTCGACCCGTGCATTGACTTTTGTCAACTCTCGCTGAATCCTCGACGTGCCTCGGGACAAGATGGGAACAACGACCTCCCACCCGTCCTGCGCGACTTTGTCTCCATGCATGACGCTTTCCTCCGGTCATTTTCGCTGCATCGCGTCCACAACGGCCGATCCGCCCCGGCAGATCTCGGCCACCTGTTGACATCGGTGACCCGATTATGGAAGAAACGGACCGTCACCCAGGAGGACATTCAGCGCATGCTGGCCATATATGAGCTCGACGCCTCGAGCGACGTCGTCTCGGGGCAACTGCTGCGACACCAAGACAGCCCGTTCCGATTGAACTTGAACGGCAGCGACGTCGTCCGATATAGCGTCGAGTATGTTCAAGAAACCCACGAATACGACGAAAAGAGGCTCCAGCAGTCTTACGAGGTCGAGATTGAGGCCGTGGCGATCGCTCAGCGCAAGAATTTGAGCGGCCTGCCGTCCAGAGACGGCCGCTCTTTGCCTCGACTGGAGTTCTCCGTCGGTCAGCAGACCCAGTCGCGCAAGGCGAAAGCTTCTGCGGCCCGGAGGGAGATCCTTGGGCTCTCGACGCAGGCTCAAAATCGACCGGGCGCCCAATTCTCGTCTCAGACAAGCTCGTCCAGCAGTCACCACGACTTGCAGACACCCCAAGTGGTCAAAGACCGGACCCTGTCACTGTTGGATCGCGTCCGAGCCAAAGCGCTCGCCAGTTCGTCGGCCGCCGCTCCGAGTCCGGAAGTCATTCTGCGCCGTCGCGCCGTGGGAAGGATCGGCGAGGTGGTGGACATTCTCCGACTGAAACAACAACAGAAGCTGGGGTCCAGCTTCGACTCTTCGGTGCATTCGAGTCCCGGCAAAGTCCGTGGCAAGGTTTCGTTCAGCCTCAAGCAACTCGTCAGTGACATCAAGGGGAGCTTGTCGATACCCATGGCCGACTCGGAGGTTCGAAAATGCTTTGAAGTTCTGGCTCAAGAATTGCCGGGGATGTGGTTGTCCATCCATACCGTGGGCATACTTCAAAGTATTGTGTTGAACGGGCCTGGTCCTAGTGGCGCCGAGGTCAAGAGAATTTTGGAAGAGAAGGAGCAGCATTGAAAGGTTCCGGGTGGGTGGATAGGGGTTCGGTGTTGGGATTGGGATTGGGATTGAGAGTTTCTAAGAGGCAGAGATTCTGCTGTTTAAGACAGATCCAGGAAAGGGCATCTGCTGTTCAAGACAGATCCAGGAAAGGGCATCTACTGTACAAAAAAGCACGGTTTTGAGTGTCGCTCGATGATCTCAAGTGCGGACGGATACTGGAAGATTAGATCCAGATGTGAATTAGAACCGAGAAGTTGAACCGGTCAACTTTGCAAAAATTAATTATTGCCGACCATGTTGTACCTGTGCACCGTTGGGTATCTGTGAAATGTACTCTCTGTACATATGAAAGCACCGCGCCGCTGCAAATTGCCCAATGGATGGTCGATCGGGCATGTACAATATATCTCGGTCCATCGACTGAAATCACTCTCCTTGGGTATCTCCGCAAAGAATTTCCGTGGTGACAGGATCTGCCACCGGCTCCAGCAGGAGGTGATTTGGGGGGGGGTGCTCAGGTAATCAACATCCAGCCGATTTACGAAGTCGACGGAGCACCGTGAGTGCCCTGCACGCCCAATTCCTTCACCTACGCCTCGTCCACGTCCGCCGCGCCGAGCGAGCCCGAAAGCCAACTCAATAGGCGGCACGAGCTGGACGTTCGTGCTTGGTGATCACGTACCATGCGTCTGTGTGAGAGAGAGGAGGGGGGAGGTCAGAGAGACGATGACAGGAGTAGTGGTAGTAGTGGTGGTGGTAGGTAGCGTCGCGTTTGAACGGTGTGTGTGGTAGTGGTGCGCCGCCGGGTCGAGGGGAGGGAGGGGAAGATGCCAGGGGACGAGTGAGTGGGTGCCAGAGGGGGGCGGAAAAAAAAAGAAGCAATGACTTACGGAGACAGCCTGGGATCCAGCCCAGGACGGTGAGGAGGATGTTGATGATGAAGTTGGAGTCGCATCCCGTCTTGAGGAAGACGGCCAAGGGAGGGAGAAAGATGGCGAGGAAGTACAGAAGAACGTCGCTCTGTGTCGTCGAGAGAGAGAGGGAGAGTTTATCAAGTCAGCAAACGTCGTGCGTTGGGTAGGAAGATGGGTAGGTATGGAGGTGTGTTGGAAAACTGTGCAGTCGTAGAGAGGGAGTGGACCAAAAGGTGAAATCATACAGTTGAAGAAGCTGGTCTGGACATGATGTGAAGATTGCGTCGGTAGAAACAGTAGGCCTGAGAGAGAGATATATATATAGAGAGATAGTGTCCGATTCGATGGTATTGTATGTGTCTGAGTTGAGGTCGTACAAGCAAGGTAGTGGTGGTGGTGTAAAGAGTTAGATGCCCAGGTCAAGCAAGTACTTGTTATGCCGAAAAGGTCTATATATATACTCTAACTTGTTGCAAGTAGTCTCGCTCTGAAGATCAGGTACCTCCGCATATGTACAAAGTAGTAGGCATTACTTTAGAGGTCACAAGTACTTCGTATAATGTCGAACGTATAAATACCTGTAATAGTGGCGCACTCGGATAGCACGGAGGGCCGTCGATGGCCGAGAAAACAAGATTCCAAGGCAGCCCGGCCGTTTCCTGTTTTTTTTTGTTGCAGCTAGATATTTTAGACTCCGATCGGCGACGACAAGGATATTTTATCGGTTTCCACGACGAAAGTACGTTGATACGAGGACTCAGCTTGGCCCCGGAGGGACTGACTGTGGCTTGGTTCCCGCGTGCACACGTCGTTACGTGTACTTGGAATGACGTCGACACTTTCCGGCTCGTGGTAGTCCCTACCAGGGCCCTGCCCGATACGAGTACGAGTACCGTATCTGAGCCACGGCCACGACCTTGGCCTGAAAGTCACACAACTGGTTCACCGGGCGAATCTTTTCCCGGGCCGTGTACGAGTACGAGTACGAGCCCGAGTTACTGTCACAGTGCTTGGCGGGAGCTTGACCGTCCCGAAGAGTCCTGAGATACCGACGTAAAGTAATCCCACCTAATTACCTGTAGATACCCGTCCCTCGTGCTCCTCCAGCATTGTACTCGTAGACACATGCCTCCCTACCTACCCACAACCACCTCTCGCCACCCATTGCTATGCAGTCGACGCGACCATGATCTGACTACCTTCCCCTTCTGGTAATGCCTTTTTGGCATTGGCGAGCCAATATCTCGTGAGAACCAAAATGTCAGCGAAAGGGCGCGTATTTCCCCACCCTAGAGATAACAACAACACCCTTCCTCACTCACGATGCCGGCGAGGCGCAACGAGTATACATTGTTCGAGGTAAGGTCATTGTTGGCGCGAGTAGACATTGCAATTCTCAATTGGTCGCTGGACATCTGTCGTGTTCAACTTCTCTCGCACCTTCTGACACCGACGTCGCCTTCACCATGTCTGGAGGAGCCCCTATCCCCGTCGCCGTCAAGGGCCATGAGATCCTCTGCCTCGAAGACATCAAAGAACGAGCAGACGCCAATCTCCCGGAAATGGCGAGAGGTGAGTTCGGCGCCACATTGGGCGACGTACCCTCCACCGTGCGTGAACCTCGCATCTGACCTCGATCCCTCTGTGGCTTCTCAGAATTCTACAACTCCGGCTCGACGTACCAGACCACCATCGCCGAGAACTCGTCCGCCTTCGGCAAGTATCGCCTCCTGTCGCGCGTGTTGGTCGACGTGTCCCAACTCACCACCCAGACCCAATGCCTCGGCCGGACGGTGAAGTTTCCCCTGGGCGTCTCCCCCGCCGGCCTCCAGGCCATGGCCCATCCCGACGGCGAACTTGCCACGTCCCGCGCCTGCGCGAAGATGGGCGTCAACATGGGCATCTCGAGCTTCGCCAACTACACCGTGCGCCAGATCGTGTCGGCCGGCCAGGCCCAGGCCGAGGCGGACGGCGTCGAACTCGGCGGGCCGCACTACGCGATGCAGCTGTACATGATGCGCGACCGGGCCAAGCAGGAGCGCATCATCGCGGCGGCCGAAGACGCCGGGTGCAAGGCCATCTTCCTCACGGCCGACAGCCCGGTGCTGGGCGTCCGGTTCAACGAGTGGCGCAACGACTTCCGCACCCCCGACGGCCTGGGCTTCCCCGTGCTCGAGTGGACGAGCGAGGCGATCCGTCAAGCCTCGCACGACACCGCCTTCATGTCGTTCAACGACGACACGCACAGCTGGGCCCGGGACATTGCGTGGCTGCGGTCGCGCACCAAGATGGAAATCTGGATCAAGGGCATCGTCGCGGCCGAGGACGTCGAGCTCGCCATCCAGCACGGCTGTGACGGCGTGCTCGTCAGCAACCACGGCGGGCGGCAGTTGGACGGCGTGCCTGCGACCTTGGACGCCCTCGTCGAGTGCGTCGACGCCGCCAAGGGGAGGATCCCCGTGCACATGGACGGCGGCGTGCGGAGAGGCAGCGACATCTTTGTCGCCCTCGCCCTCGGGGCACAGCACGTCTGGGTGGGGAGGCCGGCGATCTGGGGTTTGGGGTACAAGGGGCAGGAAGGGGTCGAGAAGATGCTCGCCGTGCTCTACGAGGACTTTCGGAGGTGCATGGCCCTGTGTGGGTGTCGAACCGTGGCCGACATCAAGCGGAGCTGTCTGAGGCGCATGGGGGTGGATGGGGTGTTGAGGCGGGTGGAGTGAGCGCCGACCTGGACGAGGAGGGGGCTGTTCGAGGGACGCGATGTGTGTGTGCAAGACTCAAACAGTCGACGAAACGAGGCTGAGATGTTGTCTACCTTGGCACAGACGTTGGAAGGGAACGAGCGGGTAGACCGAGATCTCTGCGACCGTTCGACATACGGTATGAAACTCACCGACTGAATGAGCACTCGCCAGGTTAGTCATCGGCCATATGCACTATATGTCGTTTGATATCTACGTGGTCAGTATTCAGTGGCCAGTATTCCAATGCGAGTAGTCATGTCGAGGACGGACGTCGCACGGAGTACCTTCACATGTGCTGCCGGCGCTAGTTTCCCCATCCGGCTAGTCTCTCGGGCTCACCGATTAACCACGGCACTAACCCAGAGGGTCTTGGCGCGCATGGGGCGTCGGTCGGCGCCAACTTGTCCTATTTGAGTCGGTCGGATCCTGCGCCAGTATCCAATTTTCTCTCCCCAACGTCCCGATCGATGAAACGCCGGCCGTCACTTATCGTGTCTTCTATCGACAGCAGCGTCCGTGACATCAGGTCCAGACTTTCATCGATAACGCTCGATACTCCCACGGGCCTTTTATCGGGCCCCCTAAAAATCCCTCGCGCCAATTACACCGAGCCATGACTCCATCTGCTGTTCCCAACCAACCGTGTTCAGTGTTGGCTACCAGACGGCGGTATCTCTGCCCAAAGGAAACACTTGCCACATGCTGACTCCTGGGTCTTGTCACGGCCAATGAGGCGCCGCTTATCTAAAATGAGGCTCCAGATCCAAGGATTTTCCATCCGATAACACAGATCCAGGGTGTCCGCGCAGACGCACGTGTGTGTGATATGGTATTGCGTGTGGGTAGGTGCGGTCAGGTATACCTCGCATTCAAGAATAGCCTCAATCTCTCTGTCCCTTCGCGCCTCCTGGTCTCTTCTTTTCCCTCCTCTCGTTTCCCATCCACGTGAGTCCATCTTCGCCCTATACCCTTCGCCGGACGCCAGGCTGCTCGAGATCTCCCCGTGTCTTGCGTGCGCCTTCTGTGTCATTTTCCCCTTCGTGGAGTCACCCTCGCCCGCCATGTTCGACTTCCTCGACACCCTCGATCGTGGTCTGCCCTCGGAGCGACGTGGCTACCCAACGAGACCCGTGTCCCTCCCCACGTCACGGACCAACAGTACCACCTCGATCAGCTCGCTGAGATCCGAGCCGGCGAAGGCCAAATCTTCCGGTGGCGGCTTCGGGCATTTCTTCAAGAGCAAGAAGGACAAGAAAGACGGCGGCGACAAGGTGGTGGTCCTCACCTCCCAACACGCCGCCGCGGTGCGGGCCAAGCTGGCCCGAGACCCCAAGTTCGACAAGTACCGAAAGTCGGACAAGAACCACAAAGTCGCCGGCCCGAGGGTGGTCGGGTCGCAGAACTCCCTCCACCTGACCGCCGAGCAGCAGGAGCTGAGGCACCCGCACTCCGGCCCGCCCGCGCTGTCTCCGCCGGGCGACAAGTGCGACCTGCCCGTCCTCGCCCGCGTCATCAGCGGCGACGAAGTCGACGAGCCGGACCAGTGGGAACGCATGCGCGACGAGTGGAAGCAGAGCAAGATCCCCGACGTGCACATGCTGCAGGTCATCGAGGGTCAAGGCCTGGAGAGCGGCTCGTCGTCCGGGACCACCACGCCGCGGGAAGTGTATGCGGCCGAGGTGTGTCTCCGAGATGACCACTTCAAGTTGCTGGACGCGATGAAGTCGGCGACGGAGAGACCGAGGCCGCAGCGGCGAATCACGCCCATCGGCAGCAGATACACCAAGGACGAACGAGGCGTGTGGAAGAAGTGAGCGGGGAGAGAGAAACGTATTATCGCTCGCTATTTTTCATGTGGCGTGGCGCGCGTGCTTCATTCGCTTGTCGTACCCACGAAGGCTGCGTTGTCGAGAGACGACGTGGAGCGAGAAAGTATCGAGAGCGCGTTCCCTACCGCCGCATTCGCACGGTGTGTTTGTTCTAGGTCGAGATGACGAATACGAGTGCATTTCGCACGCCGTGTACCGAGAAGGCAACCGCGACCGCGTTTTACTTTTATACCCTGTTTACGCCACGAACGAATTGCGATTTACCACGATCACGCAGATACACAGCCCGGGCAGTCGGGCTGAAGGGTTGCCAGTCACTATCGCTCTGAGAGAGCAAGTCCACCTTGTGCAGCCGCGCAGGTCGGCTCGAGGGAAAGGGGGAATGGGGGAATGGGAGTTGGAATGGATATGGACATGGACCCGAGACAAGGCAGAGAGAGAGACGGGGACAGAGGCAAAGGCAAAGGTCGAATAGAGACTATAGTTCCAATGCCATGGTAGTAGTAACCTCTGACAAGGGAGATGACGAAATGAATCACGAGGCTTGAAAACCAACCCTACTTACTATCTGTCTACGTATGTCTCCAAAAGGCCTACGGGCCATACGTGGCGACACCCGGGTACCGGATACCTTTCTCATCTCTCACGAGGACCGTCGTAACCAACTACTTGAGACATACATTACAATAGGTACCTCAGTAGCAGACTACATCCATGACATGGCGATTGGAGTTCCGGGGAGTTAGCTTCAACGGGTACCCAGGAGGAATTATGGAAGAATTGTTTATTTACCTCGCGTAGCCATACGTTTCCAAGGCGTAAATGGCAACATGATCACCGGGGTGGGTAGCGAAGAGACGAATAAATAACAAATGACAAAGCCGATAAAACACACAGAGTGCCTTGGAAGGACTGTGGGGGGCGGAGTGTGTACTCACACCTCAAAGCCGAATATATATTCTTCCATACGACCACGTCAAATAAAAGACTCACGACAATTCTCCTCGATACACACATTCACCATGTCACCGCTTCCTTACCTTCTCCCGTATCTACAGTACCACTTACTCTGCGTGCATGTCCTGTCGTGCACGTTCACCTCTTACTGCCGACCGACTCTTCATTTCTCCGGTCTACCTGACTCAGTACGTACCTCGTTGAGTACCTACATGCTCTCCGTACCTTTCTCGTTCTTCTTTTCTACTTCCCACTTCCTCAAATCAGAACCCCGTCAGATAGTCAGTTTCGGCAGTGCATCTCATCTTTCATACGCTGTTCTCTGTGGCACACATCTCTTTCCGGATCCGTCTCTTATTATTAGTCGTGACCTTCCCCCTCGATACTCCGTGAACCGAACCCGATAGTGTCTTTCTAAGGAGTAAAATCTGTTTCCCCCCATCCTAAACGCCACGCTGATGCTCGCTGGAACTGTTCAAAACAACTCATCGCGTAAAACCGAAAAAATACATGGTGGTCTCGGACATGACGTTGTCGGGACCTTCGTGGAAGTAATCCGGGGTCGCCGTCAACTTTTCTTTTCATTCCTTCACCCGACCGCCCTCTTCGAGTCTTTCCTCCTCTCGCTTCCTCGACCGGTCCCGAGATCGTTCCCTTATCACCTGCTTCTCTTGGAACTGGTCCTTCAGGTTCTCCCGGGTGAGGCCCTGGATCGTGTTCAACCTCTCGAGCCCCAAGCCTTCAATGTCGGCCTCTTCGTCCATGCGGCTCCTGACACGACACAGGTTGACCTGGGCGTCTTGCTTTTCGTCCTCGTCGCCGGTCTGCATCGCCAGTCGCAATCGCTCTTCGGCCTTTTTCTTCTTTCGTTCCTGTCGTTCCTCGTTCTCGCGCATCTCCCGGATCATGGTGGACCGCTCGCGGATCTTCCGGCCGTACCGGTAGAACAGGAACGGAATCGGGATGATCACCACCTCCAGCAGTCCCAACAGCGTCCCGGCCCAATTCGCGCCGAGGGCACGGTACAACGGCGGGCCCGCCAGTGGGAGTGCTCCGCCCATGATCGACCTCATCACCGCGTTACCGGCCATCGCGCTCGCCGCGTAGATCCCGTAACTGTACGCCAGATAGTTTCCAGAGTAGATGAACACGGCGGCGTTTCCGCATCCAAAGGGGATACCGGCGGCGATCGGCAGGGCCCAGTGGATGTTGGTCGGGTAGCAGGTCCAGGCGAACCACAGTTCGCCCGCGGGAATGAGGACGGCCGCTATGCAGACGATACTCAACATCGCCTCGGGCGGGACGTTCCCATTCTCATCGCGCTTGTGCGAGTTGATCATTTTCTTAACGGGCGACGCCAGGCAGATCATCAGCATGGTGCCAATTCCGATCCCCATGAACGAAAGTCCGCTGAGACCGACAGACCAGCCGCGTTCCTCGGTGAAGACGATGGGGTACGCCACGAAACAAAGATACAAGATTCCTGGTGTCTGGTGATTAGTCGAGGGACAAAGGGAACGGGAAACTTCCGAGCGGCTTACCGTAGACGAGCGAGATGTACACGTTCCAGAAGATGCAAATGGGCTCCTTGACCGCCATGATAAACGGTCGGCTCAGATTGATCTTCATCAGCTCGACAAAGCCCACACGCACGTCGTACCGACTCCAATACCGGTTGTCCTGCTCTTCACGTCGCAGTTTCTTGGCCTTGCGCTGCAACAGCACCGGTGCGTAGGTCTCTTTGAACATCAACAAGAACACAAACGCCACACCCGACCAGATCATGGCGATCCAATTCGTCCAGCGCCAACCGAGTGATTGCGTGACGAACCCGCCAATCGTAGGGCCGACCACAGGCCCATTCATCGGACCGATACTCCAGATCGAAAAGGCCGTACCCCGCCACTCGTCGTTGATGAGGTCTGCTATCGAGCCCGGGGCGTTTGCGATCAACGCACTCGCGAAGATGGCGCCAAAGAACCGCGCGACAATGATGCTCGTGATGTCTTGTGAGAGCGCCGCGGGGATGACCAGGATCGTGAACATGGCTGAACATACGATGTACACGGGTTTCCGCCCGTAGGTCTCTGCGATGGGGGCCACGATCAAACACCCAATCGCCAGGCCGAGGAGGTAAAACGTGACGCCCAAGGTCGCGACGGCCTCTGATTTGACACCGAACTCGACCATCATCTGCGCCATGCCAGACGTATAGGAGGTCGAGTACATGACCACGCCCAGTGTACCGAACGACAGAGCAAACAGGCCCATGGACTTGTACCAGAGCGGCCAGTTACGAGGGTCGTCCGGGTCATCGGCCGCGAAGTCGACCTCGTACCGTGGGTCGGAGGTGTATGAGGTACCACGAGTCGTGATTCTCGAAACGGTGCGGGCCAACGACTGGGACTGTGAACGACGCGACGTCTGTGTCGCGGTCTGAGTGAGTGCTCGTCCCTCATGGTCGGAGTCACACGACGAAGGGGATCGGCCGGCGGAGGATCCTGAGTGAAAGTCCTCGGAAGGTATGGAGCTGGGAGGTTGTTGCGTCTGAGATGGCGAGTCATGTTGCGAGACAACCACGGGAGGGACAGACGGTCTGTCGGGGGTAGCCATGGTGTAAGAAAGGAATAGCTGTGGTCATGCGAGAAGGAAGCGAGAGAGCAGGGCGAAGGAGAGAGAGTACGTGGTCGATGGTCGAGTAATTCACACGAAGGGCGCGGTCAACGCATGCATGAGGACTGAAGCACGTCAAGAATGAGGTGGTATTCTTGCGGAGATCGACGAACCAACCGACAAAAAAAACTGTTTAGGCTTGAGAGAAAAAAGAGGGATACAATTGCGAGGGTTCCACGTCAGTGACCGACACCGAGTCAACATTCTGCTTCGTGACGGCGGCCACAGGACATAAGGCAAAAGATCCCCTGGAAGTCTAAGTGTATCCAAGAGTTTTTCTCCGGAAAAGATGCCGTGCAGGCCAGTAAGATGGAGCGAGGACCTTGGTCGGCGGGCCACGCGAGCATGGGGCATCATGGCGTTTTGGAGAGACCGTACAACAGCGGTGGGACGATGCTTCCCTTTGCCCCGGGGATGTCGATGGTCTTTTTAAAGTGTGACTGAGAACGAGGACTGGACTCTCAGCGATTCTCTTCCATCCTGCCGGCACTCAGGTTATGTATGGACCAACCTGACAAAAAACACCGACGCGGAAGACGAGGGGAGTGGTTGGAGACAGCGACGACGGCGCTGACGGCGTTAACGGCAGTGGGGTCGCCGAGAACGCGGAATTGAAGCTGGATAGATATCCTGATCTCTGGTGATTTGTAGTCACTCACGCGAGTTCACGGTGGCAGAGTGGGTGAGTGGGTGAGTCAGCGAGTGGCCTGAAAGCGCAAAAGATTTTTCCCCTCATCGGCGTCCAGTGCGGCAATTTGCTCCTTTCTGGATCTTGCCTCGGCTTTCTCTTTCCGGCAGCCCTCAATAACCACCACAATACTGATACGCTTGTGCGGATTGCTCACGAGCGTCAACAGAGTCATTGGTTCACTATTCAGTAGTGAGAGTCGCAAATTGACATGCTCATGACTGTTACTACGGACAATCTCTACAGTGGCGTCGACGCCGAATATAGTTTGGCACACGGTCGTAATACCAGCACAACCTCCTTATATTCGCTAGGTTATTCTGGTTGTATACTGTATTTGTTTCTATGTAGAAGAGCTCCAAGTTATGGAACACATGTTTCCTTCGACGGTCACACTTACGGGTAGTGAAAATACAGCACGGAGCAACGAATGCAGCAAAGGTCGGGCTTCGGTCGGCGTCTTGGACTTTGATCCTGCACAGAAAGTGTATCATGGGTTGCAGATGCACAACGCATAAATGTGAGATTCACGAGTGCATGATACCATGTTATATGTCTCAACGACCAAACTCTACATCCACTGATCAATGGTATTGATACCTTTCACGGTCGCATCTAGGTGGCGGCAGTCTCTTTGTGTTCTGGCGGGAATAACGATCAATGCGATACGTTCTCATTACCTCCCGGCATGATGCATGGAATCGCAGCAAACTTACGTTTACCATTTCGCGGGCGACAATGACCGGATATCATCTCCATTGGTCTCAGGTAGGTTTCTCCTTGACGATGCAACGTCGTGCCCTCACACAGAGGCTGTCTCAGCCCCCCAATCTGCCGACCAGATCTCAAGGACACCTATTCCGACGTGAAATTGAATGCGCAGTTGGATTCCCTGAGGCATCTTTCTTGTGCCCTTTGCAACCGACCAAACGTTACCACTTCACTTTCAGAATGGGCTCTTACCGTAAACGACGTCAATCACCGGAAAGTGACGAAGAGTTTCGGGAATCAACACCTACTCCTTCAGACACTGATGAGTCTGTGGTGTCAGTCCCTAAGTTGAAAAAACACTCGAGCAAACGTCGCAAACAAGAAGAGCGAGACGACCCGCGAGACCGTCCATCGACCATTCTGCTTCACCAGGGGATGGCGAGCGAGTACTCTTCGGACAACCTGAAGTTGCGGCGGCTCTTGTGCAGCGTCTTTTCAGACCATCTGAATTCGTGTGTAGAGGAGAAGAGCCCCCGGACAGGGGAGGATGACGAGGATGAAGGCGACGACGGTGGGGACGGTGACTGTGAGGGTGACAGTGATGGCGAGCATGCCACTGATGAGGAGGAGATGAGCGAAGACGGGAAAGAGTCCTGATGCTTCCTGGTGCCATGATCCATCAAAGTGAAGGCGAATGGATGACATTCGTGGAGACGTTGTCACGGTTATGTTTCCGGAGCGGGAGACAGTCGTTCCTGAGTGTTATTCTTCGTCCCTGTTGGGAAAGTTTGGTCATAGCTAGGTGACTGGGAGACCTTGTCAGCATCCGTCATGATAGCTTCGTATCTGTACTCGTACGCTGTACCTGCTATTCAGTCACGTCCTATATGTGACGAACGTTTCCCGCCGCGCTCAGACGGCGAAGACTTGCCGAACACTGACTACCTTGCTGTACGGGATAAGTCTTGTAGATAATGAACAGTGGCATCCTACCATATGTTCTAGGTACTTTCCCATTTCCGCAGCTATGCTATCACAGAGGAATCCAATAACGGCTCGAAGTATCTGAAACTCCCTATACTGGAAAGTGGGTGTGAACGACAATGGGTAAATTGTACGTACCTCACCTTACATGAGGATGAAAACTCGTACAACGCCCACACTCGGGCTACCTCCCCCATAATTGTCCACTAGCGCCAATCATGGAGCTATGAGTATCATACATTTATATTATTGCGTGCCTAAAATTCTGTCAATAATCCCTGGGTTCAGGTGATGCGGCCGACTGGCCCAATGGCAAGGCGCTTGACTACGAAACACGAACCAAAACGTGTGCAATCAAGAGATTGCAGGTTCGATCCCTGCGTACGGATTATCCTCCTTCTTGTAAAGATTTTATTACTTACAATCATCAGGTCGGTCAACATCTCGACTATACAAGTCTCACTTTCTTTTTTGCCTTTTTGAACTTCACATCATTCATTAACTATGTTCAAGTGTCAACACGAGATATATCTCTATACATCTTAACGACAATAGAAATGAGAAAGGAATGTCTGAATAAGATTTTGCATGCACCATTCACATTAAATGATTCTTGTGAGAGATAAATGGCGACCATAAATTCTTGTCCTACGACTGGTACAGCAACCGACATAAGAATTCCGGCAGTCACATTCTCGACTCACGTTGTATTCATCCATGGTGATGCCTTGAATATGAGGCGTTAACCCTGCCTCAAGAGCCCTTGTCCAAAGCGATCATCACCTCAAAGTGTCATTGCATTGTCGATTGACGGACCACTGTCCTAATTTCGGTCGACGTCATCGTGACCAGAATGTCGAAAGACAGAAATCCAGTATCGGCATCACGGAATAGTGGATTGCTTTGGCGCCGGAAAACGGACCCGTGCCCAAGCGTCTGCCATTGACGACTCCTAACTCTTCAAGCCTTGGAGGTATGCCATGCCTGGTGCAAGGCCATGTCCAAGCTCAGCTCCATGACCATGGAAGAGTAACAGTTCTCTTCCCAAATGGAGCGAAGCTTCTTCTCGTTCAGCACGGGCTTTGTGGTGAGGGGGTGGCTGGTAGAGTATTCTTGCGACTCAAACCACTCCGGACACGACCCAATGGCAGGGTTTTCACAGTAAAGCTGCCTCCACGACTGATGTTTGCCCACAAAGAGGTCCAACTGGAAGGACTGTATGTTGTAGCCTCGACGGAGCAGAGCACAGAGGTATCCACAGATTCCGATGAATTGTACTTTGGTGGTGTCCCACGGTGGTGGGTTCTTGCCGCGACTGAACTTCTTACAGGTAGATAATCCAGGCGAGACCAACACAGACTTCCGTTGACAGGTCGATCACTTTCAGGCCATCCTTCAACTACATGAGCAATCATGTCTACTCAGTCCAATGAACTGTGGTCTTGTGGTGCTCGATTCAAGCCGCACCTGTAGTCTTACCGGTGTCCGGACCTCTCATCTTGCAGATCTCAACGGGCTAGATTCCCACGGCCCCCGAAACCATCCAATGACCATCGAGGGACGGGACAGGGGACTGAGTCTCGATCAGATCTGAGCTCGAGACTCATGCATTAAGGTTCCCTCGAACCGAGATCTCAACAGCGATAACGCGGGGTACGCTTGGTCGATCAAGTACGGGTATATGAAGCCGACAAGGGTGCTCTGAAAGAGGTCTCCTGCTGACATCCTTCCTCCAACCGACCACCTAACTAGATACCTCCTCCGCCAGCAATCGCTTTTCGATATGCTTGAAGTCTATCTTGACCCGTGTACGGTCAACAGTAGGAAGGTGTTGGCTGGCCTGAACCTGCTTGGAACCGAGTACCAGCTCAACCATGTCGACTATTTCAAAGGCGAGCACAAGAGCGACGAGTACAAGAAGATCAACCCACACGCGACCGTGCCAGCCGCGAGAGATGGCGATCTGGTCATCACAGAGTCAAATGCCATTCTGCAATACGTCGCCGAGGACAGTGGATCTGTCTACCCGAAAGACGCAAAGCAACGCTGCGCTGTCAATCGCTGGCTGCTCTGGGAAGCCTCTGTCTGGTTCCAGAGCTGCTACGTGTATTTGATACAGAATGTCGCGCAGCCCCTGTTTGGTGCCGAGCCGGACCAGTCTGCCATCGACGCCGAAGCTCCCAACTGGCACAAGTCAGCCGCGATCCTTGACAACCAACTTGCAAAGAGCAAATGGCTCACGGGTGACGACGTGACCATCGCAGACATTGCGGTGGCTGCTCCCATGCATCTCCACAAAGCTTCACGCTTGCCTCTTGATCAGTACCCGAACTTGAAACGCTGGATGACCGAGCAGGTCGAAGCCTTGCCGTGCTGGCAAAAGACGCAAGCGGCGGTCGATAAAGCACTGTTGCCAGGTAAGGCTGACACCAATGGCACGGCCGGCAAAGGTCAGGTCAGGGCTAATTTCAACTACACAAAGGAGGTGCAACAAACAACTGAGATCTACTTTTACGAAACCGATGTAGTGCGGGACATCCACGAGCCCGGAGATGATCCACGGGAGATGGTCGTGACAGACGGGTGGTCTCAAGCAGACCAGTTCTCCGCCGACAGAGAAGGGTTCTCGCTGCACAAATTCCCCACCCAACAGACAGCCTGGGACGATGACGAAGGGGTTCGAGAGGAATTCTATCCGGAGGTCGTCGAGTTTGTGAAAGGCGCCACGGGGGCCAAGCGCGTGCTTGTCTTTGATCACACGATTCGTACAAAGCGCAACGAGAGCAAGAAACTGACACAAGAGAGCAATACCTCCCAGCGGGCACCCGTCATGCTGGTGCACTGCGACTACACGGCTGAATCTGGCCCGGTGCGTGTCCGGCAGCTATTGAAGGATGAGGCGGATGATCTGCTGTCTCGTCGTGTTGCTTTTTTCAACGTCTGGAAACCGCTCAATGTCGTTGAAGAGCGGCCTCTGGCAATGTGTGATGTCGGCTCGTCGCCCATGGAGGACTTTTTCAAGCTGTTTCTGCACTACCGTGACCGCACAGGGGAGAATTACGTGATGCGATACTCGCCCAACCACAAGTGGTATTACTTCCCGAAGATGAAGCCTGATCAGGCCATCCTGTTGAAGACCTACGACTCCGAGACTGATGGGAGAGCTCGATTTGTCGGTCATAGTGCCTTTGAGGATCCAACTTCAGACGCAAACGCCCCTTTTAGGGAGAGCATCGAGGTCAGGACAATTGCTTTCTTTTAGTATGTCTCCAGGTCCGGAAGTGGCTTGACTTTAGAGTTTCGTAATGTATCATTTCAGGTGGTATTATTATCTTTGTCGATTGACGACTTTCTCGCCAGTGAGCAATCCTTACAATGGTGGTTCTTTACTGCAACCAAGATTTTTACTCCTATTCTGTTGATGCGGACCGAGGCACACGACTCTCTTGCCTGCCATCCGTCACAGGACAGCGAGTTGATGAGTCCGCCCTAGTGGAACAAGACACATCACTCCTGAATGTGGTTCGCGTACGCAGTACGACGAATAGAACCAACGTGGATTATCGTACGCGTAGAACCCCCCACCCATGACTTACCTATACTCGTAGACAGTTCTGACCCAGTTGAGAAAACTGCGGCGTGTGGACGGAATTGAGGCGGTGGCCTGTTGCGGCACGTGTGGCTGGTGGGCCGGTACTAACTGAGTTACTGCCACCATTAACCAGAAGTCTCGTAACCGACCAGTGACCACGACAACCACTACAATCACAACAACCGCCCTCCGCGTTAACTACGGTCACAACATGTACAGGCTCCCATCCAAGGTTGTGCTATCTGCCAACCACCCGGCCCATCGCATCACGGCGGCTTTCTATGAATTGTAAAGCTGTCCTCTCGGCTTCAACCCGAGTTCTGTGAGAAATGGCAGAAACCCGAGTCAAGGCCGCGCCGGTTCGGGCTGGGTTCGCGCAGGCCTGTGACGCACGTCGACGGCGCAAGGTGCGATGCGATCGTAGCGAGCACTGCAAGAATTGTGTGCACGCTGGCCTTCCATGTGTCTACAGCGATCGCAAGGATGCTGCAAGGTCACGGATGTCTATCGTTCGAGGAGGAGTCATTGCAATGTGTAAAACCGCGAAAGACCAGCAACGGCATGCGTCGGTGACATCAATCAGGACGAACTCGACTAGTACCAGCACCCAAGCTCTGCTGTCCATGTTCCCCAAGACTTATTTTTTGGATCTCATCAACGACTACTACACGTACGTGTTCCCTACGGTCCCCGTCATTGGGCGCGAGGAGTTTCGGCAAGCAATCAGGAATATGGCCTGTTCCAACCACGATACTGCTCTGGTGTTTTGTCTGGCGGCCCAAACCATTTACCTATCTCGTGCCTTCAGCTCGCGGCCTCCAGTCACCAAGGACGATGTCAGGACACTGTTCGAGATGACCTTGCGAGCCCGAGAACCCTTACTCAGCGTGCAGCAAATAACCTCGGCTTCGGTGCTGGTATCCCTACTCGTATCTACAGGTATGATTGACACGTTCAAAGACCAGGCCATGGGGACGTACTATAATCGAGAGGCCATCGCTGGCCTGCAGGCGCTGCGGGTTGACGACAGCGAGCATCAAAGCTCTTTGGAGCCACAGGTCGCGGCTCAAAGGGAACGTCTCTACTGGATCGTCTTCATCCACGACCGATACCACTCGTTGCAGAACGACCAGCTGAGCAACCTTCCTCCATTGGCCTTCTGTACACCGCAGGGTCTCGGTGACGTGCCACCCGACACAGACACATGGCTGGATCAGGAGGTCAGACTCTTCAGGGTCGTGGATGACGACTTCCTGCGCTTCCACAAGGACAAAGGTGATCCCCGCCTCACGCGCGAGTGGATCGTCGAGAAACAACTACAGCTGGGCAGTGACGCTGAAGCGTGGATCCAGACGGTCCAGCAATTTTCTGAACTGCAACAGATGGACCTGATTGTCACGAATTACTGGTTGCGGACTGTGCTCTGGCGCATAGCCTTGTTTCGGTTCCCATTGATGTCCAACCAGGGAGATGCCCACCAGCGAATCTTGACCTTGGAATATCCGATGCACTTGTCCCGTCCACTCAGACATCTCTTGACCACCAGATCCCGAGCTGCAGTAGAGTTTCATGGAGAGGGTATGCTGCAGAAATTATTTGACATTACCTGCACCGTGGCAGACGTTTTGCTGAATGTGCTGGCCCACACGTGGGATGTCGGAACAAGGTCAGCACAGTTAGAAAACTTCGTTTTCCTCCACGCATTCCTACTCGGTATGTCCAGTTTGCCAGAAGCGAAGAGACGTGTACTACACGAAAAGATGGGGGAAGTGCAAACAGTCTTCCCAGAAATGGGTTGAATACAAAAGAGTGTCTCGATTCCCGTCACGCTTGGATCGAAAACGCCAAAGAACTGCCATCGAGTGGTTCATTCTGATCAAGAGTTAGGGCAGACGCTGGAATCCAGCGCCTTGCCACGTGGTGGACACAACATTTGAGCTCGCAACAAATGCCAGCTCCGACGCAAGCCATTCGTGCAACATCCTGAAGCCCGCTTTCCACGCAAACCCCTGCTCAGTCATGCAGGCAAAATATATGGATATTGGACAGCGGGGCCTCTAGGCATATACGCGCGAACAGATCACTGTTTAGCGACTTAAGGCCCTATAACACCTCCCTAAACTGGGGGGAAAGGTCAAATACTCCAGTTAAATGGGCTGGAGACATCGAAATCAAGTTCCCATCAACGGGGCAAGTCGGCACTATATCTGACGCCTTATATGTGCCTGAACTAGGTCTAAATCTATTAAGTCTGGGCCTATTGACTCAAAAAGGGGTCGATATCCAAATAAGACCTAATGAAATAGGTCTATATGGAAAAAGGGGCATTATAGCTGAAGGTTTTTATCTAAAGAACCTTATGGCTATAGCCACAGAACCCTCTAAACCTGAACCTGAGTACAATAACATAGAGACTCAAGACAATATATGGCACCTAAGCATGGGCCATATAAGTGAAAAGGCTATAAATCAACTAGGCAAAACCACTACAGGGTATAGAGAGGTTAAAACCCCTGGAACAGGCCTAAAAAGGTGCGAAACATGCCTAGAAACAAAGGTAATATCTAAGGTTAGTCGAGAACCTATATCTAGGGGCCCCAGAGGTCCTAGAAAAGGTCCACAGTGATATCTGTGGGCCTATATCCTCTGAAAAGAGATATTTTGTCTCTTTTATAGACGACAAATCACGAAGTTATGCGACTATCAGACGAGTTAGCGGCTCGGAATCTCCCTATTCCTATAAAGGTTATAGTGGTTTATGCCCTAAATAACCTAACCAGCGAATATGGAAATGCGGTGGCCATTATAGCTCAACACCTAAGGACTCACTGATCGAAAATATCGATTTAACAGCTATATTTAGCTATTTAATCGACGAAAATAGGCGCTTAGAGTCCTAAAGAGCCCAAGGAAATGGCTCTACCCTCAGAAGCGCCTAAAAAGGCTAAAAGCAAGCCTAAATGTGGCTTCTGTAAAAAGACAGGCCATTTAAAGGAAGAAAAGTGCTGGTTAAAGAACCCGCATGTAAAGCCCAAAAAGGACCCTAAAGGGGGCAATAAAGAAGAGACCCTTCTATCTCATGAGGAGTCTAAAGAGCCTGAAGAATTAGCCCTATCCATTAGCCCTATCCATGTATTTCTACAACCGACCTAAATCACCACAAGGTCACCCATCTAGCAGAGTGACCTTTTCACTTTCATGAACTTTGTTCGAACCTGGCGGAGATGAAGCTGTATTTGTCCCACCCGAAAGATCCAATTCCGCCTTCGCCAAAGCCTGCCTCCAGGCTTCCTCTGCTGATTAATTTGGGGCTCCGTATTCTCTCTCGACAGTGTGGGAATCAGGCTTTCCCGTCACTGCCTGTGACACAACCACCAAGTTGTCGGATTGGAATGGATCTACATGAACCTTGGTGAATTTCCGGGCACTGACGCGGTTTTCGAAGAGGACGTCAAGCTCGGCGTAGGTCAGGCTGTGATCGCAGGTCGTCAGTACCCACGAGACCGTGCATGCGGCGGTGTGAAAAGAACATACCCTTTCGGTTCTGGAAGGCGGAAATAAGTCCAGACCAAACCCAGCAAATTGATCCCGGCCCAGAACAGGGATGTTTTCGCACCCCAGTTCCACTGTATCTCCGTGTCAGTTGGTTTGTTTGAGCAGTCGCGAGGGGTGGCATGGGAATTCGGACGGAAACTTACTGCGGTTGGATTCATGAACTTTGGCTGCAGCAGACCGATCAATATGCCAGCCACGTTGTAGACGGTCCGAGAAATCACCACGGTCTTGATCTTGAGTCGGGTCGAGGGCATTTCGGCAACGAGCGAATAGCAGACTGGCCCCACGGTCAAGTCGTAGATGAAGGTCAAGAAGAGCATCAAGCCACCGATGGCCCAACCTGTTGGCGACGACAACTTTGGAATCCCAAGAAATCCGATGGCCAAGAGACCAACGAGCATGACGGCTTGGCCCCAGAGGTACAAGGTGCGCCGGCCAAAGTGAGGCATCAAGAACCAGGACAAAACGGTTCCCGCAAAGGCCAGAGCAGAATTTCCGACCCCCAAGTCGTAGGCACTACTCTTGGAGAGGCCGACTTGGGTCATGAAGTAAACTGCCCAACCGATCATGGCGGATCCGCACGTTTGCTGCATGAGCCAGGTCATGACGGTGACTTCGGTGCGTCGTAGGTCGGTGCCCTTGAAGCAGTCCGTGTACGCTGTGCCGGACGACTGTTGGATTTCCAGCTGATTTGTGTGTATCATCATGGCCAGTGTGTTTTCGACATTGAAAGACGTGTTTCTCTTGGAAGTCAGTCTGTTGAGCGCGGCACGGGCGGCGGGGATCTTGCCATGTCGCACCAGCCACCACGGGGATTCGGGGGCGAAGAAGCAGACTATGAAAACCGGAAGGGGCCAGATCCATTGAAGTGCGAAGGGAATGCGATAGGCCCACTGGCTGTTCATGGTCAAGACGCCTCGAAGGGTCCCCGCGCTGATGAGCTGACCGATGACCCAGCATCTGGGAACACAGACGTCTTTAGAATTTGGGGAGTCCAAAAGTGCTCGAGTGGTACACTTACAGGTTGACGTAGGTTGTCAGGTATGGACGCAGAGCCACCGGCATCACGTCCGAAGCATACGTCACGCTGATGGTCTGGAAGATGCCCCTGAATCAAAGAAGAGCAGTCAGTATACGGGGCAGAACGATCGAAAACGTCAAACCATACCAGGGCAACCCTGTCAAGCAGTAGCCTGCAAGCAACATCCTGATATCAGTGGCGAAAAAGGTGACCAGCAAAAAGAGCGTAATCGCAACCAAGGCCCCCATCATGGTGTAGCGGTACCCAATGCGATCAGACACCCAGCCGTTGAGTATGAGCCCGATCATCTGTGCGACCGTCGTCCCGGTGAATGCTTGTTGCCAAGAGGAGGAGACGACATAGCTCTCGACGCCATCCACCATTGCAAGGTGACCATACTTCTTTGCGAATGCCGGGAGTGTCCAGAAAGACCCGAGGAGGGCGGTGTCGTATCCTTCCATGATGACGGCGAGCGAGAGGCCAAAAGAAAAGAACACACCCATGGGGTACAGACGTACGGCTTCCAGAAACCCCATGGACTTTTCGTCATCGGCTCCGTGTTTGGCATCGGTCGTCAGATCAGCCAAATTGGGGACCGCGGCCGACAGCCTGCGAAGTGTCTCGTCGGCTTGATGCACCATTGGAGTTTCCGCGACACTTGCAGTGCCGGCGACCTTGGGCGCAGGTGCCAGAGATGATCTTCGACTGCCAGCATTGATGCTGTAAATTTGAGCGTCGTCCCCGTAGGCTGTGGTGTTGCTGGAAGGCGACATTTGCCGTGTCGTGTTGCTTTTTGAGTGACAGTGGGTTCGCTTGTATCGTCTTGAGCAGGCGGATCTGGGCCGAGTATCAAATTGTTATCGAGATGACGAGTGTTGATGACCTGGACTTCTGTAACTTATATATCTTTTCCTCCAGAGTCTGGAACTGTCTCTGTAAAGGTGCGGGCCCCTCGCGTTCGGCCCTTTTCGAGCATACTGCTCAGAGAATCGACACTTGCTCTCCAGCTGCAACATCTGGACAGAAAGCTGGGGCTCCGCCTTCGCCTCAATTCGTGCCCTCCACAGTGTGTTGTCCCCCGCCGAGGGAGCAGGTAGGCTTACATAGAATTCAGCGAACTCGGACCGAGATCCATTCTTGAGGTCTACGATGCCAAAGTCAAAAGTGTGGCTTGGACACGTCGCCGTCTGACCTGACTTGTAGGAAAGAACTCGGTCCGAGATCTCAGACGTGACTTAAAAGGCACTGACTGCGTTTGTCGTGGGATCGCGCTGAGTGGAGGATGCTGTGGAGACTCGGGCCGAGGTGCGCCTTGACCTTTTCAATCTTGACCTGCCTCTCTTCCTTTCCAGGACGAAGAAGATGATGAATGATAATCCGCTCGACTATTCGGTCGCCATGCAAGTCGATTGCGAATTCAAGCGAGTCAAATTGATTAAATCCGTCCGCCGCCCAATCCAGCGTGCCGTTGCTGCAGGGTTTACCAGCAAGGCGTTGCTTGACCGTAAAGTGCGGTGCTGGGCAAATTGGTAGGGTATATCAGCGTGCCGACCTGTCACCGTCATACGAGAAAAGTGATGCTGCGGTTCTTGATCACATCGCTCATTTTACAGACGACGCTCGCTTCGTCCGGACTACATCTCATGATGGACGGTTCCCTCATGGACCTGCGTTCAGGACAATTATCTCCACCTTACGACGGCGACGACGTAGTCTGTCGAGGCAGTTTACGGCCGCAGCTTCACTTCTCCGCGCCCAGGGGCTTCATCAATGATCCCAACGGGTTGTTCTTCGACGAGACCGAAGGCACCTGGCATCTCTACTATCAATACAACCCGACCGACACTGTAGCGGGAAACCAACACTGGGGCCACGCGACCTCTCACGATCTGTACGTGTGGGATCATCAGCCCATCGCGCTCAGTCCCGCCAGCGATGCCGAGGGGATCTTTAGCGGCAGCGTTGTTTTGGACCCGGACAACACGTCTGGGTTTTTCCCGGACCAGAAGAACGGCGTTCTGGCATACTATACGCTCAACACGGCTGACGAGGAGACGCAGCACGTGGCATACAGCCGAGACGGCGGTTACACGTTCACCAAGCACGCCGCCGGCAACCCCGTGCTGGCGATTGGGAGTCACGACTTTCGAGACCCGAAGGTGTTCTGGTACGGGGACCACTGGGTGATGGTGGTGGCGTGCGCGCGCGAGCACACCGTGGGCATTTACACCAGCCCAGATGGCCTCGAGTGGTCTCACGCGTCGAATTTCTCTCACACAGGCCTGCTGGGGTCGCAGTGGGAGTGCCCGAACTTGGTTCAAATGCCGGTCGAACGCGAAGACCAGCCCTTGTGGCTGATGTATATCTCGATCAACCCGGGCGCACCGCAGGGGGGGAGCATCGGACAGTACTTTGCGGGCCACTTCAACGGCACACACTTCACGCCGGTCGACTCTGCTGCGCGCATCGCCGACTGGGCCAAGGACAACTACGCCACGCAGTTCTTTTCTGGGATCCCTGCCGGCCACAAGCAAGTCAGTATCGCCTGGGCAAGTAACTGGCAATACACGAACAAAGTGCCCACCGGACCCACGGAAGGATGGGCGAGCGTCATGAGCCTCCCGCGCACGAATTGGCTGCGCAAGTCGCCGGACGGAACAGGATACACGCTCGTGTCGCTGCCGTACAATCTCGACGGCCTGCGCTCCCAGAACGCCCACGGCTGTGTCGAGCGTGAACTCGGGCGGTCAACTGGGCTCTCGCGGACCCGTGTCGACGGTCTACTGGCCCGAAAATCCGAGGGGGGCGACGGCAGCGGTGCGTTTCTCCTCGACGTCAAAGCGACCGGGCTCGACCTCAGATCTGCCCCCGGCGGATCCATCAATTTCACCATATTCTCGACGCTGTCGGGCGAGAAAATCACCGGAGGGGTTCGGTTCGAGGGGCCCAGCGGCGATGCGACCGTCTGGGTCGACCGGGGCGGGATCCGCGGCTGGGACAACCCGTTCTACACCAACCGGTTCTCGGCCGCGCATTTCCTCCCGCCGCCCGTGGTGTCGTTTGATTTCCAGATCGTCGTCGACCGGAGCATTCTCGAAATCTTCAGCGTGGACGGCGACAAGAGTGCCACGCTCATCTACTATCCGGAGCAGCTGCTGGATGCCGTCGACGTCGAGCTTGTGGACGTGAACGCAGAAGCCCGCGTCCACGTGCATCTTTATCCGCTGCGACCCACGGCATCCGGGGCGACGAACGGGCCTCGGATTGCGAATTGCATAGCTCCCTAGTTAGCTATAGATTGCCACTCCTTTTTTTTTGATGATGGAGGCCTTGTGTGAAACCTGGAGTTGTCCCGCAGCTTAGACTTTGTTAATCTAACGTTAGCTATTTGGGTTTAGTCCAGCCTCGCCAATCGCTTCTGGCTTATGGCTTATGCATGACCTGCCTCATGCGGCGGCCGCCTTGTGGATCCCTGGCTTATGGCTGCGGCTTATGCGCCATGCATGAGTTTGCCAGAGTACCCTCGATCGACCACCACCTTCGGCGTACTCGGTTTCCTGAGCTTGAAACACCACAACGGTGCAATGGACTCAAGAGTCCAGCTATATAAACGTCTCTTCCTCCGTGCCAAAGGGAGACCACCAGACAACCAGTGAAGTCCAGTCCAGTCCAGTCCAGTCTAGTCCAGTCTAGTCCAGTCTCGTCGAGTCTCGTCGCTATACTCGCCCTGCGACAACCCAAGACATTTACATCATCACAGCGTGTCCATCAAAGCAACCAACCTCTCTCTTCTCGTTACTTTCGTCTTGTCACTGCAATCATGGGTCTCGTGGAAATCAAACTGGTCGACCTCGCCGAGCCGGCCCGGCTTCTCCCAGAGGACAAACCCGTCGTGCTGGTCAACCTGATCAAGTTCAAGGCGCAGGCAACGTACCCCGAAGGCTCGCCTCACACGGCCATCCCGGGCCGCGAGGCATACTACACGCGCTACGTGGCGACCTTCAGCGAGATCTCCGCTTCTCTGGCTTCGACCCCGGACGACAAGTTCAAGCCGCTGTACCTCGGCAACGTCGTGGCGAACATGCTCGCGAAGCCGTACGGAGGCGACGAGTCCTTTGACATGGTCGGCATCATCCAGTACCGCAACTTTGGCGCGTTTAGGAAGGTCATCGAGAGCAAGGAGTACGAGGAGAGGGCTCTGCCGCACCGGCTGGCCAGCATCGAGGATTACAGATTGTACGTGGCGACGGAAATGAGTGTGTAGAGACGAGAATCTAAGTGGATAAGAGGATGGGCCGGCTCAGGCTTGTCACTTGATTCTGCCGTGCATTCCGGGGCAGCGTGGGAACCGGCAAGTCGTAAATTCTGTTCCAAGGTGGCCGTGTCAGGTCTGTAGACAAGCCGAATTTCAATGCTGGGTCGGTTGTTGGGAAGGAGGCTCGAAATAGAGAGAAGGCACCTATGAGTGGGTAGTCGGTGTGAGCCACACGGATCAATCGCGCCCAGCCCTTGTACTCGTACTCGTACCTATCTAGTTGCCAATTTTATCGCCTCTCCCTTGGCCCAGAGTATCTGTAACTCGGGTCAAGCTTCATCATTAAGGTCCGTTATCCTGCTCCCCCATGCAGCGCCCCAGCGCCACGAAGCCTGATGCTACGAGCTTCTGATACATCTCCCACGACGTTGGATGGGATGGCGCGAAAGCGGTCCAATCAGGGCGTGACAGGTTAACCAGTTGCGCCACATCGTGAAGATGGCGGGGTTGATTGTTCGATTCGACGTCAAACGAACTGACTGTAAGTATTCAATCCTGGCTTCAGATTTATTGTCGTAGCACCGTTCGCCGAGATTGTTATCCTCTTGCTGCCTTCAGACCCCGGAGCTGCAGCAGTGGCAGGCCCGCGCCGGCAGGATGTCCCTACCTACGTCAGGCTCAACAGGCGGCACCGGTGCCACTGGGGCCGCCGTGCCGCCGCAGACCAAGGACCAATCCACCGTTTCTTCGAAAGATCCTTGGGAGGAGGCTTTCGACACTCTAGACATTGAAACACAGAGCCAGTTCAAGAAGGATGACACAAATCTCTTGGGCATTCTACGCCAGGTGGGTAAAGGCTGAGCTACGTTGTTTGACGATAGGTAACCTGCAAACTCCAAACTCAAGCTGATACATTACTCTTTTTCGTTTAGATCCAGACAAGTACCGAGGAGAATAAAGCTCTTTGCCTTGAAAAGGGATGGAAGGCGTATCGCAATAAGAAAGGTGAAGACGTCAAGCTACGGCATGTCCTCGAGAAGATCTCGGCCTGGGTGACAGAAATCATCAGCATCGTCGAGGTACCGGTCTCATTCGATCCGAGCAGCCATGCAGCATTGCCTTGGGCGGTCATCAAGTTCCTCGTCACGGTAAGTCAGGTCCAGGCGGGTTCTTGTCTCTTCCACGAAGACGCTGGACTCTCTCATGTCTGGGTGAATATAGGTCGGCACCAACGATGTCGCAGTATTCAGCAATATGAGCGAATCCATTGAATCGGTCTCTCGTCTGATAGCGCGATATACAATCTTCGAAAAGCTTTATTTGCGTGAGGCGGACTGTGAATCTGGCCCGCAGCTTCATGAGGCTCTCCGGGAGCTCTACGCCGCAATACTCCGATATCTTGCAAATTCCAAACGATACTTTAGCGGTAATTCGATCAGTGCGTCTTATCAAGATATCAAAATCAATCCTCGGATACTCACGATTTTCTCTAGAAAGATTCGGTCGAAGCCTTGTGGAAATGCTTCGCAAGCAATACGACGATCTGTGGTCGAAGATCATCGAGGTCGACGTGGACTAATGGGCAGGATTGGTTGACGCCGAGTGTACGTTGTTGTTCCCGTCTTTGGTGCTGGTGAATCAAGCTAAGTATTTGGAAGTCCAGCGAAAGATGGCCAAAGACTCGGTGGCGTCCTATGAGACTCTCAGAGCTATGCTGCACAAGCTTGATCGGCCGATTATGCAGCTAGCTGACTCGCTGTCTGTTATACAAGATAGATTCAAGAGTAAGTCTCCATGCTCTCCTGTCTCATTGTCCGCAATAGTCATATTCTCTCAGGTGAAGAGAGGAAAGAGGTGTTCTTATGGATGTCGGAAATCGAGTATAGAGAACACCATCAGGACCTATCCAAGGATGTATTGCCCAACTCTGGGCAATGGTTGTTGAAAGGTCGCGAATACATCGAGTGGGGACAGTCGAGTGTGTCTTCCATACTCTGGCTTCATGGTATACGTGCGTGCCCTTCAAGCCATTCATATCTGGCGTCATGCTAACCCTATATACAGCTGGGTCAGGGAAAACAAAGCTCGTGTAAGTTGGCTGAGGAGAAGAGGACGCTGTTGTGCAGTCCAATTTCACACGCAAAACGGCTCAGAAATGGGAGACAGCTGTGTATGACAACAATCTTTGCTGACTGTTTGAATGCCGGGGCAGATCGACCGTCATCAACGACGTCTTCGAGGCCCACTCAAATATGATTGCACCTCCGATTGCCTTCTTTTACTGCGTCAGAAACGACGCTGAGCGGGAACGGGCATTGCCAGTCGAGATCCTGCGAGCCATATTAAGACAACTTTCCAGCACGCAGCCGGACCAGCCCATCAAGGAGCCAGTTGCCACGGAGTATGAAAGTCGCAAGAAGAAAGGCGATGAAGATTGTTCCAAAATCCGCAAGTTGACGGTTGAGGATTGCACCAGACTGATTCTTGCACTTACGAACCACAGTCCGGCAACGATCATCATCGACGCCCTCGACGAATGCGACGAATTCTTGCGTCACGAGCTCCTCGAAGCGCTGGACGAGATTGTAAGCAAATCTTCGCAAGTGGTCAAGGTATTTGTCTCAAGCCGGGATGATGTCGATATTGTAAGCTTTCTTCCCTTTCTTCCCGCAAGATTCTGGAAAATGAAGGGAGATGGTTCTCTACTAAGACTCCAATCTTGTGCTTCGATAGGAACTTCGTCTCCGGCAGTCGAAAAATATCTCCATCAGTGCGGATAAGAACGGCCAAGATATCGAACGGTTTATCGAGTCGGAAATTGACAAGTTGATTGCCAGAAAGCTCTTGCTGGATGGCAAGGTGTCCCCAAGGCTTAGAGGGAAGATGACCAAAGTTTTGAACAAGGGTGCCCAAGGCATGTTTCAGTGGGTTGCCCTATCACTCGACGTGTTGCGGCGGATCAAATTCAAGCCGGATTTTGAAAAGGCGTTGGGGCAATTGCCCGAGTCTCTGTCCGCCCTTTACGACACAATTCACGCGCGGATTGAGAAGACCGAGACCAACGGCCGTAGAGTGGCAGTGGCGACCTTGAGCTGGCTTCTCTGTGCCCAGCGCTTACTCTCTACGAGGGAGCTCGTTGCAGCCGTCTCTCTCGATGTTGAAGTAGACGACGAGACCCCGCCCGTGTCGTATAACACCGATCTTGATCCAGACGACGAGTTGTCAGACGCCGAATCGGAAGGGGAGCCCGGTTCAGTGTCCATAACCGATATCATTCGGTTGTGTCATAACCTGGTGATAGTTGATTCGGAGCTAGACGTCTTCCGCTTCTCGCACCAGTCGGTGCGAGAGTATCTCCAGTATCGGAATGATTATATCGCTGCGGAATTGCATGCGCTGGCCGTTGAGAGGTGTCTCCACGTCTATTTGGTGGGGGGAGTCATGTCGAGGTCTCCCGCCATCTCGACTGTAGTTTCTTGGGGAGATCTCCTCAAATCATACGCACGCTTGTACTGGCCCGCACACTATCAAGCTGCCGAAGAGATCATGTCGGCCATGCTCAAGGAGAGGATATTGCCATTCTTCGTGGAAGAGAAAAGGACATCATTAGCGTATACAACCTGGGCAAGAGAGATCAACTCCGAATATGCGGACAGAAGTGACATTTTCCGCGCCTTGGATTCGAAACGACGAGATCGTCTGGGCCATCGGATATGGTCTGCGGCGCTACGGCCACCATCGCCTTTCCGTGCAGCTTGTGCTTTTGGCCTTTTTTCTTTGCTGGAAGAACTGGACAAAGTCTCGCAGGATAGCTTGAATCAGCTTGCGTTGAGCGGTGACAAGCTCCATTTACTCCATATCGCAGCAAAAGAAGGCCACGGCCAAATTGTGGAACGGCTCCTCGGGGAAGGTTTCGATCCGGACACCAGGAATGAGTACGATGAAACGCCCTTGTTGTCAGCCGCGAAAGAAGGCAGAGAAGTAATTACGAAGGTATTGGTCAACAACGGCTCCAACTTGGAGGCATCAGACGAAGTTGGAACACCGTTAATATGGGCAGTAGTACGTGGAGACGAGGCGGCTGTCAAGATACTTCTCGAAAAAGGCGCCAACTTCGAGGCATCAGGGGCATTCGACATGACACCGTTAATGTCTGCAGCACAACAGGGAAACGAGGCGATTGTCAAGATGCTTCTCGAAAAAGGCGCCAATCTGGAGGCATTAGGGGCGAACGGCAGGACACCGTTAACGTATGCAGCAGAACTGGGAAACGATACGGCTGTCAGGATGCGTCTCGTGAATGGAGCAGATTTGGAATCGCCGGCCGAAGTACAAGGTTGGCCCGCACTGTTGTTGGTACCACACCCAGTAGATGTAGGGTTGGAGTGGCGAGGGCATAAGGAAGTGGTGATGATGCTTCTCAGAAAGGGTGTGATCCGAGACTCTAAGAATGAAGATTACGACGACATCCAGCTGTCGGTAGCGGCAAGGTTTGGGGACGAGGCTGCCGTCAGGGCCTTGGCTGACAAGGGCGCTGATCTAGAGTTTGTGGACGACATTCACGGCTTGGCGCCACTATCTTGGGCGATTCGAGGGGGCTTTGAGGCGATCGTAGAGTTCTTGGTGGAGAAAGGTGTCGATGTGGAGTCCAGAGACCACGGAGTATACGGGGGGACACAGCTGATATGGGCAATAATGACGGGCAACACAGCGGCGGCGAAGTTGTTACTGGAGAAAGGCGCCGATGTTGAGTCGAGGGATTGGAGGTACGGCTGGAGCCCGCTAACATGGGCGGTTGTCGACCGTCGGCGTTCGCTGGTAGAGCTGTTGCTGGAGAAAGGCGCCGACATCGAGTCGAAAGATCAATTCAAAGGTCGCACACCGCTATCGTGGGCAGCCGAGAGGGGTGAGGCAGCGACGATGAAGCTTCTACTCGAGAAGGGCGCCGACACCGAGTCAACAGATCAGGAAGACGGGTTGACACCGCTACTGTGGGCAGCGCGCGCTAGGCGTGAAGAGCTGTTCCGGCTCCTTCTTGACCAGGGTGCACGTCTCGAGGAAAGGAAATACAAGGGTGGGAGAACGCTGCTGTGGCAGGCGGTGGAAAACGGGTGGGAAGACATAGTTCAAATCCTCCTCGAAATGGGATTCGACGCCGACTCCAAGTACAACTTCTGGGGCCTCTCGCTGCGCGAATGGGCGGCAAAATCCAGGCAACAGTTGACGGACAGCATGTGGGCGCTGATCAATGCGGGCGTCGACGTCGAGACAGAGGACTCAGAGGAGAAGAGGAACGAAGAACCGTCCTTGAAGGCGCCAGAAATGGGACATGAGTGTTACGTTTCGCTCCACCCGGGGTATAAATTCTTGAACAAGTGGGAAGTATAGAAGGCGAGGTCACCGAGAGTGTAGTACAAGAGCGAGTACAAGAGCGAAGCAACCACGGCCCAAGACGGAGAGGTATTTCAATATAATCGTGAGCGAAGTTGACTAGTTAGTGAACCGCCCTGATTCTTAATGAGTCTCACCAATCCGCACTAATCATGTCAGTCGAGGTCGCGTGCTGCTCTGCCTCGATTATCCAGGTCACTCGCCTGATCTTCCACCCTTGGTTCATAGGCTGTCGTTACAGCTTCGTATGCGGCCTGTTGATCAGGCCGTCTTGTAATAATGAGGAAGAAGGGAGTGGACACGTCGCTCTGTGACAGAGACTGCCGATGATATGTTGTCACTATGTTGTTTGTCCTACTGAACACAAACATGTCGCACCGAATTTGTCAGGTCGAGGTTGTGAGCCTGTGGTGGATCGGGTACTCTCGCGTGTAGTACTTAGATCAGAGGTAGTTCGTCTCCGGTACCGTGAGGGCGTCGGCGAGTTGTTCCCCTGTCGTGATCTCTGTGACCTCTCACAACCCAGCAGTCATGGCGTATATCAACACACCCTCGCCGTTCTCCTGGATCCAGCCCTCCGAGTTGACCACGCCCTCGCCTATCCTGAACTGGTCGACCACCTTGAAGCCGAGATGGGCGTATACGTCTCTCGCGTGGTCGTTGGTCGCTTCGAGCCACGCGGGCAGGTTGTCCTCGCGGGCCTTTTCCAACATGGGACTGATCAATGCCCGAATGGCTCCTAGGTGGGCAATAACGGCACGCAGGTCAGAGTCAACACAACGACACAATGACAAATAGCACTTTGACAGATTTTCTTTTCTCCCCCGGAACGCGATCACTCGCACATCGCGTCTCGCCCATGTCCCGTAACCGTAACTGTACGTACCTCTGTCGGATCTATCTGGCATCCGCCCAATCAGGTTGAGATTCCAATGTAGTCGGTCGCCGAGGTGTTTCTTTTTGGCCTGCTTGACTTTCGTCGTGTACTCGAACACCCCCTCTGTGGCCGTGGTCGGGGGTTCGGGCTTTTCGACGCCGGGGGGGATCCTGATGAAACGAACGGCAGGTTAGGGCGAGCGTAATTCGTCAATCAGACTGAGAGAGAGACCGTTTGCGGAGGACGACAGCATGTGTTAACTTGCATGCAACCCCACACACACGCACACAAAACCAACCAACCCTCCGAATGACGGCCTTTTTTCAATGGGGGGTTGGGAATTGGTTTGTCTCGTCTTTGGATATTCGTTCGTCCGTTAGTTGAGGTACGTACCAGAGTGCCACCGCCGCGAAATCAGAACTCTGTAACAGCACAGACTCCCTTTCGAACCGCTTCTGCACGCCCGACAGCCAGTACTGCAGTCTCTCCTCGTGCTGCGAGAGCCTGGGGTGGTCAGGGCGAGATTCGCGGCCGAGGAACAGATATCGGTTCAGCTTGTCGTTGGCGAACGCTCTAGTGAGCACCTGGGCAAAGGGGACGAGTTCTTCTGGCTTTGTGACGCGGAGTGCCGGGCCTGCTACGGCCGTGAGTGCCATGATTTGAATGAACCCTTGTTGTCGGTTTGTTCTTTTTCTCTCAGAACAAAAAAAACAACAGCAAAAATGGCCCCCGAGGAACGAACCACCGAAATTCAAAAATCACATCAAGGTGTTTTTTTAATCAAAGAAAGAAAATTCCCAGTACAGGCGGGTGGGTGGGTTTCTTCGTGGTTACGACGACGTTCGCGACAAAAATGCTCCACGGTAAGAAAATAAGTAAGCAGAGTGACTCATGAAAGGAGGAACTTGGATATGGCGTCGTCGGAACTTTGTACAATTGTGCGATTGTGGGTCTGTGACTCCGCTCGAAAACTACCTGCCTAATGCGGATACAGATAACAGTTTACCTGCTTTAGATGGGGGACGTTCCGCAGGCAGGACGAGGTCAACTACTACAACTCTACAACACCACCTTCCAGAGTCACAACTAAGTACAAAAGATTCGCTCGCTCTCGGTCGACGACTCCCGCATCATCTCACAACTTGGCCTCGTTGCCCGCCTCTGCCTTTGCCATTTCTCTCATGATTCGCTTGAGTGCCTTGCCCGTGGCGTTTCGGGGCACCGCATCGACAAAACGGACTCCCCCCGTCAGTGACTTGTACTTGGCCAACTTCTCGTCACAGTACGATCTCACTTCGGCCTCGGTCAATTTCTTCCCCTCCGGCGTCGGTTTGCGTGCCACGTACGCTCGCGGCATTTCGACTTCCGGCTCGTCCATTTTCTGGATCCCGATCACGGCGGCGTCTTGGAGGTGAGGGTGCGCGAGCAGGACGCCCTCGATCTCGGCGGGAGCCACCTGGAACCCCCTCACCTTGATCAACTCCTTCTTGCGGTCGATGATGTACCACTTCTTGGTCCCGGCTTTGCAGTACATGACGTCGCCTGTCTTGAAGTACCCTTCGTCGTCGAACGAGTCGGCCGTCGCCGTGGGGTTGTCAAAGTAACTCGTGATGATCGTCGGACCTCGGATGCAGAGCTCGCCGGGAGTGTCGTAGGCCGTGATATCCTTGCCATCGTCGTCGATCAGTCTGGAGACGGGGTCAGCCCAGGTCAACAAATGAACAGAGAGCGCCAATTGCGCGGCTCACTTGATGTCCAGATTCGGTATCGGTCGGCCGACACTGCCCGTGTCGTCCTTTTCGGGGTAGTAGAACTTGGTGGCGACGCAGCTCGTCTCGGTCATGCCCCAGACCTGGGTGAAGGAGGTGTCGCCTCCCACGATGAGGAGCAGAGCATTCTGGTGCTCTTTGTCGAGCGGGCCGGCTCCGCAGAAGATCGCTTTGACGCCGGTCAAGTCGTAGTCGCGAATGCCGGGGAACTTCAGCATTGCCATGGCGACCGGAGGTACCAGGGTCATTTCGGTGATTCGGTACTTGGCGAGAGCTTCACACACAGGTTGCAGCTCGAACCGGCGCAGGACGTACGAGACGTGTCCCGCCCGCAACGGACTGACGTGGGCGCTGGGGACCATTGCCGCGTGGAAGAGTGGGAGGTACAGGAGGCGGCTAGGCTGCGAGGGAGACCGGTCAGGAACCGTGCTTGGTTCTACGGGTTACTAGACTCACCTCGTAGGAGGACGGGTTGTATTCGTACACCAACGTGTGCTGCGAGACGAGGTTGTAATGGGACAGCGCGGCGGCTTTGGGGAGACCGGTGGTGCCGCTGCTGAAGAGCCTTGCCGCCGTCGTGGTTCGCGACGTCCGCTCGTCGTCGAAGCGAACCCAGTCTCTCTCGCCATGGGCCAACAGACTTCTCCACGACACGAAGCCCGGTGGAATCGCCTCGTTTTGGGTGTCAAACATCATGATGCTCGATCGTGGTATGTCGCACTCCTTGGCGGCGGGAACGACGTTCGCAAGCAACTCGGGTTCTACGATCAGGAACTTGGCCTGGGATGTTTTGAAGTGGTGGGTGAGCTCGAACTGGGTGTACGCAGGGTTGGTGCCGGCAAAACAACCGCCGACGGCGACGATGCCCAAGAAGAGCATGGAGTAGTGTATCTGACCCGGTCAGCTTCAGAGGCCCAGGTTGCCGCGTCTCAGCTTACACTGTTGAAGCCATGGAGACAGACGCAGTCTCCAGGTCGGATGCCAGCTGCATGCAAGCCGGCGGCGAGCTGTCGTATGATTTTTCTGGCCTGGTTGCCGGAGATTGAGTTGGCCGGGTCCAAAGCATCGATGTAGACCTGAGGAGGGTGTCAACGGCCAGCACATCCGATTTCTTCTCCAGCATTGTTGCCGTGACGCGTGACGATGAGACTTACTGGCTTGTTCTGATCGAAGAGTGGCTCATCAAACATCCACGAGAGAATGTCTTTGTTGGAGATGGGGGCGGATTTCTCAGCGAGGAACGGCATTTTGACGATGAAGCTGGATGGTAATAATGGAAGGGCGCGGGTTTTCTCGCTGCAAAATCTCTGCCAGGTCCTTTCAAATTCAAAGAACTGAACCCCTGACTTAGTGCTGGACAAGGCCGACCGAGGGTTTGGACGCCTGAAAGCGACAATGATCCCGAGTCCTTACTCTGATCCACTCAGCAGCAAGAGTCAGGACCTCACTCAAAGATAGGACTGCGTAATGCCTGAGGTTGAGCCTCGAGTCTGCAGCTACAGTGTTCTCGGATTCGGACTGTCGGCGTCGACTGTGAAAGATGGTACAGCCCGGGTACTACGTAACGGGGTGGGTGAGGATGATGCTGGTGAATCAAGGCAAGGAATACGGTCGGTTCTTTGCAAGTTATGACGGTGAGCGGAACCCATCACGATCATTGGATCAAAGTCAGTCATCATTGTCTCTTCTAATACTTGGGTTAGTGTTGATGGCCGGCCGAGGTTCCCCTTCGGCTTTACGAGGCCACTGTCAATCCCCAAGAGGCACTAACCACCACCCCGGCTGGTGTTGAGTCAGTATCGTGGGGGCGACGCGGGGTAAGTTGACTACTCGTACTCGTAGTTGGTCGGTTCCGAGTCTTTCGTACCCGCACGCGTCGTATTCGTATCCCTTCTCTGTACCGGCCACTAGGCCGACCGCAACATGGTGGTCCTCAACGCCTGAGAAGCCACGCTCTGCACGACACCGTCCGTGTCGAAGCCGATGACAAACGCGTCGGTGGACAGGTTATCGTAGATGTTCTCGTCAATCTGGATCCAGTAGTCATTGTATTCTGCCCAAGGGTCTCCCGTGAAAGGCTCCCCGTCCGGGTTGACGAACGAGTCGAGGTGGTATTTGTAGTATGTGAGGCCGTCCGCCTCCGTGCTCAGCTCGGTCGGAAACAGCCGAAAGTCGTGAAAACTCGCGAGGTACTCCTGAGTCAAGAAATCCGTCCCGTTGCTCGTCCACTGCTCGACCTTGACCCCTGCTCCGCCGTCGACGGCCAGGGTGATGGACGAGTTGCGGTCGCTCGACCTGAATGTACCGGTGAAAGCTCTGCGGGCTTGCTCCTTGGCCGCGGCCTCCGCGGCTTTGTACTAGACGTCAATCGTCAAATCGCCGCGCCTCGCCAACATGTGCGAGAAATACTTACAAAGGTATCCACGATGATGCCGCGAACGGGAGGTACCTGGCGATTTGGGTTGTCGCCGGCGGTCATGACGGTGAACCCAAGGTTGTAGTCGGGGACAAGACCGAACATCGTGGAGTACAGGCCAATGTCTCCGGATTTGGTGTACGCGTCGACGATGCGGCTTGCGTTGATGACCGTGTCCGCGGGGACCGTGTACCTGTAGATTTCCCACGGAGCCTAGCAGCAAGAGTCAACTTCAGAAGCTCAAAGTGCCGTACCTCACAAAGGTGCAGAGAGTGTTACTCACCCCAACTGCCGCCTCCCACTGTGAGGTGAACGTCGTCGGTTTCATCCATCGGCGTGTGACGAACCCCGGGAGTAGTTTGTGGCTCAAGATGGCTTGACCCCAGGTCTTGAGATCTTTGGTCGACGTATACTGCCCACCAGCTCTTCGGCAACTGTTAGCCTAGACACCGCCGCTCGAGGATCAAGACGGGACTCACGGTCGTTGAATACCTATGTCGTAGGTGAAGATGGCGTAGCTGTCGTTTCTTGGGATGACGGCATCTGAACCATCACCGGGGGCCGTCGGTGTCGTCGAAGTCATCCCCAATTTGTCGTGGTAGAGATCTCGCATACCGTCCGAGAGGGACTTTCCCGTGATGTTCTCGTAGGCCAGGCCCAGGATGGCATATGCGAGATTCGAGTAGCTGGGGGTTGTGTATGAGGGAAACACGGGCGGGTGTTCAATGACCCCCTGGAGAAATTCTGTCGCCCGTCAGACGCACGTTACGCGTAGTCGCCAATGCGGCCAACTTACGTGCTCGTGTACACGGCGGAAGAGAGTCGCCGTAAGAGTTGCACTCAATGACGCTCTCGTTTCCCAGTGGAGGATACCCGTCCTTGTCCACTGAATTCGACACGGGCGGAGACTGAAACGACTGAATGGCAAGATCACCCAGGTGGACTAGAAAAGCTGTCAGCGATCTCATACCACATGCCCGGTCGGCAAACCCTCTCACAGTCACGTCCAATGCCGGAGGCTTGCGAGGCCAACGATCCGACGGTGACTTCGCTCCAATTTGTCGACAGGAGTGGATTCTTGTACGACTTCCCGGCGGCCTCCAATTCAGGCTTTGCTCGTCAGCAACAATGTCGGTCTCCCACAGGAGGTGAATGCTCTACTCACGACATATTTAGTTATTGGGTCCAAGTAAACCCCGTCCCCAATGTCGACCAGCCAATTGTATATGGTCAGAAGCTTGCCGAGACTCCCAGTCCGGTAGATGGTGTTCTCGCTGAGTTTGCCCTTGGTATACGAGCCGTTGAGCCCAGGAGCTTCGAAGTGGAACTCAAAGAGATACTCGTCACTGGTCAGATCGAAGACTGACGCCGAAAATGAAGTTCCTTGGTTGTCGAAGACGCCGTAGGTGTTGTTGCCCGTGGCGATGAGCTCATTGATGGCGTCCGTGGCTTGCCGTCTGGCAGTAGCAAAGGCCTGATACGAATGATTGGCCGCGGGCTGGTATATCGGACCCAGGGCGGCCAAATCGATCTTTTGGTTGGTCTGGCTAAGGGCACCCAGCACGAAGCCTGTAGACAAGAGGATGTTGGTGGTTCGACCCATCTTTGGCTCTCTGAAGTCTAGAGCCTGGCCTGTCCACGGTGATTGGAAACGAACGTACCGTGAGCCACACTAACTAGAGCTCTTCCTACCATGTACTCCTTTGCAGGGCTCATCGGCCAATTGGCACACTTTGAGAGGGTTCGTTTCTCTTATATCATTTCCACCGCCGCGATGGGATAAAATCTATCCGTTGCTCGTTCGACGTGAATTCGTCTCCAGGGACACCGATGTGACCCTTTGTCGTGCCAGTCAAGTATCCAGCTCACGCTAACAGGTTAGGACTCGATCAGGCCAAAGAGAGGCAGATGGTATTCGTAGTCACGAGCAGTATCACGCGGCCCACCCCACTCGAGATGGTCACCCAAAGCATGTCGCCTCCATGTCGGCTCTCCTCTTCAAGGTGAGTAAAGTGGAACATACTCCTCTAATCTTTTAAGCCTTTTAGTGATAACTCAGGGATGGGTCGAGGTGGATATGGTTCCAGCTATAAGCTTTGCTTGGTTGTAACTCCCTTGGTGGAACTGTTTATCCCCATGGTGTGCAGACCATACGCCTTCGGGCACTGTGCCAATGAAGAGTATCTCGTTTGAGATAAGGACGCTCTATTGTAAATTCGCGGACCTAGGGACGCATTCAAGAGTTGTGTGATGCGAGGAGCGAAGTACATGGGATGATGTTCCTCCGTGTCTCGTTCACCGGCCAAAAGATCAACGCCAAGACGAGGCGGGATCCGTACCATGTATCCACTCGCATCGTTCAGTCTATTCCGACCTCAGTGTATTCCTCGCGTGAGCCCCATCTGTCGGCAGAAGAACCATGTTGAGCCGATCAGAACGCCAGAACAGAATATTAGTGCTTTGAGACTGGCATGGATTAGATCGATTGAACACAGATAGGTTACCATCGGCTCGAAGGAAGCCGATGAGGCAGAGGGTCGTACGGTAAGGATGGGCGATAGAGGCGACCGTCTGCTATCCTAACACCACGTCTTCCGCCTCAAGATAAGCATGTCGAAGAGTTGTGATACATGGACCGTTTGCCTTGGCACAGGGCGACATTGGCTCGGCCTCCGCTTATCGACGGTGCTGAAGGAGTACTAAACCTCTGAGGATCCCATGTTATTCCTCCAAGCCTAAAGTCTCAACCATACAGCAGGAGAAGGTCATCAGTTTGGAATTGTCCTTGCTTGCAGTATTGACAGAACATATGCTCGCCGCTGACCATGGCTCCCAATCCAGATATTGATCGCGTGGCGACCGTCGACGAGGAAACCATCGATATTGGTGACAAAGAGCAAATCAAGATAGCAGAGGATGGCACTGTGGTTGACCATGGCCTGCACCGGGCACTGAAGCAGCGTCATCTGCAGATGATAGCTCTGGGGGGTGTCATTGGGTATGTAATGCTCTTCTTATTTAGACACACAGGCTGATGTTGTGTGCTCGAGTGCGAGTATCTGGTATGGAACTGGGTATGCAATTACCGACTCGGGTCCGGTGCGCAGTCGCATTTCCCCAACGGACGTCTGAGACGTACTCATCCAGGTCGTAGATTGGTGCCTTCATCTGCTTCATCATCATCGGCATCGATGTCTTCTTCATCATGCAGAGTCTCGGCGAACTGGCGACAATGTATCCGACTACCGGCGCCTTTACCGAGCTTGCTGGAAGATTCATTGATCCCGCAGTGGCTGTTGGCCTCGGATACAACTATTGGTATTTGGTGCGTTGACATCCAGCTGTTGAAAAAGAATCCCGGGTAATGACATTGCTGACAAGACACACAGTGGGCTTCCAATATCGCGGCTGAATACAATCTTATCAGCATCGTGATGAGCTACTGGACCGACAAAGTGCCCACCTACGGCTGGATCCTGATGTCGTGGGCATTTTACCAATGTCTCTCTTTCTTCGGCGTCATCATATACGGTGAAATGGAGTTCTGGCTGGCTCTCTGGAAGATCATCTGCGTCCTCGTCACCTTCCTCCTCACCATTCTGTGCAACACAGGCGCCATTGGTGGTGATTACATTGGGTTCCGATATTGGAAAACCCCTGGCCCTGTTGTCAACGGCATCAACGGATTCGGCCAATCTTTTGTTCTCGCCGCCGTGTATTACTGTGGCACGGAACTGGTGGCTATAACGGCAGGCGAAAGCCGCAGGCCGAACAGGGATGTACCCAAGGTAGGCCTCACAATCCTTGCCCGGAATCATCACTGACGAGGCGCAACCCTAGGCCATCAAAGCCACGCTTTTCAGAGTGGTCTTCATATACTGGGGCATGATTTTCTTTGCTGGAATTGCGGTGGCGTCTGATGATCCCGCCATTCTGACGGCCACGAGCAACACGGGCCTGTCGCCATTCAGCATCGCTCTTCAGCACGCAGGCTGGTCGCATGGTCCTGACCTGATCAACGCCTTCATCTTCACGGCGACATTCTCTGCGGTCAACTCGTCCATATACATTGCGTCACGGACGCTCTACTCCCTCGCAGACTCAGGGCGTGCACCTCGATTTCTCGCAAAGACAGGCTGGAGGGGCGTTCCCGTGTACGCGGCCATTGCCTCGAACGCTGTCGGTCTGTTGGCGCTCATCAACGTTGCAAGCGGCGCTGGAAAGGTCTTTGGCTACCTGATCGAACTGTCCGGCGCCGCGACCTTCATTGCCTGGGCGTGCATTGGCATCACGCATATCCGTTTCCGACAGGCGTGGAAACTCCAAGGCCATACGCCGGAGGAGCTACCGTTCCGAGCCTTCCTGTATCCGTGGGGCGCGTACTTCATCTCCGGGCTCAATATCTTTCTGCTCTTCATTCAGGGTTACGGAACGTTGCTGACGCCGTGGAAGCCAGTCGACTTTGTCTTCTCCTACATTGTCATTGTCCTGTTTGTGTTGCTTCTTGTTTTCTGGAAAGTGTACAAAAAGACAAAATTGGTGAATCTGGCCGAAGTTGACTTGCAGTATGGCAGAAGGACGTACTTGACCGGGCCTGATGAATCAGAAGAGAAGCCATCCATCCTCACGCGAGCAACACGGTCGCTTGGTCGACGATTCCGAGCTTGAGAGGTACGACCCGCAGCAACTAGCCATCTTGATGTCAATGGTCGTGTATCTAGAATAAAGTGCGGAGGTCAATCGAGGTCTGTGTAGCTCACTATCTACGTTGTCCATGAGAGCTTCGGCCACACCAGTCATCCATTCTGTATGTATGGTTCCTCCGTGGGGAGGTGGAAGCTGGCTTGTCTGTCTCTCCTTTGATGATGCTCGCCTCGGAAGCGTGCAAGCGAGAGTAGCCTTGAGCCAGCATCTCCTGAACGGAGGCCTGAGCGTTTATCTCCCCACAAATTCGACCCGCTGGAGAGCTTCGTCGCCCAGACCTACTCGTTTTAGCAGACCAGTCTCGACCATATATCCACCCGCCTGTCTTTTCGAATCCATCCGCTTCCCTTGTGAGGTCGTACGCAGTACCTATCTGTAGGCAAAGCAGTGAGCAAGTCTGGACGGACGGACATTCACGCTGGTGTCGCTTATCGGCGGCATACGCGACGTACGGCACGAAGGGGGAACCTCATCTAGTTGCGCTCACTCTCTCTCGTTTAGCACCTTCAAAGTTGTTCCGCTTCTGCGAGCTTTTGCGCGCATGTCATTTGTCTTTGCGCTAAACGGTCATAGACACTTGTAGACGCCATCAGTGAGAGTAGCCCACTTCATGCCCCCTCCTGTTTCGATGCGATAACCGTCACAGGCCAAGGAATCTGGCATAGTCAACTGTCTAGCAGAGCGACCTGGTTGACCACTGTACAGTGTAATGGAGAAATCTCAGTCAAGGCCCGAGAAAGGCTCTGGCTCAGGGTCAGGCGCAACATCATGGTCGGTGTACAGTCTCGGAACAGCCATACTCGCGGCCGCCCTGGCCGTATCTGTCTTCAAAGAGCCGTTCGATGTCGACGTTAGAGCAACATTGTCAGATTGGGTGGTGCCAACCTGGACGTCCCTCGTGGACACGGTGAATCCAGTCGATCCCACCGACTACATGGCGCGGGCGAGACGGCTGCTCAAGAGCACGCCCCTGATCGACGGCCACAACGACTTCCCATTCAACCTGAGACAACAGCTACATGGCAAGATCTACGACCATGACTTCCACACCGAGCGCATTGGAAGCCACAGCGACTTTCAGAAGATGAAGGATGGCTTGATGGGCGGGCAGTTCTGGTCTGTCTACGTGCCGTGTCCAGAAGACCTTGTCCCGGGCGTCGACTTGCACGACCCGAACAAGCGTGTGCCGGACCTCAATGAGCCCAGTGTATGCCCCCCCTGCGTGTTCTTTGAACCTGATTCAGTCCTTCCTTTTACTTCACCAAGAAGACTGTTACAGATGGGAAACACGATACTAATTCTGGTGATATTACGGCTCTCACTTAGTGGACGGTCCGCGATACTCTTGAGCAGATCGACATCACGAAACGTCTTGTCGCCCACTACCCGGACCTCTTTGAACTCTGCGTCACCCCTTCGTGTGTCCGCCGAGCGCACAGACGAGGCAGGATCGCAAGTATGATCGGCGTCGAGGGCGGCCATCAGACGGGGAACTCGCTGGGGGCGTTGCGGCTGTTCTTCGAGAGCGGCGTGCGGTACATGACCGTCACGCACAACTGCGACAACGCGTTTGCCACGTCGTGGGTCAGCGTGGACCTGGCAGCCGGCAAAGACGACGGGCTCAGCAAGTTCGGGCAAGACGCCGTGCGGGAAATGAACCGACTGGGCATGTTTGTCGATCTCAGCCACGTCTCGCCGCAGACGATGAGGGACGCAATCAAGGTCGCGAGGGCCCCCGTCATCTTCTCGCACTCGGGAGCGTACAGCGTCAACAAACATCTTCGCAATGTGCCCGACGACGTCCTCGAGACTGTCAAGGAGAACGGCGGAGTGGTCATGATCCCTGCGATCCCGTTCTTTATGAACTGGGAGCACCCCGAGGACGCGACCGTGGAAGACCTCATCGATCACATACACTGGGTCGCCGACAAAGCTGGATGGGAACACGTTGGTCTCGGGTCGGACTTTGATGGCGCCGCCCTCAACGTGAAAGGACTCGAGGTAGGTCACTCCCCGTGTCACCACCCCATGTTGATGTTCTCCTTGCTACAAGAAAAAGCCCAAGCGCTTTGCAGAGCGTACTGACTGCTGAATGAATGATTGGTAGGATACTTCGAAATGGCCAGACCTGATCGCAAGGCTTCTTGCTCGTGGCAACGTTACCGACACCCAGGTCAAGATGCTGCTTGGCGACAATCTGCTGCGTGCGTGGGAACAGGTCGAGCAGACGGCCAAGCAACTGCAGCGGCAGGGCGAGCTACCGTGTGAAGAGACCTGGGAAGGAAGGGCATGGGAACCCGAGAACTTGGATACACCGAGACTGTTTCCTGGCATTTAGAATCTCGATCACACATACGCCCAAGATGATGCCGCATCTGTCAGGGCCGATTGGACCAAGGAGAAAACTTCTCAAGAACGACAAAAGGAATTACTGTCGGGTACATGGGATATGAATCACTTAGGCTTTCGGCCTTCAGAACCGATGTGCAAAAAATCGGTGCGATCGTTGGAGTCGGTTCGTCATCGGGGGCCCAACGATAACGAATGTTCCTATCGGTGGTGGTCGTCCCATCTTTTCATTGAGACCTCCAACTGTCAAGGACCTTGAAATGGATCGTCTATTTTCTGTTTGATTCATCCTCTTTTCCCACAGTATCATCTCTTTTTCCCATGCCACCGCTTTGTCCTTATCGTCGAAGGCCAGAACGACATCACTGGAGTTCTCAGGAAACTCCAAGGTTATGTCTGAGGGAAGTTCCATAGAAACAATGTACTCCGACAACGCGAGTCCGCCAAACTTCCGATTCTCGCTGGAGTTTTCCTTTTGTTTCAGATATTCATAATACTTTCGAGCAGATGCTTTGTGTGAAAAGGAGATGATAATGCGGCATTCTGAGTCCGAGTCTCGCGCGACGTTCAACCTGAGTGGTTGGGTCATTGGGATCAGTTTGACCTCAAGGCTCAAGGGCTATGGAGTGTTATAGTTGAAAAACGAAGGAAGGGTCTGCAACAGCACTGGTCGACTTGAAATAGAGGACCGGCAGGAGGTGAGTCGAACAAATTGAAGCAAAGTCAAAGGTCTGTCGTCCCAGTCATGAGGTGATTATTATCACCCTGGTGAATTTTGTTCATGCTTTGTTCCACTTGTTGGGCGCAAAATGAGAGGTTTTCCTGCCACCGTTCACCTGATGTGGCCAGACCTGCATTTGTGTTCATCCTTCAGCCGGATTGGTGGTGTACAGCTTGCGGAAACGGCAAATGCTGCCCAAGGTCTTTGTGCTCGCCTATAAACTCGCGTCTTATTTCCCCTACGATCCATTTAATATTTGGCCACCTCTGGCAGCTTTTTGAAACCCGAACTTATAGCATACTATGCATTATGTCCCGTCAGGCTAAACGGGAGCCTGATGTAGAAAGCAATACTGGAGGACATGCGGGACAAGATGTCCTCGACTTCGAAGACCCTTCCTGGATAATTGACCACCATCGCCACAATTTGATACAAAAGATCTCTCAACCGGAAAATCCTTGGTTTGAAGTACTCGTCTGCTTTGGGGGAAGACGATCTGCACCAAGCGCCAACGCCCACAACAACCAAAACCACGGTCAGCAGAAGCCTAGTGATGGTCCTCATCTGGAAATAGCTGCAAATAAGCTGCAGCCCACAGGGCCTCCAAACCATGGGCGGCTGGAAGAGAAGGAAGAGAGTTACCGAATAAATCTCTCCGAGTTGCAACGCCTACGTTTGCGACAGCTTCAGCACAGACTAATCCAACACGCAGTCGATCTTCGATACAACGCTCTAGAGCCATCTGGTTGGGCCGAGGACCTGAGACAGTATGGTGAGCCCGACATTACCCACCACTATACAATGGCTTTGCTTTTCCGTCGTCGATATACTGCGTAGGAAACTGATGCCCTTTCCACCATAGTACAAGCACTGCAGGATTACGAGTATATGGGGAAATACATCTGGCCACCCGGAGACCCATTCTACGTTACTGGCGAACGATTTGTTGACCGCTGCATGCTCCAGGTCGCTATGAGAGGCAAGGAGAACGAAGCAGATCCTCTGCATTGGGCAACATCTATGGGCAAGTGGGAGACTGCCGGCATACGTCCAGTGCCCATCGGCGGCACCCGGGACGAGAACTACCGCCAGGGCTGGATCAGGGGCCTCCGACAACGGGTGGGCATGGCCGGAGTAGGCGGCATCTTCCTCATCGTGCCTATGTGGCTGATGGTTTTGCACAACACGCTCTACACGGCGTTGGTGTCCACCACAGTGTTCGTTGTCATATTCGGCCTGTTCATGGCCCTGGTTCTTGACAAGTTGATGGATGTCATGTCGGGCACAGCCGCGTATGCAGCTGTGCTAGTTGTCTTTGTGGGCCTGACTACTACCAAGAACACTTCGTAGAGCAGGCACTAACTACAGTCGTGGACTACAAATGCGATTCCCCAAAGAACAAAGACTCATCAAGATTCTGTTTGCTGACCAAACTCTCTCTTACCAGCTTCGATCTTCCACTCCATAGCTGGTCTGGGTATCCAGACCTACCCGCACCATAGCAATGGACCGATGCAATACCGCGTTCGAAGCTGTCACCTGAATCTCTTCAGATGTTATTAGGTGGCATATTAGGGGCTCAGCCTTATGAACGTCCCTACAATTTAAGTTTTGATGCTTGACTGGGCATATTGAGGGCGGGCTTATAGGTCACATTTTAGGCGTGGCTACCCCCGGCCACTAGCCAGAAAGGCTACTCAGACCAGTGGCCTCTTTAGGTACAATACTTTACCTAACGTTCATTCCCATGTTCTGGTAGACTCTTCGGAAATGCACTAGCCTGGAAAGGCCGAGCCCCGCATTGCGTTCTCGACGAAACAACATGACATCCGAGTATGTCTGTGAGTCTGTCCTCGGTTGAAACCAGGTCAAAGTATTGAAGTATTGAATCGTGCAATTGCCCAACACAGACGTGACAACATGGGCAAGATTGTCGTGGCGTTCGACCTCTACGGCACCTTGCTGTCGACGGAGAGCATTGCAAAGGAGCTAGCATCCCACTTTGGGCAAGAGACGGCCGCGTCGATTGCGACGGTATGGAGAAAGTATCAACTCGAATACACTTGGAGGTTGAACAGCATGAGTACGTATGGCCCGGACTTCCGAAATCCATGCAAAGCGCAAAAGGAGCAACCTGATCATGCTGACGCCGTGTCCGCGAAAGAAAAGTATGACGACTTCTTCAAAGTGACTCGTAACGCGTTGCTGCATGCCTTGGCGGAACACGGTGTCGGGCTCGAAGACCAGGCCCTCGACAAACTGATGCTGGCCTACGATTCCCTGTCGACCTTTCCGGACGTCAATCCGGCCCTGGAGAGACTCAGGGATAACTCCAACGTCGAGTGCGTGGTGTTCTCTAACGGGACCCACGCCATGGTGACAAACTCGGTCAACGGGTCGCAGGATCTCGACTCTTCGGTCCTCAAGGGCACCGTCTCGATCGACGACATCAGAATTTACAAACCCGCCCCAGAGACTTATCATCACCTGGCCCGAAAGACGGGCAAAGAAAACGAGATGGATAAGGTGTGGCTCATCTCGGGCAATCCGTTTGACATCACTGGAGCCCGAACGGTAGGTATGCAAACAGCGTGGGTTGACCGAGCAGGAAACGGCTGGCAGGATAGACTTGGGCTCGGACCAACAGTAGTTGTCAAGAGTCTGGAGGAGGTTGCGGAGGCGGTCGAGAGACATGCCAAAAGCACTGCATAGCATTATAATTAACATTATCTCGATTGGCTACGCCGGATCATCATGATACTCTTCCCTCTGCGACGCGTTGACAGCTTCTCGACTTCTGCGAGCCTTTTCCATGTTCGCCGCCCACAAAGCACTCCCCGCGGCCGAAGTGAGCAAGAAAAACATGCTCAGGACGGGGACCAGCTGAAGGGCCAGTGCAACGGTTCCAAACCAAGTATACTTCAGCTGCCTCCTTTTTATATACTCCGCACGATCCTTCTTGGACAATCCTAGCAGTCGGAAATATCTCCAGTGGTGGAAAGGGCCAGCTCTGTAGCCGGTGAGGAACAAGAAGAGCGGCACACCGACATATGGTATGAAATTGAGTGGGAGGAGTATAACGAACTCGAGGATCTGGCGAAGGCTGAAGGGACTGTAGACGGACGAGACTGTGGGTTTTCCAAGCATCTGCACCGAATTCTGGCCATTCCGATCAAGGACGCGAGCTTCGCCGACAAGATCTGCCAGTCCCTGGTCAATCAATACGGCGTCAAAAATGTCAACGAGTGTTTCGTCGACGAAGAAGGCCTCGAACAGCAATGCCACGATCGCAGAGCCCTCTCCGAGCACGAGGAACGTAGCATTCAGCCATGCGCCACGGCCGTGAAAGATGGCCAGGAACGCCACCTGTGGCAAAAAAGTCCACACAAAGAGGTTGATGTAGATGAAGGCGGAGAGGAGGACGATAGGAACCAGTCGGGCCTTGAAGAGGGGCCAGAGGTAAGAATGTCTGAGGAAATAGTAGATGCCCTGCTCGCGGTCCGCAGCGTGTCAGCCAGTTCCCCAACCTGCCTGTCCTGAACGAATCCTACCTTGAGTGGGTACAACCAGGTAGCATTCACCCAGGCAATCATCTTTACGCATCAACGTCTTGTCGCGTCGCCGTCAGATCATGCGCAGAAGGTCATGATGTTTGGAGCTGTGCGCAGCAGGGCCACTTTACACTTCTTTGCACGGTCCCGCGCCTGGTGCCGCAGCCTTGCACGAGGTGTGGGAAGGTCTGCCGAGGCCCCAGCGATTCATTTTTCAGCCTCGTCCGAATTGCTCACACTTTTCTTCTCCTTCTCTACCAAAACTGAAATTCCTCTGTATTCACTCTGCCAATGCCGCTGCCATTCGGTGGCTCAAATGATTGCTGGAGGGGAAAGCAGAGGATAGAGGAACAAGCATTAGTTGCCGACTTACCCCGGGACCTTTCTGTCGAGCTGCTCTCTGAGTTTGTTTGGTGATGGAGGTTTCGGAAATATTCACGGCTGCACAGACAAAGATATGACGAGGAGTAAGACAACGGGTGGTTATGAGTTGGCCACATCCTGAGACGCCACTCGCAGAGAACTTCACATGGCGTGGACAGCCTGTCTCGTTGTTACTCCAGGACCATGCATCACCAGGGTCGAGTACGCGAGGGAGGGCCGTAAAAGTCGCAAAAGTGGCCGCCTAAGCGAAGTTGGGTGAATCCCCATGGTTCCCTGTTAGTCACATTGGTGCCCGACAATATGGGTGTCTGGGCACCCAAGTGAAGGCACCTGGGTACGGTCCAGGTATCACTAGAGACTCCATAGTGGTGGCGTGCTGCTCGCTGCCTCTGCTGTCGTGGTGAGACAGAGTTACAGCGGCTTTTGGATTGCCGCCCGCTGTCGCCTCTCGTGGTGAACAGCCATCTGCGGTGAACAGCAGTCACTCTTCGGACGGCCTGGTTTCACAGCGTCAGACAGGCGAGAGTGCAGTACCTCGCAGACGGAATCATCACACGTTGAAAATCTCCCTGCACCACACCAACCAGCCACTAGACTTTTCGAATTTTCACGCGACGTGACTCGGCACGACTCGGTCTGCCGGCGACTCTCACTCTCACTCCCTCTCCACCTCCGCCTTTTCTGTTTTCCCCGATATTTCGTAAACCACCTGCGTCTCCCACCTTGTATGTGTCTGCCGATGTTCACCCGTCCGTTTGGGTTGTCGCAGTCTCAGTCCGTGAGATAGAACAAAGCGGGACCATGTCGTCGATCTCGCCCACGGGAGCATATGCGCCCTCACAGGGCCAGGACGCCAGCAACGCGTACAAGTATGAAGACCCTACCGCCTACCAGCTGCAGTCGGCCTTTCCCAACCAGTTCGAGGTCGCGCTGCCGGTGCCGCGCGCAGAGCACGAGCAAGTAGGTCAAGAACCTCCCAGATCCGCAGCCAAGTCGTCCGAACCGAAAGTCCGTCTGCGCAAGGCTTGCGATAGCTGCAGTGTGCGAAAAGTCAAGGTATGGTTGTCGCCTTCATTGTCTCAAACGCAACGGCTCACCGGTGAATCCAGTGCGACGAGTCAGGACCTCCCTGTAAATCATGCGCCGCTCTGGACATCCCCTGCACCTTTGACCGTCCTAGCCGCCGCCGCGGACCACCCAACAGACACGCGGAAGCCATCAAGAGACAGAAACTTGAAGGAGGAAACTATGAGGCTTCGAGAGGCTCTCCTACCCATGATGCTGCCTACAGTCTCGCGGCGCTCTCTGCACCGAGTCTCCTCGCGGCTGAATCGATATGTGATCTTCCGACGTTGAAGGTTCTGCTCGACGACTACTTTCTCTACATACACCCCCTGATACCTCTCCCACACGAACCGACGTTCCGGAGATCCTTCGAGGCTCGAGAAGACCGGACCAACCATACCTTCCTCGCTCTCATCGCTGCCATGGTAGAATGCTTGGTGGCCTCGTTTCCGCGGAGACCACGCCAGTTGTTCACGTCCGACGCAGCGAGGGTGCAATTCCCCAACGCCGGCGTTCTGATTGATCGGTGCCACCAAGTCTTCGTCGAGGCGCGTGGGCTGGGTTACATGGATCGACCCCTGGGTCTCTACGATGCCATTTCCAGTTACTTGACCGCACTCGCAGCGGCTTACACTCTCGATCTACCACGTTTGCGCCTGTACTTGGGAGAATGCACCCTCATTACACGGGAGCTTGGATTTCATCGTCCTGAATTCTACCGGCCACCGCCCACTCCTGGCGGCTCGTATCCACATGCCGAGGCACAGAGGCCGCAAATAGTTGACTATGTGTACCAGGAATCTGGACGTCGACTGTTCTGGTTGCTCTTCGTAGGCGCCATGTCGGCTCGCCAGTTGGATGAAGCGGAAGGTGATCTGCTCATGCCACCGGTATCGCACGCAGAAATGCTGCCGCCGCTTCCGGTCGAGGTAGATGATGAATACATCACGGAAGCCCAGATATTTCCTCAACCTAGAGGCGTCGTGTCAGAAATGGTCGGCTTCAATCTGAACGTTAAGGTCTTCAGAGCTTTTCACTTTCTGGCCGCCCTAGAAATGGCATTCGGGGCAAATACTGTCTACGACTGGGATCGGCAGCGCCAGATCATTCGACGTGCTCTTCAGACCGTCAAAGAAGCGACGCGAGATGCACCGAAAGAGTTGCAACTGAATCCATCCAATGGTTTCGGAGAATGGCCGCCTACTCAGGCGGACATATCTGCGTATTCCCAACTATTCAACGATCGTGAGGGTATCGAGACCGATCCCTCACTCGAGACTGCAAGTACTCGAGGGTCCTTTTCTCTTCCCCCCACGAAAAGAGTAATACAGTTTGAGATTCAGAAGGCCAACATCTACGCTACACAGCTCTCGTCAAGATCGTATCTGGTAGAGCGGTTCTGGAATCTCTACGAGATCATCGAGCGTGACAAGATAAGCTTTCCGACAGACAAATCCATCGCCAGTTCCTCGCCGACTGCCGGTATCGTCATGACCGGAATGGAGCATGGGTACCGGCAAGTCGCTGGAAGAACCCCCAGCGATAGCTTGATGGATGCCGGGGAACAAATGATGGCAGTTGAACGGGAAGACATTGTGAGAGACATGGCTTTGCTCCTGAAGAGCATCAACCAAGTCAACATGGAGCCAAATGGCATGAGTATTGTAAGTCGGGACATCTTCGGCCCAGCTGTGACTAACATCGATTCCAGTGCAACAAGATCCGGACGGTTGCTTCCACCTTGCTCGAAACGAAGCGTGCTCGCATGAGCTCCATGCCCACGTTAGATTCCGAAAGCGTCAATAGTTACCTCCATGACTTCCTTGAGATCCTCTCCAAACTCGAAAGATTGGGTCCGTCCCGGTTTCGAGGCGTGGCTGATAACAACTCTGGTGGCCTCTTACGAACGCCAGAGGAGATCGAAGAGGAAGAATTGGTGCATTGGGCAAGTTTGAAGGAAAGACAGGAACAATTTGTTCGAGCAAGTGGTGTGAGTTCCTGGTAGTGGAAAAACCGTGCTTTCAAGAGAGACGACGATTATTGAGCGTGGTTTGGATGGCAGACCAGGCTGGCTTTCATGTATGACTGCAGCGCATTCCTCACTGTTTGAGCAGGTACTGAGCTGGATACCTCTGCTCGGTCTACGATTCAATGGCGTTACTCACCATTCATGTATGGCATCATTTTTATTCCCGACCAGAACTGTGCTCTTCGAGAAAATTTGGACTTCCGGGCCTGGCGAGACCCGAAAAGACAAGCGCACGATGATTGATAGTTGCGAGCGCGCTTCACCCAATGTCGGCTATCTCTCACTGTTTTGACTTCTTGATCGATCTTCCCATCACAAAGACTTTGGCGATATTTCGATCATCTCCTGTCATCAAAAACTTTTCAAAAATGTCCGCGACCGAATCGTCCTCTTCAACGAGTGAGCTTTGCCCATCGTCCAACAAGGTGGTAACCTCGAGAGCATCAAAATCCTTCCCGGTCTCAAATGTCCCAATCTTATCCGCTAGACAGCACACCTTGGCGCCGCCCAAGGTGGCCAAGTAGAAGCACTCCCAGAGTGTCAAGCGTTGCTCTTTGCCGTCTGTCATCAGCTCGCGACCCAGGCTGATGATGAATGCTTGTCGACTGGCGTCAAGGATACTGCTGCTGAAGCCCCCTCCAGAATCTGTGCCCAACCCGACCTTTATGCCCATGTCGAGATACCGTCTGATCGGCGCAGCGCCCCATTCACCTCCTGTGGTGTTGCTTACGGGACAATGCGCCACCCCGACGTCGCAGGCTTTGATCCGGCCGATCTCGTAATCATCTGGATAGATGCAGTGAGCCATGATTGTGCGATTGTTGAAGAGCCCAAAATGCTCGTAAAGATCGGCCTCATTCTCGAACTGGGGGAACAACTCTTTGGTCACTGCCACTTCTTGTTTCGCCTCATTGAAGTGGGTTTGGATCATCATATCCCGATGCTTGCTTGCAATGTCGCCTATTCCCGCCAGTAGCTCTTCATCACAGCAGATTGCAAAACGAGGAGTCAAGATCGGCTGGACCAGCAGCCCGGACGGGTCTATGCTCTTCACATGTGCAATGAAGTCCTCGGTCACTTCGAGTGACTCCTTGTTGGTCTTGTCGCGGTAGAAGTCCGGAGCATTCCGTACCATGCAGCACTTGCCCACCAGTGCCCGCTGGCCCTTTTCCAGGCACGTATCTGCAAGAATCTTGGTGGCCTCGCCGTGCAGGCTGCCATAGTACGCCGCTGTGGTCACGCCTTGCTTGATGAAGCCATCGACACAGCTGGCATAAGTCTGGCGAGCATATTCGGGATCCTCAAACTTGGCTTCGTGGGGGAACGTGACCTTGTTCAACCAGTCCATGATCAGGAGTCCCCGGCCCATGCCTCTTTGCGTCCATTGTGGAGCGTGGTTGTGCGTGTCGACAAAGCCTGGTATCAGAAACTCACCTCGCGTGAGGAATCGGACAGGCGAATCGGACAAGTTGGGCAAGCCGGGGAGAAACCTCAGCAGCTTCTTCACGTCGGGCGCCGGTACATTACGACGCAAGAAGACAATCTTCCCCTGCTGGGAGACCACAAGAAGGCCGTTGAGGATGATGTCGACTTCCTTGGGGCTGATGGAGTGGATAAAGGTGCCATGGAAGATCAATGGCGTCGTCCAGGATGTGGGAGAAGAAGACATGGCGTGGCGGATCAAAGTGGCCGCTGCTTGGTGAACGATTTCCGATTTCTTCTTTGTTCTGTGTCCAGTGTCCAATCTCCCAAGAGCCTAGGTACTGATAACTCTAATCCAAACGATCTTCAGTTTTTCGTACGGAGTTCAGAGCAACTGTTCCAGGCCTGAGGTAGCCCCGTATCTGGAACGGAGGTGCCCAATACCCCATGTCTCTTTATCTGCTCCTCTTTGCGGATCTGATATCGGGTATCCATCTTATTGGATCCGAACACAGAGACACCCTATACCGTATCAGAGGCCACGTCACGGCGATAAGCTAGTATACAAGGTCCCTTGGCTGCATGGCGACCATGGCTCTATAGCAGACGACCTGCCACCCCCCGAACTGGTCATAACGGAAGTACCCAATGGATTCCCGCCGAGTCTTGATAGCGGAAGCCCATCCAAAGCCTCCTCGGATTGATCTATTGCCGAAACTGTGCACTGTTTCCGCAACCTTGGCCGGCGTTATGCTTTTTTTATGTGATGCTTGTGGATGCTTGTCTAAAGCCTGGGCTTATCACTTTGCCTTGGCCAGACCACGGGCGGTATACCCTCTTTGGCGAGGACTATACCTGCGTAGCGCAACAGGACTTTATCAGTGGGCGCATTCCGATAGCAAAATGGTTCTGACCAGCACAGCAGGCGAGACCGTCGGCCGAAGATCAAGACCAAGGTGAAGCAGCCGATATAAGATAGGTACGATACGCTCAAGGTGCGGCACTTCCCCCCTTGTCGCTCTCCGTCTTTGCCTCGCGTACCAGTCAAGGTCATCTTCCCTCCCACCCACTGCACTTCGCCTGCGGCGCTCTCTCCCCCCTCTCCCTCTTCTTCGTTAGCCTCCCTGTGCGGAAAGTCGTTTTGCCTCTGCGGTCATGGCGGACTACAACACCGATCCCGAGAAAAATGAGTCGCATGTCTTCGCCCAGGCGACCACGGACGCCCAGGGCAAAACGATCGACAAGCATCGCGTTACGGACAAGGTCGACGATCTTAAAGAAGTCGAGGCCTCGAAAGGATGGTTCGCCAGTGTGCTCAAATATGCCAGTTTCCTTCGTGCCGAGGAGCGTGGTATCGAGAGAGTAAGGGAGGATGATCGAGTCCTACAGTCAGTCTTTGACGGCTTCACAATGTGGGCATCGGCCAATTTCAAGTGAGTCTGATCATTTCGTTTCGATTGAATCTTTCTCCCTGGTCGTCCACAACGAGACTGATTGCCGGAAAACGCGTCAGTCCGGCCACCTTTGCCACCGGCGTTCTAGGCCCGATTTTTGGGCTGGGGTTTTGGGACTCGTTTGCAGTCATCGTCCTCGTCAACTTCTTCGCGTCCATCATCCCCGGACTGTTTGGGTGCTTCGGGCCCATGACCGGTCTGAGAATGATGTCTGTCGGCCGTTATGCGTTTGGCATTTGGGGGATGCGAGCCCTCATTGTTTTGAACATATGCGCTATGGTCGGTTGGTCCAGCGTCAACGCTATTGCCGGGGCCCAAGTCTTCAACGAGCTGTCAGATGGCAATTGCCCGTTGTGGGCGGGGAACCTGATCATCGGGATCTGCACGGCCATCATCTCATTCTTTGGCTATTTCGCGGTACACGCCTTTGAGCGCTGGTGCTGGGTCCCACAGGTCCTCATCTTCATCTTCCTGGCTGGCTTCGGCGCCAAGCACTTCGACGCCGGCGCGCTGCCCATGGGCTCAGGCTCCGCCGAGGCCCGAAGCGTCATGTCCTTCGTCGCGGTGTTGTACGGCTTTGTGGCGGGGTGGGCGCAGAGCGCTGCCGACTACAACGTGCGAATGCCCGTCAACACGAACAAACGCAAGCTCATCCTGTCGATTTGGGCCGGCAACTTCTTGGGCTGCGCGATCCCCGAGATCCTTGGGGCGGCTTACATGACGGCCGTCGCGGCAGACCCCAAATTCGCAGACGCCTACGACAATCGTGGCATCGGAGGTCTGATGGGCGAAGGTCTCCGTCCCCTGCATGGGTTCGGCAAGTTTCTCCTTGTCCTCTCAGCCATGTCCATCATCGGGTGCAACCTGGTCAACAACTACAGTCTGGCATTCACGTGCCAAAACTTCCACCCCGTACTCATGAAAGTCCCGCGTATTGTCTGGAACGTTGTTGGCTCGGCCGTCTTCATTGCGATTGCCATTGCGGCAGAGAATTCTTTTGCCGAGGTCCTTCAATCCTTCTTGGATATCATCGGATACTTCCTGACAACGTTCTTGTCCTGCGTCGCAATCGAGTACTTCTACTTCAGGAAGCGACAATTCCCGCTTGAGGATTGGAACAACATGAAGGTCATACCCTACGGAATAGCGGGCTTCTTGGCCGTCGGCATGGGATTTGTCGGAGCTATACTGTCCATGCATCAGACTTGGTACGTTGGCGTAGTGGCCAAAAAGGCCGGCACCGAACTAGGGTGGATTTTCAGCGGTGTTTTCGCAACAGTTACCTTTGTACCTGTGAGATACCTAGAGATGAAGTATACAGGGCGATAGCTAGACGTACCATGTTTGGTAGGCCGTAAGAATATGAAAAGGTCGACAAGACAACGCTGCAAGGCACGACTTCTACCGTACAGAGTAAAGGCCGTTGAGACGTGAGACGAGTTGCCTTTGTGATTAGCCAGCCATGCTATCAGTTCAAAAAGGACTTGAATTATCACACCGGCTCTCTGGAACTTCCACGTCCCCCTCCCATAGTCAGATAGATGTCTATGTCAGATGGCAGGAGTGGAAGATTGCTCCATGACTGGAGTCTTACTTCTGCTCAGTAACACTGCATCATCATCATCATCAACACCACCACAGCCTCAGTCGTATCCGCACTCACTGATCCAGAACAAGCGGACGGCAACAGTGTCCATTCCCTGTTTCCCATTCCTCGGTACCTCGTCCGTCGACATGAATGAGCCATAGAGAGCGCCAGAGGTGGAGTGCCTCATCGTCCCATTCGTGCAGTGCGTGCACTCGTACGGAGTACTTAGAGAAGCATCGACACCGGGGCATCAACCATATTCCCTGAATGGTCAGAGGTACAAGGACCACGCAAGGATGATCAACATACGCCGACAGGTTTAGCTCCGGATGAGTTCGACCAAACGAGGCACGCTAATATCAACGTCATGATGAAACGTACCTAAACAACGAGGCAGCGGATGCCCTGCTCGGCGGTCAGTCTTCGTCGCCAGGTTCGCACACTGTCACTGTCGACAGGAGGCCGCCAGCCCGATGAGGGTCCTCCCGTGCAAGAGCAGGGAAGACCATTTGTCGTTTCTACATAGTGGCAACAGCGATCACTTTCACATCCCAGTGCATAGCGACGGTCCAAGCGAAACGAGCAAACTGTTCAATCATCGAATAAGCAGCTGTTGCGAGCAGATTCATACCAACCTGGAAGAGATTCGATAACAGGTTCTCCCATTTGACCCGCACGAGTCACGTCCACAGAGCCCGTTCTTTGACAAACAAGGGAAACGAAGCTACGTCACGAAACCTTGTTTCAGAGCCCCTTCCGGCGTTGAAGCTGTGAGCCAGATGAATGACTGGCAGCCAATCCTCCCGACGGCGAACGGGGGGATGGGAAAAGCCTCTCGTCAAATTTAGCTCGACCGGGGGCCCGAGCTTTGTTTCAGGCACTTCCGACCCACGATTCGCTGCGGCGCACAAGGTCCGCCTTCGCCACAGAGAACTCGGAAGTTTTTGCAAGGGGACTTTGATAAATTAGCTTTTCCAGAAATCCAATATTTACCTACCGGACACGGGAGGAGTACGTGGTGCACCCCGGGAGTTGCTGCTACTGTGGTGGGCCCTCCATCATGAAGCGCCGCAACCGGCTCGACCTTTCATGGGCCGTTTGAAATGGCCCATTCCAGGTTTGTTGTATGATGGGCTCAGATATACGGAGTACCAAAAGCCTTTTACGGTCGCTATTTACGGGAAAGGAGGGAAAACAGGACACTCGTACCGCGACTGAACTGACCATGGAACAAATTCTTTTTATCGTCTCGACGTAAAAAATTTGTACCCGGGGAAGAGGCAGAAATATCTGAGGGCCACAAGAACATTGCCCTGATCAAGACCACAAAATGGCATTCCAAACGAACTTGTCCCTCATCAACTTGACACCTTACGACTGGACCGGATACACTCTTGCAGAAACCACAGGGCTCATAGAATGGGACTTTCCGAAGACTTTGGCATCCGGTAAGTAAGATGAAGTGAATGTTTTGTATTTGGGATGGTTATATATGTGCGGATATGTGTACGCTTGCACGGAGCTGACTGACATCGACCATCTGTGACGTTCCAGGCGACACGTACCAGGCGTCCATAGTCATCGACACCTCCCACGGCAGCAACCCAACACAAGCGAAAGCCGACTGGCCGTTTTCCTGGATCGACCAGGCCCACCCGGTGGCTGATCTCAAGATCTCCGTGTCTGGCGACGACGGAGACGGGGCAGACTACTCTTACGCCATCGACGCGACGCTGGAGCAGTTCGGCACGCAACGCAACCCCAAGGGCTCGACGATCAGCATCCCCCTGTACGAGGACGCATGGTCCCCGTTCCTGCTCGTGGGCGACAACGGCAGCCTCGCGGGCAACAACCCCCCTCTCGACTGGATGGAGCAGAACCTGGGGCTCATCGGGTGCCTGACGCTGCAGGACATTGTGCTTCCCGGGTCGCACGACTCGGGCATGTCGCAGATCAACTACGCGCACGGCGGCACGGCGGACAACAGCCAGACGCAGACGCTGTCGGTGCTGGGCCAGCTCGAGGCCGGGGTCCGGTACTTCGACGTGCGGCCCAGCATCTCGCACGGGCAGTTCTACACGGGCCACTACACCGACGAGCTCGGGGCGAACGGCGAGTCCATGGCCGACATCGTCAGCGACGTCAACGCCTTCACGGGCCGGGGGTTCAACGAGCTCGTGGTGCTCGAACTCAGCCACAGCCTCGACACGGACAGCGGCTACGGCGCCTTCAGCGACGCCCAGTACCGCGACCTCCTCACCCAGCTCTCCCGGGGGCTCGAGCACCTGTACACGGGCCACGCGTCGGACGTGCTCACGACGGTGAGGCTGAGCGACTTCATCTCGTCGAGCCCCGCCGTCGTGGTGGTCTGCGACGAGCGCGACAAGTCCTGGCTTTCCGCCAACGGGTTCCTGGGCAAAGGCTTCTACGGGTCCGGCCAGATGCCCGTGTACAACAGCTACGCCGACACCACGGAGCTCGACACCATGAGGCAGGACCAGTGGGCCAAGTTCAGCGCCCAGGCCAAGAACCCCGACACGCCCGACCAGTTGTTCCTCTTGAGCTGGACCTTCACGCAGGACGTGCTGGGCGCCATCGGTATCGGCCTCGGCATCGGTGCCGACGGTGGTGCCGATGGTACGTCGATCCGCGACTCTGCCGCCTACTTTAACGGCTTCCTCGCCCAGACCGGGGGCGCCGTGCCGTACACGGGCCCGTTGGAATGGGCGAAGAAGGCCGGAAAGCCGCCCAACATCATCATGATCGACAACGTGCCGACGGATAATAGGTTCCTTGCGACCTTGTGTCTGGGCATGACGAGGTGGTTCAATCGCGACGAAAAGTGTTGAACACTGTATGTAATTAAGGTCGGTATTGTATTATTGTATCTTGCATGTTGCATGTCGCACGTTGTTACATGACCCGTCTTGATACAGGTACTGTACAAGTCTGATGGTCTCGGGAGAGATGGATTGAGTTCCACATCTATGGTGTCTGCGGATGGACGTATTGTGGCCATTAATCGTCTTTTGTTCTATAGTTAAACTCGGTTATTGCCCGGGCCAAAGACGAGATCTTGTCTCAGGCGTTTGGTTCAAGGAGAAATAGGAGGCTGGATAATATAGGTCACCCTCACTTGGGGTTGACGCTGTGTCGGATATTGGTACTAGAGTTGCGGAATTTGGTGCTGGCAATGTATGTTGGTGTCGGTGGCTGCCGCTGGAACCGGAACTGCGACTGCATAGTATACACCCGTCGTATGTGAAGTCAAAATAATAAATAGGTCGTTGGATAATTGAGGCAGATTTATACTTTGATAGACAAAGTTTGTGCCTTCTCTTTCGGTGCGTGATAAAGTGCTTTCTTCGCTTCGGCGTATATAGGTGTTTTCACAAAATTCGTTCCGTCTCAGGGTTTCGTCCATAGATCATCAATATCCAACATCACAGCCCCGTGTATGATTTCATCTTTTTCCACAGCGTCTCATTTCCGTCTCGGTGGAAGAGCAGGCTTCTGTTGTGGCGTCTCGGTCTCCTCGTTCTCTTCCCCTTTCCGTTCATTTTCTTTCTCCTCTTCTTCCCGCCGCTTCTCCTGTTCCTCGACCTGCTCTAGAATGATCTCCTCCTTTGCCAGCGCTTCTTCGTCGATGTCGGTCCAGCCGACTTCGGTCAATATCTTGCCCACCATGTTCTGATACTTCAAATGGCCGGTGACTTCGTCGCTGACGTCGAAATTCTCCACGCCGTACACGTTGATTTCTTGCAGTCCAGCAATACCAAGCTGTGCGCTACTGGTCCGATACATGAAGGCGAGAATGTAGTCGTTGGTCGAGTACACGTTTATCAGTCGTCCACTGACCACGCTCCTCATCGACCGCCAGACGTGGTCGTCGCTTGGCACCGGCGCACCCATCACGACGACACTGTCGACCAGGCCGAACGCTTGCCTCCGGGCCAGTGCCAACAGACAGGAATAGATGACTCTGGCTCCCAAAGAATGGCCCACCAGACTGACCGGCCTCTCTCCTTGGGCCTTGTTGATCAGCGCATCAGCAAGCACCTCTCCGGCCTTCATAGCCCTCAACTTGGCAATCCCGAATGGGCTGTCGACCAGTTTCGCAACTTTGAGTATTGCCAGGGGCGCCATCATGGCCGAATACAGACCCGCCAGCAGGGTCCGCTTGATGATTTGCTTCTTGAGATAGCTCCACGCCTGACTGCTGACAAAATTCTTCAAGGCATTCCCAAGATTCATCAACGCCTGTAGTTCCCACCTCAAAGCGAACGCTTCGCCGCCGTCGCCCAGTACTTTCCACGGACTCTTCACCTCGTCTTCCTGCGTCAGCCAGCCGGTAATGCCGATTGTGACCCTCAACCGCCGTCTTTCTTGCAGTTTCTCTTCACTGTCGTCCACGTTGCCACGGATAGGAATGAAGGCAAAATCTTCAATTTCCTTTGAATACTTGTCCATCATGCGCCCTGTCATTCGGCCTCCATATGCCCCAAACAGCCCACCGACAAGGACACCACTACTCGCTAGTGCACCCAGATACCCCGCGGCAGCGGTCGCACCGAGACCCAGCCCCCCCAACAAACCTCCAACTCCGGCGGCTACCAGAGGAGCGGCCAGCCCACCTGTGACGCCGATCAAGGCGGCGCCTGCGACGCTGGCTATTCCGACTTTCCATTTCCGTGCAGTGGCGTTGGCCTTCTGGGCGGCAGACGCAGAATCACCGGCGTCCATCTTGCTCGCTGCCGCGAGAAGACCGTAAGCGATATCTTTCTCCATTTTGGACACTTCGCCACTGGAGATGTGCAATGACGCCGCGAGTCGAAGCATCAACGTCCGTGAGTGAGCACGGTATGCTTCGAGACTGAGAAGAAGGAGGAGGATGGCGTTGAGAACCGTCGAGCGTTCTGTGTGACTTAGATCCGCCAACGGCGTGGGGACTGGAGCGTATATGTCTGACAGTCGCTGGTCGGCGGCCTTTTCTCTCTCAGTGGGAACGTAGACCTGTGATGGCGGAGTGGTATTTTTGTGAGGTTGTTGCGGGGCTGGAGTTCGCTCTTCGCGGGAGTTGACGACCTCCCCGACCCTCAAGATCACGCTTTCAGACCAACGGTCGAAGAATTCTAGAGCGGATTTCTTGAGAGCCTCGCTTTGAGGCGTGGCTGACACGGTAGCTTCTTCTTCGGATCTGGCAGCTTCGATCTGTTCTCGTTTCATGGCTTCGATCTCTGCATCCTGGCTCGCGACCCCTGCGTCGTCGAGGCTGAGCTTGGACAGATCAATGCCCTTGTCCGTATCAACGGGCGGTTTGGGCTTGGGTTTCTCGTCAAAGGCCTTGATGAGGTCTTTCCGCATGACCTCTGTGACGTGGACTAGCAAGACACTGAGTTCAGCGCGTTGATCGCGCGTAAGCAGAGTAGCCAGCGACTGGTCGTCTGACTGGGCATTCTGCTGAATGCGCTTGGGGCTTGAGGGCCTGGGCCTGAAATTGATGTTTGATAGAGAAGGCATCTTGTCTCGGCACGGTAATGAGAACAGCCTCTTGCTATCGTCTGAAATGCGTTTTTTGCCGGGTTATCAGGAGACTTTGATGGACCTACTGAGCACAAGAACGAGAACGGTCATCTTGATAGCAAGTCGCAGATGACGCAAGCCAAGGTGTCAGCGCCGGCTCGTGTCTGGGTGCACAAGGTGCACGAGGCTGCACTACGCGTGCACCGCGGGTGGTTTCCTCTTCGGGCAGCAAAGTTGCTTCTTTCGGCCAGATTTGCATGTTTTGGTGGCTCAACAGGACACCTGCTAGATGCACAGGCACCTTGTACTAAATGCACAGTCACTCCACTTCCCCTCTCAGACTTGTTGGTAGTGCGACACCTATACGAGAAGGATTCTAGCCAAAGGCACTGCCGCTAATGGCACACCTGAAAAGCACCTTTAGTTAAGCATTATTCCCTAGGTAACTGGGGACGGGGACTCTGTATACCTATAGCAATCGACCTACATATATTGGTAAGATTCAGACAGTCTTTCATCACCCACAACAGTGACCAAACAGCCCGCTTACCACTCAACGAAAAGCAGAGAGATATACGCAGGTGTCGAGTTTGACCTGGTGGAAATGCGAAAACTGAGAAATACTGTAGCTTGGTCAAGGCACCTTGACATCAAACCCATTCAGAATCGTGCCAACATAATTATAGAAGCCCGTGTAATGAACAGCGGCTGCCGCTCCATCCTTGCCGATGACTTTGACGGCCTTGTCCCAGATTGCTTGATCCAGTGGTCCGGGGTGTCCAAGAGCAGTTGCCAACTCGAATGCAATCTTCCCTTCCTCAGTGAGCGTCTCCGGACACTTGCCGGCGTGGATGTCTCGAAGCTCAGCCTCTGAGATCCCTGCACGCTGAGCGATAATGGCGTGAGCATAGTTCTCGAAAGCTGCTTGTGACCGTGAGCCAGCCACCGCAATCACAACTTCTCGCCCATACAAGGTCAGGCCGGGTATTTTCTGCAAGTTCCTCGCGAGGAGGTGGAAATGTTCAGCCACTTGCGGATGGTGCAGCAAGACTCCAAACGGCCCGATCAGTGTGCCATCGTCGAGGGCAGTCTGTGGGGAAGAGCCGTATCGCTGCTTGGTGTATTCACTGAACAGTTCATAAGCGCCTCTTTGGTCCTCCGTCAAGTCCTTTGGCGAGGTTAGACCAAGGCGGTTCGACATACTGGGATACAAGATTTGAATACAAGGTCGAGATGGAAATCGATTCCGCGGGCAAGTGCTCGTCAGAGACAAATCTGAGTTCCAGAAAGAAATTCGAGAAGAATCACCAGTGCTGACTCGGAGGGGTAGTTGTGCGAGATCGGTCGGTTAAGTACGGGTAACATGGCAACGAATCTCCGATATACCCCAGGGGAGGACTTTTCTGAAAGGCGGGGGTTGTATGCCAGATATCATGATATGGCCATGGTACGCAGGCCCAGAATCCTCTTCGGAGTACCTGCTCGATATGCTCAGTCGCGACCCTACATGGTCATGTCCGTCCCGGAATGAATGGTGGAAGCACCCGAAATGTCCTGCACAGGAACATCCACAGGAAGGTCAACACAAAGTACGAATCAGGGCTTGTAAAGTGCCTTGTGGTAAGACTTAAGCAAATGGGTCAACTATGATAAGCTTTCGCCCTGTTCTCGATTGAGGTAACTCATCGTCAGGCATTCGAAATTTGGCAGTTTGTGCAGATCTTTGACCATTTTGCCCTTTACAAACAGTACGCAGAATATTAGTTCCGAGATTTGTGGTGGTACGAGCCATCGTTGTCGACGCATACGAGAACAGGACTCTTCTATTCTCGACCGGAAACCAGGTACCGAGGCTGGTGAGGTTGGTAGGTCCAGCTGTGCATTGTCCAGCCGTGCATTGTCCAGCCGTGCTTTGTCCAGCCCATGCGATCCAACACGGCTAAGACGGCATCCCGTCCCCAGCGTTAGACGACGCTACCCGTAACTTAGATCCAGCTTAGAAACCAAACTTCGCCTCCCTCGTTGTCGACAAAATGATCTCAAGTTGCAAACTTCCATTTTCCGGCCATAATGCGGTGTCGAGACCAGTATGGAGTCTGAGATATCTATCGACGAGGAGAGGCAGGCCAGTGCCAGTGGTGAACACGAGGCTTCCCAGGAAAAGCGTGACGCCACAAATGGCAATTCTCTCGAACTCGTTGCCAGCTTCGAAAGCCCCTTCGACTTTCCTACCTGGCGAAAATGGTTGATGACTTTGCTGATGGGAGGCATGGCTGCTGCCATTACCTTTGGCAGTTCAGTATGGTCCTCAACACTTCCCGTCACCACAAAGCAATTTGACGTTAGTGAAAGTGTCGCAGTCTTGGGCGTCTCTCTGTATGTGCTGGGCTTCGCTTTGGGACCGATCCTCTGGGGTATGTCGCCATCCATTTGCTCTCTGCTGCGTTTGCTGATATCATTATCAAATTCAGGACCCCTCTCTGAGCTCAAAGGTCGACGGCTGCCAATGTTTACGGGATTCTTCATATGGACGCTGCTGCAAATTCCAGTCGGGGTGGTGAACAACCTACCGACCATTCTCGTCTGTCGCCTACTGGCAGGCTGTTTTGGCGCAGGGCCGATGGTCCTCATCAGTGCCGTCTATTCTGATTTCTGGGAGCCAGCTGAACGCGGAACAGCCGCGGCGGTCTACTCGGCGGCAGTCTATATCGGGCCAACACTAGGTATGTATGCTCTGGAGCCGTGGGATGTGCCGCCATGTTGTCGACTTGCTGACCCCTGATGCATTATTGTAGGCCCCATTTTTGGCAGTCTGCTCACCGAGAGTAAACTGGGGTGGCACTGGACTGCATGGCTCACCCTCATCATGGGCGGGAGCGTAGGGCTACTAGCCTTCTTCTTCGTGCCGGAGACATATGGACCTATCTTACAACAAAGGGCAAACCGAAAGCTTCATCTCGCCAATAACCCCAACGCTTCCTCTGAGGACGACTTCGAGCAACATGCAGGGTTTGAGATCTTTGTACGAAAGTACATGGTCAGACCCGTAAAAATGCTCTGTTTTGAACCTATGGTGCGTGCTCCGCTCCCAGTGGACGATATATACTGACTCTTACAGTTGATGGTCATGACTCTATACATTTCCATCGTCTATGGTATCCTGTACCTGACGTTTTACGCGTTTCCCTATAATTTTGCAGAGGGTCGAGGCTGGGATCCCCGAGTTGCGTCTCTGCCCTTCTTAAGCATACTTGTCAGTGTCTTGATGGGGTCTGTCGGAGTTGCCATCTACTCACGCGAATACTATCGACCACGCCTTCAAGCACGCGGGTCAGTGTTGCCGGAAGATCGGCTTCCGCCAATCATGCTAGGCAGTATCTTACTGCCCGCCGGGCTCTTCTGGTTTGGGTGGTGTTCGAGCCCCAACATATCACCTGTACCCCAAATCATCGCTGGACTGTTCATCGGCAGCGGTATAATGCTCATCTTCACGAATGGCATCGCTTACATCGTCGACATCTACCTTCAATCTGCTGCTAGCGCCCTAGCTGCCAACACGTGTTGCCGAAGTCTGGTCGCGGCAGGGTTCCCACTGGCAGCACCGAGAATGTATCGTACATTAGGCATTGGCTTAGCTACGAGTGTCTTGGGTATCCTGTGCGTCCTCCTCATTCCGGCGCCCTTGCTCTTCTACAAATATGGAAGCAAACTGCGACAAATGTCCCGCTACGCTCCGACTTCTCGGTGACGGAATGAAACCAGCGGTGGGCTCGCTTTGCTGAACGAGCCTATCCGTTTTGGCCTCTGACCATCACTACCACCGTGGGCCGAATCAACCAGATTGGATACTAGCACCTCTCATGACCACATAATCCTTTTGGGCAACACCATCGTCCCATCGACGGTTGTAATATTCATCAACCTTGGTCACAAGACCATCTTGGTCGATCTCCATCACCATGCACACATGACAGACATAGTCCTTGCCCGTTGCTTTAACGACAACCTCACCGCTCGGGCGCACGATATCGTTGGCACAACGGCCCGTCCAAACCTGTTCCAGGACTGCACCAAATGGTGTAGGGATGATGGCCTGATGAGAGATTGGTTTGGAATATAATACCCGTTCAATGACAGACTCACCTTCTCGTCAGCTCGGAACGGCTGGTTGCAATGGTTCCAGGCTTTGTGCAACCCCAAGACCGCCTCATGTCCAATACGGGTCACCAAAAAGGCATGGTCCGACCATTGAATGTCGGGATGATAGACTGAGAGGAACCTTTGCTTATCCTCTTCGGTTAAAATTGGTTTGGGGAAGTCAACGAGCACCTTGCGAATGGTCTCCTGCACTTGAGCAAGTCTTTCACGTGTGATGGCGACTGATGACATTGTCACAGAATTGGACTCGGAAAAGTCTTGAGGATCTCGACTGAACCCAGCGTTGGTATGCTAGACTCCACCATTTTATACCCCCAAAAGTCTTGGACGATGACAAGGCCCCCCATTGAGACGCGGGGCATCTGAAGGCGTTTCTGGATATACCGAGGCCGTAGTCGCTTGAATTGATGATTAATATCCGCATGTGTCCTTGTTGACACAGTTCTTGATCTTACATGCTCGAAAATATGCTCGGCTCGACTGGGCTCAGCCCTGGTTTACCTCGGTTTCCCGAGTCGTAGGCAGACGTGAGGGATGCGCGCCATTATGGGAGAAGACTGCGCTCCTTAACAGTTTCGAGACAATCCAAAGGCCTTCAAAGCATGAGACCTCGGCGTTCCCAATCCGGAAGAACCAAAGCCACGAACTAGTAGTCCATATGTGCATATTCAGATGCCCTGCCGATGATGTAGCAACGTTGTATTCTGCACGTTGAAGCAGCGAACCGATGCGGCTTACTTAAGCATCTTGGCGTCCTTCCGTAATGGCAAATCTGTGGCAATGAAACTAATGAGACGAGGTTTCTTCTGGGATATGCGACACCTACAATGGGAAGGACTTGATATGCGTGGGAACGAGACGGAAAGAGAGGCCTTCTGAAGCCCGGCTCATCGACGAACTTGCCTGCACTTCAGACTCAGCCCTGCAAGATGAAAAAGGAGACTCTGCTTGCGATGACCAAGTTGCTCAGGTCTGTCTTCTCGATCTAAGATACGTCCGGCTGCAATGATCTAGGCGGCTTCATTTTGATCACACAACCTGGCTTGCCTTGCAAGCCATCCAGGGACACAGCAATGAAGAAGTCAACTTCCAAAAACAAGCCCTACTACTACCTTCATGGTCGACCTGGGCCCGCGGCGTCATTACCGACGGCACAAGTCGAACAAAAATACGATCCAGGATCAGGGCAGGTCTACCAAGAAAAAGAAATACGCTTCTCCAGCAAGAGGAACACCGACTGGGCCCGAGAGCGAGTTGGCCGAGATCTCGCTCTGAAGGATCGTCCCCCAAAGAAAGGCACGCGTTCGCTGGCCGAAACCGCCACGTTCGAGCTCGCTAGACATTGCGAAGATCTTACGCCGGAGCATTTTGCATCTGTTCCTTGGTCCATAGCCCGACGGGTCTGGGACCGTTTAGTGTCAAGGTAGGTGTGGATTGGATGTTTGAGTCTCGAACAGGGGCCTATGTATCGCTAACAATCTATAAAGAGGTCGTCACAGCTTTTACATCTGGAGAATATTCGCAGTGTCGTACCCAGGGGCAGATGAATTCGGACATCCTGATTATAGGCATCGAGTGGACATACTACACCCTGTCTTGCCATATACCGACTATTTCACGGGCATCACATCCAATGGGCTGCATTGGTTAGCGTGTCTCCGCGTCTCACCGAAGCAGATGAGCACGCCGGACGTTGTCTCCATTCACAAAGTCACCAACCTCGCTGTTCTGGATCTATCCGACGGGCAAATTAGCCTTGACAATCGTACATCGCCGTTCGACGAACGAATAATGCGGTCGTGGGCAGAACTCGCCGAGGCAGGGCAGGCGTTTCAGCATCTACGAGTCGTCCTATTTGGATGGCAAGAACACGTATGCAAGTGGATATTCAAGTATGTCGATGCATTCCCGTCCCTGTGCCATATCATTGTCACAGACTGTCCCAGGATGCATCAGAAGAACAGACGGGAATGGGAGCCCTTTTCGACAGCCGCTGGCTGGGAAGCGAGACATGCGAAGCGGAGTGCGAAGGATCTGAGGCCTGTCATCGAGCGTGGCCATGGCGGAAAGGGTTATATTTGCGGCCTCTATGATGAGAGTGCGCATGTCTTTGAAGACGTCGTTCACCCACGGCGGCCAGACTTGACGGCGGAGGGACTGCCACTGCTGGACGCCGAGATTGGGACACCACGTCCGTGGCGACACATCGTCGACGACTTTCCGTCGACAAGAACAATCCTCTTCGACAACGTGAAGACAAAGGCCTGGGAGGAGCAAATACAAGGCTCGCGTGTTGTCGAGGTTCCTCAGAGCAAGAGGTTGAGAAATCAAGAAGGGCCGAGTCAAGGCACAGCTTCACCCCCAGCGAAGCGAAGCGTTCATCCGGCCGGGCCCAGGACAAGGCCAGGTGTCAAGAGTGCCGGAGACCTCCTCAAAGAGTTCCTGCCCCGATGAAATGGGCTGCTAGTTGGAATTGGGATATGTATGGAGTGACGGTCATCAATGCAGCCTCGCAGCCTCGCAGCCTCGCCCTGTAGTGAAGACGCCCCGACGTCAGCGGCCACGGCAAGAAGCGGCTCATACGAGCAGCACCAAGCACAGTCCACGCATCCCAAGAGCTCACATGAGCCACGGGAGCACCAGACCATCTGATTTCATAATTCACTCTTTCAAGTCTCCTGTTCCCATCCAGATCCCGGTCGTGCTCTTAAATGATTGATCAGCGTCCTGCAATGCCCTCACAGTCCATCTTCGCCGCCAATTGAGGTGCCTCGTCCCCTGCCCCGCCCAACAACAGCCATCGCCCAAGCGACCATTTATAGCCATTTCTCAACCCAACACGAACGAATCCGAATCCAGCCCGATCCAACCGCCGCCATACAGAGGCATTCACGATGACAACACCGAACCGTGACCCTCCGACCACCTCTTCTCCCTCGCCCGGGGGGTCCTCGCGCTCGAGCATGGACGCGACTTCGCCTCCCAGCCGAACTTCCTCTCTCCGAATACCGTCTTTGCCCAGCGCCGCAGCCCAACACCGCCAGAGCTTCAACGAACTCAGAGGACATCCTTCGTCTCCTCGCTCTTCGAGACAACCTTCCGTTTCATCCATGGCGGTACAAGACCTCATAGACAACCCTCCGGCAAAACAGCCCGATCCTCGATTCGCCGGGCGTGACTGGACAACTGTAAAGGTAGAAGAGTTGGTGAGCGCAGACGATCTGAGGTTCGTGGACAGTGAAACCGGTGTCGAGGCAGCTACAAAGGTCAGCATGCACCCTACGTTCCGCTGGACATACGCGGCTAACACCAACAGGTCCTTGTCGAATCTGGTGGCCCAGTCGTCCTCATTCGCGAACAGCCCGGATCCCCTGTGATTGGAACCTACGACTATGGTGATTTAAATGCCTACCTGCTGCTGGTGGTCGGACTCGCCCACCCAGATGATGAGCACGCCGAGGACTTTGAGCAAGTGGCTCAGCGGGCCAGAGAAGGAAAGCCCATTCACCTACGAGACATCAAGGACATCAGCAAGAAGGAGCCGTTGACATTCTTGAGCAAGGATGCCAATCTATTGCAGGCCATTGAGACATTTGGCAAAGGTGTTCACCGTGTTGTCGTGGTCGACGAAGCGACAAACGAAACGGTCGGAGTGCTCAGCCAGACTATGCTGATCCGATTCCTGTGGGAGAATGGTAGGAGCTTTCCCGTGCTGGAGCAACTCTTCACTCAGCACCTGCGTGATCTCAAAATTGGCTCCAACGATGTGGTAGCAATCAAGTGAGTCCACCCTCCTGGGTCATCTAGATGTCGCCGAACGCTGACACGTTTTGTGTTTTTTTCCTCCAGCGGCGACCGTCCCCTTGCGGAAGCGCTCACACTTCTCCTCAACGAAGGAGTGTCCTCTCTCCCAGTTCTCGACCACAACCACAACGTTATCGGCAACATTTCGAATGTCGATGTGAGACTCCTCACCAAATCATCCTCGCTCCCTCTCCTGAAAAACACCTGCATCCACTTCATCTCCGTCATCTTGTCCACCCGTGGCATGTTCGAGGGCAAAGACTCCTTCCCGGTTTTCCATGTCACTCCCCTCTCGACACTCGCACACACGGTGGCCAAACTTGTCGCGACAAAGTCTCACCGGATGTGGGTCACGGAACCGGTGTCGCCGAGCTCATCTGGGCCACCAACTCCTGCCTTACACACAGCGACACTCGCTCCAACTTTGAGTCATTCCTCCTCGACTACGGGATCTTCGTACGCGACCCCTCCACAGGCGACATCTACACCCCCCACCGATCCCGCGGGCAGCACAGTAGTCGATCACTCTCCGAAAGCGCCCTTCATCGCGCCATCGGGCCCCAGCATCTCCGCTTCGGCGCTGCCAGGAGCCCGCATCTCAGGCCGCTTGGTCGGCGTGGTGAGTCTGACGGATATTCTGGTCCTCTTCGCTCGCGCCGGCGGTCTTACCAATGTCGCGGACCCCAACGAGCTACGCATGCGACGGAGACGGAGCAGTTCGAGTAGCGTGCGCAAGAGTTTCGACAACGGCTCCCGACCTCCTGTCCAAGGTTCGAATCTAAGGCCGTCGACCGATTCAGCCCGCAAGCCTACCGGGTGACAATGGCGGTGGGGCCTGAGACCAAGGATATCTCGATTCGAATTCTGTTTTGTCAAAACGATACCCTCAGCATTATGAAACAAGCGGTTGGAGAAAAGAGAGTTTTGTTTCCGAGAAGGGGGGATTGCTTGGAGAGTTGTTTTCGTCAGCAAACGGGGTCTCGCAAAAGCAGAAAAGAAAGAAAGAAAGAAAGAGAATCGGTTCAGTTTGGCGTTTTGGGGAAGTCTCTCTCTTTTTCCTTCGAGTACGTACCTACCTACGTACCTAATGTTACCTGGTAGTTATAGTAGTACAAGGAAGTAGTAGGTTAGTATCTAGACAGCTGAGCATAAACCCAAAGTCGAAATGAAATGGAATGCATTAGACTCGAGGAGGCGCACTGCAACTTTGCAGAATTAACCACCTGCCCAGGTAACTAGTGAGCAGGATGTACTGTTGTGAAGGAAGAGGTAGGACGCGAACCGGCAGTGGGAGTCAGTTGCGTGGGTACATACATATGCACGTATACCTAGGTACCTAGGTACAGGTAGTAAAGACGAACCTGGACACAGGGTGTATACAGGCACATAAAGAATGAATGTATCGATACCTCAGAGCTCTCCGTCTCTTCTGCCGACCGTGACAAACATATACAGCCCCCCCGGACTCCTTTCTTTAAAAACTGTCATCCGCTGAACGACCTGTCCACCGTGGTTACGCACGCCGTATGTGTCGTGCGTTTGTTCGTATCCGTGTATTATATTATGTAGGTAGTATGAAGTAAGGTGTCATAGTTCGCCGTACCAGGTGGAGAAATATTCGTCCAAGCCTTGCAACGACGACGTCGCGCAAAATCCCTAACTCCCCCAACTCCCAGACAACAGACAGATAGATGGAATAGATAACAACAAGATTAGCAAAGGAGGGGAGGGAGAAAGAGGGACCGACAAGAAGGGAGAAACGAAGTTTGGTTGCCCTGACTCTCCTCCAACCACCACCATCACCACCACCGACAAACAACCCACTGCCGACGAAAAAAGATCTGGTTGTTAACTTCTTCAACACTGAGCCATAGCCTCCCATCGTGTATGTATAGCCTCATCCCGACGGCGGGATACATTTCCACACACACGAAATGCCCACACACACTCGAGACTGAAAGAAAGATGCTTGATTGAGCCGCGAGACATAACATGGCCGATGCCGTAGCAGGAGGTCCACTGGTCGTGTTCTGTCGCCCGCTCCAGCCTGCAGATGAAAGGAAGAATCCGGGGAAGATCACATCGAGCACAACCCTCTCAAATGCCTCCAAAACACCTGGGCCACCTCAAAACCGCCAGCCTGTGGCCAGGTGACTGAAGGCATTGGTGACCTCGCACTCTGGAGGTTCAAATCCAGCGTCAGTCATCTGTACTTGCCACGCTCTGTCCGTCACACTCTGTCTTGGAAAATAAAGACGGATCGACATGGCACCGAGGCAAAGGAGAAGTGCAATGCCCCAATTATCTCATAGAGATCTGAGTTGAGATCTAAAAAAAATGTCGATGAGATATCTTGGTAAATATGAATGAGAATAGGGAGAATCACATAGGTGTCGCAGATCAAACCGGCGACGGTCCACGTCACCCTGTCGGTTCGACGCCTTGGGGAGACGGATTCGCGACGAGTCCACTGCTCTGCATGTCGGCAGCGCTGCTCCCATCGTCCCAGGACTCGTCCATGACAAAGTGGTCCCAGAATCCTTCACCTGCTGGCGTGTCCTGACCTGAGCCACCAGACCCAAATGCAAATCCTTTGCTGTCTTGGCCAAAACTGAAGTCGTGCGCGGCAGCAGCGGCAGAAGCTGCACCTGGTGTGGGAGGCTGGTTCACCGGCCGTTGGGGCGTCGCGTCTGTGCTATTGTTGCTGCTGGGTTGGTCTTTGTTCCTGTTGGCAGCAGAAAGGAAGTTGTTCTGCTCTAGTGCCGAAGGAGCCACGGTGACGGACATGCTCGGGTAGTTTAACGGATGTACCGGCATGCCTTTGATCCCGCCGTCAACACCATGTACACCGTCGTGCCACGGGTAATAGGGCGTCGAAATATACTGGTCGCTCCCTTGCATAAGCATCGAGTAGCTAGGATCTGTAGGGTCGAACCCGGGTGCGTTGGCAAGCATCTGTTGAGACTCGGGCGGAAGCGAGGTCGTTAGGGGACCCATGTCCTGCCACAGAGGAGGGAAGACATTCGGACTGGAGTAGGGCTGGAATCCAGCGGACTGCTGAGGTTGATGCATATAATTCGACTCAGACTGGACCTCGCCCGGGTTGATTGTGGCCGGCGTAGACATGCGGCGCTGGCTGAGCGTATCCGGAGGCTGTTGCGCCGTGGTGGTGCTGGTGTTCGGAGACGTTGAGCCTGAATGTTGCTGGGTTGTACCTGAGGCCATGGAGAGTGCTCGGCCCTGGTTTGTGCGGAAGCTGGGATGATGTGGATTTGGATACGGTGAGGTTCTATACAAGGACTGCGGAGATTGGCCCATGTTTTGTGGCGGAAGCATAGGTGATGGAAACATGTTTTGGTGCTGTTGCTGCTGCTGCGTGAACTGGCCGGAATAGGCTTGGGCGTACGAGTTCTGGACCATCTGCTGCATTGCGCTTCGCATTGCCAACTGATTCGTGAGGTAGGCCGCCAGCCTGCGATTGAAGTCGGCCGATCCCGTCTGTAGATGTGCAGTGAGCCGACGGTACTGCAGGGGTAAGTCATCGTCCTCCTCTTCGTACATTTCCTCGTTGATGACATCCTGCTCGGTGACACGCAGTGACCGACCAGTTCTGCGCTTGTGAATCTCCGAAGCTCGCCGTGCCGACTCGACCCTCGCCTCAAGACTTCGGTCGCTCCGCCTGGATGCAGCGATATATGCTCTGTTTCGCGGGTGAGCTAAGAAGGAGCCATGGTCGACTCTGAATTACTCACCTTTCTTGGTTCTCTTCATGTGTTCGCTCGGTCTTGATCGCCTTGGCAGGCGGTGTAGTCCTTACAGGTTGCATTTTGGAGTCAACGCCGCCGCCGGACACTGGTTGCTCACGCTTGCATGATGATGGCATGGTCTCGATGGGAGATGGACTTGTCAGTATCCCGGTGGCGAAAGTAATGTTCTAGGTCGGTTGACGTGGCCGTGGTCGGGCGTATATACCGGGCGCTCCAGATATGGTGGCTTCGACACAGAACTATACGTGTGTACCGAAACCAAACAGTGTCACCAGGAAGGACAAGTATATGATGGATGATGTGATACGGTCTGGTATAGTATAGAAGAGAAAGTTCACTGTGATGGAGGATATGTACGACGAGAAGAGAAGACCAGAGCGAAAAGGCAAAGTAGCGACAACGGGCAGTAGCTTGTCTCCGGCAATGGACCAAGGGCGATCGGAACGTAGAATGACAGCCAAGGGAGTAGATGCATATGAGAGCAGGAAGAGAGTTTGCGAGCGGAGCTAGAAGATAGCTACCTGCTTCTCTCTAGCCACATCCGCTTGGAAAACCGCGGTTTGGAGAGGTGGATACGGCACAGCGAGAGCTAATATTAGCGGCGATAGGAGTAGCGAGGTGGAAGGATACGACCACCGCTGCGAATATTTGGTGTGGAGGTTTGTTGCTGGCGTCGATCGCAGGCACCTTGTGGTGGCCGGCGGTGGGCATGGAAGGGGTCAGGGAAAAAGATCCCAGGCACTGGGAAAGAGGCAGTGCCAGTGGCCGCGAGAGATTTTCGGGGAGGACAACCTCCATCGCCCGCACGGGTCTGTCTTCAAACGGACCAGAGTTGTAGATCGGGGCGAGCTTAGTGCTGCACGAGGAGGGTCTGTGAGCGGGATGGGAAACAGCAAAAAGGCAAAATTCGAGCATAGGAAAGTTGTGACAGGGGTGGCTGCGTTGGTGTCGATGCGCGCGACGTTTTCGCCGTATCCAACATGGTCCCGTGAATCGACAAGGTTTTGGCCGGAGACCGCGAGGCCCAAGTAGGCAGGTCGCTCTCTACCAGGCCAAAGTCGGCCGGGGACGTCCAAGCACTCCCTGCTGTGGTCCGTCGTGCCTATGGAGTGTCTGTAGACCCAATTTGTGGTTGATCGAATGAGTGCTGGGGCCCAAGTCGATCATCTCTCGTCCTGCTTTTGTATCGTGGTGTTTGTACGAGTCGTACTTGCGCATCCAGGGCTGCTGATTCCGGCGGGATCCTGATCCGCGCGAAGGAGAAGCTCCAGTCTCCAGAAGACGCACACCCTGATCGGTGAGTCCAAGATTCTAGTGGACAACGGCCTTTGAATCCGGAATCAGGATCTGCCACACACCCCGATGCCACTAGCCATGCCCATCGTTTCTTGTTGTGGTGTAGGCTCGACGGGCCCAGATCCTAGCGTCGCTCGGGCAATCATGGGTCAACGGCGCCACATTCCACTGACACATTGTGACGGCATGTTGGCAGCACGACAGAGCCCAGGACGAGTATGGGTATGCGCCCAAGAGGGCAGGTGGCTACAGCACATCAAGCGCTCTGTACTCCTGTGGAAAGCCAGCCAGCCAGTCTCATCTCTGCTGCCAGGTTCTGTTGATCCAAGCGATATTCTCAACTTGACCTCTGCCACAAAAGCGTCAAGCTGCCGTATCGCGAGACAACATCCTCACCGTGCTGGGCATGCAGGAGAACACAAACCCAGATGGACTTTGATTTTTTCTCCCATGTATGTTCGGTTGCGGGTGATCTTCTGAGAAACCATCACCGCTTCAAAGATACATCCCTATCTGTGACGAAGGTTTAAAATTGTTTTTTGCTCTCTCGCTCTGCCGTCATTCGACCGGTGCGGCTGCACAGCCTCACCCGGTAAACACCACACAGGCGGGTGATTCGACATGGCATTCCAAACACCGATGGCTTTGTGGGGGAGAAGCTGCAAAGGCCGCGGAAACTCCCAGAGGGCTCCAGGGGGCCACAAGTTAAGAACGGCTCCTCGGGCTCCAGAAAGCGCTGGGTGCAAGGCCCTGTCCATGTCTCTCTCCTCGTACCGTCCAAGCAATTCAGGGAGGGGGTTCACGACTGTCTGTACTCGCTCGTGTGAGGAGAAGAGCTTCGTGGGCTGACAGAGCGGGAGTCAGTCAGCATTTCGAGATACCCGTGGTCAATCGTTCCTCGTCCATACTCCGTATGTCTGTCATGTCTCGAGTTCAGGAAAAGCGGCGAATTCTCTATGCGTCGTTACCCCGATGCTCAGGCATGGATGGCCGTCGCTGGTTTCTAGGCCCGAACAGAGTTGCCGAAGAAATTTGAAATCACCGTCTCCGAATTGTGGGATCGAAGGTGGATGGTTTTGGACAATTTGTAGAACGTAGTGCGAGACGTGCTAGTAACTGCGGCCTTCAGATCGCCGATTCAACTGCGGTTATAGATCTCGGATGCGCAACGACTGTCCCATACGACCTATTTCAGGTTTCCACAGACGTGGCTGCTCCACCACTTGGATACTACTAGTTAGTAGTGTACTACTATGGACGAGGTGTCTTCTTAATTAGTCACTCTTCTCTCGTCCATTTCCTCGGGATCCCTCACGGCTCCTCGAATCCCCATCCGATCCAGCTCCATATTCTGCAAGATCCGATCTCACACCGCATCTACCACCCGCATGCTGATCCCTGTGGCCGTGCGAATCAGGTGTCGTCTGCCACCTCCCTGGTGCCCATCATTACCCCTTACTAGATGTCGCTGTCTCTTGTCTCGTGGCATCCCACTGCTCGGGCTCGAAAAAGTCTGTATTGTACGCGCTATTGACGCCATCTGGCTAGCCTTTCCCGTAAGTTTACGAACAACAGAAAAATCTCACAAGAACGGCAATACGGTGTGGAGCGGGTATGAGTCGCAGAACAATAATGGCGACAATCCAACGTGAAATTCTGGCTGGTCTGGCTAACCACCGACGGCTGTGCCCAGAGCTTCGAGGAACTCAGAAGGCGTCTTGTGATTCAAAGGCTCCAATCTCCGCAAACGTCCCCCACCAGCGCATCATGTTTCTGTCTCGGAACACCTTTCCAACGCTAGCTAATACCCAATGACGGGACATTCCCTTGCTGTTCTTGAGCCTGCCCGTTGACTTCATACGACACCTTAAATCTCATCTTCACCACATTTCCCTTTCCCGCCGGTACTCCATTGAGCAAAATCTCTTGCTGAATTGCGTTTCGTGCTCTGGGTGCCATTTCACGTCCGCTTTGTGGTTTCAATTGCAGCGAATAGCTCTTTTCTACTGCGACCTGGAAGTGCAGGCCGGTGATACGTTGAGCAGTTGAATTGGAAAACCTTGCCGTTATCTGAATGCCCGAGGCACCAGCAAGTCTTCGAGGTTCAAATTCGATTTCAACATCTGATGACAGTACTTTCACAATTGTACTGACTGGTAAGGCTGACTCGAAAGTCCATTCGTCGTCGGCAACGCCTGTGGAGGCCGTCGTGTTGGCTGGGACTTGTTGCATTGTTGGCTGAGGCAAATTCGCTTGCCAACCCGGTGTCGCTGGTCTCGAACTAGAAGAGACCAACGATGCGAATGGGTCGATGTGGGCTTGACTGACTGGCCGTTGTTGCTGCACTGCTGGCACAGGCGTTGCTGGCTTAGACGACGGCAGTGCGCTCGTGAGGGATGCAAATGCATCATAGTTGGGTCGAGATGCTGGCTGAGGGATGGCTTGCTGGTTTATTGAGGGACTGGGGGTGTTTGAGAAGATCAACCCCGAAGGGGTCCCCGATGTTGTGTTTTGACCTAGAGAGATGGCGCCCAGGGTCCCCAGCCCAGCACTGCTGTCTCCTATGGAAAGGCCGAGCAAATCGTCCTCGACCGTGTGAGGTTTTGATGGTGCAGTCGTTGATGGCGGTGCCCCAGCATCCAGGAGGGAAAGAGAGCCGTTCGTATCGGTATCTGGCGCTGTTACAGTTGCTGTGGGTTCCGGGTCAAAATCAATCAGAGACAGTTCGTTTGCTGCGTTCTTGCCAACACCAGTGGTGGTACCCAGTGTGCCTCTGGCAATCTTGTTGGCCGCTTCAACATCGCCAGCTTTCATCAACTTGTATCGTTCTATGGTCCGGTGAATGCTATCGTTGATCTCGAGAAGCTTGGCCACAGCTTCAGCGTCGTCGGATTCCTCTTCACACATTTTCTGGATTTTTGGATGCGCACTTTGAAGGGCTGCGGCAAGTTCCTGGCATTGGTCAGTCACACGTCCGTGGATTGCATGGGTTCACCACGTACTTCGAACACATCTCCATCACCAATCTTGTCACCTTGCTTGTGGTTCTGCAGCATCTCTTCCAGGATCCTGGCCTTTTGTTGTACTTTGGCAACCTCCTCAGCCGCTTTTGCTCGATAGTTTGTCTTGTTCCGCGTGTCATAGCCTGCCATAACTTTCATCAAACGGTTCGCTTCTTGCAGATCTTGAGGTCTCCCTCTGCGGATCAATTCCTGTAGCTTTGCAGATTGAGCTGCTCGATCCTCTTCTTCCATTTCCTCTGCAGACCGGAGGTTCTACAATATGTCAGCACATGTCGACAACGTCAGCACTTGTTTTCCGCATACATCACTGGGATTTAAGACTGCGGCATCCTCCCGGCGAATCTCAGGGAACATGTAGCCTTTGTACAACAACAGCCTGTGCATGTCTCGTATAAACCCCAGATCCTCCTTGTACCTCGAAGTCTGACATATTGTCTGCCGCCATTCTTCGATGGCTTCTAGAATCTTACTTTGAACTCGGCTCGGGCGCACCGGAGGCCGTTCAGGGAAACGCCGTACAAGCTCATTCAGGAATTCTTTGGTACTGATCTGTAAATGAAAGGGATATCCGCAGTTCTTGACACAAATGTCCAATAAGGAGAGCGCCAACAGCGAGACATTAGGATTGCGGTGGTTGATAAGTTGAACGATTGTGACGGCAGCCTCGCGAGGAGCGTTGCCTTTCTTGGAGTTGACCAGGTCGACGATTTCTAGGTTCAGGGCCAGATTAGGTTCGAGGTTTGCAACTGGGTCACAGGCATTGTATATGAAGCGCTGCAGGGTTGACTGGGGAGGAGAGAAGCCGTCGAACTGATACTGGCCCCGCGAAGCCATTCGTGCTGAAGTGGCTTCCATTGTCAGGGCGCAACCATTCGATCCAACAGCTTGTTGTCACGGTGGGCGAGGCTGCACATGTTCCGTCTACTTGGGCCTTCGATTACAGGTCACTGTCGCAGGCTGGTGGCAGGAGACTCAGACAGCGTAGCGTCGTGCTGCCTTGGCGGGGCAAGTGGACAGCGTGCCTTCTTGGGTCACGTGGTATGCCGTCGCGTCAACTCGCACTCCACTGGACGTCCTGTCGACCTTGTGCTCACTGTCCCCTTAGCAACCCAGCAGAGGCAAAAGAGTGAACTACACGCGACGAATGCCGCATCAAACCACCAGGGAACAGCATGAACATACATGTGGCCGGAAAAAGAGCCTGTCTTGGGTTTCTGTGGGGAGTCTCAGTGATGATGAAGGCTGAGGTAGGTTACTTTGGGAGCACAACGGCGACATCGTGGTGATGGCCTACAAAGGAGTCCGCAGCAAAGCACATGAAATTCTAAGCAAGTTTTGTCTTGAGTTTGTCATTGCTGCCACCCTGGAAAAGAAGAAGAGGTAATTCCCCTGAATGAAGACATATGACACCCCCTGGCCCGTGTCGTACTGTTAGCAGGACTGATACAAAGGCCAGCTGGAAGCCTCAGACCCAGAGATGGTGTAGGTCCGTCCACCACACTCATTTTCCAAGAAATGTGAAGTAACAATCAGCATAGGTCTGGATAGCGCTTGAGGATGCGGCGCTTGATGTTGGTAGGGTGGAGGTGCTCGTGTTGAAGACTCTGGCGCTCGCTACGATGTATGTCGTACGACCCTGTGAGACACTATTGTCCAGACCGCCTCCCTGGATTGACTTCAACCTGTAGGAAGTTTGGCCAGCAGCGTCTTTGGGTCCCCAAGAAGAAACGTACTGTCTCAGCCTGATCCCAAGCGACGCCACATTTTCAGCTCGCAGCCTAAGGAAATGGATTGGAAACCTCTCGGAGGGGTTCGCGCCTTTGGAAACAACATCGGATTCCCGGACCTGTTCTTATTATGAGAAACCACCGTCGATCCTTGGACGGCTCTAATTAATCTTCACAGTAGGTCTCAATATGCTCGGCTTTGTGCTTATTTTTCACTGTCATCATCACTGCCGTCGGTGCTGCTGTGCTTCCCCGGCAAATCGGTCAAAATGTTCCTGCGAGGGATTGGCAATCAGCCGTACAAAATATCAACGGCCTGAACTCGGTTCTTACTCTGCTTCCAGTGCTTACTGGAAAAGTCCAAAATGTCAAGCTCGTCGCCTGCAGAATCTATCCAGCGTCCTTTGTTGTTGCTGGAGTGGGTGCAGGTCGAGTTTTGTCTAAACTGCAGGTCGGCATCTTGCTCTGGAGCTTTGAGCTGTACCGCAACACGGTCGGCGAGTTGTCATACGCCCACGATGAGTATGTCAACAAGTTCTCTCCGACGCTAGAGCACATTCCGACCGGTACGGCAGAGCGGCACTCTACGAGCTTGATAATCAACCACAACCCGGCCGAGGTATACATGGTTGAAGCCTGGTTTCGAACCAGGGGAGTGCCATCCATCATCAAGCTTAAGCAGAATAACTACATTCGACTCGCTCTCGGCTCATTCATCTACTTGCTCCTCTACGGTGCCGAGACATTCCTTGCGGTTCAGAATGGAGCTGATGGGACAACGAAGCTCCTTTGCGCGGTACAGGCCATCTGCGTCAGTGCATGGCTCAGTGCCGTTGTTACAGTTCAAGTAGTCAGAGGGCAAGGGAACCCAGAGATTGAGCTGAACCGTCTCGAGTCCCCGGAGTACAGATGCCTCAGAATGCCAACGCTCGGAACCAACGTCATCTGCGAGACATTTAGTTTTCATGTCGCCAATCTAACGGAATTTAAGCTCTACGGAGCGAAATACGAGCAGCCAGTTCTCTCCGTTGCCGGTGTGCTCATTCTGACCAGCGCAACTCTGGACATCATCTCAACGGTCCTTATCGTCGGGTTGACATCTTGGGCATATCCCTGGATAGGATTCGAAGTCGTAGTCATCCTGATCAAGGTGGTTTTCTGCATTGAGCCCATGCGAGAGATCGAGATCGCCAGTGCCAGACCACATGGAGGCAATGCCCACCAGAATCCGCAAATCACCAATCCAGTCACCCTTCCCGCCCTGCTACCTTTGAAGATTCAACTGGCAGACCCTTTCACCTGTAGTTTCGTGTCCACCGACTACAACGTCTTCCGAGAGGCCAACGCCGGCCGGGAATGGCGGTCAACATCAGCAGGAGTTTCCATAGGGCAAACGTACACCGCCGTCGGCGACGACGGCAGCCCCCTCACCAAGTGCCTGGCTCACACCCAGGACGGAAAGCTCCTCTCTCTCGCCGACGACCCGCCGACTCCTCAATCCAACGAAGCATTGCAACGCGAGTTTCTCGCCGCGCTGTCGGTGGTCGTCGAAGCGAACAGAGTCCCAAGCGTGGAGTTCGTCACAGCTATAGAAAGGACCCTGTGTCAGGTAGAAAGCACAATGGAGCCTAGCTGGTATGCCTTCGGAGCCAAGGACGTGACGGATAGGGTTAAGAAAGCAAGGCGTGACTTGCATTGGCGGCGGTTTCTCTGATTATTCGAATACCTTTCAACTTGCCACGCCGACGACACTCACGGGGATGAAGGACATTCCGACAAGCATATAATTGTCATAGGCTCTCTGATATTACTACCTCGTGTCACATCAAGACAGATTGCGAGCGCACTCGAAGTTCACTTCAACGCGGGTATACCTCTGAGCCTACTCTCTGACAATTGAGATGGGAGAGCGAGAGTCTGGCTCGGAGAGGATCACGTTGACTTTGCCCTGATTATGCGCAAGCTGGATCCCCTCAACACTTATTGAGCGCAGATGTATTGATGGAAAAATGTGCACTATTGTGGGTGTATTTATAAACAATTGGGCTGGTTTCGGCCTCGTGTGGGCCACGCTGATGCGTAGTCACGCTATCAGAGTCATGTACTACTCAATCGAGGTCAAATTGGAGAGCATAGTCATTTCATATACTGCAAGCATCTAAGTAGTGCCGCACCCAAGAATTGACAATTGAGTTCGAAAGTCCCAAAGAGGAAAACACCTGAAGAAATGCTACAGCCCATGTTTTGTCCCAGTGTGACCCCAGAGTATGCTTCTCGCTCATTTTTAAACAACTTCAAAAGATCCATTTTCAACCCATCATCTAGCCCGACGTGGACTCGCAATCTCTGCACTCTTCAGTGCTGGAGGCGCTGGGAGATCCTTCATAGGTGGCGGCGGCAACGGACCGCTTGGTGGAGGCGGCCGTATAGCCAGTGCAGGACTTGCCAGCGGGATCCTGTTACCTGCCAAGGAGTTGCTGCTGCTGGTCCTCGGTGGGAACATAGGGCGATGTGACGACTCGATTGCCGAAGCAGGCTCCGGGATGTTGTCGCGTTCACTGAAGCCCAGTCGGTTTGCACGGTTGGAGACACCATTCGGCGGGTCGCGGGTCTCCAGGGATAAATGCTGCAATGAAAGAGGTGGAGGAGGTGATCTTTCGACGATTCCTGTTGGAGTCTGTTGTGCTGGTGCAGGCACACCTTGAGGTGCGGCTACCGTTATGCTGCCCGTTGTAGGACTGGCATATCTCCTCGCAGTGACCGGGGTACCTCGGGCATCACTTGTGAATGAGGCTGTCGAAGCGGCTGAATTGGTGTACGAGGTATCTGAGCTGGTGCCGTCGCTCTTGAGTGATTTAGGCGCTGGTGGCGCCAAGTAAGATTTTCGGTTGTGTCTTTCCATCATGGAAACCGCCCATTCCGCCAGGTCGACAGGGGTTCGCTTCGCCGCCTGTACAAAGTTGTCGCGATCGTAGAGCTCTCTAGGTGTTGGCCTTTCATCGGCATTCTTGAGAAGACATTTGGCCACAAAATCTTCCAGAATAGCTGGGAAAGCCTCGCTTTTCGGTAGTTTGGGTGCAGGCTCATGCACTATGGTTTGCAAAAGGTCGAGTATACCCATTGGTCCGGCGCTAGCTCTGTCGCCTGCAGCAGAATCCGTAGAGTCAAAGGGAAACCTTCCAATGGCTAGTTCCATCACTGTCAAACCCACACTCCATACATCAGACTTGATCGTGTATGCTCCTCCCTGAATTCTTTCAGGTGCCATATAGGTAGAAGTGCCGACAAAGGTATTTGCAACGGAGTTGACTGTCTCAGTGGCAACACCAAAATCGCATAGCTTGATCATGCCTCGGGAATTAACCAAGACGTTGGAGGGTTTGATGTCACGATGCATGATACGGTGTGCTTCGTAGAGATATACAAGGCCTCCAAGAATTGATTCCGTAATTTTCCCAAGCACATCGACACGGATAGGACCAAAATCCTTAGATATACGGTCTAATGACCTAGCCAAATGTCAGTAAGATTTGTGAAGATGTCGCCAGCGAAACTTGCCCGCAATCCATGTATTCCATGCAAAGCACAATATCCCGCGCCTCGTTTTGAAAAGCACCGTAGAACGTGATGACATATGGAGAACTGCAATCATGGCCTACCTGCAATTCTCTGACGATCTGCTTGCGGACGTTTTCCTTTGCGTCAACTCGGATAATCTATGTTTTGCTTAGCCCAACTCATCGCAGCCAGCCTGGCCTATTTACCTTTCTTGCCATGATAACTTTGGTAGAAGCATGCATGACTTTACTGACAGTTCCTCCATTGCCTGCTCCTAGCTCTTTCAGGACTACCAAGTCCTCGCTTCTCAGATCAAGTTTGAACTCGAGACCAATCTCCAAAGTGTCCGTCCGGTCACTTTCGGAATTGCCCAGAGCGCCCGGAATTTGGGAGTCCCCATCTGAAGGGTTTGCTGTTCTTGGTGGAGGAGCGCTCAAAGCCAGTCCTTTTACATTCTTCCTCTTCAGCGTCCTGGCCTTGAACTGGTCGGACATGACGAATATTGTGTCTCGAGGACGCGGGGAGGGTAGGGTGAAGCCGAGATCGCAGCGGCGGTAACAGGGAGAGGCGTAATGTGGATATGGAAGACAGGATATGTGTGAGTGAGTCTGTACAGACGTAGGATAGGGAACCGGGCGGCTATTTCAGACCCAAAATGCAAGAACAACCTAATCCATGAGGCGCTTAACAAGAAGACGATCGGCCAGTCACAGTAAATTTCCTCCGATTACTGAGGGCGAATTGAGTGAGAAGAGGCCAGTATGCATAGATGCTTCCAACCCGAAATGCACCTGCCAGAAGAAAAAGACTCGAGGGTATGAAGAGGGCGGGATCGAGGTGAGTCTCAAGTTGGCAAATCGAAAATGGTGAAACTGAAGATAGGGGCTATGCAAACGGCCCAGTGAGGATCTGGAACGATAAACGCGTGCGTGGAATGTCTGAAAGAAGACCCAGGCAGAAAGTGATCAATAGTTCACTGCATAGAATGATGGTAGTCCATAACGGTTCGCCAATGAAGTGGTTAGTGGAAGATCAAGCGAAGGCGCCTATTTCCTTGAGGCTTGTACCGCCACGACTACAATTGTAACATGGTCTCCCATGCCGCCAGCGATTTGCTTGTGAACTGTGAATGAGGAGGCATCTGCAGCTCAATATTCTATGCCCCGCCGTAGACAATTCTACGGTAGACTGTAGAAGCATTCTTGGAAAGTTCGGTAAACGGAAACTTAGGCGAGAGCGCCTGCGCCTTGACTTTTGTCCCAGACAACAGCATGTACATTCATATTGCTACCCTCCACTTGTCCAGGTGAAAGTGACCAAGGCGCTCTTCTCTCTTGCCAATTTGCGCGACTTCTCCTTTGGGCTACCTTCACCCAGCAGCTTGTTGTGTTCATCTCGCGATCACAATGGATTTAATTGACGATCGCGCCATCCTTGATGAGGAGGACGAAGACGATGAATCGTTTGATGAGGACACTGGTGAAGTGAGGAAAACGTCAAATGGAACGAATGGCCATTTTGATGATTCATCTGACGAGGAAGAAGACGACGATGACGAAGAGGCTGCAGCTGAGGTAGGGCATTGTTGTGCGCCACATTTCCGAACATCTGTGTTGACATTGCTCTCCAGGTCGCGAAAGGGTTCATTGTCGATGAGGACGAGGATGAAGAAGAGGCTCGAAGGGAGCGGAGACGCGAACGCAAGAAACGCCGCCGAGAAGAACGTGAAGACGAAGGCCTCGACGAGGAAGACTTAGAATTGATCGGCTTGAAACCTGCGGAAGAAGTGCCGGAGCCTAAGTTCAAGCGGTTGAAACGAGGCCCTCGTGAAGATCGAGATGCAACACAACCATCCGGGGTCAATGACATCTTCGGACAGTCAGATGAGGAAGATGAGACCGCTGACTACAATCGTCGAAGTCGACCAGACCGTCGTGGACTGCAGGATGAGTTTGATGATTTTATTGAAGAGGACGTCTTCTCCGACGAGGAGCAACAGCGTCAGCGTGAGGATGAGGAAGTTGCACGACCTAATCGGAGAGGCCTTCCAGATCTAGGAATCGCAGACGTCGCCGGTCTCGACGAGGGTGCGCTAGAAGACTTCCGTGCGGCCTTTGGCGATGGAACCGACTATGACTTCGCCCTCGAAAAGGAAGACGAGGCCGACGAAGAGGAGGCAACCAAAGATAAGCATCTCGATCTCAAAGATGTTTTCGAGCCTTCGCAACTGGCAGAAAAAATGTTGACAGATGAAGACAACACGATCAAGTACGCCGACGAACCAGAAAGACATCAGCTTGCGAGGAAACCATATCGCCATGTCGAGTTGACCGAGGATGAGTTCAAAGAGGAAGCAGCCTGGATATCCAAACTGATGCTCCCAACAAAGAACTTCTCCTCAGATCTGCACGAGCCTTTTCGACGTGCAATTGCGCATGTCTTGGAGTTTTTAGTGCGAGATGACTACGAGGTTCCCTTTATATTTCAGAATCGCAAAGATTACCTCCTTCACGTCGTGCAGAAGGTTGTAGGTCGAGATGAAGACGGGAATCCGCGAACCGTTGCCGATGCTACCAGACTCCTTGTTCAGCGTGACTTATGGCAGATCTTTGAGCATGATCTCAAATACCGTGCTCTGATTGAAAAGCGACAAGCTTTACAGAAGACATACCAGGATTTGAGAGCGGCCAATGTTCCTGAGGATAAAACATTCCAGCAGATGCTACCACTCGCTGCCACGATGGAAGAACTTCAAGACCTGCAGGACTACCTCTACTTTGAATATGCGTCTCAGCTCAAAGACCTAGCTTTGACCTCGAATGGAGAGTCCAATGGAGTCAACATGTCTCAAAAGAAAGCCTCCACAAAGACCATTTACGAAGAGATTCGCACCTCGAAGGCTTTTGGTCTCGTCCGTGCATTTGGCATATCCGCAGACGCATTCGCACAGAATGTTGCCAGGGAAGGCGTTCGGATTTATACAGAAGACCCCGCCGACGGTCCGGAACAGATGGCAGATACGCTTACCGACGAAGAATTTCCCACCACTTCTCGAGTAATGAAAGCAGCAAAGTCCATGTTCATCGAAGAGTTTGTCATGAGCCCAAGATTCCGAGGCTTCATCAGGAAAAGCATCTACGCCGAAGGAGTCATTGACTGCCACCGCACTGATAAAGGTCTCCGGAAGATTGACGAACAACATCCATACTACGAATTCAAATACCTCAGAAACCAGGAATTTGCCGCTTTCTGGTCGAGGCCCGATCTATTCTTGAAGATGTTGAAAGCAGAAGAAGAAGGTCTGGTGAATGTGGACGTCCGATTCAAAAACGCCGAGGCGTTCAAAAAGCAATTGTACAAACATATCGAAACCGACAACTACTCTACTGCCGCGGATGCCTGGAACGCTGAGCGCCGCGATGTTGTGTCCATTGCAGTAGACAAGGTGATGAAGTTGATGGGTCGCCTTGTCAAAGAAAATCTCAAGGAACAGTGTGAGAATGTTATCGGAACCGAATGCCGCGAGGAATTTACGACACGACTGGACCAGTCCCCGTATCAGCCCCGGGGCATGAAAAAAGGTACCACGCCCCGAGTACTCACACTATCTAATGGAGGTGGTGTACCTGGGCGTGATCCTATCTACTGGTCATATGTGTCGGACGACGGCAGAGTCCTTGAGCATGGACGTTTCAAAGAGCTTGGCCCGGGGGACCGAGAACGCGGCATTCCTGATGGGAAAGATGTGGAAGCACTTATAGATGTTATACGCCGAAGAGAACCTGAGGTCATCGGAATTTCAGGCTGGACCCCCGACACCCGAAAATTACTTGACAATATTACAACCGTGGTCAAGAACCATGATCTGCGAGGCCCTACCTTTGCAGATGATGACGACCGAGACCGAACCGAGCTGTTGGAGGTTATTCTCGTCAATGATGAGGTCGCGCGTATGTATCAATCGAGTGATCGCGGCAAGTCGGACCATCCAGGACTTCCCCCTCTGGCGTTATATTGCGTGGCTCTTGCCAAGTACATGCAAGACCCGCTCAAGGAATATGCTGCGCTCGGCCGAGACCTAATCTCCCTCAGCTTTCACCCTGCACAAAATCTTTTACCCCAGGAGAAGCTCTTAAGCAAGCTAGATATGGCTCTAGTCGATATCGTCAACATGGTCGGAGTGGACATCAATGAAGCTGCGAGTGACTCTTCGGTGGCAAACCTGCTGCCGTACGTTGCTGGCCTTGGACCAAGAAAGGCTTCGCACGTGCTGAAGGTTATACACCTGAACGGCGGGTATGTCAGCACTCGTGAAGACCTTTTGGGGGTAAATGATAATCACCCTGCCATGGGATTCAAAGTTTGGAGCAACGCCGCCTCGACACTTCACATCCACTTCGATATGCAAGAGCCCCAGGCCGAGTATTTGGATGCAACCCGTGTTCACCCCGAAGATTACGACATAGCACGCAAGATGGCTGCCGATGCGCTTGAGCTTGATGAAGAAGATATCGAAGCTGAGCGGAGCGAAGGCGGGCCCGGCGCCATAGTTCGACGATTGATCCGCGAGGAGGCACAAGAGCGTGTCAACGACCTTGTTCTAGAAGAGTATGCGGAGCAATTGGAGAAGAACCTCAATTCAAAGAAGCGTACGACGCTGGAGAACATCCGAGCAGAACTTAACGAACCATACGAGGAACTACGAAACCCTTTCCGCAGCGCTTTGGGCGAATCAGAAATTTTCACAATGCTGACTGGTGAAACGAAAGAATCTCTGCAGAAGGGAATGAATGTGCCTATCTCACTGAAGCGCATCAGTGACCTCCACGTTGAGGGCAAACTAGACTGCGGCTTAGACGCCGTCGTCGAGGATGGTCAATGGGCGGACAGCGGAGTCTCACCCAAACAACTGTACACCATCCATCAAACAGTGCAGGCACATATCACATCGATTAATCGGAAAGATTTTGTGGTGACAGTCAGTCTGAGAGAAGATCAACTCAAGAGACCATTTAAGAGGTACAGCCAGAGCGATCGGGGCTACAATGAATGGGACGACCGTGAAGAAGCAGCAGACAAGAAATTGCTTGAAGAAAAGGCAGATTCAGGGAGTCGTGTGACCCGTGTAATCAAACATCCTTTATTCAGACCGTTCAACGCTAAACAAGCAGAAGAGTACTTGGGCAGTCAGAATCGTGGCGATGTTGTCATACGACCCTCTTCTAAAGGAAACGACCATCTGGCAGTGACATGGAAAGTGGCTGATGGTATTTTCCAACACATTGATGTCTTGGAACTTGATAAAGAGAACGAATTCTCACTGGGTAGGACCCTGAGAATTGGTGGTCGCTACAACTATTCAGACTTGGACGAACTAATCGTTTCGCATGTCAAAGCCATGGCTCGGAAAGTGGACGAGATGTGTGGCAATGAGAAGTTCCAGAACAAGTCCAAGGCTCAACTCGGTATGTCCTTCAGTGTCTACGCAAGTTCAACGAAGATGGCTAACTGTCAAACAGAGGAGTGGCTGACTACCTATACCAACGCCAACCCTAAACGATCCATGTACCAGTTTTGCATCAACAGGGAGCGGCCAGGACAGTTTCACCTGGTATTCAAGGCAGGACAAAAGGCCAAACTTATGGATTGGAGCGTACGAGTCATTCCGCAAGGTTTTGAACTCATGAAGACGCCATACCCTACCATGAGAGATTTGTGCAACGGCTTCAAGTTGATCTTCCAGAACATGCAGAATTCGGCGAGTCTAATGCCCAGGAGATAAGAATTTGGTTCAGGCGCAGAGCATTGGTCACTGCGACAGTTGTATTATACAGATTTTTAGTTATCGGACGCCTTGCTCGGCAACAAAAGAAATGCTACAATACATTTACCATATCTCCCGTACCCTCCTGGCCCAGATCTCGTCACAAGTCTGCTGCCAGACTGACAATCCCTCATCTCCGATCCCTAATGCGTGGGAGCCAGTAAATCCTCAATTCGCATCCTGGTTGCATGGCCGAGCCCGGGAGAGCTTTTTGGTCGTGATTCTACAATAAGAGGTACTGGCTCTCGACCGTTCGACTCCCTTGGGGAGTTCTGTTCGCTGGGGGAGTTCTGCACCATCTTACTGTAGTCGGGGTTGCGTTGGGCATTGTCTCTCCTCCAAATACCTCGAAAGACACCTCGGCCGCGGTCCGTCAGATTTTGCCGGTACCGTAAGGGCGATTCTCGGAGCCGTTCCATATCACGTGCCCAGTGTTTCTTTGTCTATATTGTACTCCGTAGATCCATGATCCATGATCAACTATGATCAGTCGCTGTCAGAGAAGAAGGACAACCTCGTCGTGATTTCGTGTCCAGAATTTGGGTTCGACCTTACAATTTTGGCCGGCTTGACGGTGATTTGACTCATGGAAGACAGAAACGTTCCAGGAGAACTTCAACATCCTCTCAATTGTCTGGTCATCCTTTTTAGGTGAAGGGATAATGGTGAATTCTAGTGCTGTATATGGATTTCGGATACCCCGTTTTTCACCTTGCCCGAAGCGGTCAAAGTCTCTTCGACTCGACCCCTTGCTTGGTGGAACCGGATTTACTGTCTCTCCGACTAAGTCCAGACCACCAGGCTTAAGTCCGAACTGCACGACACAGAATCGACATCCATTCTGCTCGTACGGATTAACAATTGCGTTTAGACCGTGGACCTGTCGTACATACAAAATTGCCGGCATTCGACGTAGAAGACAGGGTACCATCGCTCATCTATTCTATGAGTGTTTGTCCATCACCACCGGTTCGCCCGGTATGGCGCTGAATGAGGGCTGTGAGGCTCCGTCAAATCGAGTTCGCCGCGCGCGGAAACCTGTCTCTTGCTATCCATGCAGGCATCGAAAGTGGGCACTCACATTGGCCTGCCCAGACCTTCAAGACTAAGAAGCCCCCTCCTAGGTTGAAATGCGACCGAAATCTTCCTGCGTGCGGAAGTTGTCTGCGTCGCGGTGAGCTCGTCGCTTGCACCTATGCTAGCAGACAACCCAATCTCCGCGACTGTCCACAATCGAGTACGAGAGATCCTGAACAGCTCCAGAGAAAGATTGATCGGCTAGAGCGGCTTATCGTTGAGTTTGTTGAGAACCCTCGCGGTAACAGCGCCGGCTCTGGTATAGCCTGTGTCCAGACAGATCGACTTGACGGATCCGCTCTTCGGGTCATAGCCCCTCGTGTTCACCATGGAGATATCGACCTGACAATCCATGCCGGGCAGGAGACTGTGGTCGAACCGGACCCCGTTTCAGTAAGAACTTTGAAGATCGACGGACATCACCCAAAGTCGCTGTCAATCGATGAGGCTCATTGGGCCCGTCTATTGAACGAGGTAAATACGGATGTGTATGATGCCGGACCATCCTTCTCTCTGACCATTCTGCAGATTGCTGAAGTCCGCGGTCACGTCCAAACCCAGCAAAAGAAATATGACGAGCAGCTGCAAAGGATATCTATGCTCATGGGTCGTACATCCTATGATCCCGGACCGGCTCTGCTTTTCGGTTCATCGAGGACGGCGAGCAGGTCTGAGATAGTCTCGCAACTACCCTCGAAATACTTCTGTGACCTCATGGTCGATCGGTATTTCTCCACGCTAGACCCGGGGCTCTGTGTGTCTATCCATGCAGTCATCATCGGCAAGGCTGACACTTCTAGACATTCTCCATCAACCGACTTTCCGTGAGCAGGTGAGTGGACCTGTGCCAACATGGTCCTTGTAGTCAACCTGCCGCTAATACAACCAGTACGAGGCATACTGGGCGGACCCAGGCGGTCAAACGTCCATCGTCTGGATCGCGCTCTTGTTCGCAGTGTTGAGAGTGGCGATGAATGACTGGATCCGCGAAGGCGATGAGCCCATCGAATACTCTGGAAAGTGCCACGATATGGGACTTACCTTTCGGAAACGTCTCACTGATTGTTTGCTTCTGGCCGACTATACCCGACCTCATGAATATCTCATAGAGGCCCTGATACTTCATCTATATTCAGAATACACCGTTAGCCGCGATTCCAAGTCGACGACGTGGGTTCTGACTGGGATGATATCACGATTAGCCATGAGGATGGGCTATCATCAGGAGAACCAGCCGTCCTTGCCAATGACTCCTTTCCATGTACGCTGATGTGCGATTCTACGGTGGTTGAAACTAACTAGCCGTTCCGCAGACAGAGATGAGGCGTCGCTCGTGGGCTTTTGTCCGACAGGCTGATCTACTCTTCTCGTTCCAAGCCGGGCTGCCCTCGATGGTCAAGACTAAAGGCTTCGAAAAAAGTCTCCCGCTCAACATCTACGATGACCACAGGTTCCACAGGGGGTGCGAAGTCGTACCGCCTCCCGTCGCGGACACGGAGCCTACACCTGTATCGTATCTTCTCTCAAAGACACGTCTCGCATTTGGGTTTGCACGGGCGCTCAAGGAGATGAACAGGGACGAGCATCCGTCGTACGGACGTGTCTTTGAAATCGACCAGAGGCTTCGAAGCCTCTACGACAAGGTACCCGACTTCTACAAGATCCACGCCATTGCCGAGCAAGCCGCCGACCCGTTGCAGGTGGTATTTTCTCGCTACGTCCTGGCAAATCTGCATTACAAGTCCCTCTGCGTGGTGCACAGCAGGTACCTCGAAGTGGCGAGATCGAGCGGCACGTACGCCTACTCGAGACGCGTATGCTTGGAATCCGCCATGACGATGCTCAGGTTCCAGGCCATACAGAATGAAGAGATCTTGGTCGGGGGCAGGAGGAGGTCGTTGACAGACTACCAGACCTCGCTGACGATCCACGACTTCCTCCTCGCAGCGACGGTCGTCAGCACGGAACTATGCATAACGCTACGCCGAGGCCGGGGCGAAGAGCGCGGCCTGGACGGGCCGACCACTGCGGAAATGCTGAAGGCGCTCGACTCCAGCGCAAATATATTCAGCCAGAGTCGCGATAAGAGTATCGAAGCTTACAAGGCCGGTGATATTCTAGGTATGATCTTGAAAAAGTTTCAATCTCCTCTCCCCTTGTCTGTGTCTATGCCCATGCATCTTTGGACCGACGGTACTACGGCCGGTGCTGGTGCTGGTGCTGGTGCTGGTAGCTCACCGACGTCAAGGTCGGAGGAGGGAGACACTGCAGTCGTCGACATCAACGAGGCTATTATGGTCGGCGACGACGCGGCGGAGTCTGTCGGACAAGGTCCAGGCGGTGGAGATGGGGTAGTCGACGCTCCGAGACGGAGTTTTGTCCCTCGTCGTCTCGACGGGCACTGGCGAGTCGACAACGCCCTGTGTGGTCCGAAACCGACGTCTGACGAGTGGCCGCCACTCTCGGGTGAAGACGACGCAGCACGCCACCATCCACCAGAGGTAAGCGAGCCTTTGAAACAAACCCCCCTGCATCGAGCCCAAGCTGACGATGAATCGCTTGTTTCTTCCTCTTCTCTCCAGAGCTCCTCTGCGCCACCATGGCGGAGACATGCGCACGCTTCTAGTGCTCCTCCTACTTCTGCAGCCCTGGACAATGGCGGGTTGCGAGGCTTATTTTACCCCTCGATGCTCGATCTCAGCGACCCGGTCTCGACGTTGTGGAGTCTGTCCGCCGGGCCATCGAACAGGGGTTATGGGGACCGGCCAAGGTAGTTATGTACGAGTAGATACCTCAAGTTAGAGCGGGATCCGTGTCTACTTCAGGGAGGGAGGGAGGTACGAGTACAGTACTAATCATCATGTGTCGAATAGGGTTGTATTTATCAGACATGCAATCGATGTTGATAAGAGGGAGCAAACGCCACGCCAATCCTAGCAGCTACCATGGCTTACCTTGCCTTAGATGTCTAATCCTGTAGCGTACTACGATATGAGCTGAGAAGCCTCTCTTGTGCATTACCTACGGCCAACTTCAATTCCAACTCCAAGTCCAACTCCATTCCCATAGCGACGACGAATATGTAATCATCCAGAAACAACCGCAACCTCAATCGCAGCCCCATTGAGAGTTTCCTAAGCGCCATTCCTCAACAACCCTCGATGCAACTCCCACGAAAAGAAAATAGTCCTTCCTGTTGACTCCCTGTCAACGCGTATAATGCGTGGATAATCATGTTCCCGCTGAGTATCGAGGCATAACCCTGTATAGATTCGGTCGCCCGAACGCCTTGTATTTCGTACCATCTTCCCCCTCCGCCCTCCCCCAAACCGATCCGTAATGCACCAACCCTGCTTGTCCTCGATCAAGTGTTGTTGGTTGACTCATGCTTCACGGTATCATGGCCTCCGCCTCTTCGTCTGTAATGAAGATTTCAGCCACAGGGCAGTGTTCCTCGTCCCCAAAGTCTCCGTCGTACTGCTTCTTACGGCCTCGATCTCCGTAGCGTCCCAGCATGTAGCTGGGAAGGAACAGTTCGTCGTTCCAGGTGAACCCTTGGCTGTGTTTGGTGTAGGTGATCAGTCTCGGAGGCTCGTCTGGGTCGTCGTGCAGAGAGTTGAGGTTGATGGACTTGTACAACCCAGATGCTAGCATGGACGGGCCGAGAGGTGACGAGGATTGACTGAAGACTGCGGCCGTGGCGCTCGGTGCAGGGTAGGCTGCCTTTTGTTTGTCCTTGCGCTGAGTCGAGTCGATACTGTCCGCGGGGCTCGAGACGGGAGGCAGTTGATCTTGACCTGGAGAGACCATCGTTCGGAAACGGTGCCCAACGGACTGGCCGGCGGCTGAGTTGTAGGAGGGCCACGCCGACTCTTGATCCGACCCCAGCGACAACGATCCAGCGTCCGACGACTCGGCCCGCTCGGCGTTCTTGATGTAGCGTTCGCTCCGACGTCGACGCCCGGGAACTCTGTACTCTGGGTTCGTGTTGAGCGGGATCTTGATGGCCCTCGACCCAGGCGGTGGAGGTGCAGATGGCTCGGCCATGGTGACGTGACACCCGGGATGCTCCGTGGAAGATGAATGAGTTGACAACGCCGTCCGTCCCCTGGCCAGCTGTTTGCGGTGACCCGGAAGGAAATCAACTATGCCTCGTGAAAGGTTTACATGTACGAGTGCCTTGGTAGGTCGGGACAAACTGAAGGCAGAGATGGGACGCAGGATGAGGACAGCACAAGGCCCGTCCCAGTCACGTTCCACCTGAGTCACAGATTCCCCGCATTGTTCCGGCGATAACGATAAGACATTGGCAACAAAAGCGCGCTATTCCCGGTTGGCTCAATGTAATTAGAATAATAACTCAGGCCGGTTGCTTTTCTCTCTAGTTCATTGTCTGCTTGTACAAGTGTCGGAACAGGCACTTCCAACTGTGCCCAGTCCCCCTTTCCTGTCCTTTTATGCGTAATACCACGGCTCATCGAAAACATGGTATCGATGACCGCGAACTCCCTCGCCACGGAAGAGCGCAGGGAACCTTCTTCCTGGTCGAACCTGGTCCTCCGGTATCCTCTCGTTCGTGTAAGACGCGGGTTCTCCAACCACAAACTTGCCCACCTGTATTCCATTAGTCTCCAAAGCTTCCGAAAAGGGTGCTGAGCTTACCTGGATCTCTGTGTCTGTAATAGTGCCCCGGCTGACACGAGCATATCCAACTCTCTTGATATCCTTGTACAGTATATATTCGCACCATCGATCCCAGTCGCTCTCATCGATGTCATGCATACCGCTCTTCTCGCCCACGTATGTGTGGTAGTTGCCCTCTTTCGGTTTGATCACGAGGTAGCTGAGCAGGATAGCGGGTCGAGGGCTAGCCTTCATAACCTTGGCAAGATACTCGGACTGCAGGCGACGATCTTCCGGGTCTTCTTCCTGGCCCGAGTGGAAGACGAAAACATCCACCAAGGTACCGTACACATCCAAAGTAGCCTCAATAGCGGGTGCCAGCTCGCCCACGGGAGAGGGGAGGAGGTGGTGTGTAGAGTTGACGATTGGAAACTTCGACAGCAGTGCTGATCCCCATGTGTGCTTGTTGGGTCCAGGGCCATAATCAACATACATGCCAAGATCTTCCGCCAGGTACTGGGTGGTGTCACGATTGCCCATGATGATACGTTGTAAGTCGGACTCCAGCAAGCCAACCACGTCAAGCTCCAACTCTTTAATGGCATCACGCATTCTCCGCTCGGAGGACCACATGTCATTGTCAAGGGAAAAGTGAATGGTCCAGATGCCGGCAGTAATTAACTTCTCGTCTCTGTGGTAAGGGGTGTAGTCATTGGTAGGGAATCGCAGGTAAGCAATTGAGCCTGTCAGAAGCTGCAAGGCGAGCAGAATGTGGACGAAGTAAGCCGTTTGCTTGCGTCCTCGCGGGCTCGACGTAGACTTCTGTTTATGCGTAGAATTGGTGATCAGCGCCGAGAAAACGCCCGCACCGATCATCAATATAGTAGTGATCATCACCCAGTCGGTGTGTTCCCTCACGAGTGGTCCACCTGGCACAAAGGCATATGCAACCACCCACACATGAAAGAGGACCATAATATTGTAGCAAAAGAATCCGAAGCCGAAGGTTGCGGCTGGGTTGTGCTGAACGGCTGACGAGATGATGACTGGAGCAACTCCCATAATGTAAAAGGCTAGGAGAAGGCCACCATAGTATCCGGTCCAGTTGCTGTAGAGGGTGAGCAAGGCTGCGCCAACAGCGCCTAAGCCAAAGGCGGTCCAGGATGCAAAGAATCCAGGAAGAGCAATACCAAAGAACACGCCCGCGCTCATGCAGATCAAGGTGACAGCCCCGTGAGGCGCTGCTAGTGGTCCTCTTACAGGATACCCTTCCCAGACCCATAAGATCATGGTGCTAGAATCTGAAAGCAGAGAGTGCATGGCAAACATGAGACCTCCAAATCCGAGCCCTGCCAGCAAACTCGAACCTTTCTTAGCATTGAGCGGGACAAAATCGCCTCCGCTAGTTGTCACTGGGCGGGTTGACCTCCAGATTGCAAACATGGCTGCTAGCAAGGCCGTCTTGTTCCAGCCTCCGATGCCTGCATGGAGGATAGGCCAAACTGGATTGTTAGTGTGGTTGGCGAATTTAGAGATGCTGGACAAAATCAACCCAATACTCCAAGCAAGAACTCTTCTTTGGAGGCGTGCGGAATTGCGTCTTTCAGCATACCATTCCGCCGACCATCCCAGACACCCCATCCACACGGCGAAGCCAACCGTGAACAATCGATTTGCTGGGTCTTTCACAAGCCAAGCCAGAAGACCGGCCATGGTAGACATGTGGATCCAGCGGTTGTATTTGATGCAAAGGGACCTGATGAAAGGAACTCCAAGCATCAAGGGGGAAATTGTAGACATGACCATGACTTCGTAACCTGAAATTCCCATATGCCAGAGTGGGAAATACCACACAAGCAATCCCAGAGAGGTTAGGATAGACCAAAAGAAGTATCCGTGGAGGATCTCGGCTAGTGCGTCGAGTATAGCAGGCCAGTAGTAAGGTCCTTCGAATGTAGATGTTTGAATAAGGGAACTATCGTGGCTACAGGGTCATCAGCTGGAGCGCTCTATGACGGGCCTATAGCAACTTACTCTTTCTCTTTCACCGACTCTTTCAGAAGTTTGGCATCACTATCCAACGTCAGTCATCAACCAAGCAATGGTTCTACTTCGTCGTACTTTTGTATATCTCGGGAGCAGCTGCACGTACCCTCTGCTGAGGCCCTTGACGTCTCTTACCACAAGCTCAAATGTCTGGAAATCAAGGGCAGTGACTGCGTCAAAGGCGACGTCAAACAAGATAAGTGACCATTCAAAGAATGCATAGATCGTGTATGCTGCTCTGCTGTCAGATAAAGACTTCAGGGGAGGATTGGGAGGCCTACCACCAGCCCTCTTATGAACCTTGTGCTGGATGAACCAGTACACAAGTGGCACAAGAGTTCCGAAGAAAAGCCCAGCCAAAACCTTTCTGTACTTGATAGCAGTAGGATTTGGAGGGCTCAACGCAAGGCAACCCAGCGTCCATGGCAATGTTGCAACTAGGTAGGATATCATGAAGATATCATGCCAATCGTGATCATCCGTGGATGTCACATATGTCCAACCTCCACATGTCAATGTTCTAAACAAGCCGGTTGCTGCTATGATCCCGGGTAAACTCGTGTTTGGCCTCCTCGTGAGTATGTACCACAGTCCAACTAAAACAAAGCGTGGTCCAGAGGTGATAGCGATAAAGACCATAAAGACAGACCGTTCAGGATATCGGTCGCCGATTGTCGCAGAGACGGAGGGGAACCATTCGTCGGGGTAGCCATAGTGCTCGTTTTGCACGATTTTGTGGTAGTGGAGAGAAACGCCGACTATAAAGGCGCCAACGAAGGCGGCATATGCGACAACAGTATGTGCCCAAGAAACATATTTTCCGTTGAACTGAGGCATGTTAGCTTCATCAACGCAACGCAATGGCATGTGGGCCACAAACTGAGAAAACCACATCGCCTTCCTTCTTGGATGCCATTATGAAGCACTAGGGGCGATCCGAAGAAGCCGCATGAGCTGTAGAAAGGAAAACAATGGATTAATGAGTGACAAGAAATCGGAGGACGAACAAAAAACCGCAAAATGAAGCTGCGCTCAGGAAGCAGGTGAGAGCAATGGTGGTGGGTGTCCCCTGATGCGCGTTGGTCGACGTTACAGGGGCGTTCGGGCTCACTACGGAGTAAGACATCGCGCTCTAATACGAAATACGATACTCCATAGTCTTTGTGAAGGCGCGGTCAACCGAAAAGTTTTGGAGGCATCGAGTGGATCCGATGGGCGAGATAATCGACATCATTCTCCAACAGGACAATAAAAAAAGTTCCCACCGACATCCAAAGTCCAGTGCAGCTCGAGCGATACGCCTCTCACACCGCAATAACAAAACTCTGCGAAAAGCATGGCGGCTGCTAGTGACAAGGCTCGGTTTTTCCTTGAGCAATCTGTACCAGAACTCAAAGAATATGAACGCAAGAATATCTTTTCCGCAGACGAAATCACCAGTATCACTAGAAAACGATCCGACTTTGAGCATAAAATCAACGCCAGGGGTTCCACGCCGTCAGATTATGCACGGTACGCCGAGTTCGAGATCAACGTCGAGGCTTTGAGGCGGAAAAGAGTCAAGAGACTTGGAATCAAATCAACAGCTCATAATGGGAAGAGACGCATCTTCTTCGTCTTTGACCGTGGAACTAGGAAGCACCCTGGTGACGTGAGTCTGTGGCTGCAGGCAATTGATTTTGCCCGACAACAGAAGGCTTACAAGAAGTTGCAAGAGATTTTTGCAAAAGTACTGCGCCTGCACCCTCGAAAGTCCGACCTGTGGATATACGCGGCGCAGTTTGCTGTGGACGAAAATGGCGACATGACCGAGGCTAGAAGTTACATGCAACGAGGACTTAGATTTTGCAAGTCGTCAAGAGCCATGTGGCTAGAATACGGAAGACTTGAGATGTCTCACATCGCCAAAATACAGGCACGTCGGGAGATACTGGGCATCTCGACAGACAGACCGAAACAAGAGCAGACTGTCGAGGAGGACGAGAACGTCATTAAATTGCCGAGTTTGACAGCGAGGGATATCAACCCGGATGCTGAAGGAGATAGTAACGCAGATACGGCTCTACATTCCTTCGACTCGACATCAGCCATGCAGGGAGCCATTCCCTTGGCGATCTTCGACGCCGCTATGGCTCAGTTCAACGATCCCTCCTTTGCGCTTGACTTCTTTGATATGGTTGTCGATTATGAAGGTCTTCCAGCGTGCCGAAAAATTGCAACACACATTGAAGAAAAGTTGAAGATGGACTGGCCACAAGACTGGCACAGTCAAGCATGTCACATTAGGCTGCCTCTTGTTTCCCTGGAGCCCAATATTCCCGAATTTCCTGCTGCTTTCAGACAAGCTTTGGCAAATTTGAGGGAAGTTAGAGCAGAGACGCTCTGTCCAGAACTGGTCGGGTGGGTGAAAGGCTGGCTGCAGAACCTTGCTGCGATACCTGATCTGGATGAAGGAATCAAAGCTGTGTCCGAATCTGTTCTGCGATCACTCGACAGTCCCTAGATACTCGATTTCTTGAGTACGAACACGTCAATCCATAATATCAGTCCAAGCTACCCTTGGACCGAAATTGCTTCTTGCTTGACTGCAGATGCTTTCGTTTCAATCTTGCTTCGTTCTCTGCTTTCTGTAGCTTCTGAACTTTCTCTTTCTGATCCTGCGTTGTCTCGCCTGGCACGTTGTGCTTGTATACATCCACAATCAATTCGTTGAGCTTGCGGTAACATGTCTCTTTGTTAGCTTGTTGCTTGCGGCTGTCATCCGCCTGGATGATAAGACTAGAGGACTTTTCCGCGTAGTATCTTGAAGAAAGGATTCCCTTGTGCAGGACAGAAGGGAGCAACGCAAGGAGGCCATCTACAGGCACGCGGAGTTGTGCTTTTGAGTTAACTCTGGTACCGTGAGATGGAGATTGAGCACAGGGCATTTTGATACTCATACGTACTTATTCACATTCTGACCTCCAGGGCCTCTGGATCGACTATAGGTCACTTCCCCCAGACCAAGAAGAGACTCTGTGGGCTTATAAGACTTGTACCATGCCCTGGCAGCTTCATAGTCGTACTCTGGCAGCTGAACTTTGGCGGATAGCTGACGATAGTAAAAAGACCTGGTAGTCAGATGCCGCGGTAACCGACACCACGAGAGCATTGATAGTAAGTATGGCCTCCTGAGAGTCCAACATTAACAATGTGAAGTAGTGCAACCACTTCCACTCTCAATACGTCCAGAAACATGCCCGAGACAGACGGCGGTCAGAACTCCCTTAGGCAAGTCAGGCGAGACCATCTCAAACCCATCGGGTAAGTTTGCCGAAGCTCTTCTTCCTCAGCTTTCAAATGGTATCTGCGCCTCGGAGGGAGCAAGGAGCCTGATGCGAGTTGTTCTCGTCCATACAAGAAATTCATCATCTTTTAGCACTTTCACATTGTCTGCTTCTTCGATCCGTCCGTTCTGCATGGGTGCCTTGTGCGTTGACGGGATCTCATTGGACTTTCCTACTTTCTTTACCTCTCTCTCCGCGATCAAGCCTGAACCCAACCCTGGAGATTGGCCCTTCATGCCTCTCATCACCTCAAAATGAGCGAGACAAGCCCACCACCTGAAGCTCAACGCTTTGGTAGATCCCAGACACCAGAGAGCCCACGACCCGTTCATATTCCCGAGCCTTCAAACATCCCCGTGTTGCTGAACCAGATGGACCCAGTCTTCAATGACACTGCAACCTACAATATCCCCCAGAATCAGACGTTTTCTCCTTATTCAGACCCTGCGCGACCTATGACTGAAACAAATACTGAGCAGCGGGAAGCTGTTCAGAATTTTTTACGTGGTGCTGAGGAAGAAACTGCGCATCTGAATCCCGCACCGAATGTCAACGGTCAAAAGTCCCAGGATGACCCCACGGTCGAGTCCAGCCTGCTTTCGGCCTTCGCGAACAGGGCAGCCTACCAACAATCTTCTCAACCGGCAAACGATACACCGTCTATCCATGGCCAACCACAAGAGGCGCCCCATCTTGGCCATGGACCTGGTCAACCGGCTACTAATGACCAGGCCGACACCAACAATGCCGATGTAGTGACGGGATCTGAGCCAGTGAAAACTAACGCTCAGTCTAGTCAAGGCGGAGTTGATTATCAGTCACTTCTCGACAGTATTTCTCAGTCTGCTTCTGCTGCTTCTGCACAAGAACCTGCCTCTGCTCCAACCACTTCCACATCGTTCGTCGATCATGGGTCACAATCATTGCCGCCTGCACCAGGTCTTCCCCCAAAGCCACCAGTCAATGCAGGTTTGCCAGAAACTCCCAGTTACCAAATGTTTCCCCATTCCACTGCTGAGGCAGCAGCTCAGTATCAACCCGTGAATAATGATGCCGTCCAAACCAACAGTGCAGAAGCGCCCATCCCAGGGTCAGCCCAGTCTGTGATCCAAAACTTTGCCACTCAGTTTCCACCTGGTTGGCCCCAGGCTCTTAGCCAGCTATCGCCCCAAAATGTGCCACCTCAGGTGCCTGGTCAGTCTTTCCAGCCTCCAGAGCTGTCAAGGTCGACCGACCCCAGTGAGAGACCGTGGACGCCCACTACGCAAGGCTTGTATGATCGTTTCCTTGAAGAAGAAAGACGCTATGTCACCGAGGGTATTTGGGACAAATTTCCTCAAGGCTCTCGACTCTTCGTCGGCAACTTACCCAGCGAAAAGGTGACCAAACGTGATCTCTTCCATACCTTTCACAAGCATGGCCGCTTAGCCCAAATCTCCATTAAGCAGGCCTATGGCTTTGTGCAATATCTGGAAGCCTCTTCGTGCCAGGCGGCACTTCAAGCAGAACAAGGAGTGGAGATTCGAGGGAGGAAGGTTCACCTCGAAATCTCAAAGCCACAAAAGAACACCCGCGGCCAAAACCAGGGACACAAGCGACGCCGATCAAGATCTCCGGAGCGCGGCAATCAACGTCAGAACGACCGCTATGGACGAAATTATAGTGATCATCGCGATGACCGACATAGACGTGACGACTATCGTGGACGTTCTCCCTCCCCAAGAGGATATCGCTCAAGGGATGAGTATCGTTCTGGTGGACAGAGCCCCCGCTTTGGACCCGAAGGAGGACCCAGATCCCCATACGGAAGTTTTCCTCCCCCAATTCCTGGAGGCTATGACGAAGAAGCATCATTACCTTTGCCTCGAAGAGACCTTAGAGACGTTCCTGATGTACAGTTGTTAGTCCTTGAACCATCGGTTGCGCAGAGCTTCATCACTTGGATTGAGCAAGGTTTCCGCGCCAAAGGTCTTCGGGCCTCCACCATCTGGCTCAGTCCTCGACTACCACTTAATGGTGTGGTGAAAAGGCAGATTATTGAGGGTGTGCAGGCCGTTGTAAAACTGTCGCAAAGTGCACAGTACAACAGCAGAATTCCACTCCAGGTCTTCGATCGATCTGCAGGCGCGTCCAATGTGAATTTCAATGAGTATGCTGATCTTGACATCCCAGTGGCTGCGGATATTGTCCTACATGCCAGACAGAAGGAGCTTGGGTTCAGCCAGCCTGCCCAGTATGCTGCGCAGGGATACCCTCAAGCACAGTACAATCAGCCGGCGCCCTCGCAGTTTCCACCACAGATTCCACCGCCGTTTCCGCCTCCACCCTTGCAGCAACAACCACCGTATCAATATGGACAGCCGCCACCATTTCAAGGTCATCCCCAGACACCTGTGACGCCGACTTCGTCTGCAAATCTGCAACAACTGTTGGCAAATCTCCGGCAGCCTGGAGAACAAGCCAACGCTCCGGCTGCAACGCCGACTACTGACATGGCAGGTTTACTTGGCAATGTTGCCCATCAAGGCCAAAGTGGCCAATTCCCGCTCTCTCCTTCTGGACAGCCACAACAGCAAGGATACGGCAGCGCACCCGCATACGCTTCTGGTCAGCAGCCACAACAAAACGTGCAGAACATCATGGACACGTTGGCGAGATATGGTCGATGAGTGCCGTAACATGAAGCGTCGGTACGAGTTTTTACCTGGGTAGTGATTGTCTGAGACGAAGACCATTTTGTTTTTGATTGGAGATGCATTCGTGAGCGTGTTTGAGAAGAACTTGAGCTTAGCTGGTTTGTTCTTGTTATTAGAGCATAGAGCGCCTGCCCCTCTGACCATGCGTTGAAATGGGCATATGATAGCGAGCAAATGTAAACGACAACAACTTTGCGATTCGCTCCACTGCGTTGTTACCCTGGATGATGACCATTTGGGGTCCACGTTCAGGTACCTGAGGTATACAAGCCTACTTCACTTTGGCGAAATACTCTGCACGATCAAAGGTTTGAGATGAGCCAGGCCATCTCAATAAGTCACTTACCCACCCCCTGTGCAAAGTGTGCATTGCGGATGCTTGAGGTACAAGCACACTGCAAGGGGTGTTGTATTCTCGCTCAGATGATTGATGGCTCGTGATGCGGATGGATGGATGGATGGCATCTCACCTCACACCTCTGCTGTGTGCGTTTGTGTTAACTAGTTGATGTCCGCCTTCCAGGTAAATAATGATCAAGTCAGTTCGTTACCTAGGTTGAGCGGGGTTGCAGTGTTTCCACCTAAGTTGATGTAGAGAGATCGGCGGGAGTTCATTCTTCGAATCTGGTATTATTTGATTGATCTTTCCCTCCATAAGCCACGCGTGGCCCGGCTCAAGTCTGTAAATATTGAAATTAATCATCGGACAGCGGTTTCACTGAACTTACTGTACAAATCCACATTCCGACGGCACAGATTCTCAGCCGGCACCCCAAAAAATGAATACACGGACGGGGGCTCAGGACGCTCTACGAGAGCCGCCACAATTCCCTAGGTACCGATCTCTGCCTCCTCTTGACTGTTGATGCTTCTCGCACGACGCGTCTCCCTCGTTGAACAATACCCTGCACCTGGTGGCCACACTCTTGGAATAGGCCTCCTGAGCCCTCAACTTGGAGATAACCATGTAAACTCACCTAGAACTAGCTTTGAGCCAGTCATTGGAAGGTTTGTGTCAACATGCAGGGCAATAATGTCAGAGGTACATTTGGTGATCAGTCTGCTACATACCAGCGAGAACGCATTAGCCGTATACGCGCATTAGCCCTCATCTTGATATTGCGCCCCAGCGTCCAGCAGCATCTTAACGACCGTCTCGTGGCCTCCCCTTGATGCCATCTGCAGCGCAGTGCCGAAGCGTCCCCCTTGTGCCTCGATATCCGCCCCGGCACCCACGAGCATCTTCACAACTGTCTCGTGGCCTCCATACGATGCCCACTGTAGCGCAGTGGGGAAGGATCTCCCTAGCGCCTCGATGTCCGCCCCGGCGTCGAGCAGCATTCGCACCACTGTCTCGCGGCCTCGATACGATGCCGTCTGTAGCGCAGTGGGGAAGAATCTCCCTTGCGCCTCGACGTCCGCCCCGGCGTCGAGCAGCATTCGCACCACTGTCTCGCGGCCTTTATACGATGCCATCTGTAGCGCAGTACCGAGGCCTCCGCCTTGCGCATTGACATCGACGTTTCGTCCCAAAATCATCTCAACAATGGCAGGAACACCTATGGCGGCCGCATAATATAGAGGCTGCGCTATATACTTTGCCTGTACCGATGGATCCAACCCTAGGACCGGATGAGTAGTATTGTAAAGCTGTACCCATACGAGCAGGGAGCCATCCACTTCCGTCAAAAGACGTACTGCAAGTTCTAGGAGCGTCTCGTCAATTGTGTCAGCGATGGTCTGCAAGTGCTGCCACCAGTGCTGCGCCGCATATGCCGATAGGGAATACTGCCTGGCGAGTTCTCTAGTCAAGGGTCCATGCTGACCAAGATGGAGCAAGTAATGCAGGCAGCCTTCTGCAATGATAGAGTTGCAGACTTGTGGCCGAAAACTCTGGCTTAACACACAGTGGTGAGACAGAAGAAATTCCTTGACAGAAAAGTGTGCCAGCCGAATTTGTATCCGGTCAGCATCTCTGCCACTCTCGTCCAAAGAGACGGTGCTATCTATGCCACCGTCATCTCTGAAAATTTCTTTGGTATCAAAGGGAAGGAAGACGATTAAGGTTGAACAGACAACCATAACGTCCATCGGATCAGGAAGCCGCTGCTCGGGATCAAATCCCCCTTGATCTCCAGTTTCTAGGGCGAGAATCTCCACCATTTCTGTTAATCGAAGAGGACGATTCGAGAAACAAAGCCATTGCAAGGCTTTAACAGCGTTCTGAAGCTGCTCGGCGGATTCGAGATTTTGGAGTGTTCGATTATACGTCTCATCGAGTGTCTTTGGTAGAGACGACAGGGTGTCTCTCAGTCCTTTCAGCTGGATACACTTTCGAATGGACTCTAGTTGACAAAAGACCCATCGAAACCTATTCCAACGTTAGTCGGAAGAGCACTGCAGAAGAGAATACGATCCCTACATGCCACCGGCCTTCTTCATCATGGCCGTCATAATTTCATCGCGCACCGAGTCCGGCCACTTCTTCAACTTCGCGTCTGTGGCCATCCGATCGCGCATGTAGACACGTATGTCTTCGTCCACAATGGCACTTTGAATGTTGATGTTGTGATCCGCAACCGGACTCAATTCGACTTCAATGTCTCTCTCCCGGCGACTCGTGACCATGATATGGAGGTCTCGTGGTTTGGACGCCGTCACTTCTCGAATAAAAGACAATAATAGGTCTTCACGGTCTGTACACTCATCCAGAGCATCTAAAATGATGTACTTCGCTCCCGGGCGATCAGTTGTGGCTCTAAACAGTGAATGGATGGTCTCTTCTGCGGGCTGTTGCTGTCCGCTACTGCATTTGTGATACAGCCTTTCAAGATCGCCAAGGACGTCGTTGGCCTGAAGAGCAGCCTGGAATAGTAATGATCGGATAGCCTTTCTAGAGGACTGCTTCGCTGCATCATTGAAATCGAAATAAAAGTAGCTCACGATCGTGTCGGGATAAGACTCCTTTTGCTGAAAAATATGGTGTAACGATGCAGCGCTAGTCAGCTCGGTTAGCCAGGACCACGAGTGCTAACATCACTCATGAGTCTTACCTTAAGATGGTCTTGCCGCAGCCCGCTAAGAGAGCCGGTTAGTACTGCATTATGACTTCTGCAACTGCGACGTACCGTTGCCGTGGAGCCACATCAACGAGGATGTCGAGCTTTTCCAATCTGTGAAATGTTGACCGTTAAGGAGCCACTGCCCCGTCTCAGGATGTCGCTTCCGCAGCGCTGCGTGGTAATTGGTAGATGGGTCTGGTATGTTCAACCATTTTGACAATTTATCCTGCAGCTCCTCTGTCACATATCTTAGCCCAGCCACCTAACAGGTGTAACCGCACTTACGATCCGCAAGGACTTGCAGGCGCTCCATGCCCGTCCAGAGCAGGGCATTCTGTTCTCGTAACGTCTTTAAATCGTCATGAGATGCTTTTGATAAGGCCCTTCCATTGTCAGTGGCCATTTCCTCTCCAAAGCAGTTATACGCACATCAAGTCATTTGCCAACGCGCAAGTGATGAGTGTCTTCAATCGTTCCATTCGAGCCAACGCATCGTGCACTTCCTTTTTGGTGAATTTCCATAATAGTGCTGATCTGACCTGGTCTCTCTTCCTAGATGTGGACAATTGTTCTACCATAGACTCAAGAACGCCTTTGAACTGGTCGAGCGGGCCATTTGGAACTCCCAATAGCTTCACTTGATTGAACCAAGGATCGGAGGATCGGGCTTCTTCAACTTGAAAGCGCAGACTGGTCAAGAGGGCGTAGAGATTGCCAGCCTCCACTGCCACCTTCTTCTGCTCTGCTGTTGCATTTTTCGCCTCGTTGATGTAGCTTGCGAGGGTCAATGTGAGCTGCAAAACGGCAACAATGCTAGCCGTCATTGACAGTGGATCCATTGTGTGATGTCCCGGTTGGCCAAGGTTGCCGGCGTGGAGGGCGACTTAATCGTCACCGTAACTGGAAGTAGGCAGGATGAGCAGAGGTGCCCTCGGTGTCGCATGTGTAGGCCAAGGCCGTAATACATTTGAGCGTGATATGTTAGGACAGGGCGAACGCTGCGAAGAAGTTCGTGTTGAGTAGTGTGAAAGGACACTGCACAAGTCTTTTGAAGCCAGATCACCTAGCAATGCTATCATCACAATATCTTTCGGATGGTCACGATTGCCTGCGATGAGGCTGTGATCGCAGCTCTGTAACGTGCCCATGGTTGGATTTAATTGGCTCAAACGTTCGCATATGTGATATCGACACATTTCTAGTTAAGTTCTTCTAAGTTAGCGTCGAGGAGGGCACCGGGGAAGAAGTGCCTCCTATATGCAGGACTGTGCGAGCCAGAGTGCAATCAGCAGAAGGTTAGAGACGGTATATCGAGGTGCCGCATTCCACTGTCTTTTTGGTATGTGTTCCAGGGGTTCATTACCGTAGTAGCCATGGAGGTACCTCACTCATGCGTAGAGACGCAGAGGGATCGAGGCAGAAGATTCATGCAAGATGAAGCCGAGGTATCTCCCCGCTTTTCCGACGGTATGATCTGTTCCGTCGTCGGAATGGCCGTCCATTCTCATTCCAGCCTTTTTTGCTCGATCGGACTCAGAATAAAGTAACCCGAGTGTTTTGGGCATCCTCCGTATGTTGCTGCGTGGTCGCGCCAGAGCCTTCTCTACCAATACCTTGAGGAATTGAGGTCAACCGGCTCGGAACAATGTCAAAACCACGCGTCACGCCCAATCCAGTGGAATATACGTATCGTGCGCCCGAGAGTGCCAGATCCGGGTCAACAGCGCACTCGATCCCGCACCCAGAGCCGATTTCGTCTGCGACATACCACATCGCCGGCATCCTCGCGACGGTATATGGCCTGGGTGAACTAGACCCGGCCGTGACGGATGTCGCGGTACTGTGGCTCCTGCACCCCCGGCTGCAGACGCAAGCGTGCATGGCGCCGTTCGCGGCACACATCATAACGAACTACAACGCCACTAAAGCTAGCAGCAGCTCGAGGCGGAAACAGAAGGGCCTGATCGCCGTCGCGTTCGACCAGCGGAACCACGGCAGCCGGCTGGTGCGGGCCATCGCGAACGAGGCGTGGCGCGGCGGCAACGAGACGCACGCGCAGGACATGTTTGGCTGTTTCGCGGGTACGGCCGTCGACACGAGCATGCTGCTTGACTACCTCCCTGCTTATCTCTTCCCGGACAACAGCAGGCAGATTGTCCAGAACATTGTGCTCGGGATATCCCTTGGCGGACACGCGGCGTGGCACGTCGTCATGCACGATCCGCGCTTCTCTGCGGCCGTGGTGACTATAGGCTGTCCCGACTACGTCCGTGTCATGTCGGATCGCGCGAGGCTGAGCAAGCGGGAGGCATGGCTGGATTCGGACGGCCGCGAGTTCCTGGGGAGCAGGGATTTCCCGAGTGCGCTTGTCGACAAGGTGCGACGCGTCGACCCCGTGGGACTACTGTGGCATGGTAGTGGCTTGGGCAGGAGAAGTGGACAGGAGCAGCTTTACGACGGAGGGGAGTTGAGCCCCGAGGAGAAGGAGACGGTCATACCGATCATGGCGCGGTGTTTGGGAAACAAGAGGATCTTGAACTTGAGTGGCGGGAGTGACAAGTTGGTTAGCTATCAGCATTCCAAGCCGTTCCTGGACTGGTTGAAGAAGAGCATCGAGAAGGGCGGCTGGTTTGAGGGCTCGGGTCTCTACCTGGAAGACATTGTCTATCCTGGCGTGGGGCACGAGGTTCCACCGGACATGGTTAGTGATATGATCACGTTTATCAACGAGACGCTGGAGGAGGGAGTGGAAGGGGCAAGGTTGGGGAGTAAGATATGATGGTAAAGTGTGTGTTCCTCAACCGACAGGGCTAAAAAAGAATTTAAACCGAAATACGCGACAGGTGACGAGCAGCTCTTCAGTATGAGTTCTCTTAGATGAGACACTCTGTTATGATGTATCATGTAGCACCATCTACTACATGTATAATACAAGCCAAGGCACGCTTCAGGCAGATCAGATCGGCTCGGCCTGGCCTGACCATGACGGCTAATAGTACAGTTAGTTTCACGTGCTGATACAGTATAAATGGGGGCCGGGGCGCGCTCGTGTCGTCCCGCGATTTGGTCAGATCGTGATAATTGGCCCTAAGAGCTTTCAACACGACCCTCCTGATGCGGTAATGGAAGTCTTTGACCTCTCAGGACTTTCGAACGGAGGTTCCGTGCTTGCTAACTCATCCTGGCTGTGAGCTGGCCCAACCAGTATTCATTCCAGTCATGTCATTGCTTTGGTGATGCTTTGGCCATGCCCTGGCAGTGGTTGTTGAGGATGGTAGCGCGTGCTAGCCTCATGGTTGAAGATTGGTGGCTTTGGAACCGCACTCTTCGGATAGAAGATGTCCCTGCAAAGCGTTCCTTGCTATGCCCAGGTACATCTTTCTTTGAGTTTATTTCCATCCTTTATCTAAAACGTCGCGCGATGTGTGTGAGAAGCTCGTTGCATTGTGTTCAGGAGAATCGAAGCATGCCTCTAATTCTGTTCCAAGTCGATGCGAGCCATGTCCGGGTGGGAGCCTCGCCCATCTCCTTTATCAGATCTTCATAGTATGTAGGTTGGCTAGCAGGATGGCGGACCTTGATGGGTATGGGGAATTCTTTGGCATATCGATCTTCAAGGAGGCTGTAGAGAGCATTTATTTGTCTCATTTCGTGTTGAGCATTCGAGTGGGGAGGTTCAACAGGTGTGACTAGAGCTCCATCTGCTTTGGCATTATCTGCAGCTGCGGTTGAAGAGCCGATCTTGTTCAGGCGATTTTGCATAACCCTCTGAAAAGCAACATGTTCTGGGCGTACTTTGTCCACCGGCCAGTGCTTGATGATGCGCGCCCAGTGCTTCAGCACCACCTGCAGAGATTAGCGAGGTCTTGAGTCCACAGGTCTAGACCTACCGACTGATTCGCTGCCATGTTCGAGGGAGTGTGTATTGCGGAGAGGACGAAATTGAGGTGGTTGTCAGAGATACAAAGCGCATTGACCTGTAGTTAAAAAGTATTGATGGCTGGTCCCTGGCTATTGGGATAATGACGCCGACTATTAACCACGCACTGCACCGTTAGTGGCACAAATTTGGCAAGTTGGCCGCGTGCACAACGCTGGCCAAGGGGGAGTCTGCAACAACTTAATCTTTGTGCTAGTCTGTTTCAGGCCAAGGCTGGTTTCGCAGGCTGTGCAAGTGCGAAACTGACAACTGCCACCCGGATGGTCACTCCTCCCGCAGTGGCGCTCAGACTCACCACTTCTCTTTCCTATTATGCTCCTGGGCAGGCTTCCAACTTCTACCTTCTTCCAGTCTTCCGCATCATCGATACCTAGATTCCTCCCCTTCTCCCCCGTCGCAGGCGGTTTCCAGAGGTCTGCTTCTCGACTCAATTCGAGGCAACTCCTTCACCACCCTCCTAGCCTGCGATGGCCCCTCAAAGATATGAAGCGGTGAGGCGCAAAAGGCTTACGAATCCCGAGCCGATACTGATGAGATCTCAGGTGAATACTCACGACGACGAACCTGGCTCTCCTCTCACTCCTCACTCGAGCCATGGCATTCCCGCTTCTCCTCCTCCATCCTTTCACTCTAGGGCATCATCACCGACAGGCCGCCGATTATTGAGACAGGACTCCCTTGCCAGCGATGCCGATCGGGACCTTGAAGACACCTTTGACGATGGAGAGGCCTCAGATGCAGACAATGATGGCGACGATAGGCAACGTTTGATGAGGGCTGATCCTCCTTCCGCTGCTCAACATCCGCCAACTCCTCGCGTACCTTCTACGAATTCACTCTCAGCACCTCCGGTCGAGCGAAGGGTGACTGAACTGCCAGCATTTAGACCAATGCCAGCATCTGCGCGAGCGATGGATGGTGTGTTTGCAAATTTGTCGGCAAAGCCTGAAAGAGGAGAACCCATCGATGACAAGCCACCTGTAAGTGTCTCGCGACAACCTACCACTATGGGTTACTGACACTTTATAGACATATGAACAAGCTGCTGCTGATGCCACTCCACCCTATTGGGAGACTACTATTTTGGCTCCTGGCATGTCTTCCGACGAGGTGTATGTTGACGGACTCCCTGTTGGTTCCGTCTTCTCCTTTATTTGGAACGGCATGATTTCCATGTCTTTCCAACTGGTCGGTTTCCTCCTCACTTATCTGCTTCATACGACACATGCTGCAAAACACGGCAGTCGAGCCGGTCTTGGCTTGACTTTGGTTCAGTATGGATTTTATATGACCGGCTCAGGCGATGGTGGCCAGGATAGTGGCAATCCAGGACAATTTTCCAACTCTTCGCCCCCCGATCCCAATAGCCATAATTTCGATCCGAACGCGGTCGATGGATCAGGAACTCCAAGCTCAGGAGGCCACGGATTGGGAGGATTTACAAGCGCAGATTGGATATCCTACGTCTTAATGATTGTTGGCTGGTTTATTCTTATTCGGGCCGTCTCGGACTTTTTGCGGGCGAGACGGCACGAGCAGCTGGTTTTGCAAAGCCCGAACCGTGGCCTTCCAGTACCGGTGGTTGCTGAGGGTGAAACTGCCGAGCAAGTCGCCTAGTTTGTTGAATTATACAAATTTGTTTATTATGGGTTACTGGAGTACATTTCGCCCAATGAGGCTGTCTGTCAATCTTCCACTGTAAGCGTACGCATCGGAGATTTCCTGTTCATCCATCTGAATCTATGTACGCGATAAGTGGGACCAGGATTCAACTGTATATCAGAAGTGCGCTTCCCCATGGTCATCTGACGGCTACTCGTACAAGTAACTTATTGCGCTCGTTTCTATGGCCCTTCTGTTGCTATCTTGTATTCGGGATTGTCCATTTCATCTATGTAAATCAGGCGTGATCAACAGCTATGAACCCCCGAAACGGGCTGTTAGACAAGCTGAGTGCTTGACCAGAGAGCCAGAATAGGTCTTTGATTGTGTTCTCTTCCAGCCAGAAGTAACTCCTCCCCGGCTCCTTTTCCCCCTGTTGTGCGACTCAATGCAGCATCACACTTCGATACAAGCAAGGCTGGGTTGCTGGGTCTTGGTGACTACTCGGACATGTCGATCTTGTTCTCCAGCCTACGTTGATCGCGGAGTTCGGTGAGGCGCTCAAGGGCCTTCTCCAGCGGGATGAGTTCGCCCATCTTCTGGGTGGCAGGGTCGTCACGGTTGCGGATGTTGACGGTGCGGGTTTCTTGTTCCTTTGCACCGACGACTAGAGAGGCACGAGGAAGGGTCAGCCAAGGGGAAGATAAAGTTTAAAAAAAGAAAAAGAGATAAAGATATCTTCTAGTTTCACCACTCGAGCGGGTTAAGGGGAGAAGGGGGCGGGGAGACCACTCACCAAAGATAAAGTTGTACTGAGCCAGTTGTCCTGAACGAATCTTCTTCTGCAGCGTGTTCCCGCTCACGTCGATGTCGACATACATCCTGGCCTTGTGGAAGATGGCCTGGATCTCGCGCACGTAGTCCTCGGCGCCCTTCATAACGGGGATGACCAGGATCTGTCGCGGGGACAGCCAAAAGGGCCATTTGCCCGCGAAATGCTCGCAGAGGATGGCGATGAAGCGTTCAAAGGAGCCGATGATGGCGCGGTGGATCATGACGGGTCGAGCCATGCCCGGTGCCAGGCCCTTGGCGTCGCGTCCCGACCCCTGGTGCTGCTGGACGGCCTCGCTGCTCTCGCCGGTGCGGTACTCGAGCTTGAAGTTCTGCGGGCCTTGGAAGTCCAGCTGGATGGTGGCGCACTGGTACTCACGCTTCAGGGCGTCCGAGATGGTGACGTCGATCTTGGGTCCGTAGAAGGCACCGTCGCCCTCGTTCATCTCCCAGTCGTCGCCGCGGAAGTTTTTGAGCGCCTGCTTGAGCCGGGCCTCGGCCGCGTCCCACTCCTCGAGCGTGCCCATGTAGCCTTCCGGCCGTGTCGAGAACTTGAGCTTGAACGGGAATCCGAACAGGCCGTACACGTGCTCCATAAAGGCGAAGAGCTCCTCGATCTCGACCTGCACCTGCTCGTTTGTGCAGAAAATGTGCGTGTCATCCTGTTGAAACTTGCGCACGCGGGTGAGCCCGGACAAGGCCCCCGAGGCTTCGTTGCGGTGGAGCACGCCGAAATCAGCCACTCGCCACGGCAGGTCGCGGTAGCTGCGCTCATCGTCGCGGAACATGATACAGTGGCCGGGGCAGTTCATGGGCTTGAGCGCGAAGATTCCCTTGTCCTTGTCATGCGCCTGCGGCGGCGCCACAGGTTTGCCGTCGGCCTTTTGGTCCGCCAGCGGCATGGGCTCGGCCGTGTCCTCCTTGACCTGGACCCGGAACATGTCGTCTTGGTAGTGTTGCCAGTGGCCCGAGGTCTTCCAGAGTTCGACGTCGAACATGTTGGGCGACTGGACTTCTTGATATCCACGATCCCAGTATTGTTCGCGCAGCATTTGTTGGAGCGCGTTGAAGATACGGGTGCCGTGGGGCAGGAGGAAAGGTGATCCCGGTGACATCTTGCTGAACATGAACAGCTTCTGCTGCTGGCCGATGACTTGGTGGTCGCGCTTCTTGGCCTCCTCGAGGAAGTGCTCCCAGTCTTTGAGTTGCTGTTTGGACGGGAAAGCGACACCGTGGATGCGCTGGAGAGAGTCGTTGTTCTGGTCGCCGAGGAAGTAGGCCGAACTGTTCTTCATGATCTTGAAAGATTCGATTTTCTTGGTGTTCTGGATGTGCGGTCCCTGGCACAAGTCGACGAGCGTTCCGTTGCGGTAGACGGTCGAGGATTCGCCGTCCGGCACGAATTTCTCGATATAGTGCATCTTGTACTTACTATAGCCGAACATTTTGCGAAGGTCATCCTTGGAGACCTCAAGGCGTTCAAAAGGCTGTTTCTCCTTGAAATATTTCTTCGCGCGGGATTCGAGCGAAGGCCAGTCGGCTTCGCGGACGGCATGGCCTGGCTCGAGAGCCATGTCGTAGAAAAAGCCCATGGCTGTAGGAGGGCCGTGGGACAGGCGACAGCCATATTCGTGCTCGGCACATTCCCCCAGAACGTGTGCGGAAGAGTGCCAAAAGACATCTCGGCCTTCGGAGTCTTCAAAGGTGAGGTACGAAACCTTGCTGTCCTTCTCGAGCGGACGGTCGAGGTCCCATACTTTATCGTCGACTTTGGCGACGACTATCTGACCAGCGCGCTCTTTGGGGACGTTTTTTAAGAGTTGGCCAGGCGTAGTCTCCCATGCTTTACCCTCGATAGTGGTCTCCTGGCCTGGGACTGGGATGAGGTTGATCTGGATGGGAGATTTCTCTCGGGCAGCCAGGTCTTGGTCGTACTGTTTTTTCAGCTGGTCGAAAAGTTCATTTCTCTGCACAATGAAATCCGGGAGAGACTTTGGCGGCTGGTTTGCCGCGGGAGCTGCTTTGGAAGACATTTCTTTTGGTCTACTGGGGAGTTTTTTGCTTGATGTTGGACTCGTTGGTCTTTTTGATGCGTTGGACTCGGGGGTCGATGAGTCACGGTTAAGGCCAGCATCAGCAGCGTTTTGACTCATGTTGGCACCTTTCAAGACACCCCAAAGATCGTGGGGATTGAGGCTGACCTTCTTCTGATGGCTCATCACAAAAGATCGCGTGAAATGAACGTTGTGCAATATCGTCGACCTGTGGGGGGCACACGCACGGTAACCGTGGCCGTAGAGTGTAATAATCGCAGAAGCACCAATCACGTGTCTGGTGAAATTCCGTTGCCCGCATGCAGCTCGAACGGAGAACATAGAAATTTATTTTTCCCCAGGATCCTCTGCACCAGCACAACGTCACCCTTTCCACTGCAACAATGTCGTTCCGAGGCGATTCGCGAGGTCGTGGTGGATTTCGAGGGGGTGATAGAGGAAGAGGATCGTTTGGAGGAAGAGGCGGAGGTAATTTTATCTCGTCTCCGCGCACACGAAATTTCCCTGCGCCGAAATCTGAGGCTAACGTGGTGATGTCGCAGGACGAGGTGGTTTCCAGCAACAGAGCTTTGGGCCGCCCGCCCAGGTTTTCGGTAGGCATTCATACTGATTCTGGATCATTACAAGTCTGATGGTCTGCAGAAATGGGCACATTCCTCCACGCCTCCGAGGGTGAAATGGTGTGCGAATCCGTCAACCCAAAAATTCCCTACTTCAACGCCCCGATCTATCTCGAGAACAAGGTACGACGATACTTGAGCCCTGAGGCCTTCTTTTATTGACGAAAAAAGACCTCGATAGGAAAAGTGGATGAAATTCTTGGGCCGATCAACCAAGTCTATTTCACGATTAAACCACAAGAAGGAATCCAAGCAACATCTTTCAAGACGGGAGACAAATTCTACATCGGAGGTGACAAGCTGTTGCCTTTGGAAAAGTGAGTTCAAGCGACATGGTATTGGTGTGAACACGGCGGAACACTAACCTCGAATGCAGATTCCTACCAAAGCCAAAGCCACCACCAGGTATGATGTGCTCCTTCAGATGTTGACCTCATGTTTCTCACTCATCCTACAGGCGCCGCGAAAGTGAAAAAGCCAGCTGGTGCCGGACGAGGAGCCGCGAGAGGAGGATTTGGCCGAGGCGCCCCTAGAGGACGTGGAGCACCACGAGGCAGAGGAGGTTTCACTGGACGAGGTGCGCCCAGAGGAGGACCTCGGGGAGGCTCCTTCGGTGGTCGCGGTGGGGGAAGAGGTGCACCAAGAGGTCGCGGCCGCTTCTAAACCTTGGCCGATGTTGCTTCTTACTGTTGGATGGCTTTCCTAGCATGGTTTCGGCGTTGGGGACAATACCCATGGTAAAAGTATGCCTACTACGATCAGGTCGGCGATGTGCGATGTCTACAGCACTAGAGTACCATACCTGGTCCGCGCAGACTTGAACGGAGGGTGTTCAAGGGATTGCTGATATAAATATTTCCTTCTTCAGTCAATGAGTCTTGCTGCTGTCTATATGTACGTCACGTGATTGCCCGGCAAACTTGCCCCTGTTTTGGGTGACCGCAAGGCTGCACTGAGAAATCGCGGGACTGCAGACTCCAGAGTGACGACACATTTCCCTGTGCGTTTGTGGCTGCGCCTTGTTTCCCTTCAAAAGTTGATCTTCAAACCTACCCGAGTCTTCGTCGCTGTTTACCTGCCTTGCACAGCTTGCCCCGACTTCTTGACTCTTCCCCCCTAATCTACACGAATTTTTCCTCTAGCCCATCTTTGCTGCGATCCAGCATGTCTCGCAGAACTGGTACAACCACTGCTGGTCAAGAGGAAACCGAGGTCAAGCCACAGAACAATGCACAGGAGAAACAGGCCATGTTGTTGGCTCAAGAGACTGGACATTTCAGTTTGATCAGGTACACCTTCCTCTAAGCCCAAGTGGAATTTCTCGCAAGTGCTAATTAAATAGGGCGCTGCATCTTGCCGACTTGATCACCGAAATGAACGGTAAGCTATAACCACGCACGTTGCGAGCTCGCTAGTTGACATGATGTTAGGTTTCTGTGGATGTATGGTTTTGCCATTCTTTCTCCAGACACGTACCTAATGCAGTGTCTTTTAGTCATGTCCGTACTGTCATCGATGCGGTACTGCCTCTCCGATCCTCAAGACCTTACAAACTTGTGGTTTGCATTCTTCTTCATGCCCTTCGGGCTATTCTTCGACTTTTTTGATGGCAAGGTCGCGCGATGGAGAAAGAAGTCTTCGTTGATGGGTCAAGAATTAGATTCTTTGGCAGACCTGGTATGCATGTCGATCTATGAGGGGCACTCTGGCACTGACTATGGAAGGTTTCATTCGGCGTGGCGCCTGCTGCTGTTGGCTTCGCAGTCGGCTTTCGAACTACGGTCGACACGTTGTTCCTTTCATACTATGTTCTCTGTATGTGCCCGCGATTTGGTCCCGAGGTCATCGACTCGAATTGCTAACCATCTCAGGTGGTTTGACTCGGCTGGCGCGCTTCAATGTGACGGTAGCAATGTTGCCCAAAGATAAGAGCGGCAAATCGAAATATTTTGAAGGTGAGCTCATATTCGCCCTCTGTTCGCGCTCGCCCTTTTCCTCTCTGACAAGTCTCCAGGCACTCCCGTACCTTTTGCCTGCCTCACTGGGTCAAGCATCCTCGCAGTGTTCACTTGGATGGGTCTGATACATAATTCAATACCTTTGGGTACGTTGTTCACGGGTACCGCTTTTGAATTCCACCCAATTGCAGCGATGTGGTTCATCTTGGGCTGTCTGCAAATAAGCAAAACTCTTCATGTGCCAAAGCCCTGATTAAATCGGGAGGCCTAGTTTTGGAAAGATGATAGACACGCATCGTCGGCTCGGAAGACGCGTTCTGATATACAACGATGCATCCCAACAGGGAGATTCGCCTATGGGCACTCGGTGATAAGCCAATGATATACGGAGTGACTGTTCCACTCGGATTTTGTTCTTGTGTGTTTTTGCTTACACCTCCACTAGCTAGACTCGCTCGTCTGGTACTTCGTAGCTATAAGCAAAGGTCCAGTAGGAACGGAGCAACATGCCTCCGTACTTGGGAGACAACACCTTCTTCTTTAAGCCATGCTGAAAAGGAGTTGCCAGTGCGGTATATGTCTGGGCTCTTCTGGGAGAGATAAACGAAACCCGCATTTCAAAGTGCCTTAGCTCACGTCGAAATGAGCGCTCTAGCGGCAGATCCGTCAGAGCTTAGAAGACAGTGCTTACGAGTGAGAAGTTACCGGCTGTGGCGGCTCTCAAGCCAAAGACACCTTGCCAAGTCTGGTTTGCAACCATGTACAGTCATCGCCAGACGACCGAAAGCAGATTCCGGTACCTTCAAGCAATCGGCCGCTGCGTCGTTCCACGTCGCTTATCGTCGCAAAACCATTCCTGGACAGGTAGGCACGCCGAGATACACATCGTAAGCACCAGTGAACCCTCATCTCGAGTTCCACTTAATGCATCAGAGCCATCCATAAACGGGGGTGCAAGCAGCGAGAACGCCTTTGAAAGCGGAAGCTCGACAAAAATCACAGCCGAACGCAATGACTAAGGCGAACGGCCGCAGCCAGATCTAGCCATGAAGCTGCCCCTGGATACCTCACAACGATTGGTAAGAAGATGCGCATCCAAAATAGTAAGGCGTTCGACCGGGCCTTTGGGGAATCGAGCACATGGTTTTCACTGAGCGAAGACTGGCTTGAAAGACTCCCTCGGCCTCTCTGGCCACATCAACCATTACGAAAAAGCCTGCAGTGATGTCGGCCGAAGCTGGAAGTGATCTTAGGAAACAGTGAGATGAACCTCCACGCTTCATCTGAGGGGCTTCGCAGGGGTCAAACGCATGTCAGACATCTTGCAAAGCGATGCCTCACCACGGCTCTGGGGGGAACGCATCGTGACAAATGAAATGGTAGATGAGATGTACGACTGAATGTCTATTCGTCAAGCGCGCGCACAACCCTGCCTGGGGCGAAGAAAGTCCCTTCGCGAATCTTCATCTACGCGACAAGGCAGCTAGCTACTGGCTCCACGAACCATCCTTCATCATGCCTTTCCCGAAACGAGCAACAAAGTGGCTGTGGAGGACGCCTGAGATATCGTTGCCGGGTCCATCACCAGGAACATCAGTTGCCCAGACGTCCTTCAAATCGAGATCGCTTTCCGGGGGCCTTTGCGCTTTCCGCATGGCCACAATGGCCAGTCCAAGTCTGACGGATTCCTTCATGCCCATCCTAATCATATTCCGAGTAAACTCACCGGAGTGCATCTGTGGCCGGGCTTCAGAAATACATCAGTATAAATTTCCCCTGTACTCTCATATCCTTCAGCTCCAGAGTCCTCTCGTTGGGACCTGCTCCTCTGTGTACATTCTCGAAATTTGTCCTCTACGCCTGTATCACTACCACGCTTTACTCGCAACGAGTACCAATGGCAGTCTCGTTCCTGAAATATAATGCGCACATCGAAAAGCTACGACAACAGGAATATCCCTCGCTCTTGAGTATACCTCTCGTCTCGCTTGCAAAAGGAACGAATACTGAAAAGCTACAGCCACCACCTACCTCGATCATGCTGGCACGACTCTGTACGCCAGGTCATTGATAGACGCGTACCACCGGGACCTGAGTTCAAACTTGTACGGGAATCCTCATTCGGAAAGCCCGGCGTCTTGGCTTGCCACTGGACGGGTTGAAGATGCACGACTTGCTGTCCTTGACTACTTTCACGCAAGTCCGGATGACTATGATGTCGTGTTTACTGCCAATGCTACTGCCGCAATCAAAGTGGTAGCCGATTGTTTCAGAGACCAAGGCTTTTGGTATGGGTTTCATAAGGATTGCCATAACAGTCTCGTGGGAGTGCGGGAAATTGCCACCAAGGGTTCGCACTGCTTTGCTTCCGACGCAGAGATCGAAGAGTGGATTGCCCAGGGCACGCCTTCACCTTCAGCAGGTCTCAGGCTCTTTGCCTATCCAGCACAGTCCAACATGACGGGGTATCGACCTCCGTTACATTGGCCTCGGCGGATTCGCTCATCACACCACGACTCTGACCAATTGAACTTCGTTCTACTGGACGCTGCGTCCTATCTCACAACCGGCCGACTTGATCTGAACAACTTCGCAGAAGCTCCAGATTTCATTTCCATGTCTTTCTACAAGATCTTTGGATACCCGGACCTTGGCGCCTTGATAGTCAGGAAATCAGCACGACAAGCCCTCGGTCAAAGGAGATATTTTGCCGGAGGCACAGTCGACATGGTCACCGTGATTGGAGGCTCGTTTCACGTGTTCAAAGGGGCAAACGTACATGACTTCCTGGAGGATGGCACAGTCCCATTCCACAACATCATTGCGCTCAGGCATGCTATCGGGACGCAACGTCAGCTATTCGGATCCTCGGCTAACATCTCAAACCACGCAGCGTATCTCTCGAAGTTGTTGTTTGACAGATTAGTCAACCTAAGGCATGCAAATGGTCAAACCGTGATTACTATACACAAAGATGAGAGTGCGGTCTATGGAGATCCCAGGACCCAGGGACCCATTGTTGCGTTCAACATCAAAAAGGCCGCTGGGAACATCGTCTGGAAAAGTCATTTTGAGACTCTGGCCATTGCCTCGGGCTTCCAGCTTCGTACAGGCGGAGTTTGTAATCCAGGTGGTATTGCATCGATGCTGAAGCTAGAGCATTGGGAGCTCCGGAGAAATTACGAGGAAGGTGCCCGTTGTGGAGATGGCGTCGATGTCATTGGTGCCAAATCGACAGGTATCGTTCGAGTTAGTCTGGGGGCCATGTCCACCATTGGGGATGTGGAACGGTTTGCGAGCTTCGTGAGATGGTTCTTCGTTGAGAGTACCTCCCACACGTCCACGACAAGGACTTCTCCTGCAGCTACCTGTATCTCTCCCTTGGAAGGATGTCGGCCTATGACTGTCGACCCTTTGGACCATGCTGCTTACCAAGTGTGGGACCGCCGGTGGCGCGTTCTCGACGCGGCTACCGGTGAGCAAATCAACAACGTCGACGACCTCAGTCTGGAGATTGAAGTCCAAACAGGGGAATTGGTTCTCAAATACAACGACAGTCGACTTGTGATGAGCCTGTGGGATGTGCCGTACGCAACCGACGACAGACTGAGCACACCGTCACAGCGCATTTTTGACGACTACAACGACTCCGTGATCGACGACTGGTTATCAGAGCGCGTAGGCATCCGGTGCAAGCTAAGCTACCAGCGACCTCTGGATCCGGCATGGCTGCCTGAGGCGACTGCGTGCGCAGTGGCATCTTGCGGTTGGAGAGGTAGAGATAAAACCGACCTCGGCGACCACTACAAAAGGCACGCGCGGGCGTTCCTTGCCGCACACCCCTTCGAGAGTCCCCAGACAGCCACCACTCCTGCTGCGACTCCACGGAACTCGAGCTGTCGAAGCCAAGACGCCGCGGCGAGGAAGTGCTGGCCCTTCAATTTCAGAGCCATCTTCAACCAGCGCAGCACTCGTGCTCATCAACGCACAAAGTCCCAGCAGTCACACAAGCTGGACGTTGCCAGTGTGAGCGAGAAGAGCGTCTGTCCAGGAATGACGCCGCCGTTGGGTCCAGTAGATCTTGGCAAGCATTGAGCGTGATTCCCCTTCAAGGTTAATAAATGACCACAGCAGCGCACGATTGTATGTATGAACAGGGGGTGGTTAGGTAGGTAGATCCCACAGATACAAAGAAAAAAGAGAAAAATCTAGTGAGACACACAAAAATGTATGCCCTGTATTAATTCATTACATTAGAGTCGAACATGCTAATGCTATGGGGGTCCGACAATTATATGTGCGAGAGAGTAGTATAGTAGATCCTGGGTAAGTACTGCACAAAATGGGCAGGTACGTAACGCTCAAGGGAAGGATAAGTCAGCTAGGACTAGCTTGTTCAGTGCTAAGACACCGTGCCGTTTGAGGGCCAAAGGGAAGAGGGGTATCGTCACTCTCCAAAACAGGATACATACAGGTAGGTAGGTAGGTACCTGTGTCTGTACCTGTAGGGAGGTACCAAGGCTGGTGTCAGGTACCTGTAAATAGGTTCGTCAGGCATCAAGGTGCTTTCCATGCCATTTCCAATGTCTGAGGAAGATGTCAGACAAGGCACAGAAAAAGACCCAAGAAATGTTTGGCTTTTGAAACGGCGAAAGTAGGTATCCCATTGGACATGAGACGATGACTGTAGGACATGTCGCTGTGGTTGTAGCTCGAGCAGGAGAAAACTATTGTGATTGAAAATGAGAATCGATATCGTGACGCGCTCGCGCGCAACGTAGATCTTTGTCTACCTAGGGGTGATTTATCGTGACTTGGATGTGAAACAAAGGCCGTGGAGCACGTACAGTGACATGACATAATGAACAGGTTGCGTGGCGTGTGGTGCGTGAGCAAGGGCGTTGTTTTCGTCATCAACAACAATAACTCATCCACCACCAACGTTGAATAGAGGATGTTTAGGTGGTTTGTCATTGTGACTTCGGCTCGGATATGTGTGAGAGAGGACACCGGGATGGTTTCATTCTGCCAAGCTCTCTTTCAGACCATCTACATCCACCATCTTGAGCTCAACGCCAGGATTGGCTGGTTTTTTTGCGGGTCTGAATCCAGGTACCATTCCCTTCTGGTTGATTCCTGGAGCTCTCCCTCCTAGGAACAAAGGAGGAGGATGGGGAGACGAGAAAGAAGAAGTCGACAACGAAGATGATAATGATGACGCTGCAGCCAGTGCTGGCGGTGGTGGAGGTGCTGAAGAAGACGATGATGTTAAGGTTGAACGCAACGGACCTTCTGTTGCCGCAGAAGAAGCAGGAGCAGGAGAAGAGGAAGAGGTTTTGGCTTGGCTTTGGTGATGGTTTGAACTCGCACCCGGACTCGTATTCGAATTCAAAGCTTTCAATTCAGAAGTTAGTTTCGTAGGTGCCGGTCCCCATCGTCCTTTCACCCAACCACCAACTAAACGGCCGAAACCGCCGGATTGGTGGTGTTGTTCTGCCGGAGAGATCTTGGGGAGGCCAGCGAGACCGCTCAGTGCCTCGATGCTCTGGCTTGGGTACGCGTTGGGCGAGGGGATGCTGTTTGAACTGATGGATCTAGGGGAACTTAGTGCAGTGAACTCCGTTACAGTCGTCGAGGGTTGTGCAGCGGGCAGTCTGCGTGCTGCGGAAGGAGACAGGGCAAAGTATGCTCGATTGCCTTTGAGGAGGCTCGAGGCTTGTGACGTTGCGGTAGCGGGGCGCTTCGCGAGATGTATGTCCATTCCAGAGATGGAGACAAGGGATTCGTGAGAATTCGTGCGACGGTGGCGCATCTGCATGTGGCTTGCAAAATCATCAAATCCTGTCTCTTGCTGTGTGGGCGCGATTCCTCTGGAGTCTCTCTTGGTTGCTTCCTCCGCCCACACGGATTCGTGCTCCTCTACCCTTATCTCTAGTTGCTTCGGCAATGATGTCGTACCATCCTGCCCATCGAATTCTATTCGGATCTCCGACAGCCCTGGAGCGTCTTCACAATCGTCGTGCTCCGCCGTGACAAGTATTTGAGAAGGTTTAGGTGTCAAGTCCTGAGATGATCCACGGACTTCATCTGCTTCGTCTTCTTCCGCAGGTGTTCCTGGCACCTCCTCTGGTGGCAGGCCTCGCAAGTCATGCGCGTCTGATGAATCATCACTTGTGGCTGCGTGTTCGAGGTCTTCCTCGTCGAGAGAGTGAGGCACTGCGTCCTCCAGCAGCCTAGACTTGAAGCTTTTGTACCCGGGCTCGGCGAAGCCAGCAGCGGACTCTGGACTCGTGGGCCTCGACGAATCCTCACTGGCTTCAATTCGGTCGAAGATGGAACTGCTCGGTTCGTAGTATGACCTTGGAGAACTTGGGAAACTGGACAACATCGACGAAACCGTGGCAGCCGACTGTACAGACCAGCGATTGTACCTTGGTTGAGGATGGTGAAGTGCCAGTGGAACAACGGGACTCGAGACATATCGGCTAGATCCCGAGAGAGGTGTTTTAGGGGCAGATGATTCCGGAGTCGCAGGAAGAGCGCCGAGTCCGAACATGGGCCGTTTGCGTGTAGTCCTTCTTACTGTGGGAGTACGATCTCGTCTAGCGGCAAGCTTTGCATGGTAATGGTGGTGGACGTGGACCTCTTGCTGGACTTGTTTGGGACAAGATTCAGCCCAATCTATCTGCTCGCTCAAAGGTCTCGAGATCGGTGGGTCTTCCAGCATATGGTCGTAATCGACAGGTTGATGGTGCATTATCTGCTCGCGCAGATTCTGTACCTCGTCGTTGGAGTTTTGTAATAACTCTCGCAGCTCGGCGATACCGGCCTGGAGGTTTGCATTGTCCTGGAGAATGTCACGCACGAAGTGGCTGACAACGTTGTTCTTCGTCACCCCATTCCCCTTCAACCCCTGCAATGCGGCAGCACCTTTCAGTCTGCCCTCTGCACCGCCTAATTCACGTTCCAGAGCTCGCTCTCTTTCAAGCCTCGCTATGGTTTCTTCATGTCGTTGCCGATCTTGCTTGGCTTCCCATTCGATTCGTTGAACTTCATACTCGAGTTGTCGGACTTTGAGCACGCTCTCTTTCCAGCGTTGAACGGTACTGCGAGTCTCCTCTTCAGATTCTTCAACCTTTTCCGAGAGTCTGATGCGTTCCCTCTCCAAGTCGAGCATCTTGAGCTCCAACTCTTCGGTCTGCCGGCTGAGGCCATTGAGCCTTCTGACCTCGCTTTCACAATCGCGTAGCAGAGTTTCGAGACTCTTTACATGTTCATCGCTTTCTTTCAAGGAGGTATTGGCAGACTCTAGTCGGTTGAGCAGTTCTCGATTCTCTTCCACAACCTTCTCATTGGCAGCTTGCAGCGAATTGCGCTCCTTCTCCAATTCGTTGACATAGGATGTCAGTCTTTCGTGCTCGAGTTGAGACTCGGTAACGTAGGATTCATGCCGATTGAGGAGAGCCTGGAGTGCAAACGTTAGCCCATTCCCCGTCCGCCGTTTCTCTCGTGAGGCCGTGGCTGCGTCGACCATGACCTGATCTATCTCCATCTTATGGCTGCATCATGCCGACACCAGAAAATTCTCGAGAGAAAGTGCGGCCACCTCTGGAGAACTCCCCTAGCGTGGGACCCTGGTTTGATAGCCACGAAGAATTTGTTTGCTCGTTGCACGATAAAATTGCAGCGATCCAAGCTCCAGCACCGCTTCACTCGAAGCTATTCTGGCCGAGATCCGAGTCACCGGACGGGCGCACGTACCTGACCTAGTCTTGCGGCGGTCTCGAGATCTCTCTCGATGCCACCGAGAAGAGTGTTATTGTTTTCCAAATAAGCGCATTCTGGGCGCCCACAACAACATTGCAATTTCATATCAGATGTCAAGGTATGATTTTCATTGGTTGAACTCATAACGGTGTCGATGGCTTCCGGAATGTGGCCAGAGCGCCTGTCAGTGCTCGGCGTGGAGGGCATGTCATCGCTGGTCTCACAGAAGGCTTTGAAGCGAGAGGACATCGCGTTGAAAGGGGCGGCCATGTCGTGGACATCTCGAGAGAGTCACACAAGACCATGGACAGGGACAGAACGGCTTTGCAAAGGGCGATGGGTGACGCAAAGGAGCGCGTTGTTTGTAGAGTAGAGTTTAGGGATGGAGTTCAAGATAGAGCGGATGAACTGTAACTGTAAGTTGGGTGGATGAGTTGGGGAATCAACAAGTGGTGACGAGTAAGAGTCCGCGCCCAGCGCTGTCACCATCCGCCGAACGGAGCCACGATAGGCTATAGTGACCTACGGATGATTGGCCCAGCCTTTTCAGCTGAAGAGGTCGATGAAACGGCCTCTGACATACTGTACTCCGTATAATTCTGTGTTCAGCAGTTACAGCTCGTGCGCAACTCTAGCAGACGAGTGGCTGAATGTTCCAGGTCTCAGCTGGTCTGTTGATGGGTCATACTGCACAGCCGATGGCCCAAGAATAAGAATCGAAAGCGATGAAATTAGCGAGACCAAACTTGGTCCCTGCCACAGATTCTATACGGGAACAATTTCCCGTCCCAGAAGAATTTCTTATTCTGCGTCATGCACTATGGGACTATGTCTCCGTCTATCCAACACCCTCTGCACGGCGTCCCTGACTTCGGGGTTGTTTCTCAGAGCGGACAGGAGCAAAGTCTCCTTCATAGAGGTCCGCAGAATCTCCGACTTTTCAGCATCTCCCTTGAAAGGACTCAGTCCAAGTTGAAGAAGGCTTCCTGACTCCGCGTCCAGCCTGGTCGCTGTTTGCGCCAGATGAGCAACCTGCTGCTGCATCTGCTGATCTTTCAATCCAGGTTGCCGTGCTGCCGGAGGAGCCAGCTGTGAAATGAAGATATTGAGAGACATAGACATCTTTCTTGCCAGCGCTAGGATTTGAAAAGGGAGAAGGTGTGGTGGTAATAGTTGAGGCAGAAGCGTGTATGCCGTATTCGCCCAAAGATTGACCAGCCTCGGTGGGTTCCACGTATGAGTCAAGAAGTATAGCTCGAGGAAGGCCATGCATGCAATGGCAAAGTATCTCCAGAATTGCCCCCATTTTGGCAGCCAGATGTAGTTCAATATTATGAGCACGGCAGCATTGGATAGATATTCGGGTGCCTTCGAACGCAGCCCGGCATAGACATAGTCTCGAATATTCCTCAGTCCCGGTTGATTGACCTGGACGATGATAGGACCGAAGCGATCATATGCGAAGCGCTTGGCTGGGTCGAGGATTGTGTCGTGGGCAAGCTTGAGATGGACGAAGACAGCATCGGCCCCCGGAAATGTCTGCCCGTTCTCATGCAATTTGTCTGGATGGTACCTCGAAGCAAGCTTGCGAAAACGGCTCTTGACCTCCCTTTCAGTCGACCAGGGTGTAACTCCGAGAATCGTGTAAAAGTCGCCGGCCAAGTTGATATCGTAGAGGGCCTGCGCAAGGGTGTAAACGAGATAGAGGGACAACACGAATACCCGGATTCGACGGTTGTGGTAGGCGAATAGAGGCTCCCCAGGCTGGGGATGTCGGCGTCCAGCACTTATCGTCAGCCTGTAATAGAGCGACTGCAGGAAAGCTGTGGCATACTATGTATGCATGGTCGATTAGCCATTCGATCAGTAGTAGTCAACACCAAAGCCGCAATTTCGATCACATACAGCAGGGAGGAACGTCCAACCAAGGAGAGCAACACCTTGGGACACAACACTGTCAGCCATGAGGTCTTTGTCAATGATGGCTACCAAGATACCTTCCCCGCAAAGGAAAGATGCTTGCGTTCGCGCATAGAGACTCTATGTGGACATGGTGTTGAGTGTCGACAAGTTTCAGGGTGATAAAGATTATGTCTGACTGAAAGTAAATTACGATTATTCTGCCCAAAGGACGCGCCAATGTGCTACTACTCGTAGCCCATCTTAGGATTCGGTGTCAGACCGGATATATAAGAAACACCGTGAACACCGTGCAGGTCCCCCAATTCTGGTACTGTTGCCCACGCACATGAAACTCTCAACACTTGACTCCCACACCTGCATAGCTAAATGCAAATTGGTTCAATGCAGCCGCTTTCCCGGGATATCTGGTACTCTGAACAAAACCAGACAGCCACTCTCTCAATTCAACTTGTCGCTCTTTAGGCAAGTACTTCAGCACATTTGCGACCGCAGAAGCTCGCCAGTGACAGTTGGCAAGGTCGAGATTGTCAAGTGCTTCAACTGCCGCTGGATTTGCACTATGAGGCTTGAAGTCCCGATAGTTCTCCAACATGATCCAGAGCAAATCTGCGGCCGAGTGTTCGCTCCCGAGATCAAGGTCAATGAGTCTTTCCTCAAGGCCGGTAACGTAGGCACTTATGGCGTCAAAGACTGCCAGCGCCTTGGGATTTTGTCTCAGAATGGACTTTGCTTCCAGCTGTGCGTGCAGACCTACTATGATGCACACCAAGATAAGCAGACATCTCTGCTGTGCCACATTTTCGTCAATGTCACCATAAATGCTGATCAATTTGCCTGTCGTCTTGCGCAGGAGAAACTCCTGCAATCTCTTATTCTCCCCCAAAAAGGAGGTTCTGTGCTTTGGTGGAAGCAGGATGCGGTCGCGCCATATTTGATCGACCTCGGCCAGCAAAGTCTTCAACCACTTGAAGCGAGTGGTGGCATCTTCGGGGCTCCAGACGAATGATGCTTTTGGGTCTTGATAGATACCCTCGAACCATAACGCCTGCTCTTCACGGAGGCGGTCATGGAGGCCTCCCCGAAATCCGAGTTGTCTGATTATATCCCTCGCCACCTTGAAGTGTAAGTATGACTTTTCTGGATCACCATACCTCTGCTCAAACGTGGCAAGACTGATTGTTGAAGTGAGGATTTCCTTTTTATCGGCTTGCGGCCCTCGTGCCACTTGCTTTCTCAGGACTGCGATGGCATTACCTTGGTGCTTCAATGCGGCAACTTCGAGGTCTTTCTGCTTTCCCGCTGAAATATACTTGTTCAGACGGAGCTGATGCAAGGCTGATCGGGCCATGAGGATGTGGAAATGGGTTCGCGATAGACTGGTCTGATATTCCCAAGACCCTTTGATGCTTGGTTTGATGCTGTTCGACAATGCGTACGCAGTTTGCCAATACGCGTCTTGCCCGTAGAAGTAAAGGAGTTGATTGGTCACGCCATCAATCTCAATCGCAAGTTGACCAAATGGGTCTACCATGCAGGCAGATATCGATCGCTGCCAGACTGTCAGCTGGCCATTGATCAGCTCAACAGAACGTCTGCGAGATGGTATGCCTCTTTTCGAGCCGTGTTGCGACTCATCTGGTGTTTCAGGGTCGTCATCCTCGCTTTCCAGACTGCTGATGGACAAGCTACTCGGCGTCGAGGAGTCTGAATCGGTCATGTCTGAGAAGGGGCCTGCAAAAAGCCCACCTCCCCCGAGACATCAGACGGGGTATAGCCGGTGCTTCCTTCGATCAGAACCTGCCACCGCTCCTGTTAGACACGGGCACGCTGTGATCGAAAGATGGGAAAGGCACTCTTGGGCTTGGGCGCTACTCAGAGGCATATTATACCATCAATACCACTTACCATTTCCAAGCAAACAACCCCTGGGCGCTATCCCGTTCTGCTGTTGGTTAGACTGCTCAGCCGCCGATCGGGCGGCGGCCTGAGTACGAGAACGTTAGGGACCTTTATCGCTCATTGGTGACGCCGTTTGGCTCGCGCAATCCCTAACCAACACCCGCTATACTAGATGGAGGCAAGTGCTTCCCTATCCGGCCACCTACGTATCTCTTCGTTGGCAAAAGGCCCTGGTGAAGACCTGACGAACCTAGATCAGGAGACTATGCATCGATTTGGTCTTGTCATTGGCCATGAGCGGCGTTGAGATTGATTTGACGTTTGGTCACCAAAGCCAAATTGGATGATATGTCTGGGCGCATGTTTTCTTCTGCCTCCAATCCGGCAGAGGCTTCGTAACGCCCCGTAACTCATAAGCACCGGCGTTGGATTATCGCAAATGGAGCGCCGATCTCTTGGGATGACAAGCGAGAAAAGACGAAACTGTTACCGACTTGTGGAAGCAATAAACGAGACTGCGTTTTCGGCCACACCAAAATCCGTCCATCTTCTGTTGCGTCGAATCGCGTTCAATTGCGAGTGTACTATACCTCTCTAGATACGGGATAGGACACTCTCAATCGTCCCAGTTCATCAACCTGAGTCCCCAAGCTTTTAGCATGCGCATTCCACTTGACTTGACTCACCTGATCAGTACGAAGTGTCCCGCCCTTCCCACCACAGCAACCGTGACGCCCAAGAGAGAGGTGGGAAAAGCGGCACACTAATACTGTAGGTAGATGGCAAGTCAATAGTAGAGAGAGCAAACATGGCGCTAGCTCTTGAGACTTTCCAGCTAATGTTTCTTTTGCTGTCCTCTTGGGATCTCGGAGTCCGGAAGCTGAGACAAACCAAAAGCTACAACCTGACTTTTCTGTTCTTGGTAGTCGGAAAAGTTTTTCCCTCGAATCAAGTAAGTCGCTGTCTGAACTTCGGTGGATGCTGTGTCGTTTTTGTCACCCAACCAGCGCAACTTTTGACTGTAGACGTACTGTAGCTTCAGGTATGGACGGTGGCCGGTGGAAAGTATGATACTTTTCCAGTCAGCATTCAAGTAGGCTTGAAATAAGCAGAAACATTGCCAAAAAGCAGATTCCATGATCAAATCTTTAGAACAATATCCACTTCGGGAACGCCTACAACATTTCCGAGAATGATTATAATACCAACCCTTAGACGTTCCCCTCGTGCGAATACGAACGGGTACAACTACGAGTACATACAGTACTTCTTGTCCTCAGTTTGTCGATCAGTGTGACGATCCCTGGCCCTTGCGATCCATACAGAAGCTCGGACTTGCCAGCTCAACCATGCTCAAGTGTCTCCTGTAAAGGGACTCGGTACTGCTTCCACGGTCCGCGATCAGGATCATGCCTCTGAGATGCGGCATGCCCTTGAACATGTCGTCGATGCACTCCATCATCCACACCCCCAGCCTCTTGCCTCTGTGCTCGGGCACAATGTACACGTCGGTCAGGTAGTTGACGGTCACCATGTCAGTGATCCAGCGCGCAAACCCTATCAGTCTTCGCCGCTGGCCTGGCCCGCCAGCGCCGGAGGGTTCTTGTCGTGCACCGCTGCCCGCACTCGCGGCAGTATCATAGAGCGCGAAGCACAGAGACCTCTGCACGAATATCTCGAGGTGGTCGAGTGGTAGTGGTTTCCCCCAGTGGAACTCACCGGACGCAAAAATGTCGTTGAGCGCGTCGAGCGGAATGAGTGACGGGTCCGTGGATATGAGGTAACGGTGCTTTGTCCAGCTGCGGACGGGCATTTCAAGAGCCATGGGGTATCAGGTGCCTTTTTTGACGAGTGGTAGGTCCAACAAGGACGAGTACGAGGGTCTAGGTGAATGCTCGATAGTGATACTATCTCGCGCGTGTCTGTCTCTCGTGCTACAGTGCTAAGTTGTCATTACCTGGGGTGGTTTCAAGCTGTACCCCGTCACCGTGCGGCAATGACTCACTCGCCTATCACCAGGGCTCAGACGGAGATACAGGCGCTGTTTACGATTTGAGCCATGCTGAAAGACCACCTAGCCCTTGTAGCTGCAAGAAATGGACAGAACGCCCCTCCAGGTAGCAGTGACGCTGACTTTGGCATGGTCTGTAGCAAAAACAAACCTACAAAATCTGCTTTACCGATACCGTGGCGGATATTCGTTCTGGTACTTTTGTAAAGATGTGGTTCTTGCGGGATAAATAAAAATATACTTTTTGACTCAATCAATCATTCTGCAACTTCCACTCAAGGCATCCACTCCGCTTTGCATTTACGCTCTCAAAACGACTTTGTACGGATTTTCTACGGTCTGGAGGTCACGTATCTGCTGCTGCATGATGTGTCCATACTCCACACAACGGATCGGTTTGAACGTACTTGGGACATGGATACTGCGCGTCTTGCTAAACCCTCGATGGATGGATGTGAGGTTGCCATTCTCACGATTCCGAATATGGCTTCTGGTCACCAGAACGAGAAAGACGAAATATGACGGTGGGGATCCAGTGAAATGAAAACTGAAACATAAGACTTTGTGACGTGAAACATGCTGCATTGCCCGAGAGAAAAACACTCTAAAATCAACGAGGATAACAAAAGAAGGCTAAAATATGTACTGCGAACGAGAACAAGGTTCCCCAGCCAAATTACAAAACGTATGTGTACCCAAGGAAATGCTCTATGCTTCTTGATTTTCTTCATGTGTCATGTCTCATACGTAGATGTAGCACAAGGGGCCACCTGTCGTGCTCATGACATCCTGGATCTCGACTGTCGAAGCCAAGCTGCCCAGGTAGATGGGATCGGTCAGCTTGCCAGCAGGGCTGCCAGTTGGGTCGAGCAACGAGGTGCCACCTGCCAAGGCGTTTTGGCGGTTCTTGAGGTCCTGGTTCTGCCATATCCACCAGGTGCGGTCGATTTGGGCGTGGTGGAGGAAGAAAGTCGGCTCTCCGGGAGAGGCGAAGAGGTCACCACCCGGGTCGCCACCAGTGGTGAAGTGACCGGCAGTGTGGACGCCGTAGAAGCCGGTGGGGAAGTCGCCTTGCATGCGGTTCTGGAAGGATAAAATGTCAGTGTAGCCGGTGACCAGGTCGTAGACGTCCGAGTCCTTGGTCCAGTTGGATGACACCCAGGAGGAGATATCGCGGCGAAGGCAGCGAGGGTTGTACGCGAGAGGGTTGGGATTCGAGTAGTTGATGATGCCAGGGACATCGAGCGTAGGCGACACGGGACCAAGGTTGACAACATAGTTCTTGAATGGGCCAGTGGTGACACAGCCACCGCCGGATCCGGGAGGAATGCAGTTGAGGTCACTGGTTATGGCTTCGGTGCATCCGTGTGGTGCGTACGCGCCGTTGCCGGACATGCTGTAGTCCGAGCCGTCGAAGAGAGGGCTGTTGAGGGGGTCGAAGGCGTACTTGCCCCAGTTCCAGTATGGTTGGTAACCGGTGTAGCCGCATTCGTTTCTCAGCGCTTGCTCGAATGACCAGGTGAAGTATCTGTGCCACGAGAGGAAGTTGGCTGTTCCGTGGATGGTCAAGGTCTGGTTGATGTGGACAGCTACAAAGTCGTCGTAGCGCGTCTTAGCACCGGCAGCAAACGAAGGGTCTTTCGAAGGTTTGGACATCAGGCAGAGCTCGGCATTAATGTATGCTAGTCGTTCTTGCTTTGACAGGGTTGACCATTCCCGACGCACAGCTGCGTTGAGAATGTTGCAGCTTCCTTTAGGCGGGTTCGTGACTTGATAAATAGCCAGATTGACCAATGCTTTGGCAGCGAGAATGTCTGTCTGCAGAGTTGAAGCGGGGATATAGATTGAATTCGCTGATGCTGCAGCCGTGTCCCGTTCGGCAAAAGCATTCAATTGCTCCGCGGGGGATGATGATGGAGCAGCTTGGGCACCATACAGAGCCAGGAAGGCTGGTACAAGGTGTTTGAGCTGCATCGTGGTGAAGGTCAGATCAGAGTAGGACCGAAGAAGAAATGGGCAACGAGTGGACAGTCAGATTCCACAGTGAGGGATCCAACCAGATTGCAAGCTTGTGGCAAAGCCGAGTTGTGACGGAGAAAAATCTGACGAAGTCCAAGAAACACGAGGTTATATATCTCTGGAGAGATCTCCTTGCCAGCTGCCACGTGGTGGTCCTGATAGTGGCTTTGCCACGCGAGATTGGGAAGAGTGGGCTTTCACAACAAGAGGAGAGTATTTTCGTGCAAGCGCTGTCAAACGTTGAGCGTTTAAGAGCTAGATGCTCTTTCTGATTGTGCTGTCGCAAAAGCTAATAGGATCTATCGAGTGTCCTAACCAAGTCTGATGGGGAGGTGTCCGCAGGTAGATTTGACGGGCTGCACTTACGGCGAATGATTCGGAATGATGGGTGCCGGTGTCAAATAAAATAACAACACCACTTGGGCCATAGGATCAATAGCTCTTAGACCCAGCTACTTTGGCCGGTAAGCTGTGGTTGAATGGAGCATAGCCACCGATGATCATTTCGCTTCTGGAAGGCTGCCATAAACAGGGCATTTCGGCAGTTGTGGATGGCAAGGCCCAGTATGGCCGCCGAGATAGACTTTGAGCATCCGGACAATTGTCACGGCCTGCCGTAGTGTTGTGGAGGCAAACCCACACAAAAGATGTTGCAGAAGATATTTCTCTTGTCGTCGGATTCAAGAGTTGGGGCCAACAGCGGAGAGAAAGTTTGCGAGGTGTGAGGGAATATATGATGTGCAAGGACGCCCTGGCGAGCATGCGACGATCAGGGTAACAGGACGCACAAGCACCGTTTTGCTGTAGGTAGTACTCCGTAACACGACTTGTGAAGTTGTGATAACGCAGGAGCACAGAATGGGTACCTAGGGGTGCTGGTAACGAGGTGGTGCTGAATGGCGAGAGCACTAACGGGAGGTGGAAAATTGGAAGCTCGAATCGAGGCTAGCTAGTTCCACCCTGGGAGACCGCTAAAGATCAGGCTAAGCCACAATGGGGCTAATGTATCTCTAGCGGACAGGCTAACATCAACTTTCTCTGGAAAGTTCCCACCTCGCCCCCGTTTGACCTCAACTCTTTCCCGTCCCTTCATGTACTCGTACGAGACGAAGTACAATGCCACCATCCTCAGAATCGCCACGACTCGTCCCGCTCGAGCAGCCGCTCCTGATCCTCCAGAAGACGTGCACTCAAGGGAGCTTCCAGTGTTACAGTACGCTTGTGCACCTTCACCAAGCCACGAGAGACCTGCGGCACGATGTGGTAAGGCTGACCAGGACACGGCTTTTCTGTGCACGGTACTCTTGCGAGGGCCGAGAAGGCCATTGTTCCTCAAAATCTATGACACGAAGAAATAAATACCTGGTCCATCAATGTTCACCCCGGAACATCCTCTAGCTCAGGGCCTTCAAAGCAACATAGTCTACCTGACTGGTCTGTCACTAGACTCGATTCCAGTTGCAAGTTCAGACCCTTGGAGGCATGGTTCGGCTGGAGACTATCGCATCATGCATGTTCTTTAAATTTTTGAGTTGAGTTTTGACTAAACAGCTCGAGGTAACCTCTGTTACGGCTATGATTGTCAGCCTAACAGAAAGCGCCAGGAACTCCAGCCTCGCTTGCATGGATTCGTTAAAGTATGAAAGGCGGACGTGTGATATGTCAGGGCCGGTGCATCTTCCGCCTTCTCCGCCGACTCCATATTCCCTAGCTGCTTTGGCATTCCGGCAGCATGCGGTTGTCGCAGGCTTTTCGTGATCCACATGGTGAGCGTTCTCGACGCCGATGTCATTAGAAACTTAAAGTGGTAGGGAAGCCGTCCGCCTGGACGTGGCGCACCAAGTGCACCAAGGAGCACGACCTGCAACCCTCACTAAGCCCGGACCGACCATCTGAATCTGCAAGTGAAGACCGCAGTGAATTAATTGTACACTTGTTGTCTTGGTTCAAGATCTTCTCCTTTTACTACACAATACTGCCGTGACGGGAATTTGTGAAGGGACACACCCACATGTCTCCATGCTAAGCTAGAGATCTACGGCTTTTTGGGACTTGGCTGGATTCCAGACTCTTAAACCCTCCCGCTTCCACAACTCCATTATCAACCTCGTCTTACCCTGTCCCTTCCGCTGTCACCAAACACGTTCTACAGACATCTGTCCTTTTAGACCTTCCAATGCCCGGTTGAAACTCACTTGCAGCCGCGGTTCACCATGCTCATCCCGGATCTCGGATCTCTCCTTCTGGAGCGCCAGGCGGCCAGCCCATCAACCCCCCAATACAAGAACGAGTCGAACGCTTCAACCTTGCTCGCTATTCACGGCACTTTTTGTGGTGTTGCAGTTCTGTCGGTCTTGTTGAGACTCTATGTGAGGATTTTCATGATCAAAGGCATCGGAGCCGACGATTATATTATTGCTGTCGCAGCGGTAAGTGCTTGATACAACCTTGCAATCACATATGGGTGGTGTAACGTCCCGCGGTTGGCTGACCTCGTTCACCAGGTTATTTCCATCGCAGTTGTGATATGCTTTGCTGGTGAATCTGCGGCTGGTGGCCTAGGCCGACATCCAGCTCTTGTTTCCTCGAGCGATTGGTCAAATTTTCTGCATTGGCGGTTTTATCACTCCATAATTGTCATGGTGGGAATCTCTCTGGTCAAGATCTCCATCGCTTGCTTCCTCCGCCGATTCGCAACGCAGAAGAACTATCAGCGTGCCTTGATCGGCTCAATCATCTTTCTGGTTGCATTCACACTTTCATGCGCCGGCACCTTGATATTCAATTGTGGTTCACACCCATCAGCGAACTGGGACTTCGCCCTGCGAAGCCACGTCAAATGTTTCTCCAACAAGACCTTCACGGATATTGGCATATTTAACAGCAGCATCAACATCGCCACCGATGTCCTCTTCGCCATTTTACCAGTACCTATAGTCTGGAATTTGCAGACTAACCTGCGGACCAGGCTTACCCTCATTTTCATTCTAAGTTTGGGTCTATTTGCCTGTGCTGCCAGTATCGTCAAGACCGTGTACCAATCCCAGGCGCTTGGAAACCCTGACTGGACATTTCATGACAGCTTCTTCATGTGGAACAATATTGAATTCAACATTGGAATCTTAGCCGCCTCGTTGCCGGCCCTGCGCCCCCTGTTTGCCAAGATCCTTGGTGTCACACAGAAATTGACCTCGAGCGCAACTCGGAGCAAACAGAATTATGCAGGGTACGACGCCGATGGCCTTGCGTACCGTAAGAACGATACACGAAACTCGCGCAATCCTGCACGACAATATTATCAGTTTGGGTCGCGCCACTCGACCGAGCTGAATGACTTGCATAGGGGAGCTAGCAAACGAGCATTCGGCGAGGATGGAGATAAGATACGGGGAGTGACCAGCACCGTCACCGCTGGTGATGATGGCAGTGACAACATCATGCTTGAACAAGATTTCCATGCCATTGGAACGGATAAAGACTGGGACAAGAACCACCCCGGGATAACCAAGACTACAACAGTACAAGTCACGCGGTACTGACCGGATTGACGCGAGATGAGCCATCGCACCGTCAAATAATAGAAGTCGCCTGGATCTGCCGAAGCCGACCATTCCACGATCCATCAGCAACAGCATGGATGACGGCGTCTTCCGTGTGTTGTCTAATGCCTGACGGATCTATTGCTACGACTAAAGACCATTTATTTACGCGGTTGATGCAGCTGATGAGGGCCGGGAGGGAGGAGGTTTGCATATCACAGTATGCCTTGTGCGAAACAGTGGAGAAAAATGGCACACGGCACACACATTATCACCGCTGGCCGATTCGCATTCATTTCGAGAACATTTGTACAATAGGCGTATGTAGCTGGAAGACCACTGTATTCCTACACCATTTGGACCAGAGCTTTCCGAAGCAAAATGTGATTTGACTACCTGGTGCCCAACTCACCTTGCAAGGCTCAACAAACTCGGCGATGCAAAAGAGCATCCTCCCCCAGGCGTTCGAACTCCAGCGACGCACCGCTTTGGTGAATGATCATCGCGGCTCTACTGCACAAGTACGAGTATGGGGTCTTGACTCCGGGTTCCCGTGCGGCCGGTCCTCCAGTCCTACGGAGCACCTGTCTGTGCACATTCGGCTTGGGTCCGCCCACGATGGGTTTTGATGAGTCTGGCTTTTTGCGAAGGCAGATAGATCGAGCAGCTACTGTAAAACTGCAGCTGAACCTTGCCACTTCAAGGCCCAGTCCCAAGCTCACTAAGTCAAGAAGGTCAGGAGATGCGATGATCAACAATGCCCCAAAACTCCCCCCCTTTAGCGCGGAGCCACACTGGTTACTAGTACTTGTAGTATTGTACAAGTAGCTACAGTTAGTTGCTGCGTGTCTCTTCGCGCGTGTCTTTCGCCACTGCTGCTAAAGCCTCCCCGTCCTCGTGCTGGCGAGGCCTCTGAACAAATATGGAGATCGAAGTACTCGTAAGCTGGGTCACCAGGCCTAGCTCTTTTCAAGCTCGCACCGGGTGATCAATTTCACTTTCTTTGGCAAGAGTCCGGGCCCTCCCGGACACATGTCGACTTTGATAGCAGTCTGATATCGTACCGTGTTCCCTCTCCACCCTTGTGCTGGGCATCGTACTAACTAGGCTGTAGGACGGGGTTTCACGAAGTCTCGGTACTGGATTGCCATCACGTTATTGCTTTCCAGAGTACTTCCCTACCAGGAGTGCAACCGAGCCTTCGACAGCAGTCTCAGACAGTCGTAGTCTTATTCGACGGCTGACATGTCATGCTACTGCAGGCTCGATACGATTTGCCACGAGTTGTTCCGGCCCCTTGCTGAGCCGAACGTCCGATAGCTTTGGGGCTCGTTCCAAGGTGGGAACCCGGGCACTCGTCTGGCGTTCGTGCAAGTACAGCAGCCCCTCCTCGTAAGACAATTTTGCACCGCTCCACAACATACCCGTAATTTTCATCCGCGGGCCGCAGAAAGACTGCTGCAAGAGAAACATTTTTCAGGACTCTTTTGAGTTCGTTCTTGAGCCCCTGGAGAACTAATTACTCGATTAAAAGAGTAGTAGATTGAACCCCTCGATTTAGGGTCAAAACTACGAGGAGGCGGGAAGGTCACAGAGGTTATAGTACACAACAATGCTATGGGAGGCCCGCCGCGGGATGGGGGTGCCAATGCCACCGAGAGAGGAGAATACCTGTACCTCGAGGAACTGTATGTACTACTGGGGGGTTCTATGTAGGCGATTGGCGTGCTTCCTGGAACTATATGAACATGTCAAAACACACGTTGGACTCGACATCACGAACACAGGAGTGTCTCGTACAGTATGCATGTTGTACTCGTGGCCCTTGGGTGAACTGCAAATGATTTGTTAATTTTAGTGTGTAAAAGGCCGTCCAAAATCCACGCCTGATGCTGAGAGTTCAAGCTAGTTACCCAGACTCAAGGCAGTTGAGTGAGCTTCTGGACGGGGATCGAGAAGAGAGTGGCTAGCGCAGTCTGCGAGTATAATATCGGTTTCCGCGCTGTCGAGCTTTGCTTTTGCTGGAATTGACCCATTAACTACTTTGACTGTAGGGACTACCGGACTATCGTGGTCGTACTCGCATGGAGATGGCTCCCCGTCTGAACTAGATCGCCCCTGCTAATCGCACGCCTACGGTAAAGGACGGCAGCCGAGGATGATGCGTCCATATCTAGGTACTTGCAGGTGCCAGGCCCGCGAGTCCACGCCATGCGGCCTCCTTGTACGGAGCACGCTACTTGTTACTTGCATGGTGCCGACTGCGACGGTTGTGTCTTGGGAGGAATTTCTTTGGTGCGACGCCAATGATACCTACTTGTACATGAGGAGTTCTAGTGATTTTTCGTACCCCGTGGAACTTTACTCAAGTTAGTTGTCGCTCGGTTATTGTTTCGATTCTTTTCTGGACCGGGTCCACAGAACTCGAACCGCGATACAGACTACGGTAGAACAAGTTACTAACTACTGTAGCAAAAATGCACCCGTACGGAGTGCAGCATACGTAATGTACTTATATCATACAAGTTACAGTACATACTGTACGACTTCTGTGACCTGTCCCTGTCCCTGCCCCTGCCCCTGTCCCTGTCCCTGTCTTCACACCAATGCACTCCACTTGGCACTAATGGTACAGCCTACTGTACAAGTACGAGGAACAAGTCTTGGGTCCATCCGTCTACTCGGACTGATATCAAAATGTGACTTACGTGTACCCTTGTCTAGTGCCTGGGTACAATACTAACAAGGTGGTAAGAACGGGGGGTCAACCACATGGTAGACAACTACAGACTACTGCACACAGGGGTAGGCGATAGAGCTTATTGGGAGGAAACAGAGTGAGCACTGATGAGTGGATGGACAATGAAATGCTACAATAATAGGAGAGGAGCAGCGGATGGGCTTCATCACTTTGGTAATGGTCCCCGATGCTGTTCGCCTCGCATAGTGAGTGGTCTCTGGTCTCTGGTCTTTGATCTCTGCTGAGTCTTCTGTTGTCTCCCGTGTGCTCGTATGTCGAACATCTCCAAGTGAAGCAATAGGCAAAGCTGTCATCAGCACCTGTCACAAACTTAACTTTCCCATGGCGTACAGACCAGACACAGACAGACGGACCCTGGAAAAAAGCCACAAACCCTAATTAACACCCATGCTGCTGCTGCTGCTGCTGCATGGTCAATTCGTACCGACTGTCAGGTTCAGATTTTCTACTCTATTCTACCGTACGAGTATGGAGGCTCGTTGAAAAGCAATTCCTGAGTTCAGGTGTCTGTGGCGATTTTTGTTACCTTAAAATGATTTCTCCAGACCGTTGTCCCAGGGTCTTCTATGACGATCGCTCCAGCTTGCTCGGACGGGGTCGTTCTGAAAGTTCTGTCCGCCTCTGTGAATAATGGGTCTCGTCGATCGGTTCCGGGTTGTGAGCGTGAACGTTGATCATTTTTGGATCTACAATACTCTCGCATTGAATTTGGACTTGCTACTCGTACTCGCCATACTTGTACGTAATGCGTCCGCTGATCAGTGATCGTCAATGATCATTGATTGACCTTGAGAAAGCTTGTTTGTCGCGAGTAGTACAATACTCGCACGATGGAGGAGGATCGGAGGGAGCTCCAGCGAGTATCCTTGTCGTGCTACATGCTCCTGTAGTAACCACTCGTAAAGGGCATTGGGAGAATTCTCAACCGTGTGTTCGAACGCGTATCCCATTTCATAAACAAATGTTGATAGTGACAGATTCCGTTGTTCGCTCCTATAGGTGTTGTACGAGTGTTCACTTATGATACTGTGGGTGTTGCCGCTGCAAGTATTCCAATTCCCCTATTTCCAAGAGAGACCTGGGACATGTCACATGTCACATGGCGGTCCATCTGGACCATCAGTTGGTACCGTGATGTTGTACGAATGGTGGAAAGGCGAGGCGAAGCGAGACGAGACGAAAGGAGGACAACCAGGTTGCATAGAATGTTTCACCTGAGATCAAGAGGTTGCACTCCGAGGCTTTGAGAAAGCAAGTAAGCGAAGCGAGACCCGGCAATACAATAGTAAACACCGTTCCCTGCCATCAAGATCCAATCCGAGCCAGGGAGCGAGTCCGAATCTCGAAACGTCATCCTTGCTATTGTTGAGATCCCACCCTGGCCCTAGCATAGTAGAATATAAGTAAGCCTATGTGCTTGTATACAGTAGAAAAGTATACGGAGTAGTACAAGTTATATACTTGAGGATGTAGGCTGAGCTTGTTGGATGGGTAGAGTCAACCTACAGTGCTCCGTACCTAGGGTAGATCCCTAATGTATCGTGGGCCGAGTGCGAGATCAATGTGTTTCATAGACTCGCCTGTAAAACATCCTCTCCACCTTGAATCTCCTTCTTGGACGGCATCTTGTTGTGTCTCATCAACTCGGCACTTTTGACCATGACAGGGTCCATCATCATACTAGCCACCGCCACGACCGCGTCACCCTTGCAATAATACGCCGCAAACTTGCCATTTTCCGGCTCACCCTTGATCACGACGTCATCCCAGCCGTTTGAAGTCGAGCCACAGTATCTCAACTGGCTGCCCAGGGCGGACCAGAAGATGGGGATGAAGGGCTTGGGTTTGCTTCCTGGTCGAGCGATCAGCTGCCCAACGGTCCGGCCCATGTTCTGCGCGACATTCCAATGCTCGATGCGCACGGGTGTGTCGCTTGCGCCGGGGCCGTTGTAAGGGTACGTGGCGATATCGCCTATGGCGTAGACATCGCTGAGTCCCTTGACTGCAAAGTTCTGATCGACGGCGACACTGCCGTCTTTTTCTAGCTTGATACTAGCATTGTTCTCGAGGTACTCGGTCGCAGGCTTGACACCGATGCCGAGAATGACGAGGTCGGCCTCGAGTTCAGCGCCGTCCTTCAACTTCACGGCACGCACGGAGCTCAGGCCGACTGCGTTGGCGAGATTCGAGGCAGGAACTGCAGAGTCGACGCCGGCATTGAGGTAGAACTTCCCGCCGTTCTTCTCGAGCATTCTCTGGAAGATCTTGCCCACCTCCGCGCCCATGACACGCTCCATGGGCGCGGATTCCATGCCGACAATACTGACGGAGTTGTTCTTTGCTAGGGCATTGGCGACTTCCATGCCGATGAAGCTGGATCCGATAATCACAATCTTCTTGTTGCCATCGCCTACCGCATTCATGATTGCCTGGGTGTCACTAACCTGGCGCAGCAGGAAGATGTTGGAGAGCTCCTTGAAGCCAGGCAGGGGAAGGGTTCGTGGTGTGCCACCGGTGGCAAGGATGAGTTTGGTATACGGGAATGCTTTCCCTGTCTTGGTCTTGACTTCTCGGGAATCAAAGTCCACACTCGTCACAGTATCGGGGTAGAATTCTATGGAGCCGTCCTTGTACCACTGTTCAGGCTGGAGGTAGATCTGTGAGGCATCTGTAATGAGGGCTTTGGAGAGTTTCGTCCGATCAATCGGGAGACCTTCACCTGTGATGACGGTGACATGGCCTTGGAATCCGTGTTCGCGGAGTTTGAGGATGGTACCGAATGTACCTGAGCCACTGTATCTCTGGTCAAAAAGGCTCCTCTCTCACTGCTGGGGTTTAGTAGTGCAGCTTACCCTCCTACTATCACAACTCTTTCTGGTGTGCTAGGCGTGGTCTTGACATTGACAGGTCTCTTTCCGCCCTTGATATCTGTTTCTTTCCCTGAGATGTATACTCCTCCATCTTTCTCCACGACGTTAAACTTGTTCAGAGCAAGAGGGGCAGGCGAGTCTTCGACATCACCAGTCTTGGTGTTGAAGCAGGCTGTTATTGACTGTCAGGGTTGCGTTTCAGCCCAAAAGATAGGGTACGGCTGGTACTCACCTCCATGCCATGGACACGTTAATCGGCCTTCTGGTGTGAGGACACCGTTCTTCAAAGGTGCACCATAATGTGTACAATTGGCGTTGAGCGCAGAGATCTGATCGCCGACTTTGACAAGCAACACCTTCCCACCTTCGATGCCCTCAACTTCAACCTCGACTTTGTCCAAGTCCTTGAGGTCGAGCGTGGTCAGATCCTTGAGTTTCCACTCTTGAGCCATCTTTGGTGTATGGGTAGCGAACAGTCTGGTGGGAAAGTGGGGTGAAGAATGAACAGTTGAATACGGAGGTGTCCGTCCAATTGGTAGCGTGGAACGTGGGAAATGCGACGAAGCAGCTATCGAGCGAAGGCCAAATCTTGCGAACATGAAAAACGGAGAGGAACAAGAATCAGAGAATGGTCACGGAGGAACTAGATGTACACGTAGGGAAGCCTGAGGACCAAAGGGGCATGGTCTTTCTAGCACAGAGAGGGAGAGATATCAGACCAAAGGGACAGGTGACGAGGGACGAGAATGGGATGGGGACTGAATGGTGATGCGTGCATCATACACACACTTGCTATCTCTTGCCATAGCCCATATGTGCGTCTCTCTCGTTCCACCCCAATTCCTCTCTCCCCGATTAACTCTGCTCTACACGTTCCTCGCACCGAGACTTTGTTCGTCTCTTGCGACTGCGATTGCGTCACTTGGATTGATGATCGTGCGGGACTTAGTGGCCGCCGTAACTCCGCCAATCACAACGTGGCAATTGTTAACCATTACTGTCCATGCTGTGCGGTGCAGGTAAATATAGCAGCATAACTTTCTTCCAAGGTCGGTTCCCTGTCAGATGGATACAAGAAAAGACAACGACAGCCTATTCCACTTCTTTGATCACAGTCGCCATTAATATGCTCTCCTATGTCGAACCGGGACATTCCCGGACAGCACTGAAGCAACGCTGCCCTCACGACTCAACCCCAATGCCCCAGTCATGAGGACATCTCCTCCAGGCGTACGAGACCGACTGCGCTGTTGCGTTGCATTGAAACTGCGTCGTTCTTCCTCAACCGCTGCTTGCTCGGCTTTCTCGTCGAGTAACGTTCCGTCAATCTGCAGCGACCATTTCGTTCTGTCGTGTGCGGGCACCACCTCAGTATCCACCACCCGAAATCTCAGTGTCGGTGGGATCTTCGAGCCACTGGCATCCGTGAAGAAACCGCCGTCGTCCTGTAAACGATCCTGATAGGGTGCTGCGGCAGAATCTTCGACCTCCACGGCTCCGTCTGCTTTGACCTCGTTCTCGTCGCTGTCGTCGCGTAATCTGGCTTTCTTAGCCTTCTTCTTGATTTTCCCTAGTTGTTCCTTTGTTGGGCCGTTCCATATCCAACTCTTAGGTATGCGACTCTCGTGCACAGCTGTCTGGAAATAATTGTAGCTCACGAGTCCGACGAAGCCTTCTGAAGTTACATTGGTCCAGCCATGTAATTCGTCGCCACGCTCTGGTCGGAATACCAGGAACGTAGCAGTGAGCCAAACCCAACACACGCCGTTCTCATCCGCAGTTTTGGACAATACCTCAGCTTGAGGTTGCAGCTGGCCATTTCCTGGAGGCACGAGAGGGAGGTCATTGCTACTGCCGGCTTTGGCGGATAGCACAGGGTCGGAGAAGCCCAGGACGATGCCTTGGGCAGGCGGAAAGTAGGTTAGGAGAAGTGGTGCAAGATGGGTCGCAAGGATCGAAGAGCTGGCGGTCTCCAGGGAGATCGCAGGTATCGAGAGGTAAAGGGATATTCGCGTAGAGTAGAATGTCGAAGGTTCTTCCGACTCGAGAAGATTTAGAGACTCCGCAGCCTCGATCTCAGTTTCTTCTTCAACTCCGGCTTGCGACGCTGCTCCGTTCAGCGCAGGTGGTGCCGAGGACTCTTCGTTCTCCGCCGCTGCGTCAGGGAGTGCGGCATTGTGCACTTCACTGGAAGCCCGATCTTCTTGCGCTGTTGCTACAATGTCTTTATCTTTGCTTTTAGACTTCTTCTTTTTCTTCTTTCCGTCTGTCACCGGCTCTGCTTCTGTTGTTGTTGCGACTGTCGCTTTCGCATCTTCAGTCTTCCTCCTCTTCTTCTTTTTGGAAGCTTCCTTGTCCTCAGAGGTGTGCTTTCTTTTCTTGGTGGAGGTCATTGTGTCTGTCACTACGGGAGGCGAGGAGTCTTCGCCCTTGGGTCGTGTGGACATTCTGCAGGACGTGTCGCGAACTACTCGAAGTTAAGGACGGCTCGCTCTATAAAATTTCTCGAGGCGTCGGCATGAGGGGATACTGTTTCTCCGACCGCAGTCTTGGCACGAGCCTCTTATCCCTGCCATGGCGAGCCTGGACAGCATCAACACCACAACCATTTGGACGTCTGCTACGCGGTGACAACCTACGACCTGGACACCAATGCACATTTCAGCTACACTCCAGGGATACAATGACATTCACAGACAGGCGCTTGACCGCAGTGTCCAGCAGCGACATGCAGCCAAAGCTTCAGGCTGAAAGACTTCTGAAGTAATTGGCTCGTGACTCCACATAAAGACATGTTCTGGACTCATCACCCTTGTTGACGGGCACCGTGGCGTAGCTGAAGGATGCATCCCAGCCAGCATCTGCCCTTTAGCTGTCCACGCACCACAACGGTGTCCGCTGATCTTTCACGTCCTGTCTGGGGTAAGTCGATCATAAGGATGCCTGTCCCCTTGTGATCGAATCCTCAGAGCCTCCCAAATCTTTTTGCTTTCTGGAGTCATAAGTCACCTGTGTAGCATCCAGTCGGGAACTCCTGCTCCATCTCCGCATTTGGGTCTACTTAACACTTTGCAGCGGTAAGAACGAGCATGGGTGAAGCGTCAACCAAGAATCGCCATGTCCTCTGTTTCGATGGGACGAGCAACAGATTTCAGGCCAATAGTGCCGACACGAACATTGTCAAAATCTACGAAATGCTAGATAGGGAAACTAGCGATCAATATCACTATTACCAGCGTAAGTTGCCTCGGGGGATTGGTTCTTCTTTTGATCTTCTTTTGGTTATTTTTATTGCGGAAAACCTCGGCGCATATATATTGATGGCGTGTTCTAGCTGGCATAGGAACATACGACGCCGACGGCCCAATCAGCAATACAAGATACTGGAGTGTCTTCTCCAAAGTATGGTCGAAACTCAAGGCGAAACTCGATGAAGGCTTTGCGTTTTCGTTTGCCGAGCATGTGATGGCTGGCTACAAGTTTCTCATGAGGTATTATGCAAATGGCGATGACATATACATCTTTGGCTTCAGCCGTGGAGCATATACAGCGCGTGTTTTATCTGAAATGATCCATGATATTGGCCTGCTATCTCGAGGCAACGAAGAACACGTGTCATTTGCATGGTACAAATGGAGTGACTATTGCCGTGCCGGCTACAAGGAAAAAGACCTTGACTACATCAACGACTATAAGAAGACGTTTTGCCGGAAGGACGTCAAGGTCCATTTCCTTGGGCTCTTCGATTGCGTCAACAGCGTTGCCAATCTTGAGGTGCCCTTGTTCAGACGCATATCACCCTATTTGCGATGTCCGCCTGCCACACACATCCGTCACGCAGTCTCGGTCCACGAACGTCGAGCGAAGTTCAAGCCGACCCTGTTCCTCTTCGCCAAGAAGCATCTTCAAGAGCCTGCCGAGGTCGAGTCCCTCAAAGAACACTGGTTTGCAGGGAACCACGGTGATGTCGGTGGAGGCTGGCCCGTCGACCCGGGCTGTTACGCACTCTCGGAAATCGCCTTGAAGTGGATGGTAGACCAAGTCCTTGCCATCCAACCTTCGGAGCAGGTAAGTGAGGGACGCCAATCTAAGGCGTGTTGGCCCTTACAAAATGCTTACAAGCTTTTTCTTCCCTGTCAGAACAACCCTCTCTCGTGGCACAAGACCGATCCCGAAGATCCCAAGAAAGGTCTCGACGGACTCGACAGTCGAGTGAACCACATCCACGAGAGTCTGCAGGGCGGACGTGGGAAGGAGCTGGGCCTGGTCAAGCATGACCTCCTCGTTCGAGGCGGAGGGTCGTCTTGGCTAGGACGCCGGTTCTGGTGGCTTTTGGGTACGTGCCCGCTTTTTTCGTGACTCGCCCGCCCAACGTGTCTCGCTGACGATACGTGCCAGAACTGCTCCCACTATCTCACTTTGAGCTCGAGGGAGACAAGTGGGTGCAGCCATGGTCGTCCAACATTGGAGGCCTGCGCGACATACCTGAAGACGTCGCCATCAACAACTACATCGACCCGTCGATCGATCTCATGGTGAAAGCGGATGTGCTGCCCGTCGCGGAGAGACCCTTCTTCGGCGAGAAGCCCTTCCGCGGATATCCATATCGAGGACTTTGGAACCTGTGGGGTTTGGTCGGCAGGAGGAAGATCAGCGCGAGGCCAGCCACCGCGGACGGTGAACCTGGCCACTAGGTCCAATGGGCTTTACGATGTCGACGAATCTCCTTCAAGCCAAGGGTACAACTATGGTACGGTACGGTATTTCGACTAAGCTGAGCACATCCCGTGTCTTCATGATTCCTGTTGCTTTCCCTTCATCGGGCGGGTGATGGACCTTTGGCCAGCGTGTCCCCGTGGAGATGGGTAGCAGCTGGCTTGTTGCTATTTTTCAGCTGGAAACATTGACAGAATGCCAATCGTTGACTTTGATCTAAGGCGCTCGGTCTTGAACGCAGATGCAAAGGCGTATGCATTAGGGTGACTTGGTGATCGAAGTATTCCAGCAAGAAAGAACCTTGTGACGAGGGCACACGCCCAGTCCAAATCAAGCCAAGACGTGCTATTCAATGTCGAGACGTGTACTCCGTGCTCCGTAGGGTTTCGGGTCTTCGACAGCCCCAGGTTCAGTAGTCTACATACTGGTACTGGACTTGGACACTGCACTCGGCTCTTCATACTCCTACGCTTACTCTGCTTTTTGTCCAGGAAGAGTCGAGACCGGAACAGTTACTTGTCTACCATCTAACAAGTGCTCTCTTGCAGTTCAAAAGCCGTTCCATCTTCTGAGCACAAAATAACAAGTCCAATTGTCTAATTCAGTTTACAACAACTTTGGCCGCCAGTTCGCCTGATGCCTGCTGCCCGCATGGAATTCGTAGGGGAGTGATGCTCCAGTGACCAGTGTAATCCAGCTATACACAAGGAAATGTTTCGGATGAAAAAAAAACCCCCAACGCGCCAACCTACGTCTTCACAACTTTGTCCAAACCATCACGTCTCAAACGCCGCCCGGACGTTGACGAAAGCTGCTGCTCCGCCCTCATTATCGACTAATGTGTCGAGAAGTGCGTCGGTCTGCCTCCAGATTCTCTCAATATAAGCGGCAGGCGGTCGGCCAAGGAAGACTGATGCACGTTAGCAGTTGATCCACATGAGGTACAATGAGGATGGGTGACTTGCCGAGAATGGCAGAATTAAGTTCCTCAGCAACTGCAGCTCTACCGGAAGGGTCGAGAAGGTGACCGTTGACGCTGACTGTAGGGTCGTCGTATGCGAGTAGACTGAAGGTCTCATTAAGCGTTTGCGCGTGATCTTCTTGACCACCATATTCTCTGGACAATTCCTGACCATATGCCATGGCTTCCATTAGATACTGATCGCGGAGTAGCACGGTCTCGCTGGCAACGGCCTTCCCTAGGCCGTTGCTCTGGCTCCCACCATTGGGTTGGTCATCGAGATCCATGTCCTGAGCAAAATCATCGTCTGTAGCTGCGGAAGCTCCAAATTGGGCACTGTTCTTTCTTGCGTTCAATTCAGTTGTCTTTCTGATTAACTCAATCCACTTGCGACATTTCATCTTGAACACGATGTTGGGATTCTGTGCGAGGACAGAGGGGAAGTGAGCTTGAGTGGCTTCGAGAGCTCGGTCGATATCTCCAAAGAGGATCGCACGTCGAATTTCTGAAAATATGTAAGTACTGTATAGCTGATGACGAAGGGCTTCTTATGCTTACTTTGTCTGTTTAGAGCTTCAGTATCATCCACAGGCGGAGCAGCCGGCGGAGTTGATACTGTATTGCTCAGAGATTCTCTTTGCCTCTGAACCTCTTCTGCAAAAGCCCTAGCAGTCTCCACGTAACCATCATGGCTCAGAAACTGCATGACCAAATCTTGAACGAGGGTCGTCTCGTTTCGGCGCTCCGTCAAGGATAGAGGCTTTGCGTTATCAATGTCCTTTGCCACTTTGTCCCTTTCGCTTTCCATCTTATCATCAATGTCAAAGACAAAAGGCCTTTGACCAAAGTTTACAGCAACAAGTGCTCCTGTATGCTTTTTCATTCCCACAGTGGGAAACAGCCGCAGGTCCTTTTTCAGTTCCTTGAAGCATACTCCAAGGTCTTGTCCGTTCTTTGTGAAAAAGGCATGGCCGGCGTTGAAATTCACGCCACAACCGATGACATCGCCTGCATCAAAAGTAGGACCGTAGTGTCTGCCGGAGTGTTCGCCGCAGAACATCTTACCATCATCACCATGGTATCCCCATGAGTGCGTCTCCCACCCCGGAAGTCTTTCTAGGGACGCTTCTGCCGTAGAGAACCCAATAGCAATGGCTGTATCTTTGCTCTTGTGTTTGATCTCCACCTCGAAGTAGTATATCCCACAAGCCGATGGCATGGGGTAGTCTGCGCGCACCGACGCTGCCTCGATCTCTGCTTTGCTCCCAGAACCGGTGTACTTCAATTCGAGACCCTCGTTCATTGCATCCAAGCCAGGATATTTATCCTGCTCGCTCCAGCGAGAGGGCAAAGGCATCAATGCCAGATCGTCTCTGGGCGGGTTGCTTTCTATAATGTCGTATGTCATACCACGATGGGAGGGCGCTAGTCTTTGAGCATTGGAGTGCCCTGCGCTCGTGGAAAGTGAGTTTGCTCCGGAGGTTGGGTTTGGTGGGTGCTCCCTCTCCCTCTTCAACTTCGCCTTGTGTGCAGCTTCTAGCTTCGCAACATACCTCGATGCCCTCAGGTACGACGGGACAAAAAACTGATTGACGGGTATCATTCCTGCTTCTGCAGCATGGATGTGTGAGAACTTCCTCGAGTATCGCGGGAAAGGAGTTCGAGTTCGCCACTGGGAACCGTTTGACTCGTGCTCTTGAGGTGGTTGTCGTCCCTGGATCTGAGATTCTGATTCGTGAGAAGGATACGAACTGCTCGGAGTGAAATTCGCCGCAAGGTGAGACAACGGTTCTGACTGAGGTGCAGGAAGGTTCGACTGAGGATTCGCGCCGGACGCTACAGAAGCGTAGGACATGCGTCTGGGGATGTGGTTGAAATAGGCTGACCTAGGGCCTCTATTCGAACCGGCGCCGTCCGCCATGAGAGCGGTCTTAATGGGGATTTCAAAGAGAAAGGAAAAGAAGATAAGGAGGATCTCGTCGCGCTCGAGCGAAAGTTCGATCAGTAGTCACGAGGGAGTAATCGGAACGATAGCAGTATGGATGGCTCGCAACTCGGTGAGTAGAAGGAGGATAGGCTAGCGTACCAGCTTCTTGTCGATACCCATGGCTTTGACCTGTCGATGAAACGAAATATCTGTATCCGTACTTGCTGGCAATTCGATGATGTGACTGAGGCAAGCACTCCCGCAATGGCTGTTATCTCACCGACATGGTCATGTTCGATGCAGTTGTATTGGGCGGCGTTTCGGTGGCAGGTCGTCCACTTGCGGGGGTACGGAATAGGCCAGCCTAGTGAGCCCCCGACAGCGTCATCCAAGTTGGGACCACTTGGGTCTGAGTGACCAAAGTACGCTCGAGTTCTCACGGATACTCGCCCTCATAACAGGGAACACGCACATCCGTCCAGGACGAGAATGGTCAGTTCATACGAATAGATCATGACTTAATTGCTGTGGAAGCATGCACAATTACACAAGGGGGGTGACTTGGCCAAATGTCAGAGATGCTAGGGCCGTGGAATGGTATTTCGAACGCAGCTTCTATTCATACAATATTCTTAAAGTGTCTAGAGCCGTTTAGCAAGAGACCGGCTCTCGTTAGCCAGGTGTGTAGGCACCACCAGTGCAACACAGTCCTATCCACCATCAACCTGATACATTTCTTTTTGGTACTAAAACCGCAAGACTGGCTCCCTGGCGCCAGCCATATCCTAGGGAACCACATGGAGAATCGAATCCTAACGCCATGCTGAAAAAATGAACCTTCGTACTGGGGTAAGAGTAGTACCGAGATGTATTGGTATTTTCGACATAGGATGCATGATGCTAGGGTCATGGTCTGTCATGAACAGCAGTCGAGCCGTCGAGTAAATTACTGGCCCAAGAGGGCACGTAGGCCGGAGTAGTGTTGAAGGTTCGATGATAATGTGTCTGTTCGTAGAATTTGAGAACTTTTGGTCAACCCTGGGCGGCGACCGCTGCAGGTGGCGGTGGCATTGGGGCTGGAGAACTGGCGGCTGGGGTAGTCAGAATCATGGGGTCGGGTTGTTCGCCAGCATTGCTGTCCATGGCAGTGTCGCTTTCGTTGGGTTTCATATCACTGCTACTCTGTTGGGATGTCTCCTTGGCATCACTCGATTCTTCGCCGTTGAGCATTAAGAGTCTCTCGTTGCCCTTCCAGGATGGCACTTCCCACACGATGCCAGTGAAGCTTTTGAGGGTGAACGGTTTCTTGGTCCATTTGCGACATGGTTTTCCTGATCGATCCAAGGCTCGAAGGCCAGCGTTGATAGCACCCTGATTTGCCTTTGGCCCTAATCGATGGCCTCCAGGCATGGCAGGCAATGACGGTCGGTTTGAGCCGGGATCAATGGTGCCATCATCCCTATACGATCATGTTAGAATATCATTGAAGGCAGGGCTAGGGCTACGGGGTACATGTGGACGTACAATCTCTGTTTCTTCTTAGGACCTGGTTTGCCTCGTGGTTTTGGTGTGCCACTGGACTCAGATGCCATTTGCCCTAGGCTTCTCTTGCTACCTGCTCCAGGATTCTTGCGCTTCTTAGAGGTATCACCATTAGGTGTGTCGCCGTTTGGTGCCGGTGTCGAATTAGACTCTGAGGCGTTGTCATGGCTGTCAGGCGCCTTCACAGTGGGCTGGTCGTCGACCGCAGGGGCAGGGGAGGAAGCCGACGACGGGACGGATGGTTCTTCTGTCTTCATGGACGGCTCCTCGAAGCGACGCAGTAATTCAGGCGACAGCTTCAGCACCACGACTTTACCCTGCTTCTTGCCCTTGTCAGGCCGGGCTGAGGGTGAGCGACCAGGTGTGCTCGACGATGAGATGGCCATGGGGATTATGAGGATTTGTGATGTTGTGGATGGACGGCGAGGTCACAGGGAATTGTGGTAGGGTGAGCGGCAAGGGACCTCTCGGACGTTTCGCTCGTTGATCCTGACAGGCGGCTGAAATTATTTTCGCTTGTGGAGTGTGAGGTAATTATTATTGCCAGGCTGAGCTTCGTCTGGTGGTGAATTTGACGATTAGGAGTGAGAGTGGTGGTGAGGTGTCATGATGGGTGAAGGTGGTGGTAGGAAAGGGAGAGATGGAGAGGAGGATGGGAAGGTCGATGTGATGATGATGAGACAGTGCTCATGGCTGGGGGCGTGTGAAGCATGGAATCCTCGGGATGGGCTTGGGTTGATTTGGCTCAGATCAGATGCGGACGCAGACAGAGTCTCAGTGAAGGAGCGACTTCAGGTGTTACCGGAGACGAGGCGTCAACGCTGCGATTTTTCCTACGCAAGCGAAAGCAGGCCAATCGACTGTCTTGAAGCGGCGTGGCCCACTGCACGCGCTGCAGCCAATCAGTACGTGCTGTCAGTGGCTGGAAAGACTCCTTGCCTGTCGCTGCTTCTGCCGGTTGCGTCCAGGACTCTACGCACCACCATCCGGAGACTCTAGTAGTGGCCAGGAGTCGCTAGCTGAGGGATACTCCGTAAGCTGGCCAGCCTCTGTCAAGCTTTGTTTCTTCGGACGCCTCTAAGCCTGGCCACAGATCCCTGACGCAAGGACTGATGGGTTGACGGATCGGCCTCCTCAGCTTCCATGCCCCTGATGCCATCCTCCGAATCAAAGGCGAATCCATCCTGAGCCGCCTCTCAATGAACTTTCAACCATCACACTCCACCTATCATTGCTGGTACTGTGATTCACACAATTTGACTACGGGGTGAACACTGCCCGTAAAAAGCAGTCCCCCGTACGAGGCATTATGCATCCGGCCAAGAGGAGACGCCTGGACCAGTCTGCTGCATCGTTGACCAAGCCTTTTCGCTCACCGCTACGAAAACTTTCGAGCAATCGTTCCCACAAGGGAGAGCTTTCCAGCCCGGAAACAAGGCTTCAAGAAGCCACTAACAAATCCTCGCCGCCCGTGACCCTATCTCATGATGCAGATAAAACATCCGCATCGCCTGTTGTCTCCAAATCTACCAACCCTGATCGACAGATCCACCTATGTCTTGACCGCAGAGGTCATCAGAAGCAACATGTTGCTCTGTCCCTTCAATTGAAGAAACTTTCCCATTCGCTTGAGCTTGCTCAGCAGGTCTTACATATCGAAACGTCGCAACAGGACGTACAGTTGCGGAGCTTGATCTCGAAATGGAAGAAGGTTGCTCGAGACGTCGCTGAACAGCTTTTTGAGGAAGCAAAGGAGCGCATCGATGAGATGGGTGGGTTCAAAGCCTGGCAAGACCGCTCACGAGAGGATGCTCGTCTTTGGCACGATGATCAGAGGACAAGCTACGAATCTCGTCAATTGAAAGTCGACGATGAATGTTCTTCCGAGTCTACAACTACTGGCACAGAGAGACGCCGCACAGCAGAGATTTCGACAGAGCACGACACCGATTCCAGTGTAAGTCTGGGATCCCTCTCGTCCCTGATATGTTGGGCGCACTAATATACATAGCAGTTCTTCACTATGGAAAAGATGCTTCAGGTGATGAACATCGACCTGAAGCTCATCGGGTATGACAGACAATCCGAGGGATGGATTGATTGAACGTAAATTACCCTCTCCGTGTAGACTTGCCTGCAGATAGGCCTGGAGCGATGGAATCGTGTTCTTCGACGCGACGTTTGCCATCAGCCATGTCGAGTCATAGTCCAAGGAGAGTCGATATATCGCTCGAGCAGGCTCGTGCCTCTCCTTCTGGGAGGCACAAGGATAAAATCGCGGCTGGGATTCTGTATCTTCCGCGAGGATCAGCACTCGTCGAAAACCGCACAATGTGCTCAATCTGCATTTGCGCAGACAATCTTTCGAGCGCTGAAGTATTCCGCCAGAAGTCGCTCATAGGAACACATCGTAGCTACCGCCCTAGGCCATGGACGGAGACTCAATCGTCATAAGTAGTATCATTCTCATCTCATGACTGGAGGTCGGCTTTGTTTGTTCCAGACAACTCGGCTCTTGACCCATTCCACAGCCTCTTTCACCCCGGTCCCTCGAAGTGCACTGACTGGTAGCACGCGGCTATCTCGTACCATGCCGCCCTTCTCGCCTTCAAAGACCTTCCTCACAAAGCCCTCTTTGATTCTCACGACCTCGAGGCTATCCTCGCGATCTTGCTTATTGGCCAGTACCAGGATAGGTATTCCCGCGGCGTCTTCATTCTCCAGCACGCTCTCCAGCACGGCTCTGCACTCGTCGAGCCGTCCTTGTGAGGGGCCTAACGATAGCATTCCCGGTGTCATTGGGGTTGTCGGTGACCACGGCGTCTGCGGCTCATCATCGTCTGCCTTGCTCATGAAGCTCTTTTTCCGCGTATGCCAGCCTGGCGTTCTCGGGGCGTTATCCAGTTCGCCGCTGCCCAAGTCGGTACTGTCGACCACGAACACGACGGCGTGCGCGCTCTTGTAGTAACTAGTCCATAATCTCCGTAGGGTCATTTGTCCCCCCACATCCCAGATCTTGAGGTACATGTCTGGCAGATCGATGGTAGCGACATTTTGTCCGACGGTCGGCACCGTGTTGCCCGCCGTGTCCGAGGGGGCCGCGTCGCCAGTCTGCCCGGCCGGATCGACTGCGGTGTTGAAAAGGGCTTTGATCTGGGTGAGGAGGGTCGTCTTGCCGGCGTTATCGAGGCCGAGCAGGATTATCGAGTACTCTGGAGAGCCACGCGGGCGCAGTCAGCCGAATGCTTCGTCGCATGAACGAGAGGTGTTTTTTTGGCATGCTTTCACCACACTCACCCGGCTTGCTTGTCGCGTAGAGGTAGAGAGACCTCATCAAGTGATACATGGTTGCGTACGCGCGGAGACAACGCGGACAACACCGGCGAGGGCAGGGTGGTCAAGGTAGAAACGCGGAACGCGAGAAACAAAAAAAGACACCTTTCTCGTTGACAGCAGTGTGACTTGACTTGAAGCCTCATAACTCATCATCGGACATGACGGTCGATAAGAGAAACTCATGGATGACCGAAAAAATTGGTCGTCGTGGCTGGCAAGCCCTGGAACTCTACAAGCGCCACTTCAAATGTTGCTCGTATCCGCGTGCCGGTTTGCCAAACCACCCAAAAGTACTTCGACGCGTGTTGCTGTACGTTAACCATAAGTCGAGGAACAGAGCGTCTACGTAAGGTGACAGACGTCCTTGGCGCAGCGTGTTTGTAGTCTGTATCCCTTCACCAGCACCCCGACTCTCAACGGAGGGACGAACCATGTTGGGGGTCTGGGTCGCGAGGTAGAACGAGCGCGAGCGCGTACGGGTTGTCAATACTGTCGTCGGGCCTGCATATCTAACGACACCAACAACTACCATCATGTTGCACCTGACTGTTCGACGCAACAACAAGTCTGCTCATATGACATTAAATCCAAGGTGCAAAGGGGTCATTTTTGTATCTGTGTGTCCTAAACCTAGCTTGCTTTTAATACCTGCAATATCAGGCAGCGTAAGAGGGAAAGCTTCGCACCTCATGCAAGCACTATATCCATTTTCAAGTCCTTCAAAACATCTTGCCACTGTATATCCACTGACGACGATGGTTCACTCCTCCTTCGCCGCCACAGTTCCTCCGCTATGTCCTTGGAGAGATCCAGATTCTTGAATCCATGTCTGCGCTTCATCATATACCACGCGACCATGCGCTGCTGGAGATCTGAACTCAGACATTCGCAAGCTACGATGAACGGCGGCCACACTAGCGTACATCCAATCGTCTCTCCTCCAAGAACCTCGATTGCTTCAAGGTGACCCACAGCGATCTCTACCATTTCTTGGACTTCTTCGGGCGGCCGTCGCTTGAGGGTTCGCTGGAAGTAGATCAAGCTGGCATAGTAGAAGACATATGCATGATTCCGTGTCAATGCCTGCGAAACGGGATCCAAATTCTCCATGTCCAGCGCCTCCGGTGTTTGCATGTAAAGCTGTAGCTCAAGCTTGTTGAGCAACTCCTCGCTCGTGTCTGGATTTGTGTTGGAGATACGCTTGATCAAAGAATTCATAATGACAATATGTTTCAACATGGGCCGCGTGAGGCCAAAAAATCGGTCCAGTACGTAGTGCTGCTCATCGAGGAAGTTGTCTGATTCCATGTCCACTTCGATGGTCGACGGGAGATTGATATTACATAGCGCTGCAATGGCGAGATAGCCTTGATACACCATTGAGGACGACTTGTCACGATTCCATGCATTGCCCTCGATCGTCGCTAGCCAGGACGCCCCGCCCTGGAGATGGGTGCGCCACTCAGACGAGCGGCCTGTAATCATATCCATGGCTGAAAACATGGTGATGGTGGCCAAGATGGCACCACGCTGGACCTCGACTCCGGGCTTGGTGTTGGGGTTGTGCTTGACGGTCGCCAAGGTATGCCGCAGGTGCATAATTGCTAGGTTATAATGTTTCATGGCAAGGGTTAGGGTCTTGGAGTCGTCATTCAACAGCTGACTGCGACTGAACGCGGATGCGGAACAGAGAGCATGGAAGAGCGCGATCTGGCCGTTCGACTGGCTCGAAGGAGAACTTAGCCCGGCGAGCGCCAAGGGCGTAAAGACGCTGCGGAAGGGGTTGTCCGAACGATCCACGGGCACAAGATGCCATGACACGAAGCTTGTCCAGTGGTGGATCAGCTCGCGTTGCTCCCTTGGTCGAGGAAGAAGGTCCAGATGTCGGAGAGCCGGTGGTTGAGCGGCCTGGCTCAAATCGATGGAACCGTAGGGGGAATCGATATCCGACCGCGAAAGAATTGATGTTGACGGCGAATGAATCGTCTCGATTTCCTCTTCGTCAGCGTCAGTTTCAGCTTGTGACGGCGATGGGAGGAAGCTGTGGGATAATGAAGATTCCGAGCTCTGTTGTGGACTTCCGCATTGCAGGCTACCCGGACCATAATCGTCGAGAAGAAAGACTGAGAAAGGACCTGCTGACAATTCTTCACTCTCTGCCGAGAAACCTTCTATCAGGTCCAAGGCCTCAAGGATATCAACCTGCATGAAACTGGAATCATCTTCATATATGGCTGGAGCACCTATCGCCCGCCTGCTGTTCTGCTCCCGTTCCTGTGTGTTAGGGTCGACCCAGACCAATCTGATCCCATACCCCTGGCAAGAGAAACCTCCTTTCAGACACCTTGCACATTCCGGGCGCTCCTCGCCACACTTTACGTGCCTATTCCGACACGTCCAGCACGCTGTGAAGGTCTTGGTGTGCTTCACAGGCTGGCGGGGTTTAGCGGTTCTGCGGCCAGTGGTTACTTGTTTCATCTGGCATAGTAAGACATCGCGTGTCACGCGTTGGATGGACCTTTATGGTGCCTGTTGGCGTCTACCACCTCAAAGCGCCGTGTTGAGATCCCAGTTGTCTCCGAGGTCCAGTAAAAGCTGACGATAACAGAAAGTGAACGAGGGGAAGTCAGACCCTTTACGGACGGATAATAGTTTTTCCGGACGTGACCCCTCGTCGTATTCGGTTTCCTCCTGGGGTCGGGCTCTGGCTCCACGCGACGTCAATGGTCGATCGTCCGCGATGTTTCTGCTCAGCCTCGTTCAGGCGCACTATCCTCAACTAAGAGACGTTGTTATTACTTATCGTTGTTCGAAGACTGCCCCTTTCTCCGTTGACTGAGAAAGCTATCGTTCTAATGTCGACTTCGACTCGGATCGATGTCGGTCCATATCCAGTTTGATCAACCGGAATCCAGATGCTACACGAATCTCGACTTCGTGACCGGCAGGGTCATCCTAGTCCTTCCATACGATGCCGCAATCACCGCTGTCACCGTCAAGCTTGAGGGAGAGAGTCGCACCAGACTCTCCGGACCGAAATTTCCTGGCAATGAACGCTCAGATAAGAGGAGGTACGAGCTAGAAGCACACAAGGTTGGCTACAGGTTCTTCCGTCACCGATCCAGCGCTCACCAATGCCACACAGCTTTTGTACAAAGTCCTCACTGTTTTCCCGACGCCTGAGCTACAAGACAAGACGACGCCTTCCGCGTATACACTCCTCGCAGGACAATATGTTTATCCTTTTAGCTTCAAGGTTCGAAGATAATAGTTGCTGGGTTGGTCACGCGGCTAATTCCCTCCTTAGTTCCCGTTCAATAACGACTGCCAAAAGCGAACCTCAATGGCAATGAAAGACATCAAACTCGGCCACTTGAATGTTCAGTTCGCTCCGGATCTGAATAAGCATGTGAAGAAGACCCTACCTCCGTCGTTGAGCGGCTTTCCAGGCGAGGCAGAGATAAAGTATTATGTTAAGGCGACCGTTGTCCGCCCAAAGTTCTTCCAGGAGAATTTGAGATCGGTATAAGAGGCCAAATTCCGTAATTGAAGTACTCTGCTAACACGCTCAAGATCTGTGATATCAAATTCCTCCCCATTGAACCCCCTCGGCCTAAAGACCGCCATGAAGAGACCTTTGCTCGGCGTCGGCGTCAATTCCAGCCATACCCTGCGCCTTCGAAAAAGACGGGACTTTTCAAGAAATCATCGGCACCACAATCTGCAGAAGAAGAACCGCCGGCTTTTCAGGTCGATGCGCGACTCCCGAATCCCGCCATCATTACTTGCAACGAGCGGCTTCCTCTTCGGATACTCATTGAAAAACTCAATGACAGTTCGGCAAACGTCTATCTCAGTATGCTGCAGATAGAACTGATCGGCTACACGAACGTCAGGGCGCATGACTTAGAACGGACAGAGAGTGGAAGCTGGATCTTGATGTCACAAGCTAATATGAACATGCCCTTGGCGACTGCCACTGACAAAAGCCGCAAGGAGTGGAAATTGCCATCCAGGTTATGGGAGGATTGTCCTATACCAAATACTGTTTGTCCGACCTTCGATACATGCAATATCTCTCGTCGATACGAGCTTGAGATTCGAGTCGGCCTTGCTCACGAAGTTGCCGATGGAATGCGGCCAGAACTCATCATTTTTCCTCTGCGATTGCCTGTGATGGTTTATTCGGGGATAGCACCTCCGCCGCAATTGTTGCAAGCCATGGCAAACAACCCACGACCGCAGAGTGTACCCTCACCCGTCTTTCCCCCACGACCTCATCATAATAATGGGTCGCCTGTGCAGAAGCCAACGCCGACTGGGACACCCACGACTCCTGTATCTGAAACGTACTCTTTTCAAACCTCAGGAGAGTCATACAGCCCTGAGCAACATAATAATATCCCCGACGAGGCCCCACCAAGTTATGAAGATGCAATCGCAGATGATATCGCACCTGTCGATGGTCCCCGGCGAGAGTACGATATGCCTTCGCAGCCTGGGCAGGAGCATGTTTTCAATACAGAAAAGGGTGGACTTGGGCGACGGGTTAGTGAGAGGCTGTTTTCCAGTAATAGTCCCGCGAGTCCCACGAGGACCGTGTCTATGCCAGGCGCTATACACTCGGTCCCAATCACGGAAGATGACGCTCGTCATCCGCTGGACTCACCCATCAGCGAAAATGAGAGGCGACCATCATCGGGAAAAAGAAGTCTGACTGGGACTAACTCATAAAAGCCTCTCTGGACATCTGTTTGCATCAAGCGAGGCGTTGGCATGGAATTCTCGGTTCCTTGATAAAAATGATGGACTAAATATGACTGAACGGGTAGAAAAAAGTATTACTCCTTCATGAAGCTGGACTCTAGTGGCTCATGGGGGATTGCACAGGGGTTCGCCTCTTCGCTGGACACGCACGTGATATGACGTATTATCTCTACACATTGGATCTTCTGCCTGCTTCGGACATCATCAACCTCGTCATGGAATCTCTTGCCTACCACACAGATAATGCTGCCATGAACGAAGTTTGGTCCTGAATATGTTGCTCTGATTATAAGTGCTCGAGGACTTGACATTAGGAGCGGTCAATTGGTGTAATCGCCTGCAATGGAGATCGCCAAAGACAAGGTATGGAAGACAGCAACCTCATTCGCTTACAGGCATTACCCTCATCACCAAATACCTACATGTGCAACAACCATCTACATACTCTTGACCGTCTCAAGGATTCTGCTAATGCCCGTAGACCCCAGGCGCTGGTGGACACCGGAGCTCAGGCTCTACTTCTTTCGCTGCCATTGGAGCTGCCTTGATTCCCACAGCACTTACAGCGGGTGTTTTCCTCCTGGGATTTGTTCTTCTCCGACCGAGATATAAGAACATCTACGCACCGCGAACGTACTTTCGTACCATATCACGCAAGTATGCAAATCAGGTTTGCTGGTGACCGGAATACACTTATGCTAACGCCAATCAGGGATCAGACTCCCTCGTCCAGCCATGCGTCCGTATCGTGGTATCACGACTTCAAAGCCCTTGACGACAAATTTGTTCTGCGCCATTCCTCCATGGAGGCATACCTGTTTCTCCGCTATCTTCGGATGATTGTCCTAATCTGTGGTGTCGGATGTCTATTGACTTGGCCAACCCTCTTCGCTGTGAATGCGTCCGGAGGTGGTGACTCTACGCAGCTAGACCGAATCTCTTTCAGCAACGTCTCGAAAGCCGAGAGACTATACGCACATGCGGTAGTCGCCTGGGTTTTCTTCGGTATGTCTGAGTCTCCCATCGGAAATGCCTGCTGATGTCAGTAGCCTTCATCATGTTGCTCATCACCCGAGAGAGGCTTTTCGTCGTGGGACTTCGTCAAGCTTATCAGACCGTAACATTAAATGCCACTCGACTGTCAGCTAGGGTGGTGATGTTCCTCTCTGTGCCATCCGATGGACTTCGACCTGAAAATCTTCAACGATACTACGGTAAAGATGCAGTCCGGTCGTGGCCAGTATCAAAGTTGGGTCATCTAGAGAGCAAGGTGGATAAGAGAAACTCCAAGGTCGACAAGCTCGAGGAAGCCCAGGTGGACCTTCTGCGAAGAGCCAACAAAAAGGGCCATGTTTACAGAAACGACCATGACGGCGCGGCCGTCATTACGAGCGTCCAGGACCATCGACCTATTCACCGCACACACTATGTTCTCGGGGATAAAATCGACAGCATATCACATTTGCAAGAAGATGTTACCTCGGTCGTCTCTGATGTGGAGAAGATACGAGAAGCTGGTGTCCATGAACGGAGGGTAAGACATGGTGCTGTATTTGTGGAATTCAAAGACCAGGTCAGCGCTCATCTGGCATTTCAGCAAGTACGACACGCCTCACCACTCACGCTACAGCCAAAATTTATTGGTGTACAACCGAAAGAAGTACTTTGGCAGAATCTCACCCTTGACCCCTCCCTACGGATCACTTATTCTTACCTTGCCATAGCACTAGCGCTCGCCACCATAATTCTTTGGTCAATTCCTGTGGGCATCATCGGAACCATCTCGAATATCAATTACCTGACAGAGAAGTTCCACTGGCTCCGGTTCATCAACAAACTTCCGGAACCAGTGTTGGCCCTTCTGACCGGACTAGTACCGCCCCTGTTACTCAGCACTGTGGTCTCTTACGTACCATATTTCTTCAAATACGTGGCGACAATGTCTGGTCAACCCACCAGCATTGAGGTCAACAAGTGGGCTCAAAACTGGTATTTCGTTTTCCAAGTCGTTCAGGTTTTCCTCATAACGACATTCTCCTCTGGGGCGGCTGCTGTAGCCAACAAGGTTGCCAACGAACCAACATCGGTTCCAACCCTGCTTGCAAAGAATCTCCCAAAAGCTTCAAACTTCTACCTGACCTACTTCATTATTCAGGGTCTGGGTACCGCCGCCAAGAACATTATCAACTACTCAGATCTCTTCTCGTACCTGGTTTTTTATCACATCGTGGCCAAGACTCCCCGGCAGAAGTTCAACACGTATGCACAGATGAAAGGAATCAGTTGGTTCAATGTATATCCCAAATTCACCAACCTGGCGGTGATAGCAATAGCATATTCCTGTATTGCACCCCTGGTCCTTGGATTTGCCGGCATTGGGATCTTTCTCTTCTACTTGAGTTACCGCTACAATTTGCTCTACGTGATACAAGTTAAGTCAGAAACACGAGGTGAGAGCTACACAAGAGCTCTGCAGCATCTTATCACTGCATTGTATCTGGCAGAGCTGTGCTTGATCGGCCTATTTGGCATCAAGAAAGCTCCGGGACCTTCGACAATGATGACCATTCTTCTAGTGTTAACTACACTTTATCATGTCACCGTCAACAAATACCTCACCCCGCTCGAGACTTATATGCCCGTGGATGTCCTCTCAAATGACGAGGAAGAGGAAGAGCCACTACTGAGTTCCAACGGGGACGCGACGCAGCGTTCTCGGGTAGAAAGATTTGGAGCCGGGAAAGTCCCTTCAATCTTGCTCGACCCTCTTGCAGCGTTTCTTGAGCCTCACATCTTCGCTTCACAAAAGGCTCTTCGACCATGGCTCCAAGATCCCGAGGGCGAGTACGAGGAGTCGGTTTCTTACACCGATGAGCAATTGAAGAATGCATATCTCAATCCAGCATTGATTTCCAAAACACCTATGATCTGGATCCCCAAAGACCCCAAAGGCCTCTCGAAGCAGCTTGTTGAAGAGAACGAAGGCTTCGGGTTGAGTAGCACGGATGAAGGCGCTGAGCTGAGTGCTTCGAACAAAATTCTCTGGAATCAGAACGACTTTACGACCGTGCCAATCTTCAAAGAGGCTGCCAGATATTAGTTGCAATGCTGTCAACCAATGTGCAGAGTCCATCATTCACATATCGTGGCGCTTTTGGTGCTACGCATGCAAAAGTTACAATTAGCTGACCACGTCTATATTCTGTCGCGAACGACTACCGAAACGAGTATGGTCACGAGTCGTATACGAGACAGCTGGTCAGCAAGCAACCAATCTCACGCAACACTTTGAACTTACAATTACATGTTCAGCTACTCGAAATTGCAGCCAGCCACTGTTGTCTTCACAGTACTGTGAATGGCTGAAAATAGGTTGCTGAGTAAATGCATGTAGGCGCTGACACGTCACTGTGACTTCACCACCCTGCCTCTATGGTCTAGATTAGACGCTCCTTTCCCGTCAGCGTGAGCCTTTCAAAGCCACTGCTGCACTTGACGATGTCGCTGTCGACCCTCCCTCATATTGGTCATGACGTATCGAATGGCATAAAAGAACGAAAGCCACCAGTTGGAACGGCATTGCGATTATGTCAAACTCACGGTGAGAGTCTTCTACTATGAGCGTGGCTTTGACTTCGACCACCTGGCCGCAGTTGTCTCAGCTCAAGGGCTCAGCTCGAGAGCTCAACAATACCTCTCGCCTCTGGGTATATATCACACGAAGCAGCTGTCGATCACATCGAAGAATCATTCACTGAAGCCGTGCTCGTCTCACATGCATCAGTCTTATCTAAGCTGACGACCATCTTTTCTCGACTTTTGAAGCATAAAGGGTTCTGCAGCTTGAACACTATATCCTACGCCTTCCCAGCACCGAAAGTTATCCCGTAGGCTGGATATACGACCCTTGCAGACAGCAAGACGCATATCGCACATCCTTTCAAGATTCCCACGATGTCTTTGCCAACAAATAAACCCTCGCTCTTCAGCCGTCTCGCGCACAGCTCCTCGTCTTCGCTCAGATCAGACTCGTCATCGTCGACCACCTCGACGATATCGTCCACGCCGAGCGGATGTAGAGACTACCAAAGGGCTCGCTACGCCAAGGACGGCAAAGGATTCGACTTTACGTCGACGTATCCTTATTCCACAAATGGACAAGGCGTGGACGAGACTCTTGCCACAGCGGTTGCACCTTCATTTCCGCTGGGCTGTCGCGACTTCAAACTCCGATACGCAAAGGACGGCAAAGGCCACGACTTCCGCGCGACCTACACATCAGCCGAGACTGCCTCAGTTGACACAGTCCCACTCGTCGATACCGTGTCCAGTGTACCTGTACCAGGGGATTTCAAGCTGCGGTATGCAAAAGACGGAAAGGGCCATGATTTTGCAGTATCGTATCCATATGATAAGAAGTGATAGTGCCTTTTTGGGGGTGTGGGCGTGAAAGGAAGGAAGGGGAGGGGGGACGGAGGATTAGAAACAACCTAGGATTGAGAACCAAATAGCTTGTTTCTTGAAGCTGAGGGAGGCAGTCTCAATTCGATACCCATCATTTCAAAAGAATCATTATCTTTATCATCATTCACTCATTCATTCATTGACCTCTCCAAGAGGTGTTCGTTGCCACTGTGAGGCATGCCGACCCCATTCGCCACCATTGACCCAGGTCTACATCACACACTCAAACGCCCTTGTTCTTGAGAAGCGGCGTCTCCTCGTGTCCACTGTTGGTGGCGCCGTGAGCAGCACCGGCGTCATGTGAGGCCAGGCTTGCACACCGGCCAGGCTTCGTCGCCAACCATTCCTTGACCACGCCCTCGTAGTCGGCGGCCCGGTATGGCTCGAAGAGTTCCCGCACAAAACTCGGTTTGCGCCAATACTTGAGCCCGAGGTCCCGCAGGAGCGTGTCCATGTAGGGAACCTGGTCGAAGACGAGGTCCGGGAAGAAGCGACCGTGGCCGAAGGGCGCGCGGAAGCGGGCGAACCGCGACATCAGCGCCGCCTCGTCGTACACCGCGTCCGGGTCGATGGCGAGACTGCCGCTCAGGTAGGCGTACGCCCAGAGACACTGCAGCTCGCACCGGGGGGTGTTGGCCAGGTTGCTGAACATGCCGATGAAGACGAGGTCGCGCGTGCCGTTGGCCGTGGGCCCCGGAGGCGCGATGCCCCGGTACAGCCGGAAGGGGGTGTAGTTGGTCTCCGGGTCGATGCCGGCGTTGTACGGCTTCACCGTGTCGCTGCTCGGGGAGGCAAACGGCCCGGACACGAGACGGGGGAAGGCCCGCGAGAGCTTTTCGTCGGCGGCGCCGTCGAGCGTGGACCAGAATTCATGCTGGCCTCGCGTGAACGTCGTAGAGGGGATGCCGAGGTCGCTGTGCGTCGACGTCGGGGTGAAGGTCACGGTCGGTTTGGCCGAGAATCCCGTCGCCGTGATCAGAGCGTCGACTTGGATCGAGTGGGCCTCACTGGCAGCCGCGGGACCGGGATCGGGATCAGAGGACGAAGAAGGAGAGGAGGAGGACGTGAATGTGATGTGGCCTTCGGACAGGTGGGAAATGTCTTCACGGTGCACGCGGACCTGTCCAGACTTGATCATCTCGTAGATGTCCTTTTCGAAGTTGTACACGCCTGACGCGGTGCCGTACCAGAAGGGGCTGTGTGAGTGTTAGTGAATGATTCTCCCGAGCAAGAACATACATGCCGAACCAAAAAGGCGTTCTTCTGGGAGGCACAAAGAGGCTATGTGGATAATCACAAAACGGACACAAATACTTACCTCTGCTCTGGCTCTAGAACTTTGGTGCGCTCGTCATTCCGTATGCCGCAATCTTGGATGGTCGCCGCGTGAAGGTTACCCCAGAACTTTTGTGCAATGATTTTACCAATGGACGTCGAGTGCAGGAGGTATCGGAGCTTGCTGAAGCCATCGTCCCACAGGCACGGGCTGAAGAAGGACACGGCGCGTCGTGACGGGAGAAACTCTCGCGGGACCGTAAACGGGCCGATCTTCGTGTGGCTCGGAAACACCCATTCGGGCCCTTTGCCTGACTTGCGGATGATCCATTCCACGTTTCGGCCTGCTTTGCCTGCGACCTGGACGGAATCGTACGCCGACTTGCCGCCACCGAGGACAGCCACCGTCTTCACGTTCTCGTTCGCAAAGAGCAGGTCTCCCTTAGAGCCCAGCTCCGCTGAATGGATGATCGGACCTCCAAAGACCTCGGCGCCCTTGAGGGTCGGTCGGTGCGGGAGATTGGTGATGCCGGTGGCGACAAGTAGTTTCTTGGTGGTGTACTCGGTCCCTGAGGCGTCGCCGGTGCCTCCGGAAGTGGTGGTCTTGAGAAGCCAGCCCTTTGCGTCCGCAAGCCGCGAGATGTCGCCGACCTGTGTTTCAAAGTCGATGATGCTCAACAGGCTGGACCGCTCAGCGTAGGCCTTGTAGTACTCGTGCATGACTTCGCCAGTGGGGTGTTGACCATGTCGAATGCCGAATCCATCGTGCATGGGGAAGTCCGAGAAGTCGATGCCACCGCGGAGATTGTTCGTCTTGAGGCTTGGATAGATATTTTGTTTGGACCACACACCACCGAGAGTTTGGTTCTATCCAACTGTGTCAGTAGAGATGTTTGAACCCCAGGAATGTCAGGCTTGCGAAGTGTGACTACATCAGCGTACGTACCGCATCTAGAATCTTGATTTTGGCCTCCGGCTCACACTCAAGAATTGTCTTTGCAGCACAAAGCCCTGTTGGCCCTGTGGGAATATCAGCTCATTGTCCTGTTCAATCGTAGCAAGGGAAAGGGGACAGGACCAGCGCCAATGATGAGATAGTCGAGCATCGTTAGGACTTTGTCGTATCATCCAGCATGGATCTCTTCGCATTGGGAGAGGAAGTGATTATAAGTCGCGACAAGATACACAGAGCCAGATAGCCGACGCATGGTTTCCGTGAAGTGAGATTTCATTCACGCGAGAGCCTCACTCGTATCGTGGGTTCCAGGGCAATGGGCAGTGAACTTCAATGTTCTCTCCAATAGGCGGGCTCCCCTGGAGATACGTGAATTTCAGCTCCGTGAGATCGTTCCATTGAAAGATTTGGCCTGAGTAAGCCCGAGGGATCCAAGCTTGTAAGCTGAGTCCAGGAAACTTTGCAGTATTGAACTTAGCGGGTGAGCGCGAGCCGATAGGAATCTGCCCTTGTATTCGGGTATCATCTCGATCCATGCAGCCAAGATGCCATAGCTTCGATGGCCTGATCGGGCGCCAGACTTATAAATGAGAATTGAGTCCTTGATTACTCCGTTGAGAAGGATGGAGAGTCGTGTTTGATGGACACATGAGACCAATAAGCAGAAGGACTCTCGGACCCCATCGATAGTCCGCTCCACCTTATCACCCATGGTTCTGGTACTGGTCGCTAGCTACGTCGGTTATGACTGTTTCTGAGGCTGTACGCACATACATATGATAGCTTTATGCCTGGACGTGGACATCTGAAAGGACAGCTTGCGCTCACAAAGACACTCCGCTTGAGCCATGTACTTTCAACCCATCACAAAGAGAAAACAATGGGCGCAAACATGAAGATGCCATTGTTCAATTTACCCACATTTCAAAGTTATGGCCTCCGAAAGTTGCGACCGAGAATGAGTGCACAAGGCCCGCGACTTTCTGGGTGAGACAAACACTACGGATAGCAGTCAATGTACGTCGGAAGGGGGGTCTTTGGACTGATGTCCTCACAGTTTGCCTGGTACAGAGATCATTTTACTCTCGCTGTCGGAGTTTGCTGGGTTTTTCCCGAGCACTCATCAATAGAAAAGAGAAAAGAGACGCGGATGAAATACCTTCAGTACAGCAGCTGCTAGCGCTACCGTCTTGGATGGTGATTGAATCTGGAATGAACCAAAGGGTCTAGTTACAGCCTCAATTACATTCCGTCAAGTGTCAATAAATTCAGCTTCATTCCTCATCAAGAGGTTCCCCGATTGCCGGCCATCCTTGTAGTATTTTTCACTTTATACGTGGCCAGTCTCCGCGTACCGCATACGCCGAGAATTGATAGTGGCCAAGGGTATGAGATGAGCTTCCTTTGATGTGCCGCTTCTTGCAGTTGATGCGACCAGTCCTTGGTCTTTGTGCCATGAGAAGCTATTTCATCTAGGAAAGAAGCTGAGTGAAAAGGTAGAGACCATCGTGTGCACTGATACTGATTGGCGTTTGTGTTCACCAAGTTGAAGTCTGTTGTCTGGGGATGGAGTGCGACTACACGGTGCAGATACGAAATCTGGGGACTGAGCTGGAAAGACAATAGGCGGCTATAAGGCCACCGACGCGGCTGGGCGGTCTCTGGGCGCCATGCTTTCTAGGCACCAGAGGCACTTGACTGGGCTTGGTTCAGCCTTTTAATGCGTGTGTGTTCAGGCTTCTCGGGCTTCGATGCCCCAGCTGCCGCGTGCCCAGACAACCTGTGGTAAGTGGCGCGTTGCTGCCTACAATCGCCCACCGGCCAAAGTCCCGGCCTTGCTAAGCTTTACCTAGATACCTACCACACTGTACAGGACATTCGCGCTATTTGTTTTGCGACACTCCGTATGCGCTGTCAAATTCTCTTGGTACCAACACCATAGCGCATTACGTGCGCATATTGGATGCGTTGTAGCAGTATGCTCGAGTGCAGATCCGACCGGTGCCTAGGTAATTAAATAGTAAGCCCGGGGTCGTGCATAAAACCAGGGCCGTTTCCAACTCCTCCCGGCTGACCCGAATTGATCTGAGGACAGTTCAATTACCCCGAGGTAGACAAGACCAAGTAAATGAAGGTTATTACGGCCTTGCCAGAAGAAAAAAAAGACTCCCTGAACTTGTCTTTTTTCTTCTTCTTTACCTGACTGAGCAGCATCGACACGAGTCTAATTTGTACAGGAAAACACCATACGGTCTTGATTTCTGTTTTCGCAACAAGATGGGCCTCCTCACGCTATCACGCCTCGTCATACCCCCTTTTATCCTCGTCGGCGTCTACTGTCTACACATTCTGAGCGAAGCCAACGGGACATTTCCCCTGGTCGTCGAGCATCAGGAGAAGCGTCTGCTACCTACCACCGCCACCACAGCTGTGGCCAGGCCTCCGTTCGCAGAAAGCTTTACGGGCTTCGACCCTCCCGACGGATTGCTGTCCACGCTGGTCGTGTTCTTCTGGCCGTTGGTCGATGGCGAGAACCCCGGCGCCAGCCTTCTGACGTTCTTGTTCGGCGGTCAAATCGTGGCTCTTTTGGCCGCGACCACGCTGGAAGCGTCGAGAAAGGCCAACAAGGGAAGAATAATCAGCTTGTAAGTCCCGTTCCGTCCGCCCAGAACAAAGCAAAGGGGAAGCAAGCAAATGCACCAACTTACTTAGTCACTACTTACCTACCCTGTACCTTATTCACCCTCCTCGACCTCAACCCCCATCTTGACTACTGAGAAACGACATGACTAACCTACTCCCTCCCTTCCTGGGGCACAGCACCTCGATCTATGGCGTTCTATTCCAGTCCATTGGAGCCGGGGTCATCGTCCCGCTATACGTGACCATCTACCTGTTCACCTCACCATTGGTGACTCCCGGCACGCCTCTGACACCGTCCGCACTGGCCGTCGATGAAGGTGTCCTGAGCGCTCTCCCGGTCGGCGTGTTACTGGGATACATTGTCCCCTCGGTCGCCATGTCTCTACCCGATCCAGCGATGATATCCCAGAGTGCCAAAGTCCTTGCGATCGTGGTGTGGCAATTGTTCCCCGTGTGGACGAACCTGATCACCTTCGTGGTCGAGGCCCTCTTGGGCCCGAGCACCACTCGCCGCCCCTCTGAGCCCGAAACGTTGAAGAACCAATTGCCCCGGCTGAAGACGGTCTACAAACTAGCCATGGCCGTCAGCGTTCCAGTGCACATCGCAACCTGGACGCTCTCGCTGTCTACCGTTCTCTTCCCGGCCCTGTTCACCCCGGCCACGGTGGAGGCCTTCCACCCGCTCAACGCCATCGTGCCGCCGAACCCGTTGGCGGAGAGCAAAGCACCGAGCGTGGCCCAAGGCGCAGTGTGGTTCCTGCAGTACGACTATCTCATCACCTCGTTCGTCTACGTCTTCTGGGCCGTCGTAGGCAGATATGGCAAGCTCGGCGGCTTTGGCTTCACAAGTCTGCTGGATGTCATTGGGAGATGCGCCATCATGGGTCCCATATCTACGGCCCTCCACCTGCTGCAGGAGCGTGACGAGATTGTTTTTGCTGCCTCCGAGACATTGACCGCAACAAAGAAGAACGCGTGAGACTGTTCTATATCTCCCAAGGGCGTGGAAACCCCCTGGTTTGAAGCTGAACTGTTTGGATTTTTGTAACACTAAAATAGGATAGCCCTACGTGCGAGGCTTGTTCTCGCACTTGGTGCAAATGCAATCATATTCCGCATCACCAGTGGCCCCTGAACTGCCGTCCTTCCCAGTTCCTTAATCTGTTTACTTTGCAGCCTGCCTTCTCAACGAGAACCGTGCCCTTGGACGAAGACTCGTCCAACATAGATTACGCGGCAACCGGGGCCGAAAAACGCTATGGGAGTCTTCAGCTGATGGCCACAGCGGTCTCCGCAGCAGCCTTCTCGTTCGACCAGACAACCTCATCGTGGCTGACTTTGCCATGGTGCGCTGCCTTCTCCTCCTCATGTACAGCGGCCGCAGCGGCCGCCACAGATCCCACGCACTGGTACTTTCGGAACTTGCGCGCAGGAACGTGCGCCTCGAACTATTAACGCACACGTTAGCGAAGGGACTCCTTCGACATACGATTTTGGATGGGAAAGGCAAAACGACATACCATTTCATCAATCTCCTCGAAGGTGCGACCATGCGTTTCTGGGAGGAAGAACCATGTCCACAGAGCCGCGATCCAGCACGACGGCGTCCAGATGTATCCGTACTTGGGTCCCCAGTTCAACGAATCCGGGTTGATGAAGTATGGCGCGGTGAAGGTCGCAAGCCAAGCTCCCAAAAAGCCAATGGAAGTCGCCAGACCGAACGTGTAGCTTCGGAGACGTTGAGACGGGAATTCTCCGCCGCAGAGCCACGCGTAGGAAGCGACCATGCCGTTGTAACCGACCAAGTAGACGACCGAGATACCAACAATGACCTGTCACAGAGTCAGTGAGAAGGTTCCTCGAACTGTCTTTAAGATGTTGTTCCTCTTTACCTTTCCGGTGGTTTGGCCAGGCCCTTGCTTGTCATACACGACAGCCACGATGAGTTGCGCCATGCCGCAAATGATCATGCCGGTAACGAGGAAGAATCGTCTGCGTCCCCAACGAGTAATGACGGCACTGTTGATCAGGATCGCAGCGACACCGACGCCAGTAAGGATACAGGCATTTTCGAAGGGCGATCCGACCTGGGCCATCTCGAAGAAGTATGTACCATAAGCTGGGAAATGTTAGGACCACGATTCAAACTGAGAGATCCACCGGTAGAACTTACAGATCATGTACATGGCTCCAGACGCAGCTTGAAGTGAGATGGCAGCACAGGCAAGGTATGTTCGCCTTCGGTCGACCGGGTTCCGGAACATGTCCAAGATGTCGGCGCTCCTGGCAAGAGCTCGCTCCGCCTCAATGGCAGACTGCATCTCGTGGATTTCTGCATCGATCGTGTCGGGAAATGGCCTGAGCCATTTGAGCGCTTTGTGTGCTTTCTCGGGCTTATTCTGGAGGAGGTACCACCGTGGAGATTCTGGGATGAAGAACAAGCCAATAGACAGAAGACCTGGGATAATGTAGATTATACCAAGGGGAACAATGTACTGCTGCTTCCCCTCATATTTGACGGTGAAGTTGTCGACAATTGTGCCTATCAAGGAACCGATCGAGGTCCATGTCTGGAACAGACTGATGACCAATCCTCGATACCTCGCCGGCGAGCATTCTTGCAGGTAGAGTTGACCAAAGGTCAGAAACAAGCCATTGGCGATACCGATAAAGGTACGGGCAAAATACAAAGCTCCAATGCTGGTCGTAGTCATCATGACTACATTGGCGATGACGCAGACTGCACATGCCAGCCACAGAGACAGCTTCCGGCCGATGTAATGGGCGATGGGTCCTCCAAACATAGAACTGATGAAAGCACCCAGGATCATGAGAGACGAGATGAGCTGTTGGCGCTCGTGGGAGATGTTGTACCCGATGGGAGAGGTCGGGTCCTTCTGGCCGAAGACCTACCCTGGGGTTAGCAAAGCGCTCACTCTTGTGCCGCTGGCCCAAAAGGACGGGTACACGGAAAACGCACGTGGAGAAAGCCAGGCATTGCCTGAAGACCACCGATAATACCAAAATCTGTGCCATACTGAAATGGACACATGCTAACCAAGGTACAGGCGGCGAGACATTTCCAATGGGACAACACGTTCTCCTTTCTTGGAGAGTCCATTGTTGCGGTATCGTTGTCCTCGTGCAACGGTGCCGGAAGGCGTGAGGGATCAGGTGAGGTTGATGGTGGATTTCATGTACGCAGATATAACCCTTTCATATATCAAGACGCCAACCATGGGCCAAAACCTACAATTAAGTGATTGGACTCAACTGCCGGAGATCTGTCTCCCATTCGGGAATAAGAAGCTTTGTAGTGCGGGTATTCGATGGCCCCACGCGGAGGCAAACCTCGATCTGCATTACTGAGACAAGAAAACATAGAGAAGGCTGGTAGACGGCGCTCTAGTCAGGATCATCTGGGCTAGTGTTGGAGAGGTCTGGGGAAAATGCGGGCACGAGCTATACCCAAAGGCGCCAATGACCCACTGCCAAGTTGCTATCGTGGCAGATTCCTTTGCCTCCTCTGGCTAAGGGGAAGCCATGGGCTGGACTTCTGATCAGGTCGGTCTCGATGCGAGGTAGAATGGGACTGGCAACCACGGCGACGATGCGCCTCTGCGCCTCTGCCTGAGTCATAATTTGGCTCTTCCGAGGAAGGATAGACCGTCGGTCGAGTAGCATTGAGAACAGATCACCGAGGAGGCCGGGGAGGCCAGTGATCACATGTGCCGGAAACTCGTTCCAGGTCCAGTGCCGCAGGCATACAAAGAACTGTAATTGTTTGTCAGGTGGAGAGTCCTTTGTATGAGGTAGGGACACTGGAACAGCGTTTCACGGGTTTGCCGTCGTAAATGAGGCTGCTTTGGATTTCGAGAACACAAGCAGTGTCTATCAACTGTTTGCGGATTATCGAGCCGCCAGCGGCGATGCTGAAAGTAGATATTGCATTTCAGATAAACACATTCTGCCGGTCATTGGCCAGACCGGAGGAGGACGAGTACACCCCAGTGATCCCCAGGTAAACCCCAGGTACCCCAATCTCCCCAGCCATTCGGGCATATGTTTGTCGCCGACAGGCGGAGGAGCAGATGCTGAGTTGATGGCCAGTCCAAACCCGGAAGTACCGAAGCACGCTGCCAGCTTAGGTCTTTGGTCTTCTGCCGGACCACCTACGTAGGAGAAGCATGGCGATATTTTCTGAGAATTCTAGTTCATTTTCCCAAAGCGGCAACTGCGAGCTGCCACATTAAGCAAGCCACCGCCTTTGTTGAAGCATTGGTTGTTACATAAACGGCCTGTCAACCCAGATCGATCAGGGAAGACTTTGGTACTGTAGCCTCAAAGACAGTATCGTGTGCCATTTTATGCGTCAAAACTCATGGTGATTTGCTTGGACGCGCCGCGCACTGGAATAATCGAACTGCAGAGAAATGAGGAGCGAATCGAAATACCTTCAATGCCTAAGACAGGACTTAGAAGTTAGTTGACGGCTGGCGCCACGCAACCCCCCGTGCCCTAATTGGTGAGTTCAAACCCTTACCAAGGAGCCAATTGTAGGAACTGTTGGCGAGAGACACGATGGTGTAGGGAACACTCTCCAGCATAGACCCTTCTCGTGGGTGTCAACCTCCGTATTGGGGTCAATTCATCCTCCAAGGTAGGCGTTCGCGGCATGAACATAACCAATGCCTACGTTGCTCTGAGCAATGAATTCGTTAGACCGGAAGCACGCTTGGGTGCAGCGCAGACTGAGCTGTCTACAGAGTCATAATGATATATAGGATGTCCATAGGACATGGCCAGACATCTTTGAATTGGGAGGAGCAGAGTACAAGAGGATGGTGAATTAATACATGACTAAGCCGTTCCTTGGCACCATCTAGTTCTTGTTTTTTTGTCAACGGGCGAGGAACTGAGTCTCTTGCACTTGTCCTTGACTTATAATCGAAGCAAACTCTTCAGGTTTCCACCAAGACCCCGTCGACCTTCTTCTCATCTGGATCCAGGAGACCTAGCGCTTCACGGCGCGTAGGGGCACTAGGATCGAAATAAGGAACTTCAGCGAGCGACGTGACTCGTGTTCCGTGGCGTGGATAGTTCCCACCATAATCCCAAGACGCATTATGGATGGTGATTCTGCCTCAATCAGCTCAAGGGCCTGAGGAAGGCAACATGATTTCTTACCTGTTGTCCCACAATGCACTTGTCCCCGGAGTCCATTTGAATCTTACCTGAATATCCACGTTCCTCTCATACACGTCGAACAAGTATCCTAGGATGAGATCACTCTCGGCCTTGTCAAGGCCAACGATTCGGCTCGTCATTGCTCTATTGACCCACAAAGCTTTCCACCCGGTAGCTGGGTGTACGCGAACCAATGGATGAGTCCTCTCGATGTACTGAGGACCCGCAGTCGGATTCTCTCGATCGAGATATGGATGAGCAGATCTATACACCGCCTGCTTGCCATCAATCAGTTTACGGAAGTCTGGGGACAGTTTCTCGTATGCCGAGTATCCGCTGGCCCAGAGTGTGTCTCCTCCAGTTGGAGGAACCGTGTCGTTGTGAAGGTGAGTTATTCCTGGAGCACAGTTAAACAATCGGCACACAGAGCGCAGCCGTGCTGGTACTCAGAGTGTGAAGAACATACCTGCAGGTTGACGTTCATGCACAAGATCGGTATGCCAACGGGAAGCACCGCCTGGTTTACGGAAGCTCGCGGTTATCTCGGTGGCTTGAAGCGCTGGCCAGATGACAGTCACTCCTGGCACTCCAGGGACTTGTGGAACTTGGGGCTATCGTCGAACTCAGCATAATGAACCACTTTCAACGAGGTCGAGGAGGGTTTGGTTTACATGAATCTCGACCTCGCCATAGTACTCCCCAAGCTCTTTCTGTTGCTGAGGTGAGAGGTCCTGGTCACGGAAGAAGACGACACTCCGCTCCGCGATTAATAGGGCGAGCTCGTCCTTTTGTTGATCTGTAAGATCTTTGAGCTGGAGGCCCTCTATCTCGGTGCCAATGTGTGTGGTCAAGTCGGTGACCTTTGTGGCAGCAGACAGTAGTGCGTGTTTCGACTTGTCGGCTCTGGCACCTGCATCGACATGTTTTCGCTCCTTGTTTCTGATGTTGTATACATCCTGAAGATACAACGGGCGATTGGGGCGATAGGGATACCCGTGTGACAAATCAATGCCTGCTTTGGTTAACCTTTTCAATGTTGGCTCGGGTAATCCCAAGGTATCCTTTTTGGGGACGACATAGTCCTTGATACTTTCTTCGATCAGTGCCGGTGCCATTGTGCTGCTTATCTTCTAACTAGACAGAAGTTATCCCGCGAGAAAACAGGGATCAGAAGGACATTCCTTTCTCGGGTTTTATTACGCCCAAGGCGAACTCCTCATGGGTGATGGCGCCGAGGATATCACCCATGACCGAGATGCCTGCTTACCAACCCCGCCCGTTCGCTGGCCTAACAAGGTGATATGACGAGATCTGCACACGGCATTGCGTGCAGTTTTACTGGTTGGGTTAGAAGTGTGTCTGGCCAAGCTACGCGTTCCCCAGCTCCAGAAAACCTATTGCGCAATAGATCACGAACGCCGGCGGCTCTGTGGCCAGGTCAAACGCAAAAGATCAATCAAGAAACCCTTATCGTTCCAATCACTCCATGGCAATCGCCTGTTGAAGAGGAGCCTGCGGGAGAAGGTGGACGGATGTGGTCGAAACAGTATCACGTGACCCAATTGCGTGCTACGAAGCATATATTTGTTGCTCAACTGTCGACACAGACCCCTGACATCCCATGCAGGGCGTTCGTGGAGAGAACGGTGGCTGTTCGCTTCTCGGCAGTTGATCGTTTCATTGGAGGTCGTGGTGTGATACAAGATATGCTTATCACTGGATTCCGCAATGCTTGTGCTTGCTTACACACTGTCGGCATCTCGAACACCAATGTCCTTGAACATCGGGAACAGCACGCAATATATGTGTGCAAGACGCCATTTCAGATGGTGCAACTGCCGCCGTTGGCGTCTCCACTGCCAACGCTGGAATGGTAAAGCTAACAGTTCCTGATTTATGAAAGGCTTGGGAGAAGGTCAAAAGTGGTTTCTAAAACCTCGGAAGCACGAGGCACCGGAACCAAGAGAAAGAGCAAAAGAAAACACCATAATGGCGTTTCATGGCGACAGCAAGGAGGCTGTGTTCAAGAATGCTTCCGCAAGCGTCGAGGGTGACGGCCAGTCCCCATCGTCCCTTCATAGCCCTAGCTTAACCTTCGACGATGTCATCCAAGCAAAGCCAAGTCGGACGTGGAAATCGTACGTCTGGGACAGTCTCGACAAATCTCCCGAAGAGCGGAGGTTCCTGTTCAAGCTTGACGCCGCCGTCCTCACGTTCGCATCTCTGGGGTATTTCATCAAGTACCTCGACCAAATCAACATCAACAATGCCTTTGTGAGTGGAATGAAGGAAGACTTGGGTCTGTATAAAAACCAGCTGAATTACATGCAAACATGCTGGACGGTCGGATACGTCCTGGGCGAAGTGCCATGTGCGTTACCTCATCCCTCCCCCATCGCGGCCAGACAAAGCCAAGCAAGCTACATGGGCCTTTTGAAGAGTTAGACTAAGTAACCTGAAAAGCAAACATGGTTCTCACCCGCGTCCGTCCGAGCATATGGATCCCGACGATGGAACTAATCTGGACAATACTCACGTTCTGCACGTCCAAATGCAATAGTGCAGGCTCAATCTACGCCATCCGCTTCCTCGTGGGTCTTGCAGAGTCCACGTTCTACCCTGGCATGGTTTACGTGATTGGATCGTAAGAGCCTCCCTCAACGTTATACTTGGCGGATAGTGACGGACTTAACAATTACCTGCCTGCAGATGGTACCGACGAGACGAACTTGCGAAGCGATCCTGCATTTTCCACACCAGCTCCGCCATAGGGAGTATGTTCTCTGGCTACCTGATGGCGTGCGTTCATCATTTGGGCGGAAGAGGTGGTCTGAAAGGGTATGGTGATGTGTCTTCCCTGTCCTCAACCTCCCACGCCGTCACTTGGCCCAGAACCTACTCCACATGATGATACGACTAACTCATTACAGATGGCAGTGGCTTTTCGTAGTCGACGGCGTCATCTCCCTACCCGTCGCCCTCTCGGGCTACTTCCTGCTACCTGATGTGCCAGAGATAACAAGGGCATGGTACTTTAAGCCTCACGAGCGTGAGTTCGCGAAGAAGCGCATGAAGCTCGAAGGCCGTGCCGACCGCGCCCCTTACACCAAGGCCAAATTCAAGAAGATCTTCACCTCGTGGCACATCTACTTTTTGGTGCCCCTGTACATGCTGTTCAACAATGCGGGCTCGGGCGTCTCTCAGCCCACGTTCGCGCAGTACCTCAAGCACTCGAAGAGTCCCAAATACACCGTCTCGCAGATCAACGTCTACCCGACGACGACGTACGCGGTGCAAATCGTCAGCACTCTCGTGTACGCGTGGACGTCGGACACCATATTCAAAGGCGCGCGATGGCCGCCCATCTTGTTCGGTGCGTCGGTGAATATCGTCAGCTACGCCAGCCTGGCCGTGTGGGATATCCCCACGGGGTGGCACTGGGCGTGTTACATGCTCGCTGGATGCGGTGGCGGGTTGAGCGGGTTGTGCATGGCGTGGGCTCACGAGATTTGTTCCGAAGACAACGAGGAGCGAGCCATCGTCACGGGGTCCATGAACGAGATCGCGTACGTGTTCCAGGCCTGGCTGCCGCTCGTCGTTTGGCAGCAGATCGACGCGCCAGAGTACCATCGGGGGTTCGTGACGTCGGCATGCCTGTCTGCAGGATTGATTGTAGTTGCACTGGCCATACGCTGGCTGTGGAAGTGGGAGCTCGAGCGAAAGAAGCACATCAGCCTTGCCTGAGGTAATACCTCCGAGGTTCGGGGCGGGATGATCTTGCTTGCCTACTTCGACGCAGTCGAACACGCAATCCGCTGAAGCGTGACAGCTCGGTAGGACGCCGTGAGAGCAAAGCAGGACCATTCGTCCCCGGGATGGGCAAGCAAGCGCCCTAGGTGCTTCGGCATCGAATAAGTTCGTATTGATGACTCTCATTCCCTCGTAACGTCGACACACACCTGGTTTTCGTACGCGTTATCACACGGGAATTCTCCATGGAACTGTAGGGCAAGGAGAGAATGGCATGTCACTGTAGCTGACATCAGCGCCAAATAACATGACAGACTCAGGAGTTGAGACTCGAGCATCGTTTGTTCACGCAGTACACACCATCCTGATCCTCATGTGCTTTTCAGTTTTTTTTTCCAGTAGATAGATCTTCAGTTCGACTCAAAATTATACCACGCACAAAAGGACGATCGCTTACACAACGATCTTGTGCGGCTGGGGGGGATGCAAGGATGTGGTCATCCTTGGTCGAAATCGCGACATCTCGGCATCTCGTATGGCGTGCTCTGGGACAAAGATAACCAGGATAACACCAGGCCACCCCCGATGCACACCTGGCCCTCCAGGCATTTGTACATGCGTACCTAGGTGCTTTTGACCACTGTACTTTGTAGCCTGACAAATTTACTGACACGAGTACAACAAGCCTCCCGGGTAACGGCGCGCAGATACAGAGGTGCATTATTACCGCTCACTCATTCCACCTATCCGCCCTCTTCGCCAGGGATGAAGGAGCGCCAGGGGTATATTAGGATTCACTATTGACTCGCGATTTTTTCCTCTCTTGTCATTTTTCTTATAATAGATATACTTCCGCATTGACCCTTGCAGCTCACAAGACACCAGTAAAGCCACACGATGATTCATCAACCCGGAAAGCGTGTGGCGGTGATTGGAGCAGGCATCAGCGGTGTATCGAGTGCCGCTCACCTGTTGAAACATGGTCTTGACGTTGTGGTGTTCGAACGCTCCGGCATTGCAGGTGGGGTATGGCATTTTGACCCCAGGTCTGCTCAAGATCCGACGTATCCCAACGAGCAGCCTTCGAAGGGAGACTATGAAATCAGGCCAGAACTGGCGTACAGCACGCCGCCTCCAACGCCGCCGGAAGACGACAAGGAGAAAGTCGAAGACCTTGAGATAGCCCACGCACCGCCTGGGCCGTGTTATGCCGGGCTGAGGAATAACGTGTCGACGCGTGAAATGAGAACGAGCCTGCAAGCTTGGCCGGAGGGAACGCCTGACATTGTCAGCCAGATTGTCCTGGAGGAATACATCCAGACCATTGCACGAGAGCACGGCGTCGCAAGCGTCACACAGTACAACACCCGTGTCGAGGATGTGCGCAAGGTCGGTTCAGAGTGGGTGATTCGCACGACGACACTCCGCAAAGATGCTGTACATGGAACGCACTTGACGGAACGGCGGTGGGCTTTTGACGGCGTCGTCGTGGCATCGGGGCATTACCATATGCCTCGGATTCCTGACTTTCCAGGGTTGCAGGCTTGGAAGAAGGCGTATCCAGAGCGAGTCTGGCACTCGAAAAGGTATCGCGATCCTCGACAGTTCAAGGACAAGAATATCCTCCTGATTGGCGCCGGTGTGTCGTCGTGCGACATTGCAAAAGAATCTGCGCCGTATGCCAACCGCATATATCAGAGTTCTCGTGGGGGAGAGCTAGACCTCCCGACCAGTTTTCTCCCAGAGAAGGCGACGAGAGTAGGTGGCATTCGGTCGTTCGAATTGGACGGCGGTGAGGGTACCGAAGAAGATGCAACTGCACCAATACCCGGGAGAATCGTGCTCGAGAACGGCGACGAGCTATCTGATATTCACGCCGTGATCCTTTGCACAGGGTACATCACGTCGTACCCGTTCTTTCCTCACCTTCACTCCGATACGACGCCGGCACGCGAGGCAGACACCCAGGTGCTGGTGACGGCGGAGGGCGACATGGTCCACAATCTGTACAAGGACATTTTCTACATTGAGGACCCTTCGCTCGCGTTCGTCGGCGCGCCTTACCATATAGCGACGTTTTCACTGTTTGACTTTCAAGCCCAGATCGTCGCGAGGGTCCTCAGCGGTAAGGCTCTGCTGCCGTCATATGAACAGATGCGTGATGAGTACGCGGAGCGCGTGAAGACCAAGGGCCTCGGAAGAGACTTCCACAGCCTCAGAGGTGACGGCCAGGAGATCGGCTACGTGGCTGATCTGGTTGCTTGGGCGAATAGAGATGCAGAGGAGCAGGGTATAGATGACAAGATGCAGGGACATACCGAGGAGTGGCACGCCGCCTACCTCGACCGGAAGAAGAAGATGCAGCTGTTGAGAGGGCAGAAGGCCGTCGAGGAGAAGACTGCAGGTTAGACTCGAGGCGTAGAAAACCCTTCGTTTGAGTAGTAGAAATAGTGTACAGTCTGACAAGACTGAAAATATCATCAAGCCATCACCTCTTTGCCATGATTACTGATGCGAGGTCAGCATGTTCGGAGTTCTGAAGGTCAATGATGAATGCATGAGTGCAAACCGCTTTACGAGAACGAGTCCAATATGAGTCCAGCGCACAAGTCACCAATTATACGTATACTTTACCGTACAAAAATGGAAATGCACTTTGGATGCAGAATACTCCACAGAAATTGGCGGTTCCCGTCCGATCCCAAATTTCTTGAAGTTCATATTCGTCTTTGCGCAACGTAGCGGTCATTGAACGTTGCTTTCTATCTGTACCTCACGTACCCGCATACATACCGCACATTGAATTTCCAACTGAGCTCGCCACACCTGTAGCTCGACGTCGATTTCTTTGTTCTGGTTTCCCACCTTATTCACCGACAGCTACTTCCACTACATCTCTGGCTACATCAGACCTCGCGAGCACACACATCGCTTCACATCCTTGACAATGCCTCCCAAGCGAGTCGCCATTCAACCTGCCCGCCGCAGCCAGCCCAAGGGATATATCAGCTCAGTGTACCACTCGCTGACGTCGGAGGAGAATGCCAGTGTTGTCATCAGCGTCGCCATGTTCGGAGTATGTCATATCCCAGGATCAATAAAAGATTGTCTTTTTCCCGCTTTGCTATTTCCCTACGTTTCGCCTTTCCTGCTTCCGCTTTTCTGTTCGAGAATTGTCTCTTTCGACAAGCAGCAGCAGAGTCGAGCAGACCAGAGAAGCGAACACCTTCGCATACCTCGACTCATCCTCCCCCCACCTCATTTCCGGTCAATGCTAACAACCTTTTCTTTCTCTCCACCTTAGGCTGCGGTAGCATTCTTCAACTCGGACTGGAGCGAAATGCTTCTTCCTGGATTCTAGAACCGCAAAGGAAACAACCGCCTCTGCCTTTTCCTCTCAAAATTTTAAACAATGTATTCGTACCGCAACGCAGCTCGCGCTTACTCTGCTCATGCATGCCCATCAAAAAAGACCCATACGACCTTCTTACTATCGGAAAAGAAAACTCAACTCTCTACTTTTGTCGCGGACGAAGAGCGAAGTCGACACGGCGGACGAGCACCAATGGTTATGCGCAATGCACGGCTGCGAGGCAGTGGAGAGAGAAAAACAACAAACACAAAAAATCCAAAACGAATACTGGCGGAGAAATGTACCATTGCCCTCTTCCATTTGCCGGGGCGAGCATCGAATGCGCCATCTTTGTGATCTGTGCAAATATGCAGTGTCGGACAGATTCAAAAGAGTAAACGTAGTCAAGACGGTGCAAGAGTCACTGCGAATTGGGCCATGGCTTGTATCGCCGCGTTGGTGTTCTTGGGTTTCAACTAGACCGACTGAAAAATTGGACTGGGCTGGTTCTCGACACCGAACGGGCTCATAATTAGGCGTAGCAGAAAAGAGGCTTTCGCTTTGTACAACACACAATCTACCTACCTACATTAATGTGCAGTCTACTCCGTACCCAAGCTCGAGACACACGGACTTTGGTGTCCGAGTTCATTGAAGAAAACTCCCCTTTCCCATGAGAAATACAGGGACGTGATCCCTTTTTTTCCCCATGATCTTTCCAATTTCGGTTATGTACAATCCCTTCGCCTCGGGACTCACTCCTTTGGTTCTTTTCTTGAGTCCAAAGCCCCGCGTCGGAAACCGGTCTGAGTGATGGACCGACAGGGTACAAGCCAGCCAGGCCCAAACATGGCGATCGTGCTGCATGACTACTATGTTCTCAAAGTAGGAAGATAACTTTTCTTAATAGAGGCCATCCCGACATGCAGCGCCAATGCTCAAACGAGATAGATATCCACACTCTGTGAAGCCATGGCTTGACGTCTCCAAGCATCGGCCGTTTTCTGACACACAGATTCCGTACGGAGTGTTATTGACGAGAAAACATGTCCTTCAAAATCTCATCAGGGCCTTCTACCCTTGCGTGCCATAGCCAACACCATTGGCACTGGGCATCAATGTCTCTGTTGCGCCCTCGGCCTCGTCTTCAAGGTGCTCCCGCTTCATGCTTCGGCTCTTGATGTATGTGAAGCTTACCAGAGCCGTACCGACGATGACGGCGAGGCACATGAGGATGACGTTCACGGGGATCGGGTTGAGGTTGAACACGACATGAGTGACGGCGTCAAGGGGTGACTGGAGGAAATTGAACAGACCCGCCAGACAAATGATCAGTCCATATACCTTTCCAAAAGTTTGAAAGCCGAAGACTTTTGCAGAGTAGTCAGAGACGGTGGTGTAGTAGAAAGGTCTGTACAGGACAAACAGGCAGACGTTGGCGATCGCAGCCCACATGAACGGCAAGCATCCCAGAATGCCAATGATGGTGGCCACGACGACCAAGAAACCCAAGGCGAAGGGTGTGGATGTGTTGTCAAGAAGGGTGCCAATGAAGGGAATGCTCAGCACGCCACCCAGGGGCAGGGCAACATCAAAGAAGTCGTTGACAAGTTTGGCATTTTCTTCCGACCCAAGCAGATACCGCTCTTGTGGACGAATGGTTGCGACGAAGTAATTGATACGAGTCATCTGAACGACCGTAAAGAGAGTGATTAACCAAAACCACGGTGTCTTGATCTGGTCCAGGGCAGAGTGTCCGTGCAGGGCTCCCCAGACACCGGACTTGCTGTTCTTATTCTCCTCGCGTTTCTGGCGCTTGGAATTGACGGTCTTGTCGAGTAGCAGGCTGACTTCAGCGATGGTGCTTTCTCTGCGCTCGCGGTAGACTTGTATCTCTTCTTGGGTCGCCTCGGGTGGCGTTGGAGCATTGATCTCTTCTTCTGCATCCTTGACGACTTCGCTGACCGTCTTGTACGAGTCCTTTGGCATGACGAAGACTTGGACGACAAAAATGAAGACAGGCACAACAAGGTAGATGAGGAAGAGTCGATGGGTGTTGAGCTTGCCGCCGGTAGCCTCGTAGACAAGTCGGAAGACGAGGAACAGCGCAGAGGAGGAATCGAATGCACCGGTCAGAAGGGCCAGGATGAGGCCCGAATTTCGTGGGAAGGTGTTGGACAATTGGAAGGACGAGATGAAGACGAATGGACCGCCGAGGGCGAGAAAGAAGTATCCTGGAGTGAACAGGTCGCCACTGGCTTTAGAGGCGAAGGAGAAGAGCAGAGCTCCTGTGAGCAAGAAGACACTCCCAATGATACCGCAGGCCCTTGGGCCATACCGATCGAGAATGGTTCCGATAGGGAGGGCCGCGACGTTCGTTGATACTGCGGCAACAGTGAACATGAAGTTCAAGCGAATCTCTTGTTGATAGCATGGCGACGTACGTGCCTCCACCTCTTCTGGCGTGCACAGATCTGCAAAGACACCTTCATCGATGAGGACCGGTTTAATGGCAGCATAACCAAAGACGATACCAGCGGCAAAGAGGCAATATATAATTGCGATGATTACTTGTACTGCTCAAAAGGTCAGCGAGACGATGGCCTTTTTGGCAAACATGCCTGCACCTCGGCATAATCTTGCCACTCACCTAGTCGTTTCTGCTTGGAAACCTCCTCGAACTGCAGAGCCTCGGTGACCACGCTAGTCCTCCTGTGCGCAGGAGGAAGCTGATCGCTGAATGGGTTGAAACTCATCCTCCTTCGCGACGATGCTCCCGAGCCTGGCCCTTCTCGCTCGAAGCCATCGACCGAGGCCACTCGCGTTAGAGACATGGCGAGCAGTATGAAGACAGGAAATCAAGAGCCGCAAGACAAGAGCCGCCCAGTCAACCGCAGAACGAGAGGCCTGTCGCGGGTACTCGACTGCAAAGGCGGGGAAGAAGAATTACGGAGTGTCGAGTTACACGCTCGGTCGTGTGCAGCCAGTCGGCGGGAGAGCTGGGAAGATCAGGGAAAGGAAGTGGGTGCGGAGCAGCCAACGATTCAGCAGGACGAGGCAGTGTGCGGAGTAGAATGTCCTTGTATAGGCGGCGGAGGGTAAGATGGACAGCTGCTGGCTTCGAGAACAGTAAATGAAGGAACCGGACGCAGGGTCGACAAACAGGAAGGCAAAGTGGCGAGAAAAGCTGAAGCTCTCTTGAGGTCTTTCTTGGACCTCTGCCCTCGCGAGATAAGAGAGTTCGAGCTATTGATTTATTCAGAATAAATGGAAAGCCGATTGCTGATGTGGAAGAGCCACCAGGCTGATAACGATAACAGCCACATAGAAATTTTTGCACAGGCAAGAAGAGGCGGACAACGATGCGATTGGCCGGTCACAGCGTGCAGAGGCTGGAGGTGGCCGATCCTCGATGGATGTCGCCGAAGGCCCAAGATTCAGACCGACCGACAGAGCCTAGACGTGGTACAGAGTACGTAAGGTGGGTTACGGCGGCCAAGAGGATGCAGAGGCCACTTCGCATAATCATAAGTGATGCTCGATTCAGACAAGCCACATATGTTTGCGCATCAGGCTGGGCGGCGTGGTGAGGAGCCCGGGTGAAAACTGCCACTGACGAGCGCATGGCGACGTACAGTACTCGTACCTGGTTACAGGGAGCACCTCAGGTCAGGTACTCGTACCTTGGGGGCGGATATTTCGCAACAGGGCCCCTAATGACTGGTGATTGTAGGCCAATGTGGGACGACAAGGCATAGCCAAGAGTGCCATGCAGAGCACTCTGCGCCAACAGGTACCTACCTAAGGTACCTTAGGCATGCTCCGATCAACCCTGTCAAAACATCACATATCCACTGTTGAAAATTTTCAGAGTGCCCAAGACCTGTCCAAGGCCTCAACGACACCTCCGCAATGGCGAGCCTTGTCTGATGTTGCGCTCAAAGAACGAATGAGGCTGTTGAGACAGGCTGGCCGCTGTATGGCTGGCGGCTGCGGAATCAGGATCCTCGTAGCCGCTCGCCTGAAATAGGTCACCTACCTCGGCGCTTCGTTCGAAACAGCCTTGTGGTTGCGACAAAGAAACCACTGCCATACATCAATGACGGTGTGTAGTCATCCTGAGACTGTTTAGAGACGGCTGGCCCTCGCCTCTCCACGATTTGGTCGTGCTTCGTGGAGAGTTGAGAAATGTTGGATTTGACTGCGTCAAGATAGAACTCATCTGGTTCACGTACCGGACTTCAAGATACTTAAACCGCGGCCATGCCCAAGTCACGAAGCAATACATGATCTTCTTCCAACGGCTTCCAGACTCCAAAGACAATCATTCCATTGATCCAACTCTGTTCAGTCCTTTCCCTCTACAAGAAGCAGGCCCATATTGACGTTCATTACCTGTCACCCATACCGTCACTGTACCAGTTCCCAGCTTGACCGACACGCTCTTTAAAAGACCAGATCAGTGCATGACAATACTCTCACAGTCATTCATTCCGTTTTCGTTTTCGTTTTCCACAAGATAGGTCGACATGGGCCCTGATCATGGCGTTCTCGGAGCCACCTTCAAGGCCACGAGGGCGTTGCAGATGGCTTCCATGATTGCCATTATTGGTATCACGGCCAACTTCATTTCCGAAATGGTCAGCGCTGGCGCAACCCCTCCACCGGTATTGGTGGCAACATTGAGCATCGTACGTCAAACTGAAGCCCGGAAGTCTTGTGCCCTTCTGACCAGCACTAGGTCTGCATTTCAGTTCTGTACTGCGCCATTACACTCATTCTGTATTTCGACAGCATTCTCCCCTTCCTTATCAGTGCTGGCATCGACTCAGTCTTCTTGATCGCGCTCGTCGTGGTGTCGGTCGTCATTGGGAGGCCGCTATCATACCTCAACTGCCCAGAATTGGACAAAACCTCCAATGCCACATCAAGCGCCTACGACTTTACTTCGGCACTCGGAAACAGCCTCAACAAAAGTGGCAAAGTCAACTACTCTTCCTGGATCGGCACTTCCAAATCCACCTGCCTTGAAATGAAGTCAATCTGGGGGTTGAGCATCGCTTTGTGGTAAGTGGCGCTGGGCACATTCGGAAACCCATTGGGCTGGGAAGCTGACCGCGTACTTTGCAATAGCATCCTGTTCACCTTGTCGGCGGTCAGTACCATCTGCCTGTGGAAAAGAACCAAGCAGGCACCTGTCGACAAGAGCGACGCTTGAGACACCAATAGCAAGGAAGTAGGCAACGAGCCAGGGATCTTGCTTGGGAAAAACAAAGCCGGCTACCGAGTACGTCACCAGGATGTCCGCGGGTGATCTTCGCAAGGGAAAAAAAAGGTAAGGCGTAAGGATGGTTGTGGGTTGTCCAGGGTAATGGCAGGGTATGGAGCAATCATTGGTGACCTCGGTTCCCAACAGTTGTATAAGCATTGAAAATCCTCGTGTTTGCGGCATGTGGCAGGCCTCACAGCATTTAATGAACTGGGTTCGGGCGTGGTGGAATTCCATCCCCGGAGAGATGTGGCAGAGAATGATAGGTCGCAAGGTTACAACGTGAGGGCATATGCTAAAAAATTCTAAGTCCGCTGCACTGGTGGTCCGACGTGGCTTGCTTCGGCCTCTCTCATAGGCTCAGCCTCCAGACATGCAGATGTGACATGCATGTGAGGCTTCGAACGTCGCTCGGCTCCCCATCGGGAAGAGGCGATTTGTTGCCAGAAGGTCGGGAGCAGCTCCATCCAAAGGTTTTTTGAGGTTGGATGAGCAGGATTGAGACGTCTGCGTTGTCCGGCCGCTAGGCTGCCCTGGGCTCGTTAGCTGGACCCGTGCATGCAATGTGAGCGGACAGTCCGTCTTGTGCGTGAATTGACGTGTTCGACGATGAGGGTCGTTGGACACCTAATGATGCAACGCTGCCGAATAGGAAACTGGGCGGCTTGCCATGAGAAGGATGGTACTTATCCGTCATGGTCAGCCAAATGAACAGGGCTTTTGCGGGTGATTGATACTCTGTAGGTACAACTTCCGACCGTGGCTGGAGTCTCGACAGGGTTCATCCAGAGTGCCTAAAGGTAAGCGTTGTTGAGCTGGAGGAGGATGTAACCTGGAGTGATTGTGCAGTGGAGAGTGAGTGTCGCCAGGCGGGCTTACCAGACTCAACAGGCGCCAGATTCTTATCGTCACTCAAGTTCTCAGGACTTGCCCACCAGCGCCTGCAAAGAGTAGCGACTCGAGCGAGTCTCGTGCTCGGGTTGCCGTAAGTAGGTGTTGTCGAGCCTACCTAGAATCAGCCATGTCGCGGGATCAGCAGACAGTTGTGTGGCTTTTGTGGTCGACTGGGCCCGGCACTGCGGGACGGGGCAGGGAACGAAGAGCCTAAAGGCGAGGGCATCCAAGGCCCAGGGGGCGAGGGCCAGGGCGCCAAAGACACTAGTCGGACCGTTTCTAGGTGCCTTTGGGAATAGTTTCGGAGGCCAGGGGGCCTGTTTCGCCCCAACTGGGGAGTCCAGGACACAGCTGAGGGATCCAAGTTGCCGGGACTGGTCATGGAAACAAAAAATCCCAATTTATCTGCCGAGCAGCAATGATTGCGATCCGTCGCCCTCCGTTGCGCTGCATTCATTACCAGATTCGCGGTTCGCCCGTGCTTCTTATGCTTCTCTAGTCGCTTGCCTCTATTGGTATTGGCAGCATCACAATCCGACTTTCTCGCTCTCCCTCCCTCGTCCCTCCATTTTCCCCTTGCGCTTTTCGATTGTGCTTTCCAACACTATTAGTGTTAGTCCACCACTCCTCCAATCTTTATCCACCGCCTCGACGCACTACGGCTACGGTATCCGTCCTCCCCATCAACAAGCAGACACCGTCCCATCGTCGACTGACAACTCTGTCGCTTCAATCGCCGAGACTGAGTTCGCCCACCCCGTCATACTTTTTACCCTCGAATCGTTTTCCTCCACTGCTGCCTCTCCCACCGCGGTGGCACCGCCCCTCCTCACCTCGTATTGTATGTATCAGAGTCCAGCCCATGTCCGCCGGCCTGCGAAGAACGTTTTCCATGCCTGGTCGCTGCCTCTCTCCACTGCTCGAGGCCAGTGCTCATCATTCGTATTCTTATTACTCGTGTTCCTTCAGACTCTTCTTCTAAAAGAAGCCCGACTGCCCCCCTACCTCTTCCACAATCGCCACGATCACATCTTCTCACCTTGGGCATCTTGGAATAGTCATCCTTGGGTCGTCTTCTCGCCAGGCCCTTTTTCCTCTCCACAATTCGGTCGTTCCGGATATCCTATTTGGGCTCTCTTCCGCCGCTTCATAGGCCCTTAGGCCACAGCCGTCATCTGCGCTACTCGTTGAAACGTTTGTCAGGGTGCCAGCTGGCTGGCTCCGTTGTAGGCCGACCAAGCAATCAACCCTACCCACCCTGTCAGTGTTCCAACGTAGGGGGGTAGACACTTCTTTCTCCAGGCTGGTGCCGAAGCTTTGGGTTGACCCGGTCTTATTCGACATCGCACTGTTGCTCACGCGGTCGACCAATATCCACCATCGACCTCCTAGGTCATTCAACGGCGTGTCGGTTATCAAACCTGTTCCCCACCTGCTCGACTCAAGAAAGAGAGATCCTTTTAAGATTATTGCAGCCCACTATTGACAGGCCGTCGTCGCCGTTGTCCCATTCTGTCGTCCTGGCATTCTTCCCTCACACGATATTTTCATCTTGGCTCCGGCCCTTTTGGACAATCCCCCCGGTATTCCTCTTCCTCTACGCAGGGCACCTTCGTAGCCGCGTCTTGTCCGCTTCGTCAGCGGACGCCCGGGTCTTATATGGTTTTCCACGTGTACGACGAAGGAATACCATGCTTGGTAACCATGACTTATTCTGACAAGGACAGTATGGACGATCTGAATTTACCGACCGTGATCCCCGTCGATGAAAACTATGGCCGGTTTTCTGTCCTCGAGGAAGAGGATCGAGATGCCAGCTCTGCCTATTCCGTCGCCTCTTCTGCGTATAACTTCCGGATGGAAAATGGTCGCCGGTACCACGACTATAGAGACGGACACCCCTTTCCTCATGACGAGGTCTCGGAAGAGAATGAAATCACCATGCATGAGATGTGCCTGCTCATTCTCGACAACAAATATTATGTGTCGCCCATAGAAGAGCCTACTCTTCGCGCTGTTGCCGATATAGGAACGGGACGCGGTTACTGGGCCGAGGGGTTGGCGGACAAGTGCCCCGATGCTCAGGTGGTGGGCATGGACCTTACACCACACTCTCGAAACATCCTTCCAAACTGCTCTTACATGATTGCAGACGCGACAGAAGAGTGGGTTCTCGACGATCCCACCATGAAGTTTGATCTGGTCCATATTCGGTCTCTATTTGGCGGAGTCAAGGACTGGCACGCCTTATACAAGAATTGCTTTGAGTAAGTGTGATGCCTCTCGCGATCCTGGCAAGTTCTTCTCGCTTGGCGACTTGGGAGATACACCTACATGTCACTGGCTCGCATCTCTTTTGACGTTGGCTTTCCCCCTTCGAGAATACAAAGGGCAATCCGGTCCTTGAGGCTTGCTCAATACACAAAGAAACATAGCCAATAGTCGCTGGGCAAGCTCGAGTGTTCTCGTGTTTCTGGAATATTTGTCGACTTGAGTGTTCAGTTTGTGACGTTGATTGCTGATGTTCTATAGTAACCTGAGGTCGGGAGGTTGGATCGAACAGATGGAGGTCGAAATCGACGCGCAAACCTTGGACTCGGACACTCCACCGGATAGTAACATCAAAGCACTTTGCGAATACACGAGAAGTCACCTGTCTGTTGCCGCCGGACGAGATTTCGACATCTCCTTCAGCATGAAAAAGATGATTGAGGACGCCGGCTTCGTCGATGTACAAGAAAAGAGAATCAACTTGCCACTCGGACCGTGGTCATCGGATTCGAAGATGAAAGACATTGGAAGATTCTACGAACGATTCTACAAGACGGGTTTGCAAGGCTGGTTGCTACAAGTCTGTACCCGGGAATTGAACGTAGGTTTCCGAAGTCATAGTCGACCTGCACCGAACTCAGCGCTAATGGTTTTCCTAGTGGTCGGTTGATCAAGTCAATGCCGCTTGTATCAAAGCCTTCAGAGAAATCAATGAACGCAAGCAGCACTGGTACTATCCTCTGTAAGTCTTTTTGCACACCTTTGTTGCCCATCACAGCGTCCATCCTGACATGATTGTTATTTCTAGAGTCATCGTTATTGGACGAAAACCTTGAACGGCGTTCCTTTTCACGATTGTTGCGCGAACATTTACGCTTTATGTCGACATGCAGATTTCGAGTTTTACCAGCAGATCAGATCCTACTTCCTCATCCAGAATTCTAATGATTCACGTCGTAATGACCTGTACACCAATGGCTAGATGGCATGAGCATATATTTGGGAAAGAGGTGCACTGGGAGGGTATCGATGTTGCTGGCCGCAGAGTTGGATCAAGGAAACTGGAGACAGTCATCTCTTGACGACCTGTCCACAACTTCCCATCAATGGTGGGGAAGCCATTACACCTGAGAGCAATAATTAAGAGCACCCGGACTTGAACTTGGTCGACTTGAGCTTGACCATGTTGTGAGAGTAAAATGGGGATATGTTTGCCAGGCTCAGGCCCAACCTACCTTTACTATTCAAGAGACTGAGGTCGACTCTTCTACAACAGGTTTTCACCCGAGGTCCTTTCATACCGACGCACCTCTTTGGGATCTAGCGAGCAGTCTGGCAAAGATGACGAGGCTCCTCAACCACCAAAGAGAGAAAAGCAGCATTGCAGTGGAAGCCTTGGAGGCTAGAAAAAAGGCATGAAGATGATCTCGGTAGAAACGTCGTATTCTACCCGGAGGAAAGCGAAGGCTCTGTATCATTCTGAATCTACCTAGGTCATATACTCTGTGTATATGAGAGGGTATGACTTATACTCCGGGTATCTACTACGGCATGTGTCTGGATGAGTGACATGGGCACAAATTGACTGTGATTGTGATTGTAATGGGAAATCATAAATCATAACTGATGCTGAAAGAGTGTGTATACTGTGACACCAGCACAGAGGCAGCACATCTCGTGAGGTATTGAGCAATGCTGTATTTGGGGTTCATCATCCATGAGACGGCACACTATTCGCAGAGATTGGGCTTCAGTTCGATTTCTGAAGTGAGGCCCGTCTTTGTCTTTTGTTTTTGCACAGTGTTTTTGGATCCCAAGATGGGATCTCCGTTGCATTCCCAGGAGATGACCCGTGTTCAATGGAGAGTATATGTGTGTATATATATGTATATGATCTGTCAAGAGAAAGTCAGGGCCAACTGACCGTGACATTGGGATCGATCAGATTGGGGTCTCTATCTGAACGACGAAGTAAGTCAGGAGTAGGGAGTCATGCCCAACCTACCTGCATGCCCAACCTACCTGCATGCCCAACCTACCTGCATGCCCGCCTGCCTGCCTGCCCGCCCCTCTACCTGCGTGGTACTAGGCATGGTCCTTTTAACCCAAGTACCAAGGCCACGGTACCAACCACCGTAGGCTTGAACGGAGACCGACTCCAGAGCAAAGATCAGGTGCGCCCAGGCTCTTCGATTCGCTTTTCAGTTGGTCCGGGACACGACAGGCCGGGTTCACGAACAGTTGTGGAAATTTCTACTGGTAGGTCAGATAGGTACCTACCTACCTACCTACCTACCTACCTACCTAGGTACCTATGGAGTGCTCGGTAACAAGCAGGCTGGGGCGCTGGATTCGAAGTTTACTTCTCATGCGAGTGTTCACCAGCCAGCCACCCCGTCCCCATCAACGACAGCAGCGCAAAAAGAGGCCCTCAGGAAAAGACACAACTTCTTTTTTTTTTTTAACCAAGTGGCTATCAAGGCGTCGAGGCGGCACCGACCCAAGTTGGATTGTTTTTTTTTAGCTAGTTAACTAACTTAGTGACCTGCCAACCTCTAGGTAGGTTCGGCAGGTGCAGCAGGTTGTACAGTAGGCCCCTAACACGCCCGTAGCACGTACAGTAGAAGCAAAACTAGCCGCTACCTAAACTCCCTTGGCCAAGGGCGAGTCGGTGGTCACCAAGGTACGTACAATACACATCAGTGAGCACCAGCCACCGGCCACCTGCTTGTGAGGCTTCTGCATGTATCAAACTAGGTAGTGGGCCGGGAGAAAGACTAAAAGAGAGGTAATAAGGTTCCTAGCTAGCTAGGTAGGTAGGTCGGTAGGTAGGCAGGAAGGAAGGAACGATAGGCCCAAGTGCCTTACTAGGTAGTCGTAGTAGTAGTAGCAGGGATTAGGTCGTAAGGTACTCTATTACATGTACAGCACATCGCTGCGGCGGGGTCGTAAAGTTTGAGGAAGTAGCAATCGAAGTGCTGTGTTGTACCAGACTGTCACGCGAGGGAGATGCTGGGTGCGAGAACCTCCAAAGTGCTCACTTACTGTACCTTACTCTGGTTCTGTACCTCAGGTATCTACTGACTATCGAGATGCCTAGCTGCCTGACTTCCTGGTCACTGTGGACACCTCCCTCTCCTCTCCTCTCATTCGTTTCGAATTCTGCAATGTTTGTAATTTCATACTCCGTCCTTTCCTGGACGAATATGCGTTATGGACGTAGGTAGGTAATTTTGCCCAGTTCCGGTTCAAGCTTGGATCGATGACGAACTCCTCGGGAGTCGGGACTTGCAACAGAATAACTCTATTGCGCCATTTCCTGGGTTGTTTGTTTTCGAATGATCGGCAGCATAACTTGTTATACTGAGGTACAATATCTTGCATAAAGTCCGACCGCCGCCAGTCGGGCAAGAAGAGTTCCTGAATCAAGGGGGAACAGCGCCCTTCTTTCGCCCCCCGTCTGATCTGGCTTCGACAGGGAAACAAGAAAGCAAGAGTGGCTTTTCGTCACGTCGTTCGCACCACGGTTGCCACTCAGCGCCGCCACGAAAGCACCTACAGTCCCCGTACTCGTATGGTAGATGGGATGTCAACAGATCCAGGTAATGGTGGAGTTGACATGGATTGTACGTGAAATTAAGTGCTTTTATGTAATGACTAGATCTCGTTGCGGATGGAGGAGGTATGGTATACTTCGACTTCGAGTACGAGCAGATGAATGTCCTTTTGAGTTTGTCTGACATAGGGCGAGTGCAAGGGTTGTACCATATGCCGCGTACCGTGGACAACTTGCGTGGTGGAAGGCTGGATTACCTATCTTGAATTGATACCACTCTATCGGTACGAGTGGGAGGGGCTCATGTCGTGTATTATTCTGTTCTGGGTACTCCGTACTCCAGGAACAAACACCCATGGAGAATCGAGACGTACCACCGTTTGACGATCAATGAAGGGACTCTGTGCGGAGTAGTCGGTGTAGACTGTCATGATCGAATTTTCCGTTCCCGTTCGGGTTCTCTCGCCGGCAAAGTTGCCCTTCGGCGTATCGTCGGCAAACCAATTGGTGTACAAGTGCGTTATGCGTGGGCGTGTGCATTACCTAAGTGACAATTTCGTAAGCAGAAATCTGGCCATTAGAGGAAATGGGCTCGTTGTCAATAAATAGCTCTACGGTTAAATAAATAGTATTGCCTCGCTGGAACCTCGGAAATAACTCCGTGATGAATATCAAATACCTGGTGCTCAGTGACGACAAGGATTCCACTGCTGCCATGATGTTTTACCTCACACGTACGCGATTCCTGGTGGTTCTTCTTCGGAACAGCTTCCCGGATCATACATCATGGGGCGTCAATCTTATCGTCGTCTTTCATCATCCTATTCCAAATCCCAAATTCCAAATTCCAGATATGAAAATGGAGATGGATAGGGCAGATGGACACCGTCAGGGCCAATGACGACGAGATACCTGACTACCCAAACAGGTCTATCTTGACTTGGCAACTATCAACCGGGCAATCCATCATTCTTCTCACCGATTCAGGGAATCCATGCGACTTATCGGTTGATGCTCGTTCTTTCCGACTGACCAGCTTTCTCACCTATATAAAGAGTGCAGGGGTGGCATGAGTCCCGCAGGTAAGATAGGCAGTAAGTAATAAGTAGCCAGTACTGTATCGCCTTCTCACTTCCCGTCCTCTTCTCCAATCCATACTTTCCATCCATCCAACCTACGCCCACACCCACACCCACACACCACTCGGGCGCACAAAGTCCCCCCGATCACTTCAAGCCAAACCACACCTCCAGAATCTCCTGCGAATTTTTGAATCTCTCTCTCAAAAATCCAAAAAATCCAAAATGGTCAAATACGAAGGTCAATGCCACTGCGGCCAAACCACCTGGACCGCCGAGATCCCCGAAGAACGCCATGTCCTCTGCCACTGCGGCGCCTGCAAGCTCATGGGCGGCGGTGAATTCACCCTCAACCAAATCATCCCCAAGGCCAACTTCAACCTGACAAAGGGTGATTTGAAGGTGTACACCTACAAAGGCGACTCTGGCAATTCCGTCGACTGCTACATGTGTCCCAATTGCGCCAGTAGTCCGTACCATCATCAACGAGTCCTGGGTATGTTCTCTCTCTCTCTCTCTCTCTCTCTCTCTCTCTCCTTCTCTCTTTTCCCTTTTCACATTCAGAAACAACCCTAGTCGCGTAACAACATGAAAACGAAACTGAGAGCTAACCACGTTCACTTTTCCGTGTAAATAGGACCCGACACCATCGTCATCCGTACGGGACTTCTCAAGGGTTCCGAGAAATGGGGGAAGCCGGCCGCGGAAATCTACGACAAGTTCCGACCTGCTTGGTTGCCACAGACGGGAGATGCGAGCTTCGAGTTAGGTCCTCCGTCCTAGGTGCTCCATCGTAGGTACAAGGCACTCGACAATGCTCAGAAACCTGTCACCTGAGGTACTGTGTCGGTTCGGTACGAAAGTCTACACCACAAGTCAAGACACCTCCGATGGGCCACAGACTCCGGCACGAGTCTCTCTCTCTCTCTCTCACACACACAACAGCTGAGACAAAGCAGGGAAATACGGGATAGAGCAACACTGGGAGATGCGAGAAAGTGGACCTCTTAAGAAGCTCACTGCATGAGATATAGCGAGAACGAAAGAGCAAGGGACCTTTTAACATGTGTTTTGCTCCAGCAGAGACATGACGACGGACGGGGTCTCGATAATGGAGAATTCTTCATCGTAGAAACAGACACACTCAATAAATTTCATCTTCTCCATCAATATCCTGGTCCTGGATCACCGGCACGTTTAGCTCGTCATCACATCTTCTTACCTGAAAATGTTCTCTTGTCTTCTCACACTGTTCCTATATATAAACATACACTCCAACTATATTGTTTGTCATCATTCACAAAGCCGCATTGTTCATTCCTCCTCCAGTAAACGTCTGTCTCCTTCATGTGCCGATGAGGCTCTTAAGTTGGAATGATTCTGTCTCCTTGAGTCCGTCTCCTCCGCTCGGATCACTATCATCGTCATCTTCGCCTTCATCATCGTCATCACCACCCTAATCGCTAACACCACCCACCATCACCAATACAGAAGTCACCTGCCACCATTGGTACTCCAGCCCGTATCCTTCTGAATCATAGTACTGTATGGCCTCACTCTCCCTGGTCCGACCTCGGGTATTAATGAAAGTTTTGACCATTCGTCAAAAGAAGGGGGGTTTAGGGGAACCTTTTTGTTGTATTAATATGATTCCACTGTGTGTGTGTGTGTGTGTGTGCTGTGTGTCTCGCGTCGACTCATCCACTGCTGACGGGTGGAATTATCCCAACTTCGTCCCCGTTCCTGATCACCAAGTCCAACCCCTGATGTCGTCCCCCTCCTCCACCACCACCACCACCACCACCGCCGCCGCCTTTCCCCTCGACGAAATTCCCGAGGTCCAGATCCGGATCCAGGTCCAAGTCGACGTACTCCAGATTGACGGTCACGGCCGAACTGAGCAGGACCTTCTCGAGGATCCCCGGGAACTTGGTCTCGAGCGTCCTGAACAGCGCGCCGATGGTCGTGGGCGCGGGGAGCGTGAGCGTCTCCTGACCTCCGGCGTACGTCGACGCGGACGCGAAGAGGAGCAGTGTGAATCCTCCTCCTCCTCCTCCTCCTTCTTCTCCTTCTCCCCCGGATCCCTCGGGTCCTCCTACTGTCGCCCTTTCTTGCGATGCCATCGCTCCCCTCCGCGCGCCCCAAGGCCAGATGGAAACGGACTCGACCGGGCTTCTTTCTTTCCGCACACACACCCCGTTCCAAAATCGAAGTACTTTTCGGGGCCGACTGCCGGTCTTGTCACAAGAAACTGAAACAGTCGAAACCTGACTGCTGTGCCAAAACGCAACAGCTATAAATGTGTACTCGGTCAGGCAGCTCGGGGTCTTTGCGGATATTTATATATCCTGTAGAATGAATAGCTTGAACCGGTGGAAGAATGATGATCCGGCAGACCGGGGCTTTGACAACGGATTTCCACGCTCCACCAACCCTTTCATTCATACAAGTGACATCATTGTCAATTCTTCCTACTCCTCGTACGAGAAACACCGCAGGCATTTACTGGTACCTAAGCCAAAAACAATCTCGCACGACAACTTCATACATGCAAGCTCTCGTTGGAAGACCGAGTCTCGTCAATTTGATTTCAGGGACTCAACTAAACGCTTTGGGTACTGAGTAACAGCTATTACCATCAACACGCATCACACTCGATCTCCTGCAAGTCCTCAACCATGTAACCACAATCTACGGCGTGCCCTTGTTTTTTTTCTCTTTCTTCTGTTCACATCTCCATATTACCCCAATCAAGCACGGTAAGAAACTTATTTCATTGTCAAAAAAATTTGATCATGTCCCTCAGGTCTCCGCTCATCCTAGCCAGAGCTTTATCGATCCCCAAGAGAAACTGATCTTGAAATGTACAACGCGTACATACAATTCCAAACCATGCTTAATGCTCAAGCAGTCTCAAACTGCCTTGGACCACGACGTTCTCCAAAATGGATCCGGGTGGAATATCAATTGTGCTGTTTTCCGTGGCAACAATGATGACGGTGCCTTTAACAATATTAGTACACGAGGACATCGAGCTACAACAGAGATCAAAACTCACCCTTGAGGACAATGCCCCGACCGAAATTAACATCACCAGTAACTGTCAAGTGATCCAGTTCAACAATGTTCGGGATACTACTGATCCTCTTCTGGAATTGTGCAACCTTCTTGAAATCGCTTCCAAGCTTGATCAATGGTGCCGGACCGAATCGGTTCGGGTCGATGACCAATTGACCATGACTCAAGGTGTAGAGATTGGACTTGACAAGCATGAGGTCTGAGCAGGTCTTGACGGGCAAGAAGCGTCGACGGGGGACATTGACACCGTGAGCATTCTTGAAGTGCTTGATGGCTGCACCTACAGCGGTCTCGAGTTGAATGATGCTGACATCGGCTTCGCCCTTCTTGTCAGCTGGGATGGACTTCTCGTTCGGGATAATCTCCATTTCGAGCTCGTTGTTCTCGACCACACGCTTGATGGCCCGGAGGTTCATCCAGATGTTGTTGGTGTTGAAGTACTTGAACTTCTTGATCGACTTGAACTCGTTGACGTATTGCTTGGGAACTTGAGCGATTTCGAGAAGTCTGGCTCTGCCCTCGTAGTCAATTATGGTACCACCCTTGACGTCGGCCTTGGTCTTGTCGGTCAACTCCATGATGTATTCGGCCTTGCTCTCGACCATGTGTTGCAAGATGCGGAGATCCACAACAGCACCCAGGTTGTCGGCATTGGACAAGAAGATGATTTCAATGCCTCGCTCAAGGAGCTGATCAAGGATACCGCTGTTGTAGAGAGACTCGAAAACGTCACCGTGGCCGGGGGGGTACCAGTCGGACAGCTGAGAGTGGTAGTCCTTCGGTGCAGGGAGGAGCGAGTCCTTGAGCACACGAGGATACCGGGATTGGTTGAAGGTAAGAATGTCAATGTTGTGACCCTCGTACTTCTTGATGATGGAAGCGGTGTCGTCGTCGGTGTTGAAGCTGTTCATCAGAACGAACGGAACGTTGACGTCATAGGTGCGGTTGAGGTATTCAATCTGTCGGACAGACAAGTCTAGGAAGGACATGCCGTCTCTGACTTCGATGACTGACTTGGGACCAACACAACCCATGGATGTACCCAGGCCACCGTTGAGCTTGACGACCGCGAGCTTATTCAAAAAGTCGACGGCGTCGCTGTTTGGCAGGTCATCGTAGGCCACCACCTGGTCTGGGTTGGGCGGGTTGATCTTGGCCCAGTCGATTGTGTTTCCCTTGGCTCGATCATTCAGGTATCTCCGGAACAGAGCAAAGAAGTTGTCCATTTCTGCTTCAAATCTCTTCTTTTCTGCGGGATCTTTCACCGTGTCGGCGAGGTTGTTGAGGGCATTGCGCATCTGGCTGGCGGCCACGTTTGTGGAGGTGTTCTCAAAAGCCTGCATGGCGGGCGATTTGGTTAGCGGATATTTTGCGTCGCAGTCGTGCAATGTAGAAGCTGCGTGCAGATTGAGGAAAGAGGTAGCCGCGAGGAGAGGCATTTGGGGAGATTGGACGACGTGAACCGCGACAAGGAAAGGAGACGCAGGCAGTGAATGAGGAAGAAAGAGCAGGTGAATGAATGGTTCAGACAGTGAATATAAATGAGTGTGCAGACTTCATGTCCAGAGCGAGGCAGTGGGGAGGGTGACGAGTATGAGACAATATGTTTAACAAGATCATTTGGTGTACAACTGGCCTCGTCGCAATTGGAAATGAAGTGTCGAGACACACATGCAACCAAAGGCGTTCATTCATGAGATCAGGCCCGTGCGGTGTAGACGCAACGAGGGACGTCAAGATTTGTTCCGCATTCGCACAAAGACAGGAAAAGTGGTGACTTACCACATGCGACTGTGATTTTCCATGGTGTCTCTGGTGAGGAGCACCATTAGAGCCATTGCTGCCGGCACCTTGAGGCCGCAGGTGTGAGGGGATAGCTTTGGAAGCCATGATGTCGACGGCGCAGGCAGGTGAAGATCGATTCGGGAGCTGTAGCAGAGCGGGTGAAGGATGTGAGACGAATCTGGGACAAGTCGGAGATGAGTTAGCGACAAGATGAACCAGATGGCGAAATTGGGAGGACAGCAGAGGAGGAAGAGTGAATTGAAGTTGAGATCTGGGACGGGAAAAGTTGCAATTCTTGCAATTCGGTGTGCAGGGGGCAGGGCAGAGTGGGATGTACTTGATGCAATGTGAGCTCAGGCGAAAAGCAGGGATGTAGACGCCGTCGACAAATGAGTGAGCGAGGCCTCAGTATCCGTAGCTGAGGGAGGTGACAACGCAGGTGCAGATGGGTGGTTGATGAAGCGTTAACCACCTGGCAAGTACCTGGTAGCGGGGCCGGTCAGTGATGAGGAGGCCACATGGATGAGGTCGTTGTTAGTAGTTGGTTACGTAGCTCCAGCCTGACCAGCCCACCCTTTCGCCAATTGTAGAAGGTGTACGGAGCCCAGGCCAACGGGGCTTAGTGGCGAGCCACACCAGACACGCCCCGGTTGTGGACAGTTCGATATTGTCATCGAGTCCAAGCCTGGAACTGCAGACATTGCAGGCGACGGGAGGTGTGCCTAGGTACACAGGTACGCAGTGCAGCAGAGGGAGGTACCCAAGGACATGGGCAGAGAAAGGGGCAGTCTGTACTCACAATACAACGAATCTCCAGAGAGTCAAGTAAGGGAAGGGACGTATTGCAGGTATCAAGCTCAATAACCGACTATCAAAGCTGTGTATCGTACGGATAGAAACAAGGAAATTCCAGGTAATGCTTGAACAAGACACAATACCGTTCTGTCGTAGTTTTTATATCTCTCTCCATCCTCCGCCTACACTGATGCCATCCGCCTCATCGACAAGTCACTCGTACCTGAACCTACTCGTCCTTCCCCCTCTTCGTAATTGTTGGGCCTCAGTGGTCGGAAAAACACTCTTCGCGCTGTCCAACGTCGTCTCCAGTGATGATCTGGCCCATCGTCGACTTCTCCCCCATTCTGTCAAAACCCCCCACCAAAAAATTCTAAATTCCCTTTCCCGCTGCGGTGCCCCTCGTTTTCTCGGTCGCTTTGACCTTGTTGTCCTCGAGTTTCCCGTGATAAGATCGTTGACTGATATATTTCCCTCACTGTGCTCGCCTCTTTATTCGCCTCAATCAGCTTCTCCCTGACCTATGACGATGCCACTCTCGTTCTCGTACCCCCTTCGTGACGTTTTCGTCCATGCAGAAAAATACCTATACACAAGATCGCCATACTTAGTTCCACCCTTTCTGCATCTCCCCTAAGCTCTCCAAGGCTTAGAGGGACCGCCAGATTGCACCGCGTCGCCACCGTCGGACAAACTTGCTCTCCACACACGATGGTTTCTTTTTCGCTCATATTGTGTTTGTCCCAGATCTCGAGATTTAAATCGCAATACCCCGTTGCAGCTTTGTTGATATCTGCATCATGGAACTATGACTAGAGAATACTCGCAGCAAAATGCTTCAGCAACCTCATCATTCCTCCGGACCTCGCACTGCAAAATGATATTCTGATGTGCAATTTAGTGGTATGCACGTTTCAGAATGAGGCCATCCAGTGGTTCCTGGTCGTCCTCCGCTCTCTGTTGACCGCTCTCAGAATCCAGCCGAACGTGTGGAAGCAGTACACTATTGGTCATTCGACCTTCACCGCTCTAACCAACTGTTTGCAATCTGTGAGACTCAGAAGTGTACTGTATAGTCTTCTCCGATAGATTAATTTCCTAGGTATACTGTGTTTCATTTTTGGTGTATCCACAGCTCGCCCTCCACCCTAATTCTGAAAAGACTCATAAGCAAATGGTTAATTACCTGTAACGAGGTGGTATCTCTGCAATTAAAGGACAACAACTGGTCTTGCAGCACCACTAAGGCTTGGAGACAATTCTTCCATCCCTGCAAGCTCCTTTTTTTTCCATCAAAACGCCGTTGCTTCAAAACTTCGTACCCGTCCCATCTCACCTTTTCTCAAAGAGCCTCATGTCTTCCGCTCACATCGCGACGTCCAAAGAAACTTCGTCGTCCTTCACGCTTCGAGTCTGGACTATCCCGTCCGCTGGTTGTTGGCCGCAGTCCGTCGGCGTTGGCTTCCGCATTGGCTGTGAAGCTGCTGCGGATGGTGACACTGCCCGATCCTGCCTTGACGGTCTGTTCCGAGCCGCCGCCTTGATCAGACACGAAGAAGAGCCCTTCGCCGAGATCCTTGGAACGGAATGTGTCGTGGTCCTTGACAACAATCTGGAACTGTGTGTCGGCACTGCATGACACCTTGAAATTCTCGTGGTTTACATCATACTCCACAGTGCCCGACGATGACTTGACAGCCTTGGTCTTGAAAAGATCTTTGGCTCCCCTAGCCCCCAACATCTTCACGTGCACCCGGACATCTGCTCCGGGAGGATAGCCGCTAGCCGACACAATGATGAAACTCGCCGTACCGGTGTCAGCCCCCTTGGGAGTGTTGGTCATGGTCGAATGGCTGCTCTTGGTGCGGTTATGCAGCATGCTGCTGGGAGTCGCCGGCGAACCTGTGCCATCCATCAACACAGGAGCCCGGGAGGGGGTGGCATTCGGTGTATTGATCGCAGAGGTGCTCAGCTCTGGTTCGGGAGTAGTGCCGTTGACTTCACGTGGCGTGTCGTCCTTACTGCTCCCTCGACCAATAATTCCGCGTTTAATAAAAGACGCCCCTTTCACAACTCCTCCACCAACTTTGCTCACGCCCTTAACTGGCGCGCCGATCACTTTACCTGCCGGTGCAAAAGTACCGTGGAAGGTCGACGTACCCTGCCGGCTCCGGGTGACATAGTCTGGCTTGAACAACATTTTAAGTCGAATGGTTCCAGATTTGCCATCGAGGACATATGTCAATTCTTGTGCCCGCAAAGGTTCGAGTACTGTCAAGTCGAGAGCCGCCGAGCCTAGCCAGTCGGCCTTGTCCCCAAAATCCCAGTCGTACACGTCGACCTTGAATTCAGCATGGGTGCGCGAGGGAATGGCCACCTCGAAGAACTCGTTCCAAGCAGGATGTAATGTCTTCTTCTGGGTCTTTGTTTTGAAAACTTCTTTCCCGTTGAGTTTGAACTTGCAGTATGGATCGCTGTAGCCGTTTCGATCCGCAGATGGGAGATCCGCAGCATCCAGAACATCAACTCTCAATGTGCCCATGTTATTAATGCTTTCGCTAGGGTCGAGCTGCATCTTCACGGGGACATACTTCAGAAGAATGGTCACTTTATTGACCACGCCGTTGTTGCCCCGCAGGGTCAACTCTGTCGGTGTGTACAAGCACTGCTGTAGCGTCGTGAGGGTTGGCCCGGTCAGCTTGGCCACGATATCGTCCTCGTCCTGTTTCCCCGTCTTGTCGGCCTTCTCCACTAGCCGCAACGTGATCCGAGACATGTCGATTTCGCGAACCATAGCATCCCCAGTCTCGCCAAAGTGGAAGTCCCTTTGTCGAATCTTTGCAGACGTGTAGGCGGGAAACACATGATCGTCCATGAGCAATTCAAGATGCATATTCGTATCGGCAAAATGGCCTTCGACCAGATTGAATATGATCAAACCAGATTCTAGCAAAGATTAGCCTAATTCTGAAGCACATCCATCTTGACCTACCGTATTTGCTGAGGTCATCGGCGGTGATCTTGACCTTCGGTGCCTGTTTTTTGTTTGATGCGAGCAATTCGACGAAAGAGCCTGCTGTTGGCGACCGCCCGGCCGTGTCTAAGCTCGCCCGAGTGTCGAGATTGCGGGGCGTTATCTCACTAGACGGTTTGGAATCGACGGAAGGCTTCTTATTGTGGGACGCCGTGCCATTCACAACAGTCGCATTCTCCATGGCAGCCTGCGCTTTGCGTTCTTCTTCCTCCTCCTCAGGATCGAGAACGTTCAGGGTTGGATAGAATGCACAGGTGTAGTTGATTACACCCTTCTGGCCGCCTGTACCGCCAAGACGCAACCCGTCCGAATGTAACGTCTTTGAGTCGTGCACTTCGTAGCCGCCCTCTTCGCTCTCAACGATGTAATCCGAGGCTGCGATTTGGACCAAACCGAGGGAGCGATCCTTGCCGAGTTTTTCTTCGTCCATGACCTCGATAACCAGGCGCTCCGAGGGAGTGTGCATCGGGACGTATACCACCTCGTCCCATTCTGGATTGAGCTCGTTCTGGAAGGTAACTGTGCGGCCCTTGGGAATGCCTGACAACAGCACCCTAGCATAGGGATCCGATTTGCCCAAGGTCTCGAAGTTTCGAAGGTCCTTGGCACTCTGCAGATGGATGCGCATGACACCGATGGGTGTAATATAACCGCCAGATCCAATTGAACCCTTCAGGGCGACGGGTTTCCAGTCCAAGAGAAGCTTCGCTTTGCCTGATTTCGAACCGTGCAAGTTGAACCACTCCTGACCCTTGTCAACGGCCTTCATCATGTCATCCACTTTGATCTGGTATGTACCAAGGATCGGGTCGGTAGAGAGGCCTCGACTGTCCTTGATGACCAGCCCAAGACGGGCCTTTTTCCGATCCGTAATCAGAACAGATTTGGTGTTGTCTGAGAAGACGGGATTGTTGGTATGCTTTAGTGTGTTCGTTTTATGAACTTCTTTGCCATTGAGTAGAAGGACAGCATAAGGATCGAGAGCTCCGACCATGCTCTTGCTGCCGTCCAGCTCCTTGGCTTGCTCGATTGTAAGGCGTGCAATGCCGGTGTTGGACTCTGGCGGAGGAAGGATTTCGCCAGTCGGCAATTTCTCAGGCTCGATGACAGGGAAAAAGCGGACGTCGGCCGAAAGAACTCCTCGAGGCTTTCCATTTGCCAGAACGTCGAGATTCAAACCTTCATGATCAGGAGAAGCTTCAAGTTTGTCCAACGCAAACGTGGCAGTTCCGAGATGCTTATCTTTCCGGACATCGTTATAATCATAGACTTGAAGGGTGAGCGAGTCAGTGAAGTTGGTGATGATAACATAGAGCGTCTCATTCCATCGGGGGTTGGCATCTTCGTGAATGGTTTTGGTGCGTCCCAGCTCCTTGGAACCGTTCAAAGACACAACGACATACGGATCCGGTGTGCCGGAGAATTTGTCAGGGTTCTTGAGGCCGTGGGCATTGTAGATGGTAATCGCCACCACGCCGACTGCGAGATCAATGGGATTGCCAGAGAGCATTTTGGCCACCTCAATGGGGAAAACGTTTGGATCGTACATGATCGGCGCCAGGTTTCCGTGAATCTGCTCTTTGATAAAGCTCTCTAGACCGGGAATGAAATTGATGTCGAATCCGAATGTCTCCCCACCAAGCGGCTTGCAAACGTAGTCGATGGTCGGGCGTCCAAGGAAACAGATATCAACCCTTTCGATGTGAGGAAACGGGATTTGCAGTTTCATTTTGACACGCATAGAACCGGAGAACTCGAAATCTTCTACGATAACCTTCATGGATTTACTGACAACGCCTTTGCCGATTCGAATCTCGAGGACCACCTTTGGATTGATTTTGGTCTTGAGCTGGCGGGCGGTCATATCCATCGTGTCTGTTGGAGTGAAACTGAACTTCCAGTCCATCATGACGATGTCGTCTTCAGACTTCGGGTAGGTCTTGACATGCTCCATGCGGGGAGGTTTCGTTCCAAGAATGAAAGTCTCCATCCGCATGCTGTCCAAGAATGCCGGAGTGGAGGTGCTCAGGACTTGATCGACTGACTGCACGATACCTTTGGCTAGCTGAGGTGCATAGATGGGCCAAAACTTGACGAGGAAGCTGTTCATCCACTCCAGGCTTTCGGTGTCGGTCTCCAGGCGAGCCTTCCCCAGTTCGCGCGTGATGTCGTCTCTGAAGTTTCGCCTAACTCGTCTGACGGAGGTTCTGTAGTAAGTACCGCAGGTTGCCATGATGATAAAGATCCATCCCAGACCACCGCCCAGGGTTGCGACGAGCCATGAAGACAGGCAAGCAAAGACGATCACAGCCGCATTGTGGTACCAATCTGGATTTCTCAGTTCTCCCGCCATGAGTAGGGCTGAGGGAGTTACATACCACCATAGAACCTATCATCTAGCTTTGATTCCAACAGAGTCTGATGATCTAGCAGATTACCTGTGTCTTTATCCTCCTCTGTCTCCCCAGAGCCGAACCGCGGCGCCCATCCAACCTTGGACCAATCCTCTTGCTGTTCAGGAGGTGCTCCATTCGTCGCTGTATCGGCCTTTTGTCCAGCGGCCACAGGTTCGGGGGGTGGGAGGTCATATTGGTCTGGTCCACCATCCTGCAGAAGTTAGTGGATGGGTCAGAGCTGTCAAGATGCGAAAAGAACTCACCAGATCCGTAGCAATCCCAACTCCCTTTGGGGGACGTTTGGTATGATTCTGCTGCTGGTTGTATGTTAGAGGACTCTCCAGAGCTCCAATACGATGTCCATCTTACAGATCTAGCTTGTGCGGCCTTCTCTTCTGGGGAAGCATTCGGATCGAAGGTGAGAGCAGTTGCCCCGGCTTTCTTGCTTTCCGCAATCAGAACTTTTTCAGCATCTTCTGCAGTGACAGAAGAATCTGGATCCTGAGCAGCTTCGACCGCGCCCTGGGACTTGAGCTCGTTCTCAAGTGCGGAGGCCATCGTAGTCTGTGGAGAAGCGTCCACCGAGCCTTAAACCGGAGCTCTACGACATTGACTCGGGGGGGGAACGAAGGAGAGCGGAGAGGGAGAACTTGCAGGCAACGAGGAGGAAGTATAGTGCAGAGTTGCGCAAGAGGAGATATAGGCAATAGCTGGGAGGCAGCTGGCTTGAGGCAGTACCCAGAAAGTTGGCTTTGGTCGGGCTCACGAGAAGTTGCCATGCGCAGGCGGCTAGCGAGCAATTGAAGCGGAGAAATTACGCGTGAGGGAAGCCACCACACCTATTCGCGGTTAGCAGCAAAGGGCCAACTGACTGCGGTCCATCACTACTCACAGCGACCGGACTTTTGGCGTCAAAGCTGATGGGCGCTGATTTGTCTGTCTCGCTATTCAATGGGCTTACCAGGCACCCCGGGCCTCATAAAGGCCCACCAGTGCTTGTCATGCCAGCTGAAGCTCGCAGCTGCACCACGGAACACCCCTACCACGCAGTCCGTCCAACCCATCAAAAGCCACAGTCGACTTCAATTCGCCAAATCCAAGCGATCGATCTTCGTTTGATGCGTCTTGGGCCGCACGGAGGTGCTACGCGATACGGCTCATGGCGTAGAGTCAAGACCTTAGACCGCTCTGCCAACTTTCTCAAGGTTCCGGGAGACAGCCTATGGCCTACAGGCTTCGACCAAATTTTGTATTGCGCTGACGACAACGACCTAGTGATCCGACACCCGGTTGCTCGCCGATCACACGTGAAGGAGAGCCTTGGGAAGCTCCTCTGCGGCTTCTTACATACGTACCACACCTCGGTTGTCAGTGTGGGCTGGATACGCCAACCACTTTCAGCGAGACAAGGATCTTCTGTGGGCGCCCTCGTACAATACGGAGTACTCCGGGTCAACATGCTCCCTCGCCTCAATCTCGGTTTCGTCACCACCACGTATCATCTTCGCTGGCAACGTGGCACAAGAGATGGAATATTGCTTGTCAACAGAATGATGATAAATTGAGCTGTTCTACGGCATCCTTGAGCCAGCATCTTGAGAGCCTAATCCGAATTTTGGTGCTTCTTACGCATAGACACACCGTGGACAATGCGTACTCGTGCTTGTGCTCATGAAATAGTCGCAGGGCATCGACACGCCTTGGCCCCTATTGTATCCATGTCTGCTTCGGACCCGCCCTCAGGGCTGCCTGTCAATACCTAAGAGAGGTTTTCGTGGCTTGCTGTTTCTCTGTCGACTGTCACAACAATCCATAGGAACGCCCACGCCGTGTGCACGTCGTGAACTCGGCCATCGCTCGCTTGATGATAAGTCAGGTTGCAGTGTGAAGCGAAACCTGGAACAACAATCGTCTCTTTTACTTCCGGCCGCCCGCTTTCTTCCTGGCTTTGACCTTTTCGATGATCTCGGGTTTCTCTCTGCACGTAGGACAATACCAATCCTCATCCTCATCCGGCACTTTCTTCATGTTCAGGCAGCCTGTGTGGAACCACTGGAAAGGACAGTCATCATTTTCGCAAGCCACCATTTCTCCATAGGATCGTTGATTGCAAAAGCAGTATCGTTTGTCATCTTCACCTTCGTCGTCGTCCATATCTTCGTCCTCATGCGTTTCAACTTCTTCTCGCAGTGACTTTTTATTTCCCCGTCTGCCTCTCGTGGTTGAAGCGTCCGTCTCTGAAGCGTCCGCCGACGACAAAACCGAATCTTCTTCCGACGCAGCTGTTCCACCACGTCCACCCCGTACAGAAGGAGACTGTCCTTTCTTGCGCCCGACAGATAACCTGCCCTTGGTCGACCCCTTCTGCTTGAGTTTGTTGACCTGCTGATGGGGCATGATTTTCTTCGACAAGCCAGACTTCTTGGGTGGTCCCGCAGTTTGTGGAGGCCCGGCACTTCGAGGTAGACTCCCTGATCGACTCGTTCCTGTGGCTGTGGGTGTGGAGGCTTTAGGGGTGCCCGGACCCAGTGACGACTGTCTCAAGCCTGATGGCTGAGCAGGAAGGTTGGCAGCAGCAGTCAGCTTGCGTCGCTTTGTATCCGCACCGGCCGAGTGCTCACGTTCTCGTTGTCGCTGCTGCTGCACCCCGGCAGCAGGAGTAGCTGGCGCCGAGCTTCTTTGAGCAGGTGTATTGGTAGTTGTTAGTTGCGGCAATTGCCTCGACTGTGCTTGCTGCATGGTTGTAGTTATGTGGGAATTTATGCGATGTGCATTGGCATTGAGAGCGCTGATCGATGCATTTTGCAGAGGAAGACTGGGTGGAACGTCGATGAGAGATTTTTGTGCTTCGGCTTTTCGATTGAAGACGCTTGGTAGAGGCGGCCCGTCCACAAGCTGACCGTCATTCTGTAACTCTTTGATCTTCGTGTCCAGTTTTCTCAATTGTCGTTCAAGAATGTTGCAAGCCCTGTCCGCCAAATGCACCTTTTGATCCTGAAGCTGGGCACACGACTCGTAATTCTTTTTCACCAAGTCTGCATACTCATTCTCCTTGGGATGTGGCGCAAGCACACCGTTGACCTTCAGGTGCTTTTGAATGTTGGCGTCCTTTTGGTTGATTGCAGAGAGAAATTTCTGAAGATCCTTGTCTTTGGCTTGGATCTCTTCCATCATATGATTTATCTCGGCCGGTAAGTTGGAGGCATCGTGAATAAACTGTTCCAAAACAGACGCGCAATCCTCATTTCCCGCCATAGTCAAGATGTTTGACCGTGACAGAACCCTTTCCCAAAGCCACGGGGACTAAGTCACCTCACCCGGTCGACTATGGCAAATTATTGCGCTTCCCGCAATCCGGTAGTGTACAAATCGACGCGCCCTCGCCGGAGTATTAAGCTGCGACCGTCAGAGTGGGGTTTATTCGATGATTTTCGATTCAGTCGTCAAGATGTTGATGGAAGAAGACCACAAGGCCAGGGCGAGGGCGAATCTCAAAAGTCGATGTGGCTAAACACAATTAGGGCGACAGAGAACAGGCTAAACCTATTTTGGAGCCTGTGGCGGAGCGAGAATTCAACGCCACATCAAAGCCTTGTCACTTGCACATCTCAAGAACCTCTCATCAACTTGACTTGCTTCTTCATTACCGCCACAACCCTCATAACCACGCATCCCGATACTCGAGCATATTAGTCGCATAGATATTGAGTTACTATCTCCTTACGCGCAAGGATTTAGGGACCTTTCCGGCCAGAGTACACGCCTCTTCGTGCCGAGCAAGTCGCTCCTCGAGGCCTCTGTCGCAACATGAAAATCAACACCATCACCAGTCTTTCGCTACACACAAGGTCGTCTATATTTCCTTTGTCAACCAACTCGGTCTTCTTCGCTTTCAGACACTAATTTAATCCCAATGGCCATTGTCGAAGAATACTCGGGTCCCGCAGAGACGGGCTCCTCGTCAACATTCACACTCTCGTCCAAGATCCAACGTGAAATAGAATCAAATTCAATATCTCGGCCCAAAGGATACCGAGTATCATGGCACTACAATCCAGCCGTCGAAAACCACCACTTCGGACAGACTCACCCCATGAAACCGTGGCGACTAACTCTCACCAAATCCCTCGTCCTCTCCTACGGCATGCACACGGCAATGGACACATACATCCCGCGCCCGGCGACCAAAGAGGAACTCGCCGAATTCCACAAGGATAGCTACGTCGACTTCCTCTCGGTCGCGACGCCGCAGAATATCTACGAAATGTACCCTGAGCTCGCCGCAGGGCCTACAGGCTACAGCTCGGCCATCTTCGGAGTCGGCGACGATTGTCCGATCTTTGACGGCCTCTTCGCCTTCTGCTCCACATACACCGGCGCATCCATCGACGCCGCACGCAAACTCTGCAACAAACAGTCCGACATCGCGATCAACTGGTCTGGCGGCCTCCACCATGCCAAAAAGGCCGAGGCGAGCGGTTTCTGCTACGTCAACGACATCGTGCTCGCCATCCTACAGCTGCTCCGCCACCACCCCCGCGTTCTGTACATCGACATCGACGTGCACCACGGCGACGGAGTCGAACAGGCCTTCTGGAGCACCGACCGGGTCATGTGTGTGTCGTTCCACAAATACGATAGAGAAGTATTTTTCCCCGGCACGGGGCCGCTCGAGTCCACGGGGCCCATCCACCCGGACAACCCGGGCAAGAACTACACCATTAACGTGCCGCTCAACGACGGCATCGACGACGAAGGCTACGCGTACCTGTTCCAGAACGTCATCGAGCCGACCGTCAAGACCTTCAACCCGACCGCGATCGTCCTCCAGTGCGGCGCCGACAGCCTCGGGCATGACAGACTCGGATGCTTCAACCTGAACATCCGCGGCCACGGCAGCTGCGTGAGCTTCGTCAAGAGTTTCGGCATCCCGATGCTCGTCGTCGGCGGCGGGGGGTACACGCCCCGGAACGTCGCGAGGGCGTGGGCCCACGAGACGTCGATCCTCATCGGCGCCGACAAGACGCTCAACCCCGAGTTGCCCGAGTTCATGCCCCACCGCGAGGCGTTCCGGAGGGAGGGCTTCACGCTCTTTCCGAACCTGAGCGCGTGGAAGAAGGAAAACATGAACTCGCGCGCCGATATCGAAAAGATCATCCGCCACGTGAGGGAGCAGCTGGCGTACATCCGCGGCGCCCCGAGCGTGCAGATGCACCACATCCCGCCCGACTTGCAGGGCTGGAGGGAAGAAGCCGAAGATGATCTGAGAGCCAAGAGGAACGAGAGGGACGAAGCCAGGGAAGACCGGGACGGCGCGGGGGGCCTGGTTGCGAAGGCGAGCAGGAGGAGAGAGCTAGAACGGAACGGTCCCTCTGCTGGAAACACATTTTTGTCCTGATGGGTCCAAAACTCATAAGTAGCCAGGGTGCTTGAGCATCTGGCTACACACGCGTCTTGTCCCGAGGTTCCCTTAGATAACCTGGTGTTATACAGTCACTGCCGCAACTGGCGTTCGGGGAAGTGGATATTGGGTCTCGCGGAGTAAACATCAGGTACATATGTACACGGGCAAAGGCTCGCATGCAATCTCTTCTGTTGTTGTCTTTCAAGTCATTTCTCTAGTTCTCTAGTGATCATTATTTCACCGCAAGGTTCAGGTGAAACCGAACTATCTCAGCTAAAGTACATTGTGGACAAGGTCGCTCAGTGAGCGAGGTAGGAAAGCTAGAGAGAACACATTCTCAGTATGCATAGCATGGTGGATGAGGGGGTATCGTTTTGATTTCGTGAATGTCCATCCCTAATTTCCAGGACCATTCAAAGACGCAGAGGCCACGGCTAGCCTCGTGTCATCCTGCCAGGGAACCGTTGTGGGAATAGGTGTGTAAACGCCGTCGCCATGCTGTGTAATAGAAGAAAGGAAAAACACACACCGAAGAACCACCTGGTCGTTGTGAACGTTTGGAACCGTGAACTGATATCATGTCGTCTTGTCGCCCACAGGTCTGACTAATCGTCGTCTAATTCGATCTCGATCTTGGACGACGCACGCTCGTTCTCTTTCTGCTTTCCTGCCGCGTCTATCTCTTTGTTCCTCGCCTTGTCTTTCGCAGGGTGTTTCGCTACGTCGGCCTCTCGATCGGCTTCCCGGACTTGGACATACCATTGATCAAAGTATTGGCACGTCACAACGTTGACCGGGCCACCGTCTCCGCAGATGTCGAACGCAGGGCATTGCATGCACGGTACTTCGCTGGTACCGCCACGCCCTACCTCCTCGAGCTCTGCTTTACGGTAAGCGGCTTTGCGAGTTCTTTCGTGACTGCTGGTCTTCCCGCCTTGGACAAAGTATTGGGCCCTCAGTTCTGCCGGCGTCTTGAACGATCGATACATGGCGACCTTGTTGGTAGAGACGTCATCGGGGAATTCGTCGCCTTGAGGAGAGCGGAGCATCTTTACCAAGACACCATCATAAACCATGACTTCGAGGAGCTGAGCGACCGCGTTTTGAGGAAGTATTGTCGTAATGTACTGTTTCTCGAGGATGTGTTTAGTGACCGTTCTCGCTGTCGGATAGTTCGTATAGCCGACATCAAAAGGCTGGTATTTGGAGGCTTTACCCTTTTGTCCCTCGGCTGTTTTGGCAGTCTTGCTTCCCTCGTCACCATGATCCTCAAAACTATCGGCTGGAGCCTTGCGTTTTTGACCTGGCGATGGGGGCTGATTCTCTAGCCCGTCTGGCTCGACAGTCGCCCAACTCTGGTTCGCGATATGCATTTCGACTGCCCGGGTCATGAATTGTAGCAGGCCTACATCGAGCTGACCGTCGGAAAACCACGCACCACCGGTGGCATCTTCCGAAGGTTCCAGCCCTGCCAGAATATACATCTTTCGTCCCGGATTCTTGACATGTTTCATGGGCTTGATCAAGCCTTTGGTTTCCAGTAGTTTGTAGACTCGTTCGAGAACTCTGGCGTGGAGCTGCGATCTCCATTTGATCGTCTTGGTCCATATTCCCGATGTGCCCGCTCCTTCAACAATCATCAGTACCATCTGCTCATCGCGGCTGAGGTTCTGGTAGCTAAAGAAACAAGTGTCAGAAACAATACGCAGCAACCCCGGAGGAATGCAGTATACTTTTGAGCTTTCTCTTGTGCAATCAATTCCCAACCTATGGTGCCACCTTGCCGATCATGTAATTTGAAGAGGTGGCTGACCACAAGATGTTGGACGGATGTGAGAAGGACATTGATGTCTCTGTTTGGGATAATGTTGCTTTGCAGCAATTCTTCCTGGGTGAAAACATAGCCGAAGTCATAGTTCTTGCGGCACCATTCGTAAAGAGAATCGGCGACACGGTTTCGTCCGCCTCTTATCAGAGAGGCCGGCGCCGGAGAGGCAGTGGATTTTGGAGGAGCCATTCTTGCGAGTATGGCGGACTAGGAATGCTACCGATGCGGGCAGGAATGGCAGAACATGGCGGTCGCGCACAGTGTCGACCAGGAGCTGGATCTGTTTTGTAAGTGTCACCGGAGCATGCTCGATGCGGGAGAGAAAATTTTCTTCGCGTTCAAGGGCGTTGGGATTCTGTGTGAATTAGAAAGACTTCACGCGATGCAAAAGAATATTCACGTCCCTGGAAATTTTGTCAGCGGAGGAGATGGTGGGGGGTGGGTAACCATCAATACGGAGTACGAGTCACAACAGTGGTGGCCACTAGGTATGTAGGCATCGATCTACGAAAGGTACAGAGTAAAAATACCTGCAACGGTGGACAGTAGGGAGCACTGCTAGAATTAAGATTGTTTACTGTAGCCCTCATCAGACACACCGTAGCAGGGCACTGAAGGAGTGCTCTCTGATCACTGCACCGTATGGCATGGACGCCTCTGTAGCTAGTATTCCAGTACCCTACTGTAAGTACCTTGTACCCCGGTCCCTCCATGGGTGGTCCGTGCACAGAATTTTCTAGCAAGGGCTTCCAGGTCGTGCTGCCCGCAGCCTGATCGTGTGGTGCATAAGGTGAGTGAGTCTACGGAGTGTTTCTCCAATTCAACTTGTTCTTCTATCCTACAGTCCACTTGACTTCAGAAGCAATCAGCAGGCGACTCGTTGAATTCTTTGCCCGGTATCGAACCTTGTTTCTTTTCCTCTCACACCTGACTACTGTCCTGTTGTAAACCTCAATCATGGCGGACGCCCTAAAGGCCGAGGGCAACAAGGCCTTCGCTGCCAAAGACTTCAACCTCGCAGTGTGAGTGTACTCGCGAGAGTCTTTTTACGTTGTGCCGAGCTAACGGTCAATACTTTAGTGAGAAGTTTTCACAAGCTATTGAACTAGACCCTTCCAACCATGTCCTCTATTCCAACCGTTCCGGTGCATACGCTTCCCTCAAGGATTACCAACATGCCCTGGAAGACGCAAACAAAACAACTGAGCTCAAGTCCGACTGGGCAAAGGGATGGGGACGTAAGGGTGCTGCCCAGCATGGACTCGGCGACCTCATTGGTGCGAAGGACGCCTACGAAGAGGCATTGAAGCTTGAGCCTACGAATGCGCAGGCCAAGTCTGGTCTTGAATCTGTCAACAGAGCCATCGAGGCCGAGGCACGAGCCGACGGTGCTGATATGGGCGGACTAGGTGGTCTAGGAAACATGTTTAATGACCCTCAACTGCTTCAGAAACTCGCCAGCAATCCCAAAACCGCTCCCTATCTAGCCGATCCTCAATTCATGAACAAATTGCAGCGTCTCGCTAAGAATCCTCAAGAGATGGGCCAAGAGCTTGGTGACCCCAGATTCCTACAGGTTATGGGCGTCCTGCTCGGCGTTGACATGCAGATGGGTATGCCACCGGAGGGGGCATCCGGGGCGGCTAATCCTACCGAAGCCGAAGAAGACGTTCCCATGCCAGATGCACGCCCTCAGTCGAATCCCTCTCCGCAGCCGAAGAAGGAGCCCGAGCCTGAACCCGAGCCCGAGCCCGAGGACGAAGATGCCATCGCCGCAAAGAAGGCGAAAGAGGAGGCTGAGAACGAGAAAAAGCTGGGTACCGAGAGTTACAAGAAGAGAAAGTTCGACGAGGCCATCTCCCATTACAGCAGGGCCTGGGAGCTGCACAAGGACATCACATATCTCACCAACCTTGGGGCTGCAAAGTTCGAGAAGGGTGACTACCAAGGCTGTATCGAGGCATGCGAAAAAGCCGTCGAAGAAGGTCGGCAAATGCTCGCAGATTTCAAGCTCATCGCAAAGGCATATGGTCGCATTGGTTCGGCTTACGAGAAGATGGGTGACCTGCCGAAAGCCATTGAGAACTATCAGAAATCCTTGACGGAGCACCGCACGCCAGACATTCTAGCCAAATTCAAGGCAGCTGAAAAGGCACAAATTCTGGCCGAGAAGAACGCTTATGTCGACCCAGAGAAGGCGGAAGAAGCCCGTCTGCTTGGTGCCGAGAAGTTCAAGAACGGTGACTGGCCAGGCGCAGTCGAAGCCTACACGGAACTGACCAAACGAGCGCCTGACGATCCGCGAGGGTATAGCAACCGTGCTGCTGCCCTCATCAAGCTGCTGGCCTTCCCGACCGCCATTCAAGATTGCGACGAGGCCATTAAACGAGATCCCAAATTCATCAAGGCGTACCTGAGAAAAGCTCAGGCACTTTTCGGCATGAAAGAGTACAACAAGTGCCTGGATGTATGTACCGAGGCCATGGAGCATGACGAGGGCGGCAAGAACGCTCGAGAAATCGAGGCTCAACAACAGAAAGCTCTGGAGGCAATGTATGCTGCTCGTGCCGGTGAAACAGAAGAGGAGACGAGCGCGAGGATTCAGCGAGACCCCGAAATCAGTAAGTTCACCAGCTCGCAGTTTGTTGTCCAAGCATGCTAACATATGCTGTAGTGCAAATTCTCTCTGATCCGGTCATGCAGTCAATCTTGCAACAAGCCAAGGGCGACCCCATGGCTCTGAACGAGCACATGAAGAACCCTGGTGTACGTGGCAAGATCCAGAAACTGATCGCTGCCGGAGTCATCCGAGTCGGACGATAGACGAGATATCCGGTTGTCGACAACTGGGTTCGGTCTCTAGCAATTGCTGTGCCTTTGAAGTGGCGAAGCTTTGACTTAATGGCGACAAAAATAGCCTGAAAGCAGTATCTTGTTTTTTCCTGGCCCCGGTATGGACGCCTTCAGCGACACATCTCTCCGTGCTTCTCGGATGGCGGATTTTCAATCCAGTTATTCTCAAGAAAAGTCATTTTGGCTTCGAGAAGTTTGACTGCTTTTTTTGCAAGGCCTTCATATTGTAACAAGAGAATGGACAGTCTGTATCAGCTGAGCTTCATCGCATATTCATTCCTATGTAGATGCGATCTTTCTCACTCTCCTTTATCAAGGTCGTGCGATTGACATTTATGATCGAGTGATATGTAGATTTTGCCACCTCCGAGCCCTGTCAAGCATGTGAAGTTGCTCATTCCCGGGCCCCTGGCGATGGCCTGGAGTCCAAGCAGAAACGCCACATTCCAGCTCCAAATTACTGACTATCTAAGTAAGTTCAGTTGTTTAGTTTGCCCAGGCCAGACTTCTGGGTCCGGGCGTCAACCCAAACACCCACCGTTCACCCAAGACCGGTGATCGTCTATTCAACATGGACTGAGCTCAGCACGGTGCCCCCAAACCGGTGATAGGCGGGCCTGGCCGTCTGTGCTGACACGCAGGATATACAGATGCATATCTGGGCGGCCCAACGGAGTCTGATAGGGATCCTCAGGCAACCATTAATTCACTTTGAGGACCGGGGGTGGAGTAGAAGTATTGTATGTCGCCATCCCACACCCTTCCACCTCCGGCCCAGGGGGGGAATCCTCCTTTCAACCTCTCTACCAATCCCACTCTGCCCAGCCCGCAGTCGAACTCACCGACACAATTGGCATGCGATGCCATGCATCCTGGAGATCTCTTCTATTGGTCTTTTCATTCTCGTGGCAGTCATCATCTGAGCTGCCAGTCTGGGGACATCTGACTCCAGACCGTATTGTCTGGAGGCTCTCGACAATATATGCTTCAATATTCTGTGGCCTGCCCGGTGTTCTTGCTTTCGTTGCTTTTCTCAGCGTCTTCTCCTGGCTGGTATCGGGGGACGGCCCACGACTTTGTTTAACATGGCGACCGCTACGGTGACCGACTTCATCACCAGGACAGTCAGTGCGACAAGTGCCACGAGCACCAGCACCAACAGAGCAACTCCTCAGGGTGGCGTCTTTGAGCATGTCAATCCGACGGTGTACGACCCCAAGAATCCCATCATCTTGTTCATCATCCAAGCCGCCATCGTCATCATCTTGACCCGTATCATTCACTTTCCGCTGGCATATCTTCGCCAGCCTCGTGTCATCGCGGAAGTCCTCACTGGAATTATCCTGGGCCCTTCCATCATGGGGAGGATTCCCGGTTTCACCGAACACATCTTTCCCACGCCGTCTATGCCTGCATTCTCTCTGGCTGCCAATCTGGGCCTGGTGTTGTTCCTGTTCCTGGTCGGCCTTGAAGTTGATCTACGCTTTCTCACGAGCAACTGGCGTGTTGCTTTAAGTGTTGGCGCTGCCGGAATGGCTTTACCTTTTGGCCTGGGTTGCGGCATCGCTTGGGGATTGTACCACGAATTCCGAAACGACCCCGGCCTGGCTCATATAAGTTTCGGCGTCTACATGCTTTTCATCGGTGTGGCTATGGCGATCACGGTATGTTATCATGACTGAAGATGGCACAGAGACTGGATCTAACATAGCCAGGCTTTCCCGGTGCTTTGCCGCATCTTGACTTCGCTCAAATTGCTGAGCACGCCTGTTGGCGTGATTGTGCTCTCTGCCGGAGTTGGCAACGACGTCGTAGGCTGGATCCTGCTTGCCCTATGTGTGGCTCTTGTGAACTCTGGGGCAGGACTCACTGCATTGTGGATTCTTCTCGTCTCTGTCGGATATTCCCTCTTCTTGATCTTCGGTGTCCGTCCATGCTTTATGTTCATGTTGAGAAAGACTGGCAGTCTTGCCAATGGTCCAACCCAGACTGTAGTTGCAGTGACTGTCCTTCTTGTCTTGGCTTCCGCATTTTTCACTGGCATCATCGGCATTCATCCCATCTTCGGTGCCTTCATGATCGGTCTCATGGCACCTCATGAGGGAGGATTCGCAGTCAAGTTGACTGAGAAACTGGAAGATCTCGTCAGTGTCCTCTTCCTGCCACTCTATTTCGCTCTCTCTGGCTTGAGCACCAATCTGGGCCTCCTCAACAACGGAATCACATGGGCATATGTGGTGGGAGTGTGCGCCGTCGCATGGTTTGGCAAGATTGCCGGTGGCACAATTGCCTCGCGCTTGAACGGATTGGTCTGGAGAGAATCCTTTACCATTGGCTGCCTAATGTCGTGCAAGGGGCTGGTCGAATTGATTGTGCTCAATATCGGATTTCAGGCAAAGATACTCAGCCAGCGTACCTTCACCATCTTCGTGGTCATGGCACTTGTCACCACTTTCGCCACGACTCCTTTGACCGTCTGGCTATATCCACCATGGTATCAGAGAAAGCTGGAACTCTGGAAACAAGGCAAGATAGATTGGGACGGCAACCCAATTCATCATGATGACGATGCGGATGAAGGCAACGAACCCGACCTCCTGCGCAAAACGGACGTGGCGAAGCGGATTTTGGTATACCTCCGTCTGGACGGCCTTCCTAGCCTCTTCACCATGGTGAACATGTTTGCCCACAAGCATGACGAATTGTACAATCAAAACCCACCAGCCACAACCGAAGGCAACCGGGGATATGGAGATGTGGTGAAAAATGCCGAAGCTTTGGCGTCTGTCGCTACCCTCCGTCGGCCCCTGCAGATTCACGGAATCCGCCTGATGGAGTTGACTGAGCGAGAGTCGAGCGTGATGCGCGTCTCTGAGATTGAGGAATTTGCGGGTCGCGACCCCATCATCAAGGCCTTCGGCACCTTTGGGCAATCCCGAGCGCTCGCCGTTGCAGGCCAAATCGCCGTCGTACCCGAGCATTCGTTCTCGGGCACTTTGATGTCTCGTGCGACGGAACTCAGGTCTGATTTGGTCCTGGTTCCCTGGTCTGAGACAGGCACCATGTCCGAATACCCAAGCCTCTATGACAAAGAACCGTGTAATCCGCTGGCGAATCGCACTTTTGCCGCCTTTGCAGCGGAAATGTTTGACAAGGCTCGAGTAACTTGCTCTGTGGGCGTGTTGCTTGACAAGACAGTGCTCTGCCACCCTGCTCTAGCCGATGCGGAACCAATGTCGCCAGGAGTCGATCGCCTGACTCGCCACCTGAGCCGCACGGCCACCGGTGTCAGCACCATAGATCAGACCAATTCGACGGTGCACTTCAGGCAGCTTCACGGTGACCTGGGCAGGTACAGGTTGTTGGTCGTCTACGGCGGTAAATCCGAAGATGATTTATTCGCCGTGAAATTCGGGCTGCAACTTGTGAAGAACGAGACGGTCGACTTGAAGGTTCTTGTTCTACCTGCCGTTGCTGCTGGGGATGATGAAATCGAGATTGGTGACCGCGGCCAGGAACAGATCAGGCATCATCTGGCGTATGAGCTCGAAACCCTTCGCACAAGCGTACCGGACTCGTTGAGCGACAGGGTTACTTTTGTCGATCTCCCAATGGGCATTTCGAACCTCGAAGCCGTCACTTCTGCCATCGCCGAACCCAGTTCTGCAGAAACCATTGTCATTTTCGGCCGAAACGCGAGCGAGCAATCTACGGGACGCGAGGATTCGCGCGTCTTGGGCGCCATGGCTACGAACCTGGTGCGTTTCATCCGCGAGAAGACTGTCAGTGTTGGACTGCTTGTCATGCAGGCGAGAAGGGAACCTGAAGGGTCCGCAGCGGCGGGCGTCGCTGGAGGGAAAGGGATGCAGCAGCTTACCAAAAAGGCCAGTATCATGAGCGATGATTAGGTATCCAACGGCGTTTACTTGGCTCATAGCGTGGTAATATCATTGTCACTGTCACATCTTTTCCACTTTTATCCACGAAAAGATCCCAATGTTGGTATGGGGTAACCTGAGTACGCCCTCGCGTCCTACATGCTACCGTAGTTCTACAAATTGAAGACGACTTAACATCACCTACTGGGTACCCGACTTTATAAGTACTGTACCAACCAGCAGGACATAGAAATAAGTGCATACTATTCGCAATTGTCTATCTCTTTATCACTCATGCTCTCTTTTAACCACCTGTAGCCCGGGACTGGCACAGTCACCCTGACCGACCTTGCAAACTTCCACGAGAGAACTCAGGGTGTCTCTTCTTAAGTACCCTCTCCCATCATGACAGACAGGCACCGGCTTGTACTGACCCGCGAAATGGAGGCATCCACAGTGATATGGAGAACGACCACAACCGGACATGGGCAGATCGATGGATCAAAACAAGACGACCGACCTGGCTACCCAAACTTTCGTCAAGGATCACGTTTTCATGAGTAGTGCGGTCCGTTGCAGGAACTATATAGAAAAAAAAAACTTGAAGACATGTGCGTGAGACAAAAACCCCCCGAGGCAGAGACAAGGCGGTGTTACGGGGTAATTGATGTTACGCCTAAACTCCCACCCCTGCATTACGCACAGCACCTAATCGAGTAATTGCGCAAGGCTGTGCGAGGCTGCGAGCTAATTCGACGTGTTCACTGGTCGCTGGTCATCAACACTCCCCTCTTGACTTCTGGTTAGGGAGAACGTCTAGGGGAGCGCTTCTCACAGGTTGCTTCTAGTTAAGGTGAAGGCCCAGGAGGACACCTTCTCTCAGGTTGCTTCTAGTTCGGGAGAACGCCTAGAGGAATATTTCTTGCTGGTTACTTTTGGCCGAGGAGAAGGTCTAGGAGACCACCTCTAAAAGATTACCCTCTCACAGATCGTATTGTTGTTACCAGGGTATCCAACATCTTAAGATGTAGGTATGTTTGAATCTCACATTCTCTTGCCAATCTTGGCCCAGATTCTGACAGATCAATACTCTACAAAACTACTCATCATCCAGGCAGCGGCAAAGCAGGAAATCTATCGTATAAGAGATACAGCCTAGGAAGGCATGAAGCATTGAAGAAATATTGGCTGACATTGTGGATTACTTGTTTATATATATGTTCGGTAACCACGATGGAAACCCAAGCAGCTCTATAACCGAGACAACGCCCGCTGAAATTTCTAAACAGCGTATATCGTTAGTTTTAAAATTGCTGTCGTGCAATATCACCAGTATACATATAAAAAGAATGAGGCGCTAAAACTCCTGGGCTTCGCCTTTGGTTTGGTAATGGCAAACACTGAGGTCCACCAACGACCAATGACTCCAGCGTACCGGTGCCCCGTTTTACGGCAGAAATCGTACAAGATATTGTGAAAACAGAGATTCGAAAACAGAATCCTGTCTGGTTAACAATTGGCACCAATATCATCGGGTGCGCTTTGACTTGTGCGCTAGGGGGCTGGCCATGGGGAAGGCTGCAGAAGACCGAAATGACCCATGGCCCTGGTGTACGGGCGTCTGAACACAGAAGGCACACATATAGACCTCTTGAATTCGTCGGCCATCAATTCCGACGCATGTGGTATGAAGCCACTTGTAACATGAGTCACTAAAAGGGACATGCTGTTAGAAAACGAGGTTATGAATCAAAGAAAAGTTGCGCTGGTCCATCAAGTCCAGGGCCAAATGGACTGGCATGACTTACCATTGAACCATCGGCACGGAGCTGTCGAGTACCGAAGAGTTGCAAACACATCTTGTACTCATATTACTAGCGAGACTATCCCTATCAGTGCTTGGCGTGGCAAGCTCGGGATCCGCGACTGTAGTAGGTGATGCACCATAGGCTCCGTAGTGGCTTTGTTGTAAGGGCGGTGAAGAATGCAGCTGTGGCATGAGGTTCAGCCCTTGCGACGACATTGACCGAGAGCGGTCTTCAAGTATGGCTCTTAGCGCGTGCTGAGCATTGCCATGGGGTCGATCTTCCATCAAGATGTCCATTTCAGCGGTGCCTGGAAGAGGACGTTTCCGCCGAGCATGTTGACCGTCAGAACTCCTCGTGTTAGAGGCAGAACTATGCCACGAAGACTGTTTGGCGGAATTAGTCGAAGCGACAGTAGAACGAGAGTCGGTTTTGGTATGACTATATGACCTGTTGAATTGGTCGTACGCTTCTCCAGACTCTGGAAAAGCAAAAGAACTGATCTTGCTGTGGAGGATGTGAAGATCTGTCCCGTCGAATGATTCAGCGTCGCTTTCAGACAACACATCTGAATCCGTCCCGCAGCTGCGATCAGTGACTATTGTTTTGGCAACACCATTCTCGTCAATGGCGAGCGACATTGAGGCTCGTCTTGCAATCTGACTGGCAGTGAGCGTACGTTGAATAGGGTCTGCCACTTGTTTCAGAGGCGATGACCTTCCGGGACGATGTTGCTTCACAGGGTCCGGAGGTGCTGGTGAACGACGCGCGACGAACGTGGACGATGGCTGGAGCTTTAAAGATCGATCTCCACGAACTCCAGTATGGGTCAGGCTTCTTTTCAAGCCTGGTCGACTTTCCTTCTTGGGCGAAACTGGACGCTTTAATGCCTCCATGACCGATCGGGTGATAGAGGGCTGTTTAACGTCGCTTCTCCGCCGTTTCAACTCTTGCTCACGCCGAGACTCCTCGAGCTGATGAGCATATGCCGGCCTTTCCGGGACGGGATTGTGCATGAAACGATTGGTTGTCTGATCCGCGGCACCGAACCTGCGGGCTGGCGAGCTTAAGAACATACTGGGGTTCTCGATCTGTGGGGGAAGTACCCGAGGCGATGTTGTGAAAGGGGCGGGATACGCAGAAGCCCCAAAATGAGAATAGCTCGACGATCTTTGAAGCATCGGTAAGTCATATGGTTGGGCTTCGGATATAGGAAAGGACAGCTGAGGAGTATAACTTGGTACGATCGTCGAAGAAGATGCGAACGATGTGCTCATACTCGCAGGACTGAATTGAAAATGATCCTGGTACTGCTGAGGTAGGTTTGATTCGTCAAAGTTAATGCTAGCAGGATCCCAGAACAGTCTCTGGTTGGGATACGCTGGTGCCGTGGCTGGTCCCGAGAACTGATGGGCATACATCTCGGGAGAGACCTGAAGACTGGGGAACAGACTGGGAGACTGTTGTATGACTCTGCTTGGTGTTTCTGGCGGTCCCATGAGGGGCCGCTGGTGTGAGGCCATCATGTATCTTTTGTCAGGTCCTTTGACCAGGACAAGGTCAACATACAACTCTTAGTAGCGGCGAGCCGGTAAGAGATGCTGCAGCCTCTGCGGACCGTTTGTTGCCCCTGTCCGAAAGATGCCTCTGTCGAACGGTTTGGATGGTACAATTCAGAGCAAACAAACGCAAGCAACCGATGCATGGAATATTGATTCGGGTTCAAGGTCGTTATCTTGAGTCTTGTCTTCCGTATCAGGAGAAAGTGTCACCACAAGCACCCCCCACACTCCTTCCTCCTTCCCAGTGTCTGACTGACCTCCTCTTGTTGGTTTGATGTTCAGTTCGGAGGGATCGATGGTATGTATCGTGAGGAAAAAAGAAATTCGTCTCGGTCGTCTCGATCTTGAAGCACACCCGGACTCGTGCAATGCCTCACCTCGACCGATAATGTCTGGACTCGTCAGCAAAGTGCCACCGGTAGACATAGCAACAAAATAATTTTTGCTTCTGGGAGTTCTGAACGAATATTGAAGTAGGGTCCACTATACCTGTCCCACTAGAAGAAGTGACAGCATCTAATTCCACCAGCGTACGCTCCGACCAGCAAGCTCGATGCCGTTCGCTGCAGCGAGGACGAAGAATCAAGGTTGACTTCGCTTCCGCTTGACACTCAGAGTCCGTCTCTGGGCACAGCCAATCCTCGGTTCGTGCTGTGTCTGTCAGTTCAAACGAGGTCCGTTCTTCAGCAATGGAATGCTGCAGGGGTGACAACAACGCTGTCAGAAGGCTCGAGGAAGAGTGCGTTCTCCAAGCTTTCAGTGATCCCGTCTCCTTGATACATGTGCAGTCATCTTGACCTTTCTAGCTGGCCAAGAGCACGATCGAACTGCCTAGACAGGATTGAGATGATATCTGCAGGGCTGTAGGGGGGAAGGTTTAAGTGCTCGCATGGGTAGCCTGACTTTCTGACATGCACCCGAGACGGCTACCAGGGACAGGGCATCAGTAGGTTCGATAGGCTTCGCGGTGGAGGTGATTTTACGAAAAGAAAGGCGGCATATTCCCGGGGTGAGCGACTCGGTTGAGAGAGCATGTAATGATGGCATTGCAGTTATTGGGCACGCGAGGGGGAGGAAGCACCAAAGCAGGCAGCAAGTGGTCAATCGATTGCTCCGTAACGACCGATGGTGGAGTTGAACAGACTTCCGAGGCTTCGGCCTCTTCTACAAGCTGCCTCTGAGAACGCCCAGTGAGCCGAGTGCATTCGTGGGTGGCCAGGCACAAGCTCCAGCTTACGGAGTAATAATACGAGTAGTGCCTCTCCATGTGCCTGACAGCGAGGTTCCTCCTACATACTAGTAGTGACCTAGCGACCTTGGAAGTTGGGAGACACATCGTAGTCAATATGTCAGGCACAAGCCCAGCGCAGGCACAGGCGCAGGCACAAAGCACCAGCTGTCAATGAACTGCACCGTCTGGACCGCCAACAACCGTCTTCTCCGCCTTTGCAAGACATGGTCGAACTCTCTGACACACTTACGCGTGTCCAATGCTCGCCAGAAATCTCCCAACTTCCTATCCCGGCCGTCTCGTCCTAATCCATCCATCTCTTGCCCACTGCACTGGCCCTGAACAGCTTTATCTCTTAATTTCGCACGTTGTGGGGTGCTCACGGTTAGGCCGATCTCAGACTCTCCAGGCTATCGATATGCCCATCACTCCCCGAGTTGTCGACTGGGCAGTCCCCTAAGCGATCTATGGAAGCCTCTTCCGTGTAAGAAATCGGGGTCCTTCCACTTCGAAGCAGTGTCACTGCCACTTTTAACAGCTCCATCACCAGGCCGACATGCTTGGAATACAGAAAGGAAAGCGAAGTCATAGCACTTCTGATCACGCCACGGAGCATTGGGACTGTATCGGAAAACGGCACCAGACGGCACACAAGTTCTTCAGGCACATGAAAATTGTCCGTCCCGCATGCGAATTCGTCTCCAAGATTGGCGAGTCCAGATCCACAGCCATACCACATCAAAAGGCCCATGGCTTGTTCAGGACTCGGAGCGGCTTGGATTTGACTGGGGTCAACGACGAGGAAGTTGGCATGCCCGGCCCTGACTACACCTTCGAGACTAGCTGGGCCTCAACATTCTCCACGTTCCCCTCGACAGCAGCTGGCTTTCGTCAAGTTCGTCTGGCAAGCACGGCAGATGTAGACCCCAGTCTCTGGAGCATATTTCGATTTTATGGAGCGACTACCCGCAGCATGGCTGTTGAGAACACGCAAAGTGGCCACCATCTCGTACATTTCCCGTAAGCATGATCGAGTTTGACGACGGGTCAGGGGTTTGTGCAGGGGATTGATTGCTTTTGTGACATGTAGGATCGGCTCTTTAAGTTCTGATCTGTTGCCCTGCCATCAAGCCATCGCCTGTTACCCTTGAAGTCGTACTCTTGTGCAAAATAGAGCCTGCGTCATTGATCATCCCCATCTTCACCATCTTCATCTATCGGTTCGACAATCAAGTTGGCGCCCCTGCCAACGCGCTCCCCAATTGACCCTCCTGTTCCCAATTCATATACTGTCCTGGGCATGGGCGAGACCAACCGGAAGGAATATACGTGATCATAATGATCTGGCTCAACCACGTCGCTCTGAACGTGCCCAGATTCTCTGCTCTTGACTATGTCATAACAATCGACAAATGCATAGAGTTCATCAAGATCAGCGTCGGGCCGAAACTTGCGAATCACTCGTTCACCAGATGGCATACGTACACTGACTCTGATGGCATCTTTAGCATCGATACCAGGTTCGTCCGGCAATGACTGTGCACGCCACTGCTTCCACTGAGCAATCTTTTCCTTTCTTTCTTCGATTAGTCTCAATCGTTCCTGTGCCTCCTGCTCTGCTCGAGCTGCCGCTTCTTCTTGTTCCCGCCTTAGGCGTGCTCTCTCACGATCTTGGGCTAGCGAGCGTTCGTATGCAGAGTCCTGCTCCTGTCGTAGACTACGTGAAGCTTCTTGCTCAGCCCGCTGAGCACGAGTCGCCCCGAGCTGCGCCTGATGCGTAGTCAAAGCCGCTCCCAACTTGGCAACAAGCTCGGAAGCAGACATCAGCCCAGCTGCGCGCATCACCACAGTCATGGCAGATGAACCAGACTCAGTGGTCTGGCAAACTAAGGCGGCAAAAGGGAATTTCGTGCATTGAAGATTTGCAGACACCTGGTATGCTTCTGAGTCTCGAACATTCCCACCCCAGAGGACAAGTTCATTTTTATGTGAATCCAGGAATGATTTCATCTGGGTTGACATCAAAGTTTCCTGCACCCAATTGTGGTTCTCGTCGTGACTAGGAGAGAGCAACACCACCAGTAGAAACTTCGAATCTTTCTTTACGTTGTCCAGGGTCAAATTGAATCCCGACTCTTGGAACGGAAGGCTGTTCTCTCCATATTCTTCGCTGAATTCACGAATGAACCGTCTTGCGTTTTCAGCGGGGGGTAAGGCTCTTCGGGCTGGTCTCGACTGCTGTTGAACTAGACGGTTGAATATGCGTGACAAAGAGGTAGGAACTAGGAAGCCCAAGGGAGAGAATAATGTGGTGAAAACCCGGTAAAGTATGTTGACCGGAGTGAAGATGATTGAAAACAAGAAAGACGGACGGTACTGTGTCTCGATGGCCGCGCTCGTGTCGACTCGCTGAACGACATCTTCCGGGCTCGGTCGCGAGACAGGAGGCCTCGTCGCGGCCAGCAGAGACTCGTACCGCAGGTTCGAGGTGTGTCGAGCGGTAGCAGCAGGAAGAGCAGCCTGTGCTTCGGCAACCGGATCAACCGCCGGTTCTCCATCGAAGAAGCGAGCGATGGCTATCTGTACATTCCACTCGCATCTCTGCAGAAGCGGTATCGCCGCGATAGGGTCTTGATCTGTCACGGAAGTATATGTTTGTAAAGCCTCCTGCTGTGCAGAGTCCAACTGCGAGATATCTGGGGTCGACATTTCGAGGAAAGCTCGGGAACCAGTCGTGAGAATCAAGGAAGGAGAATGTGCGTTATCGGAGGGACATCTCGCCAAATGCAATCCTAGTAGGCTGACCAGAGATATTTGGGACCCGATGAGTAGCAACGGGATCAGTGTCGTGTTAAAACAAAAGGGCTGATCCACATAGCGACGTCAGGCTCATCAAGTCTTAGCAGATACCTTCTACAATACGGGTATAGATGGGCGCGAGGCACCCAGAAGATGGCAGAAGAGCCTGCGCCATCTACGTGGACCCTACCCCTTCCCCATCACTCGTACCATACACCTGCTAGTCCGATATCCGTGCCGTCTTCTGTATTCCGCCCATCTTATATCATCTCTTTGAATCTGATCTGCTATGCGTTGATTTCACCCAAGGCGATCACTGCTGCTCGAGCCTACATCTACAACAGCGTCGGCGGCCGCGTTATCATATTCTTGCGACCATTTTTCTTTTGGATATCATCGATTGCTCGCTCGGCATATGCATTCCTTCGCTTGTTATTACTTAGTAACATCGACCCTTGACTCGACTTAGTCGTCCCCCAGATCCTCCGACACTCACCGGGTGTACGATGCGTTAAATGCATACCCAAAGCGACAGCTCTGCTCGGAAGCTAATGGGGCTTGGTGCCATGTGCGAGAAGTTTTCCTAAACGACTATGGCTACTGCACTCAAGAACAATGTCGAAGATACAAAGCAGCCCGCTTCGTCTCCTCGGCTCAAGAGTCGAGGTATGCTGAACCCATCTGCCACTGCTATACCTAGGGGCATTAGCCAAGAGATAGGACTGGCGCTGATACATGGCACGTGGTAGAAAATGCAAAAGATACGCTGTGCCGCAATGTTACAATCTATGGCAAATGCCGCTACGAAGACAAAGGTGGGACAAAGCGTGGTGTATACTCGGTCTGAGGGCTTCTATGCTCACGCTGTATAGGATGCGCCTTTAGTCATAACATAGACAAGCAAGCGGTGGATAGCGGACACAATGAGAGGTGCACCTGTCTTTACCAAAATCGAGTTTGCTTGCTAACATTGCAATGCAGCCAACCGAAGAAGTCCTTAAACGTGGAATCACCCAGCTTTACGCCCTCATTCTTGTCCCCAAATGGTACCAGTGCAAGCGTTAAGAAGGCTCCTGGAATCTCTCCCAAGGCGGCAAGCGCTGCCCCCTTCATGCCGAAAGCCATCATTTCTCGTGAGACTATCCAGATGCCTTCCCACTTCCTAAACTGCCAGGGATTGACGAGCGATGCCAGGTTCCTCCAATGCTACTCCTCTACGTCAAGAAGCAAGGACTCCAGACTGGGCGGTGGCTAATGTGCAAGAATTCGTACCCCGTGCCACTCCAGATCAACACATGGTGAGCTCCCGTTCTCCCTGCCAGGCATCACCACCTCTATCCGTTTGTACCAGTACTGAACCCACTCTTAGGCAAACGAAAATGAGATCCCTGTCACCCAGGCATTTGACTCCTTCCAACCTACGAATGCATCTAATCCCTATCTCGATCCTAGCATAAATGGAGCAGCTTTCTATTCTGGGGGCCCTGAGTTCCAGCAACCCGTGAGTATATGACTCTCAGACAAAGTACGGCGCGGCTCACGCTTCAAGGTACAATATCACCAATATGCGCCTATCGGGCCGTTCAGCGCAAATCTCGCTCCCTATCAACGTACCGTACATGATCTATTTATCCCTAACGACCTACGGGAGGAAATCCAAAAGAAAGCCGCTGCAACTCTTCAGACGATGCCGGGTACGAATAGCATCGCCATTCCAGATTCTTGGTCTGACACCATCTAGGTTCGACACTGCCAAGCCAGATTGAAAACTACCATTCGTTGGTGCCTCTTGACGCCAACCACAAAAGTTCCTCTGTCCTTGGAAACTACAACTCGTGGATTTATAAAGCCCAGTCGAACGCGAATGGCCATTTTTTTGTTTTAAGAAGGATAGAAGGTACAGGCTGAACGTGGACCTGAGCGTAAAGAGGCTGACATGCTTTAGGGTTCCGCCTGACCAACGAAATGGCCATTCGAGCTGGTCAGGCATGGAAGAATGTGATCAGTCCCAACATCGTACGGACCGTTGATGTTTTCACCAACCGCGGATTTGGTGACAGCTCTCTCTTTTTTGCGATGGATTATCATCCCCTCGCCAAAACGTTGCTGGAATATCATCATATAGGCCCACCAGGCCCAAACTGGACACGATCCACACGAACCAGCAAAGATCATGTCACCGAAGCAGTCTTGTGGAGTTACGTTGTTCAGATTGCGTCGGCCCTGAAAACCATTCATGCAAGCGATCTTGCGGCTCGCGTGCTCGACCCGAGCAAAGTTTTGGTCACGGGGAAGAACCGAGTTCGACTCAATGGATGTGGCATCTTGGATGTGGTGCAGTACGACGGTGGCGCAATGCCTGTTGCGCAGTTGCAGAGGCAAGACCTTGTCAACTTCGCCCTTTTAATTCTTTCGGTTGGCTCTGGGTATCCAGATGCGGGCGCCAATTTTGTCCGTAGTATGGACATTTTCAAACGCTTCTACAAGCCTGACTTGCAAAATGCTGTCGTTTGGCTCTACTCAGCAGTCCAGAATCAGGAGAAGACAATTGACCAATTTCTCACCCTCATCTCCAACCAGATGGTGAAAGCATTCGACGCCTCTCTCCATGGGGATGATGCATTATACTCAGAATTGGCACGGGAGGTGGAAAATGCACGGCTGGTGCGACTAATGGCCAAACTCAATTTCATCAATGAGCGACCTGAATTCGAACACGACCGCACCTGGTCCGAAAACGGAGAGCGGTATTTTCTGAAGTTGTTCCGGGACTATGTCTTCCATCAGGTGGATAGTCAAGGCCGGCCCGTAGTCGACCTCGGCCATGTGTTGACCTGCTTGAACAAACTAGACGCAGGCACAGAAGAAAAGATTACTCTGATCAGTCGTGATGAACAGAGTTGTTTTGTGGTCACGTACCGCGAGGTGAAGAAGGGAATCGAATCAGCATTTCAAGACTTGGTGAAGAGGGGTGGTCCGATGCGTTAGATGTGTGGTTAGGTATATGTGAGAAGCAGGAAACACGAATGCGACTTGTCGGGACAAGGAATGATCTGATGTTTGGTAGTTTGGTTGAAGCATGCGGAACTGCTACTGTTTACAAGGCTGGCCTTTTCTGGCCCTTTCTGGCCATTGAGAAAATCCATGTTCTGACCCGGTTGAATATTGAGCCCAGATAGAGAGAGCAAAACAAAAAAAATCGGAATCTCCCTTGCACCGGAATTTCACTTTATCCAAGGCAGTCATGATTCGATGCTCAATGGCACAAGATTTGCTCCGTCAGGTGCTTGCCTGTCTGTCGCTCAGTATGACCAGCAAACTTCTCCTGTGGCTCAACTGTTGAATACCCGTCGTATGCGTGAAGTCGGGCTTTGAGGTAGTCTGGTCGTCATTTACACATCACGGTTACAATGGTGACTCCCCCTAGTCTTCGGCGGGTAGTTGAAAAGGGTTCTCAATCTCTTCGCTACCGTCAAGAGGTGAAATCATAACGAGAAGGGTGCCTCTCGCCACAATCAACCCTAAAGATCGCGTGGTCTCATTGCCTTCGTCGTCTAGAGTACACGTTGGTCAACAGCTCCGACAGGGAAACGTTCAGCACAGCTCACCTCTCATCGTTTCCTTGACATCATCCAACACGAGATTCATGAGTTGGTCGTAGCCCTTGAGGGTGCCAATAACTGTGTTCACAGATGAGCTAATTGGTCATCGGATCAAGGGGGTAAGGCACATACTCTCTCGACCGCCGTTGAATTTGACGGTGATCTCTTTGTCGATGTACTTGGTCAGATCGAGGATGTTCTCCTTCTTTGGCTTTTCATGGGGCTGATTGGTCTGTTGTGAGGAACCGCCTCCTCGTCCCCCTCCGCCACCCCGGCCACCGCGACCTCCGCCGGCTCCTCGAGCACCACCACGAAAATGACCTCTTTCGGACATTGCTTTGCGTGGCAGGGCCGCTGGTCAGGTGATGTGACTGGAGGTTGATATGATGGGAAAAAGGCCAGTAAAAACTAGTGTGAAAGTCGGGAAACTTTCCGGAATCCGGACAAGTGAGAGCCGCGGAAAGATTTGGCTAGCAAGGCAGAGTTGGTGGTGTCGCACTTTGGGCTCTGGGCGGGCAGAGATTGGCGGGCAGGGAGACGGGAGGTTGTGTCACGGTGTCAAGGCGCGGGCGCCTTGCTTGCGTGTGGCCTAGAACTCGCTCTCTCAAAGTGGCTGACACGCGAGAAGGGTGCTGAATTTAGGATGGTCAGTGGCCACGCTGTTTTGCACGATTTTCCGCCGGGGGACACAGTGCCGTCTCGCGGACTAGTGAGGCTGCTGATTGGGCGGAGCGGCTGCTCTCCTTGTCTCTCCACCCACCACTCATTCCACACAATCAACCACCCGCCGACCAGGAGCTGCGACGACGAGCACACAACACGGACACGCACGGCAAGGGGGGCCTCTGTACAGAGACCAACTAAAACAGAGCCTCTACGCGAGCAAGAGTGGACGGAGGTTAGGACGGACCGTCTTCTGGACAACGTTGTCAGTCCCCCAGGTAGGTCATGGACCGAATAAGACCTCACCGTCCCTTCCGCCAGACTGCATGTCTAGGTTGTTTCAGAGACATCGGGGCCGGGGAAGAGAAACTCGTTCACCGGCAGGGTGCACTGTATACGCCCCAACGGACGAGGAGAAAGGCTCCCCTAGGGTACGAGTGCTCAACTGGTCTGATCTCGATCGGGTGCAGCAAGTCACAAAATCCGCGTCCCGCTCGACTGTCGTTCGTCAAGTCTCCCGGAGCGACTACTGTAGTCTGTAGACTCCGCGACTCGGACGAGTCTTAGGTGCTTCCGACGCTGGTGCGCCCTCCGCACCCTCGCCCGAGAGCCTGACTCTGCCCTGGTTCCAGGCCTATGATTAGTTGGACGCCTCCCGAGCTATAACCAACACGGCCACGTCCCAGCGTGCCATTTCGGCCCTTCACACCTGCCGTTCGAGCTTCATCCTGTGCCTGCACCTGCACTTGCACCTTCACCTGCGCCCGCGCCCTCCCCGTCTCGCCCGTTTTCTCTCCTCCTCTGCTCTCAATTCACAAGCTGTGGCCCTTGTGGACTTGTGATACTGTCTCTGGACAGAAAACACGTCTCGCCTCGGGTGCTCTTGAAACCACCCGCTTAATTGTCCTTTCCCACTCCGCCTGTCCATCATTGACTGGAGACCTCACCCGCCTCGGCGTAGCCGCACGCAAACTGCAATAGCTATCCGAGCTCCCTCCGCCTGCGTCGTCTGCCTCGCACCAGCTCGGCCTCACTGAGCACACCTCTTCTAATACCTCCGCTACAGGCGCTGCAGCTTCGACATAGTTCTACCCGTCGAGGGTTCAACTATACGGAGCTGATCCAGCAACCCCTCCTCGTCGCTCTCCTCCGCCGCACCTCTACAAAAGAGAGAGTTCCGCAACTTACCTAAGCACCACCGCCCGCCCGAGGGCAGCACAGCGCCTCGGGCCCTCCCCTCTGGAACCTGCTTCATGTCGACAGCATGGAACAATCTCCGGCGATGACCTCCTCCGAGCAATCTTCTTCTCTCAAGCGGCCTCGCTCACCAACTGAACTACACCCTCACCCCGCCGCCAAAGTCCAACGCACCGCCACCAACCACTTGCAGATCAACTACCTAGCCCGGCAGCACAAGGAAACGATCCCCCTGGTCACGGTGAATGACAAACTCCCAGAGATAGCACGTCTTTTGAACGAGTACGATGGAGTTATACAACGCCATGAGAGCATGGCGGGAAATCTGGGAGCATGCCCACTGGGGCCTATTCTGCTCAAGCGGTTTGAAAGACTCTTCGAGGGACCGCCGCGGGTTCTCAAGTCCCACGGCAGAGACAACAGTGTCAGCTGGCTAGACGTGGTCGAGTTCGCTCAGAACAATCCTAAGCAGTTTAACCTGGAAAGAATGCGCAATGGGATTAGGGTTTGTCAGTTTTACACCAAGCAGTGCCGGGTCGAGATTTCAGAGGAAGATTATGTGCTTATCGCAAGCGGCATGCCTCAAAAACTCATACCTCCCCAGCCCATCTTGGAAGACGAAGAGAAGGAGTTGGGGGTGATGGATCTCTTGGACAGAAACATTGGCCAGATCATCCATCTTGCTGACCAAGGTAAGCACATAGTTGATGACTTGTACGGCTGGATGCTAATTGCCGCGCAGTGTCTGGCCGGGCTCGCCAGCTGATCCATAAGATGAAGAATCGGCGTAATGCCATCCTGAGTAGACGTGAGCAGGAAGCTGAGAACGTCAAGAGAAATGCTGTCAGGGCCGATGGCTCACCCATGTCAATGGTCGACACCAATGGCACAGGCAATCCACAGCCGGTGAGAAGCATCGAAGTGTCTCAGTCTCCTCCAGTGGGCTTCACTGCTGTCAATTTGAAGCCGTCTGGTGGCAGCGAAGGAACTCCACGCGCGTCATTATCTGGAGAGACTGCACGGAATGCTCCCGACGATATATATGCTTCCAACGTCACCATCATCAACGGCAAGTCTATCAAGGACGCTTCGCCGTCGGTGCGAGCGGAGCTTATGAAAAACTTTCTCACCCCGGGCGAGCGAGAAGTCGCTGTTCCAGAGGATGCGAACCGACGGGCCTCGGTGGGAACATCTAGAGCCAATGCTGCACCGGAAGGGTCTACTGAGAAGGCGCGTTCTGGGTCGATGGACATGGCAGGAGGCGGGAAACAAAACCAGTCTACTGTGGCCATCCCAAGCACTCCCGCCTCGCTCATGCCTCATTCAAAGCCTTCGACGATGGACCGCGATGATGGAGGGCCGTTCAAGGCTGAAATGGTTCGAAGGATGGACAATATGTGGAAAGGTGATCGAGTGATTCCTCCTTGTGACCGTTGTCGGCGTCTCCACATGGATTGCTTGAAGAACCTTACGGCGTGCATGGGCTGTACTAAGAAGCATGCCAAGTGCTCCTGGAAGGAGGTCAGGGCTGAAGAGTTGCACCTGTTTGCGCCGTCAGGAGATCGCAGTGTCGAAGGAGGAACGGGTCTGGCGGCATTGGAGATACAACCACCCTTGTCTGCAGGCTCAACTATTGAAGTAAACAGACCATCCGAGGATCTGGTAAGATCTGCCAGTATTGCAAGGGCATCATTGGACCTGACTGAGGATCGTCCCGACACGCCTAGCAAAGAAGAGGGTGAACCGAAGAGGTCAAGTGAGCCTGCCCCGGGCAACCATTCCTCGGGACGTTTAGATGTACGACCTCCTCCTCTTGTGCAACAATTGCAAGACGCAGCCAAGGAACGTTCGGAATCAAGTACGTTCGGCGCGGTGTTGTCACCACGTGAGAGGGATCTCGAAAGAGATGATGACGACGATGAAGGGGATCGACTGCAGGCACTTGCTTCCCGAGTTTATCGGACAGCATCACAGAGTGGTCACCGGTCATGACAATTGATGATGGGGCCGAGGCCATCTTCCCACCTCGGTGGGAATCTTGGAAGGCTTGAAGACTTGGCTCGACTTGACTTGACTTGAGATCTGCCATGGATAGATATACCTGAGGATGCCTCCGGGTGATGGCGAGGAGAAGATAAAACGGTCATGACTTGTGGGATTCTATGGTCAAGCGACGGCATGCAAGTTGGCGTTGGGAACGGCATGAAAGAATTGAACATTTGCTTTGTGAGTAGAAAAAGTGAGTTGAGAAAGCCACAGTTGGGCAAGAATCGGAATGGATTCATTCGAGGCTTCCTTGGGCGGACTGTATTGATATTTTGCATAGCACGAGTATGAGGAGATGGTACGTTACCTTGGTGAATGACGGTAGTTGTGCCATGTTGTTTCCAATAGCATGAGCGAGTGTTCCACCGTGGTAGGCATCTTTCTGAGGAGAAGTTGTGCGCGTGTACGTTGGCGTGTTCTCGAGCAGTTAGTTTTGTAAAGGTCCGGATACAAAATGGAAGAGTGACGAATTGCGGAACATATTCCAGTGAAGATCCTCCAGACACGGTGGATATTATGCGTAGTTGTCCTACTGTATTACAGAATGCCTGGCTTTTCATAGTCTCTGTCGCTCTCTGTGTGTGGGTGTATGGCTGTGTCTTGCCCCTCCATCTCCATCTCCACAGTCTCTGTCTCTGTTGGTGAAAAAGGTGGGAGGGCGATTCCCGATGAGCTTCGGATAGACCCCCGGCATCGTGCTTGTACGAGGGCCCCTGGTAACCCCTGGTACTGTATCAGCGAGCACAGTCCCAGGTCAGCCACGGTCAGGAGACGATCAGCTGCTTTTTTCGTTCTCACCTTACTGCAGGCATCTAGGCCGGGACGGGAGCAAAGAAACATGACTGAAGCGCCGAGTTCTGAAGCCGAGGACGAGGACACCTCCGCCGACCAGTGACTCCCTACGTTACCTACCGAATGCCAGTCCGCAATGTCCGCAATTCCCCCCTCCGGTTCCTTGAGTCTGGAGAGGGAGTGACGGCCATCGGATAAATCCATTCCCCCCCCCCTTTGCCTTGGGTACCTGTGCCTTGGGGTGGTGAGCCGAATTCCGACAAGCGTCATTGGATACTAACATCATCTAAACGTGCACGAGGGACTGAGTGTACGGAGTGCAGAGCACACTTGTGACACTTACTCCGTAATTATTGTGGCCAGATCCAAATAACCCCACGATATTCAACTTGTAAGGGTAAATAAGTCTTGTGTTTTTTCCCTTTCCACAAAACACCTTTTCTCTCCCTCCCTCTCTTTTATCTCTGGAGATTGTCATACTGTCTACTGCACAAGCTGCACCACATCGTAACTTCATCTCACCCGTCGCCGTATCTACGGGCCTAGTTGCTCGCTTCCTGTTTCCCTTTGTGCGAGCAAAGTGCGCGATCCGAAAGAGAGACGACTACCAGCCACCAGACTCCAGCGTCAACACCGACACCAAAAAAAGAGCAACAGCGCCAAAACAACAATAACAATAACAGCCACAGTCGCCACAATATGGATCCATCAAAGGTCAAAATCCCTCCATTGATGGACTTGACCATCGACAACATCACCGAGAACGTCATCCGAATCAACTCCAACAACCCAGATGCGCGCATGCAGTATGTCCTCGAACGGCTCGTGGTGCATCTACACGATTTTGCGCGCGAGACGAGACTGAGCACCGACGAGTGGATGGCGGGGATTCAGTTCTTGACCGCGACAGGTCAAATTTGTTCCGATGTCAGACAGGTACGTCGTAGTAGGGGGGGAGATATGGCCTCTTTTTTTGGTCTCTCGCGTTTTGCTTTTTTTGGAGAGGCTGACATTTTCCCCCCGTGATTTGTGGTCTGGTTAGGAATTCATCCTTCTTTCCGACATCTTTGGTCTTTCCCTGCTGGTCGACTCAATCGACCACCCCAAACCGGCTCACTCGACGGAGGGGACGGTGCTGGGACCCTTCCACACGCACGAGGCCGAGCACATGAACAACGGCGACCTGATGTCGCACGACGCCAACGGCGAACCGCTCCTGGTGCTGTGCACCATCAAGGACGTCGACGGCAAGCCGATCGAGGGCGTCAAGATCGACATCTGGGAGACGGACTCGTCGGGCCACTACGATGTGCAGCACGCCGACAGGACCGGCCCCGACGGCCGCTGCGTCATGACCAGCGACGCCGACGGCGTGTTTTGGTTCAACGCCATCGTCCCCGTGCCGTACCCGATCCCCCACGACGGGCCCGTCGGTCAGCTCTTGATCAAGCTGGGGAGACACCCTATGAGACCGGCCCACATGCATTTCATGTTTGAGAAGGAAGGATATGATCATTTGATTACGTGAGTTTTTCTTTTTCTCACCACCTTACCTTTTCCCCTCAACAAGGACTGTCTCGGTCTCACTTTTGACACCCCCGCGCACGCTCCTTCTCACCTCCTGGAAGTCGTGAAATGGTGTGTGTGTGTGTGTGTGTGTGTGTGTGTGTGTGTGTGTGTGTGTGTGTGTGTGTGTGTGTGTGTGTGTGTGTGGAAGGAGAGAGCGAGAGAGAGCGAGAGAGAGTGAGAGAGAGAGAGAGAGAACGCGCGCGCGAGTGTGTGTCTGTATGTGCATGTGCGTTTGGCTGACCAGTCACGATCATTTCCTATACCCATAGTGCCCTGTACCTCAGAAACGACCCGTACGAAAACTCAGACGCCGTGTTCGGCGTCAAGACCCCGCTCATCGTCGACCTGGGCAAAGTCGACAAGGCGACGGCGGAAAAGTACGGCGTCAAGGAAGGGACCGCCCTGATGACCTACGACTTCGTCTTGGTCTCGGACAAGGAGAGTGCAGAGCTGAGGGCCGAGAATTCGAGGAGGGCCCTGGAGAAGTTGGGCAGACGCGTCAAGATCGTACAAGGCTTACCTGTGCCCGAGGTCGATTGAGATGGCGGTAACCTGCGCGAAAAAAAGATCCATCGAATGTACCAGAGATGTCGGTTGTACCCGGACGTATGTATATATTTACAATAAGGTACCTAGCGTGTACATGTTTCAAAAAAGGCAGTATGGACATGACACAAACCCCCCCCCCCCCCCCGGGCGTGATGGACTCCCCCTTTTTGCAGAGCCTGGTCGGTACCTGTGCCTTTCGGTGTATTCTGTGACGCGAGAAAGAAGATGGGTCGGTACGTGCGTACCTAGCCAGTGCGTTTGCTGGGGAATGAGTACGCATAGAGTGGAGGACGGGTATTCACGTTTTCTATGATCTATGCGTCCATGGGGGTGGGTATGGATTGGCCACGTAGGTAATTGTACGTAGTTAGTGGGGTATGAGTCCCTGGGTACAGATAGGTATAAATAGTAACAGGAGGTATTAAGAGTCAGGTACCTAAGACAACCTTCGGTCTTCTTCACAACGCCCCACGATCACTAGGCATAAATGGACCTTTTTGCCCGACGACGAGAACACGTTTCTTGATTTGAACGTCAACCTGTCCACCTCCCGGGGACTTGATTCCGATCCCGATCCTGAACATGTACGTACAAAACCTCTCTGCCCGGACCTGATTTTGCACTCGATCCTCCACCCCCACCCAGTCAGTATACCATACAAGATTTAGTAATGATAGGAGTCGTCGTCTCGTCCTGTCCCATACTCCATACACATACCCGCGGCGCTACGGTACCTGCTCAGTAGATAAATACACAGCACACATTAAGCACACAGTCCAGTCCACCGGGTATCACATGACCCAGAACCATCCAGGGTTAAAAAAAACACGTCGATATGGACCGTGGGAGGTAGGTTAAAGAAGGGTATTTCAAGCGTCCCCCCCAAGGTACCCTGTACATTATGTCCATCTCTGTCTCACCCGGCTTCCACAGATTTTTTCTTCTGGTTCTCCCTTTTTTTTTTCAAAACGCATAAAAATTCACGTCCGTATCCGGCGCGTTCGCCAACAAATCATACTCCGTTCCCACTATATTCCACAACATGTCATCGTCAAGTTGCCAGTCGGAACCGCCTACGTGAGACGGTAAACCGTACGAAGGGGGTGCAGAAGCCGCGGCGTCAAACGACGGCCCAGTACCGTTATTGTTGTTATTGCTCAGAGTTCGGTGATGCGACATCGTGGGCGTGAGGTGTGGTTGTTGTTGTTGTTGTTGTTGACTGGTACTATTAAAGTCTATTGACGATGGTCTTTGAGCGTGCCCATTAGCCACGGCTGCGAGAGCGGCCAACGAGTCTGGAAACTCTTGTGTCGAAAGGTGGTGATGATGTTGCGAGGCTTCGAAAGAAGGCAGGTTGTGGTTGTGTCTGCTATTGAGCCCCGCTGCTGCCGAGTTCGACAACAACGATGACGACGACGACACATCTTTAGTAGACGACGAGGAATTGTTGATGTTGGTGCTGTTATTCCGCTCCATTAATCTCTGGAACCCTGTGGCCATCTTATACAAGATGTGGTTGTTTCCGGCTTTACATTCGCGCAGCGTGGCAATGATGCCTTCAATGAGCGGTTTCGTCCGAGCGTGCGCGTCCGTGCTCACGCCGATGACATCCCATATCGCAGACATCTTGATGAGGAAGACGACGGCAAAGGCGATCATGGCGTGCAGGTACAGCGGCACGCCGACCAGGGCGCGGCGCAGGTCCGGTTCGCCCAGCACGATCTCGAGAATCTGGTGCGCCGACTCGATGGCGTGGAACGCCAGGGGCCGCAACCGGTGCGGCAAGGCGCCGATGGACGTCATGGATCGCCCGCGCAGCGCGAGCGAGTTCAACAGCATGCTGCAGAAGTGGTAATGCAGGTCCAAGCCAATGACCGAGTACCCGCCCACAAACTCGTCCATGGGGAGCAGCGCGCGGAAGTGTTCGCGGTACCTGGCCAGGTCGTCGAGGAAGCGCGCGTGGATGATGAGCGTTTCGTCGTCGTCGCCTAGCGCCCGCCCGGCCTCGAGTCCAAAAGCGTCGTACGCTCGCGACAGGATTCGGAACAGCGCCACCTGCGAGATCACCCGGCGGTCCGACAGCGTGCACTCGGGCGACGAGAGTAGCACCTCGGTCTCACGGATCGCCTGCATCTCCGTCGTCACGGGAGGCCGGCCGTACGCGATGCTGAAGTGGTGGTCGAGAACGTACAGGAGATACCAGAGCCGGGCACGCTCAAGGGTAGCGTCGCGGTCCTCGGGCGGTGACGGCGAGTGGAAGGCCTTGAAGAAGGCTTGGTGGAGGTTGAGTTCCGTCGCCATCCTCACGCAGTGGCCCGATAGTTTCCACGAGAGGTCCGGGAGCCAGAACGCGGCGATGCACAAGGCGCGCACGTCTTCAAGCGTGTGCGACCGGTCGAACATTGACGACGCGATAAGGTCGCGGAGCTGTCGGTGGCTGCGATTGTGTATGTCTTCCATGCCCGGAATGTGGAGCGACGATACCGCCATGATGGATGTGAAGAGTAGGGACGAGGATGAGCGGATGCTGTGTAGCGTTCTGTCGGGCGAGATGGTCGCGTTGTATAGATACCGAGATAGTGAGGTTTTGAATCTGTCGATACAAGGTCAGAGCTAAGGAACAAATATCGTTCCCCCCAAAAGAGAAACAAGTCATCCCGATGCAAGATCGAGCAAAACGGCAAAACGCGCGGGTGGCTTCGTCGAAAGGAACTTACAAAGTCAACATCCTCTCTGCTTCGTCAACGGTAATCACGCCCTGCGCGATGAGGTCTGAGTCAAAGTTCTTGCGTAGTCGTCTTTCCGTCGGCGGCCCACCAGTTCGAGACCGCAGAGCGCTGAGATGAGTCGCCTCATACAAGCCCTCCATGGGCGCGCTGGCAATGTCATTTTTGTTTTCTGGGTGTGGTGAGTTCTCCCGCGAGTTTTCTCGTGTCGTCTTTGCCGTCCCTGTTGCTGGTAGAGAAAGTGATGCTCCCGGCAATGATCCTGACCCCGGGCCAAACGACTCCAGCGACGGCATGTCCAGCTTCGCCAGGATAGCTCGCACTGACCGGTCCAGCCGGGCCAGCGATGGGTCGGACTGTCTGTTTCCATCGCGACGGAATAGTCAGTCAATCAGGCCATGTACAACTCCGTGTCCAGGCGTCGAGGGTTCGTCGGCCCAAACTCGGCAGAGTCGCGGGCCGTGGTCGGTTGGTAACACGAGAACAAGCCAAAAAAGAAGACGTACCCTTCATCCTCCAAGCTCACACGCAGTCGCTTGGCCATCTTACACTCCAGCCCGAGTCTCTGGCATCGCTGGCAGCCAAATCCATCTCCGCTCTCTGGTCCGCCGCATTTTACCTTGAGTTTCCTGCATGTCAAGCACGCTCGGCCTTTCCGGGTGATTTGCCGAGGAGTCTCGGAACTCGGTTTTTCGCCCGTAGATTTGGACGACTGCGCCGGCGATGGACCGTTGGTGCTGTCCTGCACAGCTTGTCCATTTACTGCCACATCCGTATATGATGGACTTGCGCTGTTCGATGGTGCCATTTCTTCACCCAAACTCCCTGGCCGGTGCGAGGATCTGGGGGTTGGAGAGGGAGAAGGTTGGAGAGCCCGAAAAGTCCGGGGAGTGAAATTTATACCAACCCCGGCCTTTCCTATCTCGGCCGGCCAATCACCTCCCTCCGCAACGTGACACTCTCACCAATTCTAGTTCGCCCATGGTATTGCAAGAATCGCATGATCAAATATCATTGTCATCTATGTCATCTATCTATCAATGCTCTTAGCTGATTGTAGCTGGGCTCCCTCTCTCAAAAAATTGCAGGAGGCATGACGTCGGAGGTGGGATGGCTCTTGAATGCCTGGCTCAGAACCTACCAGGTAAGCAAACAGCGCTACAGCCTGGTGTATTTGAGTTGTCTGCTGACTCGACGCAGAAATTGCAGCTGTGCTTTCAGTTCACTCACGAAGCCTCCAGTCGGCCTCCGCAAAACTGTCCTCGTCAATCATGGGGTCCAATACAAAGGGAGTCCCCTTTTAGTCTCTAAAAATCTAGATCACAAAGGGTTTGCTATCGATGACCTTCCAGCCCGTGAGGAGTAAGAGGGTACGGTAGTGCTTCCAGTTCCAGGTGAGCTTTCCTTTAAAAGTGACTTGCACCAATTCAAATAATGGAATTCGAGAGAATTCGCGACATTCATCGAGTTCTGTCTTCCGTGGCTTCAGCAACAATGATTGTTCGTGCATATCCCTGCAGTGTGTGAAAATGGCATATGTTTGCCTGCACTTGGCTCGTGTCCTCATCTTCCATACACGCGTTGGGTTCTTCCGCAAATATCAGGCTCAGCGGCGGCCACGTCCTCGTCACCGGAGGCTTCAGCGGGTTGATCATCGTCCAAGAATTACTGCTCTTCACGTGTTAGTTCAGCAACATTGCCACCCTTGATTCCTTGCCGTTATGGATTTTCGCCAGTGGATGTATCGACTAAGGACCCCGACGAAGCCTTTTCCAAGGATTTTGCGGAAAAGGCTTTTACTCCATGAGCTGATGAAGGTCAGCGTAAAGGCTTATCGATAACCAACCATGAAGACGTAGACCAGAAAATAATGAAATATATATATGTATGTATAGAGAGAGAAAATACGACGAGACGAGCATGAAAGCAACAGATTTATGATCCAGGCTGGATTCAGTGACTACCTAGCTATAAGAAGTTTCGGTGAATACCAAGGTGGTGCAAGAAGTTTTAGTGAATATCGAGATAGTGAAAGAAGCAGTATATAAGAGCCTCACTATCGTGGAAGGAGTAATCACCATAAAGCTACGCACCTATACACTAGCGAAATTTGTTGAGCATTGATCTCACTGCTAGCTGTCTACATACAGGTAACTACCTCCCTAATACCTTTCACATGCATAGATTGTGGGATATCTGCGACATTTTATTCGTTCATCATTGCCCTGCATCGCCATTTTGCGCCATAATGTCAAACACTACAAGGCTACGTATATATTTGCAACGCTCGATATCGCTCTGTGGTGAGACTGTTCCTAGTCCCCGAACAGTCAGTCCATTGAATGTCTCGCCTCCTAGACTTTGGCAGTCTCCTGATGTACTGGTCCCAGCTTAATGCCAGCTTCTTCCCCATCTTGATCAGCACGCTCAATAAGAGTTGCCATGATCTCATCCTTGAACTCTTTCTTGGTAGAGTTGCGGACAGCTTGCATGTAGCTTGGGCGAGCTTCACCAGGGCGACCAGTGAAGAGCAGATCGACGGCTTCGAGAGGAAGTTGGAGAGTTTCGGGCTAGAGCAATACTATCAGTAAGAGCTTCAAAGGGTGTAGCATGGCAGATGTCACTCACATAGAAGAAGTAAACGCAGGGGATGGTGAAGAAGTTCACACAGGCGAACGGAATGTACGCTTTGTAACCGATGTCGGTGATCATGCTGGAGTCTGTTAGTGATGTGTCTTCTTCTCAAAGGTCTCACGAAGACTTACGGAGGAGTGATTTGGACGACAACAAAGGTGAACAGCCACTGAGAGACAACAGAAAGAGCACCGCCTCGGAGACGAAGCTTCAACGGTAGAATCTCGCTCGGGTAGATCCACATGTTCGACTGCCATCCGAGGGTAAAGAAGGTGTGGAAAATGTATAGCACCACTGCAGCCGCATATCCGAGACCTTTGCTTCCCACACCCACAAATATGGCTGACAACAACATGCAGGTTCCCATACCGGCCGAGCCGATCATGAAGAGCTTTCTGCGGCCAACGTTGTTCGTAGTGTACCACGGGATCAGGGAGCTGAGGAAGTAATAGACTTGAAGACCGCCAGACACAAGAAGAGCATCTCGGGAGCTCATCCCAATGGAGTTCTGGAAAACATATGGGCCGAGGGAGGAAATGACATTGACACCAGATAGTTGTTGGAAGAAGTTGGCCGAGAAAGCGACAAGCACTCGTTGCCAGCCGTACATGCCACCATCCTTGAAGCAGTCTGACCATGACCCGACTTCTTCAGATTCCACTTCGAGAATGTACTGGATCTCTTTGATCTCAAGTTGGACTGATTCGTCTTCCCTGGTAGTGCCACGCAACGCAGCTAGCGAAGTGGTACCGCGTTCCACCTGGCCGGACCGGAAAAGGTATCGAGGAGACTCTGGGAGGAATGGCATGAGGCAGCACACAATGACGCAGAAGACGATCTGGAAGGCACAGGGAAATCGCCAAGAGAAACTGGAAGAGTAGTCCGCCATGCCGTAGTCAAGCCAGTTGGCCAGAATCAGTCCGATAATGAGGTTTGAAAGTTGCATCGCCATCATTCGGCCTGACTAAATATCAACCAAACGGCCACGCCACAACATGTGCTGGATTGCATACCTCTGTTCGTTCGTGTGGCACACTCGGTCAGATATACGGGTATCACTGTTGTCATACATCCAAGTCCAAAGCCCCCGATGATTCGACCGACTAGGAACTGACCGAGTTCTGTAGTGGAAGCTTGTAAAATTGCGCCAATAATGACCACAACTGCACCTGCAAGGCCGTTCGTCTTACGACCGTATCGATCACCCATTGCGAACTGGAAGAGAGCTCCGAAAAGAGCTCCAACTTCATAGCTGGCAACAATGAACCCGAGTAGGGCGGAATTGGGATTCCCGAAAACTTTGAGGAACTTCTCCGACGTTGTCAAGCCGCCCATGAACCCCAAGTCATAACCAAAAAGGAGAAAACCTATCGAGCTGGTAAAGGTAACAGCATAGATAAGAGGCTGACCACGTAGGCCGAGGAATGTAGGAGCGGTATTCATTTTCACTGGGAGTTAGGTGGAGGGGAAATGTGGGAGCAAGTGAAGATCGAAAGATTTTGATACTCTTTATGACCATGAGCATCTTATATCTCCTGAGAGACCGAACAGCAATCCGTGGAGACCCAGTCCCGGGGGTCTGGAGACTGGGGACTCTCCGTGCTGTCAACACGATGCCGACAACGGACGGTCGGTGTGCGCGTGCCATTGCGTGGGATCGCCGTTTGCATGGTACTCGTATTGTACCGCTTTAGCCGAAACCTGAGCTGATTCGGCAGGGCACAATTTTTTTCTAGACCGCACAGTGAGCGCTCCGGTTAAAGCTCCGCTCAGTATTTTGCCAGGCTTTGGACAAACACCCATCAGCTATACACTTTCTAGACGTCGACGATTTTCATCATCCAATCACGCATGAGCGGCAGATAGCAAGAAATGGATAGCATGGCCGCGGCACGTGTTCCAGCCAGCCTGTGCTCATCTCAAATTCCCTAAAGGGCATCCGAATCAGTCGAATCAAGGAAGAATGCTGTGTGGGCCGCGCTTTCGAAGACCATTGAAGGCGTTCGCTAGGTGAAAGTCTAGTCGGCAATGTTGTATGGAAAGAAGACAGACAGGGACGGCAGATGCGGTGTCGAGTCGGAGTTGCCACCGACTCAATCAATCCTCTCGTGAAGGTGTACACATCGGTGGTCTGTCGAGGAATTCCGCGCTAGACCAATTAGGGAAGAAACTTGGACCTGAATGTACTGTCGGTTCTGGCAATCCCAGCTTGTCAATGGTCTTCTGGTGCTGCACTTCGACTGAATCAAGGGACAAGCGTGTTGTTGACAAAGAGACCAGATACGCGGGTTCAGACGTTGGGGGACATCCTGGAGAGACTCGGAGAAGATCCCCGTGGCACCGCCGGAGGCTGGGGTGGGTTCAAGCTTCAGAGTTGGTAAGCCCTAGAAAGCTCTTCTAACTTCACCGGAGTCCTTGTGATTAGATACCGAATATTCTCCACAACATTGCACAGCACGATTAGGCCATCACTAGCCGTCACCACGACTACATGTCCAGGTACTCGGAACGGTCAGTCGGCAAAAGCTCTTGGAAGCCAGTCTTCGTTGAAAGACGAGCTGAATAGGAGGTTGCAAGAGATTTGATACCTTCATTTCCTGATAAGCTCCCACCTGTCCATATCCGAAGAATTCTTTTGTTTTGAGACACACCACACATCACCTGAGCTCCCTTTGCCAATTCTTTCAGCATGACCGGCCAGACGTTTACCGACGTCGTTCGCGTGGACCACAGCCGTGCCGTGAAGGACTCTACCTTTGCCCGCTCCTACAGCAGGACGCCAAGCTTCTGCGTTTACAATGATCGTTTTACACAGGACTGCCTGGGAACATCCCCGAAGCTCACGCTGGTCGAGAGACGAGACTATCAATTCGCTCACGAGGCTGGCGTTTACGTTCGGCCGACCAACTCAGTATACTTTACTGCCAATTTTCAGACGTGCGACCCTGTCCACCTGTACGCCATCGACGCGAAGACGCACAAGATCACGCAGCTCGAATACCCCGAAGTGGTACAAGCGAACGGTGCGTGCAACTATCAAGATGGCGTGTTGTACTGCTCTCAAGGCGATCGGACCAGACCATCTGGCCTGGTCCACGTCGATCCAGTCACCAAGAAATCCGAAACCCTCATCACCAATTTCTATGGCCGCGACTTCAACTCGGTCAACGATGTCGTTATCCACCATGAAACAGGGGAGATATGGTTCACCGACCCCAACTACGGTTATCACCAGGGCTTCCGACCGGGCTCAATGCTTCCTCCGCAAGTCTACCGGTTCAATCCCAAGACAAAAGAGTGCTGGATGGTGGCCGATGGCTTTGCCGAATGCAACGGTCTCTGCTTCAGCCCGGACTACAAGCTGCTCTATGTCACCGACACGGGAGCGATTCAAGCCCACGCCGGTCCCGGTGATGGCCACCAATTCTCCATGAACCCCAAGTTACCGGGGACCATCTACGTCTATGATGTCGTCAACGGTCGCGAGCTGCACAACAGGCGCGTCTTTGCGTTCTGCGCCGTCGGCATCCCCGATGGCATCAAGTGCGACGAGAAGGGTTATGTGTATTCCGGATGCGGTAAGCCTATCCTTTGCCCGAAGCCTTCATTTTGTGTTCTTCGCTGCTTCGTGAGCAGTGGATCATCATTGCTAACGGCGAGTGAACAGGTGACGGTGTACACTGTTGGGCACCGGACGGCACGCTTGTTGGCAAGATTGTCACCGGAGGAATTACGGCAAACTTCTGCTTCGCAAAGGAAGGTATGTGGCTCTTTGCGGAGAAAGATCTTTTCTTCTGTGAGCTCGGTGCAAAGGGATGTCTGGTCAAGATAGAGTGTGAATGATACACCTGCTCAGTCTCGAATGGCAGAAGCCACTGCAGAAAGAAAAACACACGGGTGACACTTCTATAGGCAGCCCTACATGAAGGTACTCTGAGCCCATGCTATGAGAACTCAATCCATACACGCCTGAATTACGGTCAATGCGACCGTTGCCATTTTGACCTGTGTGCACAGTTTCCAACCCTGTTCCCGCCAACCTCTTATCACCCGCATCCAAGCTTTACGCTTCTCGAATACCACGAAGGTTGTCGCAATGGTCTGCCTTGATCTCGTGTCGTTGTAAAAGCATCATTTATGAAACCTTTGGGTTGCTTGGTGGACTGTCGGACCGACATCTGTTGACAGGATTTTTCTTTTCATCTTTTCGACAGATATTCTACAGGTGTATTACGAAGTCCACCCTCTCCGTGGGTCCAAGATACAAGCGAGTTGCGGGCTGTCGCACTCGAGCCGAGCAAACAGTCACTCATTACTTCCAACATATCACCTCCCCTTGCATCAACCCATACCACGCTTCACGATGGTCGCCCCAAGTCTTCAGCGCAGTTTTGAAACGCTCGATTTCCTCTTGACTCGCAACAGTCTTGTTCTGAAGCCACTTCTCTCCAATCTCACCTTCCAGCCGCCCTACATGTAGTCCGGCCCACCACTTCGATTCCTCGGGCGCCGTGTAGACCGTCGCCCCGGCTCCGACGAGCATCTTTGCCCTGTCGAACCCGGCCTCCTGGGCCCAGAGGTGAAGTCGGCGACCACACCCGTCTCCCTGCGCGCCCATTCCTCGGAAGGACGAAAATACGTGGCGCCAGTACTGTTCCACGACGGGCGACTCTGGTTGGATGGAGACATGGTCCGCCTCGCGCATGGCCAGCATGCCGCCCCTCGGTTTCAGGATCCGGAAAGCTTCTCTGATCACCGTGATCGGCGACGGGATGTGGAGAAGCGTCTGGTGCGTGTAAACGACGTCCACTGAGGCGTCGTCGAACGGTAAGCGGTCCGTGATGTCGGCGACTCTGAAGCTCAGGTTGGGATACTCCGACGCCGGGTTCACGGCCCGCGCTTGCTCGACGATGGCGTCGGAAGAGTCAAGACCGATGACCTGTCCGTTGGGGACAAAGGCGCAGAAGCCTCGCGTGATCGTCCCGGGACCGCATCCGAGGTCGACGATGACAGAGTCTGGTTTGAGATGTGGCGTTAGGAACGAAGCCGAGTTCTCTACAGTGCGGGACATGTGAGATGCCACCACGCTGGCACTGTGGCCCTGAGCATACTTTGGTTTGGATGGTTCGTCCGGAATGGTGGACATGGTGGTGGTGGTGGTGGTGGTGGTGATAGTGTGTGTGTTTTCGTCGAGGTCAGACTAGTTAGTAGTTCTCCAGAGAACGACGCCAGATACCGTGAGAAGCCTTGTACTCTAGCATATCAAGGTAGGTAGGGATAGAAATACTGAAGAAGATATTATAATGTACGGAGTCGTAGAGGCGGTGGTGATGGGTGATTGATGGGTGACCATATGTACGTCGCACTGCGGCTTACATCATCCGGGGCATTCCGATGGAGTTCCGACACCACAGCCTTGGTGCTGAAAGAATACTTCAATTGTGCCCAGTATGCACGAGAAGTATCCCGTTACTTCACCTGGTTTTGATCTTCACTCTCTCACTGCACGGGGACGTGCTCCACTATCCGCTCTTCACTGAGCGTCCAAAAATTAAGTCCTTATGAATTTGAAAAGTGAAATTCTGTCCTCAATGGCGAGCCCGCTCGACCTCTCTAATCACTCCTTCCACAGCCAGGCAACCTGATCAGCGACACTGCCTGGCGGAGTTGGTTACGAAGTCCTGCTATATAACGGGCTAGACTCCTCGTGAACCGCAAGAAAAAAAAAACCAACAACAACAACTCGAACTCGACATAACGATGGGGAAACCATACAGCGGCCATTCGGAAAAACGAGCCAGTGATAGCATGTCTTAAAATAACCTCTGCTTATAGGCTCTGTTTTAGCTCCCTTACAACCTCTGGAATTGATCACTCCAGGGCTTGGGGAAGAGTTTTTGCTGTTTTTTTTGGGGGGGGGGGTGCGTGTATGTTAAAAAAAAAATTTGGGTGGCCGAGGACATCAAGTGTTCAAAAAGACAAAGAGAATTGAGTTGGTTCGTAACACGCTGTGCCACAACATGGTGATCCTCGCGTGGCCAGAGAGAGCTCAGAGCTCCAAGGGACCTTTTTGCCCCTTCTTCAAGGTGTGATGGATGTGATGGGTGACAGTTTGACGGTTTGACAAACACGCATGGGTTCAGGGTCTCCGACCGACAACATTGATTACAGCTTTTACCAGTTGGGCGGTCGCAAAAGAAAAGCTTGGGCCTGGACATACCGATGGTGTCTACCCTGTAAATTGACGTCTCCATCTTGTACCTACCTACGGAGTACTGTATGATCAGAATATTAGGGACGCATGCGAGCCAAAATGCTCACACATCTCAAAGACAACAAGACTAACACTGTACAGACACACTCAAGCAGGCTGATAGTATTTCCAAGGGAGCACTCAAAAAAAGAAAAGATACATGAGCTGTTCAAAACATGCCGTGACATTCATTCAAGTCCGCGTCGACATCATGTTGCCAGATGCATGGCAGGACGACTTCGCGCGTGCACTTCATCCGATCATTGCAATTTTTGAGGCCCTCAGAAACGAACAACTACTGGTGATACATGAAGAGAAAAATGTAGAAATGGTCCTCCGTATCCTCTCGCCTATGCTAGTAATGCTTGAGATGTTGCATGCAAAAAAAAGTACGAACCAAGGCCAATTAGATACGCTTTCCAATTACCCTCTTTCCCCCTCTCCCCCCCTGGCTCGAGAAACCAACACATTTAGCCCTGGAAGCCACGAGCACGGAGAAGGGTGTTGTCAACATTCCATCTCTTGGTGGCGGCGGGGCTGGTGACGGTGACGTTCGTGGTGGCGCACTGTTGACCGAAGGACTGGAGCCAAGCACCGTTGTCGAACTCGGCGTAGTTCTTCTGGATCTTTCCATCCTCGTCAATGATCATGTAGTTGATGCCGTTGACTGGGTAGGCTTGCGGGTTGGCGGTCAGTCTCCATCTCCAGGTGATGCTGCTGCAGTCGTGCCAGATGTTGAGGGTGGAGACGCTGACCTCGGGCTGGAGGACACCCTGGCCGTAGTCGAAGGCTTGCTTGCTGGCGAAGGTCACGGAGCCGAGCTGGGAAACAAGTTAGCACACGCAACTACGAGAAGACAAGTTGGAAGGACTTACAGCAAAACCAGCCATGAAGTTGATCGAGTCAGAGATATCGGAGAAGTCAGCGGCGAGAGTCGCGTCGGAGACATCCTGCTTATATCCACGACCAGCTGGGATGCCGAGGCTTGCGTCGCCAGCGTACGACGTGTATTCGAGCAGAAGCGAGAAGTTGGCGACGATACCGCTGGCAAGAGCATCTGTGACGATGCAAGCCGAAGGGGTGGAAGAAACGGTAGTCGTGGTGGTGGCAACGGTGGTGGTGGTAACAGCCGAGGTAGTGGTCACAGCGGACGTGGTCGAGTTCCACCCTCCCTGAGTGACGGTGACGGTGACGGTTGGGCCAGCAGGGCAGGTCGTGCCATGGGCGAGGGTCTTGGTGACGGTGCTGGTGGCGCAAGAACCACCAGTGTGAGAGCCTCCAGTAGGGGCGGCACCGCCGGTGGGAGCAACGTAGACGGTCTTGGTCGTGGTCGTCGGGGCAAGGGTGGTCGTCTTGATCTCGGTGAAGCCGAAGCATGAGCAGGCGCTGGTATAGGCTGCCTTGTCGCAAGCGCTGGCGTAGTTGGGGACCTCGTTGGGGCAGACAGTCACGCTGACGCCACGCTTAGCCTTCCAGTCGGCCCAGCTGGCGTCGGTAACAGTCTCGGTGACGGTGACGGCAGGGGGGGTCACCGTGGTGGCCAGGAAGCTGGCGCAGTGAGAACCTCGGAGGTGGCCGTCACCAAGAGCAGCTTTGCCAGTGACGGCGGCCAAGCAGGCATTCTCTGAACATGCTCCTCGACGCTCGAGAGGGTTGGCGAAGGAGCCGCTGACCAGTGCAGCCAGCGGCAGGGCGTAGGACAAGTATTGCATCTTTGTTGGATTAATGCGTGTTGTTCGGTGAAACGAATGGCTAAGGTCAACGACCTTGGAAATCAAAGCGAGCTCAAAAAGAGTGGATGATTGAAATATCAATCGAAGATGTGCGACGATGTAGTTGTGAGCTGGAAAAAGACCAAATGCACAAGGGAGGGACGGAGTGTAGTACTTATGTCGGCAACAGTGCGACAGGCGGGTGATGGGCCATCTCCGTTCTGGCAGCGGATACAAATGGCCTGGGCGGCCACGAGGGTGGCCTCGAAAGCGTAAGATAATTTCATCAAGCGACGCCTTAGCTCGACGAGATGCTGTTCAAAAAGTCGAGCCTCACTAGTCTCACGGAGCGCCAGCGCGGCTGGAGTACCCGACCGATCCAATGTGGATGAACCACTCGTATCTCCATGTTGCGGAGTGGCACAAGTCAGCAGTCTCTTCTTCGAGGGCTTGCGTAGTCCGTAGATTTGTTGAAGTCAAATGCAGTTAACGACCAACTCACAAGAATTGACATCTGCAGCGTTGTCATGATTTTCCCTCGGCTACATGATGAGACGTGGAATCTGGATTCAGAAATTGTATGCCCGACAGATGTCAGCCTTCATCGACCCGGAACGTGGGGATCTCACGATGCTCCGACGACGTGTCAGCAACAGCACCCTCAACCGTGATTATTATATCGAATCCCTCAATCCTGCAGGCCATTATTCACACTCTTGCCGTACAGTAGGCAAGATGTTCACTTCGGAGCACACCTCAACTTGTGCGCCCAGGGCTACAGGAACAACCCTCGAACAACAACGCGTCCCAGGGGGATTGCAAGGGGTGGAGCAGTCGCCATATTTTCCACGCACTATGCCATAATAGGAAACTATTTAGCCTACTAGCCAATGACGCTTGAGAAATGTGTTTGAGGCTGGCGCTTGAGTGCCATTTTTTTGGATCATGGTCTAAAGTCCAATTTGAAGAAACCATTCACTGGCTGCACTTGTTACTCCTGTACAGTGTGGGCCAGGCGCCCAGCAGGGCAAAGACAGAATTGGGCATCAGCAAAAGGACGAATCTGAACTACGTATATGCACCGCTTGTCAACCATTCTAGGTCAACATTGCCGGAACAAGAAATGGTAATGCCGTTGAAAGCTTGTGGACGTCGTGCCCTACGACGCTGCAGTAGGGAAAAGTGGCTATTGTTCCAGCGACAAACAAGCCACGGCCGGGGAGGAGAGCCTTTCTGGTGATTGCCGCTCTTGTCTCAAACAGTGAAATGGCCTCGGAATCGGATCAGTCAAAGCTACCGTAGGCAATGACTGCGGCATAACCGACTTCATAATTGGGAGGCTACCTGGATCAGGGGCAGTGGGAAATTAGCCACTTGAAGCGATTGCGGGCACTAGGCGTAAGACGATCAGGCTCGTTCAGTAGGCTCAAGACAAGCTACGTACAACCCAGTTAAGTGGCACTTATGGCGTAGCGGTGTACGATCAAGGTGGCGCAAATAATGTGATTTTCTTCCTTAGAATACGAAGCCAAGTCAGAGTTGTTACACAGATCGGTGCCCGTGCCTTACAACGCGGAAAATTTCAAAGCATGGTTGACAGGGTTGACGGCAAGTTTCCGGGTCCCCTGGAGGTCCCTCTCCCTCAGCCTCGTATCTCTCTGTCCATGTTAGGCATAGTCCGTGGGCATAAGGCTGGCCTGATGAGCCAATCGAGCGCCGCCAGTCGTAGTTTTCTTGACATCCAATTTCCCAGATTTTTCACTCGCAAACCACAATTTGTTCGGCTATCTCGACCTCGTGAACCCTTTCTTCTGAGTCTAGACTCTTTGGAATCGGCCCCCTGAGATTACTTCGTATTACAGAGCCTAGAGCCTACAACGGATCGACCACTATTGGTATTGTATCCGAACAGACTCTGCCCTCGCCTGCGGTTACTGGGACATTGGATCTCCCCGTCGCGAGCACATCACAACTGCGTATGTTGAGCAGTCAGCCTCCTTTACTGGAGTCCGATAGTGACGAGGAACATGCATTGCTTCATGGTAGGTTGTGGTCCGACGACCATTTCTATTTCTGCTTCCTGTGTCATTTCCAACAGAGTGATTAGTGCATGATCTTCCTCAACTCTACCAAAAGCCCTCGTCAGCTGCTTTGTTGCAAGCGTTGAGTCTACTGTCTTTTGAGCCGCCGTCGTTCTCGGCCCAGAATGTCGACGGCCGCCACAAGGTCGAGGAACAAGGCGTTCCCGGCTACTTAACTTCCGTTGTCTCATCAAGTCTCGGGTGGATCGAAGACGAGGATGCAAAAGACTCGATATGGACCGCTGCAAGCGCTCGACTCAGCGAGCGTGCTGGCCGGAACGCTATGCCTGCCATGACGAGAACATTCGTCATCAACGATCAGCTATCTATTAGCCTTCATGAGCCTTCGTTGACAGAGGATAACCTTGGCCTGAAAACTTGGACGTCTTCGCTTCTTCTGGCTCAACGCTTGGCCGAGTGTCGCCAGTACATTCGCGAGGATTGTACCCGAGCCTTGGAGTTGGGTTCTGGTACAGGACTTGTTGGCATCGCAGCTGCCTGCATATGGCATACACATGTGCTTTTGACTGACTTGCCGGAAATCGTGCCAAACCTACAGCAGAACCTTTCGCAGAACCAAGAATTGATTTCTCGACTCCATGGCACCGTTAAGGCTCGATCACTTGATTGGAACGATGAAACCGATTTACCAGCGCATGAATCAGAGAAGTATATGGTCATTCTCGCTGCCGATCCTATCTACTCGCCCGAACATCCCAGATTGCTCGTTGCCACAGTCCGGAGGTGGATCAGTTGGGATCAGTATGCAAGATTCATCGTTGAACTCCCCCTACGAGAACGATATGAAGGTGAGAGAAACGATCTCAGGGCACATCTTCGTGAGAACGGCTTTGGTCTCGTAGTCGAAGACACTGATACTGGGTACGACGACTGGCAAAGCCGTGATGGAGGCCTGGCAGAGGTTAAATGTTGGTGGAGCATATGGAAGCCACTCGTAGATCTTTAGCTTCGCACAGAAGCGTATTTGTGCCTCTTCCATCGATGAGGTGCCATAGAAGGATGATCGATCCGTCGTCTCAATATTGCTCGACTCCAAGACCTCAGATTTTCCGTGATGCTAGACCGCATCTCATCTCATGGTGACCATCGTGTGATAGGTGATATTGTTTAGTATTCAAAAGCTTCAATCATCCGCGTCTTCATCATAACTGATCAAATGCGAGATCATTCGACTCCCAACTCCTTGCTGCCCATGAAAACTTGCAGGCACAGTTGACCAGTCTGTCCATTAATTCGAGGGATGTTTCACATGCTATTCAATGTCTGTGACCCAAAGTTGTGACGGGGTTCACTGTTCATATCGCCTCGTTTTGGTCGGTGGGAATTCACTGGGCCCTTATTCTCCGCTCGGCAGGATCATATCTAACGGACACGAAAACTGTCAGCCAATGCGCATGTAGAGAAGTTGTGATACTGCTTCAGGAGAGACTGTTTCGCATACTGAAGGAGTTTTTCAATCAAGTCGACGTGTGTCATGAGCATGCGTCGACAGCAGTACCTCTTTGCGCCGACTCTGTCCATGGCCTCACTGGGTTTGATGTCAGCCTTGTATATCCTCAAGGGCGGAGGAATCATGTAAAACTGACCCATCGGGCACATCCTCTTCGAGCAGTTTCATGTAGCGCTCCCAAATGTCGGCAATAACCTGAAGGCCGGCAGTTAGTCTATGGTATCATACGGAGGAAGCACACCAGGCTACCTTTCCACACGAGAAGCAGCGGATGGGAATAATCATCTTGGATCGCTTCGATTAACGACTTCTGGAGGGTAGGTGTAAGGTATTCGCTGCGAGAACGCGGAGGGATAACGGTTGACAAAAATTCTTTGACTCTCTAACGGCAACTTCATTCTGCCTGCGGAGGCGAGGCTGAACAAGGCTGCATCTTGGCGGTCCTTGTCGGCAAACTTGCCAGCTTTTTCATGCGGAGAAAAAAGTTCTGTCTGAGGAAAGACTTGCACGCAGTTGCGCAGTCCATGCTTCTTGGATACCCAGCGGCGCGGCACAAGCATTGCTATGTCCAAAATGGCAAAACGGGATGCTGTTACCGCCTTTGATGGCACAGGAAGCGACAGTCCTCATGCCAGCAAGCGACAGAGACAAAAGCACGCCCGTGAATCTCTGCCCCAAAATGATCCAACAGCGGCAAAAGCAAAGACAAAGACGAAGGCACTTTCTCCGTCAGCAGCAGCAGAGACACCTGTGAAGTCAGACAAAGACACAGAACCCGGTGGCGTGAGACTAGGTTCCTACGAGGTCACGCCGCAGCTTTCACGGGTAGAGAAAGAGAAGTCTCCAACATCCCTCTTCAAACCGAAGCCAGCTGTTGAACGAGAACCCCAAGAGAAGGACAGCAAGTTGAATCAGATCTTGTCTGAGCCGACAAGGAACACTGCCTCTAAATCATTGGCAAAGAAAACTAAGGACTCCAAAAATATAAGTGTGATTAGCTCAAAAGTCCAAAACCCACAGCCTGAAAATACGTCGAAATGGCCGCTATCCAAAGGTCGGGGTGGTATATTCATTGATCAGGATCCAATTTTCAGCGAAGACAAGCAACATCTGATTCTTGCCACACATACTGAAGTGCGAATTTATTCTCTGAAAACGTCACTTCTAATCCGAGCTTTCCCAGCTGGAAATAAATCCGAAATCACAAGCTGCGCTCTATCACTAGTTGATCCGAAGAGGCTATATGTCTCAACTGCGAAAGGACTTCTATCGGTCTGGGATTGGACGAAAGGTGCCTACCTAGCCAACCACGAAACTGGAAGAGCAACACGGAAGATCTTGCCGGTCCATTCTCATGAGGGGACAGAGACCATCGTGGTTGTGCAAGAGAATGACCCAAAATCGGTTTCAGTTGTGGCATATGCTATCGATACGGCCAGCAATATTCTGAGCCAACTTCAGACTGTACTCAAGAAGAATTTTCCAAAGTTACCTGTATTACAGGTTCACGCCGAAGGCAGCATCCTCGTGGCTTGTGCCTTCGACAAGATCCTTATCGGTCACTCGCAAGTTTCCCAGAATGGAAATTTGGATCTGAACTTCACGTGGAGAGAGATTGTCGTTCCAGGTATCATCACAAGCCTTGATTCGCAGATCAACGTGGGGAAGTCCAAAAGTTCTCGGAAAATGCCTTTTCTCGATGTAGCAGTCGGTTTGGAGACCGGTGCTATCGTCCATTACGAAGATCTTCTCTTCAGACTTATTGGAAAGGAGAAGAAGAACTCGAACGAGGACATAGCTGGGCGCCGGCTACATTGGCACAGATCGAGTGTCAATACGTTGAAATGGTCTCGGGACCGTAACTATTTGATCTCTGGCGGTAATGAGACAGTGCTTGTCATCTGGCAGCTGGATACCAACAGACAACAGTTCTTGCCTCATTTGTCTACCGCCATCGTGAACCTCTCAATCTCGGTTACGGGGTCATCCTATGCGTTACGCATGGCTGATAATTCCGTCATGGTGCTGTCTACGGCAGATCTTCTCCCTTCGACAAACATCTCCGGTCTGGCAGTGGGCAATACACAAAACCACTTTGCTACATTGGCTTTACATCCAACGGTGGATAGCCGCTTACTTGCCGCGATACCTGCGACTCCCTTCACCAAAGGTGAAAAACGGGACAAGAGGTCAACGCTGTTACAATCGTACGACCTTGAGTCTGATACCCAAACAAACCGTCAAGCCCTGACCAGAAATGTGACGACTGCTGTAAACACCGCACCTTCGGGACAGCCTGTTCAAGAACCAAACGTCACGAACATCGCCGTATCTTTTGATGGAAAGTGGTTGGCGACAGTGGATGAATGGCAGCCAAACGAGCAAGACATGGCTTCCATGTGGATCGAGGTTGACTCCCCCGCTAGCCGTGGGACGGCCACCGAGACATGTTTGAGATTGTGGGCGATGAACGAGAATGACAACAACTGGGAAATGGTGACGAGAATCGACGAGCCACATAGACCTAGTCCTCGATCTGTCCTTGGAATGGCTATGAACCCGAGTAGGCTCGAGCTAGCGACGATTGGTGCCGACGCGTCGATATCAATCTGGTCACCTAAGGCTCGACAGCGAGACAATGTTTCCGTGAGGGACAGGATGAAACAAAAACTGTATACCTGGACATGCTCAAGGACGATTCCGTGCGGCCAAGATGACTTGGGACAAAACAAGGACGCAGCTGCCACCTCTGCCACCTTGGCTTATTCCGAAGACGGCTCCGTCCTTGCCGCCTCGTGGTCGTGGTCGCGGTCGCCATCGACTGCTACGCGATTTGTGCACTTCGTCGACCCTCGAACCGGAAGATTGTGTGCATCGCAACCCGGTCTTTTACAACAAGGCGACGCCAAACTGGCGTTCTGTGGGCGCTACCTCGTCTGTCTATCGCAGATGCTCGTGATTCATGATACACTGACCAGCCAAAACACCACGACCATCGAGCTGGATCAAAATTACCTTGGGCCTGGAAAGTCGAGTTCTAGTTTCCTTGCTGTCAACAAACTCGATGGAAGCGTTGCGGTCAGTTTGACCAAGACATCGGCGCCCAAGTGGACGAAACTTGTCGTTTTCACCATCAGCCATGGTGACATCAAACCATTACGCGACAGTTCTCTTGCTGGAGGCTTAAAGAGTCTCCTTGCCTTGACGACCTCTCCTGGGTTTTTAACGATTGATGATAGAAATGTCTACAGGTCTCTGAAACCTTCTGGCACCGGCGCGCTTTCCTCAGTCTCCGCTTCGGCTGCAGCCAAACATGAATCCGACCAGGTCACCAAAAGCTTGGACAGCATTTTTGGAACTGTTGAGTCGTCGGTGGAAGCCGACAAGACGATTCAAGCTGGAGAAGAAGATAACACCACGACTTCAGGCAGAGATCTCAACGCAGCTCTGAGGATTGTCTCGTCTGCTCAAGCGCCGAGTCCAACGGAGTTATTCCAGAGAGTATTGACGGTGGTTGCTCAGAGCTGAGAGATGCCTGCTATTTAATTTTTGGTGGAAGATATTCTTTTTTTTTTTGGATATCAGCTTTTCAGACATGTACGGTGTGTTTGCAGATGGCCCGAGGAGACGGACTGTAGGAGGTAGATATACTGGAATATGATGTGAGGAAATTAATCATACGGATATAAAAGTTTACCTACCTTAGCCGTTAGTTGGTTTGGTCATGTCGTTTCTATCTTGTTCTATCTCTCCTTGGTCTTGTTCCTGGCGAGAACACGTCCCATGTAGGTCCTCACCTCCTCTCCGCCGTCCCTTGTCCACATGTTTGCAAATTCGTCGACACCCGCCTCGACGCCCTCAGTCAGGGACCGCTCCTCCCACACCCTGACCAGCCTCTTCTGCGCCCTCGTCGCCCTCGGTCCGTTCTCCACCGCCGCCCTCACGATCGCGAGGCACGCGTCGTCCAGCAGCTGCCCTTCTTCCTCCGGCGTCCCGCGGCCGCCGACCAGACGGTCCACCAGACCCCATTGCGCGGCCGTGTCCCCGTCGACGCTGAGACCGAGGTACACCATCTCCCTCGTGCGCTGCCACCCGACCACGTTCGCGAGGAGTCTGGCGTGCACGACCGACGGGATGCCGACCTTGACCTCCGGCATGGCGAACACCGAGCGGCGCGTGGCGACGCGGAAGTCGCACGACGCCGCGAGCTCGAGACCCGCGCCGAGCGTCGCGCCGTCTATCTTCGCGACCGTCGGGACGGGCACGTCGCGGAGGGCCTGGCATGCGTCGCGGACCGACGTGATGAACTCCCGCGCCTCGAGGGGTCCGGCGAGGCTGTGCATCTCTCTCAGGTCGGCGCCCGCGCAGAATTTGGGTACGCTGTTGCCAGTGCCAGTGCCAGTGCCAGTGCCAGTGCCAGTGCCAGTGCCAGTGCCAGTGCCAGTGCCAGTGCCAGTGCCAGTGCCAGCGCCACTAGCAGCACCGCCACCTCGATGGCCTCCACGCGTTGACGTCGAAGTAGACGTAGGGTTGGATGTGGATGTGGATGGATCAGTAGATGGAGATGGAGATGGAGGCGCGCCGGTGACTTCTACGACGCGCAGATCTTCACGAGCGGCCAACTTGCAAAGAACGCTCGTCAGGCCGCGGAGCAAGACCGATCCGACACTGTTGGCGCGAGTCGGGTTGGCGATGCGCACACTGGCTATTTCAGACCCGTCAGACCGTCGACGGAGAACGGTGTACTCGATTCTCCCGCTCCCGCTCCCGCTCCCTGTACCCGTAACACTGAGCAGACTTCCTTTGCTTCCCTTGCTCCCCTCTGCGGCGTCTCTAGGTTCGTATGAAGATTCTACTTCTTCAAATGCCCGGAGAAAGTCGAGATTCTGTTCTCTTGTTGGTCGGCCTGTGTATGTTCCCGTCGGTGTGGCGTCATTTACAACTGCTCGCGACGGGGCGTAGGATCTGGCGGCGGCGGCGCTCGTCGTGGTGGTGGTGGTGGCGGTGGTGGCAGCCTTGGTGGTGCAAGCGGCAGTGGTAGAAAGATGCCGTCGTACAATAACTTTATGAGAATATCCACCCAGCGACAAGGACAACCGATTCCTTTCAGACGCTGGGGTCTGGTAGCTGCGTCTCCTCCGTAGCGGTGACGCGGCAGAGGAGGGTGTCTGTTGATAAAGAGTACTTCCCACGTCGAGGTTCTGAACATGCACGTCCCGGTTCCCGTTCCTGACAGGGACAGGGACAGCGACATGTAATCTCCCAAGTCCCAATTGCCGTCCTGACCCCGATCCCGATCCCAGTGATCGTGACCATACTCGCAGGCTCGAACATGCTGAGACGGGAGTCGCCGCTCCGCAAATAAAGGTCGCGATGCTGGAAGAGTTCATGATTCCCACATATAACCTTCACTGTAAGCCAATTGGGGGGGAAAAAACCAAGTTACATTTCCAATGACACTGAACAACAAACACAAGGACACAGATACACACACACACACACACACACACACACACACACACACCGCAATCAAGGAATCGTTATCTTTATCCGTCCCCCCTCTTCCTTTACACGAGCATGAGGAGAAGAGGAGAAGAGAAAATATTCCAGTTTCTCTGAGCCGCCAACCGTTTCGGGGGCCCTTTCTGATACCACTTACGCAGGGATGATCCGGATCGCTTTGACCAAGGAACGGTAACGGTGTCCTCTTTGAAGTATGGACATCTACAATCGATATCGGAGAGACTGACTAACTAGTTAGTTAATTGTCCAGGTGCGGAGCAGGGGGTTTGGGTGCCTAGGCACTCGTAGGGGATTCGTCGAGTGAGGTCAAGGTATAGCCGAGGTGATAGATTCACCTCCATTATGGTAAGTATCATGTAGCCGTACCCGAATGTGGCGTATGCGTTGTACGCAGTCAACAAACAATCATGGTGACCACTGCTTCTGTTGAATTCCCCTCGGCCCATATATCAGTGCAAGCTTGACCAACCCACCGTCAAAGGAATTAACTTTGTAGCCAGATGAAATCTACAGAAATACAAATGGACTGGGAGTTTTGGGGTTGGATTAATGAGTGCATTGTCATGATTGTACAAATCCATGGACGCCTCCGAGATCAATCACAACCAATGCTCCGTAGGATAGAGAAAAGTATCAATTTCCCAAATGATACAAACACTAGTGGCCCTGGTACTCGATTCGAAACTGGGCTCTGTCGCATACCACTTCAAGGGTTATTTAGAAGATACTCAATCGCCCCATTCACACTCCCACCAGTCCTCCGAAGCGCCTGGATGTTTCGATCAAAGTCGTAGAAGCCCATATCATTCAACTGTTGCAATTGTGTTGCGTAACGTTCCTCTGGTGGTCTGTTGTCTGGTGGCGACGCTGGACCACCAGCTCCTCCCAGTCCTCCTCCAAAGAGGTCAAAAAAGTTTGGCGTTGTCCCTCCGTTTCCGCGAGCATTTTCGAAAGCTTGTAAGAGTTGTTCAAACGATTCTGGGTTAGGAAGAAGTGGATTCGGGGGAGGTGGTGAGGTGGTGCCAGTGCCAGTGCCAGTGTTAGCACCAGGCTGCTGACCAAACAGCGCAGGATTTAACAAAGCGGCGAATGGGTTCTGCTGCTGTTGCTGATTTGGCGTATTTCCAGCTTGGTTGGTCGCGCCTGCTGAGTTTGTCGATGGATACGCAGGTGGGAGTCCTGGCATATTGAATAGACTCGCAAATGGATTGGCACCCAAGCCGCCGGCACCTCCTCCGAACGCAGCAAAGGGGTTCGGCGGTTGTTGTGGTTGTTGCTGTTGCTCGCCCTGCCTATTGTTCTGATCTCCTGCATTTTCCGTAGTGTTGGTGACTCCTGGTGCTGGAAAAGCTTCTTGACCTCCACGCCCAAAGGGGTCCATCCTTGAACCATTCTGCATTTGCAACATGGCCCTGATAGCCTGAGGATCTGTCATCATGCCCCGGAAATAGTCAGACTGTAGAATCTGCCGGACGCCCGGGATGGACCGAAGATGAGGATTCTGATTGATCATCATGTCCACAACTTGCGGGTTGTTCATAGCTTCTCTCATCATTTGCTGAAAATTGGGATCTTCGAGTTGACGGATGAAATCTTCCGGACTCTGAGGGTTTGCGAACATGCTGGGATTGGGCAACTGAGCGAACCCAGCATATCTCGCTCCTGTGAGGCCAGCTAGAGGATCGTTTCCAGTACCCGATGCCAGGTTCTGTGGAACACCAGCCGCGGCAGGCGTTCCAGAGGAAGTCGTTGAACCGGAAGATTGGGCAGCGGGGTTTTGTCGTTGATTGCTGGCGGCACTCTTGACAAGATGCATGGTATTCCCTTCTTTTACATTGTGCTGTGACAGCGTGTCGTCATCTTTCAATACCTTGCCACTGTAGATCAATCGCTGTGCGGAAGCAGGCACATTTGCATATTCTTCGCCGGCAAGCTTAGTCTTGAGTTCGATGGTGGTCATGGAGAGGGGAACGGTGAGGGTGTATTTCTGGCCGCCTGCGGACTTGACATGAAAGGTGACTGTCGCATCCTCAGCTCCGGCTGAGTCGGCCATTGTTGCGATAACGACAGCGACTGCGCTGGGGCAGACGGACGGGAGGGATTCGAAGCGGGTGAATATGTACTGAAGCCAGCCAGATAATGTCGGACGCTGCGGCTTGTGGAGGGGCTGCTGGTCGGCTAAGAGGCGAGGTGGCAATGAGCCAGTCAAGGGCTGGAGGAGGAGGAGACGCTTGTCGCAGGAAGGAGAAAGTCGACCACAGGATAATGCAAGGGCGGGATGATTGAGGGACGTTGACGGGGAGAGAGAGGGCGACAGGCAGACAGAGTGGTGCGTGTGAGTGTTGCGAGAGAACAGGTAATAGTAATACTGTAGGTTGATATGGATGTCTCCGTCTGTCTCTATCTCTCTCGGTCTCTAACTAACTAACCAGTTAGTCACCTTAGTTCTTCCTGCGCTCGGCGACTCGTACATATTACGCAGCAAGAATTAGTTATTCGTACTGCCTGTGGCCACCACCGTTTCATTCCGTTATCGGCTCTTCAGCCTGGCAGCTTCGTTGCTGACTACTTATTACGCCCTCTTATGATGTAGAAATAGACAGGTGGGCTTCCTGCGCTTTCTCGTCCGAGCTCTCGTCCTTGGTGCAAGCCTCGTCCACAATTGGCGATGCGATATGCACAATCTCTACCGACTACAGAGTACTGTATTGAATGCTTGCTCCATCCACACTCCTCTCTTCTGATGGTATTATTGTTCACCCAGACTGACTTCTTGTCATGCGTGACCTACATGAATGGAAAACATCGCTATCTGTCTTTAGGTCTTGTAGAGAGCATAAAATCTGCCGGCGTCGAAACACTGGCAACTCCTCCTCGTATGGCCCAATCTGTCTGTCGTAAGTATTCGTGTCAGGATGGTCAGAATCAGATTGTTCCACGCCCAGGGTTGTTAAAGGCACTCTGGATGACCGAGTCGTCTGGCCGCAACGCCTTTTTGAGAATTGAAGAACCACATCCCTGAGGAGCCAGAAAAGGAGACCACCGAGGGCGGACAATGTCGCCGTGAGATTCGGTCCGTTTTCCGTTCTTCTCCCCGCATCAACCAGCACGAGACTTTTACGAATCCCCGCAATCGCATGATCTACAGACGTCGAAGAGCACGAGTAGCTGGTAGTAGATCTTGACACTTGGTTCCTGTGAGCCTCTGAGCAGTAAATATATTAAGCGCGTCTTGTTGAGCCCTCCATATAGTCTCTTCAACAGTACGGAGCAATCGGTCTTCCTTCATTCATTCACAATGCCTCAACGCCTCGTGATCGGTCTCTCGCAATCCCACACTCTCTCCTCGGTGCCTCAAACGCTCGCGGCCCTTCGCGATACCACCAAACGTGCCGCCGACAAGGGCATCTCGATTCTCCTGTTTCCAGAGGCCTACCTGGGCGGGTACCCGCGGACGTGCAGCTTCGGGGCAGCCGTCGGCTCCCGCACCGACCTCGGCCGCGACCAATACCTAGCCTACACCAAGTCGGCGGTCGACCTGGGCGACACGCCCTCGGGTGCCGGCGACGCATGGCTCGAGAACAAGCTTCCCGTGAACCAGGAAACCGGGCGGCGCGGCGACGGCACGCGCGAGGCCCTCGAAGAAATCGCACGTGAGACGGGCGTGTTCGTCGTCACGGGCGTCGTCGAGAAGGCCGGCGGCAGCCTGTACTGCTCGGCAGTCTACGTCGACCCGCGGCGCGGCGTGGTCGGGAAGAGGCGCAAGGTCATGCCGACGGGCTCGGAGCGGCTGGTGTGGGCGCAGGGGTCGGCGTCGACGCTGAAGGCCGTCGTGGCCACCATCAAGGGCGTCCGCGTCGTCATGGGCTGCGCCATATGCTGGGAGAACTACATGCCTCTGCTGCGGCACAGCATCTACAGCCAGGGCGTGAACCTGTGGCTGGCGCCCACCGCCGACGCCCGGGACACCTGGGAGCCTCTCGTGCGCACGATAGCGAGCGAGGGCCGCTGCTTCGTGCTCACCGCGAACCAGTGCATCAGGAAGAAGAACCTGCCCAGCTGGGTCACGGGTTCGACGACGACGACGAGAGACGATGCAGGCGGCGTGAGGGTCCACGAGACTCTCGCCAACGGCATCCCCGTCGGTACCTTCAAGGGTGGTCTTCGAAGGCTGTCCATGACGAGGACCGAAGAAAACCACGAGATTGCCTGGAAGTGTGACAACGAGACGATCGACGAGACAAACCCGCTTGAAAACGGCGTCGCCGCCACGACGACGACGCAGAAACAAAACTCCCCACAACAAGAAGGAGGAGACGGCGACGAGTTCGTGTCGACTGGAGGTTCGTGTATAGTCAGTCCAATGGGCCAGACCATCGCCGGCCCTGTGTGGGAACGAGAGAGCGAACTCTTGTACGCCGAAGTCGACTTTGAGGATTGCGATCGCGGACATCTCGATTTCGACGCTGCAGGGCATTATTCACGCCCTGATGCTTTCAAGTTGACGGTCGAGGGTTTAGATCTAACACCGCCGCCGTAGTGACTATTGAACTTAATCTAAAAAATGTCTTGCCGCATAAATTACAATGATTCACCATGCGAAGAGATGACATCGTACTCAAAAATCAGCACGTCTTGGTACAGATTGCTCTCGTCTCGTGCTAGACCTCTCCGCAGATGCAGGGCAGGTCAGCATCCAGCTCAAGATCAGCCGATGGAAAGCGGTTGATCGAGCGAGGCAAGAGACTTTGTACGTGGGGAAACAAAGAGAAAACCGTATGTCTTCGCATTGGGGAAAGGTACGAAGACATGCAAAGACATAGCAAATGGCCACAAAGGGCGCATTCCAGCTTTTCATTATGGCATCAGCTTCTGTGGATATCTTGCCGCCGCCTACATAGGGGTATCTCTGAGTTTCTTTTTCCGTTCCGTCCAGGCCAAGTTATACATGGGCGTTTTCCACTCTCGCGTTTAATATGCCACTCGTGTTCTCATATCCGAGATCTTTCGTTCAATCTCGCGGACCGAACGATCCAGCTCGCCAGCAATCATCAGCTTCTTGTCGTTTGGCAGAAGGAAATAAGTTTCGCATAGGTCACCGTCGATAGTGCCCTTCGAAGGTGCATAGTAAGACCGGTAGATGAGGTGGTCGCGACCGAGAAGGGGAGGATTGCCGTTGGTCGAGGCCAATTGCATCTCGAGAGACTGAAAGAAATCCACGTCTTCACGGCTGACAAAGGGCACGAGCATACCGAGTGTGCCCTGGAATCCAGTCCAGAATACAACATCCCGACCACCGGCTACCAAATTCGTTTTTTGGATGCTCGTGGGGATATCTCCAGGGAAGAAGTGTGCCATCAAGCTGAGTCTGTTGGGCGCGCCACTGAGGTACTGCCTCTCGTGTACCAGGTGAGCCCCAGAGCCATCTTCGTCAGCCTCCTCAGACGCCTTCGGCGGACAGCGCAGAAGCCACAAGTTACCAAACTTGTCACCACCTGCGACGGTTTCGTAGTCAACCATGGTGGCGCAGGTTGTCCAGCGCGCAATAACGTCGTCGGCGAAAGGGATGAGTTTGTTCTCTTGAAACTTGTAAACCACATAGATAACACTTTCTTGTACATCGCTGACAACAATTCTGCTTCCCTGAGTCTGGAGGCCGACGATTTGATTGGGCATGCGTACTTGGCATTTGCGAAGCATCTGTTTCATACCAAGGTCATAGATTCTTAGATCTGTACCCACCCCGGCAAGTAATCGCCCTTGAAAAGCAAGGAGAGCAGTTGGAGGATGCTCGACCTTTGTCTTATGGATGAACTCAAGTTCCTTGCCATCGTCATGAAACCGATAAACATGCAGAAATCCCGCAGCGTAAGATCTCGGACTGACTGTCAAATCCTTCGCGGTTCCGACAATCAAGAATGTCTCATCGTCTTGCCCTGCGAAGGGTGCTGCAGTGATACTAGTTGCACATTCATTGTCCTCCAGGTCAAGAGTGAAGAGAACCGATTTCGTCGTGACGGGGTCAACTATCTGTATGCATGATGACCAATGCCCAGTTCCCCGCGGATATCCGAATTCCTCGGGTGGTAATACAACCGCGTCACCATTGACTGCGGTAGATTCGGTAAGAAGCTTTTGCCGTGTCGAGGGAGCAAGGACGTTGTTTTCGGCCTCAATGACGTAGAAGAGCGGGTGCTCGGGATGTTTAACGAATTTGCGAGGTGTGTATGAGAGTGAAATGTTGTCTTGCAACAAGTTCTTTGACAAATCTTCAATAGTGAAGATCCTGATGAAAGATGTCAGCGAAAGATTTCTGATGTATTGGGGCAATGTTGCTGCAATTGAGGATTCTTCAGAAGGAACAATTGGTTAAGTTTGGAAATCCACATAAAAAGTTCTCGGTAAGAGCATAGTTATGGGTTCATCATAGAAAAGCCGCAGAAAGAGAGCAGATAAGCAAAAGGATCATACCTGAGATTCTGGCCTTGAATGCCTACTATTCCTTCAGGACACTGCTCGCTGGTGAAGTTCCAGACATACTGGAGCCCAGCATAATCCAGAGGTGTCAGCATAAACCCGTTTGTCTGTGTGTCGGTATAGCCCAGCCACGCCCGTGAGCTTAAGGCCATAACTGCATTTTGACCTTTGACTGAGACACGGAAAAGTTTCGCCGGCTTCAATCCGAGGAATCGGGTTCTTGTGTCCGACAACTCCCCAGTAATTTCGTCCAAGACCGTTCGAAGGTAGACTCCAGAATAGAGTCCGATGTGAAGATACAAAGTAGTTCCGCCCGAAGTCGAGTCAGCCATACCCATGATGGACAGGGCTGAGGGCGCCGAAGTCAGTGCTTGGACCGATTTGTTTTCTAGGGTAGAGTCTGGGTCAAGACTCAAGATTCTGACGGTCGAGTCATCACACCCGACAGCTAAAAATGAGCTCCGTACGCGACCCTCCGGGACATCGCCTAAGCTGAGACATGTCACCGTCCCAGTCATTTCTCTGCGTTCATCATATTCTGCGAGGGATCCATCTGTATCCAGCTCAAAGTAAACAATCTCGCCGGAACTCAGGGCCACAGCAACTTGTCGTTCGTTCGTAGTTGCAGCGACGATGGATCTGTGTTGAGGTGCTGGCCATTCGTTGACTCGCTTATCAGCACGAATATGTCGTATGCCTCGGGGGTGAATCTGTATGAGAGCGTCATCCCCCAATTGCTGGACGGCAAGAGTAGGTGCCGTTGACAAAAATCCCGTGTCGGTTACTTCCTCCACAGTTTCTCCTATGCTTAGTACTAGAGTACCTGATTTGAAGGACAATATGATATATGCGTCATACTCGTCTTCCCTTGTCAACTTCGTCGTCCAGACAGCCTCAGGCCTGTCAGGAAGCTCTGATTCTACGATCTCGGAGACAGATAATCCGTGCTTAAGTGTCTTGAAACTACTCCGAGCGCCGGAACCACATATTGAGTAGATCTGAGGAGCATCCTCATCGAGCAAGTTTGCAACCTTACAATCCATGAGAGGATTAGCTGAGTCAATGCTCTGTACCATGTTGAGGTTGGACAGAGCTCTTGGGTGAAAGTATGCGGGAGAATAGTCTCCGGTTGGATCCGATGGGTAGTCGTCACTGGTAAACTCCGTTTCTTCGTCGTCATCACCGAGTTTCTCGAACTGATAGAAATGGTGGTTGCCATTCTCAGCACTTACAAAGAGAAACCCACTCTTCAATATGTGCAGGCTATTGGCGACTGGTACCGTGTCAAAATACTTGATCTTCAGAGCTTGAACTTCTCCAGTGGGTTGCCCGTTTTCATCTTGAACCATCTCAATCGTCGTTTTGAACAAATCGCCATCCTCTGTCTGTAGAAGCAGGAAAAATTGCCCCTTCATCTTATGCATAACACCGGCAACAATATGTCGTTTTCGTTCCGGGTTCTCAAGTATACCTCTCCTTCGAGGTATGGGAACTCTGAAGGCGTCTTGGTTGGAATGCCGGTAGGTGATATTGTCTTCGGCGCATACAAGAACCCCGCTGGGCCCATCAGAGCCGCCAGGCACCTGAAACAACTTCGTGGCGTCCCGCGCAACGGGTTCGGCCCATCTACGAACCACATGGTTCAGACCCAAGTCGAGCTCGTAGTAGACCAGAAGTTTTTCGACCTCTTCGAACGCTTGGCCACTGGGATCTTGGTCTACCTCAGTATAGTCAACCTCTAGTGCAGCAAAGATTGGGTTTTCGTATCCAACATCCAGTGCAATGCAGTCAAAAACCAGCGTTTGGGGTTTATGAGCTTCAAGTGGTGACGATATCGTCAACTCAGCTTGAGCATTTCTGTTGAGAACATAGACCAGTTTGTTCTTTTCCACGGAAGCAATGAGGCATGCTCGTCCCTTAGGGTCGACTGCAAGGTATTGGCCAGGTATGACACGGCGAATTCCGGATTTTCCGTAGGTTTCGAGGTGTACGCGATTGAAACGGTTTTGTTCGCGGACGTATTCGAGTATGGTGATGCGTCCAGAATCAGATCCAACGATCAGGTAGTCTGGGATTTTAGTCAGGTAATGCCGGGACTTCAGAATGAGAATAACTTGCCTTTACTGCTTCCAGCTAAACGAAAGGATGCGAGGCTCCTGATGATACCGAAGCAGTCTTGGGTGAACAATGGGGAGATCTTCCCTTGGGTGGCATCGGGTCTGTGTATGGTGAGCTTCGAGCCAGATGCTGTGATGATCTGTTGCTCTTTTGTACCGGCAAATTGACCCAACACTGCGGAAGTGATGGCTGACGGCGGTTGTATAGTCAAGCTATACATGAACATAGAACTTGTGGTCGCCATGGTGAAGGAGGCTCAGGCCGCGATCGCAGGATCGGGCTGATCGAGGATACCGTCGCAACAAGCAGCAATGCAAGGGGGGATCACCGTACTGTAGAGTGTGCCATGCTAAGCGTAGACAAGATGAATCGAAACGATAATTTACGAGAAGTGGTAGCAAAGTACCTTTCTTGTGCAGTATCTTTGCACAGAGACATTCCGCATCTCGTGTGCATCCTGCGCGAAGTCCTGTTGCCGAAAAATGTTCAAAACGCCAAGCCTCATTGGTGGTTTTACCCGCCGCCCTTACAGCAGTTCCAACATCCTACCGTATATCTGAGAAAGCTAGCCAAAGACATTTCTTGATGTCGACCACACCGATCACTCCAACATTCTGCTTGTCTGTAATTGCCAATCACCGAAAATCTTGTCTTCCTGTCCGAATTCACTCAAACTGGGAGTTGAATCCGATATCATGCTTGCTATGGCCAGGGTCCAGCAATAACATCAGCAGTCTGGGCTGGGACCAGGCACTGAGGGCAAATTGGGTCCTACCTCCACAGAGTCCGAACCAGAGCTCATCCCAGGCCATGGCAAGGTCTAGCCTTTGGAGCCGAAGACAGCTGCTCCCTCCTCGAATTTCTGATACATGTTCAGGATAAAGCATAGACAATCTGAAGCAGGGAAAGATCCTAAACGGGATCAGAGGTAGGATCGGATCTTTGCTCTGCAATTTCGGGCTGGGACCTGAGTGTACTTGTGTCCGGAAATGAGATACAACATTATCGGACAAATTTCGAACTTTACTGGACGTTTGATATACCTCGATGATTCACGAAGTTGTTTCACCGGGAGTTATGTTGCGCAGAAGTTCGTCAATGACTGGATCAAGTTTCAGAAGTGACAGCAAAATTAAAGCGCTTCACTATCTGTGGACTGGCTGAGGACGCTGTATACCCGGCGAACAGTAATGCAACATTGGATATAGCGAGGTTGAATAATGAAATAAGTGCGAACCACAGATTCTAGCGAACCGTGGATGAGATTCCGAGCCTCGATATCACACTTTCGCATTCCTCGATATCTAATGCTAACTATTCTCACAATCTTCGCACATGGCCCTATCACCACATGGCAGACTTATCGAGACTCCCATAGATCTCATTCCTGGTTGCGGCGTGCAATTCGAGATCGGGTTCATTCGCGACTCCGTCGAAGGCAAGGATTGGATGTCCTTAAACTTCCTGAGCAGAAACTGGCTCATTCGCATTGAGTCTCTCACCAAACTCAGCGAAGTAGATGGCGCGGATAAGGCGGCATCAATTGAGCGACGAGCCGTTCCCCTGCTATCGCTGCTTGCGGCAACGGCGGTGCTGGACAACCCTTCCCGTGCGTCTACAAGTCTAATAGCGGTGTGCATTCGGTCAATTGCATGCGTTGCACACGCTCCAATCGTGGCGACCCAAAGGGTTGTGTTCCGGTGAGTCCGCATGCTGTTCTTGTGCGACGCCTGCTAATGGAACAGGTTCCTTGGTCTCCTCGTGGTGATGCTCTGGAGTTGATTCAAGCCAACTGCCGCTGTGTCCAGGCGACTCCGGTGCTCCGACCGTTGATGAGGTTCGCCGATTTGCCCGTGTGTTTGCTGTGTCGTGGCAAGTTAGTGATCTAGACCGCCCATATGCACCCTTGGCGAAACCTCCCCAACGCTAGGTACATACTTAAGGTATTAACCTGATGTGTATATACCCTTCACTGCCGCGTCAAAAATGACTGTTGATATGTTTCAACCTGCAAAATTTGGCCATAATCGGGAACCACACAGCCCCATGACTGCCTGAGCCTCACAGACCGATTTAAAATGTGTGGCATAGATGTTTTGGCGATGAAGGTATAGGGTTAAAATATGAACTATTCTCCAGTTGATAGGTTTGCGTTGGCACTTATTTTGTCGAAGCGGAAAAAAGGAGCAAGAATCATGGTAAACATCCTGAGGTTCGATTCTCGTCAAGACTGTCTGTGCTGATTTGGTTTTTTTTGGTTGGACGGATGGATCCTTACTTTCACATGATCTCGAGAGAGGAGTGAAGGGAAAAGCGAGGTGAAAGACCGCCTATTCATGATGCCGTCAACCCACGCATACAATCTGCTTTCAGTTATGCCCGCAGCCTGCAGTACCGCCTACAACAGCAATCCTAAGTTGCTAATCTGAGCATGCGCCGAACGAAATGTAGGGAAGCGAGACAGCAATCGTTATAGAAATAAAGTCAGAGTTATACATACGTCAGTCTTTCGCCCTCATATACCGTTAAGCAGAATGTGTGGATTGGGTTGAGGACAGCCAAGAGGCTGCATATATGGTATCTCTGTGGGAGTACGCTCCCACACTTCATCGTCATTCACGAAGCAGGCTGTCCTCCATGGACTGAACCATGCGGAGAGTCATGCGGGAGAGTTTTCTTGTTGGCGCTCCCCGGTGGCGCGGATGTTCCTTGACCTTTACAACGGGGGTCACCCTGGGCAAGGTACTGATGTACGCCTATCAAAGTGGAGTCGCAAATGGCAAAGACGGTGTCAGAGACACACAAGAACTGACCTGGATATTTGCAGTCTGTCCAGGTTGAAACAGGGACGACTTGAGGCGCTGGAATGGCGACAGCGAGTGGTGTCAATACCATCGTCGTTAAAAGGATGTTTGATGTGAGCGTGTTTAGATGCATGTTGCGGGTATTGGTTAGATTTGGGGTATATAGAATCGTTTGAACGCTAGCTGTGTTTGCGTCGAAAAGCTTACGGGGTAGATATGGGCGGATATAGGATGAGTACCTGTCCAGGTCGTTGTTGCGGGATCTCTCCCAGTACATGTATATTCCGTAGGCCATGACTGGATGATGGCTCAGAAGGACAAAAGCCTTTCATGAGAACTTGTTTCCATTCCCACCGCAGCGAATCACATACGGTCTGTGATTCGGAGGACTTGATGACAACAAAGACTGTCCCTGGATCTCGCTATAGCGGGCGCATTGTACCAACCGCGAAGCAAAGAAACCCTTTGTGCTTGTTGCGGTGCAGGCGGCGGGCCGGTGGTCGGATAGTGAACAACAAGGCTGAGTGTCTGCGGCGCGGGGAACCTTCCCTCCTCGCACACGCGCATCGGAAGCGGCCATCGGACTTTTGGATTATCCACATCCCGAACCGAAACCATCGTCTTCAAGTCCATACATACTGTACAGCACCAAGCCATGTTTTCTCGACGATGGCTTCTCCTTCGGCTCGTACAACTGGAGACCAAAGAGGACAAGACGCCACAGTCGCTGCTCGGCCTCTCTGTTGAGCTCGTGGGGAGCAGAGGTTGATCTACCGTCTTCCGGTTGCCGAATGAGCCTCAACCAGCGTTCGAGGCCAGGATACATCGCACACAGCAACCACCACAGAGATAGACAATTTACTAGAGTCACCAAAACAGTTCGACCAAATCCAGATATAGGGATATCGTAGCAATTGCTATCGAGACATTTCATCTCTCTGGGCCTCCATTCTCTGTTGATGACCGTCGACAACCTCACATCTACTATTTCATCCTCACTCATCAGACTACCGCCCACCATGTCCCAACCACAAAGTTTCGACTTCCTGGTCGGGACATTCAACACGCCTCAACTCTACACTCTCCGCTTCACACCAGCATCGGAATCACCGTCGTCGAGTTCCTCCGGCACACTCAAGATCGTCCAGCGTTCTTTCGCCATCGGGTCTCATTCCTGGCTACACCTCACCCCTCCCAGACCGGATGGGACGACACGCACACTCTACGCCACTGCTTGGACAGAACCGCCAACGGTGGTTGCTTATGCCGTCCACTCACCCACGCAAATATCCCTCCTCGGTACAGCAAGGACGCAGTCACGGAGCGGGTACGTCTGCGCGAGCGACGTCGCAGTCTACTCGGCGGGCGGCGCGACGGGCGAAGTCTTCGTCATCGACCGCGAGACAGGAGGCTTTCTCCAGTCTGCTGACACCGCCGCCGCCACGACGCACTCAACAACGCCGGCACCACCTCTTCAAACCATCTCGTTTCTCGACGCATCGTCTCAGCGCGACGACGGCAGCGTCATGGACTTTGGCGGGCTCCGCCACGGTGCGCACTCTGCCGACCTCTCGCCGGACCAGAGGGCACTCTACGTAGCCGACATAGGGCGGAACTGCATATGGACGTTCTCGCTGTCGCCGCTGGACGGGCGCACGACGCTAGGCGAGAAACACATCTCCCCTCGGCCAAACGACGGCCCGCGACACGTCTGGCCCCACCCGTCGGGTCGGTACGTGTACTGCTTGCAAGAGCACACGAGCATGGTCGACGTATTTTCGACGTCCGACGACGGCGTGACGCTGAAGCACGAGCAGGGCGTACGGATCATCCCGGCGGGAGAAGACGAGGGCGAGTTCTGGGCCGATGAGGTCCGCACGAGTCTCAGCCATGGCTCCTCACCGCGGTACCTCTACGCCAGCACGAGGGGTCTGGAGAACGGGAAGAAAGGGTACGTTGCCGTGTACAAGCTTACGGAAGAAGGGAGAATCGACGAAGACAATAATAGTTGTTCCGAGAGTACGAATAATCATCACCGCGTCTCCTCAAGTAGCACCACAAACGGCGGCACCACTACTGCTGCTGCTACCACCACCACCACCAGTCACACAAATGGCAACGTCAATGACACTGCCAATGGTAACAGCGACGCACATCGTAATACGAACGTGGCGGCGTCAACGAATGGCGCTTCTGTCAACTTCCACCTCGACGCGAACGCAAACACCAAAGCGTCCAACGACCCCTACGCGGGGTTACAGTGCATGTACCAGACGGCCACGAGTGGCGGGTGGGCCAACGCCATACAGCCCGGCCCGACGGTCGACGGAATCGAGTACCTCGCGCTGACGGACAGTGAGGAGGGCTTCGTTTTCGTCCTGAGCTGGGACGGCTCCGAGATCAGAGAAGTCGCCAGGACGAAGCTGGACGAAGGGGCCGGCGCCGCCACTGCCGTGTGGTGTTGTTGAACCGTTCTCGACCGATCAGAACGTTCTGGTATATATTTAGATTAAAGAACAATTAAAGAAATGACTTGCATCGATTTTTTGGGGTTGGAGAAAACAACAAAGAAGAAGAAGAAGAAGAAGAAGAAGAAGAAGAAGAAGAAGAAGAAGAAGAAGAAGAAGAAGAAGAAGAAGAAGAAGAAGAAGAAGAAGATGATGATGATGATGAGAACGGACAAATGTGACAATGGTGGATGGATCGAAGTAAACATAAAACAGAATCAATCGTGACGACGACGACAGGGAATCATTAAATAAACGAATGCTTCCCCACGGCAAGACTTCTTTCTGCGAGGAGATCAACCAACTTACCGAGGAACAAAAAATCAATTCAATATATAACGTATAAACGTGTGACCTGGCAAGACATTGAACTAACTAGCTACCTTATCTGTTCAGAAAGACGGCAAGTACAGATACTTAAAGTCCTAAACCCCCCAAACGAACCTCGCTATCATGATTGACCCAGTCAAGCGAGCGAGAGCCCTCGGAATGCACGACTTTGATTAATTAATTAATTAATTCATCCATTCACTCTATGATTTTTATTATATTTCCATTTAAAGCAGAAGAAAGCAGAACCTCAATTACTCTTCTCCGCATTTGGAACATTGGCTTCATTTCCACTTCCACCGGTCGGGACGGACCCATTCGTCCTCGTTCGGGATCGACGTGTAATTTCACTGTCGTGGTCCGCTCTGCTTCTCGTAGCATGCAATGCCACCATTCGCATCTCAGTTTCACTGTCACTTCCGCTCGATTCCTCGTCGGCCGGTTTTTTGACGGTCATTGTCGGCGCAAACTTGGACTTTTGTCGTAACTTCTTGCCATAGAGATAGAAACAGATTGGGATGGGCACACAGAGAGCCGCAAGGCAGCCCAAGAGCGTGCCAGCCCATTGAATTCCTAGGTTATTGAACATCTGGCGCGCGAACAGCGGAAATCCAGCGGCAAAACAAGATCGGAGAAAGGTGTTGGCGGCGACGGCGGAAGCGGCACTGTTGGGGAACGAAGTTAGAACATGATTTCGAAAACAGAAACATTGTACTTACAACATGAGATAAGAATCGATGATATAGTTGAAGCATTGGATGAAGATCGCCAGTAGACCAAAGCCTGTGAAGAGACCCGACAACGTAGGAACGATCCAATGCACCGATTCCTTGTAACCGGACCAGCCAAACCAGAAGAGGCCGAGAGAAAATAGAACGCCTCCGATCATGACGGGCGGAAGACGCCATTCCGGAACAGGAATGCCTCCATTGGCTTCCAACTTCTTGTTGTAGTTCCGGGCATCGTATATGATGTATCCAGCAACAAGGAAAATGCCCACGACCATGCCGAAAAATGGCAGGCCAGCAACACCAGGCTTGATATGGTGAACACCTTGAAAGACGAGCGGATAGGCGGTCAAGAAGCAGTAGAGAAGGCCGTAGATGAAGGACATGTATATGGTAATGGCGAGGATAATCGGCTCGGAAATCAAAAGGCGAATCGGACGAGAGAAATTCTTGGTCACCAGTTCTCGGAAGTCCACTTCAACTTCTTCTTGTTTGGCATGGATACCCCAGTTCTTGGTGCGACGCCTCAATTCTTTAGCTTTGCCGACCAGGACGACGGGCGCGTACGTCTCTGGCATGAAAAGGGTGACGAGGATCAAGGCGAAGGAACCCATGATTCCTGGTAGGTAGAGATTCCAACGCCATCCTAGATACGATTCGTTGATGAAGCCTCCGATGAAAGGCCCTAGCATAGGTCCCATGAACACCATGGAAGAGAAAATGACAATGGCCGCACCTCGTTGGCGGTTGTCAAACATGTCAGAGAATGCTGCCGCGACGACTGCCAGAGGACACGAGCCAAAGAATCCAGTGAAAAACCGAGTGATCATCAACGTCTGTAAATCTTTGGCTGTTGCACAACCGAAGCAAAACACCGAGAAGCCGAAAACTCCCACAAGGATGGGCAACTTGCGACCTTGCAATTCTGAAAAGGGGCCCCACACCAATGGTCCGAAGGCATAACCCAGCACGTATAGAGAGGTGGTGAGAGTTGCCACCTCGACGCTGACGCCGAAGTGAGCGGCTACCGTGAAAGTAGAGGCGGAGAAGATGGACGACGTGAATGTGCTGCCCAGGCAGGTATATGCCAGAATGGCTCCGATGTAGAATCTAACAGCAGTCAGCCCTCCATGTCTCATCACCGCGCAGGCAGGAGGTACTCACTTTCTCTTGAAAGGCCAGTTTTGTGGATGTGCGGGATCGTCTTTTCCATCAAACTCCACCACGTATTCTTCCTGCGCCGGGAGCATAGGAGGATATGGCTTCCCACCTCCAAATTGCGGGAGAGGCTTCGTAGAGGCGCGAGATTTGACGCTGGCGCCAACAGTTTGGACCTGCTGGAGGCGGTGTGTTGCGGTTCGTACATCTTCGATCGGGTGTGTCCTTGTTCTTGTGACGATATCTGGATTGGAATAGCCCGCGGTAGCTATTCTGCCCATCGATGGCGACGTAGAAGTGCTTGATCCCGACGAAGTAGACCCCATCGACTCTCTTGATTGTTGGCTGCGCAGTGACCGACGTTCCTTGCTCTCCTGCGAGAACGTCCTCGTCGCCTGCATCTCAGCCCGTTCCACGTCACGGTCGACGATATCCATATTGGCCACGACTGTGTGTGTCCTGATCGAGCTCTTCTGTAATTATAATTTTCCTATCGTCTATGTTCGCAGGCACGTGTCCAATACCAATGGCTTTCAACTGCCTCGACAGCAGCGGCCGCGGCGGAGCGTTGTAGACGTTTCCTCCTTCAATGATGCACCAGAGAAGATTCGAGCGTCAAGAGTGTTTGCAGACAACACCGTCGAGATGCGGGGATTGGATTGACACAATCTTAGGAGTGAAATAGACGAGGGATCTGAGATATGATCTGATAAGTATCACGGACAGACGGTGGAAAATCGATACCCAAAAACGATGCCGGAAGAATGAAACGCTACGATGTGGTGGTCATGGCTTTTATTGTGATTGACCGGTGTCATCGGATGGGCGGGCAGCTGGTGTTGTTCCAGGTGGTTTATCGTGGAGACGGGGAAAAGCCGCCGATCAGCGAGTGCTTCGTACGAGTACAAATAATACACTACGCGATTCCTGCAGGGAAGTCAAAACAATCGATTACTAACTAGCGGGAAAACTAGTGAAGCTGCAGCTTATGCTTACAAGTAGGTGAAATGGAGCCAACAAGGGGCCTGGGAGACCCCGTTGCCCGAGGCCTAGAGAGCCTAGAGACTTCTAGCAGGGGAGCCTAACGAATCCTCCCAGCCCTGGGAGCCCCCGAAGGTTGCTGCTAAGGCGTAGCCTAAACGCCACATACATAATGTACGGGTACTCGGTACCCTGGTATGCTCTTTGGCTTTTTTGCGCCCGCTGACAAAGAACCACCGTGGTCCACCACGACTACGCATTCAGGTTAAAAGCTTCTACAGTATGACGACACGGGCTGTGCTTGGGTGGCTCTCTGATTTGTCTATGTAAAATCCGATCTCTGCCGCTTCTGCCGATCAGCGTATCCCTATATGCCTCGTCTATATCCCTCGTTGCGTCGCCAGGGTTCCGAGTTGGCTGGCAATGGCAGAATCCACATGCTGCATTTTATTTATGCAAATATGCCGCTGGGATCTCACTGGCGAGCATCAAAGACCCTGCTCTTTTGTGTATTTGCACGGCGAAGTAGGCCAGTGCTATCTCACAGGACGAAAGGAAACACAGAGGGACATCACTCCTCAGCGTCCTGTCAGGCTCGCGTCGAGTTTGTTTCTTCTGCGGATCTCTGAGAATCTGGTCTGGCCGCCTGATTCGAGAAGACTGATTTTTCGAGTCAACCCGCTTGGATGCCCTAGCACTACTGGTTCCCATCCTTCGTTGTCATCGTCCAGCCCTTTTCTCGTACTGGGAATCATTTGGGCCGTCTTCCGTCGGATCAACACACTTATCAGTAACAATGTCAACGCCATCAAGATCCCTGCAACGATGAGAGCTGCCTGCATCGCTCCAACTTTCCTTTCCACGCGGCCACAAATGCCAACCGATGCGGCGCCAAACACAAACTCAAGTGATTGGGTCACGGCCACCCCGGCACTGACTCTCGGATAACAGGTAAAGTTGGTCCTTTGCTCACGATAGCGCATCGAGATAGAGTTTCGTACTGGCCGTCCTGTCATTCCTGGCTGCAGGTCCGACACGTCGAAGTTTTGCATGATCAAGGCGTAACACTCGCCGATGGCCAGAGTGGAAGCATAGGCCACGAGAGCCGCAAACACGCATGGTGCCGCCACAGGAAATGCTGGTCCTCGGGACGTCAAGCCATATGAAATGGCTGCAAGTGGTAGGACAACCATGACAAGGGCCCGACGAAGGGTATGAGAGTTCCAAGGCAAAGATCTTTGAAATGTCATGCTGTCAGTCCTCGGAGGATAGTAGCGAGCACGGCTGAACCATGAAGCCTTCTCAAACGGTATTGCCAAGGCCGATCCAATGGCCAGTGACAGAACGCAGAGTCCAACGTCTATTGGGCGATATCGGTAAAGTGTAGATGTTAAAGCTCCCAGCAGCTGAATGTCTTGTGTCAGCTGTGTCAAACACGGATGACGACGGAATGCTCACCATCAGAATCAAGGTGAACTGAGCATATGTCCACGCTGTATACACGGACAGAATGAGAAAGCCTGGTTGCCGAATCATTTTCCAGCTGAGGTGAAGTCCAGCCTTGATTTCTTCGCCCCACCAGTATGGCCCATTACCTGTGAGATGCAGCTTGACCTCTCCACGAGCGACTCGACTGAAGCTTCCCCCCTCCCCAATTACTTCTGCTAATGTACGACGAAAGGCTGATCGACGAACCTCTGGTGCGATAACATTCAGCAGGAGAGCCCCCATCAACAACAATAGCGATGTCCAGAAACCCCAATCAACCGAAGCACCACTGATAATGAATGCTCCAATGACGAAGCCAACCGCGATGGACCCAGTTGTACACCATGTCCATATGGCAAGCCATACGCCCATTCCCCCACCGTGTCGTCGAACGTCGTAGGGATCTGCCGATGCTTCATGCGACCGGCTGCTCTGGAGAGATGCTCCGAATACGTCGAGCAGGGTAGCCAGGTTGTTGATGTTGGCAAACCCAAAGGCAAAGCCGGACATGCCCCTGGCCCACAGCAAAACCACACGGTATCTGTCCACGTCCGGAGACCTGAATGAAATGACCATCACTCCTTGTGGAATTTGCAAGCATAATGCTAATATGATAGCGGCCACATTATATGGTTTGCGACCATGTAGAAGCGGCAAAGGCCAACAGACCAGCGTCGGAATGATAAGGCCACAGTAGAACAGAACGTTTCCGAATATCATCCGACGGTTCAGGTCCACGATCACATATTGTATAGCGGGCACTTCTCCAGCATATATACCCACGGTAAGTCCGAGGCAGGCCGCGTTCACACAAGCTACTGCTGCTGCAAACCGCTTGCGTGAGTCGGGCCAATTTCTCGCCACTGGTGCATGGTGGCAGGTTTTATGAACGTCGATATCGGCGGGACTTTCATCAATATCAACGTGACGGGCGCCGTTGAGATCAACTTTTGAGCAGGACACCTAGTCTGGATGAGCCATGTTCAGACTTCCTTGTCTTGAGTGTACGCCAAACATATTCGTGAAGTGCCTCTCGTGGCCTGCACGAGGTAGATCCGAATTTTCAAGACCCCGAAGCAGACCACCTTTGTCATCCGAGTCATCTTCGTTCAAATCTATGTCGTGTAATCGTATGATGGGTGAGGGTCGTATAGCTGTGCGTCTGAACCCTGTGAGCTGCGTCGACTTTCTCCGAAAACTTGTGCGTGATGGTCCCGGAAGCTTACTAGGTTGCTGGATCTGGTTTACTGACGAGGTTCTCGGTGTTCTGTCATCTTGGTGATCGTCCATCGGTTCAGGTGGGATTAAGCGTAACTCGTCGTCACCCCCATCTGGGCCAACATCCATCCCTCTGGATGGTTTCTCGGATGGCTGTTCAGACTTCCCAGAAGATTGTGCCGATGTGAGCATTGCAGACGCCTGTCTCCAGTCCTCTGCTCGATCTTGCCCGTCAACTATACCTGCTGATCCCGCGAGTTTGACAGCCTCAGACAGAAGGTGTTCCAACTCCTGAAGAGTCTTTGCGATGGCCTCGGATGGGTCTTGGTGGCTCATTTCGCTATGTGTTTAAGTCGAGACTGGCTGGCCTTGTCTGTTCCAATATGGTTTTTCGAAAGTACTAAGAATAAAACTTAAGGTCCTGGAGTGCGAATTGCGCGTGAGCAAACCCGAATTCGTGCATCACGAAAGAAAATAGTGATAGTGCCTGGAATGATGCAGAAGAATGTGGAGGACTGTTATGGACTACTGGTCGTTCAAAGAGGCGAGCATGAGTTACCCGGTAATGGAATCAGGGAAGGCCTGTAACAGGTCACTCACTGCTCTTGCCATTCGTCTCGGCGTGTACTCGTACGGTTCAATGATTAAGGACGACGCCCTCAGCGTCAGGACTTAAGCATCGCTAAGCTTTCGCTAGACATAGCTTGTTTAGGCTTGTTGCCCGTGCACGGTGCGATGAGGTCACCACAGACACAGCAATGCCTTGATCCAGGGATCGTGGACGCTGGACTTCATTCAACCTCATTGACTCCTCGGGTCAAAAACATTGGTCGTTGTAGGCTGTAGGCATTTTCACATTTCCCATGTGGCCTTTACGCAAGTGATGTTACCACCTACGAAACGTACAGTGTCAGTGAAAGACTCGCAGAGGATGCTCTGCGCCACGGGTTCAGAGTAATGACAAGCTACCCCTCCATTCCTGCCCCAATTGGTAACTTGTTTGCCGCCGCCTCTTGAAACGGGCAACGTGTCGTTGCTCCTGCGTTTGATTGATCTCGAGGGAATTCTTTCATGCAGCCCAATCTCTTTACTTAAGACCTCGCCGGGCTCCCCCTTGACTCTCAGCGTTGTCGGTAGCTCAACAGGCCCATATTGTTCCCAGATCGCAAGGGAGTTGATCTGACTTTCCCCTTCGTTTTACCCAAGCTACACATCCATACCGCGGTCTCCGCTCATTTCAGGCGTCATGTCATACTACAACGAAGGTTACGGCGGGCAACAAAACTACAACGAGCCTCCTCGAGTCCCTGAGCCATGGGTCGCGAGATGGGATGGTGAAGCGAGAAGGTGGTACTACATCAACCAACAGACAAACCATCAGACCTTCGAGTATCCTCAACAGTCGTATCGTAACGAGGGTTACAATAGTAGCTATGGACAAAATTATCGCGGTCGGAATGAGGGTGGCTACCATGAGCAACAACCGAAAGAGAAGTCACACACAGGTCGCAACGTTGCTCTCGGTGTTCTAGGGGGCGCTCTTGCAGGTGCATTCGTGGAACATGAAGGACAGAAAGTCGGTGAGTACTAGTTAAGGGCATCTCTTGACAATGACATACACACTGATCCTACTGCAGAGGAGAAATGGGACGAAGACAAGTACCGCATTGAGAATGATGTTCGCCAGGATGTGGACAATGTTGAAGACTTCCCGGAAGATGCAGCTCGCTGGACCGGCCGAAAGGTCCAAGATGTTGAAGACATTCCTCAAGATATCGAGAACAAATGGGACAATGCAGTGCAGGATGTTGAAGACGTGCCAGAAGATGTGGCAGGCTGGGCCGGGAGGAAAGTCGGCGATGTGGAACGATTTGGTGACAACATCGACAATGCCTATGACGAGGGCCGTGATGAGTCTCGCTACGATGACGAATATCGCGGCAATTACTAAACCTATCTATGGCAACAGCCGTGAATATCAGAACAACCTCGTCACAACGAATCACGCAGCTCAAGAGCCTCCTTCCTATCGGCATCCTAGCAATCCTTTCCACAACCCTCGACTCGAATTCAAAGGCGTCATCCGCTTCTAGGAGTCTTCCCGTGCTCTCCCAGGAACTCAACTATGGACGAGCTCGGAGGTATCTTTACTCTGGAATGCCCACCCTCCTCTGATGCTAGCAACTTGCTACGGAAGATTGTGATGGCTGGAATGATGAATGTATCGTCTACGTTACAGTATCCAGCTCCCCGGAGACCAGACTTTGATAGACAACAATGAACACTATTGAACTACAACTGTTCATGGACTGCTAGGAGAACATGACCTTGTCTTCTGTTGTATGTTGTCCCGTGTGTCCAAGGCAAATGATCGCGAGCTGTATGCGCTCCGGGTTCAGACTTTGAGAGGTAAGCGACCATCTGTGTATTTTGTGCTTTGGTGACACTTGAGAAGCTACGAGTCCTCGACAGAGGCCATGCAAGGCAGGTACCAGCTCTTCAAGCCCACAGGAGCTGCCATTGTATTCGTGTGTTCTTTCAATAAGACAATTGGACAAGGCAGAGCTTCAACCTTCATTTAGTAAATCATCACACTCGCTTACCATCTCCGCTTTGCTGCATCAATAACAATACAATACAATTTGATTTGTGGGCACCTGTATGATTTATACCTTTATTCTTTTGTCGGACGATCCCAGAGATACCTTTCCTTTGCAGTCATTCACTTGCGAACAATACACACACGCATATGAAGTTCAAACTGCCAGCCAGACTCCGCCAAAGACTCAACAAGATGCGAACCAGCTTGACGAGATCTCGCTCCGACGGGCTTAACGAGCTCGCTGCTGCCCTCCGTGAATCCATCGAAAGCTTCATGGCGTCGACAGACCTTTATGATGCCACAACTCCCCTCCTGTTTGAAGATCGAGCCCGTCAAACGAGCGATCCGTCCGATATTGACATTCCTTATCGACGAATTGACGAACAAGGCCATGAAGAGTCGAGCAACCATGAGTCTGAAGTTGTACGGCTGTTGACAGATATGAAAACAGACTCTGAGGCAGTGCGACTGTTGACAGACATGAGAACGGACGCTGAAGCTGTGCGATTGTTGACAGATATGAGAGAGCAGTCCAGGCCTGTATGGCCGACGACAACCATAACTCCATCAATTCAAACATCATCCCAAGCCCAAGGACTGGAAGCTGATCACGATTCACGGCCAAGAGAAGTGTCAGAGGAAGACTTTGCCGGGGAGTGGTGGGATTTATGTTCGGAGTCGTCCTCTGATACGGACTCAGACACAGATACAGACAAGGAGCATGGAGCTCAACCAGACTTGGATGAACGTCCTGAAAGGGAGCCTGAACCCGGTGTGGCGGATACTCGACCAGAACCTGAGAGGAGCATTGATCATTGGACCATCGTCGCGAGACTAGGCATAATTCCAGAGGACTTCCAATTGGATAGGCCACAACAGCGTCTGCTGAAAAAAGGACAACTGCTGAAATATGCCATGATCAACTGGCAGATGGTATGCTTGAGGAGATGGAGCCTGGAGAGGGAAAACTGATTCAGTACGTACCTAGGATCCGTCTGAAGCTGGCTAATGGCAGATCTGGAAAGATTTTCGGGGTTGTTTTATTCGCGATTCAATTAGTTAGTATGCGAGAGGGTAATGATAGCATTTTCACGCTGTGTTGTTTTGACGTTCATCAGTACATAATCAGAGATAGAAAGTTGGAGTTGCATGGTTTTGAAATCTGTGCGGCGCCTTTAGGGCGTTTCTTTGATTGGGCCACCAACTTTCCAACAGACAAGGATGTTGATCAGGGTTCAGCACATACAATGACGTCGATTCCTCGTGTTTCCTCTGACTGAACAGACGACGACATGCAAATCTGGATTGTGTAATGTGTAGTGTGTACGAGTAATATGTGACAAGCACTGTGTTGATCATTCTTTAATTTGTGCTCAACTCGAACCTCATTGAGACCGGAGTCGTCTCTGGTATACCGCGTATGGTCCAGGTTATCTGTTGTCTGCTGAGTTGACCAAGTTCCGTGGGCCGGTGGCTGCGAGTGAGCTACACTTTAGCGACGACGTCATTTATCTGTACGAGTATCTTTTTGGTGCCGCTGAAGAGAGAGAGAGAGGGTGGTGCGTTCGCCCAGGAAGGAAAAAGGGGTTTCGACAATCTACCCTATGGAAACATTGAAATCAGCATTTGGTGGCGGCGGCGGCGGAAGTGGCGGGAGTGGTGACAACAACAACGACGCGGGGGACGTCGAGATACTCTCGACGAGTGCGGATGGCAGCAGCAACGGCGCCGCCGACATGCCGTCGCGCGAAGAAATGCTCAAGACGATCGAATCCCTCCAGAAGGCCCAGAAGGCCCAGTCGGCGGCCAACGACCTCAAGTCCAAGGCGATGGCGATGGCGAACTCGAAGCAGCGGGAGAAGATGCTCCGGGAGGCCTTCGACAAGGAGATGGAGGCGCACGGGCACAGCAAGATGGCGCGACGGATGCAGTCGGGCGCCTGGCAGGGCCTGGGGTTCGGGGGAGGCATCGGCGCCGCTTCGGGCCTGGGCCTGGGGACGGGCCTGGGCACGGTGCTGGGCGCGATCCTCGCGGTGCCGAGTACCGGGTTGGGAATGCTCGTGGGGAGCGGCGTGGGCGCCATCCACGGGCCCTGGGTCAAGTTGGGCGGCGGCAAGGAGGAGCCGTTTGAAGACGCCGATCCGGAGAAGGTGGTCGACGCGATCGAGGAGGAGAGAATCGCGGCAGCCGCGCAAGCACAGAACCGACGGGGCCAACGAGAGGGACAAACGAGGGAGGAGGATAAGCAGAAGCAGAAGCAGAAGCAGCAGCAGCAGCAGCAACAACAACAACAACAACAGCAACAGCAACAGACGACGGAAGGGAAGAGGAGGAAACCGCCGAAATTGGAGATCAGGTCGAAGAAGAACGAGAATGGTGATCGGAACGGGAGTGAGAAGGAGACGAACAAGGACAGGAGCGGTATCGGTGACGGTGACGGTGTTGGTGTCGGAACTGGAAACGTACAGACGAAGATGGCAGAGGAATCCAAACCGAGAAGAAAGCCACCAAAGCTGGAAATCAGGTCTGGAAAGGGGTCGAATGGTACCAAGACATAATATTCTACTGTTCGTATAATAGCTCCTTTGGTGTGAGGACGTGATGGGACATACTAGTTAGCGTCAGCCGTCCAAATCGGATTTCAAGCGAATACTTACTGACCGACTGCGCAAAGATACCTACTCTTAGACACCACCACTTGATTCGTCTCCTTCACGACGACTGGTGGCAGCAGCAGCAGCAGCAGCAGCAGCAGCAGTAGTAGTCAACAAAACGATACATCTACAAGTACCTAGGTATTCTCCCGATGGTGCTCGATAAGGTAGGTATGTATCTGCTGGTGTCTGCTGCCTCGCCTTGTTCATACCAGTCACAACCTCACACGGCTGACGGGTCTAACCACAAACCCGACACGGGGAAAATGAACCCTGACTTGTCCAACCCGAGGTCCATCGTCAATCCTCTGCGGAACGATCACAATCTCTTCGGGCGTGAGCGCCACCAACATCCCAGCCGTCGGACTGTCCCTCCCTGTATCGTCTGGGGCGACCGTCACCTCGACCCCTTTGACCAAGCCGTTCCTCGCATCAAGAGAACCATGCGGCCCGGCCGGCGTCGGCAGCAACGGAACTTCCTCGTCGTCGAGTGCCAGGGGTGCCGTATCTCTGATGCGCTCAATCACCCGATCTACGCCCTTGGCGTCTCCGCCGCTCTCCACCCTCGTCTCCGTGGAGGGTAACTCGGCAAAATACCTCTTCGCCCTCTCAAACCAAGCGAATACCCCAGGGTACCTCGCGGGGTCGAAGACGCTCGCGACCCCCTCTCCGGCACCGTCCGCAGTCCCACCGCCCGTCAGATTCGCGATGCCGTCTCCTCGGCTGATCCTCTCGCCCCAGTCCAGCTGGTACCACAGCGCCACGTCGGCGGCGCTCGGCTTGTCGCCTTCAAACACCCATTGCTTCGTTCCGGGCGTCTGAAACAACGGTTCGAGAAGACTCAGCTGTAGATCCAGCGCGCCGAGGTTCTCGGGGATCTTGTGCTCGAGCTTGTCGGCATTGAGAGTGTGGCCGATCAGGTTCGCCCGGTCCGTTCCAAAGTGTGTACGCCACACGGTCGACGGGATCAGGCCCGTCGTGACGCGGAAAAGGGGCCGGTCAGTCCAGTAGGAAGCGAAGCCTCGGATTAAAGGGCGATACGACGAGGCGGTAGCGTCGGGATATAGTGATCCATACCCTTGAGACGAGGGGAAGTAGTGCTCCAGTGCCTCGAGGATGAGTGATGTGTCGATGTATATCTGTCGGTGTAACGTGGTCGTTAGGCAAAAGGATGGAAAGGAAATGAAAAAATAAAGGGCGCGGAGTAGCTTTTACCTCCCTCCCGATGACAAGAACAGGTATCTTGCGATATGTCAAGTTGAAGGATTCTCTGAGGAGTGGTCGCGGCATCATCGATGGGACAATCACAAATGCTGTTCAACAATGTCAGTCCGACACATCCCTCGGTGGGGCGTGTCATGTTCTCTCTGCGTGTGAGGCTGGGGTGGTAGAATGGTACACTCACTATAGGGGATCTGCTTCAACTTGAGAGCCAATCTCGCCTTTTGCGTGAATGGCGAAGCTGCCACGTTCGAGGTCTCGGTCAGTAGCCATATAGAGTCCAAAAGAGTAATGCAAACTCTGTACACAATAGGTACTTTGTGCAATTGCAGTGCCAATGGTTTTTTGCCAGGGGCTTCAACTCACAATCGTACCCGAACAAGACCACTGAAGGCTTCGCAGCCTCCCGAGACGCCATGGTTGAGGACGTTTGAGAGCGAAGAGGACAATATCTGGTGGTTGATGAGGAAGATGTAGTTGTAGGTGACGATGATTTGATTCCGGCAGATGTAACAAAGGCACTCTCGTGGCCGGAGAGCAAGTCTAATCTCTTCCCGTGCCCGGTCGCCTCAGAGACCTCAGCTCGATCATCTTACCGTTGTTCATATACGATGGTTACGTAACAACGTTTGACAGGGTTGAGTCAAGTCTCAACTGCGAGAGGGAGTGAGTGAGAGAGCCTTGGTCCGAACTTCATCCACGCCGAGGCAGCTGTCAATCAATACATGAGTCACACCAGGCCAACTAGGTAGGTAGGTACTGTCCCTAAGGTTGTACCTTACATGTATGCATCAAAGGGGCTCGAGGTCCGCCAGACGCGTAACTCGGCGTGGCGTATACATGCCTGGTTACGGATGAAAGGAAAGAAATGTCAACGTCAATAGTAATGAATTGCAACTCCGCCGCAATCCGGTGTTAAACGAGCCTCGGGCTAACGCACAACTTACACGTAGGTACAAGTATCTTTAGGACTCGCGTATACGAATCTGATTACTATTTGTCTCTCCTCCTCCATATCACGCTTATACGGCACGGACGGTGCAATACTTATCACCTGTACATTGTCAAACTGCGCCCTTTGCTCTTGGCAGCTCAAGACGAGGTAAACTGGCGCCGAGCTGCCCCCGTACCTCATCCCGCCGGCGCTCAGTATCTTGGCTCGATTTACTCAAATGAGTTACGTTTCTTTGAATTATTTAAGTCTCCCAAAGAAATTCTCGACTTTGAAATGCTTTCGAAAAAAAAAAAAGAAAAAAAAAAGGTGGTAGCCTTGTTCCGGATTAGTCTGTATGCAAGAGTCCTATGCTCGATTTCCCAGACGGATGAGGACAATCGGGGGTTTATCGCCCATTTGCTTGTACCTCAATTCCATGATTCCAGACGCTTCCGCGAACTCTCGAAGGCGTTCATAACCATAATTGCGCGGGTGCAGATCAGGGGAAAGCTTGTTCAGCAAGTTCCCTACCTCGGCTAGGTTGACCCAGTCTTCGCTGTAGCTCGGGGCATTGGCCACCGCCGTCATCAAACCCTTGATGGCTGCAAAGTCGAGGGGTCTTTTAGCAGGCTGTGGACGAATGAGAGCCGTAGACAGGCCCGCCCTTGGTGATTGAGGTGTGCAGAGCGACTCGTCGGATTCCACGCTGAGGGCATCGAAGTACATGAATTTGTCGCAAGCAGCAATAAACGCCGAATTGGTCTTCCGCTCTCCAAAGCCGTGGACCGTGACACCCTGTTCGCGGATACGGGCGGCGAGGCGCGTGAAGTCACTGTCGCTCGAGACGATGCAAAAGCTGGAGAATCGACCAGTGTATAGGAGGTCCATGGCGTCGATGATCATGGCGCCATCCGTGGAGTTCTTGCCACTGGTATACGCGAATTGTTGCATCGGTGTTATCGAGTGCTTCAGCAGGCATGTTTTCCAATTCTTCAACGAAGGGTTGGTCCAGTCGCCATAGATTCGCCTGACACTCGCAGTACCGTAGTTGGCTATCTCGGTCATGAGACCAGCGATGATTTTTGGTGAGACATTGTCCCCGTCGATAAGGAGCGCTAGATTAGAGTTGTTGGTCGTCATTCTGGCCAATCTAAATCTTCATGGTGTGGAATTCTTGTAGTACCAATCTAGTCTGAACACTGAGTCGACTTGGGGAACAGGACAACGAACTTTGTCGAGTAACTACCGCCTCGCCTTCTGGTATAAAATAATGCGGGGAAGTGTCTGGTGTCCTGCTTGGAAATTGCTAACATCAGCAGAGAGTTCATTGATCAGGGTGGCGGGGTTCACCAAGTGTCCGGCTTGGAAAATGGGGGCGAACAGATATATATATATCTATGGATTGACGACTTATGTTGAGTGTATTAAAGCCAATGAATAAAGGAGGAGAGAGATATCGCCGCCAAGAGTCTCTTCTCGATATATCTCTCTTAGTTATCTGTGATTAATAGAGTTACCTAGGTACTCGTAGGAATAGCCCTGTTCTTCTCACACCAACTCAATTTTGGTCCCATTATTAAGTAAAGGCACCCTGTACAGCGCATAGGGCTTGACTCTCCGATCGACACCCCCTTGTTGACTGGGGCCCCTCCAGAGCTGGTTCTCGGTGAAGTACAGGTACTGCCCACTGACCGAGAAGGTATCTGTCCACTCGATCCTCGCGTCGCGGACATAGGTCTGTACGGTGCCATTGGCCGGATCGAACGCAAAGACCGAATCTGTCTCGACGCTCCCTCCGTACACGATCCCGTTACTATCGCTCTCCAAGCCGTCGCTGACGCCTTTCTGGCCCAAGTCCACGACAGAGGCTTGAGCGAACAGCTCACTGGAGGCGCTGCGGTCGCGCAACCGCGCTGTGGGCACCGCGTACAGGTGCCGGCCTGAGACGACGCTAAAGTACAGAGTCTCGCCGTCGTTGGAGAGGGTGATTCCATCGGACCCAAACGCGAGACGAGATACCGGCTTGCCGTTCCCCGGGTTGCTGTACACGGGTTCGCCCCAGACGGTGACGAAGAAACCTGGCTTCGGTCGCACCTGCGGGATGTTTTCGAGGTGGCGCCACGACTCGCCCGTGCCGAGGTCGACGACGATGATGCCGTTGCGACCTTCGGACGACGAGTCGGTGATGTACGCTATCCCCTGACCCGATCCGGTGACGGAGGCGCGCAGGTCGAAGCGAACGTCGTTGGGGTACGAGTCCGGATACGAGACGGTAGGCGGGAACAGGATCGTCCGGAAGACGGTGTTGTTGGCCAGGTCGACGCCGACCAGCTTGGGCCCGCCGTACTGGGAGGTCGTCAGGGTGCCGTTGGGCAAGAGAGCGCGGCCGGTGTCGAGGATCCACAGACGATCTTTGGCATCGACCACCACGCTTTGAACGCCGATGAGGTGGTCGGCGAGACCCTTGGACTGTGCTGGGAATTTGCTGTAGTCGATGGCGCCGCCGGGAGGGCTGTTGATCTGGGAGTTGGGGTATGCCGTCTCTGTGCTGTTACCGGTGAGTTCTGCCACTTGGTACTTGGTGTTTGTTGCGTCAAGGCCGAGGGGATAGTTTGAGAACTTGCGGCCTGACGAGGAAACTGCGATGCCTGTGTGTCCATGAGGTGGAGCGTGAGCCCTTGTTCCGTGTCTGATATTGAACCCCCCGCGAGAGTATCAGACACTTACCTGTCGGCCACTCATCGTAGTACAGGTGTATCAGTTCTGGCACAGGTCCGATTCCAATGGGATCTCGAGACAGGTTTTGTGCCAGGGAGCCTGATATGGCGCATAACACGACCACTATTGTGGTGGCTGAAAGGAACATCTTGATGGGTGCGCCGTATAGCTCGAGGCACCTGATGGATTGTTGGCTCAAGGAACAACGTACAAGTAGAAAGACGACATCCAGTGCTGTGAGGAACAGCAACCTCGAGTTAAATCATAATGATCCAGCGTCACGGAGATGGTAATGAGCTCATATGCGGAGTGAGTTTGTCGTGACCTCAGACTTCGTATGTGTACAGAGTGTATGCCCCGGCTGTAATCTCCTTGAAGGATATAGCATCCGGGATTGGATTTGACACCATGTCTGACTTCGTTGGAGTGCCTTGAGCATGTTCGATGACATACGGAGTAGTGATGTTAGATCCTCTCGACGAAACCAGAATACGTGGTTTATGGATCGCCGGAAGGGGTTCGAGATCTGCGAATACTCGCTTACATCAGGTACTGTATTCGTGCCCCCTTCCCCCAGCGCCCCACAACGGCAATCTGGATCAGCACAAAGAAAGATTCTCACGTAGCTGAAGTCAAGGCCAATTTGTACCTAGTTACTGAAAGTCGGCTTCCACAATATCGAATGCTCATGGAAAGAAATTTGCTGCATTCACACATGAGCGAACTGAAAAAGCCCCCTTGCTACACATTTTCATCCGTTGCATGCACAACAACCCTGATACCCTGACTGTCCAACTTGGCCCCGGCAGTGAACAAGTCCCTCGTCGGTGTCGCATCACTATCATCTGTCTCAAACATCTCCAGATCGTATCTCTGCACCATCGCCGCCACGCTCATATAAAGCTGCGCATATGCAAGGTGCATTCCAATGCAGTTCCGTGATCCCTTTCCGAATGCCACAATGTACTTGTCCAGTCTCGACGTGGTCTTACCTTCATCCACCTGATCCAGCCAGCGCTCCGGTATGAACTTTCTAGGTTCGGGAAACACCTTCTCGTCGATGAGCACAAGATGCGGCGTCATGGCAATCGGCGTTCCCGCAGGTATCACCCACTCCTTGTACACGATATCCTTTTCACAGATTCTGGGTAATCTCGACAACATCCCGCCGGCCATGCGTACGCCTTCTTTGATCACAGCGGTAAGGTAGGGCAGATGCTCGAGGTTGGTCCACGGCGCCACCGTGTCGCCCTTTGGGATTTCGACCTCGCGCAACTCTTCACGCAGCCTCTCCCTCACCTCCGGATTCTTCATGACGTGGTATGTGGTAATGGTGATGGCCCAAGCCGTCGTCTCGCTCCCAGCGGTCGCAATCAACACGCCCTCGTCAATGAGCCTTTGATCGCTCAGCTCGCCCTCGGGCAGATCGCTGCTCAAGATCTGGGCGAATATGGTGTCCTTGCGCCTCTTCTCCGTGCGGATCATCTTCATCATCTCAGGATCCGACTTTATCTTCTTGACCTGGATCCCGACACGCTGCATCCAGGACTTCATGAACCCGACGGGCGGGACCAGCCTGATCGCGACACTCAGCGGCATGGACCGGACGATGGCGCCGATGAGGGGAAAGGAGCGCACAATGGCCGCACTCGCGCGGCCGCCGGTATTGACGAGTTTCCAAGTCATGGCCCACTCCGGGTTGTGGATGTAGTCGTACGTCCAGCCGTAGCTGCACTGCGTGAGCACGTCCGTCGTCAGCGCGAGATACACGGCTTCCAGATCGAGGACCTCGCGACGGCCGTTTCTCGCAATCTCGTCCAGCCGCGCACACATGACGGCGAGTTTGTCCTGGATGACGGGCATGTTCGCGACGATGCTTCCCTTGCTGAAGAACGGGTTGAGCGCGCCACGCCGTTTCCGGTGCACCTCGTGCTCGACCGTCATACCGCCGGCGGTCGGCACGGCGAACCCCCGCGTCCACCACGCCCACTTGTCCAGCTTGAGGCCGTACAGCTCGTCAAAGAAGTCTGGGTCGTGGATGTGCACGTCGTCTGGGTTCGTGCGGATCACGGAGCCATACTTGGAGTGCATCTCCCGGATCTTCCATATGTACTGGTGGCCCTTGAAGACGTCGTAGTACGTTTCGTGCCAGTACGTCGCGACGGCGAGTTTCGACCCTGGGAACTTGGCCAATGGGTGGAACCAGATGCGGTAGACCGCCAGGACCATGTCGTGAAGGATCTTGGCAATGACAAGATACCCTGCGACGCCGGTCCATGATTTGGCGAACCCAAACGTAACGTCTTCCGGACTCATGATAAAACAGACCGCGCTCGTTGAAAACTTGAGAACCAAAAACGGGCGCACAAAGACTCGCCGTAGAAGAGAAAGAAAGACGTGGCGTGGAGGCGATGAGGTCGATTCTTGTACAATTTTCGACCGTGTCACGACTCAGGGGAACAGACCATGTCGATCTGCATGGATATACTACTCTATCATCGACTGACCCTGAGTTATTACTTAGTGCGATGGGGGCCGTTGGTTTCGAGGAACTGCTTAAGCGCTATGCACGCTGCCCCATGTTTGCCCCGTGTCGCCCCTGTCAAGCGCACTCTACCTTACCGTATGAAGTAGCGTGTTTCTCCGTCAACTGCATACTTAAACAAGTACACGTGTATCGTCGTCAATCAGGAACTCTATGATGACAGGGGCGGAGGACTGTGCTCGAGTACCAACCCAGCTACTGTTTGTGGTTTAGTCCCGGCATCGAGCCGGGCCAGGAACCCCGTCCGTGTGGCCCACCCTCGTCCAGGTGTCTTCGATATATTTAACGCACAAAGCTTCAAGGACAGCTGAGGAGAGATGTTGTACTGGATGCTTTTAGTTTCTATGAAGACCGCAGACAGTTCTACGGCGTACTATCCGGGCTTTTATAATATTCTCAGCCCGCAACATTCGATCACTGCTGCATGGACTGCCGCTTTTCTTCCCCACCAAATCTGGATGAATTCTTCGACGAACCTCTTATCGGATGTACTCCAGCTGTCCAATCCCATGGCCGCCATGTCTTCTTGAGTGATCTCAATTTCCGGCTCTCCATCTTTTGTCGAGAGGAGTTGCTCTGTCTCTTGATCCCCAGAGCCCGTTTGATGGTCGATAGTAGATTCACCAAGCGCATCTTCGTCACCATCAATCTGGTCATGATACTCTTCATGCACTTCTTCTCCATCAGTCCTCGCAACAGCCGCGGCGACGGTGCCAAAAAGACGTTCAGTCATGCGATGGAAGTACGCAACGAGAGCCACTTCCTGCGTTTGATCGTCGCCTTCGTCTTGCAGGAGGGAGAGATCTTGTTCACATTCGCCTTCTTCTGCGTCGGTCAATCCAGCTCGTCTATCGCCAGCAGAAGCCCACCACACCAGAGACGTATAGGCAACCTTCGACCATGAAGCTGGTTCGATTACTGCCTTGTTGTCAAAGTACGCCGAGGAATGAGAAGAGACTGATGCAGCGTCATCGTTTTGCTCCTCGTCTGTGTCGCCTGCTCCGATGTGGCACCGTGGGTATCTATGTAGTGCTTGTTGTAGATGCACGAAACGACTGAAATCTCGCTCACTGGCCTTGATGCTCGTTGAGGGAAACGTCTTGCTTAGTTGTGGTGTCGAATGTACAATGCGCGGGAAGGCCTTTGGAGAAGCATGTTCTGATCCTGCCAGTGGCATGAAAACCAAGACATCATACAAGTTCGGCTTCGTACTCAGAACGTCGTCCGTAGTGCAAGCGATCCAGCGGCGGGTCTCTTCCAGCTGAGGAATGTCCAGCACTCCAACAGTGTACAATGGCTTCAACCATGGTTCGGGGACAGCGGATGATTGGAGTTGCGATAATGCAGATTCTGACGCCGACGACAAGATCGAAATATTATATACTATGATATGTGAGCTTCCAGTAAGATGCCATCGCATTCGTGCTTACCAAGATTACAACAGAATTCGACAGGAGTGTCTGTTACAATTAATATACGCTTTCGCAGCAGCGCAGCACGATATACAGGGAATAATAGTGGACCAAAAGTCCTGAAAGCATCAAGGAGTGTGGCAGCGGGATGATGAGGCATCAGTTTGTGTTGAGCTGGCATGAAGGTAGTAGCGGTACTCATTGACCTAGCCTTTCTGTACCCGTTCGACCGTTGGCCATTGGCGTCAGCAGGTGATTTAGTTGACGAGCCGTCCGGTTGAAGTTTGTGCCTGTTCCAGTACTCCTCCAAGAGGGCGGTGTTCTTCAGATCAGTGATCTGGTCCCTGCAGATAGTCAGTCTACGATGACAATATTCTCCTAATATCGCACCTTGCGAGCTGTTGTAGACTGATAGCGTGACGCCAACTCCGCCCAATGCGACCTTGTTCCAGTGGAACAAGTACTCCTACAGCTGCCATTCGAGCAGACCTTTCCGACTCTTCGTCTGCTTTTTTGACAAATGCACTGAGGCCGGCATAGTCGTCGTGAATGAAGTATCTTCATGTTTTCAGCGTCTGATATGTAAACCCATGACGAGACACTCACACCAGGTCTTCCTCGACATTGTGCAAGCCCGATGGAAGTGACTTGAACTCGACGACACCCTCAATCTGCACTGGGACATGGTATGAGCCAAGTAGGGGTCGAGCGAAAGGGCAATTCTGACCGTTTTCTATGGTCCTGTGCCAACCTAGCGTATAGCTGAATCCCGGGTCAGTCTAAGTAAGACATATGGGGAGTGCGAAGGTGTACCCTTTGCGGTGGTCAAAGTTGACGAGGAAGAGTGCAGCGATTGGAGGGATCGGAGGATCACTGCCAACGTCAATCCTCAGCTGGGTCGGCGAAGCCATCTTTCAAATGTGGTCGCATGTTACGCGACACATGCGCATGTGCCAGCAGAGTGGTTGCTTCGCAGTAAACTGAGGCCTACAACAGTGAGCGTCTCTGGCGCAGCTTCACAGATCGACAAGTTGGGGTTGGACTTGGAGGTGCCGAACCCCAAATGACTGACTAGTCCCGATATGTTTAGACTGGTTGAGGCGTATAGTGGCGTGAGTACTCCGTATGACCTCGCCTCCTGTCTCAACTCTTACTACGAACAACACCTTTTGCTGACTTCAATTGTGTGTTTGAACGACTGCTTTGAAGACCACTGAGATGCGAATTGCTAAGATGCTCCAACCTCGAGCGACGACCACCCGCTTAACCTCACACACAATCCGTGCACCGGATCGCTTTTGCTCTTCTCACTTCATCCCAGGATTTGCTCCAAGTGTCCATGACCGAATATCCTTCCTCGAAGCCGGCATCGTAGAAGTTACTCATGTCGCGAATTGTGCCATGACGGAAGTATGACCTTGACCTTTTGGACACGTTAATGTTGTCGGGCAGTGGGACGACTGAAGCTGAATATGGCTTCACCACTTCTTTACTGGAAGAATGCTTCTCTTGATCGTATTCTCTATGACGCCCTGCCATCATGCGTAATTCGCCACTGAGGGTAGAGCTCAGGCGAAGGCCTCCAACTCCGTCTCCAACTTCCTCTCTGTGTGCTTTGCTACAACCACAGTTTGCCAAAGCTACGATGAAAGACTTTAAATCCGCGCAGAATCGTTGAACTCAAAAGCCCGGGAACAAGCAAACCTTCAAACATCATCTTTCATTCCAAGCATCTCCAGTGAGTCTTTCCACAGCCGCAACTCATTGTCTGGATCATAGGTCTGGCGAACGTAGCCGGTCCCAAAGACGTCACCGTCATCTTCGCCTCGTTTGGCTTCTTCGCAGTCTTCAAGATACTTGCCTCCGTTGTCCTCCCATTCTTTCCCCACTGCAGCAAGAACCGTGGTAGCAGCGCCTTGCTCTGGACTCTTCAAGACCTTAGCAACCGTCTCGAGGCTCATAATCTGCTCCGCAAATTCCCTGCCAATGTGTCTGGATAGATTCGTATCGATTGCCCCTGGGTGGAGACTCGTCGCACGCAGTCCTTGGCCGTTGTAGCGGCGGTCTAATTCGTTTGCCATATAGATATTGGCCAGCTTCGATTGGGCGTACGCGAGACCGTGATTATATCCTCCTTTCTGAAAGCTGTAGTTATCGCTCCCGTGAAGGTCCCCCGCGGCGCGATGGGCCGATGATGCAACGACGACAACTCGGGAGTGGAAAGTCGGGGTCGAGCTGGCGAGGAGTGCAGGTTTGAGAAGCTGGAATAGCAGGAAGTGACCCAGGTGGTTGGTTGCGAAATGCATCTCGTGGCCTTCCGGGGTGAGAGTCAGAGTCTGGATCCCCATCACACCCGCGTTCTCAATGAGAATGTTGACTTGCCCGTGAGACTTTGTGAGGATTTCCTCTGCTGCAGCTCGCACGCTGGCAGAGGACGTAGTGTCCATTTGAACAAGGGAGACACGACCAGGCTCAAGAATGTCACCAAAAGCAGCGAACGCTTTTTGCAAGTCGCGCCCGGTCAGGTACAACGTTGCTCCAGTCGCAGATAAGGCGCGTGCTGTTTCTAGACCGATACCCGAGTTGGCGCCAGTGATGACAATAACTTTGCCATTTAGTTTGCCCTCGAGAGACTGATCACCGATGATCTGCATAGCTGTCGGGCGAGCATCTCCGGGGCCTTGAGGATGTGCGTGAGCTTCGGCGTATGGACCCATGTTGAACGAGCAAGACCGTAGATATGCTCAAGTGAGGGAAATCAAGAGCAGGCGAGTGCATTGCGTCGCAGTGACAGTGGGCGAGTATCGGATATTTGTAGATGAACAGAAGCGCGGCCATATTGAAGCTCACGGTGCTTGTTTCCACTCACTTTCCGTGAAAAGAGAGAGTTGGATTCGGCACGGTCCTCTGGGTCCGTTGTGAGGTCGGGTACGAAATCAGACCAGCGCGTATTGATGCGCGTTAACCTCGATCGGTGCTTGGCTGGTACCTCAATGAACAATACAATGATAGGGGCGGCCGCCTTCACGGCCGTCTCTGCGGCCGGGCGTTTTGCGAGATTTTCCGCCCCATCCCGTCCATACAGGGTCTGAGTAGTCGGAAAAAGAAGAACACGGAGTTTCGGTTCGTTTTCCTTTCTTCTCCCCGCATCCACCAGCACAAGACTTTGATGAATCCCCGTAATCGCATGGTCTAAATAAAAAGGTCGAAGAGTAGCTCGTACCACCGGTCGCGATTGAAGTTGGCCAACTGCAACGGGGTCACGCCTAGCGGAGACAAGCCTCTCCGTCTAAGCCAATCCACTTATCACATCCAGACTCGTCCACATAAAGAAGTGATGCGACTGGAAATACGACAGGTTATGCCTAAAGAAGTCCTTTAAATCGGCATTCTGCCCTTTGGCTCTCTACCTTGTCACCTTTTTCGACCAGCTCACCGAAGGGCCCGCTTAAGGATTGAACGCGAAACTCATCCCATAGAAACACCGCCATATGGTCCACATACAGGCCGGGCTTTTCGAGTTCCTGGTGAGCGTTTCATCACACAGAGTATTTCATGTTATCGGGATGGAGGTTAATTTGTGTTTGGCGGACAGGTGTGGTTATTGTTGCGATGATTATCCCCTGGTTTTCACAGGTATCCTCCCGCAATAGCTCTGGTGCCAGGCAATTTTAGATCAGTTGGTGCATAGTATTGCTCGTAAATGACGCGCAAGGCGATTGTGAAATCGATGGGTTCTTTTTGGCTTCTAAGGGCGAGCTTAGGGAGGCGGTAGACGCGGGTCTCGTTGAACCAAAATTTATGCGCTGATGTTCCTCATTCCAGCCTGGTGGGTATTCCGGCATCGGCGGAGGAGGTACTGGGATAAAACTCGAAGCATTTCTTGATGCCACTTGGTACTCTGCTAACCTTTTGGATTGACTAAGAAGATCAGTTGCGGTCAAAAGCAGCTAGTGGTCTGTACACTTACAAAGAATACTTTTGGATATTCCTCCAAAAACACAAAATCGCCTCTTTCTGTCCTAGCTCGATATCTGAGAGGGGATTCATCGAGTTCAAAAGAATGGAATTGAAGCTGCCGTCCTTTCCTTCGATGATCCATTGAGCACAGAACTCGAACAACCTTGGACAGTAGCCTGCAGATGCCCAATCAAGAAGACAGAGAGAGCCATCTTCCTGCCACAAGAGATTTCGAGGCGCAATATCCAAGTGGCAGAGCACAAGCTTGCAATTCCGGAGACTCAGCTTCGGGTTGTGTTCGAAAAGTCGGCTGTTGAACCACTTCTCCATCTCGACAAGACTTTCAAAAATAAGATCTTCAGTCTCGGGGAACAGAAGTCCACGACAAAACCCCCTGCAGAGAGACCCAGGGATAGTGTGTCCCAACGTTGCGAAGTGATCAAGTACGCCCGCAACCTTCTCGATAGCCCTACAGTCCTCCAATGGGTCAATGACCTTCCCCTCCATAAACTCCATCACGATATAACCCCAGCCTCGTTCATCAGAAAAAAGGGCATATACCCGTGGAATACGAACTATGTGGCTATCCACAACTTCATAGGCTAATTTTTGGTTTTCGGCTTCTTCTTTTGTTACATCTGGGCCCCACTTGACCACTTGATGATCGGATATTTTGATAATGCGCTTTCCATGTTGGCTGACAATATTGCATGGTAAGGGATTTGCACAAGAAGCGATCACTGAAGCCTGATACTCGAACCTCAACAAGCCAGATTGGCATCACCAGTAATCGCCAGAACGCCAGCGACTATGACGATGACAACAAACGCGCCAAAGAAACAGGCATAGATGCATTTGCGCTCAACATCGGCACAGACCCCTACACGACACCCAGCTGGGGTTTGGCTATAATTCTACGGCAAAGAGCGGAATGCAAGTGTTCCTCTCCTTCGACTTCAAGTGGTGGAGTGGTGGAGTGTCAGCCAGGGTAGCACCGTCGGTGCTATTTGAGGTCAAGCAGTACGCGGACCATCCCGCTCAACTCCGGGTTAGGGCAAGGTATTTGCGTCCATCTTTGCAGGGAATAGCGTCGATGTCAAGCTCTTTTATTAATCATCCAAAGAATCCCGTCTCTGTAGCCATTGAAGTTCTAACAAGTCAAGACTGCCATCTCGACAATAGCAGCTTTCTGCATGGAGTCGCCGAACGAAGCCCATCCAGCTCGGGCGGACCGGGCATGCGCCTCATGCCAGAAACGGAAGCGGAAATGCAACAAAGCACTCCCCAAGTGCTCGCCTTGCTCTAAGTGAGTTGCTCCCAATTTGCTCACTCTCCAGTCTTCAACCACCTTCAAGGGGTCCAGGCAGCCAATCCTGATAGTCAGGGCAGCAACTCCTGGTGGATGGTTCAAACGTGAGGACTCGGCGGTCAGTCGTATGATTGTTCGAAGCCTATCGTTTCGTTTAGCATGGCCACCAAGCTGACGAGCAGTATTGTTTCGTTTCCATGCCCGACCTCTAATGTAGATAGACTAACCTCGTGAGACAGGAGGCATCTGACCTGCAAATACCCAAAGATGAGCGATGTCCACCACTTGGCTCTAGATGTGACAGGCGTTTCAAATTATGCGCTCTCAATCAACGAAGACGAAGTAGACATTGAGACTCTTGACTTTCAAACAATGCTGTTCTTAGACCCGGGCATCTTCCGGTATGGACAGGTCCAATTTCCTTGGACAAATATCCCTGTACCACCCCATATCACGCGGCTCCTGGGCGACAACAAAGATCTCAGCTCTGCAGTTTCACGATTTTTTGACCACATACACTCCTGGATGCCGTTTATCTCCAGGAAACGCTTCTTGGATTCCTATATGCGTCCCTCGGCTCGGTCTCGGCCAGACGTCGCCATTCTTCTGCTGTCTCTTAAGCTCATTACAACGCCGCCACCAGTTGATCCGAGAAACCCCAAAACGCCCCTTTATTGGGCAGCGAAGCATTTCTATCTCGACATCGAAAGCTCCCATACTGCTTCTATAGCGGTGCTGCAGGCTGGGGTGCTCTTAGCCCTCTACGAGATTAGGCACGGCATATATCCGGCGGCGTTTCTGTCAATTAGCGCCTGTGCTCGTTATGCACATGCTCTGGGTATCAATGTCGACGGAATGGCTAGGACCAGCAGCGTCTTTACGCTGATCGAAGTCGAAGAAAGGAAGAGAATTTGGTGGGCTATTGTTATTCTGGATCGGTTGGTGTTTCCAGCTTTCCCAAGATGCAGATGTTAACTCGAATTCCGAATCATGCAGAGTACTGACGAAGCTTTAGTTTCGTAAACATTGGGTGCCCTGGTAGACCTCTTGCGACTGCAGAGCCTACGCTGGATGACCTCCTTCCTGCAGACGATGTCGCTTGGGATCAAGGGGTAGGCTGTATGGTGCTTTGGTGAGTGCTACCTGTACTCACAAAATCTTATAGATTGTCGGAATCGTCGATTCATACAAAGTATCGTCGCCAACGAGCAGCCATATGAGCAAGTTTGCGTTGTTGTGTCAAGCCGCTAGATTACTGGGTCAAGTGCTTCGCCAACTCTCCAACAACACTCTTGAAGATCACCACGACGACAGTTGGATGCAGCTAGATCGTACGCTGGATTCGATGCTCGCGGCTGCGCTCCACGTCGACTCGCCCGATTACGACCAGATCACCTTCATCTACAAGCAAGTCAGCCTTCCTCAATCCCGAACGTGCTAACACGAATCGTCGTAGTGGCCTTGTGGCCCTCAATGAACCGTATCTCTCCTTAAATGAGGGGATACGCTCTCAGCGTGCCAAATTTGTCGTGGAAGCCATTACGGATACTATCCGAACAAACCTACTAGGCCAGCAGTGCCTGATTGGCCGTGATCCGGAGAGCGTTTCACCCTGGGGACTATTCTTCGGCTACCGAATATGTGTCTACTTCGTGTGTTCCGAGCACAAGGACTCGTATGATTTTCAGATTGTGGAGAGCTTGAAAGAAGTGTTCCGTAACATCGATGTTAGATGGAACGCCGCAGGTAATCATCTGATCCTCCCAATCTCTTTGTACGTTGCTTCTGTATTGACTGTTGTCGCAGGTGTCTACCTTCGGCTTCTGGAGGCGCACGAGGTTATGAGCAAAGGCTGATTGGGCAACGATACGCACTAGAATGACGGTGTATGTGTAGGCTGTTGGGGACACCGCCGTCCTTGATACACAATACCTTGTCTCTAGATGTTGCCAATCTCTGCGGAAGCTCTTTAGGGCCCCCAGCTACTCTGTACAATAGTGACCAGATGTCATGGTAACCATTCATAATCCACCTCAGAGACGCAGCACGACCTTTCCCACCACCTTGCCCTCCCATAGCGACTGCACCGCGTCTTCGGCTTCTGAAAATGGATAGACCTTGTCGATGATGTCGTCGAGCTGCATTTGGGTTGCTTCTAGAGCGGCGCAGATGTCCTCCATGTACTCGGGTGGCCCGCAGTTGATGCCCCTTTCACGTTCATGTTAGTCATGAGATCTACTGAGTGTCACTTTTTCGAGAACGAGGAGATGGGCCTCACCTCACGATCACCCTTCGGTCAATGATCGTCGGCACAAGCTCCTGTAGGTCCTCCGGCTGCTGCCTGCCCAAATAGCCGACCTGGCTGACTATCCCACCCCGCCTCGTGCATTTCAGGCTCTTGACGAGAGACGAGGCGCCGCCGTTTTCGATGACAAGATCCACGCCAATACCACCCGTCAGCATGAGCACCTCCTCATGCCACTCCGGCGTCGTCTTATAGTTGATTGTCAGTATCTCCGGCCCACCGAAGAGCTTCTTCATCTGCTCCAGCTTCTTGTCGCTAGAGGAGGTGAGAATCACTTTCAGCCCGGACGCACGCGCGAGCTTGAGTGCCCAGCTGCTCACTCCTCCGGTGCCTTGTAACGACAATCGTCAATACATCGCCAGATTCCGCCCTCCCATCGCCGAAGACGTACCTTGGATCAGCACACTCTTCCCCATCCCTACATCCCGCAACGCCGCCCACGCCGTAACACCGGCACATGGGATCAGCGACGCGCTCTCCCACGACAGGTACTTTGGTAGGTGGCCGAGAACCGACTCGTCGTACACAATGTGCGTGGCAAGCACGCCGTCCTCGTTGGCGGCCAACCAGGATCGGCCAGTCGAGCGGTGCGTCAAGTATTCGGTGTCGGTGGTGGGTGCGACGCGATGGCCGACGCGAATCCGCCGGACGTTCTGGCCGACGGCGAGGACCTCTCCCGCGGCGTCGTTGCAGATTATCCCATTGGGAATCACCGGCCAGGGGTTTCCTCCATTGCTAATATTGGCATCACGCCAGTTGAGCGACACGGCGTGGACCTTGATCAGGACGGCCGTCGGCGCGAGTTCTTTGGGCAAGGGCTCCGTGACAAGCTTGAGACGAGCCGCGCCAGGTGAGTGGTCATCTGTTCGGCGCCAGGCTTGTCGCTCTGTGGGTAGCGAGTCGGTCATTATTGTGCTGTGTGGTCAAATCGTCGGCGCATCGAGAGCTTGGACGCAGAGAAATCGGTGCGAGGAGATTACGCGCAAACTTCAGTTAGGAGTTGGAGCCATTTTAAGACCGTCATACCACTCCTGAATAGTCATCCCGCTGATCAACTATCATCTGTTCAAATGGTGTTTTTGGATGTCCGCTAAATATACGGAGTACGTGCCCCTGCTGACAAACTCGAGATCTAGGACGAACCCTTATGACGCTGTGTTCCTCCTTTGGCGCTGAGAGCGGCTATTCTCGGTCGACCAGAATTCTACTGACCCACCCCCACAAGGCTCTCGTTTCCGTTTCCGAGAAAGGTGAAAAGTCCCCGATGTTGTTCGTGTACCTATCGCTATCGCTTGGTCAGCGATAGACTATAGTCGTCTCCCATGTGGCTGAGGATGCTTCCAAGGGTCTCCAAGTGCACCCTTTTCAAGCTTGTGGGTTTATCTGCTTACCAAGTCAACTCACGAAAACCTCGGACGCATCTATTCGGGGCATCAAAAATAGAAATAGACTCCGTCGTTATCAGGGTCAGGTATGTCGATCCAATTATATCCAACCCCCCCTAATACTGCCTATTAATCTAACAGAACAGACCTTATACCAAAGACAGGGGGTGTAAGACTTAGAGTTGTCAACACCGAGCGCATTTTGAAATAGGTAATATCATATAATTCTCTGATCCATCCCGTCCCCCACATCTTTGATCATCCTTTGCCCCAGTTTAGTTTGCTTGCCGTTCTGTCTGCCCCTGTCGCTTACTGCGCACCCAGGCTGACGACAAAGTCAACAGAGTTCATCCAGAACTCAAAACTCTGCTTGAGCTGAGGTAATAGGTAGAACGCATGGGGCAGTCCTTTGTACACGCGAAGAGTAACGGGGACTTGAGCCTCCTCCAGAGCTTCAGCATATGCCAGGGCCTCGTCGCGAAGAGGATCTAGTCCCGCAACTTGCACCACTGTACGTAACCATAGGTCAGAGGCTCGTCACATCTCAAGAATGAAAAAAAAAGAAATCAAGTGATTAGAGATTTTATAATTTCAGAACGCGTTGCTTCACTCACACGCTGGTGGAAGCCCACTGAGATCCTTGGCCAGCAAGGGACTGGCGTACGCCTCGGGAGACGGCTCAGGCATATATTGGTTCCAGTACCAGAACATCTGTGGGGCGTTGACGATGCTGGCATCTTTGTTTTGCTGGTAGCTGCCTCCAGGATACCGATCGGATGGGAAGAAGTCCGGATGACAAGTCACGGGTATGTTCAGGATCTGGCCGATCACGCCTGACACGTTCTCGTCTCTCGCCTTCTGGGCCAGGACGGCAGCCTTGGGATGGGAAGGTCAGATACACTCCTCACAAAATCAACCCGCCGAGTCATGTGAACTCACGATGTTACCCCCTGCGCTGCCTCCTGCGACGATGATACGCTCTGGGTTGATGCTCAAGTCGGTTGCGTTGCGTTTGCACTGCCAGCTCCTTAGTACGGTACATGGTTGAATGGTAGTGGTAATGGTGGATGATGTTGATGGGTGTGGGATTTGAGGCTCAGAGTCAATTCCTACCCATTGGAGGACGTCAAAGCAATCGTTGACAGCATAAGGATATCTGAATTCCGGAGCCATACGATAATCGACGCTGACGACGACCGCGCCGGCTTTGGCAGCCAAAAATCGGTTCTCGACCTCTTCCACCTCGTGACTGCCCACGACCCATCCTGGTTTCAGTTGTCAGCCATTTGTTTTATGGTTTTCTCACACCAGACTGAGCTCAGCCGGGTCTGGTCATGGTCACTGACCTCCGCCGTGTGATTTCAGGATCAAGGTCATTCCAGGCTCACTCTTCACAGGCCTATATACCCTGATGCCGATCTCAGTCCCGTCCCGCACAGGAGCCACTTGATCGAGCACGATGTAGTCTTGCCCAGGCTGGGGAGCATTGTCCGGCAGAGACACCGGCGCACTCAGCCAAGCAGCCTTGAACTCGTCAATGGGAAGTTCCCATAGTGCTGTGAGGTCTTTGTCGAGCTGGTCCTTGTATTTGGCGAACTCGGGGTCAATATCAGATAGGTGCCCATTCTTTGGAGGGGGTCCTTGCCACTCAGGGGGACCAGGAGGGAGTTGCACCATAATTTCTTGTCAAAAGTAAGCCAAAATGAAAATACGCCTAGTCTGTTTTCAATGCAGGTCAGTTGTCTATGAGCAAGCAGGGTTCGCAAAGTGGGCGTTGTAGACTTGTTGTAGTACTGGGGACTCGCTGACAAATTCTGCGCATCCAACGGACCACTCATCCGTGGATGGATAGCCGGAGGAGATTAAAGGCGGAGACGAAGCCTTGAAGATAAGGCAAAGACGGGAGCGATCCACCGATTTGACAGTTCCACCGAGTGTACAACATTGGTCATGTCTGTATCCGCCGTTGCAGGCTGTCTCTTGTTGTCGGGAGCCTATTCACCTTGCCAGGTGGCTACCGGACATTGTCTCTCATTCCACGCCATCACAACCAAAGTGTTGGAAAGCGATGAGCTGCGGTACGAAGGGTTGCGCACCGTGGGGTGTCAAACTTTTCAGTCAAAGAGCGCGGCTTGGCGCGGGCAAGTGCGCTGAGGGTGGCAATCGTACTGTTAGCTTCTTTCAAGAGAAGAACGAGGGCAGTACTGATTATTCTGGAGAGGTAGGGAGAGTGTCATGAGCGTCACGGATGACAACCTCCAATCGACCGGTCCTGCTGAGATTCCCCACCCCCGGAAGGGAGGACACGAGGCTGAACCCCCTGACTCTCCATCCATACCTCGAAACCTCGGTGCTTGACCCGGAGAACTCCAGTCTGGAAACAGTGCCCCTCGTGGCAGCGAGCCATGTTGCACTGGAATCCGGCTACTCTTTCGATCTTCTGGCCTACCTCCGTGCATGCACGAACGTTCCTATCAACTTGTGGCCATTAGCATTGCCCAGACACTAGACGTGCAACCGAAGGCCCCGAACGTCCGAACTCTAACGAAACTACAGTCACTTTTCGGGCCCGAGCATGAACGAACCGGGAATCTGAAGCCACAAGCAGAGGCGGCAACAGCGAGAGACACTGATCAAGTGACTTTGAGGCAGTGGATCCTCCGAACGTCGTAATCGTATCATGCGGCCACATGGGGAAATGAGGGTTTGGGGGAAAATTGACCGATACTTAAACCAAAGTGCCCATCTTGCCATTGACTGCACCCTGGATTCCGCTCTTCTTCGGGCTTCACGCGCTTCATCCGCCATGGCCGAGGACTCGATTGAAACCGCCTTCCAGGCAGCCATCGACTCGGGCAAGATCAACGGTGCCATCATATGCAGCACCGACAGCCACGGTAACTTCACATACAACGAAGCACTTGGCGAACGAACTCTCCTTTCCGGAGAGAAAAAGGCTGAACAACTCGACGATGTGTGCTGTCTTGCCTCTGCGACCAAACTCATCACCACCATCGCCGCCCTCCAGTGCGTCGAGGACGGCCTGCTCACCCTCACAGGCGACCTCTCTTCGATCGCACCCGAACTGGCGTCGAAACAAGTAATCACCGGCTTCTCCGATGACGGTGAACCGGAGCTTGAACCCGCCAAGCAACCCATAACCCTGGAAATGCTTCTGACGCACTCATCCGGGATAACGTACCACTTCACAAACCCCCTAGTTGCGCGCTGGGTGAAGAACTTCGGCCAAACCCAAGGCCCCGGTTATCAATACACGGTGGAGGACCTGTTCAACTACCCTCTCTCGTTCCAGCCAGGCTCAAGCTGGATGTACGGCCCTGGACTCGACTGGGCAGGACGGATCGTGGAGCGTGTCACGGGCAAGACTCTCTCGGAGCGCATGCAGGACCGCATATTCATCCCGTTAGGAATCACAGACGCTCAGTTCTACCCAGTCATACGCGAAGACCTGCGTGCCCGCATGCCCGACTTGAATCCCCATGATCTCGAGGGACGAGGTCTCGCAGTCCTCGGCAGTGCGTCATCTGACGCAGACATGCGCACCAACAAGGGCGATTTCGGCGGACATGGTCTTTTCATGACCACTCCGGACTACCTCAAAGTCATGCGCTCGGTGCTGGCTAATGACGGCAAGATCCTCAAGCCGGAGACCGTGAACGATATGTTCCACCCGCGGCATCTGTCCGCGGGAGCCACCGAGGGCATCGAGGGTGCGTTTGCCGGGCCCATAGGCATGTTCTTCCGCTGCGGTATCTCGGCGGATACCAAGGCTACCTACTCTTTAGGCGGACTTCTCACCCTGGAAGATGTAGAAGGGTGGTATGGCGAGGGCACGCTCACTTGGGGTGGCGGACTGACGTTTGCGTGGTTCATCGACCGCAAGAACGATGTATGTGCCGCGGGAGCCATCAATGCTGCGCCCCCCGTCGACATGGCTACCGTCTCCAATCTGAAGGATACATTTCGACATGACGTCTATCGCAAGCGTGCGGCGTGGCAGAAGCAGCAAGGGGTTTGACGCAAAGCGTAAGATGGAAAAAGACGTCGTAATGTGTATCTGTTCTTTAACTGCACTTGGTCCTCGAATCGTATATCTGTATCTCATGAGACGGACATGGCGTTCAGACATTATCGGACTAGCTTTCTGAAAAGACTTTTACCGGTTTGGAAGAATGCTTTGGATGATTCTTCGAGGAAACGTCGTAACAAAAAAAGGGGCTAGTCTATTTTACAAACAGTTGTACAACCGGTTCATAAAGCTTGTCCGCCGCCCGTGGTCTGCGTGAAAATGTACGATATGCTTCCTCCGCCAGTCATGTCCTGGTCGAGACGAAGAACGTGCTCTAGGCAGTCATCATCAACCACCGTCAATATGCGTTCCAACAAGTCACCGTCGGCATCTGAGCGAGAAAAGATCGAAGTGTCAACGTGAGTGTACTTCAGCAACTCGTCCCTTTCAGCTTCGAGTTCGGTTTCGGAAGCGATAGGAGTGCGCCCGGTCCGATCTGACGGCACATTTGGCCTCTTTAGAAGTTCTGACATCTCGCGTAGCTCTTCGTCGCCATCGTTCTTTATCTCATCATTCGATTCGAGGACTTCAGCAGACATGGTTCCGGGGGGGTCTTTGGTCCCTTCGCCCTTGCAACCGCAACCAATCAAGTCATGGGTGCGAAGTCCTTCGCCCTCGTCTAAGCGGAAGAGGTCTTTTAATTCTTCTTGGCTGAACATGGCCGTTTGGCCTTTCCCTTTTTGTTTGCCTTCGAGGTTGGTGCTGGACGAAGCTGAGCCCCCTTGCATAATGCTGTCAGCCAACGCCTTCTTGACAACTTGCCGTTGCCAGATCCTCTCTTCCAGACCTCCTTTAATGAGGAACCGGTAGATCTTACAAGGACGTTGCTGACCCTGTCGATGTATTCGCGCAACGGCTTGCTCATCTATGGCGGGATTCCAGTCTACGTCGAAAAGTACGAGTCGACTGGCCCCAGGTAAATTGATACCCATGCCACCTGCCTTAGCACTCAACAAGAACGCAAAAACCTGTGAACTTTTGGAGTTGTTAAATCGATCCACGAGACCTTGTCGTTTGGTGGCAGCCACTGAACCATCCAGACGGAGGAAAGACAAGTCGGAGTTCTTAAGCAATTGCTCAATGAGGTTGAGTGTGGAGGTGTAGTTCGAAATCACAACCACCTTTTCATCTGTCGTGTGCCTTATCTGCTGCAAAAGCTGGTCGAGGAGTCTGATCTTGCAGGAGAGATGATTCTGGTACAGCTTCGAAAGGCCACCGGGAAGCATTTCGTTCAACGCTGTGAGCGAAGACGAGCGCGTCGAATCGTCAATTCCGCACTTTGGGTCCATGAGTGCAGGGCTATTGCATAATTTTTTAAGGATAGTGATGAGCTGAAACGCAGTTTCATTGCTGCGGAGAGCAGTATGAAACATCGGCGACTGTAGCACATGGCGATATATCTTTGCTTGAGCTTGTGTTGGCTTGCAGAAAAGCACATATTCGGTCTTTGGGGGCAGGAAATCGGCAAGGATGTCAGCTGTCCTGCGGAGGATGAAGGAAGAGGTAGCGCGGTTCAACTCGTCGCTCGCCATCTCTCCACGCTCAATATCTTCTTCGCTTGCGTCAGGCTGTCTGCTCTTCATAATGGGCTTCTCAAAATCTCGGATGAAGCCTTTCTGCGAACCAAGACAACCATTGTTCACGAAGTTGACCATTGCAAAGAATTCGCTCATGTCATTCTGGATTGGCGTGCCTGAGAGAATTATTCGCTTTTTCGTATTCAATGACTCTATTGCCTGAGCGCTTTTGTTCTTCATTGTCTTCAGTCGATGACCTTCGTCACATATAACGATGTCAATGGGATGACCCTTGTTCAAGTCATCAGCCACCGTACGCAGCCTCTCATACCCAATGATCATGACCTGGAAAACCCTGCCATCGAAATTACTCAGCCGGGTTTTTTGATCTTCGAACTCAAGGACGCCTAGTCTATCAGGGCCAAGCCATTTCTTAAACTCTCTTTTCCAGTTACGGATGAGAGATACTGGACAGACGATCAGTGCTTTTCTCACTACCGGAGGGGCTCTGTAGATAGGGTTTTGCCGTAGCAATGTCCAGAGCAGAGATATCGTCGTTAGGGTCTTTCCCAAACCCATAGCATCTGCAAGAATGCAGCCCTGACCGTCAAAGTCTCGTAGGCCCATAACACATTCGTAAAGAAACGTGATAGCCGCTGGCTGGTGGGGTAGTAATCTCTTACCCAGAAGAGGGTCAAGAACGACGTCTACGATCTGTCTACCAGGCGGGACAGTCTTCGGACGTTTAAAGACTATAGCACCAGCTGTTGAAGGATCATGTCGCGGCGTGGGTGCTTCGGATGGCCCTTGAGGCATTGTGGTTGTCTCCTTGAGAGGCTGTTTGAATGCTGCAGTCTGCGACGTGTAGCGGAAATTCTGTGTAGCGCTGAATTCCTTGTCTTTGCGTATTTGCATTCTCATTTGGTCTTTCAGGGTTGGTTTTGGCGGAATCGGTTGTGCGGGAGTGCATTGAGACATACGTTTGTCCTTCGGCTTATCAGAATTGGTTTTGGGATTGACAACAGCAAGGTAATCAAGCTTCGTGATCTGAGACTCGATCTCGACCTCTTTGCCACCAATGGAGAGGTTGAGTCCTGGTGTGACAACTGCGGGAAGCGCAGCCCGGCCAATGGCTCGTCCAGTATTGTTGTAGAGGCTTCCATAACCTTGATCAACAGCCAAAACTCCATCATCCGTCCAAGTTTTGTTCTTTTTGTTCGTTGGAATACGCCTGATAGCCGTAGTTAGCCAGTGAACATGAGCAAGGACAATGGATTTGCAAACCAAAGGACTGAATAGTAGATCACAGCATCCCCCGAGGCTTGTTCTGACGAGCCCACCGCACTTGGAAGGTTCCTTATTGTTTTGAGAGCCACTCGATCGCCCGCTCTTGCTTGTTCTCGTTCTTGGTCTTGTCTGATATTGGAGGAAGACGACTCTCGCTCGCGGATGGGAGTCTTCGATACCGATGAGCTCAATTTCTGGCGTTTTGGAGCAGGGGTAGGTAAATCATTGGCTGCATCGACGACAACGGGCATCCGGATAGTCAGAGGCTTAAAAGGCTTCGAAAACATGCTTCAGGAGGCTGATGGTCAACATTCCCAGCTTCTACAACGCTCACAACGCAATTCGAGACGGGCTGCGGAAAACGCGGTGCGCGAGAATATAGTGAAACGCGCTCTCACGTGTCGGGATTTGTTACGTAATCATATGGCGCGGTCCGATTAATGGACTCGGGGATAAGTCTCTGACCACAGATTAGTCGTTTGTCTAAGTTCTGTATTCATTCTTGTAGAGGTAGCCCTATAGTTTTACGAGCGCCCGAGAGAGTGTCCGCAGTGGAATCTCGTCATTCAGAACACGCATTCAACGAGTGAGCTCAAATACTCGTCAATATTTTCGGCCAGCAGACAGAAAAGACACTTTATGCGTTCAAAAATATTGACGAGATCCTCGAATTTGGCAGGCTCAACATTTCTCTCACGAATGACTTGTAGCTCGCTTTGCGCCTGTTGATTCAGGATGTTCTGCTCCTTCTAACAGATATAGTAGAGTCTCACTTTTTTCGACGCCCTCGAGTTGTAGCTCATACTGTATATAGTCTACAGCTGACTGTAGCCTCCAGTCAGCTGGTCGATGTGAAGAACGCATCTGAGTAGTAGAGATTGGCTGACATTACCATTGTTTACCGCAGGTGGTTCGAATCAATACGGTGATGTATATTGACTCTACTACACCTCGTTCCTCGAAAACGAGCTGATAAAGAGTTCTCATAATGATGCAGTCCCCTCCAATCAAGTCCGAAGCCGCCAAAGCAACTCCCGAAGCAGAGGAACGTCCAAGCTACCTCATCGCCAATTACATGTCCCATTCCACCACGTCTCGGGCATGGCTAGCAGAAGCTACTCTACAGAGGTTATTTCATTTCTTCCAAGATAGCATAGGATACTTCCACTCCGAGTCAATTGCCTTATTGCAGACATCCACCACCGGGGATACACGGTCCCGAGATACATAGAGTCGAGGGCCATCCCGTTCTAGGTTTCTCCGGTGGACGATTCGGGGTGTTGATACATCACCCCGATGTCTCAAAGTTAGGTTTCTAGGTTATCCACAGGAGCCAACACTGCCAGCTTGGCGCTGGATGACTAGGCCTGCTGGACTTCGATAGGCAGAAGAGAATGGGACAGACCGTGAGCCAGGAGCATGACAGTTCCGCACAGCTCCTAACTACTCGATCATGAGGTAGTATGTTTATCTCGTGCTCACCTGCGGAATTGAGTGAGCCCATCGACTCAAGTGGGACATGGATTATTGGCATCCATCATTCAAAAAGACACTACAACTGCGCAAAGAAAGCATCCAGAGCATCCCCGATGCTCTCAGCCCCTTTCGTCCACCCTAGAAGCGGACCGGTCAAGAAGACATCATGGGGCGCGTACGGAAGCACCCAATGGGTGACCTTGTTCCCAGGTACGCGCCTAAACCTCTCGACGAATTCGAAATTGGTGTCGAGGATGACTTCAGCACCTCCTGACTGCACGAAGAGCGGCGTCTGGGTCGCAAACGGATGCAGGCTCGGGGATAGATAAGGTCCATCAAGAAGCAGGGGGGGAGGCGCAAAGACCCGGTAGCCCCAGGCGGTCATGCGTCCGTCAAAATAGTCGGTCTTTTGGTTCCGGTGGCCGTCGACCGCCTGCGAGTCGGCTTCGAACGTGGTATCGACCGAGGGTGAAAACAATAGGCACGCCTTGGGGGTAACGTGGCCTAGCTCTACGAGGTAGCGTACGAGGCCGATAGCCAGAGTGCCACCCGAAGAGTCCCCTCCCACCACAATGCGGTGCGGAGCAATGTGTAACTCGTTGACGAGATACAGGTACGATGTCAGGGCATCCTGGAACGGCCCTGGCCACGGCGCCGGGTCATTTTTGTCGCCCGAGAGTCTGTATTGCACCCATAACGAACGTCCCCCGGGGCCCAAGTGCGCATTCAGAAGATCCGCCCCAAACTTACTGTCATCCGGACGACCCGTCATCCACATGAAGGATCCGCCGTGAAAGTACAACGCCACGATGCCCTGGGACCCTCCCTCGTCGACAGTGCCAGGCGGCTCAGGATACCAAACCGCACCGATTCTCTGTGGTTTCACCAAATTGTGGGATAGCGGGCCCTGGTATAATTCCGCCGAGGCCGGCTCCATGACCACCCATCGTCGGCCGAGCTTGCCAGGCTCCAAGCTTATCGACTGCATCCAGCCTATGTCGGTGATAACACCAAACACCGCCCTCATGACCCAGGTTCGGAGGGCCTGACCGCGGGTCCAGTGTGTATTTGGACGCCGAGAACTCGGAATGTAGAAGAAGACGAGGAAGACTGATCCTAGGAGGATTCTGGTTACACTGAACAAGACCCAGATGATGCTTCCTGGCTTGGTGGTACGCCAACCTCTCGGAATAGCATCTTCCTCAGCAATCTGGCGTGCCATGCTTATTTCGGGGTTCGAGGACCCTCTCGATTCTGATCATCGATGCCCGTGACCTTAAGACGAGTCTCTGGATGCCGTGTCTGGCCAGCAGGAATTGTGTGGAAGTTATACTCGTATTGCGTATTCACAACTGGTGACCTTCGGCGCTCTCTCGTTGGTGTGCGGATCTTCTGCAACAGGCGTAGTAGGTAAAGAATCTGCCCAAACCCTACAGACAAGACCTGCGAGATTCCGAGGGACTCTCGACAGGGTTTATAAAGCAATATCTGAGTTAGCAGCCGACCGGACTTAGACTGCCCCCGCGAACCGGAATGAGTCTAGGGCAGCATCTCCAGATTCCTAAACCGGAGCGATACGCGAGCCCTGCCAGATAAGGTTGCTCTGACGCAAGCACGGTGGGCATTAATAAATCTCTCCTCTACTACCTACAATGCCTGTTGTCGTAAACACCAGTGGTGGGGAGCTTCCGCCAACCCATACATAAGTAATTCTCGTCCTGGCTTCCGGAATGACATCAACCTCAGGTACAATGGGCTGCGCGAATGAGTACGCGAGCGCAGACAGTTTCTGTGATTGTGTTGTGATTGTCTCTACACCGCTAATCGGTACAAATGAGGCCTGAACAGAAATTAAGTTAGGCGCGCCTAACCTGTGCCGAAAATAGGCGGTTGTCGAATGAGAATGCGTGCGTAACACCAACACTCAAGTGCGTAATACCCGCTACCTACGTGACAGGAAGGCTATAGCCACCGCTCTTAGGCTTGGTTGCGGCCGAGAAGCGTGCGATATGGCCATACTGCCGTGAACGCGACAATTAAAGCTTCGGTCCTCAACGCGTACCATGTTTCTGCTGCCTAGAACCACTTTGCTTCACTCACTGAAGAGCCCCCCAACGCCAGCGACCAATGAGGCCTCCAGGTGCCAGAGCTTGAATATTCAAGGATTATGTTTTTGAAAGAGTCAAATCCTTCCAACAATTCCTCGTGGCTACCCGTGTCACCTGATCCACCGCGGATAGATGGCGTAAGGGGATTTCACCAGACATGAGGCAGTTTACTTGGACTAGCCGTGAATCCTAGAGGCGATACCCTGACACTAAGGACCCCTGCATAGGGCGAGGTGTTCCCAGCGAACATGGCTTCTCCGCGTGAATGACCTAGCTGACGGAGTAACCTGACGACTTCTCGAGAAAAATCCCATCTCTGGGATTTCCCTCGACCTCAACGTCAATCACCCAGCGTGTGATTGGCCTTGAGGTTAGAGTTTTGCTCCTCGAAAAACATTATTTTTTTGCTGGCAGCACAAGGGCTTATATGATTGATATCGGGTCTTCAAGTGACAGAGCATGTAAGACCAGAATGGGCTACTAGATCGCCTATGCCTCGGAGGACATGGCAGTCGAAGTGAATCTGAAGTGGCTTTTACGGATCTGCCCGCGATACACGAGAGTCAAATGCAGCTATTCTCTCCCCTATTGCGTTTGATACAGTGTAAGTGTGACTTCATATCAGAATTGATTGACTCTCAAGGGCCGAACGACTTTTGCCTGAACCCATGTTTGGTTGAATTGTACCCTTTACCGCACCATTGGGCTCGGGTCCTTGCTGATGGCACCGTCCGACGCGAACGGGCCTCCCCTTTTCTAATATACTCAAGGTGAAAGTCAGGACAAAGATTCCGCATGGCAGACGAACCTCAGGAGGGATCACAATCCATCAAATTCGCCTCGGCGATGCTCCCAATTGCTCCATCAGCTTTGAGTTGTATACAGACAAGATCATCCTTGTCAAAGAACACTCGACGCCGATATCAGTTGCACAAGCATCAACATGTCAAACTCACGCTTTTTGTCGTCTTACATCTGAGCAGCTGCTGCTTGAGCCTGCAAAACAGTAGAGGAGCTGTGCTCTACAACTCGACTCGGAGTTCCTGTGCCTCCGATGGCACCATCAGCCCGTAACTGCTTCTCGATAGCACCCTCCTTGTCGAGTAGACCACCTCCAGAGAGCAATGTTATCCATACTCAAATCGGGGCCAGTGGCATCAAGCCATGGGCCGTGACCCTGAAATTGGTCTCAGGTAAGAGTAAAGAGATTCTGCAACCTGAGCATAAAATCGACTCTGATGAGATTCACGCCTCAAAACGCCATTTGATATATACTTACTCGCAGGTATGTCCGTCGGACGAGTTAGCTATCCTCTGCAAGCCGGGAGATCACTTGCGAAGCCGTTTAACCAATAGCCAATGTCCTCTGTATCCTCCTACAGATCCACCCCTAGCACTGCAGGGAAAAGAGGTGATGTTCTGCGGGACGAGTCGGCCGAGTCACTCCCTTGTTCATGGACTGATTCTGCTCCGAGCACGAACAACACATGAGTGAACAGATTCACCACAGCATATTTTCTATGGCACGCGACATGATCGAGAGGGGTCTCGGCTTTCTCTTTCGGCCATCACGGCCTAATCCGATGGTAATGGTGCAAATCGGAGCATCATTTGTCCACTTCTTGACATTGAAATGATTCTTTGTGTAACTCGACCGAGAAGATCGAGGTATTGGCTCTTTTTCGACCGTCCATCGGTCGAGAGCTAATGGCAATACTCCAAAATCGGAGCGTCATTCGCCCGTTTCTTGGCGTCCTCAGAATGCCTTCCTCACTCAACTTATAACCGTCGAGCTTGACATAATAGGTAGGGGAAGAGTGTACGATGTAACTAACCATCTAGAACCAATCCTTTAGCTCGCCAGGTTGTTATGGCTTCGAAAGTTTGGCTCATCACCGGCTGCTCGTCCCCTCAGGGGTTCGGCACAGCCCTTGCAGAAGAACTTCTCACTCGGGGTCAAAAAGTGATTGCGACTGGACGTAACCGCTCGTCACCTGTGCTAGGCGCTCTGAAGGAGAAAGGGGCCTCTGTGCTTGCCCTCGATGTGACATCTCCTTTCCACCAAATTCGAGACACTATAGAGGAAGCAAACAAAATCTACGGTGGCATTGGTTTCTTGATCAACAACGCGGGTTTCAACCAGACTGGAACGATTGAAGAGATGAATCTGGACAAAATAGAAGCTCAATTCCAGACCAATGTTTTCGGCGTGATCAAGGTCATAAAAAGCGTCCTGCCTCAAATGCGAGAACGAAGATCGGGTTGTATTGTCAACATAAGCAGCACTGTCGCATGGCAAGGGGGCCCGACGATGGGCGCATACATGGGGAGCAAAGCGGCGTTGAGTCAACTGAGCGAGGCCTTGGCCGCTGAGGTTGCTGAGCTTGGTATCAAAGTGTGCTGCATAGAGCCAGGCGCATATCGGAGCGGCTTGCTGCAGGCAGACAAAATCGAGAAATCCAAACAAGGCGAGATCAGAATCAGAGACTATGATGCTACAGCGAGTCGGCAATTGGAGAATATCATTAGCATGGTCGACGGAAATCAGCCTGGAGATCCCGCCAAAGGTGCAAGAGTTATTGTGGATGTCCTGCTGGACAAGTGGAACAAGGGTATTCCCCTCCGACTGGTTATCGGAAAGGATGGTCACGATGCTGTCAAGGCGAAACTGGACCAGGTCTCAGCAAACCTGAAGGACTGGGAGGGAGTAGCCACGGCAACTGATTTTGGACCGTGATTTATACACCTTGTCGTACACAGCTTGAAGAAGTCTGGACTTTCTCCGAGATCGCGGAATGAATTCAGAATAATCGAAGGACACGTCAAGCAGTCCAGATGCTGATGCCAGAATGTTACAAGGTCTTGGATAAGAAGTAATGCAGGCGCAACGGCTCCCTGCATATTCACCTGCTGCACCTGCTACGGCTGCGAGCCTGCGAATTTGCGGGTGACTGCAACTCTGCCTCTCGTTTGCTCTCACTGCTTGCTGGTCTCTCACTCACTATTGTGATACGTTGTCACTCTCGCCGTCGGATCAAGCTCGACATCTTTCTCTTTGCTTTTTGGATTGAAGCTGCGGCAATTGCAGTTGGCTCATTTGTTACTGACCAACATCTTACATTGTTGTCCCCTCCAATTTCTCAGGGAGACTGTATTTTCTTTGAAAACCGGCCTGATCTTCAGACTCCCTTCCTCCCTTCCTGTCTTCGGCACGGAATGTGTCATTAATTTTCCAATGACATCCACACCAGCATCGTCCAACCAGATCAATGCAATGACGGTTGAGAACGTCTTTCCCACCCCTCCCACAGGACAACCGGATGCTGGCACTCTCTTTCGACTCAAGAGAACGCTTTCCCCTCCACCAAAGAGACTCCTACCCCGAGAACGCGCCCAATCAACTCCACCGGAAACGACTCGCTCAAATCAGTTCGGAATCTTGACGAAAGGTACAGATGGTCAATGGCCGGATATGGCAAGTCTCGAAAGCTCGTGGCAGAGGTTGCACCTCTCGAAGAAGAAAAGTCAGTATTTCGAAGGCGCATTTGCCTATCGTGAGCCCAACAACACCGCAAAAGAGCGTATACTCAAGGACTCGGTGGTTCTAGCCGAAATCAGGCTGAACTACTCTGTAGGTTTTCTCATATGCAGTGCTGTCTATCGGAACCCGCTGACACTGTGCAGCTAGACTCGGAGAAAGAATTCTTGATAGACCTCTCATTTAGGCTTTCCGAGATCTACCAGCGCCCAGAGTCTTGCATAATGGTTCTGATGACGACTGATGTCTCCATGCTGCTCGGAGGAAACTCAGAGCCGGCATACCATCTCATGATCACTGCTCTTCCTTCCGAGATTGCGGCCACCAAGAACAAAAGAAGCACTCGTCTCCTTCAAGACTTCATACTCGATACCTTGCAAATTCCACAGGGTCGAGGAGTTGTGCAATTCCAGGCAGTCACAGAGGAGAATCTGGCCACCAATGGGATGACTGCGCTACAAGAAATCGAACAACTTGAAAGGCAGCCACCCGAGGAAGATGGTCGTTTCACAGCGGTCAGTAGACAAAGCAGAAGAAGCAAGAAGTCGACTGGTCCAGCTCTCACAGAAAGAATCAAGTCTAGCATTCCCTCCTTGAGGTCTACCACTCCTTCGCGGCAGCAATACAATACAGTCCACCTAGGAGAGTCGAAGTCGACGGAAGCTAGCGGTCTAGGAAGAAAACGCGTGAAAAGGAGGCAGAGCATTCTTGCTTTTTTCAAGAGATGAGTATTCGATAAAGATAATCATCGTCACTACATCGCATTGATCGAGAACATCCATGCAAGCTGGGAGGCATAGTCGGCCTAACTACATGAGGCCAGTTTGGTATAGGGATTCATGTTACAAGATTTTGGTATACGGTAGAATGAGCTATGAAAGTACAACGGTCTCCCAGTACAAGACAATGAAAACACCTCACTGCTAAAATACTGCTGCCTTCCATGACCCGTTGTTACTTCACTCCGCCTTCACTAAGGAGTCTGCCTTCCCTGTCTGCAACAAACATCACATATCATGGTTTCAATTTGCTAGGTACCAGTCTCTCAATCTCTTAGTTTCGTATCCTCTGAACACATTGATCGACTCATACTATCTCATCCTGAAAACGCAATATGACAGACAACGGCGTTGCGAAAGCCTGCGCAGTCCTTGGATTGGCCCCAAACGCGACATTCGATGACCTCGACCAGCGGTATCTCCAGTTGACTTCATACTGGAGCTCACAAAAAGTCAACAAATCCAAAGAGATAGCAAAGAGACAGCAGGAAGAGATTGATGAAGCGTACCGGCTGCTGCTCCCGCATTTCATCAAGACTCTCGAGGATGATCCAAGCCTGGCCAAGGACGAGTACACCATGAAGCAAGTGATCAACGGTCAGGACCGCATCCAATATCCCAGCACGAACGACGATGACCTCTGGGTCCCCCCTTCACGTGCGAAATCACCAGAAACAGACATGGACACGGACATGGAAAACTCAAGCGATAGTGGCGATAGTGGTTTGGGCTGCTCGCCTAGATTCAATATTCAGGAGGTTGGCTGTGACATTCTTGACGCTCCAGATCGAGCAGTCATTGTTCGTAGGTCAATATGCCCGAACAGGCGAATCCATGAGCTGACGTTTCCCACAGACGCGGTTAATTGTCAGGGTATATGGGGCTATGGAGTAGCAGCTCATCTGAAAAGAGCGGTAGGGAATTACCTTGAGAACTAAATGCATCCTGACATATTGTCCAGTTGCCACAAGCCTACAACGTATACCGCTCCCACTGCAGCCAAGTTGAGAAGCCCTATGACATCCTCGGAACATGCCTCTTGATCCCCCCGCAGGAAGAAGATTATTCTCCGAACGTTCAAAAGAATCAAGATGATTCGAAACCAGCAAGACCCGTGAAATCGAAGGGTGCCATATCAGGAAAACGTTTATGGGTTGCATGTCTCTTCACAAGTGTTGGATACGGGAAAGCATTCATGGCCGCGAACAATCCAGGAAAAGATCCACCCGAGCGCATCCTAAAGAATACTGGTTATGCGTTGGAAGACCTCCGAGCGCAACTAGAGGCACAAGGCCTTCCAGATTCCGATGAGCAAATAAGTGAGGAATGTCCGGATGATGAGAAGCCTGGAGAAATCTGGAGTGTCAAATTCAACAGCGGAGCATTTGGGGTGGTTTGGGAAGAGACGCTTCAAATTCTTGAGAGTGAGTTTGAGGGATACGTGAAACCTTGGTTTGTGGTAGAAAAGGGCTCCGAAGGCAAAGCTAGGTACAAGGAAGATGCGACCGATGTCGAAGACGTCGATGCCGACTCGAGTGGCGTGCGCGGCCGTCCCAAAATCCGATTGACATTGAAGAGGGGTTGTGGAAACATTCAGCCATCTGACGACGAAGAGATGAGCGAGGCAGACTGAAACATGTCTTAACAGAGGACATTGATTGAATAGCTGGGCAATTGTAAGAGTCAAGACGTGGACAGTTGCTGTAGAGTCCGACGGCGAGGAAATGTTCGTGTCGTGCTGTACACTTCAATGTCAATGGAATCGCATCACACGGAGTATCCCTGGATCACTCTGCATTGCAATGATCGAAAGCTCAGGCAGAATCAGAGTCAGAGTCAGAGTGATCGAGGCTGTCGACACTTTTGAATTATTACCCTAAGCCACAATAGGACTAGACTGTTTCATCTTGGCGTATATTGATTTTTTTCGAGGGTCGTACATGGACGGAGTACATACTACTTCCTCGCTGAGTAGATTCACGACTCGCGCTTCAGTTGGACAGAGAGATTACTTGGTCATGAGTGAACCAGCTTCGGATGAACGCCCGCAGAAGCGCCCGAGGCTTGAAGCCGACCAAGACGCAGGTCTGAGCCAGGAAGATCTGCATACAGTCTCGGAATCGAAATTGTCGGACACTCTTCTCGCGGATGAAATTGCGAAAGAGCTTCAGGTGGGTATCACTACCTATGTTGAGTCTTCTAAAAGTGTTTTTCGGGGCGTTTTGAAGAAAAGATATACCGACTTTCTCGTCAACGAAATCCTCCCGGACGGAACAGTCTTGCATCTCCAGAATACGGCGGCGAGGCCCGATCGTGCTTCTAATGGTTCATCTACGGCACAAGGCAATTCAGACAAGTCTATTCAAGAACCGGTGAAAAGTGAGACTGTCTTAGAACCGGCTGTGAAACCGGTCGAGCGAGAAAGCCAAAGTAACGAAGCCGTCAAGAATGAGGTTCAGGAGACAAAGCAAGAGGTTTCTGAAGATGACCGCGCCAAACTCGTCAATTACTTCAACGAGGAAGTTGTTGTTGAGTTGATATCTCTTTACGACTCCATTGTACAGTCGCCCAACAAGAAGCCCAAGGAACATCCCACAGTACGCACCGAGTTCACGACCGATAGGTCAGTACGGTCACAGATCCATCAGGACATCCGACGCATATTCAATAGGAAGATCGACTCCTCAACTGATAAGGACGGTATTCTGGTCCTCACCGCCGCGGCGATTAACAATAACGGTCGAGATGGGCGCCAAGCACACCAGAAGAAGGATGGTCGCCCAGGGAAGCTAGGTTGGCTGGATCGAGGAGGCGAATACGTTCATTTCACGCTCTACAAAGAGAACAAGGATACGCTCGAGGTCATATCGTTCATGACAAAGCAGCTCAAGACGACGAACAAGACTTTTCAATTTGCAGGCACCAAAGACCGACGAGCCGTGACAGTACAACGCGTCAGTGCGTATCGTGTCGATGCGGACCGCCTCGCATCACTCAACAGATGTTTGCGATACTCTGCCGTCGGTGACTTCAAATATCAGAAGCAGGGTCTGGAACTTGGTGACCTCAGTGGGAATGAATTCGTGATTACCTTGCGCGACTGCGGCGTCATCGATTCGGAGACTGATTCTGTGGAAGAAAAGGCATCCCTTGCGCAGGCGCACCTGTCAGGTGCCCTGCAGCAGCTCCGAGAAAAAGGGTTTCTCAACTACTACGGGCTTCAGAGATTCGGTACGTTTGCTCAGAGAACGGATGTGGTCGGTGTCAAGATCCTGCAAGGAGATTTCAAGGGGGCATGTGAGGCTATTCTCGATTTCTCGCCTACAGCTTTGCAGGATTCTCAGTCCTTGCCCACGGGGGTGATGGTCGGTCAAGACGATCGCGCGCGAGCCGTTGGGATCGACTTATGGCAGAAAACCGGCAGGGTAGGGGCTGCACTCGATAGCATTCCCCGCAAGTTCTCTGCAGAGATTGCGCTCATCAGACACCTGGGCAGGAATTCCAAGGACTACATGGGTGCACTGCTGTCGATCCAGCGAAACCTGCGATTGATGTACGTCCACGCGTATCAGTCGTTGATCTGGAACTTGGCCGTGGGTGAGCGCTGGAAATTGTTCGGTGGCGCCGTGGTTGAAGGCGACCTTGTCCTCGTGCATGAACATACCGAGAAGGAAGTCCAGAAAGAGCCTGAACAGGCTGTCGACGCAGATGGTGAAGTCATTATTCAACCATCCGGCGAGGACAGGGCATCCGATCCGAACGACGTGTTTGAGCGTGCCAAAGCACTCACTGCAGAAGAGGCGGCCAGTGGGAGCTATACCATCTTTGATGTCGTGCTTCCCCTGCCGGGCTTCGATGTGGTGTATCCGGCGAATGCGAGCGGTGAGTGGTACAAGACGTTCATGGCGAGCGAGGCAGGTGGAGGCCTTGATCCACACAACATGCGTCGCAAGCAGAGAGATTTCAGTCTGAGTGGTAGCTATCGGAAGATTGTGGCTCGGATCGGCGAGGACTTTGATGTGAAGGTTCACCAGTATGCCGATGATGATGCACAGTTCGTTGAAACGGATATGGATCGATTGAAGAGCAGACAGGCCCAGGGTGAAAAGAATGGCTCTGCGGGGGGTGGGCCGAAAGACAAAAGTGACGACGCAAACAGCGATGGTCGACCGTCGAAAGTTGCGGCAGTGCTCAAGTTTCAGCTTGGCTCAAGTCAGTATGCGACTGTTGCACTGCGAGAGTTGTCAAAGGGCGGTGTCCAAGCATACAAGGCAGAGTTTACCGGTGGGAGGTGAGGAATGACTCTGGGTTAGGTCGTTGCCATAGTGCCAGGATTGAAGAGGCAAGATTTTATTGAACCTGTATGGAGTTCAGCATTCCTGAGCATTGTGCTGTGTGACGCCCGGATTTTGTGAAGCCTCGCAAGACTGACTTCCTCCATGTACACAGCAACATCAGACAGACATCTCGGTCAGGCAGGCCTACATACCATAGTTCTGTCTGTTCCCAGCCCTGGCGGTTTGCTGTGGGCATTTTAGACGCCGTAGCGATTGTAGGCCCCATCGAATCCGAGAGGGCTGAGCCAGGGCTCCACTGACCAAACATCCTCAACAGTCGTCGTTTTGCAGAAGAGTACCTAAATTACTCGAGAACGAAAAACCTAGTTGCCATACACGATTTGATCCCAGAGGGTGAGCGAAGGCCGCTTTAGCCTGAGCGTTGACTGAGCCTTTTGGCTGGGCCTTGTGAGCAGCCGCTGAGTATGTAGCTCAATGGTGTATGAGGGAGCGACAATCTAGCTTCCCCAGGGCCAGATTAGGCCCCCCTGCAATCGGCTAAACCTACCTCTCAGCCAGGCCATCTGTTTCAGATACGCCTCTACTGAGCATGGCCGACCTCTGCCTGTACGCTGCTGCCTGATACGTAGAAATGGTTTTTTTTTTTCGGACAGCTCGAAATGACTCGTCTCATCTTTCCGGCGTCACGGTGAGGGCCACGTTCTTCCGGAAATCTCCCCTTCGGTTTCTGGCCTCCCTTGCCAACTTCAGTTGCACAATGGCTTTATCTGGCTTTATCTGCCTGTGTAGAAGGAAAACAATACTGTTGAGGAACTTGTTGGTTTAATGTGGACTGACAGGAACACATTCTAAGCTCGTAGAAATTGTGGCCTGGTGAATGTGACACTTGCCTTTAGGCTTAAAGTCTTCAGGAGAATTGTGCCATGCGACAAATGAGGCTGTGCTTCGCCTTCACCTGCATCTCACAAGTACATGTCAATTGCTGTGTCCGCAGTTTTAGCCTCATATTTTCACATTCACAATCAGTTCCAGCAAATGGTCACGGAAGTACGGTCAAGGTGTTGGGCGCAAGTTGTTGCACGTCAACGACGTCTGTCACCAGTCTTTCAGACAATATAGATCAATCTGCTATCTTTGCGAAGCAGTCTGCGTTCTCTCTCGCCAGACGTTCAAGCTCATGAGAGCGGTACGGAGGACAATACTGCGGAATGTTTAAATTTTCCCATGGTGGCAGTCCTGTGTCTAGGATGAGTATTCTAATAAAGTAGGGCTTGGACTCCATCTAGGCTCAAACTCAGATATGCTGCAGCGCCACCCCAAAATTCTTAGCATATATCCCTGATGAGTATGGGAATTCATTGCTGATGACCTAATGCAGAGATACAATATTTTTGCACGATGGGTAGCATTGTCTTTCAAGTGCATTGAGCAGATCCTACAAACACTTGCCGAGCATCAGGCATTTACACTCCTTTCATGCCTGCTCTTTATACTAGGTGCATGCCTTGCAAAATTCTAGAAGGAACAAGCAAAGCTCATGCAAAATGTACTTCCCTTCCGTAAGTGACTGCCTGCTGCCAAACATGAAGAGGGGAAGGTCCTCGTTGGATCACACACAAGAAGCTACATGTGTAAAGTCTGCTGGAGTGCTCTAGACAATTGTACATGGAGTATCATCACAACACTCACCCTGAGCTGGCGGTGGTCGCAACAGGCCGGGTTGCATTAAGTGCCCGTCTACCACGTCAAGATTGCTGCCGCCGTTGCTTTCGATAAATTTGATGTCTTACGAGATTCGAGTCGAACCTCCTGAAACTGGATTAAAAGGTCGCTGGTGGCGCGACACGAGCGCGATAATTTCTATCCCCTGCAGGGTTTGTCCCGTAGACTGGGGCAATTGTGCATGGCGGTCCTTTCAAGCAGCTCAATATCGCTGACAGATGTTGTTCGCGACGTATGTCTTTGGGCTTGCTGCAGTCCTTGGACACCGTGGAATGGAGGCTAGTCTTCTTGCAAGAGGTCCTCTTTGAAACAGCATGGAGTGGGCGTTTGTTGGTCTGGTCGATAATCTTTTCCCTCCCTTCTTGATGCGGTGGACAGTTTGAAACGTCTATAATTCTTGCATCGAAACCGAAATCTTGAACGGACCGCATATCGTCAAAGGGGCATATGTGACTAGGATTCGCAGGATTGATGTTCGCCGAGTTGTCTTGCTCTCTGGGCTGGCATACTATAGGTACTTAGCAATTAAATCCATGCTGTGTCCAGATACTACTGACAGATTCCTCGGCGGCGACACTGGCCGCAAGGTATATCCAAATCGCAGTTGATGTTTGCACGATGGCATGCAAGCAGGCGTGGCTAAGCCTGTTAGGGATATCAAAGCCTAGAGCGCGACTCTCAAAAGGGGTAAGACTTGTCATGAGACTGAAATCGCGTGGGATGATCGTTTAGCTTTAACAATGCTTGAGCTCTGATCATCATCACTCCCTGCTTCAGATTCCAGTGAGTAGGCCTCTGAGAATGTAGGACTCGAAGGCATTGCAGCCGGAGACATCTCTACTTTAGATTTGTACTCATCAAGAGCCTCTTTCCTCGAATTTGATTTTGTTCCATTGATGGCACCATCGGTCTCGCACAATCTTGCTGTAGGTGTTCTGTTGTTGCCCGGCTTCTCTATGAGAGGACTCCGGTCGAACAAAGTGGAAGAGTAAGACCTAGGTTTCCGTTCAAAACCAAGTTTAGCGGCTCGCTTTACGATTGCCAGTTTCTTGATCTTGGTATGTGGGTGGTGTTGCAGCGACCGAGAGGTGCGGTCCCTGGCCCAGTCTGCAGTAAGATCTATCATGTTGTGCATCCTCGGATATTCAGACAACGCTGAATTTGCGAGACTGCCGCTGCGAACGCGGGTGGAGGATTGGCGCGTTGTCGCTGCGTATCTGATGTCGTTGTTAGTAGTACAGCAAGAGGGACATCCAATATCAAAACCTTACCCGTAGATTAGGTAGTCAGGTGAAGGAGCCAGATTAGGCTCCCTCCACTCGGCTCAGGGGAAACTCAGTGAGTGGCTCAGCCACTTTCGCTCGCGGAGTGGGTTTATCCCTTAGAAAGCATACCGGGGTAAGTATAAGGCACAAGGACCCAGAATAAAGATGCCGGCTACCTAGATTACTCGAGAAAAAGAAACACAACTGTCACATACGGTTTGATGCTAGATGGTGAGCGAAGGCCGCTTTTAGCTGTGCATTTTCTTTTACCTGAAGCTTTTACTAAGCCTCCAAATGAGCATCTGGCTGAGCATCTGGCTGAGCATCATTGAGCGTTGCCTGAGCGTTGCCTGAGCGTTGCCTGAGCGTTGCCTGAGCGTTGCCTGAGCGTTGCCTGAGCGTTGCCTGAGCGTTAACCGGTGTCTCTACAATAAGGATAAGAAAAGTCGTACAGCCTGGTGTGACTGATTGGTGGTCTCTTGCAAAAAGGAATCAACTGAAGGGTCGATGCTTCTGTCAAGGAACAGAGATTCTGTCAGAGTGTCACGCACAATCTTCAATATGAATTTTCTTCCATCCGTCCGCTGCTTTTACGTACTCGAACGTTGGGAACTGTCCATGTTTTAGATGTTTCAATTTCATGGGAGGAGGTCAAAGGGCTTACGTAGTGACTGTTTTTCTTCATCGTGACGACTTGTGGTATACTTTTCAGTGTGACTACCCTCAGCTGGAAGCTCGTGTTGTCTTTGATCTTGCTAGCCTCTTGCATAAACGCTGCTAGACAAGGCGTCTTCACACCGTTCACCTCTGTTATGAACGTAGTGGGAAGTAACCCATATTGCTCTGCGGGAGAACCTGGCCAGCAAGCGCTGACATAAACCTGGGAATGGAGTTTACGAACTTGCTGCCTGACTGCGTGATGGGGCTTTTGTAAAACGGTGCCGCAGAATGCAACGGTATGTGTGGTCTCCACTTCATCCGCGGGTATGGTGAGCACTCTGAATAGCTTTTCCTTACCTTCCCGTACGACCAGGGCTTCGAGCCATTTATTGTCGTGTACTATATCCAGGTCGTGTGGTCGTGTTATTATCCGATCGTTCAAAGTTAGGATAATGTCTCCTTCCCTGAGCGATTGCCCGTCAGTGGGGCGATCCTCTGTGCTGGCCCCTACCTTAAAGACCCTGAAGAGTTGATGTCGCAACGGACTGACTTCAGAAACTTTCGTGATCCATTCCTCGGAGACGCTTGCAGTTCGGCATTCATTCATTGAAAGTGCCACTGTCTCTATGTCGAGAATTCGGGGCTTAGGAATGCTCCCAGCCATAATCTGATCAAGCATGGGGGTGATCATGCTCGTAGCTAGGCCGAAATTATACTCATTGTTCTTATCTCCCATGTAGTTCAGCCACAATGATTGCACCACGCCATCAGTATCGATAATGACTCCAAATGGACAATTGGATGCCCCAGTCGTGCTGACATAGATGCCTTGGACGTTCGTGGCACGATACCTTGGCCCGGAAACGTTCTTGGGGATCCAGAGATTTGCAAGCTCTGAAACCGTGGTTTTGGAAAATGTAAGGTCGTCTTGATTAAACCCAACGAAGATAGCGTCACTTCCTTGCTTGATCATCTCAGTCGATAGTTTTGCTGCCTTGACCGGCGCTTGCACCAGTTTCGGATCGTATCGGACCACGGTGTAGTTCCTAATCGGATCGACAAAGTAGACTTCGCCCTCTACTTGAACCGAGTCTGCCACAATTATCGTAGTCCCGCAGAGGCTGTGCGGCACGATTGCCCTAGATACGATCACAAAGCCTTGATCTATCACGAGGCCAAATCCACTCCTTCGACTGTGAGGGAACCCATCAATATCGATTGGCATTGAGCATGAGACTTTGACGAATGACCTGATGATATCTCCGGCAGGGGCAGACAAGCCGTCGATCTGGACAAAGTTTGCGGATCTGGCTACCGGTGCGAGGGCTGGTGGTAACTTGCCAATGAGATTGAAGTCCCAAATGCCCGTTTTGTCATTACGAATGGCCAGTGTCAAGTCCGGATCCCACTCTTGATCAACCTGGATGCTGTCTGTCCTTTGGGTGTCAAGATCGCGCAGAGAGCGGTAGGAGATGATAATTCGTGACCTTTCCGGGATTTCTTTCATAACCTCGATAAATACTTCCAAATCTGGCGTACGTTTGTGATCTACTGTATCGATGATCGATCCAGTGAGGTTGGAGATCCCTCCAAATGACCCCTTAGCTTCAGAGACATACAGCCCCTTACAGGGAATACAACATAGTCGCGCGTGTTGGTAGGAAAGACTATGAAAGACCCCTCCAGCAACAGCCACAAATCGATCTGGGGTAATTTTAGTCAGGTCTTGCACCATTAGGGTAACCTGATGGTCCTCTCCCCCGCGCTGCAATAGCAGGTTTACCGTACTGCCCACGCTTGAGTCGAGGATAGCGTCAAGGGTGACGAAAGATGTCAACAGCTGCTCGTTAACCTTCAGCAGTAGATCACCCACCTGAACTTTACCATCCGCTGGACCTTCTGGCAACACAGTTTCTGCCACAAGTATACTATTTTCATGGGGAAATTTTGTACGAACGATAGATTCCCATTCGGATGTGAGACCTAGTCTTCTGCAATGATCGAATGCCTTCCATGTCCACTGCGTCTGGATGGTTCCTCGGGTTATAGGTTTTCCTTGTTGTAAACAGTCCAGGGTTCGAAGAGGTCGATCTAAAGGCAAGAAAAAGTCCGTGGTAGCCTTATCCGTCCGACCACCCGCTTGAAGAGCAATAGCATGCCCGTTGTTGTCGATCACAGGGCTCCCGGAGCTACCCCCGGTAGTTGCTGCCGCTGCTTGAATGTAATGTGTATTAAAGTCGTTATAACCGAATCCATAATCCGGCGCATTGCGGTCTAATCGGCTAATAAAACCAGAGTGAATACTGAGTTTCTCGCCAGCGTCGTTCCCGATGATCCTGATTTCGACTCCAACACGCGCCGACACCGGATTCAACTGCAGTGCTTTGAGCCTCATGTATTTGATAGCCCGAGGGTCGAATTGTAGAAAACCAAAATCATGAACAGGATCACGATAGATAGGATGGACGTCGCACTGCAGGACCAGTTTACTGACTGTCGTTGCACGTGAAAGCTGTGAGTAAGGAGCTTACCTCCTCGTGATTGACAAAAACACAATATCCCGTGAAAGGACCTGGGCCCACAACATGCCGGTTGGTCAAAATATATCCCTTCTCTGCATCGACCACGAAGCCTGTGGCCTGACTGGACGTCGACGAATAGGTATCGAACGGCCGGGGGCGCGAAAAGTGTATGGAAACGACGCTCTTGGTTACGGTCTCTACTGTAGCTTGCCACTTTCCAGGGTCCCCAGGGCTTGGATTCAACACGGAGAGTGCTTTCTCGTCACTCTCCATCTGACTGACATGGTATCTTGGAGGTTCTTCGGCGCTGGAATCCATTGTGCTGCAGTAGAAAGTGTCGCGAGAATTAAAGGCAAGAGGTAGAAGCAAGGAGCTATACGGACTGTGGGTGTTGAAGACTGAATCCAGAATTTGATGGTCTGTATTTACCTGGAACGAGAATGGACAGCCGCAGCGCCAAGTAGCACCCGTATGTAAATCTCACCGCCTCTTAGCAGTGTGCTGATTCTGTTTGAAGCAGGTGCTAACGCCTCTCGTGTCTCCACACAATCCGGCTTAAGCGACTTCACACTTTCTCTCGTGGTCTCCCAGCTTGATTTTAGCGTGCCGGAGCCGTCGGGCTGCCAGGCCGTATTGTTGAGGCTCTGAATGGCATATTGAAGCCAATGAGGTCTTGAGGAAAGGTGAGGCGGCCTGCTGACGCTAAGGAGCTTCCTTCGAGATAAGTACCCTGGTACTCTTGTCTTGTAAGTACGACAAAGGCAATGAAGGACCGATGCATGAACTAGGCGGGGTGGGTGTGGGAGCATTTCCTTTTCGTTCTCGCATTTCTCAGCTGAGGCTGAATCAAGCCTCACAATGTTCAGTTCCATGTTATTAAGCTTTGCCAAGCTTGTGCTTATCAGCCCAGACCGCGTCGCCTACATCCGGCGGCGACTAGCCAGGAGGAGACTTCCAACGACCTCGCCCGCCTCGCGAGGTTGTCGTCGTCCCAGGCTGTAATTCCAAGGCGCAGGAATCGATTCCAGAATCGACACCAGCAGACGCAATTGACAGACGGGTCATCTTCCTGGAACAGAGCTTGGATCGAGGCTTCAGCTTTTGACAAGGCAATGGCAGATACGCAGAACTTGCCCCCACCCTCGTTACGAGCAGCTGCATACGCATCCTGTACGCGGGATGGGTTTTCCGACCTGGCCCAAGCCCGAAAGAGGCAGCACCCTTGTAGCAGCTACTGGGATGACAATCTTGGACAGTCGAGGGCGCTGGAAGTGGAAGTGTCTTTTGCGCCAGCCACAACCAAATCGAAGAAGTTCTGATGCCCAGAGCCGCCATCGACCGCAAGCTGAGTCGAAGAGAGGTCGGGGTTCGCCAATGATTTCACGAGTTCCCCCTCCTTCACACCACATCGCTTTCAATGGTCGTCTTGGTGCATACTGCAGGACTTCATCTTTTGCATGGCTACTTTTCAGCTTCTGGCCGGCAAACATGTCCGTCACGAGCCCGCCGCAGTCGAGAAGCATGGCTGCTGCATCGGTCTCTCGCAGCTCCAGAATAAAACACTGCACTTGCCCTCGTCCTCCGTAACCCATCAACCTCTGCCTTGGGCTTCTTATGTTGCTATCGAAGGGTTCTACATCGGACACCCAGCAAAATGGAATCTACCCTGGAATCTCCGTCAAGACTTCCTCTTCTACCAGAGAAGAGTCCCACAACTCCCGCAACATCCAATGATACGGATAGCCTTCTGCGCTCTCCAATCTCGCCGAAAGCACAAAAGGCCTTCATGAAAGGGGCTATGACTTCGTTGGTCTGGGGTGCGTGTGCTCCGTGCATTCCAATTATGATTGTGACCTGCATGCTCTTGAAACCCATTCTCAGCCATCGGATCAAGGATAGCCTCGTCTTTGTGCCGACGAGTGACCAGGCGACGACGGGCAACGAAGCACTAGACGCTCTCAAGGGTATCCAAAGTTTCCAGAGCTCTGGCGGTAGCAAGGCGTATTATCTGCATCACAACGAATGGACCAACCCGGCAGTACTGCACATGATCGCTTCCTGGTCGGCAAAGATTCTACCTTTCGTGACCGGAACCTCGATGGCCCTGGTAGCTTTCTTCGCCGGCCACCATTTTATCTGGACGACCCAGAACAATTCGAAGAAACTGCCGAGCCCGCATCAAGTATCGATCCTAATCGGACTGCTGAATGGAGGTGGCACTCAACCACTCATCGACACTATCAAGTATCGAATGCACCATGACGAGCACCTTGTGCAACCCCTTCCGATTGCATTTTGGAGCCTATCATTCATTGTTGTGATGACGTGAGTTGGCCCAAGAAGTTTTGCTTGCTGGTATCCTTTCTTCTGACCTTTATACTCTAGCTTCGCGATTGGTGCGATCGACAGCTGGTTCGGCGCCACAACCACCGCCCTGAACATTGCACTTGTTACTCCCAGTGCCAATACTTCACACTCCTTTGGGAGAAGTCTAATCTCTGACTGCATTTCGGAATCATGGCAGCAACATAGCTGTCCTTCCAATGCTCAGGCGACATGTGCGTATCCGTGCAGCATCTCGACCTGGAATGCTTCTTCGGGTCAAGAGCGGGAAGGCGTGAAAAACGCCCAACAAGCGGCGCAAACTCTGATGTTTCGTTCTAAAAATACAACAGTGTTGAATACCACACTCAATGGGGCCAGTTATTTCTTCCTGGGCGATGTCGATGGCAATGCGAAGCTTGACTTCAGCGCGACAGCCGTTGCCGTTTCGACTCAGTGTCAAATGGTGACTCCAAACTGCACTGTGCGGCCCGACCTTGGGCCCGGCTTTACCTGCGGCTCGTACAACGCACCGTCGTTTTCATATTCGGGAGCAGTTGGTTTTGCTCCCAGCGCCGTGACCTCCCCTTCCGACATGGCAATGGTGGGTATTCAGTTCTTCAACGACACAGAGTGGAATCAACCAGTCGGCTTCGGGGACAATACCACGGACCTGTTTGCCGTGAAAAACCCAATCTACTTCCTGACCTGGTCAAAGGGCTTTCCACCGATGAACACACACGCATCAGATGGGTTCTCTGCCATGCGCAATGGCCGTTATTACCAATATGACGACACGGGCGACGCAGTGTACATTCTGGACTGCTCAACCTCGATCTACGACGCCGAGTATTACTGGGTCAACGGGACTGTGGCTTCCATTGAGATCAAAGCGCTCAAATCCGGGTACTACGGTGCAGCCTTGAGCGCTCCATTTTCCACGTACACGGCACTCGCTCACCTCTCGCTTCAAGACGCTGCGGCTTTGGCGGCGTATCAAACAGATCCACAGAACTTGACCGCTTTGTACTCCAGCTATTTCTCCCGTGCCGCTATTGGCTTGACCTCTGGCTTCTCTGTCGCAGTGGCGAATGAACGCGAGTCAAATAGGACTAACAGCTACCTTGCAACGCGCGTTCCGTTGGTGCCGTTGTACACCCTGATCGCCCTCAAGGCAGTGTATGCCGCGTTTGCTCTGGGCCTGGCCCTGCTAGCAGTCTTCCTGGCGAATCCATCCCAGTCTCAGGAGGCCAAAGAACGTCTCACGATCCACGGTCTCGCGGCCGGGTTCTTCGAGCCGAAAAAACAGCACGAACGAGCCGTCAGGAACGTCCAGGACCTGTTCGAGGAGCACCGAGACCCGGAACCCAGCGATGACACCAAGCGCATCGGCATGGTGCGGACGCAGCAGGGCGGTTGGCAGTGGGTGACGCTTGCACGGAAAACCGCCGACACCTTCGGGATTCCAGAGATGGTGAACATTGCAGCAGATGAGGCTGCGGGTCGACAAGACGGCATTGGGAGGATGGCTCAGGGATTGAGACTAGTTAATGAGATCATCTAGGTAATTACTGACACCACACTTTCTGAGTCTTTGGCTCTGGGCGTTCATTGGTTTTGGGGGAGAGACACGAGTCGTGTTTTATGGAGCAGAAAACTGCCAACTGCCCTCGTTCTTACGGAGCTCCCGCCCCTTGTCTGATGGGACTGCTACCTCGTCTACTGGATCTGTTGCCTCGTTCGGCCGGCAAATGGAGGGCAGGGTGATGAATATACAGAATACCCGAGCACCTGATTCGGGCTGAAACCGATCGTCAGGCGGTGGTCGACACCGGACAGTGATCCGAGTTTCGTTTCTTTTGGCGGGCACGACCAGCTGGGTGGAAAATTGGCGTGAAAGTTGAACCTCGACTTGACCTTACTACTGTCATCTGAACAATGATCTCACCTGGTTGGTCGGTCAATAGAACACCAGGCACGTCGCTCGGATGGTCATATTTGATTCTCCTTGCACGGAGGCAGCAGAAACTGGTTGGCTTGGATTCCTTGTTGTGCGGTTGTCTACAGTACCTACTTACTGGTCGGTAATGCGGTCTTCGGAGTCCACATCATATTTACGGACGGGCGGTCGGGTGGACGAATTCGTGAGAAATAAGGGGGCAAGTAAGCTGAATCAGGTTTACCTACTTCTCAGGCAGTTAGTTCAGCGACATACCCTTGCCTTGCTAGATGAAGCGTTTTTCTTTCTTTCCGCATATGACAGTCGACTTGAGCTCACCACGCACGAGTCAGTAAGCGTCTGCCGAGACACACGACCGTACATATGTACATTCGAACTCCTTTTTTCCTCGGTGTTTGACCCTGGACTCATCACCCACCCACCTGCCCACCTCAACGGGACAACAGGTGTACGTAGATGCCCTCTCTTCCCCCGGGGGTCTCAGACGGCACGGTCCACGTTGAAAGGAAAAAGGTCCAGGGGAACACCGAGTTACATCAGTCTCTCCCTGCCCAGCTCCTTTTCGCGTTCGTCGTCAAAGCGGAACCCAGATAGGATGAGTTCCTCGGCCTGGGGCCCGACTGAGTGGGATGTCCAATGCCCGAGATACACATACGTATCACGTAAACACGTAACGTAGCACGATATACATACAACGAGCTCCTCGGGCGGTCAATCTCATAAGCATTCCCCCCCTCCCCAAAAAATCGGTCACGGTCACGGTCACGGTCATAGCATAATCGGCATAACCAATCGCAAGATGAACCGACGTGTCGGCGAGCCAACATTTCGACGTCGAAGAAATTAGGGG